ACAGGGTCTACTTATTCGGCCTACTCGGTAGCAGGGGCTACTACTGGATTTGGACGTTGATGGCTTACAGCTGGCCAGTTCGGAGGGCTAGTGATTTGATTGGCGTTGATATGGTACGAGTCGTAGGCATGAGGTTTGACAAAGACTCGGTTGATATGCAAGATGCTTGTTAAGGAAGGATTGAGGATTCCAAGATAGCTAAAGGAATCATAAAATTCCTTTGAAGATTGGAGTCTGGGGCTGTTTAAGGTTATTATTGGCTTCGCAAGCGCGCCGACTTCCCAATGCGGTCGGAGGCTTGTGGCTTAAAGCCTAAACTGAAACTTTGGCCCCCAACCACCCAATCAACTCGATTACATTAACCTTAACCTGATCAACCTACAAGCTCTAAGGTAGATACCCTGCTTAAGTGTACGCTTTTAAACGGGAAGCACCTACCGACGTCTACTTCTTACCGGCCGGTATCAGCCACATGGGCCTCACGCCTCTTTTACGGGCACTAACACGACGCTAGCGATCTGTCATCTGTAATAATCAAGTAGGCACCACGGACGCTATCATGGTGGAACCCTAGTCCCTCTAAAGTTAGGTACGGGTGCACCTAAGTAGGTACCTTAACGTAGCAGTAGCACATGGATGGGATTTCCAAGGCGTATATCGCTTAACGCTTAGCTTCCACGTAACCTTGGAAACCTTGGGTGAAGAACTTAGGTAACCTCTACGTATGACGTGCCGCGCATACGACATCGTCCTTCCTCCGTCGCCTTTTCCACTTTCTACTCTTTTCCTTCTACCTTACTTTGCCAATCCTCTCAACTACATTTTTATCGAAATTACCGGACTTGGCATAAACTCCGATAATACGGTTCTTTTGCTCTTTTCTTATCCTTATCCCGTGAGCGCGTCTATCCCAAGGTCATGGCCGCTCTTCGTCATGACCCGCACTCATTCCCATTGGGCTGAGTTGCCCATATTCAACATCGTAGCTGAGGAATAATATTAGAGACGAGGCATTTTAGGGATAGCAGAGTCACATCACGATGAAAGCTTAGACGCAATTGTTTATTTCGTCCCTTCTGAAGGTGACGTTTGCCTTCTCTGCTTAGTCTTGTTCATCTCGACTTGCATACATAGCGTTGCGATAATACGCTCTCACTCTACGTCCCTCTATATCTAAGTGCTATGCGTTCGCCTCGTATGCTCAGCCTGCGTGATCCTGTCCCGTCATTACCGAGATCACCTAGCTACACGTAATAGGTGCGGCGTATCTAGTCGCAAGATCAGCAGTCCAATGCTACGGTAATATCATCCTAAGTCTGGCAAAGTATTCTCTTTCAGCAACTGGTTTCCTGTTAACACCGACTCAGACTCGAAAGACCGTATGACTAACCACCTGTCATTTCTTTTCTATTCCTCCTCTCACTTTGAATGCAACCCCTCCGGACCACTCACAGGATGCGATCCTAGCATAATTTCGTGCCTAGCCAAGGTGGATGAGCTAGACACAAGGCGCAGCCGTGAAATCCCGGACCCCAACCAACATCTTCAACCGTGACAACGTCCGACTCTCTTTGGTTCCACCGGAACTTAGATCCATTATCAAGCAGCTCCGAAATACCTACCAAGGCTAACTTCGGCCTTGACTCCGGATGTAGTGCGGCACGGCACTAAATCAGTCGCGTTGCCGTGCTCCTGGGTCTCACATGTCCATCTGGCTCGAGCAGACCCTGTTTCTTGGACCCAACTGCGGAACCCCTGGTTTCTTTTTTTTGTTCCATCGTTCTATGCCTACCGGCCGAAAGTTATGTTGTACACAAGGCAAGGCATACTTACGTGGGCTGACTATTCCAGTATGAGATACGCAATGAGTATAGCCCCTATACGCCCTCAGTCATACTGAAGTTGTGGATCTGGGGTGTGGTCCACGGAATCCTGCCGTAGGGCTGAGGCAGTGATCTAATCTACCGTGGGTGTCCAATTACTACATGGCAAAACCAGTAACGAGACACTAGATTTTAGTTACACGTGAATTGACTATATAATGTCCATCTTCCCTCCCGGTGATAGATCCTTTCCCTCGGACTCATCCCAAGCCACCACGATCTCTTTCGACATCCTTCTCGGAGCATCCACTCTCATACACTCTTGACGTTTCAGCCTTCCTTACACGTACTTCATCAAGCGACCGCCTAAATCAAGTATTTTAAGTATGTAATTCGCCCCTTGCCAACAACTTGTCATTGATATAATCATGACCATACATCTCTATTCATACTGTGCACTAATACGAACACCTCATAGAAGTTCGACATACGTATTTCGTCAATCTACAACAAAATATAGACAGAAAGTGTTCGTCTTTTAAAAACGCACGATTCAAACGCCTAAGAAGCACCAATATCATTCAATTCGAGTGATATACTACGAGAAAAAAACGTAGCTTGAACCTAGCACAACCTCAACAAAATGCCGGAATCTGGATCTGACGTTCCTTCCAACGACACTGGCTCTAACAGCCCCGACTCTGGCTCAGAGACCAGCAGTTCCCGTGGGAGAAGCCGGAGCGGCTACAACTAGAATCCTCAACTGTATGAACATCTGGCATTAAACATGAAAGGAAGGAGTTTAGGGGTTCGACGGGTTTCCTTTTGCAATTTCATTTCTCGACCTTCGTTTAAAAAGGCTTGCTAGCTCGGAGGAGTCCTAGGGGAATCGATTTCTGTACCACTAGGATGCCGGATCGATCCCTTTCGTGAACAGAAACGAAGCGTGTTCTCTATTCTTCCGAGTTCTCCCCTTTCCCTGAGTTCTGCTGAGCAGTCCTTTCCACTGAATGTCCTGTTGGATCTTGGATGGCATTTAGCATTTGGAGGTACACACATTAGATATAGACGGCGATTTTGGGTTGCCCCTGAAGTCTATCTGCGCAAGCAGCAGTATACGCGAGACTCATGTAGTCTCGAATAAAAGTTTTCATCTCATTTAGAGTGGCCCCCATGACGCGTACGAGTGACACAGGTGCTCCTATGGACTAGGTAGGTTTGTTGCAAACACTAAAATTTCTATATAATTCTCACCCTCGCAAGTGATGTTACCGCGAAAACGCGGCGCGATTCCACCGCGTTTGTATAGAATAGATATTTTCATGCTTACTTATTACTATCTAACCAGCAGGCTTTCATGGCTTAGTTACGGCGTCACTATGACACCGCCAGCACTGTGCCGCTGAGTAACTTACAGATATACCGAATATACCGAAGGATGCGCTCTAGACTTGCGAATTCTCTGCTTGCCGCACGGGAAAGGCCGCCCCCATAATTGCGCGCCTCTAGATCAGCTTATTGGGGTGGTAGAGCCACGATTTTCGAGCATGATGCTACGGTATCTGGGGTCTGGTTTCATGTTGCCCCTATTTCTTACATTATATAATCTAGTGCTTTCGTAAGAAATGCTCGTGCTAGGTACCCGTGCTTACTTTGCGCCCTCCACTATGGCGTTCTGCATATCATATCTCGCTTGCCAGGGGCATCGTTTGTGCTGACGGCATCGACGAGATGGCTGGGTTGATCTGATTGGCTATACCCTAACCTATCTAGGTAGATACAAATCGACAGATCCCCTAATTTTAAATACCTGCTTCATGCTTCACCGACTCTCTCTGAACGTTACGTTTACCATTCATAGATTTACCATTGCCTGCAGTGCGAACGCGATGAGTACATATTATAATGGCAATGGCACGCCCGAAAGGTTGGATTGATGACACCTAGAAAGGTATGTCTATTACATACTTACAAGTATGACACTCGAAGTGTTTGCTGTTATCTAGATCGACTTGTGTAGAGTTCATGTTGATGGACTAACGGGGTCTCATTCGCGCTCGCCGATTCGAGGATCGTGATATACCTTCTAACCTAAATCGGCGTCATGTAGTATTTCATACTTCTCAGTCTTGACTACGAACCTAACGTCGGATATGGTCCCGGCTTGACCCTGCGCGTAATAGTCGAATCGGTGAATATCCTCTAAAAGTTGACTAGATGTTGTTAGTAGCATTGCCTGGCGTCTGGTTTCATTTTCCAGCCCCTAATTTCTGTCGAGCAGGGCTAGGTCGGGACCACGGAGGGAGACGTCGCTCTAGTTCATTGCCACAACATCCTCGCGGAACTGGGGGGCCTCGATGGTTATAGAGGGTTACAGTCGTCATTCTCCCTTGCCTAGGTCAGCTCCTAACACAAAACTGCAATGTTTTTTTGTAGACCTCATAGAAGTAAAAAATGAAGCCAGTGAAAAGGCCTAACAATCTCTTGCGATGACGGTTGGTTGGGTATGAAGACAATTATGGCGTTAGCCCCGCGGTCCGCGCCCCTCGTATTTCAGTGGCCCAAGCAAGGGCCCCGGCGAACATGAGCATGGGCTTAGCTTCATTATTTTAGCCTTGCCTTTTCGACCTTGGTACGGAGTAGCTCCGCGTAACTCCAGGGCTGACCTATAAATATCTTAGTGGATGGGATCTGCCTGGCCTTGATTTCTGGTGAGGCTCATTGATCGATAGGCGAGCTCATATGTAGTAGGTTGCCGCCCCATCGTCATTAAGGCTACAAGAGCATCATTATCTACCATGATTGGTCAGCCTAACCGATTCGTTAGTGCAAGGATAATTGATGAAGCAACCGTGCAGAATTAACCGGAGTTCCAGTATATAATAACTCCACTGAAAGAAAAGAACATTTGATATGCTGATTCGCGATGTTTCTTGACGGTTATGTGTCACTGAAGTTAATATTGATATTAACATATAGGTACCTTCGTAGCTAATTTAGTTCAAGGGGGAAAGCTCTAATGGTGCCGACACCGTGGAAATCCCCCGGAAACTTTATCGGTGCTAACGTGGGTCCGGCCCATTGGTAACGAACCAGGACAAAGAATGTCTTATGTAATCAATCCCCTTAAACTTTACCTAAACTTGACATTGGGCCAGTTATGAGTGAAATGTCACTTCTAAACTTCTACCAACACAATGTTGTGACCTGTTACCGCGATATCCAATTTCGCTCCCATAATGGAATACTACACTGCAATAGGACCTTGATATTACACATCAAACCTATTGGATATTGCTAAGGGCCTTTTTTTTCTTTCACATGTTGTCATTCGCGGCTATTCTACGCCGCAGACTTGCTTGAGGATTCTCCGTCCCCTGTTTGCCTTTGCCGCGTATGCCTGGTCTACCGCATAGGGGGATGCAAATTGTGCCGTCTGCTTACACATCCAAACTAGGTCCGCGCATCCCGTCCTTCTCAAAGAGTGATAGCCGCAATACGTCGGTAAAGTCCCCCGCATAACCGAGTGTTTCCTCTTCTGGGAATCAAAATGTCAATTTCAATTCCTAAAAGGGGCTGATGGCCGGGGAAGAAAATGGATTGATCACAATACAACGCAAGGCAACGTCACGGACTTCACCGTCAGAGACAGGGCCACCAGGTCTTTAGGTATACGATTCTTCACGCTCTATCAAAGTTCACCGAGTAAACAAGCGGTAGTCGGTCTACTTGTCTGCCGGCCCCACCATCGGCGACGATAGCATCCCGTCTCTTTTCGGAACAAATTCTACGCATTTATGAATACCACTTAAGCGATGAACGTTGTCCATAATTCAGGGGTCATGACATATACGTCACCACCGATGCGCATTACTTCACAACTACCTAGCTTCTTGGTCTTCTACATTTTTTGACGCCGAGAGTTCGGCTTCGCGAACGATGACGCATCAGATAAGCATAGCACAAACACCGCTTTAAGTCCGTCTCCCGGGGGCCCGAAAAGCTTAGTACCTACACCGCCACATTCGGCGTCTGCTTCGGCCGGCAAGCAAGATCTCCGTTTAATGACGTGGATCAAGGTGTGCTCGTTCAACGCGCATGGCGCTTTTTATATCGATCTCCCACGACGCCTATAACAGAGCCACCGAATTTCAATGACTACTACAGTTCATCTAAGAACCATAAATTAAATCCCATAAACTTCATCTTTTGTTTTTGATGAATTAGGTGGAATCTCGCAAGCGCAGTGGCAAAGCCCGTCGTCGTCGTCTTGCTCAAGGAATTTCAGTTCATGGCATGCGAAGGAAAGACGTTGAGTTTCTTAGCAACATCGCCGCCTGCGCCACCGTCGTGGTATAGACAGGGGCCCTGTAGGCGATAGACGACAACATGGAACATCCCAGAATCTTTCACTACTATCACATAACAGAGCTCGATCTAATCGAGAGTCATGAGTGCCTTTTCACGTTTTTAGCACGAAGAAGCTCAAGTCAGGGCCCATAGGCGAAGCAGAAGATACCGTACGTCAGTGACTCAGGCGTAATCCGGAAGGTCAAGCCATGAGTTTATTGGCATTGTGGCTCTACAAGATTTCCCCTTCGACATACTGGACATGACGATTGAGGACTAGTGGGTCCGTAATTAGCGTCTGCGTGACATTTACACTATGCCAATAAGCACTTGGGTAAGTTTTCGACATTCCTGGATACCTTCGCGTGGGTGGCTTGCCCGCTACAATATTATGCAGATTCAGCATGAATTACCCAATCTTTCGGTCACGTAACAAGTTGACGTGGTTTTTGCTTCGAACGCTTTTCATTGTCTGATATTTGCGTTAAACAAAGTGACCCTCCTATAGAATGCATAAGTAGCCAGATTTCCTCCCAGTATAATAAGACACGCTTGTTGCCGCCCAGTGTCGAGACCCACATCAAATACACTAACTTGCATACATATTAACCGTATATACCCGCTTCCTTTTCCTAACTTAGAATCCTCCAACACCTGGTGATGTTTATCCAAAATAAATGAGGGAAAATCAATATGCCAATGATTCCCTGAGATCTATGCCCCTCCTCTTGATCTGGACGATGCCGCCAATTTGACTCGTCCTCGCGGCACGAGAGGACACCTAGCCCTACAGTCCTTGCATCCGGGAGTCACGTCGTTGAGGATGTACAAGCAATCACATATCCAATATCGACCGCCTGTTCGCGTGTTAAGCTCATCGCCTGGTTTATGACAACCCGACTGGATACCACAATAGATACAGAACCGGCGTAAATTCACCACCGTCTCTTCATCTGAAGCTGTGGCCCGAAGAAGGGCTTGTAAGGGTTGGTTACTGGCAAACATGGCGGCTGGAAGGACCCGGGCGCAGTGATAGCAGCCTAAGTTCGGCGGTTTCGCGCTGTAGTGCTGGAAGAAGTCTCGCTCGGCTCGTAGCACGAAGGACGCTTTCGTCTCGTAGGGTGCGAGGTGCGGGTCGACGATTCGGTGGACTCCTCGGGATTGTTGGTAGAGCCAGAGGAGGTTCTCGTAGGGAATATAACTACAAATTCGATCGATTACGTTCTGTGGAAGGAGTTCGAGGCGTGCTCCGTTCCTCGGTAGCGGTAGCGGCACAGAGATAACGTCGAGATATCGTTGTACGATTCTCTTAGATAATCGACTCGCGAACAATTGGACGCAGCTCTCGTGATCCATATGTGGCGGGCGCATCGGTGCTGACACCAGTGGTTGTTCCTGCAAATCCTGAGTTGCTCTAGGGATTTGGTTTGATATGACTTGAAGCCATTGCCGTCGACTATACTGTTCACTCCTGGTTTTACCATACACCGCCGAGGAACATTGAGCCCTCTCGGGCTCACTTTGGATGGCCATCTCGATAGTGAAAGGACTTGCGAAGCAGGGCGCTGCTAATATGGTTATGCACTTCTCGCCAGAAGTACCCTATCAAACAGAAACTAGTCTTACAACAGACGACATGGTATGAAAAGCATACGTTCACGAGATTCAGATATGGAATACGGCTACATATATACGCAGCAAGCTTTCCCAGGTATCGGAAATGAGTAAATCTTGAAGGAATTAGCATCCCGATGGCCCCCATGCGTTCTCCTCTCGACGGGAGAGGCCGCACAATGCTCGAATGGTTGGGCAAGATTGGTCAGGACAAGGGAAGTACCCTATTCACGCTCAGCTCGGCTGAGACACACAGTTGCAGGGCCATAGACTACAGCTGCAGCTTCTCCCATGTACATCGAGTATCGTAATATCGAGATACGGCAGATATGGACGCCAAATCCTATGATGCGTGATTCCTAAGGCTGTTGCGACTAGGATCTTAGATGCCTAACCCCGGTCAGGCAGTGGTGAAAGGAAATCTTGAGACCTGTAACGAACCGTTTATGGCTGCAACCCGCAGCGCCATCGCATCATCTGACATACGTCTCCTATCCAACTCTCTACGTTTCTAGGTGTGCAGTTTCTGTATCTTGGATGCTTATTTGCCAGCGGCAGGGAGTCTGTAGAAGAAGGGGGGTCCTTCGGGGTTAGTACCAGTTCGTGTCTCCGTCAGGTAGGTAGTCACTGCACAACACCTAGGCACTGCACCACGCGTATGCCTACACATCTTATTGGGTGCTACGTGATACACTTTACTTACATGTCTAGATAGTGCTTGCTGCAGATACTAGCGGTGTCTTGGTCGACGCGGCCTACGGGGGGAAATATCCGGGGAGCCTTGTCACTTTCATCTGCTCCCTTGTCAATCAAATCTGATTAAACTACTGCTAGACCGCAGATGACAGACCCCATCAATATATAACCTCCCCAGTCGACTCGCACCGGAATATTGTCCGTGGTATAGCTGGTTAGGTGTGGGGAGGGGAGCTCCAAAATCGATGACACGAGGCATATATGGAAAAAGCAAAAATACCGGGATCTGACGACCTGCACCCATCGGAAACATCTCGGTATGGACTGCGCTAGCTCGTTTACGAAGCGATATAGGTTGATCCGGTGGAGATATAGAAGATACGATCAACAGCATCGAAGGCGTGAATTACCCCTTCTGTAGTAATAAGACAAGGATTGGTTGCTTATAATGTGATATGTGATGGGGCGTATCGATCGTTGCACCGGGAACCTGGCTACCCGTTGGAGTCAACTGACATTCCTGACAGATTGCAGGATGATTTTAAAAGGCTGGGGGATGCTCATTTGTCCATCTCCTGAGCCTGATCTAAGATGTTGGATGTCAGAATCCCTCATGTTATTAGCGTGGCGGTTTTGGCTTTTCAGCCCAAGTATATAAAGCTCAACGGCATTGCTTTTTAGGGCCCACTTCCCGAGATCTCGGGAGGGTTCTGATAGTCCCGTCGTGTCGTACTAAGATTCGTTCTGATCGTTCTGACGAGTAGAAAAGCTTAGGTATGACTGGTATGAGTAGAGTGGCTGGTGGTAACGGGCAGCTAGGCAGTTGGGGGCTATCGTTTTCGCATATCATAGGTAGATTCTTCATCAGATTACAGGGCTAGATTAAGTACTCCACCGGTGAAGATGTTGCGGTTAACCAACCAGCATGTTTCTCGGGCCGGTCTGGACTGGTACATAGGTAGGTACGTAGGTATGCAGCTTCTTTAGACACGCGAGTGGACAGGTGGGATGGATCGGGCAGATCGGCATGCCCAACCATGGTCGATGCAAGATTAGAAAGCGACATGCCGACTTTTCATCCAATGTAGGGCGTTCCGACCCGACTGGCCGTGTCTCTGGTATGAATTTCCCTCACTCCACCATGTAAACCGAAGATCGAGCTTAATTGTCTCAAAAGTCACGATGTCAGGAGACATCTCCACTAATAAGCTGGGGTCGAGGGCGGTCAGGGCTGCTGCCACGAGTCGATATCGATCAATTAGTATCCAGCGGGGTGGAGGCGATGACCTTCAGGCAAGGGGATCCATCGAGAGCCCTATCTTGGATATGGCCGATGATAACTTTGGCACCTGGGTTGAAGCGATCTGATATCTGCACGGCCCTTCCCGCCTGTGCTAGTGCTGACGTTGAAGAATGGTACATACATGGTACTGCTTTTATAAGTGAGGTCGCGTGCAGATTCTACGACCCCCTTTTTAGAACAATCTCCTCATTCTCCCCCACAAATCGTACGTCCGTTATGTAAACCGTTGAGTCACGACGATCGTATGCCAATTCTAGAACGCGGCGCTGCTCGATCCCGCATAGATCTTTTTGCGGACGGGGGATCTGAATGCGAGGCTATGATACTACCTGGCGACGTAAGTGAATAGACATGTCATATTCTACTTTAAGAATCCCATACTTGGGCATCCGCTGAATATACCTAATGAGGACCATGATCGCAAAGTTGACCCATTCCTCCAAGGATCTCACATCGTAAAGATTCGGTGTGATATCTATGACTACTAGGGATACACTGAAGCACCACTTCCAGTCCTTCAATTATCGACGACCTTGCCATCCATACCTATGCTGCTTATTACCAAGTCTGCCCGTCTTATTCCCCAAGTATCGACAAACCCAAAAAGGGCATCCGCAGGTATGAAGCGATTCGATTCGTAATTAGGGGGTAGCTTGCGTATTGGTAGCCTTGGCACATGTAAGCCCAAATATTGGGTATACATTGATGTAGATGCAAATACATGGGAAGTTTTGAGTAAGTACTTTGTCCATCGCCAAGGTAGGTAATCAGATCGCCATGCGTAAGTTAATGCCAGTCGGCGAAAGTAGCTCGAGTCTATCTTCACGAACTAGCTGAGGAAGGTTTCCGGGGCGACCGTGAGGCGTTTATGAGGAGAATATTGTGGTCAAATAAAGGACTTATAGTTCGCCTCGAAAGGATAATCAATAGAAGGACTGGTATCCGAAGAATGTTTCGGACTCGATCTGTGCCTATAAATAGGTAGGTAGCTATGTGCGTCAGCCAACGCAAATTAGAGAAGGCGGTCACAGCAAGTCGTAATTAGGTACACTGTCGCGAGTAATGATTATAAAGAGGATTTTCTCTTCACTGGAACGCCCACCTCTTGGCCTGGGAGATTCAAACGAGGGCTGACAACCTATGTTTTCACCAATGATGAGAAACGAATAGTTCTCAATAGGTTCTGATTTCAATCAGCCTATCTAGCTAGGCAAAACTGAGGTCGAAAAGGTTCAAGTCAGCCAGGAGAAATTGTAGTGTTAGGTGTCATACTGAGGAGGGAGGTTAATAAGATGAAACAGAGAATTCAATAGTATGTTTTGGGAAAATGAAATGTCGGACTCTTAGTCTACAGCTTTGCAACTTCCTATACATGACAACCCACGTCATTGAGACCAAGTGGAAGCCATGACGACTGTCTATTATTGAGTACGAAACCAAGTAGGTAGGTAGATATTGAAGGGTGCTAACAACTTAACTAGGCAGGTAGGAGCAAAGTCATTTTCACGACAGCTAACCGCCAACTTCTTAGGCACAGACCTGTCTGTGCCTCCCATCGGGAAGGTACTCCAAGCGTCCCATGCGTCAGCGATACGCACCGTCGGCTTCGGTCCTATGTACGTAAATGCTATAGGTAGAGACAGTCCTTTGGACGTTAACAAATTCATCATCATCATCATCACTAGGCACAGATACAGGTGCAGATAAAACGGCCTAGATTCCTTTTCTACAAACTCATTCTACCTTTAGGAAAGAGAGTGCAACATTATGACATGGAAGCTCTAACTCAGAAAGGCTCTAGGAAGCCATCACCAAACAGTCGAACTGTCTCTTGGCTTGGACGCTGATAATAGGTATCTCCTGACGTTGATAATATCTCCACCACAACCAACAGTAGTAAATGAAGTTTCACGGAACAAGACCTAATAGCTTGTGCAGTGCAGGATTAGACAGTTATATTTCTTCTCTGGGCACTTTCGAAACAGTGTTTATTATTATCATACAGTAATTAATTGGCAACGCACCGGTGTTAATTATTCCTGGCAGTTTAGGGGACAATCGAATCTGATAACTTCAAATATTTATTTCTATTAGTTCCCGGAATCTATCTATTTTCGCTTCAACTCAAAGTTGTCGCCAGCCCAGCGGCTAGGAGGTACAATATAGGTAGTTAATCACCCACAGTCTGATCAACTAGGAGCACCACTTATAGGTCAGAGCTTGCTAGTACAACTGACATAAGGCAAAGAATGCGCAAGATAATGCACCATTCATGCTCTGTACTCCTTCATCTCGTTAATTGGCAATTGAATAGGTACAATCGGTGATTAATTAGAGATAGAATACACCAAAAAGCTAGATTCCCTTTCCACTTTATGGGTCAGAACATCGCTGATGCAACTGACACAAGGTAAAACAAATGTAAAATTAGGTATGCACCTTCATGCCATTTGCTCGTTCAAATTCTTGGTATAATGGTTTTGATCTACCAACAGCATATCCACCCCCTGGCTATAATCATTTGTCAGTTCAGGGGATATTCTTGGTGGTCCACCAAGTCATGTGAAGCTGTATTCTGTCACCTAACCCCTGGCTGGCGACACCTGACCTTGAACGGGTGCACGTTGATAGATAGGTGAAAGTAGCTTGGGCTGTGACTCTTCGTTCTGCCTCTTTCTAATAGATACCTGTGGTAAGTGTCACGATCCAAAAGGCTTCCTACCTAACCCCATACCCTAAGGGGATGAATTTTGTGATACTAATTTGAATACGTTACTTACTTGAGGATAACCAGCTACAATATATGAAATGTATGGAATAATGTTTAATCTACTTCTAGATTTCTAGAACCTTTTACAAGACCGTCAAGCGCATCGCCGAGCCAGGAGGCTTGAATTAATCTATCCATTGTTTGGCATATCTAAATTTGGAAATGAAGGGCTGAATCAGGGTCTTCTGATTCGCTACCAACGGACAATATCGCCCCACAAGCACAGTACGGCGGAATTCGGAATACTTCCTTTTGAGGCGTCGGAGTACCCACAAGATCTTGATTCAGATATTGGGCATTTGAAGCTTTCGAATTTCCTGAGATCTAGCGTCATCTTATCTCACTTTCTCTTAAATATATTTCTTCCATTCTTCATCTAAATGGAGAGGAAAATGGCATCAAAAACCTCATAGTTCGAATAAATGAACCTAGGTAGCAATGAGTGGTGGCGCCCAACATCATCATGGCTCGGCCGAGTCCACGGAGGAGTCGCCCTTGTTATCGGACGGGAGGCCTCGACGACCGTCGCATCGCCCTACGCTATCGGTGGCCTCGATCACAAGCGTCCACGTCCCTAAAGTCCATAACGGCCGGATCATCGTGAATCTCCTCTGTGTAATCGCGCTTATTGCTTCGGCATCTTCTGGCTTTATCAACATCCCTGTCACGCGAATCGTGGAAGATGTAGTCTGCAGGAAGTACTACGACATCAAGGAGAGCGCGGGCAGCCCGATTGACGAGAAACAATGCAAGGACGATGCGATTCAGAGCAAGGTGGCATTTGTCATGGCTCTTTCGGGCAGTCTCGATGCCGCGGTCGGGTTCTTCGCCGCGTTTCCCTGGGGTCTCGCAGCTGACAGGTACGTGTCATCTCAAAGAGCTTACTAAATTGGAAGAATTGGCTAATAGTAGTAGGATTGGACGAAAACCTGTATTCGTCCTAGCCTTGCTCGGAGATGTTGTATCCATTTTCTGGGGCATGATGGTGCTGTATTTCCATACCGTATTCCCGGTCGAGTTGATCTGGCTCGGGTCCGTGGGCTACGCGATTGGCGGTGGTAACGCGGTGCTTGTCGGAATTATACTTAGTATGATTACAGACTCAACGAGCGAGGAAGAAAGGTTGGTCCAGGTTCTTTATCCGATAATACTGATGATTAATTCGTCTATAGGGCCGTCGCGTTCATGCGTCTTCATGTAGCAGGTCTGGCTGGGAACCTTATATCTCCGGCCGTATCGTCTTTCATGATGGAAAGGATGGGCCCTTGGCCCCCGATTTGGTCGGCAATTGTCGTTATAACCGTAGCTGCTATCGCTTTCCTCTTCGTTCCGGAGACGTTGAAGCACCAGAAGGACCCCGAAGAAGACGCCCAGGAGACAGAAACAGAAGTTCCAGGTCTCAAGTCACGAGCAGCTCATGTGATCGCGCAATTTAAGGAGTCGTTGTCAATACTCAAATCAACGTCTCTCATCCTTCTGCTTTTGACATGCCTGGGATCGGCCCCAGTTCTATACTCGACTCTTGGCTTCATGGCCCAATTCGTCTCGAAAAGATACGGCATTGAGATGTCGTTGACAGGCTACATCCAGTCTACCTACGGTATCGCCCAAGTCATCCAAGCACTCCTTTTCCTGCCGTGGATTACTCGGTATATTATGCGCGACACAACGCCTGCAATCCTTCGAGCTCCCGACGAGCACTGCCGTGATCTATTCCTTGCACGGTGGTCGTTCGGGATTTTAACGATTGGGATACTAATCCTTGGTCTATCCCCGAACCTCGCTAGCTTCATCATCGGCCTCCTTCTTATGGCCCTAGCGGCTAGTTTCAATAGTCTAACTAGAAGTTTAATGACCTTGTACGTCGATCCGGAACATCGTTCTCGGCTTTTCAGCCTTGTGGGTATGGTGGAGGTCGTCAGTAGCGTGTACGCTCAGCCCTTCCTCGCCACGCTCTTCGCGCTCGGGATGAGATTCGGAGGCGGTTGGATTGGTTTGCCGTATTGTGGAGTGTCAGTCCTAGTTGCCATCACCGGGTCTTTGTTGTACTTTGTTAGGGTACCGAAGGAAGCCAAAGATTCATCATCGACGCGTGAAGATGATCAACATCAGGATTAGATGTGCCGAAATGACTAGAGTGGGCTAGGGTAACCGGAGATTGTTAGATAACTAGTTAGATCTATTATAAGATCATTGGTATAGAACTATAGATAAATGGGTTAGGTACTGAATTATATATATAATGTAATTCACCGATTATCCAATCATCGATGCTGTTGAAATAGTAATCCGGTCTTAGCAACACGGGCAGCGGTGAGCTCATTTTCTCACATAACGCATTCTATTGATTGGTTTGTTGTTGTTGATCTCATCCACTGATCACCCCGATTATCCTACTTCGTACTTCGTAACTGATCGCGTTTATCCACTAGTATAGTGCGCATAGACGGTAGATGATAGCTTCTTAGCCCGGCTCCATTTTAAAACGTTGCAGTGTTAACAAGGCCAAGCTGGCCTAGGCTACCTAGGTCTAACCTGATGTTTGAACAATAAACCCGGTCTATCACTTTGATCAAGGCCTTGTCAGGTACCATATCGAGTAGGTATATACTACAAATTTGGTTACAATATAAATTTCAGTACTTCAACAGTTCTTATATGCAATGATTGAATAGTTCCAAGGTTGTAGAATGTGCATAAAGTCTCAATAGGTGAATATACTGTATCGTTGCATAGTGGGCATCTTAGTGTGAGGAAATAATGTTCTAGTTGAGGTGTGACCACTCCAAACTTTCACTTCTCCTACTTTTTGGTTGACGATTGCCCTTACTTCTTAATGTAGCAGCTGACATACTCAGTCGGCCAATAGATTGATTCTATCCTTTCTTTATATCATGAAAGCCAAGGCAATTCTTCCTATAATTAACCCATTGGATATAAATATTATCAGAATGAAGAGGCGTATTGTTTCATAAATATCCTAAACAATAACCCTGGGTCTGGGAGTGTTGTAACGACGGACAATTTATTACCGAGCTTTTTACCGGCTTCTAGACTTTTTGCCGCGGCAAATTACGACCATCCCTACCTACATGTATCCTGCTTGGGCCCTCAATTCCAGCTTCTTGTTATGAGGATGAGAGAATATCTACCTACCTAGCAGACTTGCTTCGCATGAATGCTTGCTACTGAGCGGCAACCCCCGGAAAAATTGTAATGTCACTAATCAGAATCGGGGCTTTGGATTTTCTAGTTTGACGAATTGGAAGCTCTTTGTTGGCAGCTCACGGCCACCTACTTCGTCTTTTGTCACGGGACAAATGTTGTCATTGGCCTTTTGGCTTCCGACCAACCCCGTCTGCCCCGTCCAGCCCGTCAAGGGAATAGCATGGATCTGTCAATCTATCGGATCCTATCCTAAGATCCATGCCTCTGGTATTCACTCCGATGCCGCATTCTGCGCTAGTCCCTGCATCACCGATGCTACTAATTCGTATACACATTGGCCACATCGGCCGCATTGGCCGAGACGCCCTCACAGCGGAGCTGCCAAGAGCACCTAGACGTCTTTCTGCTTAGGGACAATGGGGAATGGAGTATGGAGTATACCCCACAACCCCGCGAACTTCTCCAATTCATTTCCCGGGGGCGGGCCTTTCTCCCTTTTACTTCCACCTTGCTTTCTTATCTTGTGTTGAGAATTCTCGACGACAATCATGGATTGCGCACCCGTCACCATGGCTCCCACGAGTGCTGAGGCCGCCGGACCAAAACCGAAGTCAGCCGGCAAGATGCGCAAGAGGGCTCCCAAAGCCTGTCTATCGTGTAGGAGCCGTAAAGTGAGATGCGACGTTTCTCAACGCGGTAGGCCGTGTATGAATTGTTATCTCGACAACGAAACTTGCGTTGTGACTGGACGAGCGTCCAGGTTGTGAGTTTCCCGCCTCTCTCTTATTACGTAACCTTACTCATGCCATCTAGCAGAAGAGGTCAGCGCGGTGAAAACGATAATGCACACACACCATATCCTCCCTTTTCGGCAGAGGAATGTGCTCATGGTCGAACGTCAGAAGATGTCGTGAATTCACGGATCAATGGGCAGCTGCCTTCGCTAAGGACAGACGGGGAAGATAGTACTTCGCTGCAAGACTTATCTACTCCAATAGGTCGCCCTGAGCATCGGACAAGCCCAGGCGTCGAAACTGAGAAGTGGAATGGCTCTGCAGTATCGCAACAGGGCGTGATGGACGGGTTGAACGAGCAACATACTAATAAAGTTCCAAGCCCCATTCCCTCAATTCACGGTGAGTCCTCTTATAATAGTGGGTCGACTGATTGTGTCTAACTGGATGCTAGAACCCTCAACTTTACCGTTGAATACCTTCAATGCCTTCATGCCACCGGAGATCCCTCTTTGGGTGGGGGACCAACGTGTTACAGTCAACGCTGATGTCACGTATTCATACTATCCGTTCATTAACATCAGCAATCTTCATAACATCATGCCTCAAGATGTCAATTATCTAGAGTTACAAGGTTGCCTTCGAATTCCGACGAGAGCCATTCTGGATGAGTTCGTACAGCAATACTTCTTGCATATCCATCCTGTTATGCCTGTAGTCAACGAAGGGGACTTCTGGGATATGTATTGCAACCAATCCTTTGCGGAACCGACCGAGAAGGTGTCCCTCGTCTTTTTCCAAGCTCTTCTATTTTCGTCATGCAATGTAAGTCACGCGACGCCACCATAATGATAAAGCTAAGCAAATTGTCAGTTCGTTTCGAAAAACAGTATAAAAGCATTGGGCTTTCCTAGTATCCGCGCGGCGAGGGCTACTTTGTATAGACGCACAAAGGTAAGATATATATTCCCTTAGCCCTGATCGTCATAGGTTGCTTATAAGGACTTAGCTTTTATTTGACTTCGACACGGAAACATCTTTGGTTAGCCTTTCGCAAACTGCCCTCCTTCTTTCATTCTGGGCTACGAATTGGTCTCTTGCTTCCAAGAAGCTCAACAGCACCTGGCTTGGAATCGCAATACAAAACGCAAAGAGTTCCGACGCTCACCTCTACGCTGTCAAACCAACCTACTCCGCGATAACTGACCCGATACAACATAAGAAGCAAAATATACTGAAGAGATTGTGGTGGTGCTGTCTTGTCCGTGATCGCATTTTAGCCTTAGGGGTGCGGCGGAGTCTTCAAATATCTCGAGCGCATTTCGATATCGACGCCAACACCGGTCTGGAATATGCGGACCTAGCCGACGAGGTTGGCCGGTCTAAAGTATACAATTCGGAAACGAAGAGGTGTCTCATCGAGATATTTGTTCAGTTCGGAGAACTCTCTTCAGTCTTGACCGATCTCATAACTTTGGTATTTCCACTTGACGATGTGCCGGGCTGGGATAGGCAACTAGGCTCAGAAGGCACAGCCTCGTTAAACGAGTGCAAGGCTGCACTGAGACGATGGTACAAGGGCGCAACGCTCCGATTCCCGATGTTTGGAGGCGGGAGCATACCGAGGATGACGAATACGAACAACAAACCGTACCAGCATGATTCCGTGATCCTGTACACCAACTTGATGTACATGCACTATCAGTAAGTTCCATCCCGAATATCGACATAGTAAGGAGGTAGTCACTCATACTACCTACCACAGTTCTGCCCGTGCGGCCCTTTGCCACCACGAAGTCCTACAGTTGGCTGTAGCTTGTACTTCGCCAAACTTGAGCAGCAATCTTCGGGAATTTTCGAAAATCTACGAAAACAGGCATGAACTTCAAGACGCGGCATGCAGTGTCACGGAATGCCTGAAAGAGCTTATTCAACGTCGACTTGCCCGTTTTCTGCCGATCAGCGCGTGAGTTCACAGCGGAATTTCATCATTGTTTAGGCATGGCTAACTTGACTTAGTGTCGCATGCACAGCATTACCTCTGGTTTTGCATATTATCGATGTCAAGTTGTCATCGTTAAATAAAAACAAGAGTAACTCGCCAAGCTCAGACCCAATCATGGCGGCCAAGCAACACCGTCTGAACATTCTCATCGAAGCCATGAAAACTTACCAGCCCCAATATGACGGTGTCGACTATATTAGCGAAACTATTCGACACATCATCAACATAGCCCACCTAGATACGCCTACAAACGCGGGGTTGGGGCTTGCAAGCCTCTATAGCGATGGCAAACAGCCTACAATATCAGATTGGACTGATATATTAGCTTCCCAACCAGGCTACTATTTACGCCTGGCCATGACGATGGATTTATGTTTTAGCAAAGGCCGGTTAGTGGAAGAAACAGACTTCCCGGCGAGTCTGCGGGGGTTATTTGCCGCCGACTTTAGCTCGATCCAGGCCCTTGTTAAAAACGGGAAACCAGCTACCACTACCGTTCCGGCAGCAACACAGAATCAGAACCAGGGGCCGACCTATATCGTACCGAAAACGGCACCAAACATAACAACAGGGACGGTACACTCAATTTCTTCAGACGAAGACTCCAACTCTGCTCACTCGGTCGATGGAAATGTAAACAACGCCTCCGAGTCTTATTCCCAATTTAACAGCACTCACATCTACACCGATACGAACCACACAATGGATACCAACGACATAGACATGTCTGACATTTTCGCCAATCCCCTAAATATAGGTCACCTAGCGAGCGAAGTCCTCGCCGCGTACGGGCTAAACGCGGATGCGGATCAGAGCCTAGGGGAGGATGATTGGATCGAGAGGGTCTGGAGCGACGAGGAGATGAAGGAAGCCGCCACGGCTGTCGCGACGGAGGGACAAGGATATGACCACCACGAAGGCGACGGTGGAGATAAAGAGACTGCTCGGGCGCTGCTCGACGCGATGAAAGACGATGCTGTTAGCTGCAGCGTGTGATACCGATTATTGCGTTGTCTTATTCTGGGTGGTATACTGATAAGATATTTCTACATCGCATGTTAGGAGTTCAGGATAAAATAGGGGGAGTGGAATATCCGGGTTATTGCCCGACGAAATGTAGGATATGAACAATATGTCTTCTAGATCTAGGAGAGAAACATGAGCCAGGGTCGAACGCTTTCGATGCCTCTAGTATATGGAGTAATGTACGAACTCACGCATTATATTACTTGCCAAAGAAATATCGTGATACCCAGACATCTACTTTATTTGCCGGAGAGAACAACCTAGGTAAAGAGAGACCGCGTATTATCAGGTACGTACGCAAACTAACACACGAAACCCGCACTCTCGACTCGATGATCTCAATGATTGACAGGCTTCCTGAAAACCCAATGCCCGTCGTCCCGGCGCACGAGCTCGACCTCTATCTTCCCCACGCGACCGACTAGGCCCTCGGGAACGTCCATGCCGTCCTGGACCTGGGCGTAGACGCCCGGCTCGACGTGGCAGAAGAGCATGGGCAGGGAATCGCCCTTCCAGGCGCACACGCGGTCGCGCGCCGTGCGCCACACCGTCTGCGCCAGGTAGCAGAAGGCGAGCACCATCAGCGTCAGCGGGTAGATCACCCAGTACCAATTTACGCGGACGCGGGCCGACGTCGTGTACGCGGTGCCCGCGTACTCGAGCGGTTTGTTCGTTTCCGTGTTCGTGGCCGTGTTGAGGGCGCCGGTCCGCCGGATTTCGTTGGTCATGCTGAGTGCGAGACGCGCTATCCAGGGGTCTAGGTCTGGGGTTGCGTTCCACAGGGCTTCGATCGAGTCGGAGGAATATTGGATTGCACCTTCGGGGCCGGATGCGTTGCCTGCTATTAGTGAGTTTATGAAAGTTCTCGAGGCTTGAATGGAGTCCGTAGGAATGGAGTAGCGGGTTCGATTATGCACGTAGAGGTCGGGCGGGATATCTACGAAGGTGAGTTCGTCAAAAGGGGCATTGCCTTCCATGGAGGAATCCGTCCTTGACCAACTCGATATGGTGGTATCGGTTTGAATGCCATTTGCCACTGTGATGCCGAGACTTTGGAGGCAGAACCATAAGGTGCATTCGTAAGCCTGGACCCTGGTCCCCGAAGATATTTGCGATACGGATAGCATGTCGAAGACGGAGATCAGGGATTGCGAATTTGAAGCAAAAGCGTTCGTCGAGCCGTTGACTGGAGCAACTTCAAATCTAAAGCCGGAGTCTGCAACATCTTGGCGGGATATCGAGGTTCCTGAGGGCGTTGTGTAGGTACATCCACCTTGCGGATTGCAAATAGTCTTAACTTGTGATCCGCTACATTTCCCGCATACTGCCAACGTGGGAAAAGGGGGCCACGTGCAATCTAGCGTCGGGCATGACACCGGAATTGACGACATAGTCTGGGTTATAATACCGTCGTAAATTGCGGCTTTGGTTGAGAGTTCCAAGGATGTATCTGAGTCTGTTAGTGAGTGACGCGATAGCCCTCAAAGAGACCTGTTACAAACCGCCACCCTTGCCTTTTGGACCAACATTATGCCATGTTTCTGCCCTAGGAGGAGGCAGAACGAAAAATTGCATAGGCGACTCCTCGAATCCAACCATTCCCGACGAAAATGTCTCGAAGCCCTGGGTTAGGATCATAATGGCCGCACCAACACACGCAAGGTGTCTGCATCTACTTCAGCACTCACGCCCCCCGGATCCCCTCGCAAGCGCCCCAGCACGACTCACCTCCCCCTCATCCGCCAAATCAGCACCAAGCTCCCCCACAACCCCGTCGCGGCCTCATCGAACATCTTGAAGTCCTCGATCCTGGCCTCGACGCGGCCCTTACGGAACCCGGAGACCCAGATCCAGGCGCCCTGGGCGATGCACGACTCGAGCACGGCCTTGAGGGCCAGCCGGAAACAGCTCATGACGGCGATGATCACGGTGCCGTATTGCAGGTTGGAACTCCATTGTGGCGCCGGCTGGCCGTCGAACGCGTACATGAGGAGCATGAGGAGCGAGGCGGCGAGGAGGCACAAGCCGCTGTAGATGTACTCTTCCCGCCACTGGCCGAGGGTCGAGCGCACGGTGCGCTGGAGCTCGTGGGGAGAGGGGATGGAGAAGTTGAGAGAGGTGCTGCGCGAGGATGATGAGGGGGAAGGAGAGGGGGAGGATGTGGCTTCGATGTCGGGTTCGGTGGAGGGGACTGGGTCGTATTTGGGTTGGGGGAAGATTTGGATGTGTGATTGGGACATTGTGGATGTGTAGGGGGTAGGGAATCACGGTCAGGTCTTATATTAGCTTTGATACCTAAGTGATAATCCAGCAAGGTTTCGATGGGAGTATACAGCTTATTGTCTACCTAAGTGGTTGAAGGAAGGTCTCTATCCATGAGAGTGTTCGTATACGGGGGTTAAGGGCTAGCATATGTTGAAATAGATATCAAGGAGTATAGCAAGGAGTTTGAATATGAGAATGCAATGATAGCTATGAAGCTGATGAGGTTGTACGGATGAGAAGATGGCTCGACTGAGATGTATGATAAAGGTTCGGCCTTATGTAATTTTAACTCGTAGTACTTTTCCCCTATTCGATTAGTTATTTACTTAAGCATCACATCCGTATGGAAATCTTCTATAAGATAACCCTTGTACATGCATATGCAAGTCCACCTTTGAGGTAAGTCGTATCGCTCCGATCATCAACCTAGTTATATCAGATGTAGGTATATAAAGATTGGTAGGACCTCGGGATGTCATTTCCTTTTTATAATGTATTGTAACTCAATATAAAACTCATCGTGGTTCCTTGAAATCGAACATCATGCATCTTTGGAATTCACTGTTTATATTTGGTGTAACTGTCGTCGATGCACGGGAATCCCCTCAAAAGCCTGTCTTCGTACCTGATCCGAAATTAATCCCTTCAGGAATACACAATGCAGTATGCAGAGAGGCGTTCAAATTTCCCGAAAAATGGCCTGGTCTGAAGTCGTCTTCTTTCGGAGCAAACGGGAACATCGACATCGTGGCGGGAAGCCAATTCAATGGCTTGGTGACATATGCGAATCTACCCTATCTTAATTGTCTATCAGATAAGGAAGCCGAGGGGAATAAGTATGACATCGCGATTTTAGGCGCGCCTTTCGATACTGTTAGTATATGTGCGCTATGTGGGTACGTCCTGGGTGGGATTTGTGGCTCATTTCGAATAGGGAGTTACCGCTAGACCTGGGGCTCGCTATGGTCCGAGGGGAATCAGGATCGGAAGTCAGAGAAAAGCGGCTGACTTTTCTTGGAGCGTATATACCGGTAAGCTTCAATTCGTGGTAGTAATTGGTTAAGAACCTATATCTGATGGAATTCTAGGGAGAAATCCTCTTAAGTCGTGGGCAAAGGTCGTGGATTGTGGCGACGTGCCGCTAACTTGGTTGGATAACAATGTTGCTCTGGCGCAGCTGGACAAAGCCCACACGGTCAGGCTCAACTGCTATCTTAGGATATGCCAGTTGAGAATGAGAAGCTGACTAAGTATCCCAGGTTATCTCAGGAAGGACAGCTTCTAATGAGACGTATTCGGCTCATCCAAGGATTTTAACGCTGGGTGGTGATCATACCACGACTCTATCGGCGCTGAGATCGACATACAACCATTGGGGGCCAGTTTCCGTCATTCACTTCGATAGCCATATCGGTTAGTATTACCATACCCTTAAAAGAGCCTGAGCTGACGCCTTGTGAGGTACTTGGGATCCTGCGGTAATAGGAGGTGGAATCTCGGATTATGCGTAAGTTGCGGGCCATCGCGGTTTTGAGCCTTAATTATAGGACTAATAATTTTATCTCAAACAGGGGCTTGAATCATGGAACTTTCCTTCATATCGCACATGAGGAGGTAAGTTTTGACCTGCATTGTGATGGAATGGTTACTGGTGCTGATAGAATTACTAGGGGCTCATCCGTCCAAGCTCGATCCATGCCGGAATCCGGGCTCCTCTTTTGCGCAGGAAGGGCGACATGAGAAACGACGTGCGCTGCGGCTTCGCAACTATAAAAGCTCGTGATGTGGACAAGTTCGGCACCGCGGGAATTATTTCTCAGATCAAAGAACGAGTTGGGGACTCGAAAGTGTACATTAGCGTGGACATCGACGTTCTCGATCCGGCGTTTGCACCAGGTAAGTTTTGTTCCCTTGATAGCCGCCTCTGGAGTAAGATCATAGGACCAAGATTTGCTGACGCTAGCTGGCGTAAACAAGCGACGGGAACGGCCGAACCCGGCGGTTGGTCGTCGAGGGAACTTCTCACGATCCTTGACGGGTTAAATGGCCTCAATGTAATTGGCGGAGATGTTGTAGAGGTGGCGCCGGTCTACGATAACGCGGGAGAGACGACAGTTCTCGCTGCAGCCGAGGTTGCCTTCTCATTGATTGAACTGATGGTCGAGAATCCAGTAACACAGTAACTCTGTATGTCACGTTATCAATCATATACGTGTCGAGATACCAACCCAGTAGGTAGCTCGTATCCTAAATTTCTAAAATTGAGATTGTATTTGACGTCGCCGTAGCACACCTATAGAAATGCTTCGAGAAAGTCAAATAGGTATGCTATGATCTAGGTAGTGTAAGAGTAAGAAATCCGTGACCGTAAAGAAACGACTCGAAACAATCCGACCTGACCTCTACACCGCATTATGCCAGCCCACTTATTGCACCATACTAGAGCGTACGGCGATGTGGGCGATGAGATAGATACGCTCTTATGTACAGGGGAGCCAGCACTTGCCTTAAACCCGATCCAGCTTCCGTCGGACGTTTCGCGTTCGCTTCATCAACTTCTTGTACTTCTTCTTCTTCATCTTCAGCTTCCGTTGCCTTCGCACACTGATGGCAAGCATATCGGGGCTCTCGCCGCGCGACTCCTCGCGCCATCGGATCTGGCGCATGGCCATACGCTCAAGGAACGTACGCGGCGCAGGGGCCTCCTCGACTAACTCGGGGCTGTGCGCTACGATCCGGAGCTGGCCGTTCTCATCCGTCGACTCTTCGAGCGTAAACATGGCCTTGTAAACGCGGGTTTGCGGGATGCACTCCATCATCTTTTCGAGTTTGGCATCGACCTCGGGTTCGGCGGCGTTCTCGGCTTGAGGCAGCGGAGGGGGCCGGAAAGGCAAGAACTGGCCGGACATGGAGTTGAGCTGGACGTAGACGCTCGATTCGGTGCCGTCGGGGTGCTTGAGATCGATCTTGTGCATCGGCTCGCCGTTGGCATCCGTCATGTTCTCGCCACCTTGCTGATTCTCCAGAGTCAGGTTTTGCATGGGCTGTTCAAGCTCGTCGACGGTCCTGGATATTGTAGTCATAACATCGTTATACTTGCTATTTTTCCCCTGGGAAGCAAATATTTGTGCAAATGCATCTTGAGTAATCGCTTTAGGAAGGCTATTGGTTGTTGACATCGGCCGATGTAGAGAGAAAAAGGTCGACAAGGCCAGGGCTGTTCGAAAAGTCAGTATATGAATAGATGCGCTACCAATTAATAATATTTTCAGTCTTCACGTACCTTCCTGTGGCAGGTGTTGCGTGCTAGGGACGCTGGGAAGTTTTGGCTTGCCGTCCGGCCATTCGTTGGCCTTGCGCTTTTGCTTTTCCCTGCCCTTCTTAGACGACTGAGACGGTGTAGCCGTTACTTGGTTATTGGAGATATCCTTGGGGTCTTTGGGGGAGTCATTAGGGCTCGATGGCTTGGAGGAGGAATACCGCCTCCGCTGCTGACCCGTACTTTTGCAGCAAAGGTTGAAGGCGGCCGGTATTCTCGTGCTCGCAGGGGCGAAGGTAGATAAAAGTGATGATTGAGGAGCAGCAGAGACGACCCGCCGCATCGATGAGGGCAGCATCGTGCCCAGGACTAGTTGGCGAGAAGAGGGTTGGGGAGATCAAGTATCCCGCGATGGGACGATGGCAAATGTTGGAGGTGAAGAAGTTGAAAGAGCTCGGAGGATTGATGATATGCGATTAGAAAATCGGCACATGCAAGGCTCCGAAGGCTGAACTAGTACTAAAGTGTATTAGCGTCTAATTAAATCTTACATCGGTCAGGCGTCAGGCGCACAACTCATGAGCCTCAGTGGCTAGGTTAAAACTTAAGTCCGATGATTATATAATCGTATTTAAATTCGTGAAGTAGCTGTCGCGTGACCCCGTACCTGAACTGTCGCTGCTTGTTCTTCCAGTTATTGTTGTGCTCTTTCAAAGAATAGTAGGTTCGCCTCGCGTATCGTACTTACCATTTCAATTATATCAGATATCTACGTAGAACTTTGGCACCATGGCCTTTTTATCTCATATCGTTTCTTTCCGGCATCTATTCTTGTACTTAACTACACCAGGTACTCTCTTAGAACCATGTATTAATAGTGCACGATGGCGTCACTCAACACGCTTCCAACTGAACTTATTCTTCTCATTGCAGAGTATCTCCGCGTGCCGGAACTTGCTGCGTTCTCCGCAACAAACCGCCGTCATAATGCAATTGTCATGGAGCACCGCGGATTCTTCCGCCGAGTTCCCTCAGTCTTCTGGCGCTACGCAATTTTCATGGCCGCGTTTTCCGGGAATATTAAGGTAGTAAAGCAACTCCTGGACTATGGACTTAATCCAAATTTCTACCTAGAAGGCCCTATAAATCTGCGGACTATCGAGAAGGATCGTATAAATCCAAACGCGCATGACCATGCCGACAAAGGACTTAATCTCAGACGCCAATCCCGAGTTGCCCGGATCTTCAACAAGATGGTTTGGCTTTTTTGGTCGGTCCCTTATTCATAGCATGTATGGTGTTCGACTCCATTGCATATAGCAGCATACATGGGACGTCATGAGGTGGTTAGGTTGCTGATTGAACGAGGAGCGAACGTCGGCCTCCTTTCCTGTGGTATCTGTCGGTGCGAATCTACGATATGCTTTTCCCACCATCCTCTACTCGAGAAATATCCAGCGAAGCATTTGCCTTGCTCAGCATTGCATATCGCATTGTCGGAGATGCATTTACGCACGGCACAGTTAATCATTGATTCTGAGGCACCCATGTACCTAACTCCGCGACTACCGGCAGAGTATAGTCAAACTAGGAATATCACACGACTCCGTGCTGCTTCTTCGATAGAGCATCGCTTATTGGACAGTCCATTTCAGGATTTTCCTCCGACTAAGGCTGCCCCAGGTACTGAGAAATTGTACAAACTCTGTCAGGAATGGTTAATCGCCAAAGAATTCGCTGTTCCCGAACAGCCAGATGAAAAGTCCTCGGGTTTGCATACATGCTTTACTAAAGTAAGTGCTCGTTTTTTTCAGTAATTCCTGCACTTTGATGGGGATGATTCCTAATAAGATGCTTCTTCATCTTATTCAGCACTTTCAAAGACCGTTCAATAACGTGCCTGATCTAACTATAGTGTCGGTAGGGATGCGGTCTCATGTCATCCGCTATTGACATTCAAATAGCCTGGAGAAGACACGGCTTTTTTACGCCACTCATTCACGTCTATCTCCAAGAGCCATGGGGTCAAATACCGGATTGGCGCCGTTTGGGAGCTCGCCAAAAGATAAACAACAGAGACTCGTTGTTTGCAAGAAAGAGCCTGCCTTTATTGCAGCTTCATATTAATAATGGGGCTGATATCGAAGCCGAGGACCCAAATGATAAAAGTACCACACCTATCATGGTCGCAGCTCGCAACGGTAGTATATGGGCCCTAAATCTGCTCATACCCCTTGGCGCAAACCTCAATGCCAAAGATGAAAGCGGATTTACAGCTCTGCACGCAGCTTGCGTTTCGATGAGGCCGGAAGTCATTGCGAAGCTTCTCGAGCACGGAGCTAGAGTGAATGCCGTCACTAATCATGGCGTGTCGCCTCTACACTTCTTATGTTCCACCGCCTTCGGACAACATCAACACGAGGAGCTGCTCAAAATAATTCAACTTCTTCTGAGCCATGGAGCAGACCCCATGATTCGTGTAAACCGCACCAGCTTCAACTTTCATCGGACTCATTCTGCTTTAGAAGCAAGTCTTTTACACCGGAACTTTGATGCTAGCAACTTACTATTTTCAAAATGTGATAGGCCACTCAGTACACTAGATATATGGGATTTATTTGAAATCATGCTTCGTTCACCCGATATGAGGAGTTTACACCTGATCCTCAAGGCCGATTCGCACGAATTTATCCTGGAAAGCTATCATTTTCTCTATTGCCTCCTGAAATCCCAGCGGGACGTAAGTGACATGGTGATGGTTCTACTCGACAAGGGCGTCCCTTTTAAGGAGCCGTTCATAGACAGCACAAATGCGGTCTACTGGGCTGTTACACGTCGGAAAGGGCCTGAGGTACTCAGGCGACTTCTTGAAGGCGGTACAAATCCCAATATTATTGTTGGTACGGGAACGTCAATCCAATGTCCGCTGCTTGAAGCAATAAAGTTCAAGAATCACGACCAGAGAAGAACCTATGTCAAACTCTTAGTGGAATATGGAGCTGATATCAGTGTTGTGCGAAAACACCTCCCACTTTATATGGATATGACTGAACACAAGCTTCTGCACAAAACAGAAGGTGTGGCGGACATTCTGTTCAACCCACACACTCTGCAATCATTGACCATGGCTCAGAAAGTTCAATTCATGGCCGAGATGTGCCAGTTGCCAAAAGCAAGGTTCCTATCGCTATTGTTAACATCCAGTTCCACAGACATAATTCGGATTTTTGCAGCTCGATATACACATTCACTCCCTATTTGGATCTTGGATGTCAGTTTGTGTCCTTCGGCAAACAGCCTCACAATAGAGCACATCGATTTCGCCATTGCCGCGTTAGATGCAATTGAACGACATGGCGTAAGGTGGGAATCGAGAGACTTAGTTTATAAGCGGCGTGCTATCGAGCTTCTGAGACGCCTTATGAATCCGCGTCGCGCTGTACCAATCAGTCTCGGTGCATCCTGGCGTTTGAGACAGAGGATCAGCATCGTTGACGCCAATAGCAATAGCCCAAGGATTAGAATATCAGCACCAGAATATTCGGCCAGTTTTCCGCCGTGGATAACTCTCGACGCATTGGGTAGGCGGTTAAGAAGGGGAACTCGAAGGATTCATTCCGCTTCCACGTAGGTTGAATATTATTGAGGAACTCGGTGTGTGCAGCATAAGTTTCGGCTTTATTCATTATAGAATCCATTCCCTACCTTTGGTAGTAAATGCGTATAACACTAACATGCAGTTCTTCATCGTCTAAAATGGAGTATTACTGGGGGTGAAGATCTTCGAGCTAATATGAAATAGGGCCCATGTATACATACCTAGGCGGTGCTCTGTCAAACCGAGCGCTTGAATAGCTCCTGTGCCGAATACAACGTGAGAAATAAGAGGAACCTTCCATGCCTCATTCGTCGGTTGATTCCCTCATCCCCACTCCTTTTCTCTCCGCATCGACAAATCCCCACGCAGATACAAAGACATCCGAGGTAATGTTATTGTATAGTTTATGTAACTTATCCGCCATTAGATTCCATGTTGCACTGGGTTTTAATAGAAGCCACTGAATGTGGATGATTTTGCCCTCAACACAACCGCACAGGCCTCACATTGAACCAAGAACAAAATGGTAGCTCGACATATTAAGACGGCTGGCCTAGTGGCAAACACTGCAACAAATCAAAAAGTGGCAGATATTGTGAAGGGTGTTATTGATGATATCAGGGCTAATGGCGACAAGGCCGTGAGATCGTATTCAGAGAAGTTTGATAAATGGTCACCACCGTCTTTCAAGTTGACGGAGAGCCAGATACAAGAATGCATATCGAGAGTTCCCGCACAGACAATAGCAGATATAAAGGAGGCACAGCAAAATGTGCGGACGTTTGCTGAGGCACAGCGAGCAAGTATCAGCGATTTTGAAATCGAGATCCGGCCTGGTGTATTCCTTGGACAGAGAAACAACCCTATCTCGACAGCAGGCGCTTACATCCCGGGAGGTCGTTACCCTCTACTCGCGTCTGCCCACATGACGATTTTGACGGCAAAGGTTGCCGGCGTCAAACATGTCATTGCTTGCACGCCACCTATTGCTGGACAGGTCCCCAATGCCACCGTTGCGGCAGCGCACTTCGCTGGTGCCGATGAGATATTCTTGCTTGGGGGAACACAGGCCATTGCTGCCATGGCGCTGGGAACGGAATCTATTAAGAAAGTTGATTTCATAGCTGGGCCGGGAAACCCATTCGTCGCCGAAGCCAAGCGACAACTATTTGGTGAAATTGGGATCGACCTGCTCGCTGGGCCGACAGAAGTTCTCATAGTCGCCGATGAGCACGCAGACCCCTTCACCATCGCGACTGATTTGCTTTCTCAGGCCGAACACGGACCAGATTCTCCACCCATACTAATCACTACTTCAGAGGAGGTGGGCCGACAGACTATCAAGTTCGCCGAGCAGATCCTGGTGAATATGCCGACCGCGGAACTCGCCGGCGCTTCGTGGCGAGACTATGGCGAGGTGGTCGTAGTGGATAACCTAGACGAGGCGTACGAGCTTGCGGACGCCTATTCGAGCGAGCACGTGCAGATCTTGACCGAGAAACCAAGAGAGGCTTTGGAGAAGATGAGGAACTACGGCTCTCTATTTCTTGGCGAGAAGACATGTGTTTCGTACGGTGACAAGGTACGTATTCCTGCCATTGATCCGAGAGGAAACGAAACTGATCACCGAGTAGTGCATCGGAACGAACCACGTGTTGCCCACGCGCAAAGCAGCGCGGTATACCGGCGGGCTGTGGGTTGGCAAGTACCTGAAGACGCAGACGTTCCAAGAAGTCGTAGACGAGAAAGCTAGCGGGGAGATCGGCCGCCTTTGCGGGCGTTGCTCGAGGGCTGAGAATTTTGAAGGACATGCGAGGTCTGGTGACTTGAGGGCTCACAAGTATCTTCAGGATGCGCACTCGTGGATTGATGAAGCAAGAACATAGTACCGGTACGTCCTTGGGGTCTCGAAAATCTAATAATCTCTATATACATTGAATATATTGGTCGTCTCCGTAAGCCCCCTTTCCCTCTTACCTTGCAAAAACCGGTATCTCGCGCCTCTTTTATCTCAAGTTGTTACTTACCTAGGTATCCCAATTTGCACCTCAAAAGGAATGGTACAATCTGTCAATGCCTACCCTTCATAACTCATAACCATAGCTCCATAGCATTCATCACATCATATACAAAGCAAAAAGAAAAGTTGCTACCATGCACGAAGCAGTAGCAGCGAAAGCATGTGAAGATGACAGAGTAGTGGCTCCATTGTCTTGGTCATCGGTGCCGTTGTTGATGGTGTCGAGGGACGCTCTTGCAGGTCCCATCGCCTTGACACAAGACAGGGAGGCATCGATGGCATTTTCAGTAGTTCCATTTCCTACCGAGAAAACTACAGTGAGAATGGGTGTAATAGCCCAGAATGCCTCTTCCGCATCTGCGACTAGGTCACTCCCCTATTCATATTGTCAGCTAAACTGGGTGATATTTTGGCAAGTACGAAAACGACTAAGAACAAGCAGGGGAAGTATACATACTGCTTCAGTGAACTCGGCAACGAGCGTGAGGCTGTCCTCCTTCGGAGTAACTGGCCAGCAAGTCGCCGACGAGTTCTCCTGTTGCGAAATAGGCTCCGGCGCATCATCCCCAGTCAGAGCTAAGCGGCGCCCCTTAAAGTCAGCTATCTATACGCCTCTACTCTCTCAAGCACACAGCTTCAGCTCCAAAGGGAACTTACCGACAGCAGTGAAGTTAGTCCAAGACCCCTTGGAAACCGAGACACACGCGTCTAAAGTGCTATTCAGCAAGTCCTGCCGCAGCCTCTCGCACGCACTCTGGCTCGACGGCGCCTCGCCGCTCCCACTGTAGTAATCCGAGACCTGCGTCTTCGCCCGCGCGACTAGCGCGTCCACGCAAGAAGCACCCATGGCGTCGGCGCACGTCCCCTGCGCCGTCTCGTCCGTCGCGTTCGCGTTTGCGCCAAACGACATATCCCACGACTCCGCCCCGCGCAGGAACACCGCGCAAGCGCCCGTCGACGTGTCCAACGACTGAGTCGACGGTGTTCCTAGGTAGAACGAGCTGTGAAAGGTGCGTGAAGAGTTAGAGGAAGGTGATACAGAAGCAGAGTCGGTGACGTTGACGCCTTTGACCCAGGATAGGCCGGCAAGAGAGGATGAGGAATTGGAAGATACGGGAGTTAGCCCGACATATGGGAACGACCCGGTGTCTGCGATCGTGCAATTGTCGTTCGCGGTGTCCTGGCTGCTGGCCGGACACTCGAGCTCCACGCACCCGACAATCGTCCGGTTGAGGTCTTGGGCTAGGACTCGCGCGGTGGCAGCGAGGGCCAGCAGGATGATGGTAACGTGCTTGCGCATAGCGACTGTGGTAGATCGAATGGTGAGGGAGTACGTAGATAGGAAAAAGAGGGCAAAGATGGATGCAATGGGTGACGAAAAGGAGGAAGGGGAATTGGAAGAGGGGAGAGGTTGATGAGATCAGGTATCTTGGACATTCTTTCGGTTTTGACGAGCAAAACTATCGTTTCCTTGGCTGGCTGACTGGCAGGCTGACTGAGTGATCGATTCATCTCTTCGTGAACTGAGATACCTCTTGGGACTCTGACGATTCCGGCTCACTGTATTGGCGACGGCAGACGAGATATGTTGGCATCACCCCACGATCATCACTCCGCATATAACTACGACAAGAAACCGAAGTAATACGAAGTCTTCGTTATAGGGAAACAAAGTCAGGGGTAGGGCGGGAACTTGGCACGGACCCTTGTTAAGGCGACTATGCAGATCATGCAAGTGCCTGTCACGCAAAAGTTCAGCAGGGCTATTTGTAGATTCGGTACCTTTTTACCAGATTGCCTTCCTAAATGGGAATTAAATGGTAACGCATAAATGGGCCGGCAGTCGTTGTGGTCAATGTGATGCCGTGCGAACGGATGCCAAGAGCTTATACTGCGGAACATACCGACTTTGACAGGGATACCCAGGAGCTGAAGCTTCAGCAGGAGCCCCATCCATCAGGGTTGACAGACCAGGACATGGCTAGGTATAAGGCTGAAACGTGAAAGAGAGAAAGATTTCTTCTCGAACAAGAGTTCCGCCAAGGATTTGCCAAGTCGAACATGAAGTTCAACACAAGTTGCATAAAGGAGAGCCAAGCCAAAATCGAACGTTTATACTAAGTGGCATATCCACGATACCCACGCTTTCTCCAGAATCCTTCGCTCTCTTGGCCTTCATTAGGCCTTCACTAGACAGCTTCATACTTCAGAAAATCTTGCATACACTATAATACTCAGCTATACGCTATAATCCACTACATAAAAGCACGTGGTGAGCTGATTATCTCGAACACGGACTCAGGAGTACTGGGGTAGCCAAAAGGGGTTAGCAAAATGTCACACCAACGATCCTTCTCCTAGAGCCTCAGGAACGCATAAACCCTCTTCCAAGGTACCAAGACCTAACTGTTACTAAGGCTAATGCTAATGACGTCTCGAGATCGACAATGAGACTGCTTTGACTGGACTTGGCATTACAACTTCATCTCGCTCAAGTCTAAGCCACGAAAAAAGTTCACCTATACTCAACAAAAATGATACGATACAATACTACGATGATTTGGAAGTAGGAAAGGCTCCTGGACTATACGATAGATTCAGAGATGATTCTTGAATTATAAATACCCTCAAGATGTCCGTCCGATGTCGAGAAATGTTCTATCTCCAGCGGCATCGAGACTAGTACAATCTACCTCACGCTTCCAGATATCTTACTATCTACACTCTTTACTGCTTAGGCAATTTACATTCACTCAAAACTCACTCGCTTCGTTCAGAAACATTCGAACATCAACACTCGTTAACTCGATAGCAAAGATGTCAGGAGCAGCAGTCATCGAAGCGATCGGCTTGATCTCCGGTGCTCTCGGGATCATCCAGTTTGCCATGGACAACTTCCCCGAACCCAAATCCGTCGACTCCGTCGTCCGAATCACCGTCGGCCTCGACACCAACGGCGGCCTCGACAACGCCGGAGGCGACCTACCCGACGTCCGCCTCTTCAACGAGGCCGGCGAGTACCTCGGCCTCACCAAGGACCCCGGCGGGATCCAGGACGGCGGCTTCGCCGACATCACCATCGCCCACGAGGGCGACAGCACGCAGCAGCCGACCTACACCCTCTTCTCGGCCAACAAGAACGCGATCTGCATCGCGTACGCCACCATCACGCTGCCCAGCCAGGACAAGTACTCGTGGGTCGGCGACTGGGGCCGCCAGTGCGGCGCCTCGTGGTACTACTCGCACGTGTACATCGGCAGCACGGGCGTGACGCCCGACTGCATGTGGATCGACGCCAACAACGACCAGCCGCAGACGGGCTTCCAGCTGCACTGGCCCGAGTTCTACGTCAAGTCCGGCGACAGCCTGCCCTCGGACCCGACGGAGCAGACGGACAAGATCAACTACTTCTGCAGCCAGCAGCCGGCCTTCAAGTACTACAACTACGCGACGGATCCGGACCCGCGCGGCATCACCGCCTGGCCCATCACCAACCCGCGGGACCTCGAGGCGCGCGAGCCGATCACGGCCTACGGCCCCGCCAAGCACGCCGAGTCCGCTAAGTTCCGGCGCGGCGGCACGCTGTACCCGCGGCAAGCAAGCAACGCGACGGCGGCGGCGGACCCGCACGCGAACCGGCTCGTCATCAGCAACAGCGACAAGCACACGGCCGACGGCCTGTGCGAGAGCGACACCTCGGCCGGCCCGGACTTCGTCAACACCGCCTCGGGCATGTTCTGCCGCATGTCCGACAAGAAGCAGTTCCCCGTCTGCAGCAAGACCGTGACCGACAACTGCTTCAACACCGAGTCGAAGCAGCTGATCATCAACGGGGTGTCCGCGCGCGACGCGCCTTACACAGATGTTTTGGATTGGTCTGAGTAGATACCCACTTCAGGTATCTACCTACCTTCCTTTCTTGTATATATGATGAGTCTCCTTGTGTAAGATCGTGTTAAGATGAATGGACTTGGGATTTGGGGGGCTTTGGTAAGGTACAGGCACCGGGTACCCGGTGGTACCTTGGTTGGTTGGGCGGCTATTGACACATTCGTTTAGTACTGAGGGTTCCAAAAATAGGGGAGTTGTCAATCAGTCTGTCGCTCGCTATCATCATGACTGTCTTGGCTTGGGGTGGATTTTGTACATAACCACTAGTCTCGCTCGTTTGCTTTATACAATATTTTCTTACAATCAATTAAAACTTGTGTTGGCGCTACTATCGTAAATAACTCCTTCGTCTTTCAAAAAAGATTGAGCCTCATCACACGTGGAAAGGGGAAGTTTTGCTGCGTAAGCGAATCCGATACCGAGACTAAGGTTCAATGTCAAGAAAAGGGGGCATTCTATCAAAACATGAACATATCCATATACTTACTTACCAGCCATCTACCTACCTAATCAACAAAAGGCAATGACTACAAATATGCATATTAACGTGCTTATTAATAAATGCAGAAAATATTTCTATTTCTTCGGTAGAAGCTAGAAGTTAAGATAATCAAATGATTGAATCTATGCTCTTAGCCCTCTTCTTTAACCCCTATTTCTTAGTAATGAGATGGATTAATAAAATTTCGCAGGGCCCATCACAAGAACCTCTATAGCCATCGATCAGCTACAAAGGTTTAAGTTTAAAAGGAGCTCAACATAAATGTAAACAATACTAAATAAGAAAAAAAGAAGAAAAAGAAAACTAAATCTGCCCATCCTGGGGTCGAACCAGGGATCTTCTGATTTTCTGATACTACTGTTTTAGAGATAATAACAGTCAGACGCCTTGACCACTGGGCCAATGGGCAGTTAATGCTGAGTGACTTCTTCAAAGTTAGGGTTATTAATTAGTGGAAGTGCAATGGCCCACCACAGTCTGAGTTGAACCTTCCCAATTACACATTCACTAAGCACTCTCCCAAACCTCTAGTAAGTTTGAAAATTCATACGTATGAAGGCTGCAAGAATGTATAACAGATATAAAAGGAAGATAGCGCGATCAAAACAAACTCCCAGCTAGGTAGTGATGGCGTACCTATTAAAGCTGATCATCATGACTTTCGGTTAAGAATTAGATTATCAACTCGCCTAGTATGCTACATGTCTTGTCAAATAGCTTTATTGACCTGGAATCGCCTTGTTCCTAATCTACGCACATCATAGTCGTAAGGAGAATGTAGACACATAGTGAAGAGTGGGCTCAACTGAATTTTGGATACCGACTATGCTCGACTCTAGTCAAGATACAGCCATAAAATTATGAAATTCCTGAGATATGGGCACTATTCTAATTCATAAATGAGCCTTTTCCGGCGCTGATTAGCTCAGGAGGGGATCTCTTTTGGTTTATGAATAGGAGTTTCGTGGAAAGGGGCTTGGTAAAAATAAGGCTTAATCCTCCCAATAAGGAAGTATGAAGTTCGATATCCTTGGTTTATTTACGGTTTAGACTCATATCATAACGCAAATGATAGTTGAGGGTAAATGTCGTGACACGAGGCGGAACCAAGAAGCTAGGGAAGAACGACGTTGTTGCGCGAAGAGCTTTAACTAACCCCTTCCAGGGAACGCGGTATACATACATGAACCTTCCCTTGTCTACAGCTAAAGGCCAGCTGCCAACAGGGCAGCCTCGTACAGGCCAACTCCTGATACCTCTGACTACCAGCTCTCGTGGAGGAAGCTTCTAGGTTAACAGTAAATCGAGGTTGAATCGGACTTCTTCTACCTCCATAACATGCTTTACGATCTTATCGTATTCATACCTACCATCCTAGCAATTTATAATTGAGACCTACTGAGAGGGACTTTATGAGGAGCTATGCAGGCTTTGTGTAAAAAAGATCAGATAATATATACGAGCCGTAGTATATATTACAAACTCTTTCCCAATATCTTTCCTCGTAACCATTAACTCTCGGCGGTGTAGCTCCAATCGTAGTATCTCTGTGGTATACATAGTAGTCTCGTACGCAACTTTATGGGCCTATCTTACTAAATAAGCTATTGGATTTTGCGGTGACATCAAAGGATGCGCTAGCCGACGGCAGGTCCCGGAGCGGCATAGAGTATAATTGCCAGGGTTTACCAGGAATATTGAGAATCGGCCAAGTTGGCCTTCCCTAACGGTAGTAGTGCTACACTACAGGCAAGTAACTGCCTTGGCATGGAACAATGACCTCGGAAGCAATGCGACTTAATAATCTGTAACGCTGCGACGTTAGTATATGAGCTCAACTATAAAACATGATAGTGACCGGCTCCTAGAAGTTGGGGTTATCAGTATATTTCGAGACCTCATACGCGAGCCTACGAATAAGAGTTGCTAAAACGCGAGAGTAAGTCGACACGATTGATTGCTTAGGTAACGACTTCACCATGTCCGATCCTGTCATAAAGCCTGGATCCCTCGTGCTCGTGACGGGCGTGAACGGGTTTATCGGTAGTCATATCGCAGACCAGATATTGCACTACGGTTATCGTGTTCGCGGCACTACTCGTAACATTCCTAGGGATCAATGGCTGGAGGAATTCTTCGAGAAAAAGTACGGTCCTGGGAAGTTTGAGTTGGTTGAAGTGCCCGATATGTTAGCGGATGGTGCCTTCGATGAGGTCGTCAAAGGGGTCTCTGGCTTGGTGCACGTCGCTGCGCCCGTGATGATAAGCCCCGATCCTCATGCCGTCATACCTTTCGTTGTGGATAGCACAATGCGCATCCTAGAGGCAGCCGCGAAAGAACCGGGAATGAAAAGGGTCGTCCTAACCTCTTCCTCTGGATCTTGCGCGTACCTTGACGGAACCCAAGTCTTCGCAATCGATTCAAACATGTGGAACGAGGCTTGCGTCGAGGCGGCGTATGCACCCCCACCATATGAAGGCATGACACGTATCGAGAAAGTCTACCAAGCGAGCAAGACTAAACAGGAGCAGGAGGCATGGAAGTGGGTGCGAGAGCACAAGCCGTCCTTTGTCTTCAACGCGGTCTTACCCAACGCCAACTTAGGACCTCCGCTCGACGTAGTCCACCAGGGCTATCGGAGCACGATTGATTGGATCAAGACCGCTTTTGAGAAAGGGGAAAACCTGAAAGTAAAGGAAGACTTGTTCGGATTTTCGCCGCAGTACTATGTCGACGTCCGCGACAACGCCGCAGTGCACGTCGCCGCGCTAGTGTATCCCGACGTGGAGGGTGAGCGCTTATTCGCCTTTTCCCAGCCCTTTAACGCGAACGATATCTTGAAGACCTTGAAGAAAATATATCCGGACCGCAAGTTTGCCGAGGAAGAGCCTAACGCAGCAGTAGAAAGGAGTACAGTTACCAATGGAAGAGCCGAGGAGCTTCTTAAGAGAATCACCGGGCACGGGTGGACAAGTTTTGAAGATAGTATTAGGGATGCTGCTAAGGGATTGTCTGGTTAGATGTTAGGGGTTGCCATGGTATTACTGCACTTTCTCAGATTAAGAAACCCCGGTCGATTGCAAAGCACAGGAGAAAAGAGTTCACAACCCGAATAATCAGTGCTGAAGTATTACGCTTAATATGATTTATAATTTGTGAAACCTTCGTGGCGCTTATGGTGCTTGCTGACTCTCTAGGACATATGAGGCATACAAGGACGAAGTTTGTAAGATCCAAGTTGTAAAGGGAGGCGGCATGATTGATACGGGTTAAAATATTCCCTGTTTACATAATACAGTCTGTAGAAAAGTGGCGTAACGTAATAAATGTAAAAACTGGGGAATATGCAAGCCATTTGCATCTATCAAATGTCATTCACATGTTACAGTGTAACACAAGAGTGGGGGAGGATGGGGAAAATTGGGTAGCTACTTCGTACATTGATGAATTAATGATCCGGATGGCGTAACCGAATCGTACTACTCCTCAGCTACAACTACGTAATTATAGTGGAAGTAGGTAGCATCTTCTAGATTTATGATTTATACCCATGAGACTTTCCTATAACTACCTAGTAGCTCACTGAATGAAGCAGAAGGACTGCCGGGAACCTGCAGTCTTTCAACAATCTTCAACTTTCAAGAGGCCATCGTACACGCCCCTGATTGTCCATTTCCTCTTCAATTGATTTTCAAGATTCGAAGCTCTCGAGAATGGCTCCCAAAATCTTCCTGTCAGTATCTATAAGAAAATCTCAAATAGTAAATGTGATATAAAAGCTAACATATCGTAACAGCACCGGTGCCACCGGTAAGCAGATATCAGACGATGTCTCATCTTGCTGTAGCTTAAGTACTAAATATTAGGGGAAATTTAGGCTATATCGGCGGTGATGCCCTCTACTCCATAGCTAAAGCCCACCCAGACTACGAATTAACCCTACTCGTACGAAACGAGGAGCGGGGGAAGCCAGTCGCCGCCGCCTACCCTAAGGCGCGCCTCGTCTACGGCACTTTAGATGATGTTGATGTTATCGAGAAGGAAGCTGCTGCGGCGGATATCGTAGTTCGTACGTGACTTAACCTACCTAATTACTTACCTCTTTTCGGGGTAATATGAGGTCAGTAATTAACAAGCGCCTAGATACGGCCGATTCAGCCGACAACGTCCCGTCCGCGACCGCGATCGCCAAGGGCCTTACGGCGGGGCACACGTCGGAAAAGCCGGGGTACTGGATCCATCTCTGCGGGACGGGCATCCTGACATGGTACGACGCGGACAACAAGCGCTACGGGCAAGCGCCTCTGCCGGACCAGAAGTATCACGACATCGACGACATCGACCGCATCGTCTCGTTGCCGGACACCGCGATCCACCGGAACGTCGACAAGATCGTGCTCGGCGCCAACTCCCCCGCCGTCAAGACCCTGATCGTCGGGCCCCCCACCATCTACGGACAGGGCCGGGGTCCCCTGAACACGCGCAGCATCCAGGTCCCCATGCTGATCGAGTACACGCTGCAGCACGGGTACGCGCCGATCCAAGCGCCGGGCCTGACCGAGTGGGACAACGTGCACATCCACGACCTGGGCGACTTCTTCGTGCTGGCCGTGGACGCGGCGCTCGACCCCTCCAAGAACAGCAACCCCGAGATTTTCGGCCCCAAGGCGTACTTCTTCCTCGAGAGCGGCATGCACCGGTGGGCCGACGTGTCCCGGGCGATCGCCCTCGAGGCCGCGAGGCAGAAGCTCATCCCCGAACCGATTGCGAAGGAGATCGATTTCCCGCACTTCGGGACAAACTCGAAGAGCGTGGCTGCTAGGGCGAGGAAGTATCTCGGCTGGACGCCTAAGAGTCCGAGCTTACCGGAAACGCTCCCTGAGGCCGTGGCTTTCGAGGCGAAGAAGCTCGGCAAAGCTTAAATCCGATACGAGAGAATACTGTGCTGCAGATGGTTAGTCGTCTCCTACGCGTTAGTGGCGTGCTCTCAAAACGGCTTAGGAATGGAAGATGAGGAGTGCAGGTGTTGGCCTGTAGGCGTAGCACAACATATTTTCTAGCTAACTCAATTGGCTGAATCTAATGTTCCAATCTGTCATGAGCCGTATCCCATATTCTGTAGTCGTCATTCTTGTAGTAGTCATTATACCACCCAAACCAGGTCCCACTTCCAAATGATTCGTTTCTCGTGTCCATTTCTCATAGCTAAGGGTATTCGATGTCCAAGTAAACTTTGACTTCGACCTCGTTGGCCCAACCTGCTTCTAGACCCATCTCCGTCCAGGCTGTTTCAACGTCGATGTTCAGTACATAATCGCTATCTGCATTGATCGTCACTGTATGAGGAGGGATTGGTTCGCCCTGGATGGTGACCATGAAATCCCGCTCGATTGACATGTCGGGTAGACTCGAGATATATACCCCTTTAAGATCGGCGGAGTTAGCTCAAGTTTCGTCCCTGACATATTTCAATAAAAGTACTTACCAAGAACTCCCAACGCCTTAAGTCGCGTATCCAAGAACGCCTTGTCGGTATGGTGCAATTCAAACTGGTACGAGGTGATGGCGGCGGCCCCCGTCATTTTCCCGACGAGCCCCATGTTGGCCACGTAGACCTTGCCGTTAGTCTCACTGTTGAACTGCGTTACTGGAAATGCCGTGAGTACATCATAACCCGCGACATCTAGCGATACTCCAAAATCGGCAGTAGGTCTATTGGGTTTTATAGCAGGCGTGACGAAACCGCTACGATGGGATCTTGCTACGTATTCCAGCGACGGGTCAATACCAGGGAAATTGGTAAGTGCGATGATTTCTCTCAGTGGCCGCCGTAGGGAGATGTTGAAAACTCCTAGCATCGGGGTCCCTGTCCCGGCCCTCCCATGGTAGCTTCCAATCTTGAGGATGACGGGCTCGTCGTAGCTTGTGTAGGGGTCGATGCTTTTCGCCAAAACGCTGGGCCTGAATATGACAGTCTTCCCTCGAGGTGTCTTCCCTGTCATCTGTTTGATGAGGTCCACATTATGCTTTCCCGGAATATCGGTTATGTAGACTGGCCCTCCGCTTAGACACCGCGCAGCAGCATGGAAACCCCCAAATTCTGTATCAGTTTGAAACATGTCCCAGTCCGGCAAGATGTTCAGATGTTGAGTGAGAAGAGTGGTATGAGCATTTGCAAAAATGTGCCATGGCTGCGAGGCTAGAATATTGGGGAAAAAATCATCAGAGTTTCGCACAATCAGCGGCGACCTATTGCGTGGCATCTGCTGGTGGAACAGGAGCTGCGGCGCCTGAGACATACACGAGATAGCTCTAAGACTGAAATGTCTCAGAGCCGATATCATCCAGCTGTCAAGGTATGTTTTAGTCAGCTCTCGACGTGGTCTAGAAGACACCCAAGTGTCTATCATGTATTGGACGTCTGTCTTAACACCATCAATTCCACAATCCGACAAGAATCGATAGAAGTCATCGTAAAAATTGCCGACATCTTCTTTCGCGATGACTGTCATGGTTCCCGTGTTTCTTGTGATACTGGGATCTTCTAGGTCAACCTCGACTGTTTTATAAGATTTTGCAAGACCGCCGTCGGGCGAGATCCCTCCCCAGTACCCTAGTAACGCATGCCAGACAGCTATATTTTCAATGGTGGGATGTGTTGAGCGAATACGAGAGACTGTGGCTTTGAGTCCATTGGGAAATGCATTCGGTTCCGCTTCAAATCCCTTCCAGCCATATCGCGTTGAATCTTCCCCATGGTAGTCAACATCTTGCCAATTATCGTCTATAATAAGACTACTGATGTTGACTTGGTCCTTTGCCAGCGCCTGAACAGCATTGATTATCTTCTCTTCCGTCAAGCGTTGGCCGAGAGCATTCCAGGTACCTATTGGTGTCAGATTGGATTCTAAAGGGTTGTTTATCAAAATGCTCACAATATCCCAATCCATCATACCAGTTCTCGTACCATTGAGGCTTAACGTCAAGACTTAGATTTTCGAGCTCTCTAGTTAATTCATTCTGGGTGTCGCCGGCAGCGAAAATGACAGTCCGAGCGTGATACATGACAGCTGCTATGGCGCTCTCGAAATCATTGCCGACCGCAGCTAAAACTAGACCGGATGATTCGGATTCCTCGTCATTGCGTATCTATTAACTCTATATAAGATTTTGTCATCGGATTTTCACTACCTGGTTCTTGTTTTCACTCACATGCAATTTTACGGAGCCCGAGTCTGAGCTACGAAGGAGTGTGATCACATTTTCTGGTCCACTGACACCTAATAAGACCAAGTGTCTCCCTTGATCGCTCAAGAATGAGCACATAACGGCATCCTTGTCTAGACTGAACGGACCGCTACCGTGCCTAGGGCTCAGCCATGGAGAACTCTGGCGGACCAGAGCAAAGTATCTACAGTCGGTCAGCTCCGGGACCGTAATGAGCATTGAAAGTAGTGGCTTAGATAATATTGGCAATGTAGCTTACCGCAAGGCACCGCCCCATGGAATTCCAATGTCCATTTCAGCATGGGTAGAGCGGTCATCTTCAGACGAACTAACACTTGCTTGTAGAGTCCAAAGTTGGGTATTGAGAGTCTGGCTCGCTGCAGTATTGACTCTCAACTTTGGGTTTAGTCCATGTATTATGTCTGAGAGACTAGTACTCATCGCAGCAAGCGAGTCTGTTGGGTTGATTAATACAACCCCATCAGTTGCCTCTAATATTTCGCGAGACCACCTCCAAGGTTGATCATGGCTGTTGCGGAACTTCAGAGTGAAATTCATCGAAGATGAAATAGAGAAAGGTGCGCTGAAACATAATTGAGCATATGAAGGTTTGGGTTCCTGGAACAGTACTGGAGAGTGGCTGGTAGGGGTAGGTGATAGTGATGTCTCTTTCCAATCCCCATCAGTTGAGGAATGCCAAACAGCAACCTCCCAAGGATCATCGGCGAGGTCATTGTCTACTTCTAAGAGGGCAATGAATTGGAAATCTTCATCTTTAAGCTGAGTGACCTGCCCAAAAGGCGGGTAGCTTGATATGTTGACTGCCATTAGACAGTTGAAGGGACGAGGTTTGAATATAAATTCACCTTTCACTTCTGGGCGTGAATGTGCAGAAGCTCTTCCATTTTACTAGACAACGTAGGTAGGTTAACAGAAAAGACTTTAGCCAAAAGCAAAGATCTCAAAAGTATAGTATAATATATTATAGGTGTATATTATCAATATTAAAAACCTAAGGCAGATAGAATTAGGTGATGTTAAATCAATGTGAATGGGTGTAGATGTGAAGTTCACATGTACCTAAGTATTCGTACCTAAAGAAAGTCGGAAAACCAAGCTAGTCCATACCCGAAAACATGCCGGCCAATCAACAATTGATTATTTCATCATCGCAGCTGCACAGCCATCAGTCAATGACGCTAGCCGGAATTTAGCGGAGGGACCGTTAAAAAAGATTGTGGCTTGCGTCTGGGGTTTCGGGGGTTCCCACCGGCCGACCGCACCTTGACGCCTCAGGCCAATCCAAAATTTGAGCTTTCCAAGCCGAAACCGAACCACTTCAATATTCCACCATCAAACCGCTCACTCTCACCCTCCGTTAATTCACACTCCCAACGCAACACCCTAATGGCGTCTAGGAGACTCACTCTTAGCCTTGCGCAGGGCATGCGCAGCCGTGCTGCCAATTCTTTCGTCCGACCATTTCGAAGAGGTTTCGCTACACCCGTATCGTCTCCCGTAGGCGCGAAGACCCAGACCACAACGTTGAAGAATGGTCTAACGGTAAGCTTCCAACGCTCAATTGGCCTGGCCAATACTTGAAAAATTTAGCCCTAACAATAAAAAAATAGGTCGCGACCGAATACTCGCCATGGGCGCAAACCTCGACGGTAGGAGTTTGGATCGATGCGGGTTCGAGAGCCGAGACAAATGAGACGAGTGGTACCGCCCATTTTCTAGAACACTTGGCATTCAAGGTATTTGTGAATCGACTTGGGGAAAAATGAATCAAGTTTCTGACGATTTCACCAGGGTACTCAAAGACGATCGCAACATCAACTAGAGCTGGAGATTGAGAACATGGGTGGTCATCTCAATGCGTATACCTCTGTGCGTGAAATATTTTAAACCATAACCAGGTCACAACCTTTGGCTAACCTATAGCTCAGCGTGAGAGCACCGTCTACTTTTCTCGAGCATTCAACTCCGACGTTCCACAGTGCGTCGATATCCTCGCCGATATTCTTCAGAACTCCAGACTTGAGCCCTCTGCTATTAATCGAGAGCGCGACGTCATTCTACGAGAATCGGAGGAAGTAGAGAAGCAGATGGATGAGGTTGTTTTTGACCACCTCCACGCTACCGCCTACGCACACCAACCGCTCGGCCGCACTATCCTTGGCTCTCGAGAGAACATCCGTGACATCACCCGAACTGAGCTTGACAACTACATCAAGACCAACTACACAGCCGACCGCATGATTCTAGTCGGTGCTGGTGGTATTCCCCACGACAAGCTTGTTGATCTCGCCGAGAAGAACTTTGCCAAACTCCCCACTACCTCGCCACACAACGAAGCCTATCTGCTATCTAAGCGAAAGCCCAATTTCATTGGATCCGAGGTCCGAATTCGAGACGATACCATTCCGTCTGCCCACATCGCTCTCGCCGTCGAGGGTGTAAGCTGGGGTGATGAGGATTACTTCACTGCTTTGGTTACACAGGCTGTCATTGGCAACTACGACAAGGCTATGGGCACTGCACCCCACCAGGGAAGTAAGCTGAGCTCGTTCGTCCACAACAACGATTTGGCTAGCAGCTTCATGAGCTTCTCTACAAGCTATAGCGACACCGGGTGAGCCTAATCAAGAATATCTCACGCATTTGCAGCCAATGCTAATGAATTACATAGTCTATGGGGTATCTACCTAGTGAGCGACCAGCTCACCCGTCTTGACGACCTCGTTCACTTCACCCTCCGAGAATGGTCCCGCCTCTCTAGCGACGTCACCGAAGCCGAGGTCGAGCGATCCAAGGCCCAGCTCAAGGCCGCCATCCTCCTCTCCCTAGACAACACTTCCGCTGTCGCCGAAGACATCGGCCGACAACTGGTCACCACGGGCCGCCGGATGAACCCTGGCGAGATCGAGCGCCTCATCGACCGTATTACAGAGAAAGACGTAATGGACTTCGCCAGCCGCAAGCTCTGGGACCAGGACGTGGCCATCAGCGCCGTCGGTAGCATCGAGGGTCTCCTCGACTACCAGCGCATCCGCAACGACATGAGCCGAAACTTCTAGACGACGCGCGCGCAGGGGGGGGAGTTTATTACAACGGACCAAAAAAACACTTTTACACTTGACATTACAACGTGATTGGGGGAAATAAATGGGCACGCCACCGCGGTTGAGGGCGGGCTGCGGGCTTGCTTTTAAAGTGGGGGAGGGGGAAACAAAGGCACAAAGAAAGAAGAAACCCGGTCATAGAGTGTACCCATAACTGCTGAATAATCACACCCTTAGTTGTACCATACCATAAAGATTTCTCTTATTAAGTTGGCCTCCTTTGGTGCTTGTGATGTGTCGACAGTGTATAGCACGGCCTTATGCCTTCATGCCTAGGTAGTTAAGACGGCATGGATGGCATATTAGGTCATGATAGTAGTGGGGGAATTTGTCTGGTAAGTATCAACCGATTCATCCCGTCTATTCATCCGCACTGAGTATTTATTCCCTTCTGTTTTTCAAGATACTACCTACTATAGCTTTTACGAGACTTTGAACTCGCGCTCCTAAGCCGAAAACGTGTAGGTAGCTCGTTCCAACACGTAACTAAGGATCAAGCTGACGTGCCTAGAATAAGGACCTTGGGAATCATTAGGATCAAATCACTTGCACCGAAAATATAAGAAAAGTAGAGGGGTATCCATCGTGATATTGCAATTTTCATGCTAAGCTATATGCGTATGACTAGTAGCAGCTCAACGTAGGTGAGCGCAGCAAAATACCAAATGTGAGCAAATATATCCATCCACCATCCCCAATCTCTGGATAACCTATGTTCTTTATGTTGTTTCCTCCATGCCAAGTCCGTGATTCGTCTAGTGACCATGATCTCCTTCCAGATAGAGATATTGTTGGTCTAAAAAATGATGCAATGGTATAATAGGAATAGCTAGATGCTCATATGTCTTTTATACTCGCGGCATTGACCGCGGAAACGAAATTTGGTGGCCTCATCTCGTTGGGATGCTTTCAAAGCAGAATCCTGATGTTTAGTCCGACTCTACGTCAGACCCTTCATCGAACTCGTTTTCTGACGGCTCATACCATAGAGGCATGGATTTGTCGTTGAACCACGCAGGCCACACCTCATCCCAATCCACCCACTCCTGCCAGGGCACCTCTTTCTTCTCCTCTTCCTCATCGTCTAGGGTTTCGGCTTCGGTGTCCGGAGAAGGCAACCATTCCGCATGGCTATGTGCGCAGAACAACGGGGATAAGTCAAACCACCATTCCAATGTCCCATGCCATGGTAAGTCGATGTACCAGTCGTAGTCCTCCTCTTCGCTAGGAGGTGCTCTCGCAGGCACGACTTCCATATCCCAGACCTTGCATACTTGCCCGTCGCAGAGATGATCGTACACCTTTTCCTTCAAGCGCAGACTACCTGAGTGGCCGAGCACGCGAATCGGCTCAGCTGCCCAATCAAAACGCCACTCGCCCAAGCGCTCTCTGTGGCCGTCCTCATACTCAAGGAGCAGGCCGACGAGCTGATTGGGGTGACGGGTGTTCTTGTGGCATGGTATTATATGCGTGACTCCTTCCATCTCGCAGCGGGAGTAGTACCATCCTAGAGGGGACAAATCTACGCTTGTTATGGGAATCACTGATTGAGGAATTTCCCGTCTGGCGGTGGGCTTCATGTTTTCGCAGGCGAGCCAATTTATCACATGGCTCTTGTCGAAGAAGATTGTTGATGGTCGACTCGGAGGATCGTAGATTCTCTCCAAATCGCGGTGCTCTGTCAAATCGAAGTGTCCTCCGAAAACAGTGGTTCTCCCATGATTAGTCGTGAACTAGGGAGCCCATATTAGTATACCGGCAACAAACAGACAGGGTTATTCATTTACTCACCGTTAATCCGTAGGGACGAGGCCTCATCATAGTGCTTCCCACAAAGCGGCAAATCTCGGTCACAAACTCGCCTTGGTCGATTGGCATGTAAATCCATCGTACTGGGAAGAGCGGGTTTACTTCGCTGTACATGCTAAAATCCGAGTCTCGGTAATGCGAATATATCGCTACGACACCGTTATCGGTGACAGCCGCCGAGTACCCAATTATGCGAGATGCATTGCAGTCAAATGATTCCATCTGCGGGAAAATTTGATAGGAAGTTGAGCGTTGACGAAAGCCTAAATAATTAGGCTTTAGTTTTCTTAAGTCAAAGACTGTGTGTTGGGATGATAGCCATTTTCGGGAACGGAGGTTCTGCTGTGGATCAAACTCAAGACGAGGGCCGAAGTCCATATTATAGGCCCCTCTTACTCTGAAACCCTGTCTCTTTGTTAGATATTCAAGCATTCAAAAGCATCGGCAGTGAACTTCGTATTACTTACATCGCACTCAACACCAACATTCCAGATTCCAAGTGGGGTTGAAATGCGACGGACCCATGTTCCCGACGGGAGAGAACTGGGAGAAGGTAGTATGCGGTCTAGGCGGTCTTTGTCAGAGACAAATAAGAGGTCGCGGACGCCAAAGTGGTCGTCGATCACATAGACTTCTCGGATAGAGCCAACCTCCTGGCCGCGAAGTACGAGTTCGCCATGGCCCTTACGATCTTCAGGATTGCGAAGCGTCTTGAGGTAACGGATCCCATCGAACGTAGTGTACTCGGCGTACACATCTCGAGAAAGGTTGATGGTGTTTCCAGGCGGTAGAGAAGCGGAAAGGGTCTGTTCGTATGCCGTGACTATTGCACATTCCCGGACGAAATTATCCGTTATCATACGCCAAATTTCGTTGGGCAATGATTTCGGCCAGTATTCTTTCTTCAATTTCTCGGCTAGAAGTTCGCTGAGACGGTTCGCTCGAAATCTCTCCAATCCTCCCCATAGCGGAGGAGCAAATCCAAACCGTGTGCCGTCCAGAAAATTCTGAGAAACATCTTCAATCTTGAGGATATTTCGTGCGAAAACAGAGCACTCCGCATGGAAACAATGAACCGGTATCCTTCCACTCTCGCAATCGTCACTGCAGCAGCAGCAAAGAATGGCAGCCTCATTGATTTTAATATCCCCACGATGGAAGAGAAACTCGTCCAAGCGCAGAATTCCGCTCCATCGTGGGCTGATTTTGATAAGATCTCCCTCTTTCAGCCCGAAAGAGCATAGTCTGCATCGGGACTCTTGGATGCAACAGCGGACTCGAGTGTCTTGCCAAACCTCATCGTCTGAGTTGTTGGGGTCCATGGCCATGATCAGTAAGGTACGATGGTGTTATGAAGTTGTGGGTAAAACTATGGGTGTGGGTATGAGAGTAAAAGGACGACCTTAACCTTGAAAATATTTCTTGACGATGGTTGGTGTGAAAGGTAAGTGTAAAAGATCAAAGGTTAGGTTCTATGAATGGGAAATATTGAAAAGAAGAGTATGGAAGAAAGATATCCTAATATTGCCGTCGAATTTGTTGTGATAATGATACTTAGTTGTGAGAGTCGATGTGAATAAATAATCTTTGACGGTTGGATATGTATGGGGTGGGGTGAGATGGGTTGGTATAGTGTGAAGGAAAAGAGTTCAAGTTTCGTTCAGTTCCCTGGTGTTATATAGAAAACCGTAGGTCCTGGGAGAGGCACGGGGCAGCTGGGGCGACAGCTGTGACGATAATTAAAGTTTTGTGCTTTGCAGCTGTTCAGCACGGTTGCACTGTGAACGGGTGGCAATTTTGCAGTAACTACCTCCTATCTGTCCTCGCACCTTCCTTCCCAGGTGCGATTTTGAGTCATGATGACAGTGAGGGAAGGTACAGCCGGAGGATTTGGAGTGATTCAACTTGACAGCCGTTACTTATGAACTCTCTGGGAAAGAGCTTTGACGGTATTTTGATATCGTTGAAAGAAGGAGCGTTTCTTTTGACAATTAAGGCACAGTGGAGTCATACCGTGTCGTGACATTCATCTGCTAATTACTGATCCTCGTATCAGTCAAGCTCTCTTAAAAATAAAATAGACGTAATAGGATTAGATCGGTAATATTCTCCTTCCTGCCAGATATCTGATCGAAGGCGTGGAAAGTGTGATCCTTCTATTTCTATAGTGCAGGGTAAAATAATAGCCGTACGTATATCATTTCAAAATGGTCTATTGACCTTAAGTCAGTGTTTGGGTATGGCTTTATCTACTATTATACGATTTTATGGTATTAGATCATGTTGAAAGTATCGAATATACTACAGATTGACGTCTATATCAGCCCGGTGAATGATAATCTATGCTCATGGAATGATTCTAAATATGCCACCGGTTAAATATTATCACAACTACTCAAGGTACATGGTGTCTAACCTTATGTATATTATAATTAAATCGAAGGAAATTATTTAGCAGATATAGGGGTATAAATATTATTATATGGCTAAAGCTGATTATGTGTTTCTATTTCAAACCATGGGTAAAACATATAAAATTGGTTGATGATAATATGGCCACCAGGATTCTTCTATTCCTGTTAACAACTTGATTTAAACAATGCTTGCTATTCTATGATATTGGATCGTCGGCTGCTTTTCGTGCAATCCCTTGGAAACAAAGCGTGAGTTTTCGTTGCCATCTCAACGAAAACATGATATGTTAGGAGCATTTAGGGGAAACATTTGTTCCAATCTGTACTATCTTGTTTAGGGACGACGTCTTTAGTTACATCAGCTCACGCAGTTGGAAACAGTGCCGCTTGATACATCTTCATGCCAAAGCACGATGCAGAGCAAATTTCATTTACGATAACGGCCTTATACCGAATTTCTGTACACTTAGAAACGCACAATCGAATTTGTTGATATCCTATTCGTTGGGTTATTTGTATATTGCTTCCTAGAAGAAACACCATTATTTCCGTCGCGGAACATCTTTGTCACACGATATATGGACATAAAAAGTGGTATCGAATCAGAACATGCCCCTACCCAAAAGAGGAAAATTCAAATCCCCAGTCCATGCGAAGAACGTCCACCCATCACTCCCCTTTAGCATCCACAAACTCGTACTGCGAAGCCACAAAATGGTGAGCCAGATACGTATACTCCGTGTCCATCTCCTCCTGGACCCTCCTCCAGAGGCCCTTCTTCAACGTCCCGGATAGCCAATAGTTCCCAGCAGCATCCTTGCCCACAATCGGGAACGAGTTCCTCGTCGGGATACCGTCCGCCAGGCCGTTAGGCTGGATATACGACGGTCTACCGACCTTATTCGCGCGGCGCGCCGGGTCGAGTCCCGGCCGTATCACCGCGGCCGAGAAATCGGTCTCGAAGAACTTGGCCTTGCTCCAGTTCGACACCATAACGGGCGCCATCTTAGGATCGCCGTACATCGCCGCTTTCCCCCTCTTACCCGCGGCCAGGTCCACCGCCGCTCGCGCTTCGACTTGCTGGCGTGTGCCTTGCTCAGCAATCGACTGGCGCACCGCCGCCGCCGTGTAACCCAGGGGCCGGGAAAACAGATCCCGCATCGAGACGAACGCCCAGACGCCCGCCACAGCATTACCCACGTACGCATGGGTCGGGGGCAGCAGATCCTTGGCCAGAACCGAGCGCATACCAAACGCATTCATAATCGAAACCGTCTGATCCGTCCCCCTAAGCGGCAGCATAGCCAGCCTTGTGATCCAACTACTCAGCACATCGCCCTCGCTCACAAACGGCTTATTAACCAGCCCCTCCTTCTCTCCCCCCTCATCCGGCGGCGTCTGCGTCTGCGCAGCCAAATACTCCATCGCGCCGCGGTGCAAGCTGCGCACATGCGGGCCCGGCACGCAAACCATACGGGTCTCCTCGCCGCGGGCCCAAACCAGCGTGGTCCAAATATACGAAACAGCAAAAACCAGGGCCTGGAGGGGGGACAGTCGGCGGTGGGCCAGGACATACGGCTCCTCGGGGTTCGCGCCCAGATCCTTGAGCGGGTCCTCTCGCACGCCGGCGAGGGGCTTGACGTCGTCCTCGCGGCCCTCCAGGACCGCGATCCACGCGTCGAGGAGCGCGCGCCGCCCCATGGCGTCGAGCAGCGTGTGCGGCCATGACAGCGAGACCACGGTCGCGTCCGCGAACGAGACCACGTGCAGGCTCAGCTGCGGCAGGTCCGAGACCAGGTAATCGGCGAGCCGCCGGGGCGCGCCCCAACGCCGCAAAAGGGGCGCGTACTCCTCCGGGTCGCCTAGCACGGTGGGCTTCGCCGCCGCGGCGCGCGGCAGCCGGCTGCCCGTCGGGTGCTGGAAGATGGACACGGAGCCGTGCGCCGCGTGCGAGTACGTGAACGCGGGACGCTGCGAGTCGAAGGATTCCGGGATGTGGTACTCGAGCTTGTTGTTACTAGCCTGTGAAATTCCACACTTTTAGCTTAAGGGACCAGTTATTAAGGTAGATCGAGGCTTGGTTAGACGGGGGTTGGTTAGGTGCGATGCTAGGGGCTAGTAGTCACTCCCTAGACGCAGATCTGGGCAAGGGGGGTGGGCAGATGAGAGGGCGGGGCGTACGTTGAGCCTCAGCCTAGCGCCTAGCTTGCGCCAGTCCGGGCGGCTTAGGAGCTTGTCTAGCGACTGGCGTAGTTTCTCTGCGTCCAGCACGTCGTCGAACCGCATCGTGAACTCGACGATGACCTTCCTCGTGAGAGGCGTGTCGTCGAAGCGGTGCAAAGGGACGACCGTGTCCGACGCTATCGTCGGCGGCGCCTTAGGGGCCTCTTTGCGGCTACTAGAGAGTAGGTTCCCCATATTGCGTGATGTCGAAGTTTGCTACGACGCCAGGCTGTTGTTTACCGCCGGGAGGGACTAAGACAAGGAGGTATGTTATGTTTCTAAATAACTTGTGTCCCTACAGCCCGGGCAGCCCACGGGGTAATAAAGCATACGTCCGGACCGGCCATTTGGTCGGCCGTCGTATCCCACCAACACCTAACCATTCGGGAAAATGATGATGCAAATCAACTTGTTTATCATCTAGATCAGTTGATTTCCGATCTATACAGCCTGTTCCCTGGCGATCTTTAACATGTTAGAAACCCGGGTCCACAGGAATATATAGCATCGTAAATAGCAACGTAGTATGTTTGCAATCGAGGCTGCATACGCGGGAAGGTCTCGATAGGAGCAATAGGAGAGGTTGAGAGACCCCCATTGGTTCTACCGCCCACCTTCCCCTTTTTGCGCAGTCGATAGCTTCGAAACAGCTGCTATGGCACCTCTTGGCGAGCTTGGCAAGACCAAGGGCTTCGACGCGGCTTGCGTAATGCTGCCATTTTCGGCGGAAGACATCATCACGATAGCGTGTTTTCGCGCGCTATCAAAGAGGTCTCAGCAAGGAGAAGCGCTAGAGGTATTATAGGTGGCTAATATAAAAGCCAATTTGGAAGATCAATTGCCTCTCTAGAGACATGCAGAAACCTGTACAGCCTCAAGCCAGAAAAAAGAAAAAGGGGAAGAAAAAATGAAATAAAAACTCACTCAGCTCCTAACCGTCGAACAATAGCCTGCAGGGTCCCTTGATCTCATATTACTAGTATATCCCAACGGAAAGATCCGCACAGGTTATTGGCTCCTCGCAATTGCATTTGGCGTGACGTGGGGGCTCTAGGATAAGTTCTTATAAATACCGTACGAGGGTATAAGTGCATGCAGGATGTATGCGACGAGGAAACCCTTGATCTGGTAGGTCGAGCAGGGATTATCTACCGAGCCCCAAGTTGTGGGAACAATGTTATCTTGATGATCATATCGACGATCATTTTCATTTACTGAGGTCGCATCTCACAGCAATTTACCGGGTAAGCAGATACGCTAAATATATTGGAGTTTTAGCGGCCAGAACCTCTCCAAGCCAAGACATTTTGTCCAACGCCTTGAAGGTATTAGTCAGGACATAGCTGAGCTTTCATCTTATACAGGCTTTGGTCAAATAATTCATCATCGTGGTTCCTTAAGAACGTACGGACGATATTCTCATGAGGCCGAATATCGACATCTCGGGAAATAATCTCACGGAGTCGTCCCCCGAGATCGTCGTGGCTCATTAGCCGGAGTTTACAAAAGCGGGTTTTGGCAACGTTCGACATCAGCTGGCACGATGGCGTAAACCTCGTTAAGCATATATCGGCATCGTGCCCCTTGTTCTATTATTCATTTCCCAGCCACGTATGCAAGAAAGTTCGTCGACGGCTCAGTCTGTCTTGTGTATGTGATATTATGTAGTGTGTCAACCTTCATTAAGACAAAACGATGACGTGCTTGCGCGGCCCGGCTTCGCCTTAAATCGCGTAGCTATCATCTTAGATTTGTTGCGGAAAGGAAACATGGCGGAACTTGGTCTTCCTTGTTTACTCATGGCTGACCACGGATACTTGCTTCAGCCACGTCGGGTAGGCGTGTTGGGAATGAAGCACTTGGCGAGAACGAGAAAACGCCACAAGTAGGGTTTGTACGACAAAACTTCGAGGCAGAGAACCACGTAACGGTGAGATCTATCCCATGCAGATATCCGCTGTCGAATGTCACGAATTTTCGTCACACCAGAAGTCTGGCAGATTTTGAATACGACTTCATCAATAAGCGGATTGCCGCATCATAGACCCGGTGCTTAAGTAGGTGTCTAGCACAGACAACTAAAACCAGCGTAATTCCGGGTTTGGGACACGTGAAGACCTAGTTTATGTAAAGCTGAAGAAAATATCTAGTCTGTAATGAGTTTCAACGGAAAACATAGCCATGACTTGAGTGTCGGATACTGAATAGGTTTGGTTTGCTTAACTCGCCAGCAAGTTATTAATTGCTCGCATAAGGCGCTCTAACTGTGGAAAGAGGTGCGCCTTCGTGCCAAATTCGTATGCGCCAGCATTCAGAAATTGGTAATCTCGGCATTTGTTGTGAAGTTGTGATGTATATGCAGAACGGGATCTTGACATACCAAGCCCGGAAGGCGTCGAAGTTGAGCAAGAATCCGGAGTTTTGTTGTCTTAGCATGCCTCAGATCTTTTCTATGCAAAGTGACACTTTAGAAACTGCAGGAGTATCATGATATGAATACTACTTTTTCCAACGCCTAGCTTCCGAACTAGCATGGTATTTGTTTTGGTTGAAAAAGCCACAGATCTTGTGGGCAGCGTTAACAGTATTTAAGGTATGCCGCATACCTATCTATTTCTTTTCGTGTCTTTAGCGTTATTCGCGCGAAGGGATACTGTACTTCGCGACCTAGCGGTATGGATATTTAGAATGATCTGAAACAAGGTCCCTGACTAGAGTGGCTATAATCCGCCAAACTTGCTCGACTCGGAATATCCCAAGCTCTTCAATAGACTATATAGGCATGATAGAGAATGTAATAGCATCTGCGATCGAAATAGCACACATCAATCCGACATCAGGTAAACTCCGTCTCAGAGACCCACCTTCGGCGGACTTCCGAGCACAGATGTGTACCTACTGTGAATCCTCTGACGATACCATGGTGTTTCGTTACACTGCCGACATTGTACAACGACTTGATAGAGATATGGGAACAATTATCCGCTGACATTATAAACCCAATACAAGATTCCGGGTTTCGGTGCAGCCCTCAGCACTGACAGGCCTGTCATAGGTTTATTCTGCTACCTAGAAGTGATGGGGTTCGGCTTAGTATGAGTATAGCTTTCGAAGCACGAAACCGAGCATTCTTAAAATATGGAGTGGATATGATATGTGCTAGTCTTAGAAGTCCATCTGGCAGTCTGCACATGTCGTGCTCTTAACATGCTATACAAGTATACAGCTGACCCATCCAGGGACATGGATATTGGTATGTCTTGTGGACGTCTATAGGTATCAGACGAGGCTCTATCCCATTATAGCTATCAATATCGATGCACTTGAGATCCTGTAACTACCTATCGACCCATCGTTTTCCAATACTCTCTTTAGGAGCTTGGTTAGATGATCGGGAATTACCTAGAGGGGTAGTCGGTACCTACTATGAGTAGGAAGTAGACCGGCAGTCATATTTGGCTACATACGGGTAAGAAAGAAGCATTGCATTGACCCAAGTCAATGTCCCAGCTTTGTGGAACACAGGTTACAGTGGTGATACCACTGGTGATAGGGCCAATGAAATTCAGACACGAGCGGAAGCAATTCTGTGCGACAAGAAATTGGAGACAGCTCTTCTGCCTTCGCCTCGAAACATGGTGTCGTTGTGAAATGCCCCGCCTACGACTTCTCTAGACACAGGAAACTGGGTGTCTAAACACCTGTCATAGAGCTTCTGACTCAGCTCTTGTGGGACAAGCTCGTCCTTGGCTGCTTCTAAGACAAATATCTCAGGGGATTTGCTAGATCCATATTTTTCGGATATAATTCCTAGATTCTCCCAGCTGTCTAAGTGATTCCGTAGAAAGGGCCAAAGATGCCGATAGGGTAACCACTTCTGTGGATAGAGAACCTCTAGCATGGCACGAATAGAAGTGAAGGGGGTTTCGAGAATCAGCGAGTCTAGCTGTATATTCGCTGGCATCGGAGTCTGAGCAGCGAGGTTGGTAGCCACTCCCGCGCCAATACTTTGTCCCCAAAGCACAAGCTTTGCCGATGGTCTCGACTCACCATCTTCCCCGCCATAAGTATCACGATGCATCTGAGAAATCCAATGTAGGGCCGCGGCAGCATCCATATTAATACCTTTCTCGGTTGGGCTGCCTCGTGATGTCCAATAGCCTCTGTAGCTAAGGCATACCATGGTGCATCGGATATTCCCGTCATGCCATTGCATGGACCGTCGCTTCAGCATACACAGCGCAGAAGAGAGATCGGGCAATCGTGGGGGAATCGATGAGGCATTCCCTATCACCGATGTTAGCTCTCATGGAATCATACTCCACAGGGCAGAGATGCAATGCGGACCCTGGAAATACAGGATATAGAATGCAACACTCGGCTGTACAGACGTTGCACTAGAACCAAGGTCTAAGTCTGTGATGCATAAAGCCAGATCTGTGCCGTCTCTGGCGCGGACTCTTTCCTCGCGCCATTGAATACCAGCGCATCGGCCAGCATAATCTTGAATCTTCTCCCACCGCGAATTAGGCGGCAGACCGGGCATGTAAATGATCTTGTTCTGAAAAATGACGAGCATAAAACATTTCCAGGTCCAAAGCGCTACGAACAAGCCACCGAAGACCACTGGAGCAAGCATCAAGCCCTCGACGTGGTACCTTCTTCTGCATGTTAATGTGCTGTTGCCGATGCGGGGTGTCGTGGAAGGTCGTGATGGGATACTGGCCAACTTGGAGAGGCGCCTAATGGACGTTCGGGAGAGGCCGCGAAAGAAGAACATCGCGATTGGGGATTTAAGAACATGGTTAAGGTGTCGTTTATGCAAGGTGGAGGGACGCGCGAAATATGCGAGTGGATAAGTGGTTATGACGATGCATTTGTCGACAGTAGTATGGGGGGCGGTTGGAGTGGTGCGATAGTAATATCCTGTGTTCTATATGTAGGTATTCTACGATGTTCTCGTCGTTTTTGTGATGAAGTTGGTGTTGAAGTTGGAGGGTTGTAAATCACAGGTAATAATTTGAGTTACTATATTAGCTTCCCACCGTCGTCCCTGCTCTGAATGAAAGAGAGCTCTTTCTTAAGATTTTCATTCAATCGCCCTGGGAGAAGTACATACCAGGTTACTTCCTCGAAATACAGTGGCACAATATTCTCGAATGTACCTCATGAGATAACAGCGTCATAATCCAAGACCCTGCACATGCACAGCACAGTGATTGCACGTGGTACATGCCATATTAGGGAAATCTTCCCCGCTTTTAGCGTTGAAATCGCCTAACTAAAGAAAAGGCTAGAACGTCATTGGGTTTATCGATCCACTAGTGCACTATAATGGAACTGGAGCTACGAAACTCAGCCGTCATTTCTCCAAATATTCTACAACTTTCCTCCTTAACCTGCCCGTCTCCGTTTCCGTCTCCAAGTCCGAGATCCCTCACCCTTCGCCCGTCTCCGCAAAACAGCGCCAAACGATACAAGATGCCCGGACAAGTAAATGAAGAAACAGGCCAAGATACGCCTTCCCACCACATAGAAGTGGTCGAAGAAGAGTCCCATTCAGAGCGGGGAGATGGCCAACAGCCCAGTCCGGGTTTGAGGGATAGCAAAGGCTGGGATGGCAAATTACGAATTGATCGGAATGCTCTCATCCAGAATCCCGAGGCTTTATCGGATCCCGACTATTCCGATGAGGACCACGTAGTTCCGGGCGAAGAAATCGGTGCCGATGAAGGTAAATAACGTTGTTCACTTTACTATTTTCAAGCAGCATGGGCATGTTGAGCCTGTAAAATGAGACTTCTTGTAGTGTTGACCAATACATTTAGATCTTCTCGATGACGAAGATCCCGATACAGACGACGTTAGTCTCGCACATTCACGAGTCTCTTCCATCCCCGCCCTTCGATTAGAACGATTTAAGAAGGCCGTCCGGCTATGTCTACGGCAGAATCTCATCCAACACATTGAGGGGCTATCCGAGTTAGGCCCCACATTGGAGGAGCTTGACCTCTACGATAATCTAATTTCCCACGTTAGGGGATTGGACAACCTAACTAAACTCACTACCCTTGATCTTAGCTTCAATAAGATCAAGCATATCAAACACATAGAGCACTTGACCGAACTCACCGATCTCTTCTTCGTTTCCAACAAGATCAGCACAATCGATGGGCTATCAACTTTGACGAAACTCCGGCAACTCGAGCTAGGATCTAATAGAATAAGAGAAATCAAGAATCTCGATGCGCTGAAGAATCTGGAGGAGCTTTGGTTAGCAAAGAACAAGATTACTGAGCTCAAAGGTCTTGGAGGCCTTCCCAAACTGAGGCTTCTAAGTATTCAGTCCAATCGGATTACGGATCTCTCCCCTCTACGTGAAGCTCCCCAGTTGGAAGAACTGTACATCTCGCACAATGCTCTTGAAAGTCTTGCCGGCTTAGACGGGAATCCGAACCTGACGATCATCGATATTTCGAACAACATGATAAAGAGTCTAGAGGGAGTTGGTAATCTGAAGAACATCGAAGAAATATGGGCAAGCTACAACCAGATATCTGACTTTGCAGACATTGAACGGGAGTTGGCCGACAAGGAGAATTTAACAACGGTATACTTTGAAGGAAACCCGGTGCAGCTGAAACAACCTGCTTTATATCGGAACAAAATACGACTAGCCCTGCCACAAGTGCAACAGATCGACGCTAGTAAGTTATCCTACGCAGAGAGGAATGATATACACATACTAACGCGGGTCTAATGTAGCCTTTGTGAAAACTGTTTAACCATCCACAATGTCTCAATGTAGCCGAGAAGTCGTTAGACGTAAGTCCTCTACACTGCATTAGCATGGCGTTCAGGGGGTTATATCATGAAGGGTCGCTCGGCATCGAGCAAAGACAAGCTCGAATCCCTGTTTTTTTGGCTAGGTTTTCTTGGAAAGGAAGTTCGTACGTAGATATGGCTTCCAGTCTCGCAAAAGAGGGTTGGGACGTTTCAATTACAGCAAACAAAGAGAGGCAGTCACCGGGAAACGTCTAATTTATGTCAGATATCCATAAACTCATGCAATGGGAATGTCCGAGTTTCATGGTAACATCTATCCCGTCAATTTTGATATCAGATACAGGTCAGGACAGCCTATTCTAGACACCTTTCTAGCGAGATGCTTCTTACGATGATAAGACTCTACAGTAACACCTTGAAGTCGTTGATATAGAAACCAATCCAGTCTGCATCGACGATCAAAGTCCTCCTCTATCGGCATGTCGCTTGTGTTTCTTGGAACTGATCGCGTCGAGTGCCTTGACCCGAGATCCGGTCATGGAGGCTTATTTAGCCAAAGATCCACATCTTCTCCGTGGCAAAGTACTAGATAAAGATATAATGGTTAGCATTTAACTTAGTTCTTACACTAATAGAAATAGTAAATTTGAGACCCGAGGGCGAAGCATCCAAGCTACGCGACGAAGGGGAAAATGGTTCGAGGTGCGACTTACGTTCGAAGGCTGGTTAAACCGAATGCCCGCATCCTTGTCAGTGATGCTGTCGATGTCGGCCTGCTCGAGATCGAATCCAGTGCAGTCCAGGTTTTGCGCCATGATCTCAGGACGGACCGTCTTAGGTATCACAGCGAGTCCACGCTGGGTCGCCCAGCGCAATAGGATCTGCGACGGCTGCTTGCCATACTTGGCCGCCAGGCTCGTGATCAGGTCATCCTTCATTAGGGGTACCAGAGCTTTAGCGTGTTTGAAGCCAAATTCCAAGAAGGAGGCTGGCCCGAAAGAGGAATAAGCCGTAACAGCGATACCCTCTTCCTTAGCGAGTCTTATAAGCTCCTGCTGTACTAAGTATGGGTGGTGCTCGATCTGTAGGGAGGCCGGGGGAATCTTGGCGTAGCGCAATAAGTCGTAAAGAAGCTGCGCCTGGAAGTTGGAGACGCCGATCGACTTCGTGAGACCCTTTCCTACCAGCGATTCCATGGACGCCCAGGTCACATGCAATGGCGTGTTAGATCTAACGATCTGGGACTTGCCGTCGTAGTGCCATCCCGGGGGATATCGCACGGCTGGGTCGACGTATTTGAGTGCGCCGGGGAAGTGGATCAAGTATAAGTCGAAATACTCGAGGCCCCAATCGGCGAGGGAGCGTCTGATGGCGGGCTCGACCTTATCGCCATCTTCGAAAACGGGCCATAGTTTGGATGTAATGAAGAGGTCCTCCCGCTTCACGAGACCGTCCTTAATCGCGCGCGCTACGCCCTCGCCGCACTCTTTCTCGTTACCGTAATCTAGTATCGGGAAATCACGTATTAGCGAGTCACGATAATCATGTAGCCGGGTTATATGTTGTGTAGCCTGCTATATAACCCAAGTCCACTTCCGGCTAGATTGGCATTGGTTTCCGATCTGGCTGAGATGCATGCCAAGGAGCCAGAGGTGTCATTGACGACATTGACTGGCGGGGTAATGATACCCGAGGATGAGGGGCTTCTTCATTGCTTGTTCTAGGTAATTATCTCCATCGTCGACAACCTTCAAGATGCAGGAGAAAGCTGGGTAACAAGTCACAAATCTGACTCACCGCAGGCGCCATCGAACAATCTGTAACCGGTCTTGATGGCATTGTAGACCGTATCCGCAGCAGTGGCGTTATCGACCTTCCACAGACCGAAACCCACCTGGGGCATCTCGTGGCCGCTGCTCAGCTTGATGGTCGGGCCCATTGTGCTAGTATTGATGTAACGACGGTTGCTAATAATAGGTTGATGGTTTGATATCCCGGAACACCTCACTGGCGTAACGAAGCAACGGGATAGTAGACGAGAATAGCGAGAAGATGGGAGGATGAAAGATCGCATGATTCTTCACGGAAATGCGGTTGGTGGGAGGAAGTATCCTTTATACCTGTTGCTCTCTACCGACACGAAAGTAAATAAGCTACCTTGTTGTCTATTCGTCTACTTTACATTACACAACATAGCCCTACTATGCGCAACCGCATTCCCCAATGTGGACATAACCGCTTGTTAAAGAACGTTTCGCTGGAGATCGAAGGGGCAAAATATGGGCTAGCAGCATCTCGCCGAACAAACCCCATAACACTACAGTACTATCGTGCACTCATCTGACTTAAACTGATTGGCGTGGATAATAGCTGCTCACGACGAGACAAACCTTGGTATCCGAGCAAAGACGATGGGCCCCGTAGTCCGTCTCCCATTTGCTCGTTTAAACGCAGGTCCTCAGGGTCCAGAGTCAGCGACCACCGGTGATCCAATATCTTCCAGAGGGGAAATGGGGGGGATCGTACGCTCGCTAGTGACGGGGCCGACGAGGATTGCAGTTCTCACGCTACTACATGGGAGAAACCCCCAACTAGCAACGCGAATGGCGCGACTGAACGAGTCCTGATTTGCTTGGGGAGAATGATTTGGCCGAGACCCGAACTTGCTAGCCTTAGTGTGTCTATAATGCAGCTCCTCATCCCATGCATTTAGCCTGAATATAACTCGTGGATACCATGGGGGTCCACCTGCGGCTAATTCTTCATTATCTCTACCTATGACCATACCCGATCTAACCTTGTCTCGTACGTATCGTGAGGTTTCACCCCACGTTTTCTTTCGAGAATCATGCAACAAAGGAGCAACACAGGTTGTGTTGTGTTGTTTGATTGTCTTCCAATGTTTTCTTGTTTCATCTCTTGTCTTTCCTTAGCCAGGCCTACCTGGGTACCTAGGTATGTACTTTACATCCGATGGTATGCCATAGGTTAGAAGAGCCAGAGATCGCCTTAATTTCTTACTGCCTATGCATCTCAATTCATTTCTACCTATGCTAGATGCGAATTAAGTTAAAGGTAGGTATCAAATTTCCGTCAACGTTAAAACTGTTCAGCAGTTCCGGAAATTCTTGCTAAGACTATTTCCTAGGTACGTACTAATTCAATGTTTGCCACTACATGTAAGAAATGCCTTACGAATGCGGAATCTACACCTTTGTTTAACGGGATATCGAAATTGAGTAATCATATCAAAGGAAGTGTGTACCACTAGATGTTCAGTCGCCTCAAAATCGCTATATAACCCAGTAAGAATTATCAAATCAGTTGTTGTGTGCCATTCGCTCAATGGACATTCTTAATTTTTTATTCGACGACATGTCAGATGACGGATATGGCGAACTGGCTGAGCGTAAGGATTATTTGTTCTCTTTATATACATACTAGAGGTCATATACTTACCATTTTTCGTGATTAGTGTACCCATTGGTGAAAGACAGGAAATTTGAGGGAGAGACTGAGGGGTTTAAACGGGCTAAGGCAGCAGGTAAAAGGTTCCGCGAAGAGTTTACTAAACTTGGGAAACTCAAGTACGAAAGAGTACTCGGGTTTGGTGGCTTTGGCATGGTCCAACTTGTATGTAACTCTATCAAGTGTTTCCAATCCCATCATCCCCTTTGTACGAGACAAGTCTGAAAGCAGGCGAAATCTAGAGAGAAACCCGATATGACTAACCACAGAAGTCGTAGTGGTCACTACTGGACGATGATGGCAGGGCTACCGGCCGTAGCGTCGCTGTCAAACTTCCGACACGCGGTGGCAGTCGAAAGCATGCTGACACAACAAGATGGGAAATGCATTATATGGGCGTGAGTCTCTGGAAGATATTCACTCAGTAGGTTTTGCGTTGCTGACTATGAGCAGTTGGTCTTCCGCAATTTGGATCACTTCGTCCAACTCGTCGACGTCGAGAAAAACACGCCAGAAGCACAAAGACTTACCAACAATAACGCTGTCGCACAGCCTGTACTAGTTATGGAGGCTCTTCAGAAGTGTAATCTATTCGAACTAATAAGTTGGATCAACGAATCAAGAGAGGCGTACGTTCAGGTTCAGGACGAAGGTAGAATGGATTTCCCGTTCTTTATGAATTGCAAACTTGGATACGTTCCGAACCGGGTCATGTGGAAATTCTTTTGGTGTTGTAAGTTGAAGACGGCTACACTTCAAGTATGGGGCGATTGGCTGCTGAGATAGATTTACTAGTGCTGAAAGGGGTTGTTGGAATGGCCTACCCGAACGAGGGAAACGCAGGGCTGCCGTCAGTCGACGGTACATCGGTTCGAGAGATGATCCCTCCAGAGGACCCAGACCGCACCCGGCCGGAGCCCTCAACTATTATACACTTTGATCTTGATCCTCAAAATGGTTTGATACCTTGTCTTCCCTTAACCGAGGAATGAAATTATTAACGGCGGGTAGTGCTTGTTGGCGATTTAGATATATCAGAACACCGCCACATACCGAAGTTGAAGGCTCGTTCCCTGCTGGTAGTTTACTTCGATTAATTACTGATGTTCGCTTTACAGGTAGCCGATTTTGGGCTAACGCTGCGGTGGAGAAACCGCTGGAATGATCATATGTATGTAACCCATGTTTCTTGACTGCTGACCCTTTGCAGCCATGTGCCGATATCTAACTTGCGGTGCAGAAAAACGTCACGCATCGAACGCGGGAAACCAACATGGTATGCGCCGGTGAGCTACGTTACCGTTCCAAAGCCTAGCATTTTTATACTAATACATACAATCAAGGAACAAAGAAACCCAATGAGAGCTACGGATCCGCACTACCATATTGGATGGGAGTTGAATGTATGGGCTATAGGCCTAGTATGTATAGATGTTCCGTTTACGAGTCTACGATGCATTGGCAAAGTTGCCAGTTACGTAGGAGGAGAAAAGTCACTAATACATCGTGTCATGCATTTTTAGACCATGTTTAACCTCCTGACGTTAAGCCACCCGGTTCCAAATGAGGATTGGTTCCCCCAGCCACGCGTGGTACAGAGCCCACGCGGTGATATAGTGGTAGAGACCTATGGCTGGTTTCTAATTCAACCTCCCCCTCCCAATCCAGCTATGGCTCCGGACCCAACCATATACATGGAAAGATATGACTTCACGCTACGTTCCTTGATTGCTCGTGTAAGTAACATTAAGAGTTCTGTTGTCCAACTCTCCACCCCGCGACACACACACGGCTAGAGAACTTGTAGCTAATCCTCGTGGATGCAGTGCATGGCAGATGACACAAATGACCGGCCGGATTTTCATGAAATCTGGACCGCTTGTATGTTAGGAATCGCAGAAACGGACACCAGGAAAAACTTCAACCAAGAGAATGCCGCATTGTTGTCTGTTGGCGGTGATCACTACGATCCTATGATAGTGCCCGAGGTAGAATCAGACGAAATAGTTCACAAGTTCTACCAGGACTATTTCGTGAACCCTCCGGCAAGGGCAGATCCATATGCCGGCAGGTGGTCCGATCAGTAGATGACTGACCACAACCTCTCCGCAAGGCTCAAAGATGTGGTTTCATCGGGGGATTACTTGCTTGTTTATATATTACCCTTGACGCTTATGATACACTAGGAGTATTAGGGTGTGGATAGAGTTGCTAAATTTATACTGTTTCTACCATTTCTGAGTTCGAATTGAGCTTGAGGTGATATTCTAGGGAGCGATGAACTTAAGTCTCGAAAATTTATTCCATCTGCATGATTCGGAATGATATTGAGAATAAAGTTGATATCATACATACGAGTGGTAGGGGAAGTGCTAGCTATTAGTCATCTCTAGTCAGGGGTAGATACAAGAGACTCACTACGAAGAAGCAGGCAACTCTGGCTATTAACTCCTGGGTTCTTTCAACAACAAGGAAGAAAATACCCTTTACACAGAACTAAAAGAGCTACTTTCCACTTCCGAATTGGCCGTTTATACAGCTCGGGAAATTGATGGTAGAAAAAGGGTATTATAACCCTGCAACTACCTAGCCATATCCCATCTCAACAAGTGGCAAATACGCAAAGCCACAGGTATCCTAATAAGTGCTCCGTGTATAAATTGATCATCCTTGCTCCAAAGCGCCATCTCAACCTGAATACCCTTCCTGTAAATTCCAAACGTGTGCCATAGATCCACCGGTACCTCTATTGCCTTTTTCCCCAAAATTCCACCCGTAAATCTTCCAGGCTACCTATGCATACCCTTACCACTCACTTCCCTTCCCCTTCCCCTTCCCTTTCCCCCTCTCACTATCCCGATCGCTCTCCCCATCCCCCGACATCTGTGTAACAACCAACCAGAACGTCCCAGCACCCAACTCCAAGTCCGCCGGCTCTCTGACCTCCAGCTCCGCCACCCGCGCGCCCAGCGCCTCCAACCTCGCCTTCGCACTATTATCCTTAGCCTCCCTCACCAACCCCAGCAACTCCTCCACCCCTCCTCCTAACCCGAGCTCCATCGCCAGCTCCGGCGTCTCCAACAGCCTCGCCTCAAGCCCGCGCCGGCTCAACCACTCCCTATTCGCAGCGCGCACATACGCATCCGCCCTCTCGCGCGGCGTCCGCGGGTTCTCCGCCGCCGCGCCCACAGCCGCAAACGGCAGCTGCACCGCAGCGCCGATAGCGCGGACGGCCGTCGCAACGGGCAGCCACACGCCGCCCACGAGCACGGTCTGCGCGGCGGCGCCGACGTAATTGCCCTTGCGCGCCGTGTCCGCGATCGCGCGGCCCGTGTTCTTCGCGTGCGCGAGGGTCTCCTTGCCGAATCTTTTGGGCACCTGGCCTACGTGTCGCGCGACGCGCGCCGCGTGGCTGACGGCTTGGTCGGAGACCGTGGAGGCGAGGAACCCGGATAAGGTGTGTAGGAAGGCGGACCAGGTTTCGCGGGTTACGCCGTGGCGCAGGAGGAGCGGGGTGTAGGCTTCTAGGAAGGGGGCTTTGGGGTCGGGGAGGATTTGCGGGATGGCGAGGGGTTTGAGGATGGTGGGGGTTGAGGATGTGGTGGTGTAGGCGGGGAGGTCGGAGTCGGAGGGGAAGTTGAAGGGGGAGGCGAGGGTTGGGCCGTGGACGGGTGCGGGTGCGGATGTAGATGCGGAAGCGGAAGCGGAAGCGGGAGTGGAAGTGGAGGCTTCTGGTTGGCTCGGGATAGAGGTCCCGGGGCTGGCGAATTCCGAGTAGGCGGGTAGGGCCTCGCCTTTGGCCTCTTCTTCCTTGGATAGCCCCATTTGGTATGAATTGGTTATGTTGGTTAGTTAGATTGTTGGATCCTAGGGTAAGATTTTTGTGAGATGTTTGCTGATGAAAGAAGACGATATGTCCCTATCTAGTAGGTAGCTTAAGCTTATGGAATAAATAATCAAAACCTCCAAATCGCCAACGACCGTCGCCAAGAAAAGTGGCAGTATTAATAGTCAAGAAAGAGCCTTGGAGGGAGCATCAAACAGCAGCTGCGCCGCAGGGCGGGGTAGCTGAGCCCTGAGGGCTCTTAGGGCTGTAATATGCACTGCTGGTTGGCTGCGGAGAAGAGCGAAAGCGATCGCGAAACAACCTAAACAATCCGAACGCGAGAACGAACACCATTCATGCATGTAATGGTCGTGTATTTATACGAAAAACTTCTAGAAGCCGTATAAACCACGATAATTTTCTAGTGCCTTACCAAGAATCAATGAGGCTGAAAGATCTGAGACGAGGGCAAAACGTCTAACAATCTTGGAAGCTTTATAGTAAAGGGCATGATATTACGGAGTAACTATCATACGCCTTGAGTCCTTATTGACTGATCTGTAAGATGTGCTTGTATGTAGCGGCGTCTTACACTTTGAACCAGAAAACCACCAGCCAAACTGTAGAGTCCTTTCTGTAGATTCGCTTGATTCTTAAATACCTAATCTATATATTTCACAGACGTGTCAGTTCATGGGTTGTTGAAGAAAAAGTCCCGTCATGTTGGTTGGGTGGATCCCTCGCCATGCATAAGCGATCCCAAGATTGCATTTTACTTAGCAGGTAGTGAAATTACAGTTCTAAGTATAGCATCAATGATAAGACGACATTTCTTAGTAACCTATTTTGTCAACTACCAACTAGATAACCTCATGCTGTCTCACATCTAGCTCGATGGGTAGAGGCTTGTGATCTTGAGAAGGGAGTATTGTCTAGAAAGAAATCCAGCCCTTGTTATAACCCTCGCCTATGACGACTGGCGTCGACAGCACAGTTACGTTTAATTGAGAGAGGTGGTCGATTATCTAAGGGCTATTCAAGTTATCAAGAAGTCAGCTCAATTAAAACCCAAAAATAGTGAGACACGTTGGTAAGTGGCTTGTGGGCGTTGTCCATGGGATCGTGTAGGTTGGAACCGATGATACCTAGAGCTGATCGCAGCCTTATAGACAATTCTGCAAGGTGGCACGATTAGGTGATGGTGACACCATCAATTGAAAAGCTACCGGCGATCGTTACCAAGCTGTATGATGCAATGTGACTGGGTTGGTAGTTATCATCCCATCTAATACCGTCTTATCCCATCCTATCCAACATGGCGGCTCCCTTTCACTCGACTTCGGCTCTTTTTGTTTCAGATTCTTAGGAGACGCCTTGCAATTTTATTTAGTGGTCGGCTTTACTGACCTCCTGTCCATTAAGAACCTGGGGTAACGTTAATACCGAATGTCCCGAAAAGGAAGCCCGGGAAGTTGGCGCTCTTGGCGATACTACCCCCGGACTCCTTTTAATCACAAGTTATCGTCTACTCCGTGCACATGTAACTGGTGGACGGGATAATGTAGCGAATCGAACAACGAGAATAATCTATATGCATCTGCCATTATTGTTAATCTTAACCCCACTAAGTCGGAATCTTGGGCGTGTCTCATATATGCAAAACCGTGTGCGGAGTTGGGCCATCGTCAAGTGGCTTGAGTCTAGCGTGGCGGTTGGAGAGCGTCATCCGAAGATCGCATATGCAAGACATTATTGGAAGGAATGACATGAGGCTCTAGGAAGATTAGCTCGACTGCCCAATCTAGAATGTAACTGTGCGATATTCTTGGGAGGCACAGGGGATATTAAAGTTCTCTTAACGTTACACTTCATTCCAACGTGTGGAAGGTCTTAACATAAATATCGACGAGGGAACGGGAAAGAACCACCATGTGCTGCAAACCTTTCGAACCGTACTCTATTTCTTCACCAGCTGGAATTGGTGTCGTTACTAAAATAAATATCGTCGTGGAACTCAGATATCCAAATTCAACATGCATATCCCTCGAACGGTAACGGCAGCGGCGGCGGCGGCGGCACCGCGGTTCGCTATGTACTACGACCAGTGGCACACTGCCTCTCCCAGCAAAGATGCCATGGCCGGAGTAACACATGTGATCACCGCCTTCGCAAGCACAACGCTTTTCACGAGTGATCCGCCCGGTACATACACTCCTTTCACGGACGTAGCCACCCTCCGCAGCCAGTTCCCCGACGGAACCAAGGTCTGCATGGCCATCGGCGGATGGGGCGACACTGCCGGATACTCCGTTGGGCAGAAGGATGATACATCCAGGAAGCTGTACGCGAAGAACATTGCGTCGACTCTCGATAGTCTGGGGTATGACTGTGTTGGTACGTGGGATCAACCCTCTCTCTTTAGATATACACCGACTAAAGCTGCTTCTTCATAGACATCGATTGGGAATACCCCGGAGGAAATGGCGAGGACTATAAGCAGAACCCGAATTCCGGGAAGACCGACGAAATCGCGAACTACGCCTTGCTCCTACAAGAGATCAAGTCGGCGATTGGCGACAAGGAGCTCTCCATCGCCGTCCCCGGACTTGAGAGGGATATGATTGCTTTCACTTCCGAGCAGGTCCCCAAGATCAACGCCGCCGTCGACGTGGTCAACGTCATGTCATATGATCTGATGAACAGGTACGCAATCACCCCTATCTCATAGAAAATTAGCCGACTAACCAAACCTCCCAGACGCGACAACACGACCAAGCACCACACCTCCGTCAAAGGCTCGCTCGCCACCGTCGACAAGTACATCTCGCTCGGCATGGACGCGGCCAAGATGAACCTCGGCTTCGCCTTCTACGCCAAGTACTTCACGACGCAGGGCGAGTGCACCCAGCCGATCGGCTGCCCGACCGTCGAGCTCGAGGACGCGAGCGGCGCCGACACCGGCAAGTCCGGCGCCGTGACCTTCCAGGAGGTGCCGCCCGTGCTGTCCAGCGGCAAGGCCGACATGGAAGAGGGCGGCCAGTGGTACTGGGACAGCGCGACGAGCTACTTCTGGACCTGGGACACGCCGGACTTCGTCGCCCAGAAGTTTGACCAGATCGTCAAGGCTAGGGGGCTCGGCGGCGTTAGTAAGTCATACTCAGTCCAATCCTACCCTATCCCTTATTTGCTTTTGATTAGAGTCAAGACTAGAAGTAGGTGAAAAATAGTTGCTAACGACTTCGTTTCCCGCAGTGGCATGGAGTTTGGGCGAGGACGACGCGAGCCAGACTTACATCAAGGCCCTGCAGGCCGGTCTGAAGACGCTGTAGGCGCTTCTAGGAAACCTAATAGGTGTTCCTTTTATCAGGGGCGTTTCGAATGTATATATTTTTACCGAGGCACTGTGCGTTTGAGCCACTGTATATACCACTTATCCAAAACATCAACAGCCACACAGTGCCATGAGTCACCTGTAATATCATTTTGCCAGGTTGCCAGGCAACCCGCTCCGAAGTGAAGCTTAAATAATGCAATACAGTCATAATTTTTCATCGGCGGCATTAAATCAACGGCCTTGCTGGCAATGGTCTAGTTGGTTATGTGCCTCAGACACCTCGTCTTACCCCCATAAAAGACTCCCCTGAAATGGGGTGGTCCAGGGTTCGACTCTCAGGATTACCAATTTGAAAAAAAAAAAAAAAAAGAAGGATTAGAAGAAAAAAATACAGTACTATCAGTACCTACCATGGAATCTCTGGGGCCTGAAATGGAGTGGCAAAGAAATACCCAATAGCGGGGGCGCAGTAGCCAGGAGCCGATCAATAATACCTCGGGCTGGGCCTTCAAAAGTTTTTTTTTTGGCTTCAACCTCAATCAATAGAACAGATCCTCATATTGTGTTTAGAGATCATTGCACATCCGGTGATGATGTAGGAGAAATTTATATAAGTAGTCAAATATCTCGCGTGATTATCCGTACGTAACGTTCCGATTCATTAACGATGCTATCCACGAGTACAGCCTCCGATAAAATCACTCTTCATCGTCGGAGTCCTCATCATCCTCATCCTCATCATCATCAACCTCCTCCAGGTCCTCCATTTCCTCGTCTTCACTGCTCAGCCCCGCGGCGTTTTCTTCCAGCGCTTCCAGCTCCTCTTCCTTCCGCTTCCGCTCGTCCTCTTTCCTAGCCTGCTCCAGCATCTTAGCCTTCTCGGCGCCCGCCTTCCTCTGCGCGACGACGTACGCGCCGACCGGCGTCTTCTCCCACTCGAAGTCCTTCAGGAACGCGTCGACTTGCGCGCGGTCCTTGGGCGCGAAATCCACCTTGGCCCGCTTGCCTTCGATGAATTTCGCGTTCGCCTCGAGCTTCTGGACGAGCAGGACGAGGCCCGCGCGCACCTTGTTGTTGTTATTGCCGCCGGTCTTTCTCCTCGACTGCTTGAGCCACCGCTTCAGCATGATGACGACGGGCAGGGCAAACTCGGGAAACGCTATATTCGTGGACCATAGGACAAAATATTCCGAGAAGAGCTCTACCACTTGTTCTCCCACTCCGTCCTGATAAATTCGTGTTCGTAAATACGATTTAGGTGCCTTGTAGGCGACGTGGAAGTCAAGGGGCTTGATAGTTGACGGTTTAGGTGATTTTCTCAGTTCCGCAGAATTTAGCACTTCAAGAAGGGCAGATGCCAGCGGGATGTAAGTTCCGGTCGATCTCGAAACACGTAAAAGTGAGCGGATCATATGGAATCGAAGAGGGAAGTAGGTTGCGGTTGGAATTAAGCGCATGGCTCCAAGTGTGACCTGGACAAGAGGATAGATCAGCAGCTTGAGCTGTGATTCCTTACCTGTCTCGGCCTCCTTCAGCGGACTACAATGCTCTGATAGCACACAAGACCAGAAGTCTAGGGAATGGATATACTGCCAATTGTAGATGGTCTTATACGACTCGTTCTGGTTGTGTACGATGCTGTTACGCAGATGGATAGCAAGTTGGCGGATAAAAGCAAAGGCTGTCGTATAACCAATGTTCTGGTCTAAACCCCATAACTCGGCCGCTGAATTCTTCATCAGGTTGATTCCTTGTACCGTGTTGACATTCGTTACACGAGACCCTGCGATTAAGCCTTGGTAAGTTGCCTTCAAGACCGCTTCCCTGATGCCTTTATCGCCAACGACGACCAGTCGTCGGAGAACAAGGAAAGCAGTAATCCGAGTGGAATCGCTGCTAGTAGACTGTGACCAGAACCCAACGACAGTTTTAATTAGGGCTTTGAGTAATTTTCGGAAACTTAGGAGGTAAGGGATAAGGGGCGTGATGGCAGATAATGTCAACTTAAGGGTGGCATCGTCTGAGAGCGTGTCCAGGAGGTGTAAGATGGCAGATACGTAGGATTTGAGGAGGTTCGAAAGGGTCTTGAACTTTTTGGAGTCTGTCGGAACTTGAACTCTGCCAGAAGAAGACTCCTTAATAGGAACATGGTGCTGAAGGACATCAGGGATCTGCTTAAGCGCAACAACGAGGATGTCGTGGAACACCTCCGGGCTCGAAATCTTGTAGGGTTGTTTTCTTTCCGCGTCGCCATCGTCCTCATTCAAGTGCGCAGCAGATCGGAATGCTAGAACCACTTGTCTCGCAGCTCTCAGTGATTGTTTCTCTGATATTGCCGCTGTCCAACGTGCGACCATAGCTTGTGTTAATTCGTTTTCTGTTGTATCCTCCTCATCCACATCATCGGTCTTCACTTGTTTCTTTTCCTTCTTTCGTTTTTTCTTGGGCTGATCTTCTTCCTCGCTAGCGCTTAGTTCGTCTACTTCGGCGAGGTCGGCATCGTCGAATTCTAACGCTTCGGGGTCGTTCTCTTTCAAAAACTTGTAAAATTCAGGATCGTCCTCGGCAAGTGCGTCCATTGCACCTTTGCTCATGCCAACGTCGTCAGCCTCGTCATCGTCGGAACCTTCGCTATCACTTGCGACAGGCAACTCGTCGGCGGAGATCTCGATATCGCTGCCCTCATCGGATGCGCCTTCATCTTCGTTGGGCTCATCACGCTTGCGTTTTCCTAGCTTCTTGGATGCTTTCTTATTCGGTTGGGATTTTTCAATGATCTCAAAACCGCCGCCGAAGAAGTCGTCGACACTCATATCATTGACATTGGCAGTCCTTTTAGTGCCATTGGCCTTGTTGGAAGTCTCAGCATCTTCACCACCCTTAAAAAACTCGGCATCCTTCGACTTTTTGGCCTGTTTCTTCGTTTTGATCTGTACTCTTTGCTTTATTTTCGCGGTCGCTTTCCTCTGATCTAAGACACCTTTCAAGTGTTTCTTCTCAAATTTCTTCGTCGCCTTGAAATTCTTTTTTGCGCCCGCCATGTTGAGGTTTGGTCGCAAAGTTGTGAGGGTGTAAGTACAAGGTTTTGTAGTATGAAGTGAGTAGATGGTCGTTTTACAGTTCTTGCGAAGACAAACCAAATTTTTTTGGATAAGCTTATCGCGGGGCTCCTTATCACAATTTCACGCTAAAACCAAAACTACCTAGTACCTGGCCATAGTTCCTTGATTACCTAAGAATTCCAGCAACTTTGACCTAGTAGCTTGCCAAGTGAGGAACCAATCACTCATCGTCTACTTGTATCAAGAACTCGTCACTTCTTCAACCTTCAACCTGCAACCTTCCTATAAAATCATACAATCCAAAACGACTCCTATATAAACTCATTTAAGATGAATTCTCGACAGGCTTATGCCCCGACTCCTCATAGTTATGTTCCTAATACTACTCTCTCGGCCACAATCAATCTAGATGAGGTATAACTCCAGTCGCCTCTTTCTACATAAGTCGTACATCCATGCTCACGCCTTCATAGGAAGTGAAACTGGCAGATACTCGTGCAGAGAGAGACCTGCAAGATTCTCTTGCTGAGATCTTTTCCATTATCGTAACTCTGGATGAACTTGAGAGGGCATTTCTTAAAGACGCTATACCCGAAGCCGACTATACTGAGATCTGCGAACGATCGCTAAAGCAGTATAAATCGATTCTAGCAGACGACACCGTCGCTAAAGCGTTCGTAGGCCTAGAAGAATTTAAGGCTGAGTGGGATGTAAGAACATTCTAATAATTATTTCCCATGATCCGTACTAATGTGCATTCTTACAGCTCGAAGTTCCAAGAGCCACGGAAAGACTTAGGGTGGGCATGCCATCCACTGCTGTCACCGCATCAACAGGAGCAGCTCAGCCATCAGCTCCAGGGAACCATAAATCCGGTGCCCTTATCCTTGAAGCCACGCAGGAATTCATTACCTTCTTAGATGCCTTGCGCCTTGGGCTTCTAGCAAAAGACCAACTTCACCCTCTCCTGACTGACGTTATTCAAAGCGTCAACAAAGTCACTGATAGAGACTTTGAGAATCGAGGGAAGATTGTGCAGTGGCTGATTACATTAAATCAGATGAAGGCAACCGAGGAGTTGAGCGAGCAGCAGGCGAGAGAGCTCGAGTTGGATATTAACTCCGCTTACTTGGGTTTTAAAAATACGCTCAATTAATATATTCGAGCTGATAATGGATTGATGCTCGGTCGTATTTGTGGAAGAATAGCGAAGAAGCTCTAGGAACGACTCCAATCAAGGGCGCTGAAAGTGGGTCTCCGATATCATCACTGAGTGGTCAATTTGGTTGATAAGACCCACTATTAGGGCGCGAGACTGTCAAGGTTGACAAGTCTAGATGGATTTCAGTCTGACACAGAACAAGAAGATCTTGGATTATTTCATATCGATGACCTTTTAAACCCTATGAAGGCCGCCATAGTCGACCCTAACATATCACTTTGTTCCAAGCGTCGACACATATACCATCTAGCCACCGTCTCTGTGGAAGTTTACGTACAACATGCAGCGCACTTATCTCGCGTTTCAGCACAACGCCAAGCTCCACGCTCTGCAGGCTGCAGTCACCGCAGTCCGATCGGTAGCTGCACTTGAAGAGGCCAACAAAGGGCTTTTCAAGCAAGCTAAAGAGGATGACCATGTTGTAGTTACGGATCAAACTATATTTCACCCTCAAGGTGGTGGCCAGCCTTCTGATGTTGGTATGATGAAGGGCGAAGATGGAGCAAGATTCGACGTATCCATGGTGCGTATGAGCGCTATAAACGATGGCGAGGTACTGCATTTCGGCAGATTTGCGGATGAATCATCTATTTTCAAGTCCGGAGACTCCGTCACTCAAACTATTGACAGCGAGAAGCGCAACCTGTATTCCCGTTATCACACCGCAGGACACGTCCTTGGAGCAGCTGTTCGCCATCTTGTTGAGAAGGAAATAAGCGGCTTCGATGAATTGAAAGCGTCGCATTTCCCTGATTCCGCCGCTTGCGAATTCCAAGGTCTGATTGAGGGAAAGTGGAAAGATGTCATCCAAACGCGCGTGGACGAGTACATCGCTAAGGACATGCCGGTGGAAATTGATTGGTGGGACGAGAATGACTTTAAGGCTAACGGTCTCGAACGGTTAATACCTAATCGTGCGGCAATGGGGATGACGGATGACGAGAAATTCCGAGTCGTGAAGATCGTCGGCGCCGAAACCTACCCTTGTGGTGGGACACATGTCGATAGTACGGAATTATGCGGTAAAACCAACGTTAAGAAGATTAGTCGAGCGAAAGGAGTGAGCCGGGTGAGCTACGTGCTACCTTGAAACCGCCTACCTCAGACGAGTGATACCAAGGGCTGAATAGGTACGGAACTCCAACGCCATCGTTGAATCGGTCTTAGTCTCCGTACGGGGCTCGTCCCGGTGTTCGGTACTACGGAAATGAAGCAGCAAGCCGCGTAGCGTCCGCCGGCAGACGTTGTACAATATGCTATGTTATCCGGCGTGGGGTATTCGCAGCTGCATTGGAGTCTTGGCGACCTCAAACTGATTCATCGACATGGTCCGCAATTGATCACCCTTGGCTCTTCAAACCGGTATTATAGGCCTTATCGAAATAACGACGTTCGCGAGATATGAGCTGTCCCTGTCCCGGGACTACGATGTGCAACGCCTGCCATGTCTAGTGTGTAATAGTTAAAAATGGTGAAGACTGTCTCGATCGACTGAAGCGTTGTAGCCCATTCCGACTGCAAGTATTTAGCACGTGGGTACACAACTCCCGAGCCTATAGGATGTTGAAGCTGAGTCCGTTGGGGACTTGGAAAAAAAAGATTTAGGTGTCAGCTGTCTATTTCAATGTATCCCGTACCTATTCCTAGCCAAGATACATTTGGTATCCTTCAGCAATTACAGGCATGCAATAAGAGCGACTATCCACCCGATAACTGCCAGCTGCGTGTGTGAATCTACAAACAATATGCCTCTTGTCGCCTACTTACATACATCTATCATATTTCCCGATAATAAGGCGCAGGGTATCATTTGACTTTTGGTACCTATGGGACTAGACGCAGGGCCATTCCACGGTTTGATCGTGGATCCTAGGAATGGGGTTGAGCCCAGGTCTGGAATAAGAAGAAGATCCCTGTTACTTGCAGTCCCTGGAAACTTTCCGCCACCACGTCTCCTCGTTGGAATTGAACCAATTACGTTACTCATCGAAAGCTCGTTAACCTCAATTGATTGCAATTGCCTACAAGCCACTTTGGCCCTTTTACTTTGGCGGCTAGTGCGAGTCGTTAGTATGTGGTTAGTGTGCGGTTATCCTTCTCTCGAAACAGCCAAGTCCCACTTCTATCGCTACAAAACGACAAAGCCAAATTCTAAAGCTGTTTAGCGTGGGCAGGTCTTGGACTTCGATTTATGTTGCACAACTATTCTGTCCGCAAGATTTAGACATGTGGGCTAAATGATTGGTTAAGACAACCGTATCCCAGCACTGGAGCCTTCCTCAACTAATACATATTCAACTTTATTACGTGGTGGGGTTTGGATAGCACTACTATGTAGGTATGTATCTGTGGGGTAGAAGTTCAGGGTCCTCGAAGTATTGACGAGTTAGATATGGTGCTACCTTCTCAATGCAAACCATCGTCAGAGGCGCAGGTGCACAGGACATCCCACATGTCAAAGTACATTCTCGTTTCTCGTTATGTTCAACAACCCTCTTGTTCGTAGGTAAAGTTGGAAACTGCAAGTAGCCGAAGTTTAATTCTCTGTTTCTATTTGCTAAGGGCCGGGGGTGGATAACCACCTAGGTAGGTACTTTGCCGTAGCACTTGACATGGGCTTATTATATACGTCTCTTCTGTTGGGCCATGACCCTCCGCCCTTTTCTCTCCTTCTTCTTCCTAGATACTCTCACCGACTGCTGCGGTTTTGATTCAACACTGCGAAGGCATTTCAACATCCCAACCTCATTCTAATTGCAATGAGAGAGTATCATGGCTTCTCTTGGTGGTAACATTTTACCCCCTGATCCTCACGCCAAAATCTACCTTGCTGGAATAGCTGTTGTCTTATTAGTAGGCATATGCTACTCTACAAAAATATTGAAGAAACCAAAGGACGATGAGAATCCTACTCTCTTACAGTCCCTGTGGCTATTCTTCTACACATGCTTCCTCAAACCGCACGACGGTAACAGCAATGGCAACCAGCAGGATGCCCTTGAGAGCTTCTACAAGAAGCAGGCTGGCGCGTATGATGCGACGAGGAAAGCCCTGTTAAAAGGCCGAGAGGACATGCTCGCCCTTGCAGCGGCTCAGCTCTCTTACAGGGCGAAAATTAGTGACGAGAAGAAGAGACGTGTTTGGGTTGATGTCAGTACTCTTTCCCGACTCTTATTTTAACCTGCGCAGAAATCACTGACTAGCGGTATAGGTTGGTGGGGGAACTGGCTGGAACATCGAAACTATGTCCAGATATGTCGATGTGGCCAAGTTCTTCGACAGTGTCTACCTCGTTGACTTCTCCCCTTCGCTCTGCGAGGTTGCTCGCAAGCGCTTTGCAAGACTCGGGTGGAATAATGTGAAGGTCATCTGCCAGGATGCGAGGAAATTCCGCTTGGAGGACCATGAACCGTCCTGTCAGGCTAGACGTGCTTCTGGATCTCCGATTCGGAGTTACATCTATCAGGAAAAACCTCGACATGGCGGTGCCGACTTGATCACGATGTCCTACAGCTTGTCCATGATCGTAAGTAGTCACTAGATTAGTCAGATTTTCATGCATGCTGACAAGTAATAGCCCGACTATTATTCTGTCGTTGATTCCCTGAGATCGCTGTTGAGCCCCAATGGCATTGTCGGTGTGGTAGATTTCTATGTCCAGTCTCAAGTTGATGTCAGCTTCCGAAACTATACCGGCGGTCTCGTTAACCGTCACGTCAATTTTTTCGGAAGGACATTCTGGCGTGCCTGGTTTGACATCGACCGCGTTGCTCTGGAGCCCGGGCGACGTGACTACCTCGAGTACTCCTTCGGTACTGTCCTAAACGTGAACAAACGCAACTATGTTCTCGGCGCTATCCCTTATTATATCTGGTTAGGAGCTCATAAACAACCCCTGTCTTCTAACCTTTCGCACGAAATTGTTGAGAAGGTTGACGCATTGGTCACCGAGTCTCCTTATCTTCGACCTGCCAATCACTCGGCCGCTCTGTCTCGCGCAGTTGAAAGAGCTGCGCCAGAGATCCGATCCAAAGCTTTCGATGCTGCAATTGTCAATCTCTCCTCCAACCTTCCTCTTCCCTCATTCTTCTACCAGAACCACCACTATCGGATCTACTATGATGATCAGCTGAAGAAGCATACTCAATTCAATGACGAGTACATCTATGCCTTCACCTGGGAAGACACTCGAGTCGACGAGCGCATCCTAAAGCTAAAATCAGACGATGTAGTCCTCGCCATCACCAGTGCTGGAGACAACCTTCTTTCTTACGCACTTCAGAGCCCGGCTAGAATCCATGCTGTCGATCTTAATCCCACACAGAATCACCTTCTCGAGCTCAAGGTGGCCGCATTTTCATCTCTTCCCTACGAAGACTTCTGGAAGATATTCGGTGACGGCAAACATCCCGAGTTTCGCTCTTTACTCATTTCGAAGATGTCTCCTCACCTGTCCAGTCGCGCGTTCCAGTACTGGCTCAACAATGATCACATCTTCACCCGATCTAAGGGAGGCCTGTATGATACTGGCGGATCAAAGCATGGAATTCGTATCTTCCGTTGGATCTCTCGTGTTTTTGGATGTCGATCTGCCGTCAAGAAAATGATTGCTGCAAAGACCCTGAACGAGCAGCGTGAAATATGGCTTGGCAAGGTCCGACCAGCACTTCTTTCACGTCTCGTGTCCAAGTTCGTCGTCAGTCAGGAAGCATTCCTATGGACGGCACTCGGCGTACCAAAAAACCAGCTGGCGATAATTGAAGAGGACCACGCCGTGTCGGACGCGGTATGTGGCCCCGAAGCGCGGGCCAAGAATACACGATCGCATGCTATCTGGGAATATATGGTCAACACTCTCGATCCGATGGTGGAGTCGACACATATCGCGGCCGACAACCCTTACTACCTGGTATGTCTCGACGGGAAATTTAGTCGGAGTTGTCACCCGGACTACCTCTCACCACAAGCACATGCGAAACTCTCACGGCCGGGGGCATTTGAGGGGCTGCGCATTCACACAGATGAAATTGATGAGGTACTCGCACGTATCGCGCCCGGCACTTTAACGGTAGCCGTCGTCATGGACAGCATGGACTGGTTTGACCCTGGATCCGACGCCGCTGCGGCTCAGATCACTAAGCTTAACCGCGCGCTGCGTATGGGCGGGCGCGTTATGCTGCGCTCGGCGGGCCTACGTCCGTGGTATCTTGATGAGTTTGAGCGACACGGATTTGTGGCTAAGTGTCATGGCGATCGGTCAGGCGGCAAGTGCATCGATCGTGTTAACATGTACGCCAGTTGCTGGATCTGCACTAAGCGCGAGGACGTTGCTCTGCCTACTCCTGAAGCAGAGTCATTGCTCGGACCTGAGATCTCGACTTTGCAGATTTAAAGAGGTGGAGTTAAAGAAGGATTGGCGATGAACATAAAAGCGAAAGCACACGAGGAATGAAATGGCAAATTGTCGAAGATACGCAACGAGTCAAGTTTAGCCTCATTATATTCTAGTCGTTCATTATTGTCGAAACTTATCCATTTGAGTGGACTTTGGGTTAATTGTGACATGTTTGATATCTATACCACAAGACAACGATGTCTTGGCTATCATGTCTTCACGCCAATGAATGATAAGAATTATTACCAACATACATCCATTTATATTGACATAGAAAAGTTTTAAGTCATGGAGAGTTAAATATAAACCCATCAATACCTACCTAGGCAACTATCATTCTGCAAATATGCTGTTGAAGGTGTTGAAATTATTGCACAAATAGGTACCCTATGTTGGGGAACGCCACTCGGGTAGGTACATTGGGTGGGTAGGATAGCACGAGGTTGGTACCTGTTTATCAGGATACAAGAATTGCCGTTTGAATTTCAAACGAGATTTCCTTAAAATACCTAGGCAACAATCATTAGAACATCATAAAGACGTCTATAGGAGATGATTTTCTAGCTGTGAACAATGCAGCTCCTCGACCTTCCGGTAGAGATATTTTACAACATTCTTTTCTTTGCCTCACTCTCACGTGGATTTGTCAGGGCGCTCAGACTAAGGCTTGTGTGTCGTACGTATAATCTATCCACGCCTTGTTATACTTATATTAACATCGTGTCCATTTACAGGATCGTTTCATCATGCCCTGAACCTCGCCCTATTCCGGACGCAGCTTCCGGATCGATTTCTATTCTTTGAACCTGGGTCCTATTCGCGTTGGGGTTGCCATTCCATCCACGGTGTTAAAAAATTCTGGCATGATTTGGTTTTCGATCGGGTTCGAAAGGGTGACGTTGGGCCATTCGTCAAGATACGTCCGGTCGCAGAAGAATGTTGTATCCGTGCGGGAGGCGACTTCGAGTCTACCCTTGACGCTCTCTGTTGGGCCGCCCTGGAGTGTACGACTTGTAATGTTGTGGAGGGCCTAAAAATCATTGATTCGAGCATGGACTGTCATCTTTTGAGCGCCGCGGCCCATCTTGGTCATATTCCATTGGCGAAACAGCTGGTAGAAGAGGGCTGTTGTCCCTTTGTCCCAAATACGCTGTTTCCAGCCCCTATCTTCCTCGCCGCTTTTACTGGCAACTCCGAGATGTTGAAGCTTTTCCAGAAGCATATGAAAAGATGCCATCACCTGCGTGGATATATTCATGGCATCTACGGTGCCTTTCGAGGGGGAGATATAAATACTCTCGAACTACTTGCTTCGGCAGATGGACTACCTGAAATCACGCATCTTGATTTACATTGTCAACCAATCGCTTCCCTGGATATGTTACGATTTGTAGTCTCGCGCTGGTCTTTGCGATTACCGGATCTGGATACACTTGTTTACAATGTCTGCTATAACAACGTGGCCGTGGTTCGACATCTACTAGACCAATACGCGTGCAGTCCGCGTCTAATGGATAGAATCATATTACTAAATTATGCGGCTGAGCGGGGCTATGAGGAGATGGTCAATTTACTCTTGGACCACGGCGCGGACCCTAACTATGGGAAAGGTTGGCCGCTTTTTGGGGCAGTCTATAATAGCGGGAGTCTCGTTGTCGTGCGTACGCTCCTCGATCGCGGCGCAGACCTAAGAAAAGGCTTCCACAAATTTGTTCTGTCTGCCATGCTACGCGAGCATACGGCCATGCTAAGATTCTTGATAGGAAAAGGACGTTGCAGTACGTACCTTAAGACTAAACTGAAGCAAGTAGCATCGAAAAATGGGTTGGAGTCGATGGCTGAGGTTGTGGAGCAGTTTGAGTGCGACTTACCTAATGATGATGCTAACGAAGATGACTTTGACGATGGGGATGAGGATTTTTGGAATGCGGTTGAGAAGTTGGGTTCCCGTTCTATTAGTGAGCCTGATCTCATAATGTTGTGTTCGGAGGATGATTCCATATTAACGTGTTCGAGGATGGGCTATCAATCGGCGGACACGGACATGGCGGACGATAATGTATTTCAAGATACTACTAGGGCTAGAGTGTAGAACTGATATTTGAACTTATTGAGGGAAGCTCTCCAGCGCCCCTGTCCGCTGTCCTATAGCCCCTGTAAGTTCTAGGATACAGTGTTGCTTATACAGCCTACTATGCATTTACACTACATACAACTTGATACATAAAATGAGTTAACGGGTTAATAGATTCGGTGCTATCAGTACCTAGTAGGTATATTTCTTTTTATCCCTGGATGTATAAATCTTGCAAGGCATTCCCCTATGGAAAAATGGCTTAAAGCTACCGTGCAAAAATAACTTCTTTGGCATTTACAAATGCGGTATCTTAGAATGAGAAGACCGCGGTGATGGAAAACCTAGACCAAAATACCGAGTTTCAAAGAGCTTGGCTTGCGCGCAATCCCGCGCTGCGAAATGGCATTTTGAATTAATTTGGCTGCCTAAAGCTGGATTGGCGATTTGAAGGCTTAGGATTCACAAGAAAACTGGAGAGCTCACAAATCCTGCGACCTAAAACTACATTTCTCGAAGACACATAAACCAAAAACAGGACTTTTGGACATATAGGTATTTTTCTGAACATCGTATGAGTACTCGGTAGAGAAGTCTGGTGGATATCGCCACTCGTAATGGCACCTCTTACTAGCGAGCCCGACGCCATCCGCGTCGCTCTCAACATTGCCCGCCGTAAGATCTTCTACAGCCTCGTCGTCGAGATCACGGCGTACATGCGGTCGCAATTGGAACTTCCACATAACCCAGACGGACTACCATCTTTTTCGTCTTCGGCACGGAATCCACCTCCATATTCGGAGTCGGCCTCTAATACTACTGCTGCTGGCAGCGGCCGGAACGTCGATACCCCACCGGCCCAACCGCCGCGCCCACAGCAGCCATCAGTGCCTAGTCCTGCCCTAGTCAGGCTCCGGAAAGCAACGCTCCTGCACTTCGACTCTTGGCGCGACGAGACCCTCGCCAAGATCAAAGAAGTCGTCGCCAAGCCCGACGACCAGAAGGTCCTCGACGCGCGACGCAAGCGCGCGGAGCAGCTCAGCGCTAAAAGCAGCGAGCAGCCCGACGACGGCGAGGACCTCCTCAGTTTCGGCGACAACAGCCGCGCTACGCAGACTACCGCTTTCACTACTACTACTACTACTGCCGCTGCTACTGATGATACCACGCCACCGCTGCTGCCGCCGCGGGGTACTACGGGGGGCACGGGACCCACGAGCTTGGCCGCGTTCCAGAAGCTGTACCACCCGATCCCGACGCAGCTCAGCGGCGGCGTCCCGATGGAGGACCGCAAGGAGGTCCTCAGCGCGACGCTGATCTGCCTCCTGGCCATCGGCAACTACTCGGCGTACTCGCGGACGCTGGTGTGCTACCTCGCGAGCGCGCTCGGGGTCCCGCCGTCTTTCGTGGATAGGGAGGAGACGGAGATCGCGACGACGATGGTCCAGGCCGCGAAGAAAGCAGAAAGGGAGGGAGGTAGCGGCGCGGGAGGGGGTGGAAGAGGTGGTGGTGCTGGTATGTCGGCGGAGGCGGAGGCAAGGAAGCGCCGCGAGGAAGGAAAAGTCGGTCGCCTGTGGAAGGTAGGGCTCGCGAGCGTGGCGGGCGCCGCGATTATTGGTGTTACGGGCGGGCTGGCGGCGCCGGCGGTGGCGGGCGTCATCGGCGGGCTGATGGGGTCGGTCGGGCTCGGCGGCCTCGCGAGTTTTCTGGGACTCTTCTGGATGAACGGGGCGCTCGTCGGGACGCTGTTCGGCGCGTTCGGAGCTAAGATGACGGGCGGCATGGTCGATCGGTACGCGAAGGAGGTCGAGGACTTCAAGTTCCTGCCGCTGAAGGAGGAGTGGGGGCGCGACTGGGCTGATAAAGAAGGGGATGGGGCGAAGGATCGCAGGTTAAGGGTCACGATCGGGATTAACGGATGGCTTACGGCGGAGGAGGATGTGACGAAGCCGTGGAGGGCGCTGGGCGACGAGACGGAGGTTTTTGCCCTCAGGTACGAGATGAAGAGTCTGATGGCGCTCGGGGAGAAGTTGAGGGGCCTGGTGGCGTCGGCGGCGTGGAGCGCGGTGAGGGCGGAGATCTTGCAGCGCACGGTCCTGGCTACGCTTTCGGGCGCGCTCTGGCCTATCTTCCTTCTCAACTCGGCGTCGAACATAGATAACCCGTTCAGCCTCGCGAAAAACCGGTCTGAGAAGGCGGGTAGGATCCTCGCCGATGCCTTGATTAATAGGGTTCAGGGAGAGCGGCCTGTGACGCTGGTGGGGTACTCGCTGGGCGCGCGGGTCATCTATGCGTGTCTGCGGTCGCTGGCGGAGAGACATGCGTTCGGGCTTATAGATACGGTGGTCTTGATCGGGGCGCCGGTCCCGTCGAACACGGGGCACTGGGAGATGATGCGCACGGCGGTGTCCGGCCGGCTTTTCAATGTGTATAGCGAGAACGACTATATTCTAGGCTTCCTGTACCGCACTACAAGCTTACAGCTCGGTATCGCCGGCCTGCAGCCCATCGCGGGCGATATCGAGGGCGTCGAGAATCTGGATCTGAGCAATGAGGTTACCGGCCATCTTAGATATCCGGAGCTTGTAGCGAAGATATTGGCCCGCTGCGGTTTCCCCGACGTCAGGGGTGGCAAGGGAGCGATCGAGAAGGATGACGGGAAGATCGAGATCGAGCTCAAGGATAGGGATTGGGCGGAAACTGGCAACTTGATCGACGTGGAAGATAAGCCGGAGAAGAACGAGAAGTTTGATCCGATCGTCAAGAACGTGCTGGAGTTGAAGAGCGATGTTGGGGTTAGGGATGCGAAGATGGGCGGTTTGAAGGATGCGAAAGAACGGGATGTTACCCGGACTACTACGTGGACGGCTGCTCCTGTGCCTCACCCGGGTGAGGTGCGGCGTGCTGCTACTTTCTCGTCTGTATCTACGGCTACGACGCAGGTTGATCCGCCGCCTGCGTATCCGGGCACGGGGCAGACTGCTGGTCACGGTGGTAACAGCGATTATGATCACGCTTACGATTCAGAAGAGGAGGGATTTGGCGGGATCAGGATGATGGACAACGACTCTGACGGAGGTGAATTGACTTTCATCGAACCACTACATATCGAGGATAACTAGGTAGTTACGCTATGTAGATTTCTTAACGTGCACAAATAGGAGACAAGACGCTACCTATATACCCAGGCAAGGAGTTAATAGGAGGATTTTCTATGGAAAACATCACGATGCCGAGATGAAATATTTGCTTTTTAAGCGGACTAAGTCCGTTGTTACCTATGTGCGACGTCCATAACTCAACTTCTGTAGGTATATTATAAGAACCCCTTTTTCTTCCCATTCAAATACCCTACTCGACGAATTATTGATTTACAGGATAATTACATAATATGTTAATCGCTGTAACCAGCAATCCTACAGGTGGAGAGCTACCAGATAATAGGTACCGTGTACCTGTGCAATGGTCGCTGATGCAGACACCCGTCGGCCCCGAGGATTTAGTGGGAATGAGCTATCACACGCCATATCTTGCCGATAGCCTACCCCTTAGCACGTTCCTGAGAGGGGCCGGAGTCTCCCCAATATCAAGTCCAAGCTACCGGAATTATTCAACCCTCCTGACGTCAGCGGCATGTTTACCATCTTATCTTCTTCTATTCCTCTTTCTAGAGAGGCTACGACCTAGTAGACATTATAGAAGAAATCAATCCGCCTAACCAACTCACACAACGAGTTGTTAGGTATTAACATTGAATCATTCTTGTACCACTCTACATCACAAAAATGGTCACATTCAACCTCGCCTACACAGCGCCCATCAACCCCAGCGGGACATCGCCCGCGCTGACACTAGCCCAGGTCTGGGCCGGGCTGAAGCGCAAGGTGCTGCGGGCGCAGGACTTCGTGCCGATCATCGAGGAGTGCGTAGTGCTGGTGGAGTCGCAGGACCACACGTCGGGCAACGAGACGGTGACGCGCGAGGTGCGGTTCAAGGCCGGGTCGGAGCCGGCGGCGGGCAGCGGCGGCGCGCTGGTCCGCGAGGTGTGCGCACACTTCGCGCCGTGCAGGGTGGATTTTAAGCAGCCTGACGGCAGCACCGTGTCGAATATCGTGAGCGAGGGCCCCGATGGGGGGTTAATGATGACGTACGCTTTCGAGTGGAGGTACCCTGGTGTTAAGGAGGGGAGCGAGGAGGCGAGGGTGCTTGAGGAGAGGAGTTGGAAGGTAAGTGGGATTTCCTTTCTTTTTGGAGATGAATGGTGTAGGTACGTTAATTGCTGACGGGTGTCTGGGGGAGTAGACGGCGAAGATGGCTGTTCATGGAACTATTGATACTATCCGTCGACTAGTGAAGGATGGTGAGATTACGGCATGATATTTATTAGGGTTGGTTTGGTTTGGTTGGGATCGCTCTGGACGGGCATAAGGTGCGAGTATTAATAGGGAATACCGACCAGTGGGAAAAAATTGAGCTGAGTTTTACTTTACACAGCAGTCTGTAAGTAATAAAAGGCAACCAGTGTCTACGTCCTCGTTCGACCGGTAACTTGATGCCTTCAAGGGAGCTAGGGAACGACTTACTGAAATGTCAGACTTGTTAATATATGTTGGGTGTCACCCTAAAAACCTACGTATTCAAACATATTCTTTGGGAAGCTCGCGGTGATATAAATCTCATTCCATTTCGGTGTTATCTATGACAGCTAACCTAATATCTCCTTACAGTAGAAGGAATGCAGTATCCAAGGAGTATCCCCCTCATCATGACTGTGCCTAAACCATGCCAACCCCTAGTTTGACAGAACCATCACACGTATCGTCGCTCTATTATGTCCTGGATAGGTACTGGTGTTCCCACTGTGCCCTTCCAACCGAACTGGGCTGGGTCCTCGTGCCATACGATCGCAGCCGGGCCAGGTTCTGGGCTCAATAACTCCTCTCCCTCGGGCTCGGTGCTCCAAGACCAAATGAGCCCCTGGCTTGTAATCTGTTGACGTCGATCCTCGTCTGCTATCATGAAGAACCAGTCGTAATGTCTGCGAAAGTTGAATACACCAGGGTCAAAGTAACCGCTCACTTTTGACCATTCGATTTCATCCCGATTTAATCCACTATACCATGTTCTCTTAGTTGTCCAGGAATGGGACTGTCGGTCCGTACACCGATTAAAATAAGGACAAATGTGGTAGCTCGACCAAGGAAGTGACAACAGAGTGAAGGTTTCGGTCTCTTGGGACGGAGTACCGTTATGCCACAGAGAGAGGGGAAGTATATATAATTTGTTCCGAAGATCATCATGAGCGTGCCACGGGAAATCAAATTCTTCTCTCGGGCCGCGGCCAGCAGCGTGTAAACTCCAGTCATTGCCTAGGTGCACAGTCAGCAAGATTCAACATATGTGGATAGAGTCTCGACATCAATAAGTCTAATAATTAGAAAACTTACAAGACCATTCGGAGGAAGTTATCATCCTCATGAAGGCGTAAGCCCGATCAACATCCCAGAGTGGAAAGGTCCGCCAGAATTTATCAGCGAGTTTTGCAAGATTATTCTTGGGGATAGTGCAAAACAGTCTGATCCCGGCTTCGGCCAGGTAGATAATTCGCCTCATTTGCATGACTTCGGTATCTGTGAAGACCCTTCTGCCTGACTTAAGTGGCCACAGCGTAGCGTACGTCGTAGTCCAGTCTATCAGGAGCTCAACGCTTACGCTCAGCTCGCGCATCAAAGCGAGAGCACGGAATTGATACATATGCGATTGCCTTGTACCCGGGTTGACGTATTGCTTGATGAACTTCTGGACGCGGCGAGCGTCTGGGTACTCGATGAGCGTGGCCTTGCAGGCCAAGAATGCTAATTTGGCTACCTCGGGATCGTCGTCCTCAAGGAACGTAGCCGCCATGTTGCGAGCAATCGTGCCCTCGTTCTCCACGGTGATAGCAAGGTTCTTGTGCGAAGTTGAACCGAATGCTAGAACCGACTTTAGGTCGGGAAGCTTAGAAACGATATTGACGATCAGTTCAGGGGCTAAGCGGTCGAAGGGGCTGCCCCTTTTCCTGGCCATCATGTTGGGAAGCTTAGAAACGATGTTGGCGATTAGTTTAGGGGCTAAGCGGTCGAGGGGACTGCTCTTTTTTCTGACCACCGTGATGTAAAGGCCGGACATAACGAGTTCGTTCAAGGAAAATAGTGTACCTCGGCTTTGGGAATTCGAGGGTTGTTGAGAGGGAAGAGATTTGAAGTTCGACTTCCCTATTGTTAAATAAACTTCATACCTGGGCTTGGTAGTTGACTTGAATCCTCCACACATCACTTGTGACGCGGCTCCGGATGGGAACTTGAACTAGCTGATAGAATTCTGGTCTCATCAGTATACGTGACCTAATAATATTCTAGAATTATCATACACGTTTGTAGAAGTTTGCATTCTGTCATCTTTACGCACCACTCATTCATCTACTCCTAATTACTCCCTTAGTCACATTTCGGATGTAACGCTTGAATCTATCGACGTCCAATGGAGATCAACTGGGTAGAAGTTTAAGTAGTTGAGGATAGCCTGGTTTAACTATCTAACGAAAAGGGGCTGACATCGATTAGGTCATTTGAACTCTTCTTTTGACGCTTCCCCAAAAGGCATTCACAGAATCTCGTCACATTTATAATATAATATCCGTGCCTATCTCGACAACTTCTCAAAATGATGTTCGTACATCAAATCCAGCCGCACAGTGAACTTCTCTCCATGTTTAACCTCTTGCCCTGAATGCCATAACATACGCTGTTGGAAAATTAATGCCCGGCCTATCTTAGGTTTGACATCCCAGAACGCTTCTTCTTCAACGGGCTTCTCATTTTCCTCTTCCACTTCACCCGAATTCTTCTTTCTTCCTAAGCCGAAACGACTTGGCCAGAACCTGGTTTCTCCCCCGGGACTCTCCACTGGGTTTTCGCCTTTAAGCATGTCACTCAAGTATATCTGACATGTAAGGAAACTCCTTTCCTTGTCACTAGGCGAGTACAGTGCATCGCAATGCGGCTTGAAGTGATTCCCGGGACGATATCGTAGAATACTTAACCTCTCGTTGGCTCCGGTGAGTCTCCAGACTGTCTTGCTAGCTCCCTGACTAGCCTTGAGATTAGGCAAGCCTGCGATGGTCTCGGCTAACGCATCACCCTTCTTCAAGGCTTTGACTTCTTCCGGTAAGTACGGTGAGAGTCTCTCGGATATGGCATTGGCCCATTCAGGTGAGACGGAATAGATCCGCTCGCACTCGCGCCATGAGTTCCCTTTGTTCAGTGTCTTCCAGTGTGAGCCTGCAGATGCTAGGATGGCGGCACATTCTGCAGGTGTAAGGAGATTGTCTATAACCATTGCGAAGCAGGGACTGTAGTGATCCGCTAAGGGCGTCTGGGAGAAGTCGATGCGATTTACTGTTATTAAAGGTTCATCTGGACCTTGAGGGTTGAATAGGGGCTCCTCAGCCCGATATATTTCTAACGTCATAGTGGTAAGCTTTGTAAGTGCAGTCCTATAACAGTTTCAAGATAAACGATCTATGACCCAAGCATCAAGTGTTGTAATATAGCAAACATGAAATAGGTATGTCGAAACTGATTGAAATAGGTGAGCATGGCCCTTTTCATGAGAGACAGTCCGTTCGCCAGTGCAATTGTCTTTTACTAGGTAAAATATATACATCCATGTCATTAGGCTTCTACGTACGGAGTAGATGATGAGTCATAGTAATGATGCTGATCATGTATTCATAGAGCGAAACATGAGGCAATTGTAGTGGATGTTTGGTTGATGTGCAGTTGGTGAAGGAGGAAAGACTGCGGATGATGGGGCACGGGTAGTGGGCAGCAGCTGGGAAGCTGGAACATGACCTCGGATGTTACCTTAGCACCGCCACATAAGCCCCCTTTTAAGCCCCCTTAAAACAATGAATTTCTGGAATTGTGCATACAACGTTAAATTTATAATTTATGCTGAAACCGGACGTTGCGATTTCTCATTTGGGCCCCACTACTGCGACAAAACAAATGCTCGAACTTTTTGATTCATCACGACGCTGGCAAAAAACGGCCTTCTCTTTTTACGACAAACGCTGACGAGAATTCTTTGACTTCTGCCTGGCGCAAAGTCGCAACCCGCACTCACCTGCTAGCATCGAGAACTTTTAAAAGTTCATTCACACTTGCAACTTTTTGCCGCCCCTTACAACCGTCAATCGTCACTCCTGCGACCGTTGATCTCGACGCTGCCCCTCCATCGCACCTTACCTCTGTTCCTCTATTCTCGACTCGTCCCTTCCTACTTGCCATCGCACTAGGAAAGATATTGTGTCATAATTCATAAGGTTCTGGCGACCTAGGGCTTATACTTATTTGTTCCCTGAGCTCCTGCCTTTTAATTTAGCTCAACCTAGACGGAACCTTGCATTTGCTTCTTCCTTGAAATTTCAGGTCGCAAACGAATAACGTCTACTATTTCTTCCTCATTTCAACCGAATCTCTCGTCTGCACTGGACCCACTACTATTGAGTGTTCACATTGAAATTCACGATGTCAGAACAAGTTGATCTCACGACTATCCCCATTTCTCCTAATGGAGACACCAAATCCTCGGATTCGGAGAGCAATGGCAACCTGATTACGGTGTTCCATGACAAAGATAACTTCAATGTCAAGCACCCCCTTCAGAACAAATGGACCCTGTGGTTTACTAAGCCCTCCAGCGGCAAGGTTAGCATCTCTTGATTCCTCGGCACGTCGCATAATTTTAAAGGGCCGACACTAATATCGGATAGGGCGACAACTGGAACGACTTGCTTAAGGAAGTTATTACCTTCAATTCTGTCGAGGAGTTCTGGGGCATCTATGTAGGCGTCTGCGACCATTTCATTACATCCCGAGTCTAACTTTATCATCCCAGAACAATATTGCCCCCGTTTCCGACCTGGCCCTCAAGTCAGACTACCACCTTTTCAAGGAGGGCGTGCGACCCGAATGGGAGGACCCCCAGAACAAGCATGGCGGCAAATGGTCTTACCAGTTCAAGGACAAGCGCAACGTTGACATCAACGACCTTTGGCTGCACACTATGTTGGCTGCCATCGGTGAGACTCTCGAGGAAGAGGACGATGGCGAAGTCATGGGCGTCGTTGTCAACGTCCGCAAGGCCTTCTACCGTATCGGCGTCTGGACCCGAACTATAGGAAAGAGCATCCCGGGACGAGGAGACGGCGACGTGTCTGGTGGCAAGGGTCGACCTCTCGACAAGGGCCAGAAGATCTTGCTTGCTATTGGCAAGCAGTTCAAGGACATCCTCAAGCTCCCTCCCAACGAGGTGGTCGAATTCTCCGGTCACACCGATTCTGCTCACAGCGGCAGCACCCGAGCTAAGGCAAAGTTCACGGTCTAAGCGGAGGTCTAATGAACTTTCTGCAGTTTTGGCAGCATAATGCGATATTGCCTCTCATCGATTGGTATTCTCGAATAAGGAGAATCTGGCACGTTCGCTAGCGATCTCTTTCTAGTCACCGATGCAGGATATTATGGTTAATGATGGGGAGGAAGGTTTATTCTACTTGGCACAAGTGGTGGCCTAGTCCTCGGCATGATATGCATTCCGCTTCTGGCACCTAATCGCAAGGGCCGGGGAATAAATGAGTACGGTATGCTCATCAGCTGCGCTGCACTTCTATCTGCTCAAAGCATGTAATGCTACGGCTCCTCGTTTTCCGCAGATCGCAGGCAATATTACGAATTAATATGAAACCACAAGTCTTAAAACATTACTGTGATTCGATCACGTTAATTCCCTTGTCCCAAATATGTAAACACTTGTCATAATTGAGATTCGAAACTGAAACAGGTATGTAGGTAGCTAAGTGAAATACTTGTCCTATAGTGGCGAGCGAGCCTCGTTCATTCTAACTCTACTGCAGTAAAGGATAAATAGGCCGCCGACGAAGTGTATAAAAAACAAGAGAGAAGAGGGGTGGAAAGGAAAAAGGAATTTCCTATATACAGATTGATGAAGCCCTATCGAAGACGGAATATTCGAACAAATATAGACAGATATAAGTCCTCCCGCGTAGATATAAACCCCCTCGAGTCTCAACAAAGTGAGAAATTCCGATGCCCCGCTGTATATGCGACAACACCTTGCTCCCGCTTTCATATCATTTCGTCTTATTCCCGATATTGAGAGCTGTTTTGCTCGAATCGGTTTGTTGGTTTATTCGCCCATCTCGTTTTCTTTCTCGTGTTGAATCTATTAAGATCCTTTCATCCCATCTCATGTCATACCTTCTTGGTCGGCGATGTCCATGCCAATCCGACCAGACATCTTCATCGTGCCTAAACCGTGATATCAAATGCCTCCCTCCCTCCAACTTCCAAGATAATACCACACGCGTAAGTAAGATTCAGGGTACCAAAACCGAACCCCCACCCCTTTTCTTCTTCCCAAAAGCAGGGGAGTCATCTACATCTCGTCCCCGCTAAAATCGTCCAAGAACACCTTCCGGAGCAAATCCTTCTTATTAATCTTCCCCATCGCATTCCTCGGGATATGCTCGACCACCCTGAGGACCTGGGGGATCTTGTAATTCGCCAACCTGCCCTTGAGCGCGCGCCGCATGTCGAGCGGTCTCCACGCGGCATGTTCCCGCAAGTACTCGGGAGAATGAATAATCACGGCGCCGACCTTCTGTCCCCACTTGCCCGACGGGACCGCCACGACAGCCGCCTCCGAAATCTCCGGGAGGGAGAGGAGTTCGCGCTCGACTTCGAGCGCGGAAACCTTTTCTCCGCCCGATTTGATGATATCCGCGCTCTGGCGCCCGAGGATGAAGTACATGGGGCCCTGTGCCCAGTCGCCGCTGACCTTATTTCCGGCGGCGGGCACGGGCCTGCGAACAGCAACATCGCCAGTCTTGAACCAGGGGCCCTTGCCGTCGTCCGCGGGGACGAACTCCTTGGCCGTGGCGGCGGGGTTGGCCCAGTACTCCCTAAACACGTTTTTGCCGCGGAGCTGGATCTCGCCGGACCTTTCCTTGGCCTCGCCGTCGAGCGAGAAGTCGTCCTCGACGAGGACGCCCGTCTCGCTGTCCACGAGCCGCGCCTCGACGCCGGGAAGCGGCCAGCCGACGCTGCCGTCGACGCGGTCGCCGAAGTCGAGGCCGCACGACAGCGCCATGCCGACCTCGGTCATGCCGTAGCGCTCGAGCAGGACGTTGCCGCGGCTCAGGTCCCGCCACGCGCGCTTGACTGGCGTGGGTAGCGCCGCGGACCCCGAGATCGAGACGCGCATGTGCTCGGGGCTGATGGCGATGCGGCCGGCTTCGGCAACGGCAGGCGGCAATGTCTTATGCGTGGAGAGAAGGCGTGTGTAGACCGTAGGCACGACGGTGAAGAAGGTGATCTTGACTCGCGACATGTTCTTGTACTGTTCCTCAGCGGCGGGGTCGCTGGCTTTGGGCGGCTCCGGTTGCTTGACGGGGGCAGCTGGTTCGGCAACCGGAGTGGTGACGCCGTTAGTTGAGGCGATCGGGGTGTCGAATCCTTTGGCCGATAGGGCAGGGGACGGGATCGCACCGTTGGTTTGCTGGGAGATGGCGTGGTTGAGACCGTTTGTTAGAGCGAGCGGCTGGCTGGGTTGGCTGATCTTAGCGGCCAGGTTGTTTACTTCAGCGGCGAGCTGGCTGATCACTGCTGCTAGACGGCCAATTTCAGACGAGGCAGGATTACCGAATCCGCCGAGTTCTAGAGCTGGAGTGGTAGTGCCATTCGTTTCTGTGATAGGAGTGACGATGCCGTTCGACTCCGCAATAGGAGGGTGGAATCCGTTTGTTTTCACAACCGGGTGGGCAACGCCGTTTATAATACCGTTAGGCTTAGCAATACCATTGGTCTTGACGCCATTTGTGATGCCATTCGCCTTCACCGCAGGAGAAACACCGTTGGCCTTGACTGCAGCAGCAACTTGAGGCGAGTCCAAGAACGGAGATGCAAATCGTCGCCATACGGTGTCCGCGTTGAAGGGGAAGAGGAATTCAATGCTGCTGCCCGCAAACAGGGGTGTGAGTACTGCATTTACCGTGCCGTGGATGTGGTGGAGGGGTAGCACGTGTAGGAGTCTATCTGAAGGCGAGTATTTCCAGGCCTCAATCAAGGCGTGAGCCTGCGCCGTAAGCGCGCTTTCTGGCAACAGCACACCCTTCGGTCTGTTGGTCGTACCAGATGTGTAAAGCATCATACCGGCACCCTCCGTATCATCTTCTACGAGTTCAACCGGCTCGAATGTCTCCGAAATTGCACCGAAGTGCTTCGGCAGCTCGACGGGAATTGGTGATGGCGTGACATCGAGTTCTTTGCTCGGTGTGTTGAGAACCTCGTCGACTTTCGATGCATATTTTGACGAGTGCAGCAAGAGTATAGCTCCAGACTGCGATAAGATGTATTGTAGCTCGGGAGCTGGGAAGGGAGGAGATAGTGGTAAAGCGATGGCGTGCGACGCTAGAACAGCAAGATACGTGACTAGAGTGCGCAAGTAAGCAACTTTACGTCGTATATCATATACGGCGTTGGGTCCGGTCAGCGCATACCAACATAGTCGTAACTGTTCTCTATTAGAAAAGCCACCCGTTCGCCCCGGATGTCCGACTTGCCCGCCGCCTCTAGTATCCGGTCACGCGTGCGGGATACATCTGGAAGAAGTTCGCCGTACTTGAAGGTTCGACGAGATAAGCAATGAACGATAGCTGTTGATTGCGGGTTATGGCTGGCGATGGCTTCGAAGATGGGCAACTTCGGGAGAGTCAGAGTGGAAGCCATCCTGACTTGGGTGGTGAAATTGCCGAAGAGGGGGGATGTGTTTGAGCGAATTGAGGAAGAACAAGAACGCTGATAACGCTGGTCAAGACGAGGGGTAATATATGTAGAAGTAGTATAAGCAATAGATGCCAAAAAACCACGAGTTAAGCAATGCGCGGCTGAAACAGACCTAAGCAGCTGGAATGACGACGGTGCATTAACGATAAGTTGAAGCCCGGTACCGCTCAATCGCATCACGGGGTATTAAAGAAAGGAGAGCGTAGGTGAATTAAGTAGTCCCAAAGCCTCCCTCTCTCTCTTTGGACGTAATGCCCCCCCATGCAAATCCTTCTGAATAGGCAGGAGGAGGAGCCGGAGGACGGATGGGGGAAAATGGGTATTTCAAATACCAAGAACTCGCGAACAGGGGGGAAGATGCTGTAAGTCGGCCCAGTTAGATCCGTTTGATAGGTACTTTTTCTTATTCTTTCTGTACTTCTGGCATGTATATTCGTGTATCCTGAGCTTTAGACAGATAAGTGGCAAGCATTCGAACTTCCAGAACTTCGGACAATCGTTTAGAATATGCCCGAGATCACCGTTGGGTGTTAAGCTGTCCAGGCCCTAAAGTCGTAAGATGAAGAATGAGGTTAGTGAGGTTAGAGACGCATTTAAATTGTTGAGGATTCTCGGGGTCGCTTTTTCTACCGTAACTCCTGCTAATTGGTCAATTAGTTCCAGTAACTTTAGCTCGTCCCGGTCCGCATGCTTACATCGGCCGGCCTAAAATATCCTTAGCTTGCCCCACTAGAACCTTGAAGCATGTAGACTTATGTACGTACCTACTCGATATAGTCGCTCTTGTAACTTCGCTCTCCAAGATCTTTCATCATTCGTCCGTTTCACCACCTTCGCTGGCACCCTACCTCCCCCTTTGGGCCTACACCATATCTGATCGGGAATTTAAAAGATTCGATCCTAGGGCTCTCGATACCAGGAAAACCTGGCCAAAAACAGGTTCGGGGTAACCTTACATCCTACATCTCACATAGACACCTACATGTTGCAGAAACACGTGCGAGCCTGGACCAGCAGGGCGACCAGACAGCTCTCCACTATGGCATCATCCGCAACCTCCAATACACCGATGGAGGATGCCATTCGGGCAAAGGTGAATATGCACACTCAGCCTAGGGCTCCCGCATGAGTATAATATAGTAAGCGGTCTCACTAATCAGCTCGCCTCCGCGTCACTCAGATCACTGAGGCTCTCAAGCCCTCGACCCTGGAGATCTTTAACGACTCCCACAAGCACGCACACCACAAGGCCATGGTGGGTAGCACTTCCAAGGAGACGCACTTCAGACTGGTAATCACCTCCGAGGCTTTCAGGTCCAAGATGCAGCCCGCCCGACATCGCATTATCTACCAGCTACTGGAGAGTGAGATGGCTCAGGAGGGGGGTATCCACGCCTTGCAGTTGCGGACTATGACGCCGGAAGAGGAGGAGCGAAGAAAAGAACGGGAGCAGCAGAGCTCCGCTAGTGCCACGGCCGAAGCAAGTTGAACATGGGCAAAGTCTGGGACTTGGAAGCGGTTGATGTGTGTACGATACTGTCGTGCGTACGAGAAGATGTCAGGCTTAACTTGGCAAATGACTCTAGCAAATACACGATGACTCACGATCTGATATGCCATTCCTAGTACGCCGACGAAGACCGGGATCCTAATCATAGATAGGTAAGTTTGTTCAGTCAGACTATACGAGAACACGTAACTATATTTGTGTCTTGACGTATAAAACGAAGTCAAGTGTGTTGGTAATTAGAAAAATCAACCTTACTAGTTGAAAGTCCTTGGCATGTTTAAACGCGCGGAGTGCCAGCAAGAACCAAGCATGGAGTCAAGAGAATGTAAGCTGTAAAGTATAAGAGTATACCTTTTGACGTGTCATATTGGTCACCTAACGAGACACGTAGGCGGTGTCGTTACTTGAGGTGTCTGGTCCCATTGGTGACCTGGAAGGTGGTATTATCAAACATCTGGCATCAAGAATCTTATCAAAAACTTTGTTCATGAGTGTCTTAGTATCAAAAGTAGTAGCAAGGGGTATCTTAGCCGTATAACATGCAATAGTTCCTCCTAAAGCACCGCAGACCAATCCGACTGTTTACACGTTCCTTTACACTGGTGCTCATTGCTCATTGCTCATTCTCTCTGAGCAGATGTCGGGGTATTGCTCACAGGGGCTGAGCTTGCAATTTCTTCCTTCTCCCGTTTCTTCTTCCATCTGTTTATGGACATAGCAATCCTTGCTTCGTCCATATATTTCTTCTTACTCTTCCTACTGCCCGCCGTAGAACTCGGTGCGATAGAAGGTGCGATAGAAGATTGTCTCTCACGTCTCGAGATGTCAGGGTCGAAGCTTGTACTGCTTTCCGCTTCAGAACGTGGGAGTGAGTTAACTGAGAGACGTTTCGGTCCATTGCTGTTGAGCTCCTCGCTAGCTTTCCTCTTTTGGCGAGTTACGTCGGAAAAGGATCGCGCGAGTACTTTGGTGCCGGTCGGCCTTTTCTCGATCTCGCCAAAAGACTTGTGGAGTGGCATGACTTTACGGCTCACCGCAGGTGGCTGCATAGACGCGGTTGGTTTTGAATATGCAAAATCATTTTTATCAACTGCCGGTTTTGAGGCGGCAGGTATCGCACTGCTCGACTCCTCATCCATAAGAGTGTCATCTTCGTCCTTTGAGACAGGTTTATGCCCATCTACAAGTAGAGCAGCGTCGGGAGTGCTGGTTACTTCCTGGGCTTGTGAGGGTGTCAACCCTAAGAGATTATGAGCAGAACGAAGCTCATCTGGATAATGATCAAGTGTCGACTGAAGATTCTGCTTTGTAATGACTCGTGAAGTGAATAGCGGGTCATCGTCTATTCCGTTATACCACTCGAGGGCGTTCAACGCCTTGACAGGAGGATCAGCATCGTCGCAATCCCGAACGTATGGCACATATCCTTCATGCCAAGCCCGGATAAAGTCATCGTAAAGTGAAGTTCGTATCCTTCGTTGTTGAAGTTGGATGTACATGCAAGCCGTTACAAAATCTCTAATGGTTCCATTGTAATTTGGATACGTTACAGTGTAACGGACGAATGGTGGTTGCGAATCTGAATCCAAACAGGGTTCGACCTCAAGCCGGGTCTGTGAAGTAGGTAGAGCAGATGGCGAATATCCTAGTACCGGTGACTGAGGTTTGTATTCAGGCGAGTGACATTGGGCTTCGGGAGAATTTTGAACGTTATGTTCTTCATGGCTGATATGAGACTCCTTAGATGGAGAAGTGACCGGGTCAACAGTCCAACCTGGCATACCCCTGGATAACGCTTCACCTGGCATGGTTGAGGGTATTATGGAGGAGGATGTATTGGTCGTTGACAAAGAGCTCTGAATATCAGTAGTGGGCGAATCTATATGCCCTAGTTGTGCTGCGTTGTGGTTAAGATGTGCTGACGTCGGTTGTTTCTCTGGCCGACGATATAGTGGAGGGACCGGTTTGTAGACCCGTTGCTTTTGTACCACCTCTTGCTGCTTGGAAGATTGGTCTGACAATGGGAGAGTGCATGGCACAATCTGGGCAGAGGGCGGTGTTGCAAACGTCGAAACAGCTGACTTATTGACAGGTGGGATGCTGTTGTGAACGGATATTGGTACTTCAACATCTAGGGGTTCCTCTTCTGGGTTGCTTGATGGAAAAACCACAGGTTCTCGTTTGACTGAGGCAGGCCCCGCAAGCCCCGTGGGCTCCGTGAGCCGAGGAGATGATACGGGAGGTGGTTGTGTAACAAATCGCAGCGGAGTCTCTTTGTTATCAACTCTCTGGGGTGGATATTTGTTCTTTTCCGGACTTGGCGGCCAATCATCGTCAAAGGGTTGGGACTGCAAACTTGGAGCTGGGCTATCTTCTTTTCCATCTTGATCGGTATCGTCGGAAGGTGGATGGAGCGGAGAATTTGACGATTCACTCAATTCACTCAGGTCCTTGGATTCCTCTACTCCTTCTGGTTGCGCCTCTTCTAATTGCCGGGCGTGACATTCTTTCAACCCTTCTATAACGTGACACGGCACATTAAGAAAAGGCTTAGTACAATTGCTTTGAAATGCTGCCCATGATTGTGGATGTTCAAGAAGTTTGCGTTGATCGGCTGGTATTCTGAATAGGCGTCGTTGGAGACGTTTCTCCTCGAGAATACCTGGAACAGTGGACTGAAGAGAGCCAAGCTCTGTTGTCGATTTCAAGTTCTTCGTCATCTTTTACTGATAGTAAAAACATCGTCTATAACAGGAGATATGAAGGATGATGGGGCAAATCATCAGGCATCCTGACGTTTCTTGCCAAAGACTAGTGCCCGAATGATGTGGATCTATGAGAAATGTGCTCTGTTGGTGATTGGTGATTTGTGCGTTGAGAAGTGTTAAACGCGTTTAACGCGTGAAGAAAGGATGGTGGTGGGTCTGAGACTTAAAGAGCATATGCGAATTCACGTGCCTGCATCTTGTACAACTGTACGAAGTACATCCGAGTCATTGGCTCGGGAGCTTGGACCCTATCAGCTTCAGCTGACATTGCGGGGCCTTAACACCATTTAGGTTATTTCATCCCACGTTGTACACTAATTTACAGGTAGGTTTGCCGCTAAGGTCAAAGTATCTTCCTCGTGAAAAAAACAGTAGTGGGGTTAAGTAGGTAAGGCAGTCGCCGTTGCCTATCAAAAGCTGAAAAGTGGGCCACGGAGCTCGATAAGACTTCAAGGTTCCCGGTTTCGTTTATTGCATCACCTCCAGATCTTGGTTCTTTACAAATCAAAACTTCAGAATATCTTCACCCTGTATGAGGGGTACCTTCACTTTCTCATTCCTGGCGGCTGCCGCCATGTATTGTTGATCATATCTCGCTATCGACCTGTGTTTTTTTCAAAACGGGTCTCTTGATTCGTTCTTATATGAAGCATATGGCGATTGGCTACCAAATGACCAACTTCCGAAGAACATTTGCTTCTTCAACCACAAACTTCGCATATAAAAGCAAGCATTGCTAATCGCATCCAGAGGGTAGGAAGGTAAACCAAAATCAGACCAAGAATTCTCTACTTCTTGCACATAGTTGCTGATAGCTATCATTCGAAGTGCTCTACCAAGTTGGATTGCATTGCTCATGTCTCAAACGAATCGTCACCATGTCTGACAAGAAACCTCCGACTCCGCTTTCCCCTTCGACAATAGCTTCTTCCATTCCGAAATCTCGACAAGGTTCTATTGCTTCAGCCTCATTTATCCCTCCCGAAATCGACCAAGAACAGCTCTCTCAGGCGCTTGATAAGATCCATACTTCTGCTAAAGAGAGAGATGTCCTGACAACATTTAACGATCTCGCACCCCCGCCCGACTTGGTTGCTGCTAATGAAAGCAAAGGGCTTGCGAGTGATATCATGCAAAATGGGTTGAGTGGCCTATATTCTCGATTTAAAGAGGCAGTGGGGGTTAGCGGGAAGGATAAATCTACAGCAACAACACCTACGAATACTAAGGAGAGGGCCGACCCAAACGATGGCGACACGGCGTCCAGGAAAAGCTCCAGCACTACTGCTACGGCGTCCAAAGTTTCCACCTCATTGCTGCGCGCTGATACCGCAGTCACTAGTTCAACCCTTAGTTCGAATCTGTCCGACCCGATGGCATCTACTGTTTCCTCTGCGGGGGCGGCTATGACCAGTGAAAGCCAATCCCAGCAACCTCAGTCGACAATGGCCTCGTCTGTCACAAACCTAGGTGGTGTCGCTACTTCGAAATCCGCTTCCTCGAGCCGCCAGAGTATACCGAATATGACAAAGGCAACGGCTACTATTGCACCAGTACACGTCAGCGCTTTCAAAGAAGTACCTCGTGGCACGTCAACAAAGACTGAGGATGGTTCGAGTAAGGGAAGTGCTAGGAAAAGCAGTGCTAAGACGAATGACGGACAGTCCGCTGTTCCAGTCTCCGATATGCCAACGTTGCATGATATGCCGGGGAACAAACGCGTTCCCACCCTCGACAAGATCAACATCCCTAATCATACTTCTATAGATGGAAATATTGATTCACCTACTAGTCCTATAAAGAGGTCAAATGTTGCCTCTTCCGTTTCTACGGCCCCTAACCATACTTCATCCGACTCTTACGTGTTATCTCAATCCTCCGGGCCTTCCGCCAAGGACATGGTTAGACGACCAGCTCTTATTGACAGGATCAGTTATTCTCGGGCTCGCGGAGATCTCTCAAGGTCCTCATCCTTGTCACGAGGAACTACCGAGCATAGTCCTATAAGCACATCTGCCCATAACAGTGTCCATCATGAGTCGTTTGCACCAGCCCCTGAGCCCCAGCGGATGAGATCGGGCGAGTACAGGATTCCCGGTACGACCGCGGACGAGGGCGCTCCTGAAATAGTTAACGCCAAACTTGCCTCTATGCGAAAACAGGTCTTAAGCAAGGACTTTTGGATGGCTGATGAGACTTGCAAGGAGTGTTTTTTGTGTGGTGCTCCATTCACTGCCTTCCGCCGTAAACATCACTGCAGAACTTGCGGTTGTATTTTTGATAGTGGATGTACTTCCATCATCGGAGGCCAACGATTTGGTGTCCAGGGGACACTACGTGTTTGTAACCCTTGCCTAAGCATCATTCTTCAAAGACAAGACGGGACGTTGTCGGATGATGATTCGGCCGACGACTCGTTTCTTCCAACCATTTTTCGCTCGAACCAATCCAAGCGAGGATATTCACCATATTCGAGGGCCGATCGAGACGATGCTAGTTTCTCCGAAAGGACCGAGGATTTTGACGATGACAGTAGATCACTATCCGCTCCAATGATGACGATTCCCGCCGCCAGACGCATTGGGGAGTCTTCGAACCGTAACTCGGCCGTATTAGAGATTGACGTGCCACAGCTTAGTAGACCAAGCTCGTCTAGATCTCTCAAGGCAGGTACATCGGGCAGGCCCCAGTCTTCAGGTCATAGGCGTCATCATTCAAAGCATAACCTATGGAATCGCCTTAAAGCTTCGCCGGAGCAAAGGGCGCCATTCCGAAAATCAGTAAGGGAGGAAGCTGGTAGAAGAACGGGTTTACATGCTTTCCATGATGACAATGTCATTGATCCCGATCTAGCACCATTTATGTCGGATGAATCTAGTGGCGATGAGCAGATGAGCATCGCTGGAGCAATGTCGGGATCAGATCTCTATCAACCAGCGACCGATTCTGAGAGGTCGAATTTCGGCGCTTATCTGAACGCCGGAAGGAAACTCAGAAGTCGGGGCCAAATAGAGAAAAGCATTAGTGGAGTGAGCTTCACTAGCCGCGGCCTCGACGAATTTCACCCGAGATCTTCTAGACGACGAAACTTGAGCATTGCTAGTGGGAATCACCTTCGCTCCCCTCGACCCAAATCGTCTGCACTGAGGGGGCCGACTGGCTCAAGTGAAACTCTCCCATTATTTGACAACTCTGGCGGATCTGGATTACCACGTCTTACTAGAAGTTCGTCCATGAAAGGAGATAAAGAGCCCCGCTTAGAACTCAACCCTGCAAGCCTGTTGCACGTTCGAAAACTTCTACGGCAGCTCCTTCAAGACTCGGATATACCAAACGTAACGGCATGGGAAAAGGCCCTAGTACCAGTACTCTTGAAATGCACCTCATCCGTGGATCCAGACATTAACGATGGAGACGACATTGACATCCGACATTACGTCAAGCTAAAGAAGATACCGGGGGGCAGGCCTAGTGATACCTGCTATGTTCCTGGTGTCATTTTTACGAAAAAGCTTGCATTGAAGAGTATGCCGCGCCGCATGTCTAATCCTCGTGTCGTAATTGTTTCTTTCCCAATCGAATATCAACGGCACCAGCAACAATTCATGAGCTTACAGCCAGTCATCGAACAAGAGCGAGAATTTTTGAAGCAGCTGGTGAATCGAATCACTGCTCTGCGACCTCAGCTACTGCTAGCCGAAAAAAGCGTATCAGGTCTCGCATTGCAATTCTTGTCAGACGCAAAAATTTCCGTAGCGTACAATGTGAAGCCATCTGTTCTTTCGGCCGTCTCCAGGTGTTTAGAGACCGAAATCATCTCTTCCGTGGACATGTTGGCGCTTCCTCCGCATCAGTTTCAGACAGGAAAGAGCACAAGCTACGAAGTGAAGACATTTGTCAACGAAGAAATTCCTGGTCGAAAAAAGACATACATATTTTTGTCAAGTAATCAGGAGGAGCTCGGATGTACTATCGCCCTAAGGGGAGCGTCTACGAGCATTCTTTCAAAGCTCAAACGCATAACCGAGTTTATGGTATACGTGGTATACAACCTGAAACTCGAGTCCTGCTTGATGCGTGATTCGTTTATTCAGCTTCCTACCAACGAAGATATGTCGAGGGATCCCTCACAACCCGCCGAGGGAAGTATGATATCGTTTGATACAAGGGCGTCCGTCATTGACGATGATGGACAGAGAAGCGTGCCTAAATCTTCCCAGGACGAAATACCTTCGAGTCAAGAAGAGCCTCCTTTGGAGAAAGCGGCCGAAGTGCTACCAAGTGATACCGCACCACAAGATCAACCACCCTTGCAACCGGCTCAGCCCAATGACCGGGTGGTTTCTTTACACGAGTCGCATCCTCGTTCTGTTCATGACACCCCAGTTCCAGAGGACACTCCAATGCCAACGTTCTATAGTGATATGGTGGCCAAGTATGAGACTAAGATTCTCTCCGCGTCTCCGTTCGTCAAATTCGCCCAACCGTATCTACTTATGAAAGCTCGGGAACAGGAAAGGAAACTGCTGCATCTGAAACGATTACGCGATCATGACGTGGTAGATGAACATGTGGATGGTGAAAAATCAAATCCTCAAAAGTTCCAGCTCATTAAGCCACAGATGGTACTTGAAACTGACCACAAAGCGCCTCGACAAATGATGGAAATACTTCATGCGGTCCACGACGCTGAGTATGACAAAGCCTTCTACAATTATCAGACCCAGACGCGCCAATGGGAAAACTACATCCAAAGCAATATTGGTCTATTCGAACCTTATGCGCATCAGAACATAGTTGTCCTTCATTCGATTATTTGCACTGAAACCAAAATTCCGTGCTTGGAGCCTACCTTATTCGCTTTTGGTTTCTATGATGAGCACGTCGATGAAAGCAGCGGCATGGCCCCCGACTGCACGTTGGGACAATATATCGAGGACGTCTGCTATAGCGCCGATACCAATTGCACGGCTAATGGATGTGATCGCAAGATGTATGAACATCACCGAACGTACGTTCATGGTGAAGCACGCATCACTATCTTCATTGAGCAGGATACTAGAGGTAGACTCCGCGGTGAAAATATCATGATGTGGAGCTACTGTAAACTTTGCAAGCGTGAAACCAGCGAGATGGAAATGTCAAAGGGGACTTGGAAATATTCATTCGGAAAATATCTCGAACTATCGTTTTGGAGTAGAGGTACCCATCTTGTGAAAGATGAGGATGCCGATGGCTGGAATTGCCCGCATGATCATCACCGAGATCATATACGATACTTCGGAATCCAAGACAAGATAGTTCGTGTTCATTACGATCCTATTGATCTCTTGGAGATCATCGTTCCCCGAGCTAGGATTACTTGGAATGTCGAACATGACCTCAACATGAAGAATGAGATATTCACCAATACCCAAGAACGATGGACCCGGTTCACTAGTTCTGTAAAGGCCAGACTGAAAGTTATCAATACCGACAACATCCTCTCGGAAAAGGCTGAGGCATGTAAAGGAGAGGTTGAGCGATTGTCAAAGAGGATACAGGACGATCATACATCACTTATCCGGAAACTGCAGGATAAATATATGGCTTCCAAATACTACGAGGTCATTCCATTTAATATCGTTCTTCGAGAGATGCTCGTCAAGGTAGCCGAATGGGATGCCGCGTTTGCGAAATTTGAAGCCGATTTTCTACCCTCGGATAAAGACATTCGTAGGCTGACAATGATCCACCTTCGTAAGATGTTTACGGATGAATCGAAAGAATCTAATAACGAGGCAACTGATAATGCCGAAGAAGGTACGCAGACGAGCGTACCGGATAGCGATTCGAGACCAGATACTCAGCCATCAGAACCCGTATCTGATTCTTCCCCACTTGACACAATTCAAGAAAAGACTCCTCTAGACGCTCCGCCTCAAGAAGAAACTTTGGAGCGAGTAGAACCATTAGATCTTGCAACGCCGAAGTCACCTGTGTCTACGGATCCTATTCCGAACCAGCCAGAGAGCAAAGTCGTAATCCCGCAAGCGTCACCGCCACTAAATGCAATTTCGACCCCAGTGCAGTCACCAGAGCTTGCGTCAAGTTCGGCTGTTGACCCCGCGCCACCAATGTCGCTTAGTGAGCAAGTGAAGCAAATTCGCCACCGACAACAGTCTTTGACGCTTGAGAACACAAATGTAGCGTCTACTCTAGGAAATGAACAATCTAAGACAGCCGCAGAACCCTCGAAGATGACAACGGAACGCGGTTCTTCTCGTAGGATGGGAATGAACGTGTCGCCGCCCATGGTTCGCGCCTTATCACATCCAGTGAATAGTATGCCAACCCTGCCTCGGATGCATTCTACCGTTGTCGGAAAGAAAATGTTCAGTGCCAACAAGGACAAGGATAGAGTACCGTCCACCGAAGCACCAGCTGGGAACGAGCTCCGAAAGGTTTCAACAAGTGAATCGGCTAAAGGGGATAAGAAACTTTTTAGCAACCTTAGACCTCATCGTAAAGGAAACTCATCCTCTATCCCACGTTTCGTCGGGAAGAAAGACTCGAGGGTTTCAACTATTCGCAAACATTTTGAGCAACTTAGTCGAGAATTTGAAAAAGAACGCGAGAAGGATCGAGAAAAGCGAAAACAAAAAATGTCGCACTCGAGGCCTTTCCTTCAGAATTCCCCGGCAAAGGCCATAGTTGAGGTCTATGAAGACGTAGACGAAGCTGTACAGGAATCAGGGCCTGTTGAAGATGAACATGCTGCTGCTACAAGCCTTGTTGATACCAAGCATATCAACATAGCGGAACCAGCAGATCCTTCAGCAGAGGTCAAGCCCGAGAAAGAGCGTCAGCAATCTCCAAAATATGATCTTAATCATATTGATGAAATCATGACAGAAGGCGAGACTGATGATCAAACCCACACTGCAAGCCTAGGTGCTACAGATGACGAACAAGGAGAGAGCGATAATGAACCCTCGTTGATTGACGGTACCACGCTAGAGGAGATCGCTGAATCATTTGACTCCAGCACTGATATTCCAATGGAACTGCCCAAGCAAGACAAGAATAACTTTATGAAAGTACTAAACGCGTTTTGGAACGAACGCTCTGCCAGCCAGTGGCCCGCGTTAGAATATCCCTTGAATGCAACCGACCATATCTTCTGGGACTCTGATATCATTATTCGAGAAGATGAGCCCAGCTCTTTGATTGCGTTTGCTCTCAGTTCCGAGGACTACAAGGAGAAACTGAGGACCTTTTACGAAAAGAGCGGCAAAGACGACACAGCCTCGACTGGAGTAGAGGATGACGCCCGATCTGAGATGCCCTCGGATATTGGAGAAAATATCACCGAGGAGCAATTGGAGAGTAAACTTGTCCACACTACGAGTTGCCACTACAAGTACCAGTTCACCGAAGGGACAGCAAGAATGTTTGTTAAAATCTTGTATGCAGAGCAATTCGACGCCCTGCGACGAAAGTGTGGCGTCGCCGATCGTATTGTTGAGTCTTTGTCGCGGTGTCTAAAGTGGGATTCTAAGGGTGGCAAGACGAAATCGGTCTTCCTAAAGACTCAGGACGACCGGCTAGTAATGAAGGTAAGGAGGAAAACCAATATCTAATTATTCGTGTAAGCTAACCTGTATTCCAGTCGTTGTCGCCAGTAGAGACCGCCGCGTTCTTAAAATTCGCACCGGCGTACTTCAGTTTGATGGCGGAGGCCCTTTTCCACGACCTACCGTCGGTGATTGCCAAGATGCTGGGATTCTTCCAGGTCAGCATAAGGAACCCGGTGACAAACACAGAAATAAAACTTGACTTACTTCTCATGGAAAACTTGTTCTATGATCGAGCGCCTACTAGGATCTTTGATCTAAAGGGATCGATGCGGAACCGAAAGATTCAGTCGACTGGCGAACAGAATGAGGTTCTCCTTGACGAGAACATGGTTGAATACATCTACGAATCACCACTTTTCGCGAGAGAACACTCAAAGAAACTCCTGCGCGTCTCGGTCTGGAATGATACGCTTTTCCTAGCCCGCCAGAACGTCATGGACTATTCTCTCATGATCGCCGTCGATGAAACTAAGAAGGAGTTGGTCGTAGGTATCATTGACTGTATCCGAACCTACACGTGGGACAAAAAGCTCGAAAGTTGGATCAAGGACCGTGGCTTTGCAGGTGGTGGTCGCAATAAGCCAACAGTAACCAGTCCTAAAGAATACAAATCGAGGTTTCGGGAGGCCATGGCAAGGTAAGTTGATCATCCAAGAGAACAACAAGACTAGGTCGTGCTAACTCTGAAAAAAAAAGGTACATTCTCGAGGCACCCAACTGCTGGCACCAGTTCAATTTGCCAATGCTTGCGTCGGCGAGAGCACGAGCTGAAGCTAATGCTGCAGGAAGGGATGAAGCAGATGCAGGTGGTGCATAAATGGCATTTGTATTTTGCGGACACAGTACGAGTGATGTATACTAGGGCATTATGAAACGAGTTTACGAGGCGTTTACTGAGAGGTTATAGTACAATGGACACAACGGCGCTCAGAGGGCAACGTAACTCTTCGAGACAGGGGTGTCAATGAGGCATGAGATGAACGAAAGCATAATTTGGGGCAAAAAAGTGAAAAGGCATTGGTTGGCTTTTGTTTCTTGCTATTAACAGATACCCTCTTAATGACGAACAATTTAGTCTTTATCGTGTACTCGGGTCCAATTTTTGAAGTTAGAGAGCGAAATAATTAAATTTATTGGCCACATTCTAGATGCGCCATTGATGTTACTCTGATCATGATGTGATTACAACTAAGGTGATTTACTAATAAAGACGGTGCGCCAACATGAGGCTCTTACAAGTTACAGGCTATATGTGACGTAAGAATGTACCATGGAACCCGAAGTATGGGATACCTATCGTTAGGCGGCAATCACTACCCTAGCAGCCCTAGCAGCCTGGAACGTGGTATAGCTGAGACCCACAGACGCTAAGATCTGCCGACTTCCTTGTACACGGGCGCATTTTTAGTTTGCTGCTACTTCACTCAACCTTGAAAACATTCCAATTTCATCTGATTCAAGTGAAGGCTCATCACTACTTTAAAAAATATCATTTATTCTCACTTCACAGATATATTATGAGACGCGATCATGATAAATCTTCCAAGATGATGAGATGATGGTAGTAGTAACAACCGTAATTAATCACACACCGCCGCAGCCGCTATTATCATGTCGATAGACCTGAACTGGGAGACGCTGACGGGTGGCCCGGACGGAGCGGTATTGGCGGAGCGCATTCGTGATTTCATCCACGTTAAATTCCAGTCGGTGCCGCTACCACGCTTCATCAAATCCGTCACCGTTCATGATTTCGCGTTCGGCAATATACCGCCGAGCGTGGTGCTCAAGGACATATGCGACCCGCTGCCGGACTTCTACGAGGAAAATCCGGACGTATCTGATGACGAGGAAGAGGAGCATGAAGAGGGTGAGGGGAGTGAACAGGATGAGAGAGCCGGGCAAATCAGTGCAGAGGACGTGTCGGATGTGATAAGAGCGCAAGAGCGCAAGAGGAGAGCAGACCAAATCCGGAGATTGGAGGGAAGGGATGGGGATGGGCGCAAGGATAGGAGTAGAAGTGGGACGGGAACTTACAACATAGAGGGCATGTACCCGCCACATATTCATGTTGCTGGATTGCGAAGTGCTCCCGGGACGCCCGATATCAGCAATCCTTTCCTAGGACTCGGGGTACCGACGCCCGGAGTGCCTGGTGGTACTGCAAATATGCATTACTTCCAGTCGAAACTCGCGACCCCCTGGTCCGGTACACAAACGCCGTTAGCAGCCGTAGCAGGAGCGCAACACCTAAACGGCTGGCTGGAAATGGGAGGCACACATTCGCCGCCTCCAGGAAGACATCCGCTGAGTCGGACTCACAGCAGACACCCATCACAAAGCTCCATCACCATGACAGATCCCCCTCCAACGCCCTCTCTAGCCCCAGGGACACTAGCACCTTTACCACACCCACTGAGGGAGAAACACAGCGTATCAACGCTCGCGCCCACATCCGCCGGCGCGTCGCGGCCGCCTACTAGGGATGCGACGGCCGGCTTCGCGCACGCGCCCCAGCCCATGAGCTCCTCATCACGAACCCACAACGACACGGCCGTATACAGCTCGAGCTCCGACAGCAACGACGACTCGGAAGAGGAGGAGGCGAAGAAGTACTACGAACCCAGGGTCGACGACCTGCAGGCCGTGTTCCGCATCAAGTACGCGGGCGACATCAAGCTGATGCTGACGGCGGAGATCCTGCTCGACTACCCGATGCCGAGTTTTGTGGGTATACCCGTGAAGCTGAATATCACGGGCCTCACGTTCGACGGCGTCGGCGTGGTCGCGTATATTAGGAAGAGAGTGCATTTCTGCTTTCTAAGCCCCGAGGATGCGGTTGCGGCTGTGGGGCGCGATGATGATGAAGATGAAGATGGGGAGGAGGGGGCTGGACCCGGGCATGGGGAGAGCGAGAGGCCTACTTCTGCGAGCGGCGCGAGGACGCAGCGGAAAGGGAAACTGGGGAGTCTGCTGCAGGAGGTTAGGGTTGAGAGCGAGATTGGGCAGAGGGAGGGGACGAAGCAGAGTCTGAAGAATGTGGGCAAAGTTGAGAGGTTTGTCCTTGAGCAGGTTAGACGGATATTCGAGGAGGAGTTTGTTTATCCTAGTTTCTGGACCTTCCTGGTTTGAAGGGGCTGGGGTTGTGAAGGTGCCTTCGGACGTTTATGTCGAAATGATAAAGGGGGTAACTATAACACGCACGAAACTTGTCCTGGTAATATGGCTTATGTAGGACGAGGTTTTTACATATCGAATGGCTAACACTGCGATTGGATTTACGAGATTAGATGAAGAAAATCTTAGGTAGCTAGGAGGCGAGGGAAGCTCATATGGACCAGTTTAAGAATTAGAATTCATCAGATTCTATCCTGCTCTCAATCGAGTACTAATCTACTTCATCTAGTACCCAAATGCCATCACAATACCTAATTCCGGAAGATTTTATGCCGAGGTCGTGTCCTGAGGGCCGGCGGGTTGTGAGTCGGCCTTCTGAGAACCGTTCTGCGGGTTAAGCTGCGTGTCAGCTGGCTTGGTGGGTTGCGAGGCGGCCGTGTGCGCCTGGCACAAGGGCTTGTGCCGCGTGGCCCAGTCCTTCTTCTGACAAGCTCTGGAACAGTAGAAGACCGATTTGCAGGCGGAGCAGGCGCTTAGCTTATCCAAAGCAAATGTTCCCTGGGTGGGACACTGCCTCAAAGTCAGCACCGGGGGACATTCATTCATCAAAACGGACTTTGAGGAGTCCGACAGCAAATCGTAATAGCTAAAGGGATAGGTAGGTAACTTACGTCGTAGTTGCCACACATAATCGTCTTCTTCGCCGCGCCCCGAAGGCGCACTTCCCTGGCGTCCGCGAACCGGCCCTGCGCCTCCCGCAGCTGGCCGACGTTGTCGCGGGTCATGGCCGCGTCCTGGGCGGGGCCCTCGCGCTCGCGGATGGTGAGGGCCTTGGAGAAGGCGTCGTCGGCCTCGTCGAGGCGGCCGGCGCGGAGCAGCGCCTCGCCCAGGCCGTTGTACGTGATGCCCGTCTTCACGCAGAGCTCCGGGTTCGTCTGCAGCTTCAGCTCCAGCGCTTGCTTGTGCAGTGTGATGGCCTCGTCCGCGCGGCCCTGGCGCAGAGCGGCTGAGGCCTGGTTCGAGAGCTCGATGGAGCGCAGCTCCGTGGCTACGAAGGCGCCGCCGCTGGGGCCGCTGACGGCGGAGACGTGTAACATTTTGCTAGGTAGTTTGAAGATTGACGGGTATGTAGGAGTTGAGATTTGTAGATCTGGTTCATGTGAGGAGGAGAGGGGAGATTAATGTAAGGAAAATAATTCAGGTGTAAAAGATTAGAAGGGAAGGACTGGTCTGGTATAAAGCTCTCAACTGCCTACCCAGACAAACGCACTGGCGCCTCTGATAAGGAAATCGATTATATCATGGGAAGGTGCGAATATGCACTCTCCCGAATGCTGCAGATTGACTTGCAGCTTCCGGCAGGATATATACTTACTATAGGCCGCTCTTAGTAGCACAATAATCCTAATTTAGCCGTAGCCGTAGGGCCGAAGGTTCGATTCCTCGATCTCGAGTTTTACTCCTTTTTAACCTTAGTGACGTTCAGTTGAGAAATATGTTAAAAGCACACCGCTCACTACGAGGAGCAGAGTAATCTTCCCCTGAGAAATTCTAACTGTCAAAATAGCTTCAAGAAGTCGATTGAGTTAGTACTGATGACTGTGTATGTAATCAAGTCGATCAGGTAAGTATATTGATTAGGTAAGTAAGCCTCTTACATAATCCCTCGCTCTCTACTGTAGCTGGGGCTTGTACCCTTTGTTCGCATGCTGAATTGTGTCTTGCTTCGCTGGCGCCTTAACCAGAAATACCGCGCCCTCCTCGACAAACATGTCTCTTTTAACCTAGGCTTATTTATCAACGACTACGTCATAATTGCTGCTGCTTCGGAGTTACTCAGCCAACTTCCATTTGACCTCACACCACTCCCACAACTTCTTGCCGGAGCCAAGCCCGCCCAGCTCTTCAGATTCAGCCGCCTTCAAAACGTCCTGACGCACGACACTACTATCAGGCACCAATCTACCCCATGGGAAGATGTATCTCTCGTACGTGTCTCTGGTGACCTCAGGAGACAGCCCCGCAAAGAGCTCCGTGTACGCTTCAAACACCGGTTTCTGCAGCCACAACATCCTCATCATGAACATGGCGAAACGCGGCGTCCCCTTGAACGACCCAGCATCCAAATTACCGGGGTTCATGACGACGCTGAGAATGCCTTCCGGCGTGTGCCGGCGACCGAATTCTCGCCCCAGCATCCATGCGCCCGCCTTAGAGGCAGCGTAGTTGGTCGTCTGGTCGCGCACACCGGTCTCTAGGAGAGCGAAGTCGATACCATCCCGCGGCCCCGACGTATCGACGAGGATGCTCGTCAGCCAGACCACGCGCGAGGGTAGGTCGGGGGTGGTGGCAGCCCGGAGCTGCGGCAGAAGCAGCTCTGCGAGAAGCAGCTCTGCGAGAAGCAGCGCGCCTACGCAGTGCACCCCCATGAAGAGCTCTAGGTCTTGCGTCGTGCGTACCCCGTCCTCGACGGCGTTGGGGCCGATTCCTGCATTGTTCCAGAGGACGTCGAGCCTGTTTTCTTCCCGCGCGAAGCGGCGCGCTGCGTCTCGGACCGAGACGAGGTCGCTCAGGTCTAGGTATAGAAATTTGAGTTGGCCTGTCATGCTATCTGGTTCCGCGTACGACGCCTTGATGGACTTAATGGCCACCTCGGCTCGTTTCTGAGAAGTAGGGTTAGTCGGCCAAAGCGCATACGGCCTGTTTCGTCTCGCCGGCGCCCGGTTCAAACGAACTCACCTCGGATCGAGTAGCCATGTAGACTGTCGCGCCGGTACCGAACAGGATTTTACACAGCTCATAGCCTACTCCTGCATTGCCTCCCGTCACCATGAATACTCGTCCGGCCTGGGAACCCTTGGAGACGTCGGCCTCCGTGAATGCAGGGCGGGGCGGCCAGAACTGGGTTATCGTAGATCGAAGCTTAGACAGAGATTCCATTGTAGATAGCAGCAGATCGCTCTCTCTGACCGTGATGTTTGGAGTTTTTTCTCTAATTTTGCTGCTTGATTGTTGACTACCTATCTAGGTACGGACCTACCCTAATACACCGAGATTCCGACACGAAAGGCTTCGCCATCTACGGATTGTATTCCCATTAGTCGGGATTATTAGTGAGGTTTTAGTAGTATCAAATGAAATTTTATGGTACAAAGAGAAGTTGAGGTGTTGCGAGAGTCCTGTAGTCGTCATTGTAACCCTCATTACCATTGGCAGCGAGCTTGTTAGAATGGACGAGGACGCAAGGGTTGGAAGAGGGGTTCCAACCAGACGTTACGTATATGACTATGAATAACCAACACCCTTGGTTTGGGAAAGCCCACAGACCAACCTTCCCTCCTGACTCGTTCTTATATCGGATTCCGATTCGGCCCAGCTGGAAGAAGGTACTTGGTTCAAATAGATCACCGTTACATTGTGTAAGGGATGTCGGGATTCAGGGACCTGACCTCCATAGTTTTATTCCTAAGAACGCCTATTATTACTGACTAACCTAATACTCACCACTCGAAATCAACTAGCCTACCTTATTGACTGCGTTCGACTCTCTCTCTCCTGTTACGCTCATTCTGCTCAATTTCTCGAATTTGTTTATCATGGCCACCGTGGTTTTCATAAGTGGTGTGAGCCGCGGTACGTGTATTACCTCAGCGTATTTCCTGGCTTTTGTAGATGGTCAACGTCTTCTCGCCGTCATTTCCCAGTACTAACACTTATCATTATCCTCCTAGGCATAGGGAACGGCTTTGCCAAGGCTTATCTTTCAAGGCCGAAACACATCGTCATTGGCAGCATTCGCAAAAGTGCTTCTTCGGCCTCAGGCGTTGAGGAACTGAAGAATTTTCCCGCTGCCGATGGGTCCAAGTTGCTGCTGGTTACGATTGAAAGTACCTCACCAACCGACCCAGAGCAGGCTTTGCAGGTGGTGAAGTCTGAGGGAGTCGAGCACTTGGACATTGTCATCGCCAATGCAGGTGGGAGCCCACTTCCAACCACGCCACTCGACAGAGTTACTGCCGAAGAGATGACGACTGTGTATCAGGTCAACGCTGTAGGCCCTCTCATGCTATTCCAAGCATGTCGTCCCCTGCTGCAGAAGGCTTCGAAGCCGAAATGGGTGTCTATCTCAACGGGAGGCGGCTCTATCACTCTTATGGGGAAAATTCGGTCTTGGGATGGCACCTCCTATGCTGCAGCGAAAGCTGCTTTAAATTGGCTTACCCGGTAAGCATCTACTTTAAACATCTACCTGTCTTGCCCTACTACCACGAATCGAATCTGGCGCCGCAGATATAATATACTCGTTATGCTGATTGGTCTGGTTGGTAGCGCAATCCATTTCACGAATGAATGGCTCGTCGCCGTGGCGCTCAACCCAGGGTAAGAAGTGATCCTTCGTACAAATCACCAACCTTTCTAACAGAATCCTGTCAAGATTGGTCCAAACCGATCAAGGCAATTGGTGTGCCAAGGAATGGGGATTGGAGAAAGCTACATATACCATCGAGGAGAGCGTGGAGGGTATGATGAAAGTGGTTAGTTGCATTGACTTCGCGTCTCTTATCTTGCTGACCGTCTAGTGTAGATCGATGGGGCGACCCGAGATGAAGCGTCTGGTGAGTTCTTCAACTTGAAGAATGAGAAGCTTCCTTGGTAAATGTCTGTGTATATACTGCGGTGTTTCGCACTGTACTAGGCACCTGCTAGAGTGATTGATAGGCAATACATCCATTAATGACCGGAATCAAAGCTTTGCTTCTCCGGCCTGGGCATTATACCATGAAGTACTGGACTCTAGGTGTTCTGACAACAGCTGCGCGACGCCATCCGCAACTCCCCAGCTCAGCTCGTACCCACGGCCACCTAAGCCATAAGCATGGATGATAGTCTTGTTCTCGTCAACTGTTTCTTTCTCTAACCTTATCCCACCCTTACGAGTTGGCCGTCGCCCGACAATGTCCTTCATCACCGTAAACTTACCTTCGCGATCTAGGATTTGGGGGTATGTTGCCGCGAATTTTCGCAAGAGGGTCTCGCGCACTTCCGGGGACGGATTCGGGTCCCAATTATTAGGCTCTTTAGTACCACCGATGATAGTGCCGCCATCAAAGTTCCGCGGGACACAGAACGTCCACGATCCGTCTGCGTTTTGCCGTGTCACAGTTGCAGGGCACGGGTTGGCCACGAGACAAGTCTGGCCTATGCTGCTGTTAGCCTTCGGGCACCTACCTAGAGTGATCTCCAAATAGATAATAGCTTACCCCTCGTAATAAACACATTCTCATCACCAAACCCAACCCCTGAAGCATTCACCAGCACATCAACAGGCCCCGCCTCAAAAGCCCACGCAAATATCTCCCTCGGATCCCTCACCTCCCTGCGCAGCACTCTACCCCCTAGAATCGCAAACCGACGCAGCAGAAATGCGCAGTAGACCATAGGATTCACGCACCAGGTCTCGTACTCGCACCCCCACTCCACGCCATCCGGCAGCTCCGCCTTGCCCAGAGGCCGGAATCCACGCATCCCCAACTCGGTCCTCGCCCGCTCCTCGCTCAGCGCGAGGTACGCCGGGCTAGGCGCCTCGAGGTACTCGATGCCCTTCATGAAGGTGATCCCGGCCTCGGGGTGGCGCGTCTGCACGGCGCGCATGTGGTCGAAGGTGCGCAGGCTCATGGCGTGCTCGCACTCCTCGGCCGCGCTGGAAGGCGGCACGAGACGGTTGTGGGCGCCGCCCCACGGCGACGTGTAGTTGATTTGGGCTTGCGCGTCGATGGTCTCCGAGCCGGACGGGAAGTCCCGCGCCACGATGGTGACGGTGTGGCCGGTGGACTGGAGGTGGAGCGCGGAGCTTAGGCCGATTACGCCGGCGCTGTGGGGGACGTGTTACTACTTTAGACTATACCTAGGTATGTGCGGGAAAAGGGGTGGTGTGAGTAGGTAGGTACCCTAGTACTACTATGTGCGGCATAGTGAAAATTTCACTGCCAAATACACTTGGATGGGCTGTAGTGATGCCTTCGATGTGATGAGCAGTTCGGGCTCAAGATTATGTTTTCAATAGTATGGAGTTTGGATATATTATGGAAGGATTTCTTATGGTCGTACTCGTAAAGTAAGGCTACGGAGGCGGGTACCTAGGTCCTCGCTACCTAGGTTCACAAATCCGGGCTTTCAGAGGTACACGATCAATAAACCAAACTTGGAATGAGAGTACTGATAATCTTGATTACTTAGGTATCTAGATGAGATGTGAGTAAATCAAATGTTAAATGAGATGAGTAGGACGATGTCCAGACTAGAGAAGGGCTAAACTATGACGCTAGAGGCTGAATTCGGCAGTCCCCGTTGCAGCAAGCCGAAGATCGGAGGCGAAGTGGGGCCGGTTGGGGGCCGATTGCTCATGCGGATCACCCGCTATTAAGTTTCCGAAAGTGGATACCAAAGAGTTATTTCACCCGGACTGAGTTCCGCCGATGGCTCTTGCCGCTCCGTTCTGGTGATACTACAGCTAGAGTGCTAAAAGAGACCATTTTCTACTTTAGATGATAGTAGTGTAGAAAACATGCCAAGTGATATGACAACATCTCAACCCCTGGGATATTACTAGCACTGGTAAAAATAGGACGGCACACTACATGGAAAAAGCTCGTTTATTAACAATTACCGCATAGATGCGCCGATCAATATAATAATCCCATCGAACAGGTGGGATGAATGCTTCAGATGGGGCATCTGAAGTCGATCTGAAACGACGTCCATCACCCGCCAAGCCGCCAAGGCGAATCGACGAACATCAGAAACAATGAATTTAGCCTTATTTCTTGGGGGATTACGACACCACGTGGATCCCTTCGGTTGTGTCGGAAACTTTTTGATGTGCTTCTGGGGGCTGGCTGATCTCTCATAGGATCTTCATCGGGGGTAGGGTGTGTCTGCATGGAAGACGGGGTGAAGCCAAGCTGTCAAAGAGCCTCACGATACGAAAAGGGGAGGCTTATCGAACCATATACCTTCACTCCAGCCAATGATTATAGGGCTTGGTGAGAATATGCATCCCACATACTGGTGCACTTCGCCCATATACAAAACCTTCATTCCCATCTGCGTCGTATGCGGTGCATGAGTTCTCGACCTGCTTTGGTGCGAAGAGGTTGGGAACTCCTTAGGAAAACATAGGGGTATCACTGTTACGCCGAGGCTTACGCAGTTGTCGAAACAGCCCTAGTAGTCTTAGTGAATGATACCGAGTGACGAGTCATCATGAGTAACGCGCCATATATGATCGTGGTGAGCCCACCTGACTCGGTAGTCGAGTTGTAGCCCTTTAGTATCTGATCGAATTTTTGTCTGTCTTTTCCTGCTATCGTATCTCCTAGCGAGCAAGTAGCCGTTGAGCGGTGTCTTCGTAATCATACGTTTCATTTTAATAAACAAGCGAAGCTTGTTGCCATTCTCTAGTTATTAAGTCCTTCGTTATACCAGAGCCGTCAGAATAATCAAAAGCAGAGATGTTATTTCTTGCTTGTCCTATTCTGTTCGCTGCAGTCGCCAATGCACTCCCATCTCGGAAAATATCAAGGCAGGATACAGTTGACGTTGGAGGATTCAAGAGTAAGTGACACCGGCTTGGTTTATAGTAAAGTTATCGGATCATCCTAAGCTAACAATGAGAATAGTCAATGCGGCGAACAGAATAATTCCCGTCGTCGTTGGCGGAACACAAGATACTTTCGTACCAAACATGGTAACAGCGGCAGTTGGCGACATTATACAATTCCAGTTCAGTAACGGCAACCATACTGTGACGCAGAGCGCTCAGGATACGCCTTGCCAACCGCTCCAGGCTACCGTCGCGACCGCTATCCACAGCGGGCATATTCCATTCCAAGATGGCCAGACGACAGTCGGCACATTCAATATGCCCGTCACTAACACCGATACCATGTTCTTGTATTGCGCGACGGGTCCACATTGTCAACTGGGACAAGTCATGGTCGTCAATCCGTAAGTCGACTTACCTTGTCCACAGACCATCTAGCTAACTATGCATAGCACGGATGACCAGCAGATAGTCAACTATGCCAAAGGAGCCGCTTCCACGAACGCTAGTGTCGACGGCGGTGCCGTGTCCGGTGGAACCGTCGCCTCGATCCCCCTTGCTGCCGCTGCTTTCATCCCCGCTCCAGCCGAACAAGGGGCGCCCGCCGCTGCCCCTCCCGCAGCTCCGGCCCCCGCCGCCACAAACTCTTCGGCTTCTTCGGCGCCCGCAGCTAACCAGGCTGCTGTGACGCCCGATGCTTCTCTCACTACTGTAACCCCGGCGGCAGGATCCATCATTACGTTACCGTTGCTCGGGGATGCCGCGGCGACCGGGACAACGACGACTACTATTACGGTACCGGCGGTGACGGCTGCTTCGCCGGCTCCCGCGGCTTAAACGTCGTAGCGTGGGCGAGGACGCGGGGCGTGTTAGGTGAGAATGGGATAGAGTATATTCGATTATGTATATTAGATTTGGGCTTGGGTACCTAAATTAATACGGGCGCGGTATATCTTGGTTGAGCATATTACGAACTCCCTATATTTCTTGTTCTAGGTAGAAGATTTATTATCAGGCTAGAAGTCTGCTTGAAAATGTTGAACTTGGACATCTTATTCATCAAACTCTTAATTATGGGTGTATTGGGTAAAAATATAGGTACATGTAGGTGGTAATTAAGGGTTCCTGCCAAGTAAAGTATTAGGTAAGCTGTATTAGGTTTCTTAGTAAAGAAAGGTCACGTGGGTGTTCGTATGGGAAAGTGTGACGAGATTTCCTAGCCCCCGTCCACTAAGCTTCTTCTAATGTTGTTCCTGCATCTCACATCTCACACTCGAGTGAGATTCACATTTACATTCACATTCACATTCACATATAATCTCCGACCCTAACGTGCCCAATTGATTCCTTGATCACTTTACCCTTCAGGTAAATGACTGACAATAATTTGGCAGAATCTCACACTTGATTCAATCTATTCATCACGCTTTTGCCGTGAACATCAAACAGGCGATAACATTCCGAGCTGAATTCTGGCTTGATAAAGAGACTTGTCTGGATTGTTATCATGTGGAGGCCGAGCTGAAGAAAAGCGCGCCTAATGCTTTTACACTTGAGATCTACCTATTCGAGACCCACAAGGTTCACTCTACAGGCATTGTATCTTACCGCCTCGTGGGATGCAGCATTGCCGGATCTTTAACAATACCTAGAACAGGCTATCTTGACATCTCTAGCTGCCATGTGCCGTGCATATGACTAGAGTGATCTGTCAACGGCCTGTGGGACTAAGTTCCGAATCTCCAAAGTCGAATTTGACCCAACCCCGCGCGCTTCATCAGGTCTTGGCTCTTTTTCAGTTACTGTTTTCGCTACAGTTCCTGAGCTGGGCGGCTAAGATGTAGTGTGATCCTTGTTCTGATTGGATCGCCTGTCTTCTCTAACCTGCAAGCAATTATTCTATTTTAGGACGCACAAATCAGATCAGCTTATCTCTCTCCTCCCCGCCAATTTTCTTCACCCACCTCGTCCGGGATAGAATGCGTGCAAGTATTACAAGGGGACAAGTGCCCGTGGCCTGCAAGCTTCTACGGCAACCCTCTCCCAAGTGGCTGGTTGAGATGCTTCACCCCACCTTCAAAGGCGTGCACAGCGCTTAGCAAAATAGTCTTGGGGCCTTACGGCGTAGTATGTGCGAGGTCTGCGCTCCATGACCGTTGGCGGGCAAAGTCCAATCAGCGCTTGCTGCATGCCGTAGGTAGGTAGTATAAACATATTTTCGTGTCTCCCTTACCTGCCGAACTAAAATAATGTAAATTTACTGTTTTTATCTTTCCAATTTTGTATCCCGTCTGTTGGTTGTCGGACCCGAATCTTTACTGTTGGATCTGATCCCTAGCACGCGTGGATGAGGTTGGGACCTGCTTCGTCGAGTTGTTTCTTCGCTATTTTGATATGGACAATGAGACCATGTCCCGGTAGCAGGCCAGTTTGCGACGAAAGACGTATCCTAGTAACCCCGGTTCCTTCTCCTATTCATAGACTGGGGATTGATATTAAAGACAACAACATTTCGCGACGGGAAGAAAAAGACAATGTCTTCGAGTGGACCCCCAGGAGGGCTTTCCCTTTTCCCCAATACATCTAGGTCGCCGCCTCGGAAGACAACGCCTCGACCACGCGCTAGATCTTCCTCCAGAGGACAAGGCTCATCTCTAGACATGACGCCGCCGAGAAATGGTCGACGGACACCAGAAGACCTCTCCGAATTTGTCATCGACGGGTCGCCATCCATGGCTACTCCACCGCAGATGGCTTCCAATAATCCATTTTATCAGAACCAAGCAGGGCCGTCAGTATCAAGGCCAGTGCCGACATCTGAGGTACCACCACGAACAGATACCGCGTTTTCGGGAACGAGTACGTTAGTGAGGAGTGAGAGTGAATTGTCCCGAAATTCAATTGCCAAGAGACCCCTAGAAGAACCATCATCATATACGACGGCGGAACCGGCTATTCGTTCAATTTTCCCACAGTACGACCACACTCTACCATTTGACCGGCAAGAGTATTATCCAACTCAGACAAGTCCAACTCATATACCGCGGACAGTCATCAGCAGACAATCTCACGTGCCCGAGGCTCGGAGTCCACCAGTTCGGAGTCCCGTGAGAAGCCCCCTCAGCGCTGGTTCTGCACAGCGATGGCCTAGACGACCCCAGGACCCTCCAGTGATTCCAACCGTGAGCACAACCGAGGACCTCCGTGACTTCTGGAAAGCGGCCAATGGATGGAAGGCGTCTGCTGTAGAAGGTCGGACTTTCTGCATGAAGTTGATCCCTGAGAAGGACACTCCCATCTATAACCTAACATCATCTTCGGCTCAACCATTCTATCATATGCGGGTAGATCCAACATCAGCAAGCGCATATGTGACCTTAAGTCGACATGACCCAAGTAAGCCTTACAAAGGGGGAGACCCAACTACAAGTCCCAGATCGAGCGGCTTCCTCGGGGCTCTTCGGGAATCGGAATCGAAGCCATGGCAGGAGGCTCTTACTACCACACTGGAAGAACCGTCACGCCGCCTGCCACCAAATGATGGTCTCGTAGCACTCCTATACCCTACCGGAGCGGCGAAGGTAGCATTAGATAGGCCGGACGACATGCAAGCCGTGATGGCCGCGGAACGTGAATGCGCGCGTCTGGTCTGGGACGAAGACAGTCAAAACTACTTCTTAGTACATCCGGCCTTGGCATCGCCCTTCTGTATTACGATAGAGCGCAACCCGGCATGGAGCCGAACGGAATACACGGTCGAGCACATCGAGTCACCCCATCACATCGCAAAGCTGACACGAGACGGCACGGGTGAGGGCTGGATCGAGCTCGACACACTAGTCGCGGGGCGCATCGAGGCCTATTACCTCCTCGACGTCACCGTGTCGGCGCTCCTCCTCGTCGCCAATATTGATGAGAAGAACGTGCTCGTCGAGCACTTCGAGCCGCCGCCGCCCGCGCACCTACGCTCCTCTACTTCCAGCTCCAACCCGGACTTCCGCCGAAGTAGTAGCCGACTCAGCGCCAAGATCCTAGGCAAGAAAGGCGGCGCCGGCGCTAAGAAGCGCGGCCGCCTCGAGGAATTGGAATTGGATCTCGAGAGCCAGGCGAGCAGCTTGGGGGGCAAGCTGAACATTAAGGACGGGGATAAGGAGAAGCTTCCGGGCACGACGCGTACGATCCTCAAGCTGCTGGGCTTCGGGTTCAAGTGCGTCATCTGGGCGCTCACTCTGGCGTTTAAGGCGCTGATGGCTGTCATCGTGGGTTTGAGCAAGTGTTTGACTAGTGAGAAGCTTTGAATGAGGCGCACTGAGCGAGGAGTTAGAGGAGCAAATAGAGTTGAAATCGACCTTTTTGGGAGGGATATCTGACAGCGGATCTTTACCTATACCTACCTACCTATATATCTCGCGGCCCGGTCTGGAAGGGCAGTACATATTAATGAAGCAGGCAGGCCATTTCCTCTTCTACGCTTGGACTGCTGGACATAATGGGGGAGGTTTTCAGATACCAAGAACAAGCACGGCATTGCGCCCGGGAAAGGCGGTCGGTGCTCGGGAGTCAACCGAATTGGGTGTATATATGGGAATGGGTCTATTTCTTTCTGGGTATCGCATAGCTCTAGACGACCTGAGAACCCTGGTGCCTGAACGCCGCCTGTAATAATGGAAGCAAAAGGAAGAAGATTCCGATTTCGTTGACCGCCATTTCTGTCGTCGTATTATTCTCCTTTTTCCATTTTTTTTTATCCGTGACACTGAATTGCTTTATCGCTTCCGCTCCCGAACCTTGAACTTCTTGCCGGACTTAGTGACACCGTTCATAGACGTAGCTGTCTTGGCCATCCCGGCCCGTTGCAACTCTAGTTGGTGCTCTGTCCGCGTGAGGATCCGAAGCTTCTTCCGCGCGTTCTGTAGTCTTCTCTGTAGTTTCTCGAGGAGCTTTTGTCGTTGTTCGGCTCGTAGTGCTTCCGGGTTCTTTTCAGCGTCACCATCCTCGTCTCCATCGACGTCCATATCCTCTCCATCCGTCTCTTTCTGTTGCAATATTTCCTCCCGCTCCTTCGCGCCCTCCGTAAACACGATTTTTTTCGCCTTCGTCGACTTCGGCGCACCGCCAAACCCCAGCTCCTCCTCATCGTCATTATCAAAACCCTCCCAATCGTCCTCATCCACACTCCCTCCTAACCCGATAACCCTCTCCTCGAGCCCCTTCACCTCTTTCAGCGCGGTGCTGCGCACCGTCCGTATGTACCCCACGTCCTGGGTCTTGAGGAGGCGCACGGTATCCACGTCCATAGCCTTATTGCCGCGGTCGCCGTTGACCGTGCCCGACCACCGCTTGCCTTGCGAGAGCGCGTGGCCGGGGCCCTTTCGCGACATCATCCCGAAGTAGAACTCATCCTCGTTTCGGTCGGCGGCTTTCTGCCGTAGCGCGCGCAGCTGCGCTTTCTTCTTGTTGAAGTCTTTGGCTCGGAGGGAGTAGTCCTATTTAGGGGAAATTGGTTAGCTTGGGATGCAAACGAAGGAGTAGAGAGAAGATGGAGAGGGGCACAGAGAGACAAACCTTGTGCTTTTCGAGGAGGCCGAGACGTTGTCGCTCTTTCGGCTGCGCGCGCTCGCGATGGACTCGCCGTTGCACGGCGTTTCTGATCGAAGACATTATGTCGCGGAATGGATGTCGAGCCTAATATGGAGATCGAAGCTGAAAAGAAGGCTCAAAGCTATAGAAGTGGTATGTTAATTGGGAAGGTGGCGATGGTTGCGGTGTTGGTGTTGGTGGGGGACGGACAGCTACGGACAGCAGGTGTTGCGATGAATTGATGGAAAATTTTAGTGGACCCTGGCCTGAGCCACAGAACGATAAGATACGGAAAATATGACGAGGTGGCGCTAGCTCCGAGCCGCAACCTCAACTTCTTACCCCTGAATCAACCTAATCACAACTTCCATTCTTTCATTCAACATGGTCATTAATTGCAATTGGCTTCTTTTTCATCTCTCAATCTTTCATACCAATTTCAAACCTTTTTGAGGCTTAGCTGAGGCAAGAGACGAAGCACAATTTCTATTAGGGAGACGTATCTCTCAGTTAACAACACCTCCCTACACTCCAGTACACCACCTTTCGAGGATCGACACCATCTCGAGAAAAACAATTATAACTGGCCAATCTAGTCCTGCACGTGTCATTTGGCCCTGTTTTGTAAAGCCTCACGGAGCTCGCACACCATTGCTAATTATAGTGGAGGTCCTGCTAACTACCAGCCTAAGGGCAATCCATAGAGCCTTACCAACTCCAACATAAGCCAAATTTCAATGGTCTTCTCAATTGACACGTTTCACACACTTCTAGATCATTCTCATTCCGGAATTCGATGTTGAAAAGATGATACCAGATGCCCATACCAATCGGAATACGACCCTATCTTGCATGTCGTCCCACCAAATCACTCGGACTTTAAACATTCGGGCTTTAAGGCGTGAGCATTGTTGCCTGGGCTTTCAATGAGGTCGTGGTCTTTCTTAATTCATTCTTAAATCAACTACATGTAATTGCCACTGGTGCGGGACCGAGGGATATATCAGCCGCTTCCTCTCCATGCTCAGCTGACTCTTTCACAGCCATTCCGGACCCCTGAGCCGCATTGATACGAGACAATACAATGTACGAGGATCGAAACAGAACTAGCCCCTACGTGGAACGATTATGTAGCTCGTCATCTGCCATCATCCTTCAATCCCGAATTATGGAGTGGTCCGGGGGTTGTAAGCGATGTGTCACCTGTACACGATATGGAGGGGATAGATCTCAGATCTCGTTGAATGGATCCAGTTTCCTACTCCGTGTATGGACTTATGAATTGGGCTAGTTCTCGTTAGGCTGTAGGTATAAACCCTGTCTTGGCATAGACGTTACAGCAGTAGAGCATTGCAGATTCCACGTAGCATTCAGCTCAGGGGTTATTGCAAAAGAGATTTGTTAATCAAGAACTAAGGACATACTATGAAGAATGCATTTATAAGTAGTAATAAGCTGAATACCAATTGCATTGCTACCCATAACACCATGTGTATAAAAATAGATTTACAGGAATCAATCGGGTGGGAGAGAAATTTGGCTGTTGCGTGAACACTGCAGATGTAGAATTGGGCTAACCATTTGAAACATTGAAAGAGACCAATGACCCTTATCCATCAAATTGCTGTGTTTTAATTCGTTAACAGAGATGTCTGCCCATCTTTGTCTCGAAATGTTTTAGATGTGAAGTGATTAATAGATAAACTAGAATTATCTAAATATATCTTATTTAACCCAGTGGACTTTCATGGCTAGGTAGGTATGTTTTTGCATCACCAATGCCAAATTGGAGAATATGTATCAGTAATTCCAACGTTTCTAAGAGGCCTGACACCAATACCGAACGGACCTACGTACCTGGGGCATGTTATCCCAAAACTCCGGGTTAAGGGAAAATCAGTGTGTTGGGTTGGAAATACAGACACAGAATTTTGAAAAGAGTCTATTTCTTTATAATCAGTAATAACAAAGGAGCTATCGATGTGAATGTTCCATCCAAAACCCATAGACCGCCATTGCAAGCGTTTCTCTACCTTTCTATTCCCGCAAGGGACCGAATCTTCCCGAACCAAGCCATACCCAGTTTTTCGCACCGTCATAAATTCGTTTCTCAGTCATGAATAAGCCCTTGGGCAGATATCCTTTCCGTATCAGCGCTTGGAACTCCTAGGTGAAGAGCTCTTCTCGCGCACACGGAACCTCTGGCTCTCCACGCCTCCCAGATGTTCCACTGTAAGGCCTCTCCCGTCGTGGTTATCTCTAGGCTCGCCGTAAAGCTGAACCTGAAGATAATAACTCCCAGGTCGAGTCACCTTGACCTTGAACTCCATCGCATCGTAGCAATTCGACATAACGTCCCAATTTCCAACGAGGCTTCCTTTGACGTACTCTGAGGCCTCTGAGGGCCCGCTCGAGCGCGATGTGACGGAGTGAAGCGTCAGGAACCCCATTGAGCCATTGTCTTCGTTGGCAGGGGCTTGGATGATGATTGGGAATTCTCGACCAACTTTGATGGACTCGGGGGGCGCAACGACGAAGGTAGCCCTCGCGCCTCGTCCTGATGAAGTCATCGTCGGATTTTCTCGTGCGGTCTCTTTGTGAAGAGTTGTGTATAAGCGTAGCTGTTGCGTCGACTTCGAGTGATGGATGATCAGATTGAGGAATGGTATCAATTGAAGTGTCGTAGTCGTCTGGTTCGATACTTTGGTCTCATAAACCAAAGCGCGTGGCCCCGGGGGACACAGAGCTATCTATTTATCCCTTCCCATGGATATTCTACGCCCCCTTTAGAATCCATGTGTTTTGCATAGAATCCCATCGTCCACCGATGGTCAAGCAAGCGCCAACGTATATGCAATTTCCTTGATTTCAATGCCCAAACAGCAAATACGAAGAAATATGTCAGGCTACATATCCATCATACCTACATAGGTTGAATTACGCACCCAGATAGCCACGTTGTTCTTTTCTCTTGGTTTCCGTAGGCAGGAGTTGCGATTCGTGCCACGACAAATCAGATACATGCATCTCAATGGCCCCATTCAGCATGGTCGAAAAAAATTGCAATTTCTACCTATACTCGAGTGTTTCTCTATAATTCGTGGCGGTGGCGTGTTGCGTATATACACAACACCTACCCTGTGCAGAATTTTCCAAACTCATCACTTCGCATGATTGAAAGATACCTTTTACGCCATGTTTGACTCATTTCATGCGCTGTCCACTCATAATATCACCTTCAAACTTTGCCTTCCTACTTCTCGACACCTCAAATCCCTGAAATTATCAGCAGGCTTTGAGGAAACACAGGTTATGACGACTGACCAGTCGATCAAGCCTATTCATCACTTGGCGCGTGATGGTGACTCGAGCTTTGGAAGGCACACCGAAATTTGTCGTAGATAAGACCCATGTTCAATTGAAATTATCATTCACCCTTTGGTTAAAATACGAGCATCTACTCATGAGCTGAACCAGGACCTTATGCGAATGGGAGTGAAAAATTGTGTCGCCACCAAAGAGAAGCGAAGGGAACCATGCCCAAATGTTCAGCTCTTTCGTGAAAACCAAAGAAAGAGCATTTAATGGATTAACCAAGCTGGATATGAGGCATATCCAAAGAAAAGTCTCGCTAGAACGGTTGCGTTTGGTGTTATCTTCCAGAGTGAGTTGCTGACTAATAACAAGCCCCTTTTTTCGTGTCAAATCTAATACCACCATTCAATACGATATAAGTCTAACCCAAGGCAAAATTGCATTGAAACATCATCCTATACAATATCTTATCGCTTTCTGGTGCTACTTTTGCTCAAGATATGGATATGATCCCAGCTTCCTACCCCTGTACAGCACCCCCTATTTCTAACTCTAAACTACCGACACTAGCATTGCTTCTATTCACAAATCTCTATCCAGGATTTTAAATACGCTTATTTCACGTATATTTGACACAGTTGAGCACCATTTTACATCACCAAGAAGCATTATTCCAAGGACTGCTTGCTGGATTGCTTACCTACCTATCCTGAATAAAATTATGTGATATATAGGTGCATTCCCGGCAAAGAACAGCTTTTGCCTTACTTTAGGTACGTATTACCCTCTTCCTACTAGATCGATTCCATCATCTCAGAGATTCCATAGATGAAATTACCCCCATTCCTAACGCCACATCCCCTACCCTGACCGCAAAGTCCGTCTACTATCTCTTTGGTCGGCATAAGACTACAGTCTCCACAAAACCGGTAACTGTACATCGACGATAGTGTAGGCCCTCAAAGCCTGTGAGCGTTGAGGCTCTCACAGTGATCTTCGGAGGCGTCTAACCAACTAGAAGTAAGATTTCGTGGAACTCAGGGGTTGCTGGAAGTACAGTTACTAACCGTGGTGGAGCTGTAGTCTTATGCCAAGCAAATAGATAGAACACCGGTTTATAGCAAACACGGTTCTTCTACCATGATGAAAGGTAGTTTAACTGAGGCGAAGATCATCTGGAGACCTTGAACTGCTTAGTCCGGATCTTTGCAAGCAGTTCTGGGGCACCACAACCGTTCTCTTTTTCGACGATCAAGTAAAGATAATAATGGCCCGGGCAGTGGATAGCGACTTTGAAAAGTTCAATGTGCTGGAGATTTAATATATCCCAACTATTCGCTGCCAGGCCTTGACACTTGCCTCCTCGAACGGTTACCCGCACATCGGTATTAGCGGTCATTTGGGCTTGCGTGCTGAGGTCATCGGTGTCCTCGTACCTAACATAGAAGTATGAAGGAGGTCTGATAGCGTCTACGGCTCCTGGTAAATGGCACCCGGTTGAGTCCCGGTAAGGTTGGATATCGATTTTCAAATTGAATTGTTCTCCTTTCCGAACATCAAAGGGTTTCCCTGAACACTTTGCGTGTGGCTTACATCCGCGTTGCGGGTCGGCCACTACTATGGTTTCGGGACTTGTAACCTCCCTAGCAACTAGAGTGACGATGATACTTTCTGCCGAAGTTTCTTCGCTCATTGGTGGTGGCAGCGATGTGTACCATGTGCTCAGTTTTGAGGGCCGGTGGGAAAGTCTTGATTGCCGAATCATCGTGAAAAATGTAGGCCTCTTAAATGAAATATTTCGTAGCCCTTCGGTGATATCGACGGTGTAGGTGTGATTTCGAGATTAAGTTTATAATATAGATAGATCGGAACTGAACCTCAACCTGGATACCTCTCAGGTAGGTTAGGGCATAAATAAAAACTAGTAGACGGAGGCAGCCTAAAGATTATATTAACCAACTGTTTTCCTGGGGATACTTTTAAACCATACGTAGGTACCTTATCTAATTCCCTGTCTTTCACTGTTGACCTGTGCAACTGAATAATAACAGTATTGTTCATAACTCCCTTTTCATTGCATAAATAAAGTCTGAATTTCAGAAAAATAACGTGTGATGCCTCGGGCAAACAGTCCGACAAAAGTAGCTTGGGTTAGGTGTTTAATGCTTTTCGTTATGTAGGTATGTATCACCAAGCTGCAGATTCCTTCGCTTCAGCTTCATCTTTCCCATCCCTGACGATGAGATAGAATCATCACTCGGTCATCCTATTTCAAGACGCAAGTGGAATATATGAGTAAATGATGAGCCAGGTATCCGAGTCTCGTTACACGGACGGGGCTTAGGCATTTAGCCCCTTATAACCCTGAATCGTGATGTGCTGTGCTCTGGTAGCTTGTGTGGTGCGGTAGATTTACATGTAAAGGCCCTTTCTCGAGGGTTTAAAGGACCTGATCAAAATTAACATCGAAATTACTAAGGCATCAACGAAAACATGTAGATATATAGTTGGATTACTTAGGCATACTGAAGGTTGCTCAATTATTGGCAAATCCTTTAGAAATGTTTGCTCCTTTCCATCCATGTCGATGCTTAACCGAAGTTTAACAATCTACTAAGGCAGATGATAGCGAGGACCTCATTTTCTTTGCATTTATTAACGATCACTTGATAATAGCATACCCTTCATATAGATCGTGAGTTAGTATGTACGGAGCTGTCTGATAGGCACTTAGACGGAATCTTTATCCAGGGGCGATAGCACAGTCCTCGATAATTCCTTGCGACGATAAGGAATATTGTATGTGACAAAACTAATACCTGGATAGATATATAGATGCAACGGTACGAGTAGTACCTATGGATTTTATATAGTATTAAGGGGATATCTTGGGTATATTGCTCCATAAGGGACAAAACTACGTACTACAATTTAGCCCCGGGTGAGTGTTCCCAGCTTCTAAATCCAGCATCACAGGGCCGAGAATGCTGAGCAGTGTTGAATTCACCTTCGACAGCACATCTGTAAGAAGTATATTTATTTTCCTCAAGAACTACGACACGTTTCCCCCCTTTACTCTAAAGCAGAGTATCGCTCCAAGCAAAATAGGTAAACATACAAGTGCCGCTCCCTACGTACTCCATCCCCTATATCCCCCTCCATTTATCCTCAAACTGCAATCTCGGGAAACTCGATATCTTTACTAGTCAATACATCGAGAAGGATGTCGCGTCGGCTACCTCCACGATACTGCATGATTTCGACTTGAATGCGGAAGACGCCAGGGGTGATCATCACCAGGTCGTCGAATGTGATAGAAATGCAACCGTTCCAGCGCTTCCTCTTGGTTCCGGCGAACTGAGTTTGCCTATCAGCAGGAAAAAACTCCCCCGGCCAATTCGACTCGTCCGGTTCGAGAAGAACGAGCTTCACGTAGTCCGCCTCGCCGAAATGCTCGCTGCGACGCTTCACGGTGATGGTGAACTCTTGGTTCCCCTCTAGATTCTTGCGGTAGTTGTCGTAGATCCAGAACTCGGGTTCCTCTTCTGAATAGAGTCTGTAGGCCCATTCTGGAACATCCTGTTTCTCCCTAGAGCGTGAGGACGACATCTTAGACGTTTGCCCGTTTATGTAGAATGTCCTTGTTTGGCGTATTTTCTGGATTATCTGTAAATTCCGGTGGCTTTTGCAGTATTCTTATAGAAGACTAGAAAAAAACTAACGGACCTGAATGCGGAGAGTATTAGTGGTGAACTATTTTTTTTATCGGAAGGAATTTTGAGAATTTTTTGGTGGATATATAGGGAATTTGGTAACGACTTAGCTGAAATTAGAAGTCACTACTTATCAGCAGTTTTCCTCAGGATGCCTAGCACTTTTCCGTATGGATATCTGTGATGTTGAGCGACTGAATACTGCTTGAATTTAATATACCTGTATCGTAAGATTCATCTTACAAGACGGTGATGCTGTACAAAGAGAAGTATAAGGACACAGTTCTATTCAAAATGAGTGCAAGAACAAACGAACAAGGCCGTGATTAACAAGTGGATGCCAATAGGAGAACAATGGAATGTTAAACTTCACATAATGCTATTCTCTATTGGTTATCACGCCGTAGATGACGTAATATACGCCTTGCTATCATGGATTCCTCCCCCTAAGCCGTAGTTTATACGTGTATCATCTGAAGGTACCTACCTTTATAATTCATAATAGACACAATTATTTTCAACATCTTGTGACTCACACACGTTCGCATCTATGGAGCAGTAGTTTAGCTCGTTCCCCTCCCATGGTCTATATGGTTTGGGAAAGACCCGGGTGCAAATCTCCGGTGGATGCAATCACTTTTTTGTGGGATTATTCTGTCACGAAGTGCCTTGCGTTCAGGTCGACGCCGAGGCATTCTTTTGTCGTATATCCTTCTTCTACGTCCCATATCCTCCTCTTTACTTCTTTCGGTATATGATCGTACAAATATTTCTCACGAGATTCATTAATTTTCACAACATCGTCACGTACCTCCCATTTACATCCAGTCTCGGCTCAACTTGCACAAATCCTCTGATCTTTCAGCAAATATCTGGGAAGTTTATCTTATACATTGCATTCATGATTAGACCGTCACCGTCTGTACCATCTTATTCCAGGCTGCCCCTTATAGTTCAGGGTTCTCACACGCGAATTCATAACCACAGCAACGATGTACCCATACCCCCCAACACCCTACCATTTGCAAAAATCAGTCAAGATTCCCTGTCCTTATTTGTCTTGTCGGTGGACCTTGCTGTTGTGATGGAACGAAGAACACCCATATTTTCCACCTTTTTGATTGCTCGTGCCGACACTCTCATGGTGGCCACCACGGGTACCCGAAGCGTTTGAGCCCACCATTTCCTTGTCTTTCTGGCGTCGGGCTGTGTCGACCGAATAGCCTCCCCAGCTGATCTTTCCAGTCTCAGGGCTTGGAGACATTAGGTTACTTGATTTGTTCTGTGACACTGAAATTATCTTGTTCGTATGGATGCTTCTGTGATGGAAGGAATAAAACTCGGTTTTCCTGTCGTCGGCGCCACTTTACCCCTTTTTAGTATATGGGGTATAAGATCAATGGATTCTTGACTTGGAAATACTTCAATTATTCATGGAATTTTGCGTGGCGTTGGAGATGTGACTCTAATACGTATTGAGTACCTGGATATTCGATTCTAAAGTTGTAGATATTGCTTCAATTTTTGGTAGTGTAACCGCTCTCTGTAGATTCTTTTAATTAGAATCAAGAATTTAATTCAAATTTGGGGGCGTAGATTATGTAGAGGTTCCCCAAAGCAGCTTTTCGGGGAGCCATGTTTGCCGATTCAAATCCCGACTCGTCATAACCTCTCTCAACTTCGGATTGTTCTTATTGTTTCGTAGCCTCGTCAAGTGATATAATCCTGGCCACCTGAGTAAATCGCAAACCATGCCAGTGTATTGACTTTTATTGCTTAGCCAAGAATTCTCGCTGTCTAGACCCAGTATAGATGTATCTTACGAGAAACATAATCATAGGATTTAGGAGAGGCCTTTGTTGGAGCGAAGTGAAATGTCGATTACTGGGCTATTATGAAATCTGAATCAAGTTCTTATTAGTATTATTAGATAAATGGTGTGACTTTTTCAACTATTACTCACATGCGGAGTCGTGCCAGGCATAGCCGTCTTGAGATGATTGTTCTGGGTATCACCGTCAGGGGCACAGCATATGGACCCCATTTTCTTAAGCTCCGACGTTGTCTAGTTGGGGTGACAAGTTGAGTAAAGTGACTTGTAAATTAAGCAGGCTGAGTTGTATTTGGTTACAATACACAGAGAAAAAAATGTTAAATATACGACTTTATCTTAGTGGGGAATTTCTTCAGTCTCGCCCCTTTTTTCTAGCCGCTTCCCCCTTTCAGTCACATTAATGATCGCGTGACCCACCCCGACTACTTCTACTCTGAAGAGATGCAGGCTATGAGCTCCTTGTGTACATTAGCTTGAATTTATTTCAAGAAAACTATAATATGCTTCTTTGCAGGAATGGATGTGGTTGAGTACCTACAAGTCTAAGCGAAGGAGGGCCAATGAGACATGCATCACAGCTCTTTATTACTCTGCGAACGAACCATCCCAACATAATCGTGAGCGCTTCCCTACTACCGTCATCTACAACCTTCCATGCCCACCTAGTTCACCTTAGAAGTCTAGAATGTCTGGTGTGACGGGCTCGTTACTCAATATTAACCCGCTATCCGTATCTTATGTTGTACACAAACTCAAACTGGTCCCAAAACTCCGGTTATTCATGTTCAACAGCCTTAATTCCCAATCCCATGATATCCACAATTTCTATCATCACTCATTAACTTATTGTGCGATCAACCCTCGATCAAACGATCATCTTCCCTCGATCTCTGTATCGCTTGCTGCAACCGCTCATTCTCCTCCGCCCGGATACGGCTCCGTGAAGCCTCGAGTCTCTCGACACCGGCGTTGATAGTCTCGATGTGCACGGTCAGGGGTATGTCCGTTGTGTCCGCCAAGAGCTCCGGAGCGGCAACTCGATCCCTCAAGTCGCTCAGTTTCGTCCGGATATCCGTCAAATCGTGTATCAATTTACCTAGCTGCCGAACCGCTGAGTGTCGCTGCGTCTCGACCTGCTGTAGAAGGCTGAGTTGACCCTTCAGGTTATGCAGGCGGCGGGTGTTAGCCCCGACGAGCGTCCAGACGTTCCAGAAGACCTCATTGTGCTTCTCCTTGACGACGTTGCCCGTGTGCACAACATGCTCGTTGATAAGTTCGAGACTGCCCTCTGCCTCGTGAAGCAAGCGCATTACAGCCGTCCCTTCCAAAATTAGGGTCTGGATCTTGTCCGCCACCATGGCTGTATGTTCGATGTACTTTTCGAGAAGGACGTGTTCATCAAAACCTGGAGATTGAAATGGTGAAAAGAGCCAACCACTAAAGCGAGACAACATGTTATCATTAGCCTCGCGGTTCAGGGCAATGGAATCGATATATCGCGACGTCCACCGGTTGATGCTGATGACGCTATCGACTGCGCTGCCGACATGAGTATTGAACATCTGCAGATCGTCTGCACCGACGCGGACGGCTTCGATATAGTTATCGAATTCGTGTACCAGCTCTGCGCGAGTTGGTAATTCGCTGAATTTAACCATCGTTCGTAGGTCACGGACGGATGCTTCCGATCGTTTCATGTCCATCGGCAAAGATATGCCTTGTGCAGAGTCCTCAAGCACCTTCTCAAATTGAGATTGCACGTTCATCAATTCTTCGAACTCGACGGGCGACGAGCCGTCTCCTTTTCCAGATTGCAAATTATCCGGGCAGAAAGGGAGGTTCATTAGAGACACACCAGGTACTCGGCATAATGGTGCTAGCGGTGCAGTGAGCGAGTTGACGAGCATGTCCTTAGCCATTATACACACGCCAATAATCAGGTAAATAGCGAGCATGATGGCTATCGGCCACTGTGCGTAGCGGAAAGCCAACCGAATGGTGCCGAGAACCCAGGAAGCGAAGTCGAAAAGAAACTCAGGGGCAGATGATATGAACCTAGTACTAAGTGAGGGCCTGGGAGGAGCGCTGTTCTCGTCGTGTTGAGTGCCGGGTTTACGTGGAGTTGGATCGTTGTCCACTTGACGATTACCTCGTCGCCTCGTCACTCGTGGTTCTTGCATGACGGGATGAGTGGTTCTAGAAGACCGACGGTTGTTCCGCGGTGGGCTTTCAACATCAACGGCTGGCATAAAGAATTCAGGAACAGGCGTTCGGTCTTTGTCCATAGACACGTTCCTTGGAGTAAGCGAAGGTTGAAAGGGCGCTCTTCGAATGACGTTATCTTCGTCGGCCCTATCATAAAAATCGTGAATGCTGTCCTGGGAACCAACACTGAAGTCTTGCGATGAATATGGCTGGGATGGTTGGGACTGGCTGCTGAATACGAGAGCGTCACCCTCGAAAGGATCTTGAACTATTGCGGTATCGAAGCTGTCGTTATCACCTCCTTCTACCATACGCCAGGAATCCTCGACAGAGAGCTGTTTGCTACTTCGGGTTCGTGCCATGTTCTAGTGAGTATGTTTATTCCAAGAAATCCGACTTAGAATCTCATAGTTCCCAGCTCCCACCTGAAGATACTCGCTGTGCTGCGTTGGGCAGCGGTGGATGATGTTAGGTTCAGGTTTCTTTGACCAAGTCGAAATGTCACTTGAAGTCTTTAAGTAAGGTTCGGGCTTGTCTTGGTGCGACTTCCCATCCCACTTCGTCGGTGATATGAGTAACTAGGCAAGGCAGGCACGAGTGTTATATACTAGTGCCAAGATCACGGACTTCGGTACGGGTCCTGATAAACAAGGGTCGCAGAAATGCAGTGACTCATACAGAGATCAATAGTTGAAGCGTGAAAATAGGTAGATTGAAGTCAATAGAATAGGCGTAGTACCTGCACAGACCAATATTTAATGTCTTGAGAGGATGCAAGTTTGATGGAGGCATCCATGCGCCTTATGAGACTCTAGAGATATCGTGAACTGGTCGCGGCTGACTTGATGTCACGGGGTTAGCGTCGTACCGTGTGATTGGATCCCCTACCATATCCAGTAATAATAACAAATACAAGTTTGGACTACGCTACGGTTCTAAAGTGATGTACGGAGTACATGTGCTAGGCTGCAAAGATATGATGTGACCTGAGTACCCCATACAGACAATCCCCCCACCTTCCGTTCAGTAAAGCTTCCAACCGTAGATCCCTGTCGACTCCTTCAATCCCTGTCACTTCTCCAATTTGTCTGTGCGAATCAATTCTTTTGAACTTATAATTTTTCTGACGTTTATTTCTTAGAGCTTCTCAAAGCTCGTCATGGTTCGAAAGTGACGATTGATTGGCGACATGTTCGCACGAAGCGTGGCGAGGATACGCCCTCAGATATTGAGATGTGCACCTCGAATACGAAGGGTCGAGTCATTGACCCCTCCAACTCACTTCGGGTTCCGGAGTTGTTCTTCTCACTCAACCACGGAACTCCCACCGAAACCCTCCGCCGATCACACAAAACTCGGCATCCAACAAGAATTATTTATAACGTCCACATATAGTCCGGGCTCGCCTCTGTTGCTGCCTAATGGTGCTCGAATATTCAATCGCCTCGTAGAATTTATACGGAGCCAGTATGGACGATATGGGTTTAACGAGGTTATCACGCCTATTATCTATAAAAAGTCGCTATGGGGAAAGTCGGGCCATTTAGAAAATTACAGAGATGATATGTTCACTGTAACTAGTATGTCGCCCTCGAGAAGCGATAGTGGTGGCCGCGACAAAGAGAAAGACGAGTACGGTCTTAAGCCGATGAACTGCCCAGGCCATTGTCTGATCTTTGCATCCAAGCACCGGGGTTATCGAGAATTACCTGTGCGATACGCCGACTTTTCCCCCCTCCACAGAAACGAATTATCCGGAGCTCTAAGTGGCTTAACTAGAGTGCGGCGCTTCCATCAAGATGATGGTCATATTTTCTGTCGACCGATACAAGTCGAGGAGGAGATCAGGAAGACGCTAGACTTCGTGCGCGTCGTCTACTCAACTCTAAAACTAGGTCCCTACCGATTAACGCTCTCAACTCGTCCGGCGGACCATTACATCGGGACTATTGAGGAGTGGGACAGCGCTGAAAAGGGCCTCAAAAGAGCTTTGGAAGCCTCCGGTCAAGGTTGGACTATAAATGAAGGCGATGGTGCATTCTACGGGCCCAAGATTGACATAATATTGAGAGATTCGGATGGCAAGGAACATCAAACAGCCACAATACAACTCGACTTCCAATTACCGAAACGATTTGACTTAACATATCAAGTTCCAGCTCCCGAATTCGAGCGGAAAGGAGAAATCACAACCGATCCAGCCGAGCTTAAAAAATTTGGAAAGGCAACTCCCGTCCTCATCCACAGAGCTGTGCTAGGCTCGGTGGAGAGGTTAATGGCTCTGCTTATCGAACACCACAACGGCAAGTGGCCGTTATGGTTGAACCCGAGGCAGGTGATAATAATCACAACACACGAGGATGAAAGTGGAAAAGTGAAAGAGCTAGCCAGGACCACCCAAGCCGTCCTAATGGGCCTGGATGAACCAGCTGATGGTCCAATCGCCAACCAATTCCAACTAACTGTAGACGTTGATGAAAGTGCCCGAAAATTACCACACAAAGTGCGTATGGCAGTATCTAAGGGCTACGGCGTTATTGTTACCATTGGCCCAGACCAGCTATCCGATGGAACTGTCGCAGTCGACTTTTCTAGATTGCCTGGATCGGATAGCGCTCACACAGAAGAACGTCGCGAGATGAAGCCGAAAGACTTGTACAACTTTCTCAAGAAGAGGGTTCAATCATTCGAATGATAATAAATTGCAGACCGAACAGTCTGCTTCAATTGATCAATTGTACTCGTATTGATCCCGTGCCTGGTCGCTTTAGGGTCTGAATAAGCATCAATGCCAATGTCTTCGCTTTCACCGTCATCTAAATTATGGCCCTTCTCCATCTGAGCTTCTTCCGGGAAATCTTTCTTGTAAATCCTTCTGACGGGCCTCCATCCTCTCCAAAATTTTAACGGGTCTGGAGGAACGCGACATCAGTCAATATATGCGCTATGATTTATAAAGGGTGGAAAGTGAATCAGAGGGAGACTTGCTCTTTTAAATGGTCTGGGACAGCAACACCTCGCGTCTCTGCCGCTTCAACTAGATCGCGCCGTCGAGCAAGTTGCTCCCTCATATATTTGACCGTTTCCTTCAGTACGAAGCCTTCGGAACGGCCGTGACCTTCCAGGCCGGGCACGAGCTCGCAGAGACGGTCAAAACCAGCTCTAATAGCTTCTCTGCGCTTTTGCTCTGCGACTGATATTAGCACCTAGCGCTGTCGCTTAGGAGACATTAGGTAAATATGTAGGAGGGACCGATTACCTGATGCGATATGATTTTGTTTCTTCTCCTCCTCGGTCAAGCGCGGCTTATCATCGTGCACCCCCGAACCCTGGCCGTTTTCTCCGTCCTGGGGAGATTTGGACCGCGGCTCAGACATTCTGCTCGAGGCACCCGAAGACTGAGACCGATAATCCTGCTTGGAACAAACGTCGGTCTCTCTCGCGCGTGTAACTGGATTCTTAATTGTTATATTATAGTTTTAGCTAAGACGGGAGTCCCGACAAACTCTGCTGGCGGGTGTCTAAGCCAAGTATCTGAAGACATGAGACAAGTGCTGGACGGAACGGTTCGCTGATGGCCTGTAGTTGTCGTTTAAACTTGAGATCCCCGGTGCACACATCTTCTAGGGGGTCGGTATAGAAGGGTGCGCTTGTTAAGAATATGGATGAAATCGTTCCGGGATGCCCGCCGTTTAAGATCGGGATGGGATGTAAATTTAACGAGATCTAGCTTTCGGTTTCACTTATAAAATGGCATCTCAGCTCGAAAAGTGCATGTGACACTCGGCCCCACTAGTCAATGACGGGTATCCCTGTCCATCACGTTCCATAAAAGAAGCTCGAACTTGCAGTTTCCAGCCCCAGCTGAGCCACGAGAAGGTCTGGATTTCGCCGATTTCGTTATCCGTCATTTATAGGTATGTATGTACCTTCGTACCCCCACGATCAATTGGTAAGCTAAAGTTGTGACGCAGCTTCCCCGGACCTGCACCCTGAACCCCACTAGCCCTTCCAACATTTCCAACGTTTTAAACCTACGATTGACTTCTCCTTGACCTCCCTTCCGTCCTTTACAAAGTCGACCAAAACCGCAGGGACGCCAATTTGACTTCTACTTCTCTTCGCCTTACCAATAACCAAGCTATCACGGCCCTCAGATTCCAACTCAACCACCAAACTCGACAGGTTCCCAGGTAGCTTCCAAGCTCCTTAGCTCCCTACCCCTATTCCTCCTATATCAACGATTACAACCACAACCACAACCGCAATGGACGACGAAAAGAAGCAACCCCTCCTCCAACCCACCCCATCCGACCCTCCCCCAGACTACGAAACCGCCGCCGCCGAACACGCCCCCACCACCCAGTCCCAACCCCTACCCATCCGCCCCCCTCCCGTCCGCCGGCCCCCGGGCGCCCTCCTCGACCTCCCGATCCTGAAGCACATGCGCACGCACCGCGTGATCCTCGCCTCCTCCTCACCGCGGCGGCGCGCCCTGCTCTCGCAGCTGGGGCTGCCGAACCTCGAAATCCGACCCAGCACCAAGCCGGAGGACCTATCCAAAGCGGACCTCGGGCCCTGGGCCTACGTGTCCGCGACCGCGCAGCAGAAGGCGCTAGACGTGTACGCCGCTCTCGTCGAGGAGGCCGCCGCGAACCAAACCTCCACCACCACCACCTCCACGAGTGCGAGTTCAAGTGCTACTGCCGGTATTAGCATAGACGACGCGCGCAGACGAGACCCGGACCTAGTAATCGCAGCGGACACAGTAATCGTGACGCGCGAGGGCGCGGTGCTAGAGAAGCCGTCGTCGGAGGCGGCGCACGTGAAGATGCTGCGGCACCTGCGGGACACGCGGTCGCACCGCGTGCTGACGGCCATCTGCTGCGTGGCGCCGCGCGCCGACGCCCAGCACCCGGGCTACGCGCTGGCCTCGCACGTCGAGGAGACCAAGGTGCTGTTCGCGCGCGAGGCCGACGGCCTGCCCGACGACGTCATCGACGCGTACGTGCGCACGCGCGAGGGCGCCGACAAGGCGGGGGGTTACGCCGTCCAGGGCCTGGGCGGCGCGCTGCTGGTCGAGAAGGTCGATGGCGCGGTGGATAATGTGGTGGGCTTGCCGGTGCGGAAGACGCTGCAGTTATGTGAGAAAGTTATCTTTCGGCAGAATGAGACGAGCGATGACGAGGAAGAGGAAGATGAGTGAAGTGGGTGGGTTGGGTGATACGGACAAGTCTTGAAAGTTTCAAGGTAGCGGGAAGACGTAGCTACATCCAGGCCTGAAAATCCAAGGGCATTTGGTCGATGCAATGTGGGAACATGTAATGACTATAGATGGCATCCCAATAGACTCGGACGATAGACATTCATGATATGTACAGTTTTATGTGATTTATATATACTAGGCAAGTGGAGGTATATGACAACGAAGTCTTCAAAAAGCATAATCCCAACCGTAACACACCTATAAGCGAACCCGACAAGCAAACCAAAACCCGCCCGTTATTTTGAGTGACATCCATATCATGTCTAGTGACATGTGCAAGATCATTTGTCGCCAGCGGTCGGCATCTTCGACAGTGATCCAGTCCTGTGCCTCCTGTCCTGTTTTGTTCTGCAACTCAATCCAAATATCTATAATAAACACGGCCCAAGCACTTAACGCCAATATAAGTTGATATAACCCGTGTAAGTAGGATAGAATATAGAAAATTAATCGATAAAAAGGGGTATATGTCGTGAAATTCATGAGATGGAGTATAAGAATCGGGTATAAATGAGTTGGTATGTGACAGCGGAAATGTGATGTCAGTATATGTAACGTCTGTACATCTGTTAAATTGGATAGGCCGTGTTATACAAGGCAATAAGCATTTCCTGGATTGACGACAGATGCAGCCGCCCTATTCAGCCGTCGTATTTAACATTGCCCAGAAGCCCCTCCCATCTTCTGGCAGTGTCAAGTTGTGGACGTTGCGGCAGTGCGCCCTGATATTATCGGTGCGTCCTCCTTTAAACGTCTTATTACAATCGCTGTTCGGACATTTGATAGTTACGTCCACATGCGATCGCTTGTGCCGAGATAAGTGAGAGCTTATGTTTTTGCCTTTAAAAACCTTCTCACATTGGTTGCACCGTACCATATTTGGTGCAGGGGACATCGGGCTGGCGTTTCTGAGGGATGTTAGAAAGGCACAGATGTCAAGGTTAGATTATAAAATAAACATACAATTCATGAGGCGTGGAAATCTCCGAGTTAGTCCCGTACACACTCCGCGTGTAACTTCCTGTTGAATCGGGAACAGATAATGTAGGCTGACTAGTGCTAGTCTGCGAGGCAATCGTGGGTTGGTTTGGCTGGAGCGTTCGAGAGTCTCGAGAATGAGATGATTGCGACGCGAAGAGATATGTGGGATGGTATTCCCCACTGAAATCTCTTTCCACCTCGTCGAGTTTTTGCTCAAGAGCATGGTTTGTTATATGTCTCCGACGGCCGGAAGGACCGTTCGGCTCTTCCGCCACATGGGCCGTAGGACAGACTTGCAGTACGGTCCGAACAAAATCACGACAAGAACCAGCATTCGGAAATAAGCTCTGATAACAATTTGTCAATAAAAATATCGTAGAAGCAGATAACTTGACTTACCACACTTAGATGGATCATATACTTGACCGTATCCTTAACCGAATGTAGCGCACCAAGCAATGCCACCGACCAAGTAGTCGAAACGATAGCTTGTGCTATCGGATGTTGTGCGGATTGTGAAATAGAATTTCTCAGCGGGCCAAAAAGGGTATTTTCAATTCTGTTGAAGAACAGTTTCTCGGAGATCCGGGCGTTCGAAGTCAATGATAAATTGTTCCAGCGAATTAACCCCTGCGCAAAAAGGTGAGGCAGATCGCCCTGATTGGTGAAGTCTAGTATCGTATAAGAAACTAATCACAGTACACTCAGGCAGCTCACCTACTATCTATGAATCTCTTGAAAACACCAAAGGGGGCAGACTGGTTTAAAGCACCTAGGCCCAACTGAGTCTCGTGAGGGCGACAACCGGGCGGTTGGGGATATTCAAATGACGGTCCAGGGTTGTGTAGATGAGGCTGGCGCGAAAAGGTAGAAGACGCATCAATTTCATGTGACAGGAAAGATTGATTCCTATTGGTTGTCGGGACATAAGAAGGCATAAGATACTGGTTGCCCAATGATTCGAATGGATTGAGTTGCTGAGGTTGGTTCAGTTGATAAGCTGTGGGATATTCGTCACTAAGACGAGGAGTGAAGCTCTGGTCATGAAATGTCCACATAGACAAAGAGTTTTCGTTGATAGTCTGGGGATAGAAAGTAGGGCTTGGGTTTGTAAATTGTCTTCCCGTTTCGAAAACTTGCGTTTCGTAAGGAATTCGAGTAGGTCGAGCATCTTCCAATGATGATTTATCCACTAGCTTCAACTGTTCAAAAACTAGATTCAGACTCTCTAGGTTTATTTCGTTTAGCGGTATCGTATTCCTCCAACTAGTGAATGCTGACTGGACACCCTCATAGGAACCTCTGTCCGTGGCGTAATGAGAAATTGCATGCTGGACAATCATGGCGCAGAGCATCTCGGGGAATTCGGTGGGAACCTCGTTTTGTTGAATGTCTCCAAGGGCCCTTAAACCGTAGTTCCTGATATCCTTTGGCTCCCTATACGTTTTGAACCAATCCCCTAGCTCGCCCGGTCTGCTTTGGAGGCATTCCTGAAGCTTCTGGTGATACTCGTCAATCTTCTTAATGAACCGCCATGAAGACTGCCACTGTGACTGACGGCCTTTGTTCCGACTATTAGAAGAACCATCAACTAGGCTGGCAGTCACAGGCGGTTCCTGATGATTGCTTGCCGGTCGGTCAGGTCGGAATGTGGGAATGGAGGATGAGTGTAGGAAGTGTAGATCAGGCGTTGCAGCAGCCGTGTCTGAGTAGCTTGTTAGCCGACCATGCATGCTTCGAACAGTTAGGATGCCTACCACCCGGCACATCCGCGTAAGCACACAATGAATCTACGAAGTCGCAAGTGATACCGAATGCCTTAATGTTACATAGGCCAACACGGTTGTTGATACTGTGGTTATAGGACGGTGTTGACAACGGCGACGCAGGATAATCGGCCATATTGGGAGCCTCCAGGAGTGACCACCTAACACTGTAAGATACCCAAGGAACTTGTCGTGGTGGTTCGAGGAATATGGTTATGGGCGGCGGCGGATATTTAGCCTCTGGGAATTCCCAAGGAACGAACTCGCGCGGGAGTGCCTCATTAAGAATGATTCCATCGTTTAAGAAGACGAGAACAGCGCAGAGGAGCTGCGGATGTTTTTTGACGAGTTGTCCTAGTCTTTGCGACTACATTAGTACGAAGGTACCTCTCTCGTTATTGTCCTGGCTTTCGGTGCTGCATTGTCCTAGCATAGCAACGAAGACGGGGATCGCAGAAAATAGGAAACTGAGAAAATGCGAGTAGCACCCCTGAATCGAATTTTTCTAAAAATGTAATGATTCTTAGGTGGAGTGGGCTCACCTCGTTCTAGCCAGCAGTGGCACTTGTTGGCGGTATATCCAGAAAACGAGATTTACGTTTCCTGTGATTTATTCATCCATGGATGTCAATCGGGTATGGCTGACTCCCATCAGACCCAAGCGGGGTAGCTTGAATTGGAATGCCATACTGTACACCGTTGAAAATAACCCCTCGGGCTACGTATTACGCATCGTGCTTCCTAAGCCACTGAGGGGTGAGTTGACCACTGGTTACATCGAGGAACTGATCTAGATACCTGGTTTCACGTCATATATCACAAATCTCCTAATCTACGGCTACGGTGGCTCGCTTGGTTCGTCCAAGTCCTCGGAACCATCACCGACATATTTTTTTGGTAGTTGGTCTTTGAGCTGGCCACGAGTTAGAAGGTAAGGAAGACAGGTAAGGTGAGGATTGGGCGGGCATGAGAAGAAGGTGGGGCATAGGTCGGGCACCAGTGCTTAGAAGTTGGTAGGTACTTTCAGCGACTCGGCGCAGTTGGAATTGGGCTGGACTAGCTAGAGTAGGTAGAAAGAATGATGAGAAATACCGCCCGTGTGTAGTGCTAGTATAGGTAGCCGACATGAATGAACAGGAGATTCTCTGTTGCTATCCACTCGGATACACGAGGCGACGAGATTATCAGTTCATGCCCGAGAGTTAAGGACGTTTCCTGTGCTCGACATTCTGACGACGGTTTCTCGGCAACTAGCCGGATCGGTTAGGCCTAAACAAATGTACCAATGATTGGTAGCTAGGCACCTACGGTAGGTGGTTGATTCCAAGCATGGTAAGCGCCGGCGCTTTTGACCATGGTGAGGATCAACTCACCGTAGTCGAGATTCGCCCGGCCAAGGTATTTTTAATGATTGAATACATATTCAATAGACGCAGTGGCCCATGTTTTCCGGGGGTGGCATGTTATATTTCGGGGTGCTGTCGTCTTTCATGAGCTTGGGGCAATTGGCCGAGACAAGCCGTGACAAAGTCTGGCTTAGGGTGCAAAATCTGGTTGTAACGCAGAATGCGGCGCCCTATTTTCCGACCATGATCTGAAATCAAGTAGAGGGGACGAAAGTTCACCCTGGTTCTGTTCAAAGTCGAGGGAGAATTTGTTAAGGACAAAACAACCAGACTCCAAACAACGTGTACCACGTAGTTAATTTGCTATAATGCACATTTTGCCACCCTCTAGGGTGTGATGGGTGCGGTGGAATGTGTAGAGAGGCTATGCGGCTATGAAGGAATTTTTTTGGTCTTTCGCCAGGTCACAGAGCGAGGATATGGCGGTGTAAACTGCATAACCACAAAGCTGTGCGTAGTGCAGTCGATCATTTAATTCCTGAGCGATCTAATGTTTCAGATAGACGAGAAGAGACGGATACTCTGGACTGGAAGAGGTTTGCTGTTAGGATATTTCGAGTTTTCGTGTAAGTACTTTTAGTTGTTCAAGTTTAGGAGCTCAGAAGTTTTGATAGAAGTCAAATTTGAGTTGACTTAAAATGGAACTAACGGAAAGCAATGCTGCTAAGTGGATTTAACAAGTTCGCGCTTGCCGCTACCTCCACATTCCAAGATAATAAGGGTCTGAGGCCATTTAGTTGGCTAATTCGTAACTTCCATCCATCATACTAAAACGTGTTTAACACATGGCAAGCGCAAGGGATTGGACGAATAGTACTAGTAACCACTACCCAATCATTTGGGGCATACCTACATGTGGTATGAGGTCGGGTCAGGGATTAATACTAACAGTAAGGTACCAAGGTGCATTTTCTACAATTGCATCATTTCGATTGCGAATTCTGATTCCCATAGCGATTTCTCAGGATCTAAATGCGATACCACCTAAGTACACATGTAAGTAAATATGCATGTAATAGATGGCAAGCTACCTACCAACGAGCCTAAGCACTCACTACTCTCGTCCACCTTGAATCTCTTGACATCCGATTGTGTAGGTGTACACCAAAATTAGATACAAGGTGAGTGAGTCATTGACGAAATATCCACAACTAGTACTTCATTTTATATGCAACTGTCCTTGCAGATACGGTGCACGACACAGCGCTCTAGCCGAAGGATGAAGGAAAGAAAAAAAAGAAAAAAAAGGGCGCATCATCGCCACAATAAGAAGATAGGTATGTGATGCGCTGTCATGCTCCCCCTATTCAAGCTATTAGTTGGCTAACCTACCTAGCTACCCTAAGGGGAAGTGAGGACTCCCGTCGAAAAGACCGGTGGGGACTAATCGAGCCAGAGGTAGGCTGCATGTAGTTTGTTCACCAAGAACATGACATGCAACATTGGGTACCTACCTACCTAGTTATGACATAGCCCTGCACGTTTAGAGACACATAGGTACCTGATCAAGAACGGTTTCTCGTTTCGGCATTTCAATGAGCGGTGGCAGTCGGGGTATAACATTATAGCTCGTTGGATATATTATTACCATTAGATCTATCACAGCCTCATTATAACTACCATTACGCCCAATCGCCCTCTATATATGGTGGTTCTTGTCATTAATCATATTTTCCATCGAGATGCCTCAACTCTAGATCGACGATCTTTCCTCATCTCTCTCAACCGGGCCTCACAGCTCCATATTGTGGTAAACCATCCTTTGAAGTCTGCTTGTAACGATGGCGGGAGAGGCGAGCCCCGCCTCGTAAAATTAATCCACGGATAGGAAATATCCAGAGCACTCCGTATGCCTGACCATACATGAATGCTCCGCGTAGTTTGACTGCTGCCTACTTTAGTGACAACTAGTCTCTTATTGCTCATTTTGGACGTTTGAGGGGGTGGGCTTCAGTATTCAAGACGTAATCGTCCAAGTTGACAAGATCAGGAGAGGAAAATGTCAGGTAAAGGTATCTGAGCGTCTCGGCCAGCCAGAAACTCTATAGTAATGTCAGCCAAAACTCAAACCACCATTATAAGCAACATAAAAACCTACCTCCATAGAGTCCGACTTCACAGTATTGACGTCTCTGACGGAATTAATTGATGAAAACGCTAGATCCGTCTCAGTCGCATTTCGAATAGCCTGAAACATTCTCCACGCCATCTCCTGGTACTCGGAATTGCCAGTCATGCGGTACATCAAGAACACGCTCTCGACAGCCTCGGGCCGCAAAAGGTAGCGCGGATCTCGAGCATTCTTGAAACCTTTCTTCAGTGTCATATCGGCCTCATTCTCCCATTGATCTTCGTCCCACTCGCACGGATCTAATGTATCGCATTTCTCTAGGTTGGAGATCTCGGGCATGATACCTGTAGGCATTGCGTCGTAGGCCCACACGCAGCCACGTGTGATCTTCTCGCCGATCTCGAGATGTTCCGGGATGTTGAAAAGTTTGCCTCCCAGCCCAAACATTCCCCCAACGAAGCATCCGAGGTGCTGCACTTCTGCGGTCAAATGAGGCCCTGTGTCTGACGAGACATACACGTTTCCGGAGAAGAGTATATCATCCTGATCTGGAGTCTTTGGTCGGAACAACAAATTCTTGATGACTGTATCCATGGATCCTCGGTAGAGCTTTTCATACATTGGTTCAAGGCCGCCTAAGATAGCGTAAGTCTTGGGCAGGTATTCATAAAGACTATCCGCCAGTGCGCCCAACGTGAAGCTGCTGTCACTGTCCAGCTGAAGCTGATTAAAGTCGAAGAATGTTGGCCACATGCCCGGTAGTGCTGTTTTATTCTGCCATTCGTCCAACACCAATGTCACCCTATTGATGACATCGTAGTACTTGTTATTTCCGGTGAGTTGAGCTAGCCGACTAAACTCTAGAGATGACGAAGTGACTGAGGCTGAAGGGTCGTGATATCCGGCGACCTGATTGCCGCGCTTAGCGTCATCAAAGTCTAACCAGAATGGGGGCATGTGGTTTGGCGTGTCATATGCCATAAAGAGCATGTCTCCAAGCTCAATAGCTTTCTCGAGCAGTGCTGTCTCTAAGCTCAGGTCGTATGCACCTAATAGTCCACCCAGATGCCGGATAGTAGTTTCGAAAAAGTTGCAGGAAGTATCTCTCGTGTCGGCCCAATCAATTGTGACTGCCGCTGCTGCTGCCTCATAAAAATCGTCCTTGAGGCCCATAATCCAAAGTGTCGAGAGGGAATCGACAAGCGTAGCCCCCCATCCGCCAAATCCAGGTGCATCTCTTCCTTTACCCGATACTGGCATAAGTTCGTCGTAACCAAACCCGACATTCTTATAACTAGTCCAACTCTTCACGAACGCACTCTTCACCTCGGCGCGCCGACTCGCCAGCACCTCCTCCCTCGCAACACCCTCAGGACTCGTGTCGGTAGTAAATGCATATTGTACTTTAGGTAGCGGGAGAGGTCTACCAGTTGGTAGAGGCGTATACTTCGATATGGGGTACTTCAAGGATTGCTTGGACCAGTCATAGCTCGACCTAACATAGGTAAAGCCGAAGAGGGTATCGCGACGTTCGGGGATAAGTCCGACTAGGAGATATATGACGAGTACTAGAAAAAGTGCGGCGGCGACTCGTGTTTTGCGTCGGAAGATAGCTATCATGGCGTTGTAGGGTTGTTGTCGAGCTTGCCATTCCACATTTTCAACAAACATGGAGAGATAGTAGATATCCCTCGCCCCGTCAGGTGATAGGGATAATAGAGATACATTACCAATATACCATACGTAGCCAGTAAGAAATGCCGTGGATAGAAATAGAGGCCGGATTGGATCTGACAACGAGCCGTGCAAATCGCATTAGTGAAACGCGGGCTGTACAGGATAACAAATGTGAATGTCAGGAAATGTGAAGAGTTCTTGGCGAGGACCAGGATGCCCCGACAGCTATTAGGGGGTAGACCCGCTCGTATTACAGTGGTGAAGCCGCCAAATTCCCGGCAGCCCGGCTAGCCGGCAAGTTCCAAGGTTCTCCAACCCCTACTGGTCGTTCGCTAATTGGCTTTCGTAGCGTTGTTTACTTGAGCTTATTAGTCAGGTACAGAGGATATTTACCGCAGATCCAGTCGATCTTTACCCCATACAGTTGAACTATTTATTACATAAGTCAGCAACTTCACATCCATCATTTACCTAAACACTAATGTCATTTGTACACATATTAGGGTTGCACAAAGGCCAAGAATCCTTAAATGATGCTATATCAGAACCTTAAAAGAACGTCCAGATCAATGATGTTAGTTCAATCTACGTTATCGGTATTTGAAATATTTCCCATCGATAGGTACATACCTCGTTATGCAGTATTCAAGAATATACCTACTTAGGTACTTAGCCAACTACACAGTCGACGCCAGCATCGTTTTTTCACGGTTTACTTGGAAGTGTCTTATTGAAGAAGTTGATGCATGAACTTATGTGAGACGGCCAATTTCTGGTGCATTTCCAGCCTAATACCATAGAAATAACATTGTTTTGTCTTCAGGTAAGCATTCAGCACATAATTGTCATATCATTATCATATCTATCCTTCTATCAAACGCCTCACATGTCCGATATACCTACTAGGTATTTGTACTTGCAGTTGTGGACTCCAGCTTTTCGCATATGTATAGAAATCGGTGAATTGCCCGCAAGAATAGTTCCAGTATTGCTAAAATATAGCTTTTAGGTTGAAAGCAGCCATTGCCTGTTGGCAAGTCCCAGTACTTCCTATAGAAGAATACAACTACCAATAGCTGGGTGTGTATAGTAGGTTCAAATATATTGTGCAAGGTTATTACGCGTGGTACTATTTCCTTGAAAATAGCAATCCTACTAGGCGGGAGCGGATCTTACCGCACCCAATCTCCACATTGTGACACATCCGTAGTTTTCATACAAAGCCATGCACTAAAATTTATTCCCACTTCAACTCAATATCCCAAGGATACGAATAATACGGAAACGCCGGCTTGTTCTTTATGGGCACATGCATCGGTTCCGATCACTTCCTGAAAACTTCCGGCATGTAGGGCGGCTTTTAGCTACTGTTAACCCAACAACAACTGGTAGGTAGGCTTGGCTTGCAGCTACATATGAACAAATGATAAGGTACCGGTATTGTACCCGGGAGGCTAGAGAGGCCCGGGTCTTATCCACGGATACTCTAGCTTCAAATTTACAAAATCGATCTGACTAGATTCAGTGCCAACAATCGATTGTACCCGGATATCTCGGGTGAGAATCCCCCACTCTCGATACTACGTACCTCTAATCAATCTCGCCATCGCTTTCTGGGTATCATCTTTTTTAACAAGTTTTTTGAGCTTAATTATAATCGACAGCGGTATAGTAATTCCGTATCGTACGTATGGTAGGATACCAGCCGTTATAGTTGATTTGGTTTTCCCGACTGTCTATTCCTTTAAGATCATTATATCATTTACTCCTAAATCACATGATAACCCCTTTTTTCACCACCTAACCCCCACCATACACAGTACACCTAACAGGCTTCAATATTAATTACAATAGTTTTATCTTGCATTCGTTTAAAACTTATAACTAATGATCGTACCAATAAACTTGGGTAAAGTTTTGTATATATAAGTAAGCATTGTAGTAGTGAGACTAATTGTTACTCCCTGGGTATAAAGTGTATATCGCGAAAGAGTTACGCTGGATAGGATATCGCATAGCATAGGTATGTAGATATCAAAAATTATTTCCACAAATATATATATATATATATATATGCTACCGCCATCGCTTTAGCTATCGCTTACGTTGAACTCTGGAACCTTATCAAGTTGAACTCTACGGCAAACATGTTTAGTGTCATACGCATCATTGAAGGTAGAATTACAAGAATCAATGCTAATCATTGGATTGACCGAACATTATGATTACATATTATACGCAGCAAAGTTACTTTTGGAATTTATCAAAAAACCTCCCAATAATCATTTCGTAAACCTTCCAGAACTCCCTCCCGATTCTCATCCACCCCTTCTGCTTTCCCTTCTCGCTCCTACTCGACTCCCGTTCCGTCTTCTCCTCTTCCTCTATCTCAGCTTCTTCTTCTTCATCTCCTAGCCTCATATTCTCAACCACCCACGCTACTTCCTTCGCCACAGCCTCGGGGCGATCTCTCTGGACATTATGGCCACAATCAGGCACATTCACCAACCTCTTCGCGCCTCCCTCCTTGGCAAGGTCCAACTGCTTCCTCTTCATATCTTCGTCCGCGTCCTCCCACACCCCCAGCATCACCCTCCTCTTCATCAACTCGCCCCTCTTAAACTCATCCCCTTCCGCTAGACTCTTCTCCGCCCTCTCTAGATCATCCCACATCCTCAGGAACGAGTTCCCCTTAATCACGCTCAACGGCCTGCTCCCGAGCACCCGCCTCTTATACTGCCTCTCCTCCACCTTAGGATCTAACCCGCCCTCCTGCCCCGTCTCGACAAGCACCACGCCGACAACCTGTCTCGGCGCATACGCACCCTCGTCGCTCTGCCCCTCACCACTCCCCTCCCCTCCCTCATCTTCCGCACTTTCCCCCTTCCTCTCCCTCTCCAAAAACATCCTCGCAAACGACCCCCCGTACGAATGCGCGATCAACACATAAGGGCCCCTAAGGCCCTCCCTCCTCAAATAAGCCCTCAGCTCCGCAGTCGCCCGCGCCGGCTTCGGATTCAGGTCCCCGCGGTTATACAGCAAGACGCGCAGGTTGATCGGGGCCGAACTAAGGATCGCCGCCAACTTGTCCCACGACGGCGAACACGACTCGCCGGAGCCGTGGAAGCATATGACCAAGGGCGAGCCCTCCCCCGCCGCCGCGCCCGAGTCCGAGTCCGGGATCAGGAGCTTGTGTTCGGCGGGAGCCGGGAGCGATGCGACGTCGCTAGGGATGTCTGGCATCGATGACGTCGCGTCGTCTCCACCGTGTTTCGCGGCCGACATGGTGTCGCGCGTTGCTCGTCCGTGCTAGCGATTCCGATGATGTCGTTGGTCATCTCATCTCGCTGCGGAAGGGGCTTAGGAGATGGGGTCCATCGAGCGGGAAATTAGAGAGCTCAATTCGTGGACCTGGAATGAGTGCAACTTAGTTTTGTCGGTCTTCGAGATTACAAGAGGCTGCGGATGGTTCTTATGCACATCCATGCAGTCAATTGAGGCTTACGCGCACGGACCAACAATATTTCCTGCAGATCTGAATAAGGGGGCGATCGTATTGTGGCACCCGCACATCTACAGTCATTATCCAAGTTTAGGTACTGTATTAACAATGTGAATTCATCTTTGTATTCCTCGGGAATATTGATCATATCGAATCTGGGTATATCCAAGCAGTCTTCATATGCAATTCCGATTCCTTAATATACCACGGCCCACGTCCATCGATGCTCTAAGCATCGTTAAAATCAAGATCCGTTTCCTCATGAACGCCTTGATAGGCCCCGCATTAGCTCCAATAGATATGCTTTCCTGTCCAAACCAAACGCCAAGCCATGCAAATGCTGCTCCGTGAATATATAAAAATATGTCCCTAAACCCTTTATCTAAACCCTGGGAAGACTTTGAGAGCTGTGCGTTTCCCTATTGACTGGTTAGGTTTTGAATCATTCTAGTGGCGGACAACTTGCATTGAGGCCGCCCGTCATCGCTATTAGTTTCATCGACGGGGACGACTAGGTCCTGCATTCGATCTCGAGCTGTCCCGACAGTACTCGGCCTGTCAGCTCTTGGCTGCTGCTCTGGCAGATCGACAGCTTCTTCCGGCTTCGGAGATGATACACGACATATATGTTTTTTCATAGAGCTGCTCCATGACGATAGTCTTTGCCGCCCTCTTTCAACATCCACGTGTATTATACCACCCCGTGACCGAAGCCTCCTGGTACCAAATTCCCTGCGCACCATAGAATTGGTGATCTTGGGGCAATAACCAGGAGGAAGCATCGATGCTTTGCAGGAAGGACACAATGAGCTCAACTGACTTAAGAACTCATCGATGCACTCTGGGTGGAAGATATGGCCGCAGGGCAATTCGCGGATGATTGTCTTCTTGGATTCGAAGTCCTCTAAGCAGATAAGACAAGCGGGTTGATAGTCGATAGGCGCTTCGTTTTTCTCGGCCCTAACACTGATAGGCTGTCGGCTAGCCTCCGATGATCTCCGCCCCTTTGATAACTTCGGCGACGTGGGGGATACTGGTATTGGCGGATCGTAATTATATGTAAATAGCGTAAATGTCTGTATATGGGCCATCGGTACTCTCAATCGCTTGATACCTAATGCCTCCAAATTTACTTCCCCTCGCTCAACACGTCTTCGCAATGCTGCACGACGACGACCTTGGACGAAGTGCATAAGCAATGATGTGCTGCCGATAACAGCAACAATTACTCCTAAAATGATTAGAATAAAGGCCCAAAGGGGGAGTGTTGTCGACACGGTGATAACCGATAACTCTGTCCATACTCGCACATAATCGGCTGGATTTGGCGAATAGGTCGAAACAATCTGGTCACTGAAGGGAACCGTTGATAAATCACCAGAGTAGAGACTGAGTTGACGCATCATTCCATTTCCTGAGCCTCCAGGAATTGCGTAGATGGGATATCGATTTTGCGTCTTCCAGGCGCCCCCGTCACCTAGGTCCCAAGCATCGTCATCGGCATCTGGAGGTTGGTTGGTGTCGTCATCGTCTGGACGATAAACTAACATACCCCGAAGAGGATCTACTCTCGCGGAAGAGAAAAACGACTGGGTACATTCGTTGGTGACCCATGGTGCAAGAGCGATTAGATTATAATTCGTAGTTGGTAAATCCACCTGGCGGGTTACATTTTTGGGTATATATTTTGCCGTTATATTCTGGCACGGGTCGTCAGCGGCCAAATCTGGCACATATAATAGACCTTGGACCACTCCGTTTGCCGTCGACACCGAGGTAGTTGATAGAGTTGTAACGTTTCCAAGCAGATCCTCGGAATATGCTATCTGGCTCTGTCACGATGTGTAAGTAGACAATAGACCCATTTTGATATTCTTCCTAATCTTCAAGTCTCAGGACATACGGATAATGCAGTGATGTTTCTAAGAATGGTGCTAGGAATCGAATGGCCATCCGACCAGCTGGGATTGCTGAATAACAATCTACTCAGGTGTTAGTATATACTTTATCCACTTGATCAGGAGACTTTAGTCATGGCACGAGTCAGTCATGGACAGCCAGGCTAATGGTGAAGCCGATGATGTAGCGTTGTGTTAAGATACTGCCACGCAAAACACAGCGAGACTTGAAGAGTGCACCGTCTGGTGTAATGCGTGTTACGTCGTACGATGCAGGCGATGCAGCGATCGCGAATGCACCACCGGACGCACTCGACACCGTTGATATCATCATCATCACCAGTCAAATCAAGCATTTACAGCTAGTAGCCATTCAGCCAACCATCAACGACCAAGGTCGTTAAGCTTTTGTTGACGACCTAGTACCTGCTTGGCAGTGTCCATCAAGATGGAAAAGGGTTAAGAAAAAAAGAAGCTTTTGCTTGGCAACGTACACGACATTCCGGACGGTTTGGAGTGCTGTAAAAGAAATGTCAGCTGTGGCCTGCCAAGGGATTCTAAAGAAGGCTCGGCTGGTGCCAAGAAGATCAATCGCAATAACAAAACAGCTCTCGGCAGCGGGGAAAATAAGAGACCAGATGCTAGAAAAAAAATGACGAAACCACACGAGTTACCAAGTAAGAAAAAAAGGGTCCAAGACATACACATGCTCTTGTAATCATGATCCTATTTAAGGGATTGTTGAGACATTACGGTCGATGACTAGCAACGAAAGAGAGACAGGATCTCAGGAACGTAGACGACGCGAAGGATAGCAGGTAGTTTAGAACAGTGGACAGCGATTAATCGTGTATGGAGCAAGTTAAGAAAAGCGATAAAAATGTTGTTCTTGGCAAGTTTGGGGGTTGGAAATTGGGGGAGATGAAAAGTAGACAATAGGGGGTCAGGGAATAATTAGCAGGGATGGGGGGGAAGGGGGGAAGGGGGTAGACCCCATCACAGAAAGAAGTCTCCAGCCATCATCAGCTGAGGAAGCGACCTAATTGCCTGTCGCATCAGATGTACACAAGGACCCATCTGATTTGATATGCTGCCGTGCTGTTCCACCAGGGTGTTGGATGTACCGGAGGTAGGTACATACCTAGGTATGTATAAATTTAGGTGCCTACTTTGCGAGCCGGTCAATTGCAAAAAGTGGCTGTGTGATCCAGCAATTCCGACAATTGATTGATACTAGTAGCACTTGAGCTGTTGAGGTACTTACTGTACCTAAGTATCCCGAGAATCTGTATGGATCTACCAAAACCAGTTTAGACTGCTACGAAGCCTGTGTTAGCGTGCCCCATAGTGCACAGACTAAGACAGATGTACCTTCACATCATCCTACGACGTTATCCAACATTAGGTGGGTTAAGGTACCTTACATACGAGTCCAAAACGAATAGGGATCATGGGGCCAGAGTAGGAAGTCTCGGAATCACGTACATGACGTCGAGAATACGAATTACACAGATAAATGAGGTATTATTTATATACGTGCAGGACTCAGCTCTATATATGCAGGTGTGTATGTCGGTAGGTACGGTGCCTGTGATGCTAGGGCAGGTTCGAATATGTCTCATAACAGCGAACAACGATAAAGCTTGATTGTCCAAGCCTGGGGTAATCCTGATCGGCGTCGCGTCGATTCAACCCCTTGTCCAAACTCTGTCGGGCTGCCGGATAACTTGTACCCACTGCTTCGAAGTTCGATGTTGGTTTGTGGGACTTTACGATGGAAAACTGAGTCCAGTTGTAACCTAATTACGTTAGGGCACTCCATTCATTTCAACGACCCCCTGCGCTATTGACGCATCAAAATGAACGGCAGGGGAAGTCTCAATACGGATGTTAACTGCTTTTTGTATATAGTACTTTATGCTGTGGCATTTGTCTGCCTAACTTGCTACTAGTTAATGTATACGATACAATGAACATAGAGTGTTATGACCGGGCTTTAACTCCAGACCGGCCCAGAACCAAAAGCTTGTCGCGCTGGACGCCTTAAAAAAGCTTGTCTTGCCTCGTGCATTAGGCGAGTGGATCCCCTATTACATCTGTCCAACCAGCTTCGACCTCTCTCCACGAATACGTAGCAGTCTAACGATGACATCGCAATTATCGACTCAAACTTCGACTGTATCTACCGCATCTGACGAATAAGCTTGCTTCGTACCCCATGGGCCTAAATTGCTCTTCAGGGCGCTTATAGCAGTGGCTTGTTGATGATAGTTAACGGTATATAACTAATACCTCGCACCATTTTGTCATTCTACTTACGGTACTAGAGAAATGAAATCTGTCGGAGATGCATGTTCTAAGCTGAAAAAGCGCATCTATTGGCCTACACGAACCCACGAACAGATAGTGTCTCGGATACTAATTCCCACTAAAATCTCCCGAGTCTTCCGGTCCTAGCATCTCAGGACAGACCTAGAACTTTGCTGGCCAAGCTTCTAGTTATTCCGCATCGATGTTACGGTTCTAAGTCGACTTTCCATTTCAGAGGAACCAAAAATCGGGTACATGTGATTGTGGCTTACCTGAACCTCTTCGTCCTAGTTCTGAAGCACGGTCGAATCACGTAATCAGAAACCTCATACGTTTTGCGGGGGAGCTTACGTATATAGGCCATCCTTCGAGTCCAAATATTGTAACGTAGCACAGCAAAGGTGCAGAGATAAGCAGACCGACTATATGTGATCGGGCGTGGCCGGTCACCTACCCGAACTGTTTCCAACCAATTCTATGGGGTTGCACGTTTGGCTCATTCGCGGAATCCCCGTCGGAAACACAACGGGGAAGCCAAGAAATTTTTCTTGACAGCATCTCATCGGTGTGGGCCCCGAATTCCCGCCAATCGACCCGACATTGTCGGCCGGTTCTTTTCGTTCTATTTTTCTTGTGAATGCCATCATTCCAATTTCCTTAAGTCAGAATTTTCGTGTCACGGCAGAAGTCCTTCCTTGAAATCACCGCCACGAACAGTCATGCTGTCTTCAGTTTTAGGTAGTATCAGTATGAATATGTACATACATTACATCTTGCCGAAGGTAACGCTAGTCAGGCTTGGGCTCAGTGTCGCTCGACGGCTTACTGACATCGTCAATGTTAGACCCAGACCATGTAATTGGCTTACGTACCTAGTAGGTGTCAATATAGTCTGTAGTACCTGTCTCTCAAAAGGGATAGCTCAGCTGCGAAGAAAATTTTGAATTAGGAACGATCAATAACTCGTAAGTAGGTAGTCATAGTTGATCCGTCCTTATCCAGGTACTTGGACCTAAAGGTTGTGTGATTAGGCCTGACCGAGAAAAAAAGTCTCGTCTTTTTTTAGGTATTCTACGATGGTTAGACATATGGGGGCCCTGGTCAATATATCCGCTAATCGGTCAAACAAGGGCTTGATGGGTGCTTTCTGCTGGCGTATGTGCGTTGGTGGATTTGCTTCCGACCCCGGCATAACGCACGACAATCACCTGGCTCCAAATACGTTCACATTCCTGTTTGTTTTCTCTACTTGCTCTTGGGGTTTCTCGGTAACCCAAGTGCGTACCTAGGTATTGTGTTTGGTTCGACAGAAACTTGACTAGACTGATTCTATGTAAGGCTTGTTGATAAAAGTTCACCGCTGATAGCTGATGGCACAACCTCTGAATTGGAGCCCATAGTGTTGTGTCACTAGGGTTCCCTTTAGATCATTGTGAGGGTCCCACCGCTGCCGTCTTCCCTAGCCTCAAATCTCACTGGAAATTTCTACCAGCATTAAACACACCCTATTTCTCTCGGCAATAGGGTTTTCTAAACCAATAACCAAGTCTCGATGTCTTCACGGAAGAACTAAGAGTAAAAAAAGTTGAGGGTTTGGTAGTTCTAATAATTAAAGTCATAATCTTTTACCTAGGTGGCGGCTTAATCACCCACTACCCGCTTTTGGAACTCTCAATTCTGAAGCAACCGCAGTCTGCCCCCAAGTTTTCATCATATCCTATTATCAGCATCGAGCGGTTATCATTCATAAAATATTTGGAGATTTTAAAATATAGGTACGACTACACCCCAAAACGGATGCTTGGAATCGAAGGATGGAGGGTATAAGCGTTTGGTCACAATCGCGACGTCGAAATAATATCTTCTCATAGGTTCGCTAATAGGACATGGTTTCGTACGCTCGCTAGATGGATACGAATGCCGAAAGTCATCGGCATCATTGATAGGCTGTGTTGATTCAGGGGTATCATTTATGGGCTGCGGAATTCCTAAAAGGGGATGCTAAAGAGGAGTCGTATTAGCTACATTTATCATCACATAAACCGCTGGCCTTCTCTGCCTAGCTCCGTTCCCCTCAAGCTGAACCATACTATGACCATGGTCTGACGATCTTCTCGCATTAGTTTTCATTATGGGCGGAAAAAGATAGAAGTACCTACCATAGGAATATGGATACGTCGTATCTTTGTAACGGAAAGTAAAGTCAACTAAAACTTCCACTCTATATACAGGCACGCTTATCAATAGAGTCGCTTGTACCGCTTCTGGTTTCGGCAAAATTTTGTAGAAAAGTCGGGCCGCTGACGCTTGGAGCATTGACTTGAACGAGCTACACTCAAGATCAGACTCAGTAGGTAAATTTGAAATTTAGCCAAATTCTACCCAAATCTCTATAAGTCAGGTAGAGAGGTACAGTGATGTTATTTACAGCTCACCTCACACAAAAAATTAATTTATTAAGTTAGTCCTAATTGTCACTTTGCCGTGGTCTACTAGTGAAGCTGTAAATATCATAGGAGTTATATTTGCTGCATCATTTTGACATCCACCTAGTTGATTTATTGTAGAGAAAGGCTTCCTTTTCAGAAAGCTACCTACCTAGGTAGTCTCCCTGAAGTCTTGCACACCGTATTGATAATCTGACAACTTCTGTCCTTGGTTCTGGCTTGACTGTTGCTCTCACAGGGATTGCGAAACACCAACGCCTGCTTTCTCGTGGCAATTCGAAATCCTTTTTTCTGGTTTATTTGCTACTCTCCGAAGGATTGTTTCCCTTTGTGATTGCCCTTAGGGCATGTGCGCGCAATTCCCTCCAGCTATCCCTTACCGACAGTGATATTCTTAATACCTCCCTTACTATTACTCACTTTGATGTAGATATGGAATCATCCGAACTGAGATGATGCGATAATAGTTTGCCTTCTGACTAGAAAAACAAGCATCAATTAGCAGGAATTATGGCCATGGAATTCTATCACGCGCTTGTATAAGTTCGATATATGGTAGATACCTATAGATAGGTATATTTGAATGCTCTGCAGCTTAACTATCCTCGATCGATGACTTATTCATCTATCCCTTTTCTGCCAGGAAGAGAGCGAGCAGTGATTTAGCTAATCACTTAGGTAAGTACCTAGCTACTATTCATCTAGGTCTGGATAACGGAGTGGCCTGAATCATATCTTGAGAGCTAGGCATCTATACATGTATAGATATTTGAGGCCTATAGGCATTGTCGAAAAATGAGCTTCTACGGCGCCTTCTATTCAGACAGCTTTTGTTCTTATGCCTACATAGGTAGGTATTGATATAATATCTCTTATCATCCTAGACTACTCTTCTTATAAAATGACTTCTCTTGTACGACTTTAGATTGCTTTCCTCGCGCAGCCCACAGGCACCCAGAGGTTACCTAGGTAAATATAATAATACTTCATGCATAACCTATAGCTATTCTGATAACGCTTGGTCAGTGGATCATAGATCTTCTATCTCAGTAGCCTCTATGTAGATATATAGGTGATCTTAAAAGGGTTGATATAATACCTGCCTCCCAGCGGTGGTTTTCATCTAGACTTGCCTCACGGTGCTTCAACCCCTTTATATGTACATAGGTACATGCTTTTAGTCTTGGCAGTCTTGGCATAGACTCCATTGCGCTCCCGGCTTTGCTGCCTCTCAACCCCACGATTTTGTCGTGACGACTACTATATGAAGTAATTCAAAACTTCTTACCACTGGTCTTATTAACTTCTTTTGCGTGTTATGTAGACACACCTGAAGGTTCCCGGGTCTTGAGCTTGCGACCAACCATAAACTACGATGATAGTGATCGGCGAGTAAGACTGCCGTTCTCTGATTGTTTATCTGCGAGATTTGACTCTTTTTTTGACAACGTTCATTATACGCATCTTTCAACAACCAGAATGGTAGGTTCCTATTGACGGCGAATTGCTAAGGTACGGGGGTTGTCAAGCTCGGATATCAGGCGGACTTTTCTTTTTCCAAATCGTCGGTGACCATCTCGTCATGATTCTCGATCCATGGTCAATGCCTCTGTCATTTAAAACCATCGTGTCTCCGCTTCCAAATTACTAGTATACCGACACATTCAAACTAGATCCATATACTCTCTGTATTTATAGCCGCGCGCTTGTAGCCTCGAAGTCGAACTGGATGAGACTGGTTTTGCATAGACCGAAAGGAGCACCAGGTGCGGGGAACTAGAGCCCGGCAATGCTCGTAACCTCTCCCCTAGAAAGAAGATATGGATCCAGAAGAACGAGAAAGCCAAGTTCGTCAATAGATGGTAGAAAACACGCCGCATAGTCTATGCTGTCTGCGACGCTACTCATACCTGCAGACTCTCGCGAGACTCGTCGCATGGCGCTGCGTACACGGATCGCTAGGAGCGCACAGACTTTCTCAAGCGACATGGTGTCGCCGAACCCCGCTAATGTGGCGTTTCGGATACAATCTACACGCGAACAGCCTCTTAATGTAGTGTATGGCCCATAGGAACGAGCGTTGCCTTACTTTTAATGACTAGGAAGTCCTACAGACAACACGCGTCAAGGATCATGCTAGAGAAGACAATAACTGACACATTGGCAATGACCGTTGATTTTCCTGCTTCGGAGCGGCATGAATAACAAACACGGCGGACTACACACGACTATCTACACGCTACCTCTACATTGCCTCCTCAATCCTACTTCAAGTGATGGTCATCGATGACATCTTACGCGGCTCGCGTGCTGTTGGGGGGAGGGGGGAACGGGCCTCCGGGGCCTCCGGGTCCTCCGGGTCCTCCAGGTCCTCCAGGGGGGAAGCCGGGGCCGCCAGGAGGGAATCCTGGGAAGCCTCCTCCGGGGGAAGCGACACCGCCTCCCTCGTAGTAATGAGCAGCAGGATGAGCGTAGGCAGTCTGGTTAGCCGTGGTGTCGACGAAGACGGTTATGTAGGCGAGGAGACCATCCTGCAAACTGTCACCGAGCTGGATGTATTCGACGAAAGGGTCATACTCGGGGGTAGACGCCTGGGCGTCAATCCAGTCATTGATGTTCAGGGTTAGTGGCTGTGTGTTGAGGCTGTAGGGTTCGAGCTCTATGACAGAGTCGATGAGGCTCTGGTCGAAGAAGAGCTGGCCGATGTGGTTGGTCTTGCCATCAAGAACATAAGTGTTATTTGGGAGCACGGTGGCGTTCGTGGTGCTCATCACATGAATATGAGGCGTTCGGCCCATGTAGAAGCCAGGGAAGATAGTGTCGAACTGGACTACACCGTCCTCGTTGGTGGTCTGGATACCACGACAGTAGGTCGTGTTGAGGCCAGCCTGGTCCATCATGGCAATACCACTGTAGGTACCAGTGGAGTTGGAATGCCAGATATCGATCAGCATGTTAGGCACTGCTGCACATGTGTTGAGGTCAAAGAATTGCAGGTCGAGGTGAAGCGGTACGCCCGGCTCGTTGTCGGTAACATCAACCTATATTGCGCGAAGTCAGTACGTTTCTTGACCCAGAATGAGATATGAGTCAAGTCATATCGGAGAGCTAAGCTGAAACCGTCAATAACTAGGTGAACATACCCGAATCAACTCGCCTGCAACCCAGTAAGGGCCAATCGTCACCTCGGGCACAAGAGCCGCCGTCGCGTTTGATTCGAAGATAACGTCTATTGGGGTATCCAGAGAGTAACCTGACTCCGAGACATCGTGGGTGACGTTCAAGTACCTTTCCAGATCAGCCTGGCTTCGCTTCGACTTCATGCGCTCTAATATATAATCAGCTAAGTATTTGGGCTGCAATATACTACATGAATACTTACTGTCGGCTATACCACGCTTCTCGCGAAGTGCTTGAGCAGTAGCAGCACGACGAGCAACCGAACGAGCCTTTAGGGGGCAGTTTTTGGAGCGCAGCCGGTGATAGCACGACGAGCGTGGGCCTGGGCATGCCCGTGCATAGCTTTTTCATGCTGGACCACTTCTTTGCTGTCACCAGGATGGGCAACAGCAGCTCCCATTAAGGAGGAAATCGCCAAGGACGCGGCGATTTTACGGAGGATAGCCATCGTGAACCGAAATAAAGGGCCTCAACCCTCGAGAGTAAGAAGCGATGTAGAAAGAGTGAAATCCCTGGTTGCGACCAAGACAAGAGGAAGAGTATACACACAATCTGGGGAGATACCGACACCTTTATACAGGTATTCAACCGTTTATATGATTTGATCTACATTTTCAATATGTAGCCGCTCGCCCAAGGCTTCGCCCAGAGTATCTATCACGCAAGAGCGCTGCGATATTCTTTTCACTTATCCCTAAATGATACTCTCCTAAATTGGTATGGCCGGGGCTCCTCTTCCTTTAGCCCCAGGATCTAAACAGATTCACCCAGGGATCTGATAGCGGGTCATATCAGGGGTCCATCCCACTTCGGCATAATGAACATGAATGGCAGGTATCAGTAGCCAATAAGAGGGGTGCGGTTGAAAACACAACGATACTAAAGGCTGATGCTCCGGGCCAAGAACGACGTCAAATGAATCTCGAGGCACCAAGATAGTCTCATGAAAGACTTACAAGTTAGCCACACGGTGTTCAGTTACAAGACATCCGTTTAATTGAATCGCAATAACTGAACTCAGGTTTCAATTCCTCTTCCGCTATCAACCCGTGCTAGATATCCCTCTTGGGCTGTTCAGCGAATACAACTAAGACCTCGCCGGCCTCCAGTGCCTAGTCCTAACTAAGACTAGACGTTAGGAGAACCAGAAAATAAAGCATCGGGTGAAGATTTTGTACGAATCTCAATTTAACACTATGGATTATGTAACCTGGACGCGCGGCTCTTCTATTCTGTCCAATATCAAGGTGGCGCCAAGAACTCGCAGTAGCATATAAAGTATTCCCTACCGAGGCGCTTGATACAAGGCCCACGACGCACTGGGACATTCTTGCATCTCGGGGATCATATTATAGGATTTAAGACAGGTATAGAAACCACGGACAAGTACTGGCAAGCGCTGATGGGTTATTAGGTGACCTATCGTCTATCCTTTTTCTATGGGGAACGGTAGTTGAGGCCCATTCCAAGATCTTGAGCCAAGACTGTTTACGCCATCTTGATGGGTACTATCCCACCTTAGCCTGCTTCCTTATTCCATGTACATCCACGATACAACAGACCAAACCAGCTAGGTAGTAAGAGAGCAGGTAATGGTAAGCGAAGGTAATCTAGAAAATGTGTGTTCCTTCTCAAACATGTAGAGATGGTTTCGATTCGAATAACTACTTAGGAGCCTTAAACCATAAAGTCTTCTCGAAACCATCTTTCATAAACATGATAATAATCACCCAGTTATTCATTGAACTTGTCGCGATGCTGAACTAACAGATCAGATATTTTTTATTCTACTTCTGGGGTTAGCCACCGACAGGTCTTTTTCCAGCAGACTGGCCCAAATATAGGGGTAACATGTACACTACCTATACACAGTAATTAATTTTAGCACTATTCAGGGAGGTATCTAACATGATAGATTCTTCTATTCCGATGCGCAGTTAATATGCTAATATCCCAAACTCAAGGCTTGTTGAAAGTTGATCGACCTATTCTAACTCAAGAAATATGATCACCTTGGAAAAGCATCCAGGACCGAGGCCATGGTACTTTTTCTAATACCTACTTCTACCCAGCTCTATTAATAATCACCGCAACTTCCACTCGTCTTTTGTTACTTGAACGAACATATTTCGAAGTTGCCGAGCTTCAATTCGATACCATGAGATCCATAGGGGAAATCATGAGCTTCTTCACTCAAGTCTTAAACCTATGCCTTTGACAAGTTCTTCAATACCTAGGTACATAAATGGCGTCCTCTCCATTGGCTAATGTATCACCAATACCTATTGATATACCAGACTTTTACATAGAAATTCTATTTTTGATATGATGGCCCTACTCTGAAGCTTGAATTGTGAACACGACATATAATACTCTCCCTTAACATATGATGTGACGAGCCGCAATACCGTTGCATTATATTCTGCTTGGTATATCCACTATTAAATCTTTCCCCGAAGCTTCGTTTGTTAAGTGGCATACGCGTTCTGTATATATTTATATTAGCCGGTAACAACTCCACGTAACCCTAGCAGACTCGGGGCTCCAAGACCAATATCGGCATTGGTTCGTAACTAACTTAGAACGAGATTGTCGGAAGTCGTCAAAAGTCGATAGGCTCATCGTCTTGTCTATGGCTGTCTTGCAATGAATAGTCTTGGCTATCCAGGTGGCCCGACAATCCCCTCAATCAAACCAAATGATATTCCAAAAATGACATCTGATTGGTATTTATACCTAACGCCGTAGATTTCTGTTCATTTGGCACCAATACATGATTCTTAACTTCGCAGTTCATCTCTGTAGGTATATCAAGAAAAGGTGTTCCTTAGTTTATCAGCTGACAGCTCCCCCATCGCTAACCCTTAACACCAGACGCCGACAGGCACAGAAAAGAACCGAGTCCACGGCTTTAATATTTGACGGGAGGTTGAGTCATCTAATACTGGTTATGTAATACTCCCGCTTGTATTGAATCTATGATCGGCTAAGTACTCGTACAAGCCCCCTAATCACCTTCAATGCATGCTAAAATACCAATTTTAGGTGATTGCGAGTATGGAAAGCCATAGTTCGCTGGGCGGCCGGATTGTACGGCTAACCATGCGCTAGTCATATAGTGTATCGCTTGAATTCTGAGCAAATCTCTTAGTACTCTTAGAAAATTATGTATCGATTCATCTGGTCTCTCATGACCCATAACCCAACCCGGACTGTTTTCATTTACTTCGATGAACTTGCAGCCTCTGCCATAAAACACCATGCGATGATCGCCATCGTAATTCAATGGCCCGAAATTATGGTTCCAAGAGATTCGGTAGTCGATGAACCATAGTTTCTTAGCCCAATTATAACCAGATTGCTGGAACGCGGCGGCCCAGAGCACACATCTAAGCTCATTCCGACTTTGGCCATGGAGCTCTATCTCGTACCCTGCCGGCATACTTCGGAATTCACCCAGTCGGTCTGTCCAATGGGGATCGAACTCCAGAGCGATATGAACTCGAGGAGAACCGCGTATGTTGAATATTGGCACATCGCTCTCGAACTCCCACCAGATTAGAGGGAAATTTTTGTTAAACGGCTGCAAACAGAATAGATCCGTCTTGGGACAGACAGTAAAGTACTGCCTTTTGCCGTCTTGTATCATCGTCCCGGTCGCAGGTGCATCGTTGAACTCTGGGGGCGGTTCAACCGCCATTTGAGCTCTTGTTTCCTTCCGATAAGTCACCTTATGGTTTCCAAAGCGTTTTATCATCGCTCGTCGAGACTCCCGGCAGGCCGTCCATAGTCCGCTGTCTATAATGTAGGCCGAAGGGTTATTGTAAAACCATGAAGGAGTATCGGGCTCTTGTCCGTTACGGCACGGAGCAGCTAGGCCACATGGGACACCGGGTGTATGTCCGCGCCCAGCTACCGAGTGATTAGCCAGAGTGGAATAATCTGTAGTATAAGGTCGGTTTTCCTCCCCATTCCAGGCAGTGAAGAAGTGAGCCGATGGGAGATTGGGGCGGACTGCTGCATCCCATATCATGGCTCGAAGCTCCGGCGGCAGTCGAGAAAAGAGGTGAAATGTTGTAAGTGCCATGACGAATGCTCTCTCGATGAATATTTTGTGTCAATGCATGCTTTGATTAAAGATTTGACTTAGCATGTAGTATTGGAATATCTACGGGATGATGCCCGTCTTAGTATTTAAAGGTAGATGCTGTTCTTGCGGAAGTACATACATACATAGGTAAGGCAATAAACTTCAAGCGTTCAAGCCACTCAGGGCTGGCGAGATATGAACCTTGTTTACGATCGAACCTTCCAATTCGTCGTCTCTTAAGCTTTATTACCCCTGTTCCTGAACCGGTCATTTTCTCCTATTGCGGAGAAATATTGTAGCATACCTAATTTCAGTCCAACTCAATACATACAGATGAAAGGGATAAAAGGAAGGCACTAACAGGCCTAATAGGAATCGAACCTAAACTACATTCTATCCCTCTATCCAGTATCTCATACATACCTATCTTAATGAATAGTTACTTAGGTACCTAGTCATGCTTCAGGTAAACCATGCCATTATGTACAATTCTATCGTACAATCCTCTATAACAATTACAAAGATAAGCCCAAATAATTTCCTTACAAGATTGTCAGGTCGGCAACCACAGCTCTGTGGTCGCTAATGAACACGTTGTCGATATAATTGTTCAAAAATTCGAACTGCTGTGCCGAATACAGTTTGTCGGCCGTGGGTCCAAGCCAGACGAAGTCGATGCGGCTCTTTCCAGTCGTCGAAAAGCCCGTGTATGTGAGCTGATTCGTTCCCAACCGCGTAGCCCCCGAGTTCCACAGCTCCGTTAGATACCCCGTGTCCGAAAGAGTAGTGTAAGCGTCTTCGCCCGGCGCCGAGTTGAAGTCGCCGGTCAGAGTCACGCCCAATGGACCGTATTGCTCCTGCACCGCCTGAATGCGCGATACCACGACCTTGATCCCCTCGCTGCGTGCTTGAGAGCTCACGTTGTCTAGGTGCGTGTTCGCGTGGATAAAGCGTTTTCCAGTGGCGATGTGCTCAAAGACGGCGATAACGCTGACTCGCCGGCTCCCTGCACCCCATCCGAAGGAGACCTTGTCCGGCGTGGGCGACAGCCACTTCTGCTCACTGTAAAGCAGCTTGAGCACATCGGTCCGGTAGATAATCGGATTGTACTCTCCTGACTTTGCACCGTCGTCGCGCCCGAAGCCGTAATGGGTCCAAGCCGATCCAAGTCCGCTCTTGATGTCTTTTAGTTGGGCGTCAAGAACCTCTTGGAGGCCGAGGACGGCAACGGCTCCGTCGGATGTCGCATTGTCAGTTACGGTCTTGAGTTGGTTGATTAAACCCGTGCGCCGGTCCGACCATGGCTTCTCATTGGTTTCAAGAGAAGTTGCGGCATAACGGATATTAAAAGAGACGATGCGGATGGGTAAACTGGCCGTCCTAGCTACATCGGCGGCAGCTAGGACGTAAGCGAAGAGAGAGCCGAACTTCATTTTGAGACACCGTGTACCTAGGTAGGAATTGATTATTCCAAGACGAGGCGTTGGGGGTATAATATATCTGCAACTTAGTCTTCGTACCGGCCACTTTTTATACACAAGGTTGCCCTGCCATGTTTCGGTCAGACTTCCGGGAACACAGCCAACTTTTAGGATCTGCCATTTATGAACGTTCGCTATACGACCTACAGTTATGACTATAAGACACACGTGGGGTAGCATCAGATCTCAAAGGATCTTGGCTTGGAGGTCTTATGGAAATTTCCGCGCATGCCAAGAACTGACGATAATACGAGGTGCCGATGGATGATGCAGACTGATATATCTTACCGCGTTTATTGGACGAATAATGCCCATGTAGAGAAAGTGGTACGGCCTGCATGTCGGCTTAGGTAGGTATCACGGACAAAGGCAGCTAGGTTTCAAGTCGTCATACCCATCCTTCGTCGGCAATGAAGTATCCTTTATCGTAAACATCGTATAGTTCGTCCAATTCTCGAAGGCTGACATTAGGAAATTTGAATGGAATCCAAACGGCAAGGTTTGCATAGACTTAGATCTAACTATTACCAAATTTAGCATGTAGATCCTCTGTTCATCATGCATCGCCTTACTACCATCTGAAGAGCGTCTTGGCATGTTAAGCATGTGATCGGGAACATTATAATATCAATTATCAGCTATATAGAAATCGTCGGAAAGTTTAGACTTATTAGTATATTATGATATTATAGACTTCTTGGCGGTTCTTTCGCGACATGGTCTAACTAGAATGAATTTAGTCAGGGGCTTCATCGCCACACTTTGATATGCGATAGCAACAATACAATCTCACACGTGCAAGTCAACTATCATCACCTAAAAGACCTTATAACTTTGTTTGGATTAGGGTGATCAGGTCCGAATAATTCAAGGAGAATCCAAATGTACGTGTTTACGCGATAAGGGGCGGATCTGCTATTTACCACATTGTCGTAGTTATTAGCATGGTCGCATCTCTGCTGTGGATTCCGTCGTCTGGGATCTCTTCGATCTCTTCTTTCTAACTACAAGAAGCCGAGGTATATCTGTAAGATGAATTCTAAGATAATCGAATGCCAGATAGTTGCGATTTTATATATACTTATCTAACCCGCCAACCTATATACACCAAACCTCCCGCGAACCTCCCCACTCCCTCCGCGACCCCCACAACCCCCCACACCTATACCTCCCGCAAGTTAGGTAGTCAGGTACCAGGTATGCAATCATTAATCCTGCGTAGGCGTCTCATCAATAGCGTCGTTGCTCCGCTGGCACCCGCTCTTATCGACCAGCGCCGCGGGGCACGCGACCTGCTTGAACTCGACGCCGGGGTTGTCCGCGCCGCCGAACCAGTCGAAGCGCCAGTAGCACCCGTCCTTCAGGGCCTCCGGGAAGCCGTCGCAGGCCTCGCGCGAGGAGACGCCGCCGTACCGCTCGCCCCACCCGTTCGACGGCGCGCCGTACTGGTCCGTGCACGCGTTGTAGATGCCTACGCCGCCGCCGGGGATCTGTCGCGATGCGAGTGAGTATTAGCGTGAGTGAATCCTATGTTATGTTATGTTCCAAGGTTACCACCTAGAATAGGTACATACCGCAAGATCGAAATGGTTAGACCCCAAATCGCCGCCCGTGTTGCTAGCCTGGACGACCATCTTCTTGCCGCTAACCGGCCCGCTCGTGAAGGTCAACTCATAACACGCGCAGCACCACGTGGTCTCGGTCTGGCCGGCGATGCGGACGGCGGCCCAGCCGTAGCTTACCGTGTCGTTGACCGCCCACGGGCTCTGGTTGCTGCACATGAACGCCGACCCGCCGCTGTCGCACGCGCTCTTCGTCGCCCCGTTGTCGTTCAGCGGCTGGTCGTCCTTCGAGCACGTCCCCACCAGCTTCCCGCTGTTCGTCTTCTCCGTCCACCCGCAGCTCGGCTTGCAGCAGTCCCAGTACCGCGTCGTCTGCCCCGTCCCCGACGCCCCCTGCGCCGCCGCCAGGCGCCCCGCCAGGCAGGCCGAGAGGCCTAGGATCGTGGAAAGCTGCATCGTCTACCTAGTTTCTTTGCTTCTCAGGTATCTTCGATATATGATAGATCCAACCCAAAGTCGTGACTACCAAGTGAAAAAAGAAGAGTACAAGAGAAGCACGCAATCCGGAATCCGACCAGCCTTAAAATATCCCACGCCGACCCTTCGCTCGCCCCCCAGATTCTTGCGCAGAACCGCCGATCATCTCCCCTCACTACGGCCCACCGGGAAAAGTAATCTCTTTCCGACACTATGGGATTTCTAGGCACTATGCTCGCGAGTGTGCCCTGGATCTGAGGCGAGGGCGCCCCTGTGGGATGGCGCGTATCGACGTAATGTAGATATATGGGGGATCAACGCGGGCCAGGCCCCCGTTGATGAAACGGAGCCTAGCTGAGTGGAGCGAGCAGCCGGCAAAATTTGGATGGCTATCTGGAAAAATGACTTAGTGGCCAATAGCCGCCGGGATCCTAGCTCCGTGAGGTCATATAGTAGGTTGGTAGACAGCTTGCTTGGGGAGAACCCCTTAGGCAATTCCCCGCATAGGGTAGCTAAATGCGGAGAAGGCATGGTTACATTCGTCCCTGAATGGTTAGTTGATAGCTTACATGATCATGCATCTCACGGTGGATCATAAACAACATCATTCTTAACTTCGTTGATTCATTGTGAGAAGCGATATGAAGCAAGAGTTACATGAAAGCTCACCTACGTCGCTACTTTTGGGAATAGCCTCGACATGACATATGCCTAAGCCTCACCATGGCAACGTCCTCGCACCCAGCAACCCTTCGCAGAGACCGATAGACATGTGTGCAGTAGCTTACTAGAAACCCCATCGGCTGCCTCCCTCGTCGCGACGGGGGCGACCGTCCTCATCCAGAGCATCGCCAACACGATTGATAACTGTATCCAGGAATCCACCGCCCTCGTCTTCATCGCGACGTTCCTCACGACGTTCGTATCCCTCCTCGCGGCCATATTCCTCACGACCGTAACCTGAACTCTCCTCCTCACGACGCTCATATCGATCGCCACCACCGCCGTAAGAATCATATGAACGCTCTTCACGACGGCCGTACTCGTCACCCCGGTCATACTCAGATCGTCCGTAGCTTTCCTGACGCCCGCCATAACTATCCTCGTCATCGCGACGTCGACCGTAACCGCCGGATTCTTGGTACTCATCGTTGCTTTCATACCGGCGCTCAGTGCGTTCTTCGTAACCACCGCCATAGTTCGGACGGGATTCGGTTCGCTCTTCGTATCCATAGCCACCGCCGTTATCATCTTGTCCGTAACGACGGTATTCCCTGCTTTCGCCTCCTCCGGGATACCTAGTCTCGGAGTATTCAGCCTGGCCGTAGCGGTCATCCGAGTGTCCGTACTCGGTGCGGGTCTCGTTATACGATCCATCATTGCCCTCGCGTCTGCTGCCGTACGATTCGGTCTCGCTACTCTTGAAAGCTCCGCCTAGAAGCGAACTACCAAGAGCGCCAAGAAGTCCACCACCCCCACCACTGGAACTGTGAGACTCCTCGCCCCCGAAATTGGGTAGATTGATCTGTCCGCCAGATGAGGTTTTGACGAAATCCGAGATACCACCAGTAACACCACCAACAATGGCACCAGCAGCGGTGCTTGCAATGCGGTCTTCCATAGTTCCACCAGGTGCGAAGTTCTTGTGCATACCAAGAGGCTTCCCGCAACCGTGACCACAGTCCTGGACTCCTTCCTTATGGTTCTCGCCATTTTTCACGCCGCGGCGCGAAAGCTTCTGGCGGTATTCGTCCTTCGCACCATCATCTAGCTGGTTCCACCACTCCTCAACCGAACGGAACATGATCTGTCGGCCATCGCGCGCACCATCTTCTCCCATGTCACGCTGAGCAGGATGGTGTAGGACACCATTGATAATCCTGTTCATCAAGCGATCGACGTCTACACTCTCATCGTCCCATGCTTCCATGAGCTGGGGGACGACCCAGTAGACGACCTTGCTAGCAGTCTTGCCTGCAATTTCGTTGAGGATCTAGTGTTTGATTAGCGATGCGAAAGTAAAATTGACATAATTGGACTAGGCTTACGTTGGAAAAGTGGTCCTTAGAGAGCATGGAGTGTGTTGGGTCAGTAGATTCGTCGTCGTTGAAGACGATGTGCTGTTCGTTCTCACTGCTGGCAATAATCTCGGACGACCCAGTACGAAGCTCATTCTTGACTTGCTGGATGATGGGAACCACGAAAGGCGCCATAATCGAGAATACCCACATTGACATCTGGTCCTCGAGTTGCTCCACGATTTGAGGCAAGATGGGGATTTTCTCAATTGCCTCGCTGATGCCCTTCAGGAGTTCGTCGTGGAATTCAATAGCGGGCATTATCTGCTGGAAAACTTGTTGGATGTACTGCGTAAACTCCTCTGGTTCTCTCGGGGAAATCGACGTGTTGGCCATTTGCGCGTTGGTGGCATTGCTCTGAATTGATTCCATCTTCTGCTTCTTGTCGTCACCCCCGAGGATGCCATCGGGAATCTTGTCAAGAAGCCCTTCAATGATGCTAGTGTCATTCTTCCTTGAGTTCTCTTCAAGGGTGCCCTCGAGCTCCTGGATTTCGTTCTGCGTCAACTTGTCGGAGACTGGAACGCCGTTTAGTTAGCGACTATACGAATGAATTCAGGAGGAACATCCCGAGTTCGACTTACCTTCGCCGGTGACGGAATGTAGGAAATCAACACCTCCAAATGTTCCCGTAACGCAAGGGTAAACTTCGTGGCGGGCACCAGGAATTTGAATTTTGGTGCTCCTACCAACATGAGGGAAGATATCGCGCTCACCCATTTCGATGAGTGCGAGTTCCGTGTAGTTACTATGGGCCAGGAAGTCTGTTTGACGAAATTAGTATGGAAACAGAAGCGAAAGCAAAGCCAGCTGAGACTTTGGAGTATGGCGTTACCTTCTAAACAGTGAAGGCCGGTACCAAGTAGTCGTAAGGCCTCGTAAAGCTCACTCTTCCTCTTGCTGTCCTTGTAGGATCGGGCAAGTTCAATGCAGCGGCTGAATAGCTTTCTGACATGAAGGGCGGAAGTCATAATTCTGGCTTGCTCATTCGCAATGTAGTTTTTCAGACCTGTCTCGGGGTCGATGGCAAGCTCGACTCTCTCATTAACGGGACCGCGCAGTCTTCGATCATACTGGCGCGCATCCTCGTTGTCGGCGTAGTTCTTGGGGTTGTCGATATGGTCTTCGGGCCGGTAGCAACCAAGGCGCTCGGCGGTCACCTCGAACTCCTTGGAGCCGTAACCGAAGGTCAGGAAACCGAGAACACAGAGAAGCAGTCGGATAGCTTCAGCTGAGACGGACTTGACCGTGCCTACATCGATGGCCTGAGAGTAGTCCCTAAGCCAGTTGCCGAAGTAGACACGGGATACCATGAGCTTGTCAAACTTTTTGCCCCCGACGGCGCGGGCCATCATGATAGTAAGGAGGGTATCTTCGATGTCGCCATGACGCCCTGGGTACAATATCAAATTAGACACTGTCAAGGAATATCTACACGACCTAATCTATGTCCACAGAAAACTCACAGTTCTGTCCTTCGACCTTAGAGATGCCTATAAACTATGTCAGTCTTGCTAATGAGAGTTGCGCCGCACAGGAATAGCTAGATGGGTAGAACTTACCGGCAATGTTACCAGCACCGAAGGCGAGAGCTGGGCGAGCGAACACGAAGAGGAAGACCAACCCCAAAAAGGCGGGGAAGGGCTTGAGGGTAATCATTTTTGACTCTCTCGATGATGTTCAGTGTCTAGTAATATGTTAGATGTTGTTAATATTGCGAATGGTTCTTAAGAAAGTTGGAAGAAGATTTGGACGCCAGACCGGCCTGGCTGAGGAGGGAACCAGATATGATTTATTAGGGCAGTATACCTATGTAGGGAAGAATAACAGTATAGGCTGATCAGGCTGATCAGGTTCAGGGTGACGTGAGGGTGATACTATTAAGGGATTGCGCATTCCCTGGAGGACATACGAAGTCACCTAGGATTAGGTGGGATTAGGTAGGAATAAAGAAGGAGGGGGAGGGGTAGTAGAGAAGAGCTCAGCTTCGTTAGGTTACGTACCCTTGCTGGAATCGTTGCAATTGCAACAGATCGTCAGTTTGGAGGGGCAGGAGGGATCTTTGAACGAGCATGACTGGCTGATAATTCGACTTGTGCTACATGATTAGATGTATGCCAAGCCCGAGAGAATGGTTCAAGTGGATCGAGAGTGGATCTTATTCGATCATAACTGAAACGAATCTATGCCGGCGCGAAAAAAAAGAGGCAAGTGCATACGTATTCTATACCTACATTACTTACATCAAGTGATGGAAAGAACCGGCAAAGAACGAATGGTCGTTGTATAAGTACATCAGCACTGCCGAGTTCCTTATAAATGGCAACAAGGATCAGAATACTGCACCTGTGAGGCAGCCGGGACCTGTCAAAGATTTCCAAAAAAACTTCACCTCAAGATACACTAACTAATACCTACCTAGTAGGTAATGGGTGAATAGTCTGGCTAGTCTGACTGCCGGAGTATGATCTATTACTTGAATACCTATTAGGTAGATCAATAGTAAACTACTACTGGGCATACGAACTTGGAATAGGCAAATAGATCGGTACTATCTAAAAGATTTGAATATGATTTTGCGCGCACACGTGTAGTCTTACTTACATGTGCGTATCCACGAGTTAGACTCTAACGGCGTGGTCCCGGGTCTGGCCGAAGCATGACTGGCAGTCAGCTAGTGCTAACGGTTTCTTATCCGAGACACATATGCCGCTTCATTGGCTGTTCGCCTGACCCTAGGTGAGACGGGAAACAACCCGTTCCCACGGCGGAATATCGATTACCCGATGTGCCATCCCGCTAGGTCCGATCGCATGACTCTTGAAGGACCGCGACATACTGCGTATTCGCGGACGGAGCGGGATGTGCAAGTGAGAAGTGGCATTGTGGTATTTTGTTGATTAATCTAACTTTGACGCCGTGTATCGAAATATTTATCAAACAGGAGGCATTCTTAACTATTCGTCCTAATTATCTTATTCTTTGATACTACTACGTAGGTAGGTAGTTAACATTTTAGATCACCTACCTTACGAGATTTGTTATGTAGGTAGTATGTTTTAACTCGTGTTTTGTTAATAGTAGTTGCTAAAGAGGTTTTATTATGTAGTTTGAAACTGTGTACCTATAAAGTCAACTCCAGAACTACCTATATAATGTTTTATACACCTTTTGTATAAAATGACAAAACAACGATAACCAAACCTGTAAAGAGTATTAACACCTCATAAGATACGCTGTCTGTTTATGGTTTGGAAGATGTAATTGATAGTTCTATTACTAGGTATGGTTGGATAACCAGAATTTGACGGAACTGAGACCAACTAGGGTTTGTCAAATGGGCAATCTCTATAATACTATAATATCAACTTGAGTAGCTACAGCTACCAACGTTTCGTTTATTTCCGTTGATATATTGAATGGTTAAACTTTTGTTTCGCGATCATGGTGTTGGGTCTTACTTAGTATGCTGACGTTGGGGGCGAAGGGAGCTCAGGTGAGGGGCAATACAACCATGAATTTGGACGTCTTATTTCCCTTGCCTGACGATGGTATCATTAATGCGGAAAAGAAGAAAGACAATGTTCACCCACAAGCGATTTATCTTATGCTACTAGATACTTGCTAATTACTTAAAAGTGAGTTTACAACATCCTAGTCTTGAAAAAAACAGGCTGTTAATCTTGCTTGCAGTGGAGCTAAATCGAAGCCTGGAATAAGCAATCAACTCAAAAAACATTTTAGAGGATTATGTCGATCCAGCGAGAGCAAGTGCAAGATTAATGATACCTGATGTGCGGTGGAAGCCTTTATGACTTCAGATTGAATAGATGCGTAGTGTACCAACCAGGCATAATAAAGAGGTGTAGATGTATGTGCCTAGAACTCAGGTGCCATACGAGCAAGATGCGCGTAGACGTCAACTGCGGACGATTTAGGCCTTCATGAGCCCTTTACAGATCGTCCGCGAATTCATAATTGTCTGCTTACTATCTGATAGCATAATGGTAATAGCCTGTGCCCCAAATGTCTAAGAACAGGCAAGATACCTGATTAGGTACTTAACTTTGTAGGTAGAATGGCGAGGCAGAAGCTTCCAAAGCCCTTTAGTCACTGGGTTCGGTTGTGTGAAATATTAGTACTAGTGGTGGGAAGCACGCCGTGGAGGTTACTGAGTGCCTACATTGGATTGTGTAGACTGCAAAAGAAATCACGGACGGCCCTCATGGGTAAACTGCTGACCTATTAGGCACTGTATGTGTTGAGTGTCGATATAGGTACTTAGTACTGTACTAGGCAGATAGCAATACACTGGGCATCACTGACGGGCTGGAGTTCAACAGTTGTCAATGGTTGGTTATTACGAACAGTCCATTTGCAGTGCAATACGCCCAGGCTTAAGCAAGGTAGGTATCTTGGGAGATGTAAGATTGTTCGGTGACGAGACTATCCATACTGGCCTACCCTACTACTAGGTAGGTAGGTAGCTGGGGATTACATGAATGCTACACTTAATACTGTGATAGCTAGTCACTCAAATAATGAGCAGGTAGCAGGATGTGATGCGGGGTAACATAGAAGAGGCCTAATCAGAATCAGTGGACGCTGGGATTTCATGAGTTCGACTTGGAACTGTCGCATGAGAAATTTTGTTACTGGAAGGCCTGGGTGGTGGGTTGCGCGTAGGGTGAAAACGAGAGGGGAAAACAGAGGGAAAAATATTTTGTAGGAAGTGTGGCGGGTGGAGGGTGGAGGTGCTGAGTTCGCTGAGTTCGCTGAGAACAACTGAGAGCAGCAACAATGAACTGCAGCGATAGGTGTCGGGGGGTAGCTTTGACCCTGAAAATTGGGTGGTCTGGGGGAGAGCACCGGTGATTGCCGCCGCTTTAGGCGCTCACTGAAAGCCCTGATATGATTTGACGGCCACCAGGCGCACCTTCTTCAGTGAGCCAATCAATTGGTGGGTTGCGCTGGGCGGGTGCAACCATCAAATCGAGAATTTGACAGGACGCTGGAAACACCAAAATTTCGGTACTTCCAACCCTTCTCTAGTGCACCCAGTGATGCAACATTTAGAAGTCAATCTCTAAAGATCGCTAGAAATTCAGAGCAGCCCCAGCGCCTCAACTCGCACCCGCCAGCAGCATTTAAACTCGAAAAACACAGCAGAAGAATCTACATTATTGATGGCAATATAAATTTGAAGCATGTAATAGCATCGGAATAAAATAAAATTATAGTGCATCGTTGTGAATAGATAGGGAGTGACTTTGAACAATAACAAATTGATGTAGAAGGGAAAGTATCGCAGAAATGTCTCCAGTTGGGTTGGTTCCATCTGTACTTGCTCCTGGTTTATTATTATTATTTTCTTCGCGCTGTTCCTTCTACGGGTAATGGGGCTTGGGCTGATTTAGATTTCCTCCAAAAAAAATCTGGACGCGACGCACTTACATCAAGTACCCGAGTACATATATAGGCGTCAAGGTAACACTACAACAACCTCTGTAAATTTGACAGATGGGACGTGGATAAAACACCCAAATTCTCGACCATTTAGTTGCAAATTACAGATGATAGAAATTGATAGAGCTATACTATTACTAAAATGCTCAAGTAAAGTTGCATTTGCGATATCGTCTGAAAAATGAAGTGTTGTTTTTTAGGGCATAGGTACCTACTACATGTAGTACTTGGGTACCTGTACGATCAGGTAGGGAAGAAAAAAACCTGTAGCGCACCTAGGAAACTGCAAGGCGTCGCAGCCCACCAAACAGTGCAGACCCAGACACATCGAACCCCCCGGGACTAACCCCTCCCCTCTTTTTAGTGATCAGTGATTTTCGAAATCAAATCAGCAAGCCTGGGTGGCACCTAGTTCTGTATTTAAAAAATTGCCCCGCCGCCGTCGCAGGTCAGCGAAGTTCCCCCCGAAACTTTCTTTCCCCCAAATTTCCCACTCCCTCGCACACTTCCCTCACTGATTGTTCAGTGGCCACAACCTTACACCTCTAACCTACCTATCTACCCAGTCTACCTACTCAGGTAGCAATTATTGAACGGTACGCAACTGGGCACCACCAACTACAGTCCCACAAAGCATTACAGGTAAACAATAGCCATTTAGGACCCTCGCTGAATTTTACCGACGCGCAAAACCGTAATATATTTGCAAAGCAGAGCTAACACAGCCAGCAGCCATCAACGGTCACTCAGTATCAGCACGCCACAATGCCCCGACCTAAGAAGGCTGAAGCTGCTCGACAGCCTGCACCCGTCGCGCCGGCACCTATGGTGCCTATGACCATGCAAACTGTCCCAGCACAACTCCCCCAGATCCAGCAACAACCTTTGGCTGCTGGACCTGGCGTCGGCCAGCCACCTAGAACCATCGGCATTGAAGAGTTCATCCGCGTTCGCGACAGTGTAAGCAAGCAACATTATCTTTCCTTTCCCATTCATCGTCATCCACAGCACCCATCTACCGCACCATCCACAGCACCTCCTCTTACAGCACCCGCGTCATTATCGTTATCTGTACTATTTCCACCCCCACCTTATCAGAACATAACCTCATCGTTCCCGTTCACCATATAAATGAAGCATCTACCTTAGTATGCGTGTTGCCGCGCAACATGGTGCTTCCCATTACAGTTGTGTCTTGTATGAGATGAGCATGGGAAGACGACTAGGCAATATATCGCTGAGTTACTATTACTCGGTAACATCACCCATACCTTAGAGCTTTGAGGCTCTAGATGCGAGTCGCCAGTCACTTAGGTCTTTCCATGCACATTTTAGCAACATCTCGCGCAATCCTCCCATATGTCATGATATCTATTAGGTTTATGACAATGCTTTACTAGTGATTCCATTATATCTATCACTCTAACTTTCAAATACCCTCACTATACTTTCAAATGGGCATCCATATTAACAGTCGTTCAGGTCCATGCTAGATTCAATACCATTACTGGTCTGATGAAGAGCTTTTCCGATGACTTCCTGCGTCAAACCAACTTGCTCATAGGAGAGCCTGCACCCTTTGACAATGGAACTAGTCATTCCATGCAGAATCTGATCGCGAACCTCGATGGTATAAGTGGTCAGTTTGGCGACCTTGGTGCTCATGTAGAAGAGAAGAAAGAGCGCAAGAAGCGAACTCATGATCCCAACGCTCCTAAGCGACCCCTTACCCCTTACTTCCTTTACATGCAGACGGCTCGTCCTATCATTGCCAATGACCTTGGTCAAGATGCCCCCAAAGGCGCTGTGCAGGAGGAAGGTCAGCGTCGCTGGGCATCGATGACACAGGGAGAGAAGAATGTAAGTCTAACTTGATATGAATCTTCTTGATATTACTCATTAACATAAAATATTAGGCGTGGAACAACGCGTATCAGTTTAACCTACGATTGTACAATGCCCGAGTTCACTCGTACAAAGCTGGCAACTTGGACGCTCGCAACATGCCTGACCCTGATGCTCTTGCGTACGCTGACAGCAACGGCATTCCTCAGCCTGTGTTGTCTGGCGAGGAAGCCTATGCGCCCAATGACCAAGACGCCATAGCTGAACAACTAGCAATGGCTATCGCCCCGCCCGCAGAGGTCGAGACCCAGACGCCCAAGGCCAAGGTTACTCGCAAGCGCAAGAGCGCCGCTGCTGACGTCGAGGACGCCGAGACTAGTGCTGCTAAGACCTCCACGCCAGCTTCCCCCGATAAAAAGCGCAAGCGAGCATCTAAGGTAGCCGACACCCCTGATGAGCCTAAGAAGTCCAGCCGAAAGAAGAAGACCACGTAATCCGGCAAATGAACTATATCCTCGACTGCATATACTTGTTCATCTGCCACTTTGACGTTGGTTTGTTTTCTTTCGGTTACCCGGGGGTTAGCCTGTCTTTACATTACCCACTACCCATCTATTGCGATATTTGTGGTCGCATATCTTCGTATGACGGGTCGGTGAGTATGGTCGGTTATTTCAGATGGCGATCGCGATCAGTCGGTGACGGTCCAAAATGGGTACGGAAGGGTTCATACTCTTCTGGTTCTGTCGGTCTTGTATTATGAGTTACGAACAATCGCGAACGGGGCTCGGAATGGTCTGCTGGATTTCGGCACGGAGTTGTTTAGTGTATCGAGGCTTTTTTTTCTCTTTTTATTACCCGTTTTCCCAAATTCCCCAAGTGTACTTACATTTGCTTTCCGGCATTGTACTCATCGAACACATTGCACCTTTCAAAGAAGAAGGTTGGACATTACTAGTCTCGTTTATCTATTGTGACTTGGTACGCTGTGATTAGATTTGTTGGCTTGGTGCGTAGATATCCTAGGCAGATGAAATACCAGATGTAAGTGGAAAATCCCAGGGGTAGGTATTATCCCGTACACGCAAGCTACTACCAATAATTTCTTAAATTTGCCTAGTAGCTACATAGGTACCTAGGTGAATTCCAAGGGTCGCCTAAGCAAGTGAAAGAAACCGATAAGCCTAAAAAGCCAGACGGTTCTTAGGAACTACCTAGAAGTTACCTACCTACTAGGTAGTTCACATTGGACAGGTGCTGGAGGGTTATGAGCGGTAACTACCAAAGACCTCCAAAACCTAAGGTTCCTCCTGTTTCCAAAAAACACTGGAGCCAAAGGATTTCCTTGCAGCAGGCTACAGTGTTGTTAGCGGGAACAGGTAGATAGTTTCAGTAGGTAACCTTTAGGTAGGTAGGTAGGCGTGTAAATCACAAGATAGGTACTGTCCCCAGTGCCTTCAACATCAATTAGACAACCATTCTAAGTCTACTTACCTAGAAAACCTACCTAGCAGATACCCGAAAAGTCTTCTCTCCTGAAGCTAATTGCTGGAGGTATTCTAAATACCTGACATAGGTAGGTGGGTAAGTGGTTATGGTTATAGCCTTAAGGGAATATCATTAAAGCACATATAGAGCGAGGTCTACAGCGCCACATTTAGACCAATCAACTTACACCGATTCAACGCACACCGGCATGCAACAACCTCCGGCGCCTTCCGCTTTCCTGAAAGCAGTTCTATAGCACCATACTTAATTGGAGATAGGGAGTATAACGGGGTCGCCGGCCAAAAGAAGGCAAAGCACTCAATGACTACCTAAGTATAATAAAACGCCTAAAGACAGGTAGGAACCACGCATTTCAATTTTCGAACCCTCAGAGCTAGGTTTGCATATTATATATACCCATCCTAAATATTTCCATTTCCCTTTCATCTCGAGACATAATTCCTATTTCCCAGCAGTTCCAGGGCCATCACCTATACACACATACTATAGGTAACCAAAATATCATCTCGAAGCCAGCCCTACACAACAGCAGCTCCCAATAAACCCAACCCCTTTCTCCCCTTGGCCAAAATCAAAGAAATATCACCCCCCCACGAAGCCAAGTCCTCACTATCCCCTTTTCACAAGCCAAGCCCATCCCCTCTTCTACCCATCCTCCCACTCCCGCCGCCAAATCCCCACGTGTTAACCAATACTAACGCCTAGGTAGGCGCATTGGGCTAATAAACAAAGAACCCCTGCGTAATCGGCAACGTCTCCGCGGGTTCCGCGGCGCAGACCACGCCGTCGGCCTCGACGACGTACCGTTCGGGGTCGACGCGCATGGCGGGCATGGTGTCGTTGAAGCGCATGTCCTTCTTGCCGACGCGGCGGCAGTTGCGCACGGCCTCGACGCGCTTGCGCAGCCCGTACGTCGCGGACGTGGTCCGCGGCAGGCTGGCCTGCGAGACGAAGAGCACGCTGGTCTGCGGCACGAGGGGCGCGAACATGGGGCGCGCGATTATGGGCTGGACTGTCGGGATCGAGGCGTTGGGGTCGCCCTAGGGTGAATATATATTAGCGTTTTGGTGTTTTGGTTGCGGTGGTGAGAGGGAGGGGGAAAGGATAGGATAGGATAAGATAGGATGGGGGTGAAATAGAGTAAAGGAGATAAGAAAAGAATGGGGACTCACCATCTGCGCGTAAGCGATCAATCCGCTCTTAATAACCAAAGCCGGCTTCGCGCCGAACCACGCCGGATCCCAGACCACCAAGTCCGCCAGCTTGCCGACCTCAATGCTCCCCACTAAATGCCCCATACCCTGCGCCACGGCCGGGTTGATCGTGTACTTGCTCACGTACCTCTTAACCCTGTAGTTATCCGCGCCGGTGCCCTCGTCCTCGGGCAGGAAACCCCGCTGCACCTTGTTCTTGTGCGCGGTGTTCCAGGTGCGGAGGATGACCTCGCCGCACCGGCCCATGGCCTGCGAGTCCGAGCTCATCATCGAGATGGCGCCCAGGTCGTGCAGGACGTCCTCGGCGGCTATGGTCTCGGCGCGGATCCGCGACTCCGCGAACGCCACGTCCTCGGGGATGTTCCGCGACAGGTGGTGGCACACCATCAGCATGTCGAGGTGCTCGTCGAGCGTGTTGCGCGTGTAGGGCCTCGTCGGGTTCGTCGACGACGGTAGTACGTTCTCGTGCTCGACGACACGGATGATGTCGGGGGCGTGGCCGCCGCCCGCGCCCTCCGTGTGGTATGTGTGGATGGTACGGCCCTTGAAGGACGCGATCGTGGATTCCACGTATCCGCTTTCGTTAAGGGTGTCCGTATGGATCAGACACTGCACATCTAGCTCATCGCACACGCTTAGGCAGGAGTCGATAGCTGCGGGGGTCGTTCCCCAGTCTTCATGCAGCTTGAGGCCGCAGGCTCCTGCGATGACCTGTTCCCGCAGTGCGCGAGGATCGCTGTCGTTGCCTTTGCCCGTGATGCCGATGTTTATGGGCAGCTCGTCGCATGCTTGAAGCACCTGTCGGATGTAGTTTGCCCCCGGCGTGCAGGTAGTCGCGTTAGTACCAGCACTGTCAGTAATTTGTTAGTCTGCTAACCACAGCCCCTTAAATGAGGGTTATAGAGAAGGATTTATCTTACCTAGGCCCAGTACCACCGCCAAGCATCGTCGTAATGCCCGAGGCAATGGACTCATACGCTTGTTGGGGACATATGAAGTGAATATGTGTATCCAGCCCACCCGTCGTCACAATCTTGCCTTCGCCAGCAACGACATCTGTGCAACTGCCTACGATCATGCCCTCGGTAACGCCATCCATGACGTCCGGATTACCCGCCTTACCAATAGCACTAATCATGCCGTCTTTGACACCGATATCCGCCTTGTAGATACCCGTGTAATCCACAATCAGCGCGTTCGTCACCACCATATCCAAACAATCCGCATCCGCGCACCCAGTCATCTGCCCCATGCCCTCACGCAGTGTCTTCCCGCCGCCGAATTTACACTCGTCGCCGTACGTCGTAAGATCCCTCTCAACCCGAACCCAGAGATTCGTCGCCCCAAGCCTAACCAAATCCCCCGTCGTCGGCCCGAACATCGTCTTATACGCCGCCCGATCCATCGAGAAGCCATCCACAACCCCCAAATCCGGCCTCTCGGGCTCCGGCACATGCGCGAATCCGGCCTTCTGCAACTTCTCCACGATGGCCTCGACGCGCGAAAGATCGACTTTCCCCGAGGCCAGCCCGTTGCCGCCGCGGATGACGCGATTCCCGCCGATCTCGACGAGGGCCACGGTCTTGGTGTCGCCGGGCTCGAAGCGCACGGACGTGCCGGCGGGGATGTCGAGGCGGAAGCCGTACGCGGCGCCGCGGTCGAACTCGAGCCGCGGGTTCGCCTCGATGAAGTGGTAGTGGCTACCGACCTGCACGGGCCGATCGCCCTTACTCGTGACGCGGAGGCGGATGCGTCTGCGTCCCGGGTTCAGCGCGACGCGGGCTGCCCTAGCTACGACCACGGCGCCGGGCTGACCCGCCGCGTCGTAGGCGGCGGCGTCGGCGGGCGGGAACAGGTCCTGGCTGGGCACGGGCAGGAAGCTGGCGTACAGGGCCTTCCTTAGGTCGCCGTCGTCGGTGGCGATGGGGTTGTGCACGGTGACGAGGTAGGTGCCGGAGGGAAAAGTGCCCTCGACCTGGATCTCGTGCAGGGTGCTCACGACGGAGGGGAGCACGTGCCGCCGGCCGAGCATGGTGGAGCCGATGGCCATGAGGTCGGCGACGGTGTGCTGGCCATCGCGGATGAGTTCTTGGAGGTTATTCGCGATGAGGGCCTACGAGTATAGTATTAACCAACTCAACTCGACTAACAAATAACGGGTTTAATTCCCCGGGAGGGGGGGGAGGGAGAAAAACATACGGTGGCTTCGGTGTGGTTCAGCTTAACGCCCCTAGCAAGTCTCTTCTGGGCCAGAAAGCCCAGTTGCGAGATGACGAGCTTATCAAGCTATGCGGTAACAATTTTAAAACGAGTTAGCTAAATTGCTCGCTCCTCTCCAATTGTGTTTCCCCCCTTTCAGGTACTTTCGTAACAAACTACACGGGTAAGTGGGAACACAAACCTCTTTAGGGACGAGATGCATTTCTTTTTATTTTTCGCAGATTTTTATCTGGGCCTAAACTTCGAACCACTTATAAACTCGGGGCCCATCAGAAGGAACTTTTGAGGGGAAGATGGAAAGAGATCATGACTCTCTGGTTGCACGGCAGAGTAACAGCGTAATACTAGCGTCTTAGATAACTGTAGCGTTTGTAGATGTAATACAATCTATTCATAGCCCTAAATCACGGCACCTTATCTATGGTGGGGCCAGTACGGCATGGAGGTTCTGGCCAAGTACCGCTGCGTTGGATCGACCTCTCGGTATACACATGCATGTTTGGCATGGTATACCCCGCAACAAAAGCTCTCCACTCCCTTGTTCCCTGTGCATGGGATATGCGGAAAACAGTTGGGGTATAGGTGGTCCAATAATATACTGCAGTCTGTAGAGCAATCTGGGATTAAACAGATAGGTAGCGAATCAGGGAGGGGGGGTATGAAGTTTATTGTTTCAGGTATATGAAACTGCGATCTTACCCAGCTGGTTTATATCTACAGCTCTGGGGAAAAGGAGAACTTGGTCCGAGTCTGGTATACTACATGTCACATTAGTAGTAAAAGCAATTCATAATAACATTCCGAATAGCAATCAATCTGTATTGAGGGCTACCGGTATTCATAGCATTGCATGGCATAGCATAAGGCTATCACTCCTGACTCGAATATGTACAGTAAACCCCAAGGAAGACACCGGATGCTGCCACCCACCGACCCCTAAGGAGTAAACAAGCCACAACAACTACCACCTATGTAGCCTAATGCATAAACGAGTATCAAGTACACAGCACTGCCATCTTAGCTCATACCATCACGCAATAAGGTCTTTGAAATGACGTCGACGCTGAGTTCTCAAACGCGGCTTCCAAAACTCAGCGACATCGTTCTCGGAATCGGGTTGTTCCGAAGGCTCCGGACCTTGAGACTCTGGCGCTTGAAGTTCTGGTGTTCGAGACACTGGTGCTTGAGACTCTGGGTTTTGAGAATGGGATCTCTACTCCTCCTCGACTTCCTCGTCCCAAGCCTGCCGCTCCTTCTTCATGAGATCGGCCATCATTTCCGGCTTGAAGATGGTGCTGCCAGGGTTCGTGGCGCGGGGGACTTTGCCGAGGTTGGGGTCGTTGAAGACAGGCGCGATGTTCTCTATCCATCGCTTTCGGCGCTCCATAAGCGTCTTGGTCACGTCGCCGATGCCTGGACGGGCCATACCCGAGCCAGCGCCTCCGGTAGGGTGACTGCCTCCGCCTGCTCCTCCAGGTCGCTTCGACTTCTTGCTCTTGCCCATCGTGCGCGTTCGCTTGAGGTACGCGCCTTGAACTTGGGTGTCAAGGTCTTCGAGGATGGTGGTGTACTCCTGATGCGCCATGCGTTCCTTGACTAGATCTGTAAGTCGGGCCTTGCGCGCGCCGTTGATGAGCATCTGCTCACGTAGTCGATCTTGTAGGAGGCGCAAACGGGCGGCAACCTCGTCGTCGTAATGTCCGTCATAATCACCATCAAAGCCTTCCAGTGGGAGGAATCCAATGTTTCGAAGTTCAAGCTTTATACGCTCGTCCACTTGAGAATAATCTAACTTGGGGTGTGTGGCTTTCTTCCACGCTTCGGTCGATGATTCTGTCATGAAGGTGGCAGGCGGAGCACTCTTCTCTTCACCAGCCGCGCCCGTGTTGGAATCACCGTTAACCTCCTCCTTAACCTCAGCATCTCCGTTGATTCCGTTAGTCATCGGCTTATCTTCGCTAGGCTGGGCGCGAGCCTCGGGGCGCATCGCCTGGAGTAGTCGCGACAACACAGGCCCAACTGATAACTTGTCCGTCTCTGCAACGTCATCATCCATATTGTCGATGGTACCACGAGCCTGGTTAGGAGCGAGCTTGTCTCTTCCAGGCAACGTAGAATCAATCGCCATCGCACCGTCTTCTTCCGCCCATACTTCGGTGTAATGCTTCTTGCCTCGCTTGGGCATGACGAAGGGGGTGAGTCGGTCACCGCGTTCTCGTAGGAAGGCGAGATCCTCTTCGGAAAACTGGCGGAAGTAGGGTTCGATGTAGGTTGAGAAAGTGCTGAAACTGATCTGGTTCGAGGGCTTCGCACTACTAAAGTCCTTGTCGGGCGGATCACCAGCAATCATGTCGGCAAGGTCAGTCTTGGGGAATACGGCAACGGAATACAGCTTCTTCAATTCGTCTACGGTCATTCCGGGTTTTGTCGGGAGTATCTCGTATACGGTAGGATCAGGGTAAGTAGATGGATCTTCACCAAAGGTCTGAATTTGAGGAGCTTCACGACGGGGAGGAGCGCCTTCGTCTTCAGACTCGGAATCCTCTTCGGCCTTGTTATCCAACTTAGCTTTCTCGTCTACCTCCATTGCGCCGGGTGTTGCGGGTGCAACAGGTGATAAGGAAGAGCTCGCTGAATCGTTATCTCGAGAAGGTTTTCGAGTTTTGCTATGGTCGCGCAAGGGAGACGATCTTTCTAAGTAGAAAGGATCAGTATTGGGCGACCATAATTGATGCTAAAGATGGTGGAAGCTGAAGATTTGGGCTAAGAACACAAATGGTACAAAAGGCTGTGTATGACTGTGGGTTACGTCTGTGATGGAGGGTAGATGAAAAATAGCATCTTAGACCTCAGTTGCTATGCAACAACATTTGATGGCAATGAGGCGTTATGCGCACCTGTAGCCACAAAGCCAAAATGCAGGGCGACGAGAGCTGCTTACCAGTATGCGCGTCTCCAGGCGCAAGACTATCATTAGCCTTTCTCTTTTTCTTGTTCGCCCTTCTCTCTGTCTCTTCTTCGCCGTCTTTACGCGTATCATCCCTTCTACTAACAGGTGCCATTTCGTCAAAATGTGCTTTTCTATGGGTAGCGACAAGGCGCATTCCTCTATCACACGATGCTCCACGTCGTTCAATTATTTCATTCAATTTCCCCAGTCGCGTTATTAGACCGTCGAGGCTCCTGGAATCAGGGATGAGGGCATTAGAGGCACTGGAGTCGACTAGATCGTCGTAGTTTATGCTGCGAACCGACTCTAATTTGAGGTCTAGGTACTCGGTCTCGATGATATCGACGGGGGGTATATTCGCACTGGATGGCCCGATGGACATAGGTGTGGTATTGCGACTGCGCTTACCCATGGCATTGGCGTTTTTCTTGCCAGTGCCCTTCTGGCTAGGAGCAGGAGGCATTATTATTGAAAACTTCTATCAGGTCGGTAGAGATTGGGGTAGTTGGGATGTATAGAAGATGGAATGTGACAAATGTGACAATGAGCGCGCTTCGGAAGATGAGTTGGATGGGGATGTCGTCAGTCGACGCTGCCGGCACTTAACTGTCTTAGCTCAAATTTGATGATATGATTGGCTGCTTATCTAGGTACTCAGGTACAGTGCTCATATCGTGGATAAGGATCCACCTAAGCGGCTGAACATGGCTTCCATGTCCCTGGTCAAATGACGTAATCTGGCACCAGACAATCAATGGGTAAACTTCCATTAATAGTTCCACCTTCCAGTATCTCATAAGCACATCTTCAATGCATACCTACACTATTAGGTACATAGCCGGGAGCTGCTGTAGAGTTATAAGCCTGGTGCAAGTGCACTAGGGCTTGTACAAGGCTCGTACAAGTGCTATAAGGGTTGTTGGCTTTACAAGGTTTGCTCCCATGACAAGGCTTATGAGTCAAATGTATTTTCCCATACAAATTTATTAGCAAAGTACATGAAAGACATATTCCAGGGCATTAACCACTACCAAAACCACTAAACACCACTAAAGCTTTAGCGCTCTCAGCGCTATAAGCACCTGGAAGCAGCTGAAAGCAGCTGCAACCACTTGCCAGTCATCATGCCCCACCTTTTTAAACCAATCACATTCAGCCTGAATATATCCTGCCAGCCGCGACCGCCTGGGCAGGACCTTCGTCGGTATTACCTGGGCCAAAAAAAAACTTAAACTTTTTTTTTATTCTTCAACTTCAATACTACCCACCTGCTGCAAGCACCTGCTATCCACCCGCCAGCTTTCAAGTCCCACTTTTTGAACCAATCACCATTGGCAACCGCCATTTTCTGCCAGTTGCCACCACCTGGGCAGGACCTTAGAACAGTATTTTTCTTCAACAACAACAACATTTTTACTATTACCACCCACACACTTACTAATACTTGTCTTCAACAACCAAGAACAGGTAATTAGTAGATCAGTAAATCAATAGGTCAGTAAGCTAATAAGTCAGTAGATCTATGGACCCGTAGACGCGTAGGCTTGTAAAGGCGTAGAGCAGTAGAGCAGTAGAGCAGTAGAGCAGTAGAGCAGTAGAGCAGTAGAGCAGTAGAGCAGTAGAGCAGTAGAGCAGTAGAGCAGTAGAGCAGTAGAACAGTAGAGCAGTAGAGCAGTAGAACAGTAGAATAGTAGAACAGTAGAGCAACAAACTTGTAGTGGATTAGTGGATAATTATAGTGGATGGGCGAATAATTATAGCGCATTTAATAAATAATTACAGCGCGCTTATAGCGCACCCCACTAATTTTAAAGCTTTCTTACAAGCCTTAAAATCTATTCAAGCAAATTAAACCCTGCAAGGATAGTGCCCATACAAGGCTTGCACAAGCCTTGTAAGAGGTGACTAATCCCCGCTAAGGTATCTACAGAATACATGGCAATCACGGTCACTCCATTCAAACTCATCGCTTATCGCTTACCTTTGAGATCAGAAAGCTTAGTCAATCAACATATTGAGGTGTGTATGATGGATAATTTTCTGACATATTGTATCAAACCTAAACTTATGGTAATCTCCTAGGCTAAGTTACCTAGGCGCATCCATTATATCTGACTTCCGCTAGGGCATTGACCTACAGTGCGTAGTTTCACAAGTCCTACTACCAACTATTACATAAAGACCTCGTCGCGGCATGTGTCTACAGGCAATGCTCTCGATCTACAGTATTCTAGGGTTAACCACCAACCGATTTTTCACAGGCGCTAGCTAGACGACCTTCAATCACTAGCTCTTTCCACGGACTATATGGTTAACGTATAGGACTAGATGTATAACATTTCTTAGTCTCCTTAGCAATGTTCACTTTTATTCACGCCTCCCAAGTGCCAGGTGAAATGAAATGATGATTAATATAACTCAGGTGAAGATGTTTTCATATCTAGTTACCTATAATTATGCAATCATGAATCATGGGTGAAGTTGATCTGGTCGTTTATATCTAGTGGAGAAAAGGGTGCTTATCTTCACGATCTGCAATGTGTTAAGCAATGTATAGGAATATTGCAGTTGAATCCTGCCAGTCTAGTAGGATTGGAGATTGGCATATTAGGAACATGCTGGCAGCTGGACCAAGGACGAAGTGAACGAAGGGCTTTTCTTGTATGTATACCTCCTTTCTCGTGGGATATCATAAGTCCGCCCTACCACAAATCTTTACTTCAGGTCAACCTTACTATTATTAGTATGTTTTCCGACACCTTTACTCACGAAACTCGGAACTAATTATCCTTCCCATAGCTCAAGATTGATATTCCTCCCAATCCAAAGCCTCTGTAGTCGGTCCTGAATTAACCCGTGAACTTAATACGGAAGATGGTTATCGGGCCTTCACTGGTTCATAGTCCATAGTCACACTTTCAACGAGTCTCACCGACTAAAAGCTGAATATATGCATATAGGTAGATGGCTAAATCCGGTAAATGATAACAATGTAAGTCTACCAAGAAGGCTACACAATATACCATATAGATATGAATAAGAGAAGGAAATTCGAAGCTATTCTTGTATTACCTCCCTAGGTAATATGTCACTTTTCGTATAACCCTAGGTAACTTCAGCTGCTATGCTTTACGTTGTTGTACCGCCTACTTTCAAGTTTTGTTTAGAGAATACGACCTATAGTCCTACATTTCTACCAGAGGTAGGGTATCATCGAATTGGAAGAGAGATTCTACGATATAATTGGCTTATCTCCTAGAAAACCGGAATTAGCCTTATATTAGATGCTCACCGCAATTCCTATGTTTTACCCCTTCATTCCCGCTGCCTTTCGATTGCGAACCGTTGCGAACTGTCGCGAACGATGTAATTCAGCATGGTATGATTTTAGGATGCCTAACAGATGAAGTGTCAGATATTACTATGTGCTTTTCACTCACCGGTCCGCCATCTAGTCCGTTGTATCGGACTTGTTCAACACACCTTACTCGAGTAATTATCTAATCCTGTCCTAATTCGGTTATACTTACGGAGTTTATTTACCTACCGGAATGTTTCTAACAGAACTGCCATATGAGGCAAGTCGATTCCGAGACCCACTACAGTCCGCGAATCTTCGCGGATATCTCCTTGATTGGCAGTTGTTCATAGACCGCTATTGCTTATTCATTTCGGAAAATCCTTCCCAATGATTATTTGAGTTTCTATATCTCTCGTAAGGAGTCTCTAGATACCTATCTTCTAAGTAAAGAGATGGTATTTAGTTGGTTACACGAAATATTGGAAGTGCTTATTCTGGTGGACACGTGTGTATCCTGTTCCAAGAAATACCAACACCCTGGATTGGAGCTGAGCGAATGCTGATCTGACTTCGGCTGCAACCACACTTGTTTGTTTCTGGTTCTACTGCGTAGTATCCTAGTATGGTGCGTTATCCCATTGACTGGTAGAAGCCTTCAACTCTACATAAACGAGTAGCAGTACTGTCAAAATCCTCTGAAAATAGATCTAGCTAATGAGGGTCAATATCTTGTGGGCACTAGTGGGACTTGGGGAATTCTGATTTTGGCAATATGTAGGTACTGTCCCTTGCTTAAGTGGAGTTCTAGGCTTTTGCCGGTCAGCTAGAGTCATGGTGTGCTCTCCCTATTTGAAGCATAGGACGCCACATCTGGTCTCGTATTGACACTAATCATGCCCGGATGCATTTCATTTTACTTGAAACTACAGAAGTATTACCATGAGATCTTGGAAATAACTTTTGCTACCTTCCTGGGTGGGTGGTCTGATATTACCGATTATTGGAGAACAACCATACCGAGGTGAAGAGCTCGAGTCTGGACGGGTGTGGCTAAATGGGTATAACTGTGGCTAGTAGAACGGCGAATAACTGAATTTAATTGTGCCGGTAAGCTGATTGGACGTCTGCATCTTTCTTGATGATCCGTACAGGCGGGTTGAATGGAAAATTTATCCTGAAGGCAAACCACATCGAGTCAGCTGCATGCCGGGCCCGCTAAGTTGCAGAAGCCTTTGCCTTCATAAGATTCAACGTAAGCTGAAACGTCCAGACACTGCCACAATTCGAGCTTCGACGCCACAAGAAGCCCATAACTACCCAGGTAGGGATTTCATCCGACATTACTCGGAACATTCAAAACTAGTAACGGAGACAATATATGTATGTCAGCGAGGCTACAGGAGTATATAGTTAAGCATGCATAGTAACACGGCGATCTCGGGCTTTCCACATTGTCGGTAACAGTACTCCGGACCTGGTGGTATTGAATATGGCCCCTTTAATATTTTTATACCTACCTCAATAATTCGCAAGACCGTCAGTATAGTACGCAGTAATCCTTACAAAGCTCATCATAAGATTCCTTCTATCGTTTCTGCAGATAAAACCTTCCTAGCTTCTTGACTGTCATAGAGCGTTGGCTCGCCCCCATGGCAGTTTGGTACTGTACTTCTATTTTGATCGGCGATCATCATTCGATGGAATTATTATAAACATTAATGATATAATAGTAATCTTTAGTTACCTATCTATCCTAACGTTACGAGAGCCTCATATCCTTTTTCAGCAGAGCCTCACACATGTTTCATGCTAGGTTGCAAGGTGGTAATGACTGGGGGATCGAAAAGATGGACTGTTCATCAACATTTTCATTATAAAAGGCTAGTGTTTTCCTACGTACATTTCTCTGTTATTAACCCATTTCAAAGTATAACACTTTCCCTCGATATCTGTTTGCTATTTGTTTAGGCATTTTCTCGACTATCATGCCTTCTACGGATCAGAAGCTTAGTGTGGGAAACACATATCAGTAAGTAATATACTTAAATAGTGATATCTTCAGCCTATAATTCCTTTTTAAACTTACCTAACTCGATGCGCTTTAGTGAACCGGATAGCCACCAACCAGATACTCACCACAACCTCTTCCTTCCTTCAAATGAGCCGATACGTTCTCGCTTAGAAGACTTCATCCAAGAACCGCCAGAGGCAGGGAATAGGAATGTTATTTTGCCTGACAAATGTTCCAATTGTAGTATGACTATCAAACACAGTTCCGAACGTATGAAGAAGGAAATAGAAAATATTACCCGCGGACTTGACGGGTCTACAAGTTAGTTGTCCCTATTCTATCTACTATGGTACTATAGACTGATCAGTCTCAGAGTGCGACTCTACTCAGACGAAAACCGGCTGAAATACTTGATACACCCATATGGATTAAACCTTATTCAAAATATGGTTTTACATATTAAAGTAAAGAGACACGATGAAGAATATCCTCGCATAATCCAGCATTTCAGCTCGGACACGTTTAAAAAAGGGGGATCTCCTGTCTGGCGAGGGGCATATGGGAAAGGGGAACATCTTATGATTGAATTAACGAGGCTACTGTTCTGGAATATAAGCATATGCAGTTATGTAGGTATGAACCGAGAAACAGGGATGCGTTTAGGGGGTGGGATAGTTGCTTGAGAGTTCATCACGTGCCTACGCGCCTGCTGTGCCTCTACACACGCGTCAGGGGTATCTTATTTATGGACAGTGGACACGATGTAGACGCGTGGTTCTCTCTTGTGTCTCTTTTCCTTACAATTCACCACACTTTCATTTAGCAATTAACCTGATTTACTAACTCCATTACCATAACCCGAAAACATATCTTCCACCTTACTAATGGCTTCTACACATGTTCAGCCCTCTCGATTCCAGTGGAAACAGTCCAAGCTCGGAACCTGGGAACGAGAAGCTGATGAGTGTGAGACATTCTATATACAATTGAAGAGGAATGGCAATGCCTATTATCCAATCATCGGCTGCGCATCTTTCGTGACTAAGTCCCCTGACACAAGAACGACCGACGAAGCGGACAGAAAAGAAAATGGAGTAAGGCGTATGGTCTATGATGCTCTACTGAAAGCATGGGAGGTACTCTGCTATGAACATCCAACCTTGCGTTCTCGTATCGAACATGATAAGGCAAGTGGGATATGCAGAAGGGTGTACTCAACATTTCAAGACGTGGACGAACAAAAGGTTTGGTTGAATGCAACATTCAAGGCTATATACACGGACGAGGACCCTCTCCAATGGTTCAATAGTCAAGAACACTCTTTTGACGGCTCAAGACTCCTCGTCGTTACACCTGAAAACAACAATGATTTTCACCCAACAATCTTCTTACAATGTCCACATGACATTACGGATGGTGTTGGTATTCTCCAACTAGTCGACCAGCTATTCCAACACGCAGCTCGTGCTTATGAACAAGGCGATCAGTATACCTTACCGGCATGGGGTGACGAACATGAAAGGCTTTCTCCAGGCCTACGGCTTGCTGCAACGCTTCCGGAAACCCCATCTGAAGCCCAAGTGAAGCGCTTCGCCGAGATTCAAACTCAGAACGGGTCGATTTATACGCATCCCGGCCTCCTTAGCCTTCCGCCAAGTTCCTCTACTGCCGCTTCGAGTGGCAAGAGACATCGCCTATCAATTTTTGTCCCCCAAGCTATCACGAGTCAAATCATTCGTAAGTGCAAGGAAATTGCCCCTGGAGTCAGCGTGACGCACGTTTTTATGTCGGCTCTGGCAATGGCCTTGTCTGAAATACAGCCCCGGAAGGAGGAGTCGTATGCGGTTCGCTATGTCAACCACAGTATGATTAACTTACGCCCTTACTGCCAAACCCCTTACAGTACCCCTGCGCATGCGGCCGCTCCCTACCACACCGTCTCTGCACAGGCACTAGGCATAGACTTGATCGTCCCAGGTCCCTCAAATGACGCCAAGGACGAGGGACGGGTAAACGAACTGCGAAAATTAGCAATCCAGGTGCGAGACTTTTATAAAGCAGTTCGCCCAGCGTCCATGCAAGATGAACAGGTGGTCCTGTCTCCTTTGATGTTCGCGAGTCTCACAACACCGCCTGGCTCGGACCCTCATGCCGTATCCGACCCCCCATTTTGCCCAGCTGTGATTTCCTCGATTGGAAACATAGGCTCAATAGTGTCGGCAACCCACGGAGCTTTTGAGCTTACAAACGTCTGGGCTGCCAGCGAACCTATTGGGGCTGGAGTGGCTATGTTTCTCGACACCTGGAATGGGAAGATTGAACTTTCCGGGGTATTTGACACGAGATATCATGATGCGGAATATATTAAGAAGTTTTTGGGACGTATCTTGGACTGCGTTTCCAGGGGTTTGGATGTTGATGAGTAGGTGGTATACTCCCCCTATTCACGCCATTGCTGTCGACTAAAAGGGGCAAGAAGCTTAATCAAGGGCAGTACGAGTATCATGATTGCGATGGTAACAAGTAACATACTCGGTTGGCATTGGTTTCGCGTAGTGTTTACAGCTAAAAAAGATGCAGTTTAGACAATATTTATGCCGTTCATTGTGTAATCATCAAGTTGGTAGTGCTAACCGATCGCTGACTAAGTGACCAAACCCCCTTTTATTCTAATGAAGCTTTTGTTGTCAAATCGAAGCAATATCGTATCTCACGTTTACTGGGAATTGTTTAAGCAGGCAGTTTGCTTTTGACAGACCTAAATGAGGAGGTGGTATAATTACAATAAATTGAAATTATGAAGTATTCGCGCTCGCGTTCTGACATTATCTCGCGATGATATTGAAATTGGTTGAGAAGATCGAGTCTGTATCCTAACTTCTTAGATTCATATACGTTGGGGCAAGCTGCCTAAGCGAAACCCATATATAGGATGGTTGAGCTTATCGTGTCCATTCTCCAATCAAACCTAGGACGTTTTGTGCATATTCCTACGAGCTACACCTCGAAAAAGAGGCATTTGTACACGTAATTCTTACTTCCTTCTCAACATTTCGCTGCACGATTTGACAATAGACCCATTTTTCATCAAACACCCAATCCTATTGCAACACTATCGAATATGTAAGCGGATGATCTCTGGCCATTCGGAAGCAGTTTCGACAAATCTAAAACCAGCATTGCGATATTTTCGAGATTATCCCGAGAGAAATCTTAGTATCAAGCCCCTGCAGAAGACGGGATCTCTAGGCGGGATGGTCAATAAAGTTGAGATATTGTTACGCGAGCTAAGAAACAAGAAACAAGAAATCCACAAATGCTTAATTAATGACGATAAATACAATACGAGGTGCTGTTGTGTTAACAGCGTGTACTTAGATAGCTTGGGAAACGACGACTATGACCAACAGATGCGCATGTTACCATGGTTCAACAAGCAGCGGAAAAATCAAACCCGCATTAAGACACTCCGAAGAATAGCGTTTCATCTAGGACATGACAACGAAAACATGACGGATGTGGTGGCAACGAGTTGCCGTACGAGGTGTTATGGATTTGTTTTCTCAGGACAGCCTTATGGGTCTTGCTATACTGTTTGGTCATCTATGCTGTCCTGGGACCAGAAAACAACAGTTATGTATAAATTTAGTGCTGATCTCTGTACGACCAACATAGATCTTAAGATATACGTGTTTATCCCGTGGATATAAATTAAAGGTAGATTTTATAATTCATGAGTACCGATTAGAAGCTGAAGGATTCAATTTGTTGAGCTATCTGACTCAGTTTACTCCATCATATTTGTAAACATCAACGAAAGTCTTGAGAGCTCTTCATCCTTCTCAATTTTCAAGCATGCTCTCACTTCACCGGCGACTCATATCCGGTCTCATAGCCATGGCCGCTTTTCTCTCCGTCTGTGGAGACGTGGTTAGTCTTGGAAGACATCTTAGTCTCGCCCTTCGGCCTATATCAAATCGTTAGCTTTGCTCTAAGTTCAAGGAGAGACGATTGTGTTATTGTGGCAGTGGCTTACACAGCAGTTGGCGCAAGGGGATCCGTTGACATATACCCAGTTGTTACAGTTGTGGGAGAGGAAGTATTTGCAGCGGTACTTGTAGTAACCGCCGCTGGAAGTGGTACCGGAGCTGGAGGCTTGAGAGCCCGCGGGTTTCCCGCTGGAAGAGTGGGTAGTCTGAGTGTTCTCGGTAGGAGCCATTGGATTTACTTGTCAGTTTTGTTTATTATGTTGCTTGTCCTGTAGTTCTGAGTGTTTGTTATCTACTTGAAGGAATTGAAGAACTTCCCAGAGTCTCAGAGCTGTTTAAATAATATTCTTCATGTTACAATGATGCTTCACGTACAATCATATCTGATTAGAATGCACTCAGAAATCACACCATGACCGATGTTAGCGTTTAGAATAGTCATCCATCATCAGTCTCTTGCCATAGTTTAACAATAGGTAGGAGGAGATTCAAGTATGGTTTCTCAAAGTTCAAGTGAGTGAACTACTAGATATGTGTGTAGTATCACAAGTTATGTGTTTCAGGGTACTTGGTGCTGGCTGGATGATGATACATCGTAATACACGTTTTCGGACAACATTTAACACAATTAGGGAATGCAGATGTGTAACAATGAATAATACTTCCAAACGATGACATAATTAGATCTGACACTCTATCTAGACACCTCATGGTGTTAAAAGTCTAAGTAGTCTGTTGGGGAAGAAATAGCTAGAGATTTGTGAGGATCGGAGTCCCGTTGACGGCTGCCCCTGAGATAGAGAAGACACATGGCTAGGTATTCTTGTATGTATTTCACGTTTCCTAAGCGATAGGACATAGCTCATGATCCTCACGCTAAAATAATGTTTCTTTATCTCTATTTTCGTATCGTGGTGCATTGTAACATGAAAGATTTGGTGCAGAGGACTAGGACAGTAGGATTGAGATTGAGTCCATGCTGATGTGGCAATGGGTGGATCTCTGTATATTGTCGAATATTTTGGTAGATTTATGAATGTGTTCTCTATGCTAACACAATATCCCTTCAGTGTTTTTATAGAGGACCATGTCTTTTTAGAAGCTCAGCTCCAATCAGACATGGGGGCTTCCCTTACACTAGTTTGTCTATGCTGTCTTAGGACCAGCAACCAATAATTAAGTGCGACTATAGTGTTGGCTTCTGTATTCATCATTCAGGCCTCAAGACATGGATCATACATTCAACTATACCATGAATATAAATTAGAGATAATTTTCCTCATAAATCGTAGTTGTCAAAGTCAATAGCTCTCGATGCGTCGAACTACCTACATACCTCCGCAAGCTTACTCCCGCTACAAATGCACATGATAAAGTAAATCTTAATAATTTTTCATTCCTACGAAACCCCTAACTTATACTAAAGCAACAACACCAGAACGGCCTTACTCATTTGCCATCCTTGGCGTACTTGTCTTTTTCTTCCGGCTTGCACGTGTGTGGCCGGTCATCAATCCAGCAGTGGCACTTCTCACATTGAACGATGTCTCCATGCGATTTTCCGTCCCCTACTGGTGACTCGTACCCAGCTTTTCCGTCATGACCTTTTTTGTCCCCCTCCTTAGAGGCCTTGTTCGTATCAGAAGGCATTTTATTTTCCTCCTTTGATCGGGGTCTCCTTCCTTGATCTTCTAGTCTCGACCCTCTGCCTAAATCACAGCATCAGCATTCTTTGATCAAATGAGAGATGGTCGTATTCTTATGCCAGCGGCTTACACAACAGTTTGCGCAAGGGGATCCGTTCACGTAGACCCAGTTGTTACAGCTATGGGTCAAGAAATATTTGCAGCGGAACTTGTAGTAGCCGCCACTGCTGCTGGTAGAAACACCGTCTTTGGTGCCCTCAGTTTTCTCGCTCGAAGATGATGAGCTGGTGGTTTGGGTGCTGGCAGTCGGTGCCATTGAAGAAAGTGTTGTAAAGTACGTTTGTATTTTCGCTGTGAGTTGTGAATGTGTATGAAGAAATTGGGAACCTCTCAGGAACTCAGGGTTGTTTAAATATCTTTTCATGTTACAAGAGATGTTACAAACTCCATTGTCATGTACGATGGATACAGGAATCATTACCATTGTACACGACGAGCTGTCTCCCAGTCAGCCTTTAGACTATATTCAAACAAAAACTTCGATAATTCATGGCTGTCGTGTCTTCTATCATGATATTATAAGATAAGTGAAGTAGTCATCTTTGTATGCAAATTGCAACGATGCATAGTCATACGAGTGTTCCTCGAGACACGTAGGATATGATTAGAGAATACGTATGAGGGAGAGTGTGAGATGATTTAATGAGACGGCATAGTGAAATTAGGGATTCTCTCTAGATATCTTAGCAGTAGGAACGCTTTGATGTGTAGGACAGTACGATGGTGTTAGAGATGGATCTGGTCTGTTGGAGGAGGTAGCCCCTAATTAAGAGGCCTATTGGTAGCTGGCTTAGAGTAGAGTAGAGTAGATAAAGGGCTCTCCCTACTCGTTTATCGTGTTTCTTGAATTTAGAGTACTTTGGAACTTATCATGCAAGGATGTCATTGTGTCTTCAGTCATTATTACGTTGATTTGATACTAATATGGCAATGTTCAGCAAGCTTTGCATTATCGAGTTGTTTTTGCCGATCGGTCATAGATGGCTTCTCTATATGCAATTGTGATATTTCTTGTTGTGACAAGCAAAACCCGAAAAGAGATGCTACAAGCTTTGTACGATTTAAGCTGCTCAAGCGTGGTACGTAGAGGAAGTATCTTTCTTGGATTGACCACAAATTGGTGATGCTAAATCACCCGAATAAAAAATTAGAAAATACTTGACTACGTCTCTAAATACTATTACGATTTCAAAATCAAGTAAGTAAGAAAGAATAGAAACGCTTTACAGGAGCTTAGCAAAACAGCAACTAGATCATAGGTATGAAGCTCCAGACCCTAATTGTTGAATGTCGTTGAATGATATCCATTAATAGACCCCTGACACTAGAGCTATGACCCCCTACCCGGATCTTCGGGACCTAATCTAGTTCAGGATAAGCGCATTATGGCGGCGACATCGGCGGTGAAATTTTGAATTGCCCAGTGCCAGGTGTGAATCATCCTCCAAGCTTATCATTTATCAGGAAAAAAAAAGGGTCTCGATATTCTGCCCTTCCATAAAATAGCAACCCCAAAACAACACTCTCTTTATAACTTATGAACAGAATTTCATTTAGGGGAAAGGTCTCTAACCTGAATCAATTAGCTTTCGGACTTTCTAGATTTGTTTCTTCATCAATTTGGAATTTCAATATGGCTCCTACGATCTTACATTTGCGTTCTGAGGACAAGCCCCTCGAGCACCGCTCAGCGCTCACCCCCACCACAACCAAGGCATTGATCGACGCTGGCTACGTTGTCAATGTTGAGAAGAGCCCTGTCCGTATCTTCGACGACGAGGAATTCAGCGCTGTGGGTGCTACGCTGGTTCCCACTGGCAGCTGGCGTGATGCTCCCAAGGAACACATAATTGTCGGGCTCAAGGAACTTCCGGAAGAGACCTGTGAGTTACTTTAGTTATATGTCCTTCTGCTTTCGTGCGTACTTCGGAGACATGGAAGTTAAACTTTGATAATTATACAGTCCCCCTTAAGCACGTCCACGTCCAATTCGCCCACTGCTACAAGGGTCAAGGCGGCTGGGAGACTGTCCTGGCCCGGTTCCCTCGCGGCGGCGGCACCCTTCTCGACCTCGAATTCCTACAGGATCCCGCAACAGGGCGTCGAGTCGCAGCATTCGGTTACCAGGCTGGCTTCAGCGGTAGTGCACTGGCGATCAAGAACTGGGCCTGGCAACTGACGCACCCGGGCGAGCCCCTGCCGGGCGTCGAGAGCTACCCGAACGAGGAGGCGCTGGTTACGGACATCAAGAAGGACCTCGAGGCCGGCCAAGCCAAGGCCGGGCGACAGCCCCGCGTCATCGTCATCGGTGCTCTAGGCCGATGCGGTCGCGGCGCTGTTGATCTGTGCCTCAAGGCGGGTCTGCCCACAGAGCAGATCCTCAAGTGGGATATGGCGGAGACGGCTAAGGGCGGTCCCTTCAAGGAGATTGCCGAGAGCGATATCTTTGTCAATTGCATTTACTTGTCATCTAAGATTCCCCATTTCGTCAACCTAGATTCTCTTAAGGAGCCCGGACGTAATTTGAGCGTCGTATGCGATGTCTCCGCTGACACGACCAACCCCTTTAACCCTGGTGAGTTACCTCTTCTGGTTTATTTTTCTTGCTTCCGCGGAGAACCAGTACTAATATTTTTGCCAGTCCCGATCTATACCGTCGCGACAACATTCAGCAACCCCACAGTACCCGTAGAAGGTCTAGAGAACCCGCCCCTGAGCGTCATCAGCATCGACCATCTGCCAAGTCTTCTCCCCAGGGAGTCTTCAGAGTCTTTCAGCAACGACTTACTACCCTACTTGCTGAAGCTCAACGACTGGCAAAACAACCCGGTGTGGGCCGGCGCTTACAAGCTGTTCCAGGAGAAGGTGGCTACGTTGCCTAAGGAGGCGTTGAATTAGGGTTATAAAAAGTCATGAGCTGGGATAAGAGACATGACTGCTGGGAAGAAAAGGTCGGCGTTACTGGATACCATGTGTAGACAAAAAGCACATTAGAAAAGACTCAATGATGATTTCGCAAGATCCGTGGGTTGCATGACTAAAATGAGGAATCGCATAGTCATGTATCATGTTATGTCGTGCGTGGTGTGGTAAATTTGATTCAACTCTATCGTACCAGTAAATTCGTGAACTGTCGTCATAATACTCGTGGAATTATTGACATGATTATGTCTCAGATCAACATCCCCTATGACTCCCTTTTCGTGATATACACACGACGTGGAGAAGTGCATCAGAACCCGAATCCCAAACTTTGTACAATAATTTGCCGCCGGTAAACGCCCAAATATGCATACCACATACCACAGCACATGTTATTCCTCCAGTCACCCCTACACATGCACCTCCTCGTCACCGTTTCCCATCTCCCTCTCCCTCATCTCCCCTCCTCCTAGCAAACCCACCAACCCGTTCCGCCCGCCCCAGCTTCTCCAGCTCGCGCTTGACCTCCTCGGGGTCGCGGGCCGGCAGGCCCCACCACTCGCGGTGGAAGGCCTCCTGGTCGAGCTTGCGGCGCTCCTTGAGCTCGCGCTCGCGGGCCCGCTGCTGCCGCTGCGCGAACCACTGCTCGCGCGCGCGGTCGTGCTCTTCTGGAGTCGCGTGCGCCAGCATGCACCTGTTCATGCGCCGCGACGCCTCGCGGCACGCGAACGGGATCGTGATCGTGCGGTTGCGGGCGCAGTCTGCGAAGGCTGTTTTCGTTTCGGGGTCAGCTTTTTTAGCTCTTGCTCTGTCTGCAACTTGATCCCTTTTGCTGGGGGGAGGGGAAGAGGGGGTTGGTGGTTGTGTGAAGAGAGAAGCGTCTTCCGTAGAGGAAGGACGGCGGTGGGGTTATGTGTATGTGTAGAGGGCGAGGAGTATTGAATAGAGAAGAGAAGAGGTGACAAACCTTTGATCTCGTCTGAGCACATTTCCCTCACTCGCGCATTGAATACTTCCCGGACCTGTGCCTCCTGACTTGCCGACAGCGGTAACGGGTTCCGCGAAGGCATCGGTAAGCCCCCACCATCTCTCGTAGCACTGCTGCTGCCGCCGGGGGCTATCGGAGGTTGTTGAGCTGCCATTGCGGCCATGGATCGTGGGTTCTCGGCCGTTCGTAACACGGAAGAATCGGAGGATGTGACGAATTGTGTATATTATCGTGCCGTTACTATAATGTCTCCATGTGTTAAATGTTGAGTCCCCCTCGCCGCAATTTTGGGTTCGTTAATGGCGATTATACTAGTCGGTGGTCTGATCAGTCGAAGCTCTGCAGCTGTACAATTGCATTTAGCGGTTTTGCCAATATTCACCGCTTGCCAAGTCGGTTACAAGAATTGAGGGACGTAAATTGACATAAGCAGCTTATGTAATTACTAGGTACGGATACGACAGGGAGTATCGACCTCATCACTTACAAACATGCCATTCACGAGATTTAAGATAAAATTTACTTAGAACGCAGATAAGTCATGATATTGCTTTTCTCATGAACGACTTCATTCCTGATGTCGTTCCTAAAACTACTTCTACGTAGTTAGTTTCGGCCTAGGGTCTCTCCTCAGCCGTAGGCGTGCTCGGAGCCAACTCATCTCTCGCTAGATCCAAGCTCTCCTTTTCTTTTCCAGCCTTTTTCTTCATGCTAAACCTGGAGCCCCAGTTCACTGACTTGTCCTTAACATGTCTGCTCGCACTTGTGGGCCCCAAAGATGGACTGCTGTGGAGGCTGTCGTAGCTGCGACCAGGGGCAAGACCAACACCACCGCCACTGCTGTCCTCGGCGTATTCGTCAAAGCTGCTACGCTCAACGGACGCGTTTTTATCCGAGTTAGTAACGCTGCTAGGTCCCTTCTTAGCCCCTAATCCCCTAACGGAAGAGAAGCTAAACTTCGAGGAACTCCCTTTCCGTAGGAGCTTCCTGAACCCACTTTCCTGGTCCTTACTTCCAGGCCCGACCGCTTGATCAGAAGGAGTATTCGAATGAGTGTGTTCTAAGTTGAGTGACTCGCGCGATTCGGTGATGGACGGTGTGCCGATAGAGTAGATATCGCGGGACTTCCGAGGCTCCGATGGGGTCTCATCTATAGATGGTGCCGCAGCCTCAGACACGTCCGATAAGGAAATACGCGGTTTTTTCTCCTTGGCCAACTCCTTATCCTTGGATTTAGCCCTTGTTTTCGTTGGGTCCCCATGCCCCCTATCCATCTCCTTATCAGGCTTAACACGGAATAACCCTGCCATGAAGCTAGGCGCAGCCGGATTAAGGCGTTGACTAAGCGTCTTGGACGAGGGTTTGGTTCCAATAACTCCCACCTGACTGGGCGATGCGTGCAGCAGATCAGAATCATCTAGTATCTCATCGTCGGCATCGGCTAGAGTAGTCTTTAATACAGAGGGCGACCCGTGGAGGGAAGGTCTCCTGGACGGATTCTGCGAGGCCCACGGATTATCATCTCTCGACCAAAGTCGGTTGGGCTGTGGGCCTCGGCCCCAGATGGAGCTGCTGTCGGTTGATGGACGAGGCAACTCGGAAGATGCGATAGAGACAGGTCTCGGACTGCTTGGGTCGCGTTCAGAAAAGATGTTGCTTCCCATACTGTTCGTATTCGTGGCGAGACCTATTCTGCGTGAAGGTACGCCTCGCGCACTCGGGCTACTGATCTCCGGGAGATCTGGGCCAGCAGAATTTCGGTTGAACATGTTCCAACCGGAGGAGAAACTGATTCGCCGCTTGCTCGGACTAGCATCTCCATCTTCGGCTTGACGTGGTAAGGATTGCGTCTGGCCGGCCTTCAAGGTGCCCAAAGCCGGTGGTTCATCAACCGGCTTAGACCCGCGGTGAAGCCACGGCAAGAATGTCCGTCTGTTTGTAGCTTGAATCGGAGGGGCGATGGGAGATGATGCAGGGTTAAGATCACCTCTGAGTCCTTTGAGTGAGCGACGCTCACTATTCTCGCCAGTGTATTGCGAGAAGGGTAAATGGTGAGAAGAGCCGTGTGGGCTAGATAAAATGCTAAGTGATCGAGCCGAAGAGGCTGGTGATTGCGGGTCATTCTCGGGCGCAAATGGCGAACCGAATGTATTATGACGACTTGGTCGAGAGCCGGGACTAGGTGGCTCGTCGTCTATCAGGTCATCAAGCATTCCTGCAGGTAGGAGAGACGTGGCGGTAGGACTAAGCGGTGCAGCACCGCTGAGATGCCGCATACCTTCGTCTTCGAGTAGGTCGTGGAAATCGGGATTGTGTTCTAAATAAGGACCCTGGGCAAATCCAGGCGGGATTGTAGGAGGACGAGATGGTCCAAATGTTGCGGAGGGTCCGTAGGGTCGTTCGATCATCGTGAATGACTGGACGGGCGAGGGGATGGCTACGTTAGAAAGTGAATTACTGTTTCGGCTTCGTCGCTTGAGTTGGTTCTGCGTTCCGAGATCGAAATCAACCCCGGAGGAATTTGCCTGGTTATACATATAGGGAAGACCGGTTTGCTGTGCTGCCGCCAACTGAGTCTGCAACACGGTTTCGTAGTCGTTGACCATCCGTAGCTTCCTGTTGGCAGAAAAGAGCCGTCGCTGTAGATCCCTAGCCCTGATCTCCCACTCTCTTTTAATCTGACGGTCCGTCTCGCGCCATTCTTCGCTTTCCTCTCCACCGGGCAGTTTCTTTCTCTGCTCTTCGGCTTCTTTGAGTTCCTTGCTCTTTTCCTTGAGCTCCATTTCTTCCTGGGCGAGACTCGCCTGCGCTTGAGCAATCTCGGCGCGTAGCTCCTCAGCTCGAGCGTCGGCATCCTTTTGGCAGGAATTCATTTCTTTTTCGAACCCGGCCTGGCGCTTTAGCATCGATGCCATATCTTTTTCCCACTTTGCTATATCATCATGGAGCTTTTGTCTCTCAGCCTGCTTGTCCTTTAATAGCTTTTCTTTCTGGGTCTTTCGTTGCTGTGCGCTTCTCATGGCCCTCTCCGTGGATCCCATTTCCCTCTTCAATTTTTCTGTCATGTCATCTTTCTCTTTTTGTATACGTCTCTTCGTCTTTTTCTCCCCTGCTAACTCATCCACTAATTCCTTATGTTCTTTTTCATCCTTGGCAATTTGCGCCTGTGTTTCGTCAATTTCCTTCCGGATGCTCTCGAATCGCTGACCTAGTTCCTCTAATGATTCATCCGATTCTTTAGTCAGGGCTTCCTTAACAGACTGATCCATGCTTGTCGTAGAAGGCGAGTGTTTCCGCGTTAGTGTATTTCGCCTCGTGTTGGATAAATTGCTTGAGCTGGCCTCACGCGTGACGCCGGAATTGTCGGGAATAGAAGCGGTCTCTACACCGGCAGCTGGGGTTCTCGTTCCTCCATCTTCATCCGCGTGGTCGTTGGGCATGGCGAGTTGCTGCTCCTCGGGGACAAAGTTGGACGGTAGGCGACCGTCTCCAAGCTGAGGGCGACCATCTCTCGCGTATGTCCTAAGCCGTATAACGCGACTACCTGCCTGGAAATTGTTATACCCTACAGCGATGACTCGGATGTTGTAGAAATGATTTGGTTTCAGGCCCGTCACGGTAATAGCTGTCTCTTGGTTGGCGGAATCGCCAACTACAATACGATGACCGTTAACTTCCTATGCGCAATCTCAAAAAATCCAACATCCAATTACTCACCATTAACGCCATTGACCTGGATGGTAAATTTCGCAACGGGTCGAGTAGGTAGTGGACGTGTCCAGTTAAGGGTTGCGGCATCGGCACGGATTCCTGCTAGCGACACATCGGGTGCATCAGGAACCTCGACACCGAGAACACCGATAAGTTCGTTGACAGACTTCCTTAAGGTCTGGACGGCTCTGTGAGCCAACCTATGATGCAGCGATGGCGTCAGACAAACGGAGAGACGCACGGGAAAACCGGGGAGCAGCAGGCTGCAGTTTACAGGACGGAAAGATACATACCACACAACAGCTAGACCGGTAACGAGCATATTGGCATGATAGAGGACTAAAACGTCGAGTCGTAATAATTTGGCGGCGTGGACGGAAAACTGGTAGATTTGGTAAGGTGTGGCCTGGGCCAGCTCGGGTGCTACAGCCCAGTAAAAGAGGACACAGCCGATGACAACTATCAAGTTCAGATGGGTCGTCTTAGGCTCAATAAACCACCAAGCCAACAGAGCGCACACGAACAGAACGGTAGGGACAGACGACGGCCATGGGGTCCATAACATATCGCCGTGATCGGGAGGCCAAACTATCGACAAAGAAAAGGAAAAAAAGTTTTGGCCCAAGAGGGAAGAGGGGGAGGGGAGAAATTAGAGAAATTAGGAACGTGAAGAACAACAAAAAGATTGGAAAATGTTTCCTCCTCTCGTCGAATTGCCTCTGCTGAAAATTGTGGGTACCTTCCGCTGCTTTTCACTGGGCTCTTAGGGAAGAATGGAGGAACGATGGAGCCCTCTGGAGGCTACATACAGCAGTCCAGGCAGTCATGCGGCGCTAAAACGTTCAATTTTTGGCGGTGACTATGGATACCGGTTACTCCAAGGCTGTTGAACTCTAAGCTTCCCATATTAGGTACCCTGTATGTTATTTTGTGCGTAGCCTTGGCGCTATTTCCCTACACGGGTATGATGTTGCGCTATTCTGTGAAAGCAGGAAAGCGCAATTGCTAGCAATTAAGCTTACTGCCGGCATACCTGCCTTCCGCGGTTATTATATAATCAAGGCTACCTACATAATTGTAATATGCTTAAATTAATATAACTGGCAGTTATAGTTGTAAGTGCATGTGACTTAAATCCCTTTCTCACCCCTTTCTCACGATAACCTCCAGTATCGGTGTCCCATACCTAGGTAAATCAACAGGCATACTAGCTATGTCATTATTGCTTACCTAGCATTACTACCTGAATAAGTGGGAAGCCTATTTTCATAGGTAATCAGTACTGTATCAGCTGTACTATGCGGTGGATACTTCATAAACACTCCATTATCCCATACCGTGCATACCGCGCGATCTACACCGCAGAATACCATAGTCAGCATCTCGGTACTGCTGTGCGACAATGCCCACGAAGCTTGACGAGAGCCCTATCCAATTGAAGTAGCTGTCCGGCAGTGGGAGTTGGCGCTAAGGAATGGTGTGCAGCCGTAGCTCCGATACCTCCAACATCGATATATCCGGATTCTAGCCTGCTGTGATACTCTAGTTGTAGATCGTAGAACACGCAAGGTTCTCCTATACGACAGAACTACGGACTATTATATGTCGTGATACACATCGCCTACGGCATAGCTCAGACGTACCGCCTCGATCGATTCAAATAGTACTTGTCAAGGCCCATATGTTTGCATGAAAGACGCAAATCCAAGGATCTTCTCACCATTGCCGTTTATGGCAGTTTCTCGCCCATCTCCCGAACCCGAACCCCACGGGGACCAGTACGATATATCAGCGGGAGCATACGCAGACACGATGGAGGTTGCCATGCAGATGCAATGCTGGTACGCTGTATGTTTTAGGTGGCCTAACGTTGCACCTTAGGATTTCGATTGACATGAGGAGCGAAGGTACTGGGCCATGTTTAGCTGAGCAACACACCGTTTCTATTCCTTTCAAATATAAATGAAACTGAAACAGCAAAACAACGCATATGTAATTACTATATACCTATTTTTTGCAAGATACGTAATATTTATATTGAATTGTTTCTATACAAATGTTCTACTTACGCCCAACTCTGTCTAGGGGGGCAGTTCAGTAGTCCCAAAGATCTTACACTAAAGTCACTCGGATCCTCTCCCGCGTATGAGAGGTCAGATGCATATCATTCATATGCACTTCGATGCATTCACGATCTCGGTCTCCAATAAGAACTAGAAGGCGTATCATCGAGATTTCTTACATGACCTAGCTATTCACCAATTGCGGATACACACATTACGATAATATAAATTCGGGTTGCTTTTCTAGAATTGCCCAACACGGTTGTTAGCTATGCCAAGCATGAATATCGTGTAGAGAGATGAAGAAAATAGCAAATAACTGTACTCGTATCGTGCTTCATTCCTATTAGGTACCTAATACCTAGGTAGGAGTTTAAGTGTTTGAAGTCTACTTTACTAATCACATAACTTCAATTCCAAAGCATTGATGCTTACCTACTAAATAGCTAAGTAAACTTCAACTATCGATATTATTGAAATTATCTAGATTCAATGTTGAAATTGCCTATGTATGCAGTTAAAGGCTATCTAGTATTCTTGCACTGTAATAATAAGACTTAAATACGAAACCATCTCGGCTTGTGGCGGTTAGTGCATCCTTTTTTATGGACTGAGTCAGCTGCAACCTCATCTAGGCCTTTAAACATAGAGCCGGAAGGATCAATCAGATGCTGTGTTTAGGTAACAATTTAGCGTGGATAACTCTATAACCCCTGTGGACTTAGCGCGTGGTCCCGCTGCACGTTCTTCTTGTAGATCCACTTTAGAAGAAGCATGTGTCATTGATCCGCGGCTTTGCTTGGGTGCTCGGCGGCAGCTCCCTAGGTACAGTTACCTACAAAGTACCTAGGCAACCAGGATTATTGATGTATGTACTGAACCTTGGGCGCCCCAAAAGCCAGAAACCAAAAACCAAAAACCAAAGACTTTGGGGTCAAATTTGTTCGCATAAATCATCCTGGTCGCTTTTTTCCCTCAACAAGCTCGCCGTTTATGATACCTCGTCCCACCAGCCCGGTTAATAGAAGATTACGACGTTCGTCATCAATCCTACTTCCACCGCTTTACCCTTCTCTTGACGCTCGTTTTGCTATTTACAACTTTCTATTAAACACAATGTTATAGATTTGGCTGTGGTCTATTCAATCTAGTTTTGGACTTTATCGATTTTGAGATCCTTAACTACGTCACCATCGAGAAAATCGTACCAACGATTCGGAATCCTTCAATCCCACCAAAACTGTCATCCCTCGCTCAACAACGCTCCAAAGTCATCCATCCATCTTACTCCGCTCTCTAATACACCAAGAACCTGTCTGCGACAGATATAATTCGATAAGTTTATACGTTGGAATATACGCAAAACTATTTCGTTCAAGATCCAAGTCTTCCTCAAAGCATTGTAAATTGTCGATCACTTCGATTCGGTTTATTGTTTTGGCATTTACCCCCTTTGCGCGGTCTTAGGACCTCAACATCACCACCCTTTTATTAGGAATCTTCCTCAAGTTCGGTTGAAGATGCAGTACGTTCGGAATATCAGCGACTCGGTTTCCACCGCTTGGAATTCGATCAATCCGGCCACATTGAGCGGAGCAATCGACGTGATCGTGGTCCAGCATGAAGATGGTACCTTGTGCTGTTCTCCTTTTCACGTCCGCTTCGGCAAGTTCTCGTTACTGCGACCCTACGAGAAGAAAGTCGAGTTCAGGGTGAACGGGATCAAGCAGAATTATGCTATGAAACTGGGCGAAGGAGGCGAGGCCTTCTTCGTATTCGAGACGAACGATACTATTCCCCAAAGCCTACAAACCTCGCCCCTTAGCTCCCCAGCTTCTAGCCCCCCGCTTAGGCCCGATAGATCCTACTCATCCAACGATCTACAAGAACCGGAGTTCCTACAGCTAGATGACGATACTAGGAACTCACGATCCATGTCTGTGTCACGACCTAAGCCTACCGTCCTCCCGTCTCAATCACCTCGTCCAGGTTCGTATCCGTAGAAGTCATGATCAAGCCCTTGAGATAATAGCTGACCCTATTATAGGCGTGATTGAACCTATTGCATCATCACCTGAGCTAGGTGGTGGACGGCCGACTTCAAGGGGTTGGCCTAATTCCCCGACTCGACCATCTCACAGTGACGAATCATTGCCAACGACCGCTCAGGTATATACCGACAACGATGACTCGAAGGACGAAGAATATGACCCTGATAGCACAATATCTATGAGTCAAAGATCGCGTAGTCCGCCTCCTTTGGCGCCTCGGGAAGCTATTCAACGAGCCTTGACTCTATCTAAGGAGCTCGAAGCTGTCAACATTCCAAGTCGAGTAACTGAGACGGGCGACCTAATGCTAGACATGACCGGGTATAAGGCGAGTGAAGAGGACGCGATAAAGGCAGAAATCCTAGCTCGCAAGATACTGGCAGAAGAACTTGAGGGCGATTATGACATTGGCGCATTGTTTGGCATGGACGAAGAAGGGAACCTTTGGATATATAGCAGCGAGGATGCGAAGGAAGCTGCAATGAAGAAGACGGTAGCAGCACTTAGACCATCGCCCACGCTTGCGATCGATGCGGCATCGGATCCCGGGTACCAAAGCGACGACTCAACAACGTCAACACAGGAGCCTTCCCACAGAAGAAGCGAATCCGACGTTGGGCACAGTTCGATCCAAACTCCGCCAACAACTCCAGGATCATCCTCAGTTGGAAATCCGAACAGGAATTACGCTAAGACCCTCCGATTGACTAGTGATCAGCTGAAGGCACTTAACTTAAAACCTGGGGAGAACTCGATGAGCTTTACTGTGAATCGTGCGACATGCCAGGCATATATGTACCTCTGGAAGCATGACACGCCTGTTGTCATTTCGGATATTGACGGCACTATCACGAAATCAGACGCGTTGGGTCATGTGTTAAACATGATCGGGAGAGACTGGACACATGCTGGTGTTGCCAAGCTCTACAGCGATATTGTTGAAAATGGGTACAACATTATGTACCTCACAAGTCGCTCAGTCGGGCAGGCCGATACCACGCGCGCGTATCTATATGGTATCACCCAAGACGGCTACCGCTTGCCCAGAGGCCCAACCATTTTGTCACCTGATCGGACTATGGCCGCGTTGAGGCGAGAAATTTATCTGCGTAAACCGCATGTGTTCAAGATGGCAACTCTACGGGATATTAGGAGTTTATACGACCCTGACAATCATTGCTTCTACGCAGGTTTTGGTAACCGCCTTACAGATCAGATTTCGTACCGGACTGTCGACGTCCCTCGAACTCGTATCTTCACCATCAACTCCAATGCCGAGGTCTCGCTGGACTTGCTGAGTCTCAATAAGTTGAAGCTCAGTTACATCAACATGACTGAAGTCGTAAACCACTTCTTTCCTCCTGTCAGCACACTAGTCAAGGGCGGCGGCGTCGACTTCACAGACTTTACGTACTGGAGAGATATGCCGTTAGAATTAAATGAATTCTCGGCTAGCGAGTCCGATGGTGATGTGGACGAGAGCGACGCGGACGAGGAGGAAGATGAAGATGTAGGGCAGATGGGTGACAGTTATCTCTCTAGAGGCGATGATGACGAAGAGTACGAAGATCCCGATGCCGGGGACAGCATCTTGAGTGGCGAGTACGAAGGGGAAGAGAACATGATGATTGAGGAAGATGGGTCCGATGCTGATGATGAAGAAGGTGATGAGGAAGGCGACCTTGAAGACGAAGAGGACGAAGTGGAGAAGGACGCGTCTGTTGCTCCCTACGTCCCCAGTTCTGCGAGTCGGCCTCCAGAGGCTGTCCGCGATGTCGATGCCGAACTTATTACCGGTATGAGAAATCTCGGTATTGATAAGGAAATGAAGGAGACAACGAGAACATAAGGCAATAATAGGATCAGTTCAAAGGACAAGCGGCCTACGTGGTGATACATGATTTAACATCAAAAGTCACAGCCGCCTTCCGGCATCGACTATCTTCAACAGCCAGTGCTTTGGGAAATTGTTGCTAGGGACATAGAGTGGATTGCATAGTGTTATAGGCATGTCACAATAGGTATCATTACTGTACTAGGGCAGATCGGTTGGGTTATGATTCGCATGCTGCTCGCAAGGAGCGCAGCCGGTGTATTTTTAGTCTCCAATGCTGCATAGCCGCATAGCGTTGGCGTTCTCAAGACAGGTAGGAGGCACACCTGTTCATAGATAACTAGATGTACATACAACCATACAACAAAGTTTGTCGTATCTCCCATGCATTCTCGGTCGATTCATCGTTAGTTTTTGTGAGGAACCAAAAAACGTTCCGTACGCATGTTCCTACCTAGGTACATACCGCTAATTCATCCATAGTAATAGTTCATGGGAAGCAACATCTTCCCTTGCCTAGTTGCCTCGCCTAGGCGGGTACGTGGCCCAAAATTTGTCTGTCGACGAATATGCAATATGCATATCGTCGTAGAACGTGCAGAATACTCCATTCGTATTCGTAATACCTCCTCAAAACCGTAACGCCAATTTCCGTGCTCCTCACCAAACCTACTCGGCAAGACCATAAGCGCAACGGATGGTAGTCAACCGATCACTCCATACCCTCCATATCCTCATCCACCATATCATCACCGAGCAGCTCATCCAAGCCCCCACCCTCACCCTCGCCCTCCTGCGTTCCTTCCGCCGCACCACCAGCACCGGAGGCATTACCATCCTTCTTCCCACTCCCATCCTCCTCCATATCCTCGTCCTCACTATCATCACCGCCCTCACCTTCCCAATGGTCCTTGAGCCCCCATCCCTGGCCGCCGAGCACAAAGCGCTCGTTGGGTAAGCGGACGCCCCACTCGTTGGCAAGCACGCGCGGCAAAGCGACCTTGTTGCGCTCGCGCGCGAGCTCCTGCAGCCAGTCCTTGCTCGCGCCGCCGCCGCCCGCGGCCCCCCCGGCGCCCCCGCGGAACTGGAACGACTGCCGCGACGCGATCGCTAGGTTGATCGCGTTGGGGCTGACGACGGCGTCGGTGACGCCCGGAGCGCTGGGCGCCGCGCCAGACGACCCGCTCGGTTTGGAGCCCGCGTGCGATGTGTACGGGTCTGTGGATAGGTGGATCGCGTCGGAGAGGACGGACGACGCGTGGCGGTACGCGAAGTCTAGGAGAAGGAGGGGCACGCGCTGGTCGAATGATGTTACGCCTTGCGAGGTTAGGAGGAGCTCGATTGTGCGCGCGTCTCTAGGGCGCGGGGCGTGTGAGGGCGTGGGTGAAGAGGGGGTTTGTTGTTGTTGTTGGGGCGCGGCGTTGGCGGCGCCGGGTTGTGTGGCGGTGTTGTTTGTTGAGGAGTTGGTTGCTTGGGTATTTTGGACGGTCGTAGTCCCGCTTGTTGCGGTATTTTGAGTTGGCTGGGAGCCGGATTGTGATGGGCCTGCTGCCGAAGACGAGGGAACCCCGTTGGGTTGGGGCTGGGATGTTGAGGCCATCGTCGCGGTGGGCGAAGGATGGCTGAAGGGTGATGCCGGGCCTTGATTGCTTTAGGCAGGTAGGGTTTAGAAAAGACAAGGGTCGGATGATTTAGAGGCCGTAGTATTCGTGCAGCTCCAAAGATATAGTGAACGATGAGTTGAGTGGAATCGCGATCGCGCTGTTGAATACCAAGGCTGTTTCGATGCGAATTTAAGTAGATGAAGACTTGTTTGTGATTTGTGGTTTTCTTTCAGATCGATTGGCTTAGGCAAACTCGCTCAATTTTGTCTCGTCAAGTTTGGTGTATTGTGTAGCTCCGTGAAAATTAGGTGAACGGTGAACGGGGAATATGAGAAGACGTATAATGTAATGGTTGATATGTAGAAGAAAAAGGCGGTTTAAGGTCAATTGTTGTAACTGGCGGGTTGAGGCTCACAAAATAAATGGGTCTATAAATTCTAGGTACCGGTGGGTACCAAGATAAATGGGGACTGCTAAGTCCCCACTTAAGAGGGGCGCTAATTGCGTAGCTTCAGTTTCCATGTTGGAGGGGTAAGGATTTTTATGCCCCGCCATCATTGGACAATCAGCTCATGCACGCCGATTTTAGGAACGTCATTGTGAACAATTTATTTTTTCCTTTCGCGTTCTAATTCAGTCAGAGTCATCTTAGGCTTTATTATTATTATTTACTAGCCGAAACTTCCTAGAGTTGAATATTCTCAATTTTACTGAGCGTACCAAGTTACCTATTCAGAAGTCAACTGTTTCCTCATGGAGACGACATTACCACTTCCATTCCTCATCTCCGTCGATGTCCTATCTAATGCGGCTTCGAACGGAGAGGGGCAAGGTCTAAATCAAGCAGAAGTCTCCTGTTTAGGTTGCGTCTTCTTCGAGGTGACTCAGCAAAATTTCGAAAAGCTCCTTGAGCACCTCGTCCAGGTCAACGCCGCTACCCTTCACACATTCTTCGATGCCACCGGTCTTGAATCAAAGAGTGATGTTGTCACATTATTGGATTACGGCGCCAGGAAGGTTTTTGTCCAGCCGGAGAGGCTGTCGGAATTCACAGAGTTTGGTAGGCGTGTAGCTCCGGTAGTGAGCAAATTGAACCAGGTATCCTTCGGGACAGAGCATGGACTTCTTCTCAAAGATTTCGACCAACGGAACTGCGATGTATCCGGATTCATGGAATCGAGCAAGGCCACTAAGATGCCTCCGCTGTACATCAAACCTATTCAGGACACCATTTATGACCACTTCGTCGACATATGTTCACAGTTATCCGCTATTCCTATTGTCCCATCTACAAAATTGACAGTTCAAGCAGAAGAAGCAGAAAAGAAAATATTCGTGCCTAAATTGTTTTCTACGTCGTGGAAATCTGATCGGCCTGATCATTTGTTGCCCACCGTTGTTTGCGACACGGCAGGTGTAGCGCTCGGTTTGGTATATAGCAGCGAAGAGAGTGTTGCTGCATCCCTGAAGACGAAAACAGGCGTCTATCAAAGTCGTAAGCGAGGACTCTGGTATAAAGGCGCTACCTCTGGAGATACGCAGGAGTTGGTAAGGATATCTCTAGATTGCGACAACGATGCGTTGAAGTTCGTAGTCAAGCAAACAGGAAAATTCTGTCATCTCGATCAGCATGGATGTTTCGGCGATCTAAAGGGAATTTCAAAGCTCGAACAAACACTGGTTTCGAGAAAACGGTCAGCACCCGAAGGATCATATACTAAGAGACTTTTCTCAGATGAGAAGCTCCTGAGAGCAAAGATAATGGAAGAGGCAGAAGAACTTTGCAATGCACAGACTCCGGAAGAAGTTGCTTTCGAGGCGGCAGATCTGATATATTTTGCCCTGACCAAGGCCATTAGTGCCGGGGTAAGTCTAGCCGATATCGAGGAGAACCTCGACGCCAAGAGCTTAAAGGTCAAGAGGAGGCCAGGTAATGCAAAGGGTCAATGGGCACAGAAAGAGGGAATCACGAACGGCACTGCGGAGAAGGCAAAAGAAGCTGCAAAGGACTCAGCAACCCCTTTGACATCCGCCCCTGCCACTACAGCTCACACAGCCCCGGATGTCGAAAGAATTACCTTGAAACGAGTAGACGCCAGCAAAGTCAGCGCAACTGAGGTTTCGGAGGCTCTGAGAAGGCCGTCCCAGAAGTCCGCTGATGCGATCATGAATATCGTTACACCCATCATCAATGATATAAGAAAGGATGGCGATAAAGCCTTGCTTTCTTATACACATAAATTCGAGAAGGCAACTTCTTTAACTTCACCAGTACTCAAGGCCCCATTCCCACAATCGCTAATGAATCTGCCCCCTGAAACTATCAAGGCGATTGATGTCTCTTTCGAGAATATTCGCACGTTCCACGCCGCACAGAAAGAGCAGCCGCTGAAAGTTGAGACGATGCCAGGAGTTGTGTGCAGCAGATTCTCTAGGCCGATCGAGCGAGTTGGTCTGTACGTGCCAGGCGGAACCGCTGTCCTACCCAGTACTGCGCTTATGCTCGGTGTGCCTGCCATGGTGGCTGGATGCCAGAAGATTGTGATTGCGTCTCCGCCGCGCTCTGATGGTAGCATTACACCAGAGATCGTATATGTTGCCCATAAAGTCGGAGCTGAGAGTATTGTTCTAGCTGGTGGCGCACAGGCCGTGGCAGCGATGGCATATGGCACGGAGAGCGTCAGCAAAGTGGACAAGATCCTTGGACCCGGCAACCAATTCGTAACCGCCGCCAAGATGTTTGTGAGCAACGACACCAACGCCGGTGTGAGCATTGATATGCCGGCCGGCCCTTCAGAAGTGCTAGTAGTGGCGGATAAGGACGCCAACCCGGCTTTCGTCGCTTCAGATCTGTTATCTCAAGCCGAGCACGGTGTCGATAGCCAAGTTGTCTGCATTGCTGTTGATTTGGATGAGCAGCAATTACAAGCGATCGAGGATGAGGTACACAAGCAGGCCATGGCCCTGCCACGAGTAGATATCGTCAGGGGAGCTATCAGTCACTCTGTCACATTCTTAGTCAAGGATGTTGAAGAAGCGATGAGAATTAGTAACAAGTATGCTCCCGAGCACCTGATACTACAGCTTAAGGATGCCGAGGAAGTTGTAGATAAGGTCATGAATGCCGGTAGTGTGTTCATTGGGCAATGGACCCCTGAGAGTGTTGGTGACTACTCTGCCGGTGTTAACCACTCTCTACGTGAGTATTTCAAATCTTTCATGTTGTGGACTTATGCTAACCGGACGTAGCTACATATGGCTATGCCAAGCAATACTCTGGAGTAAATCTTGGCTCGTTCCTCAAACACATCACAAGCTCGAACTTGACCGCCGAGGGGCTTCAGAATGTGGGAGGTGCGGTCATGCAGTTGGCTAAAGTGGAGGAGTTAGAAGCACATCGGAGGGCCGTGAGCATCCGTCTGAGCACCTTGACCGGGGAGCAGATATGAATCGGCGGGCTGGATGGCACAGACTGATGTGACTGTCCGAAGAGGGAAGGGAGGCCGATAGTTATTCACTTGTGTTACTCCGGATGTCGTTACTATTCGGCAAGAAGCCGAGACCCATTACCTGATCATTAAATTGCTTCGTTGTCTGATGCTACGGCATGATTTGGGATGTGGTGTATGGATAATAAGTTGATAATCAAAAAGGGGGGGTGTGGTGAGACAGGCATATCGATGCGATAAAAGTAATTGGACAAAAGCTTGTTTGGGCTTGTACCGATTAATGCCTTCAGTGGCGATTGAATTATTGCACGGACACGAATTTAGCACGTGGTAGACCCCAAAAACCAGCGTCACTTGGTAATTGAGAGATAAATATAAATTTGGAGTCAACCGAGTTTGGATTGCATGTGCAAAAGCCGGCTGACCTTTACAATCCCGAAGTTTCTCCATTTACTTTTAATTTCGATGTAATACGCAATAGGAATTAAAACAGAACTTCTGAAAGAACATGGTATGCTTAGTAGGTTAACTCAAAGAGATAGTTCACTATTGGGGTTTAACAAGCCGTAAATCCGAAAGAAGTGAGTGCATTACATAAGTATCCCGGAGCCGGGTGGGGTGGCGTTTGCGTTACACCGAAGACTACCAACTCTCCCGCCCGTCTCCCGTCCGTAGTCCCACTTTAATTGTTAGCTTATTCTGGAAGGAAGCTGCTGTCAGGACTATTCTGGAATTCTTAATTCGGTTTACAGAAGTTTGGCGTTTGACTAAATCTGGCCAGATCATTTCTACTATAACCTACGATCCTGGCACTTCATACTTACACATACCCCCTTCAAGAAGCCAACCAATCCTAAGCATTTTCACCAACAGGCCTAGCCAATCAATCGTCATGGCGTCTACCAAACACGGCAATTCCGACGACAGAGTCCTATATTTCGCATATGGCTCCAACCTCTCCCTGACCCAGATGCAACACCGGTGTCCTAACTCTCAACCTATCGGCCTCGCGCATTTGCCTGGATGGACTTGGCTCATTAATGAGCGGGGTTATGCGAATATCGTCCAAGGCCAAGCCCTTACGTCTGTGTCATCATCCACATTTTCGCCTTCATCTGCGTCTTTAGCATCTTCTTTAACCTCGCATATCCCACGACTAAGCGGGAACGACGAGAAGGATAAAAAGGGTGTCGAGAAGGGAGTTAAAGAAATCTTAGAAAGTGCGGCAGGGAATGAAAGTAAACGAGGCGTCTACGGTATCCTATATCGTCTACATCCGGACGAAGAGAAGATGCTAGATCTCTGTGAGGGTGTCCCGTGGGCATATGAGAAGTGGTTCCTCGATGCAACCTTGCTTCCACATGCTGACTCCCAGGATACAGAGGAGGGGGAGACAGTCCGAGCGCTTGTGTACATTGATTCTAAGAGAGTTTTATCAAGTGCTCCGAGAAAAGAGTACGTAGCCCGAATGAACCGAGGCATTGACGAAGCTACGAAACATTTTGGGCTACCAAAGACATATGTCGATGCTGTTATGAGACCCTTCATCCCGGAGAGAGCAACGGGATAGATAGGGCAAACTTGTCGATAGACCCACAATAGACTCCCCCTTAACCACGATTATGTTCTAATGTTTAATATGTACATGTATGAGCGCTTATATCCACAGTCTTGCTTTAAGCTAATAACGCCTAGTTGACGATTCAAGCCAAGATAACCCCCTAATGAATTGGCTCTATCCAACATTAAACCATACCAACACGAGTACCTAGTCAGAAAATGCCGTATCAACTTTATACACACGCACCTATGCACAGACAATATCCCAGAAACAAAAGAAAATTCGACCCATCAAATTTGACACCCGTACCCAGCTGACTAACATATGAAACCATCCCTTAAATTTGAAGCCCACAAGTTTCTACACGTCGCGGTTGTAGGTAGCCTAAAGAGTATAGAAGAAGTCTAAATTGAGAACCAATTAGCATAGAAACTCGACTATTGCTGTGAGATATTAAGGTGTAACATACCTGGGTGGTGGTCACCAATTTCCTCTATGCTCTTCTCTCTCATAATGGCGGCCTCGTCAGAGAATTGGTTCGCCTTCTTCTTCTTGTTCAAGTAGCCGAGATAACACCGAAGTCCTATTGATGAAAGGAGCATCAGAATAGACATTCCAAGGGCTGCAGCGTTCCCTTTGCTATCTGTGAGAGGATAGGTGGTGAGTAAAGATCTCTTAGATGTGGGTGGGAGGTTACTCACAGTAGGGTGGGTCTTGGTAGGCCTGGGTTCCTGAAATAGCGAATATATGCGGGAATATGTTGAAGAATGCCAACATGGAGCCTCTGTTCTTACGTTAGCCACTGCGTGAATATCCGAAAATTTCATGAAGGAGCCCACCTTCGCGTGTAGCCGACGAAAGACATAGCACCCCACGATAGTTGTAACACAGTGCTCGGGTACATGGAAAACGCGACGAGACACGTAGCTGCGAATCGGACATTGCGGTTCGTGACCCAGATCAAGGCGGCGTAGCCTATCACTGCGCCTACCGTAGTTGAGGCTAGGACGATGCCTCGGGCGTTGGTGATATCTGCAATCCTGCTGAAGAAGATAATTCCGACGCAGCCACACACGTAGACGATGACGGTGAAAAGCTGCGCGCTCACATCGCTGTATCCAAAGCCCTAGATAATCCATTAATATTACAAGAGCTCTTGCTTATGGAATTCCAAGATGATGGGGCCTTGGCTCGGGTGTGCACGTACTGAAATGATATCCGGCAGAAAATTGGATAGGGACCCCTGACAGAAGGAACTTGCACAACCGACTAGCATGAAGAGCCAGAAGTGAACGTCCAGCATGATCTTCCAGATATGGCTAATCTTGATTGTCTGCTCTGACTCGGCAGTGTTATGAGCTCGTGCGCTCCTCTGGACGATATGTTGCTTCTCTTCCTCGGTGAAGCCCCAACGAACCCCCTGTGGGCTGCTAGGTAGGAAGAACAAGACGATGAAAGAGAAGCCGATAGGTACGACACCCTCGATGAGAAATATCCACCGCCATGCTCTCCACCCGTTTGCGCCATCTAGATCCTTCACAATGGCATAGGCGATAAGACCGTTAAATGCACCTGCGATGGTAGACATAGACGAAAGAACGGCTCCACGGGTCGCGTATTCCGAGTACTGGTACCAAAATGAAAGATCTATAAAACATCGTTAGAAGTTTATGAGATATGAGGGCCTGTTCATGTGTTGTGTGAACATACAGAAGATGCCGCCCTGAACGAATGACTCCGCCGCTCCGATGAAAAACCGTATCACGAGTAATTGGGCGCCGTTCTTAGCTATAACGGTTAAGGCAGTCAAGACTCCCCACTGTTAAAGGGCAAGATGAAAAACTCTTCGTCAGCCCAAAGTCCGGATCAGGGGGGTTTGAACTGAGGTTAGTGTCGGTCTTACCACTATCATAGCTCCGGCAAACTGCCTATTCGGGTGAATCTTTTTGATCAAGAGAGTCCCCGGGAGCTGGAAAATAATCGTCGCCACCAGAAATATCGTCGCCGCATTCGAGTAGTCTCCGGGGCTGAGATTCATTTCTTCGGTGAGGCCGGCAATCTTAGCATTACCGAGATCGGATTTACCCTGTTCGGTGGTGAGCATACATCTGCTATAATAGGGGTATATCTGAGCAACATCTAGAGACGTAGGAGGCTTACCATCGTAGCGAAGAAGTAGACGCTGGACAAGAGTGGTAGGATGAATAAGTCGAGCTTCCATTTTACTCTGCGCGCAAGCTTCGGATCAACAACTTCTCGTACCTCATCCTCCTTGGTAAAACTCTCTTCGGAACTGGGACTACTCGTCGGCAACAATACTGAGGGTTCCCGGAATTCGACCGGGTCGACCTCGATTCTGTCTGAACTCTTCGAAGCCATTGTTGTCGATATTGTTCAAGTGTAGGTAGATGTTGAATATGATGATAATACTCCAGATAAACTAAGATACGGGTTCCTGCATCTAGATTATCTTATATCATATCAACAGCCTAAATTTGCTTCGTCGAGCGTAAGTCGCGTTTCGAAACCCACTTTGCTCTGGGCATAGCAGGGGTGCTGTTCTAAGTATGTAGAGGCTTAGACATCTAGATATGGAGAAAACCAACAGCAGCTATGTTACGTAGACTCTTCCTATGGGAGGGGACCATGTTCACATAAGCATATCGCAAATTAGCAACTATCAATGTCTATCACTTACCCTATTCTGCCATCATCAACTTCACTCCTGCCAGTATCGGTTCACATGTCTCAGGGGCAATCGGTGACGAGCCCCTCAGACGCCATGACGCGAAGAAGCGCATCTGCGGGCAGCAGCCACATGGTATTCGCTACTGGCGGCAGCGTCGGATCCGCATCATCGTGCGTCTGAGAAGACACGACGCCAGACGGGGAAGCCAAGCGGTATTGACCCGGCCGCGAGTTTGGGACTCAGGCCTGCTCTCGCGATTGGGCGAATGGGGGGCGCATTGGCCGAAGCGAAATTCGCTCTGAACTGCCGGCTCGGCCGCAGGATCTGCAGGAGCCCGAGCGATTTTCGCTCGACCGGGGTGGCTCTCTCTCACACCTCGTACCATCCGTACACACTCCCAGACTGCCAGATACACACATCAAATGCGTCGGAAACGGAGCGCATGCCAATTCGCCGCCCGCCTATACAAGATTGCAGCATTGTGCAACGCCATTAAACACGAACGATGGCTACTCACGCATGTAAATCTATTTCCCGATTTGTGCCTTGGCGTCAACTGCCGTTACGACGAAAATTATTAAGACCAAAGACACATACATAAGGTACCTACGTGCTATATACTATTAGGCAGACAGGATGGATAATAGGCCACTATCAGTCGCGGACGTTCCCCCACGGTTCCTCAATGCCACGCTACTCGTCGGCCACATCCCTCACAGGGCCCTCGCCTCCGACCCACGCGTGTCTTATGCGCTATACGTGCCGCCGCAGCGCTACTACGACAGCCACAACGGGGCAGGGGGGCCAGCACCCACAATCCCGGCGCCAGCCGCCAAGCTCCCTCTGCTAGTCTCAGTGCACGGCACCAGGCGCCACATGCACGACGTCTACGAGCTAGCCCCGTTCGCCGACGCCGTGGGGTGCGCGATCCTCACGCCGCTATTCCCGACGGGGCTCGACGGCCCCAACGACATCGATTCCTATAAATTGCTCCGCTCGAAGACGCTGCGGTCGGACCTCGCGCTGCTGTCGATGCTCGACGAGGTCGCGGCGCGCTGGCCGGACGTCGACACGGACCGCATCTTCCTCATGGCGTTTAGCGGCGGCGGCCAGTTCGCGCACCGCTTTCTTTACCTGCACCCCGAGCGCCTGGCGGCCGTCAGCGTCGGCGCGCCGGGCCACGCGACGGTGCTGGATGAGCGGGAGGATTGGCCCGTGGGGATTAGGGATGTCGAGGGCCTTTTTGGGAAGAGTGTTGATAAGGCTCTTATTAGAAAGGTGCCTATCCACCTTGTCGTCGGCAGTGCAGACGTCAAGATCCACGGCGGTAAGGAGTTTTGGGCTTGGATTAGGGAGTTTCAGGCTCGGCGTGGCGCTGCAGGTGCAGATATTGGCGATGCGTCGGCGCTTCTGCCCGTTGACCGAGGCAGATTTGAGACCCTGCATAACCTGCGCGACGCGTGGAAGCAGGATGGTATTGAGGCCCAACTAGATGTTGTCGAGGGGGTGTCCCACGACGCTAGAGGCGTTCGCGATCACGTATTGGCATTCCTGAAGCCAAGGATACAGAATCATTCTAGCGATTGTGTACTATGATTACTAGAATCGGCACACTTTGGCAACGTCTTCTTATCATTAAGAACACTTGCCTCGGGTTTTCAATATCGTTCCAAGTCAGTTGTGTAGGACTAGACCATACTTCGAATTATGAATGAAAGCTTATCAATCAGCGTATACCAGCCTGCATGATTTTCGACTTTTGTAATTAAAACATCGCAGTTATTGTATGTAGCCATTTGGATGATGGCGGGTGGCAGCGTAAAGTGAGTGGTCACAGAGGCAGGCTGGCTCTGCCTGCTGGCTGTAATACCGTATGTACACAACGCGCCTCGTAAGATGTGATACGGTTGATGGCTATTGGATTAACCAAGACGAAATACGCCTAGCCCCTGGTCACAAGGTAATTCCTCTATGATGATAAAGAGTGAGTAACTAGGTATGTATGGTTAACGATGTAGGTAGCGTACCTATTGCCCGTAAGAAATCAATGTTACCACAAAAAAGCCTTGCAGCCTTAGTAGGCGATCTGTAAAGAGAATGGCTAGGCAGAGTTATGAAATGATACCTACCTACACAGCCCCTAGAGAAATGTGTTACACCACATGACAAATGCCTGATGCCTTGCCTCATGAGTGGCTGAGCGGCTTGTTTCTTCTCTTATTTAATAAGTCATGTCAGTGCTCAAACTCACAAGAAATATCAATGATTAGGGTGCCTCTGCCATACCATCACTAAGTACCCTTACAATATTCTATCCAATCATCAAACCAACTCGAAATAACACCATGGTGTTTGAGTTACAATGGCAGACCCATTATCTATCTCAGCCAGCATTGCGGGGCTCATCACATTAGCTGATGTAGTCTTCCTACGGTTGATGAAATATGTTAGATCTGCGAAGAATGCCGAGAAAGAGATTGAAGACCTCACTAAGGAGATAAACACGTTAGGGGGCACTTTGCACAGCTTATCAACGCTAGCACAGTGCTTTGGCGATAAGCCTGTGGAAAATAGAACATTTCGGATGTACCATATCGAGGCATGCAACGATATCTTAGCAAGCATTCACAAGAAGTTGAAGAAGTTCGACAGCGACTCTTTGACGAAAAAAGCCAGATGGCCATTTACATCGACACGAGTACATGAATTCCTCGATGAATTATCGAGGCACAAACAGAGTATCAATCTTGCTCTGGCCGCCAATTCAATGGACCTCCTTCTACGTTCCCTAGCCCGGGAAGAAGATCTCCAGAAGACAGCATCGGAGCTCCAAGCCAGTGTCGAGAAAACCAAAGAAATAGTGAGTCGTATCCATCGTAACGAGGAACATGGAAAAATCGAAAGCTTTTTCTTGAGACACAATCCTCAACAGAATTATGAAATGAGTCTCAAACTACGACAACCGAGAACAGGGCTGTGGTTGCTACGTCTGCCGAATTTCCAAACTTGGCTTTCAACTCCAGACGAGAAGATTTGGCTAAGCGGAATACCCGGGGCAGGAAAGACGGTTCTGGCAGGTACAATCATCGAGGCCTCTCTAGCAAAATGCAATGATAGCATGGCTGGCGCTTTCTTCTTCTGCGACTACAAGGCCGAGAAAACCCATTCGCCAGCTAATATTCTTGGTTCATTAGCTTATCAAATAGCTATCCAAAAGAAAGAGGCATACCAAACATTGGAGCAATACTATCGCGATCTCCATCCATCAAATAGCCTATCCCGTGATTATACGATAGGTGGGCTTGAGAGAGCTCTAAGGGATATGATCAAATTATTTGATCGGGTATTCATTACTGTGGATGGGATCGATGAATGCGGACAAAGCGTTGAGGAAGTCCTCGACATACTCTGTGCTATATCTAAAGATTCAGATAACATATCGATGGCATTACTCAGTCGCGACGAACATAATATCAGGGACAGGCTTGAAAATGATTTTGTATGCGAAAAAGTTGCTGCACATACAGAGGATATCACAGAGTATGTGACAGCACAGATTGAGAAGCGCATGCGAATAAGAAAGCTTCGTATTGATGACCTCGAGCTTAAGGGGGAGATCATGCAAGGGTTGATAGATGGTGCTGCGGGCATGTGAGTATAGTTGGATTCTTATCATAATAGTTCTTGGGCTAATTATATTTCCAAGGTTTCGATGGGTTGCTTGCCAGCTAGATCATCTCGAACAATGCGATTCTGATCAAGAATGTCGAGAAGCCTTGAAAAAGCTACCTCCTAATCTTAACGAAACATATCTACGAATTCTGGACCGGATATCGACGAACAAGGCGCGATGTGCCCAATTGATTTTACACTTCATTGCCTTCGCGGACCCAGGCCTTACCATTCAACAGCTGAGGGAGGTGGTGTCAGTTCCCGAAGCAGGGGGCTTTCTAAAATCCAGTGGTGTTATACACGAAAGTTCAATCCAACGGCTATGTAGTAGCTTGGTTCGGAAATCGAATGATAAAAGGCGGTTTGAGTTTGCACATTTCTCTGTCAAGGAATTTCTTGAGAACGAGGCGATCCTCCAAGGCAAATTCTCGCAGTTTCTGATATCGAAGTCGCGGTGCAACAGACTGATGACAATCCAATGCTTGAAATACATGCAACTCGAAAATTTCAACCATATACCAGCAGCCACAATGGATGAATTTTCATATATGCAGAAAAGGAACAGAAACAACCCGTTTTATGCATATGCAGCAAAACAGTGGCTTTTGTATGCAATTAACGAATGGGTCGATGAGGAGATAATCCACTTAGCGAAGAAACTATTCAGTCGCGGAAAGACGGCGTTCTTCAGTTCCTGGATCGTCGAGATCATGATTCACAACTCCAATGTCAGTGAAGAAAAGACTATGGAATCTATAACCGAAGTTAATTATCGATGCTTCACACCATTTCATGTGGCATGCGCAATGTCGCTTCCAATCATTTGCTCTCATCTACTCGATGAAGGCGTAGATATCGACCAAGAGAGTCCTATTGGAACACCATTGCAATGCGCTGCTGGATCTCTAGTGTCAGATAAGGCATTCGTATATTATATATTTGGAGAATACATACGAAGGGTGGCCCCTACGTCGGCATCACAAACCATAAATTCTCTACTGAAGGCCGGAGTGAACCGGTTTGGCATCGCCTCCAGCTTTGGCAAAAACAAACGTCCACTTGAAATTGCACTGGAAGCGTCACAATTCAACATTAACTTCTCAGTAATCACACTTCTCCTTTTAGAGAGATTTACCTTATATGAAATTGACATTAAGACACTTGAAAGTGTCTTGAGCAAGTGCCATTTTTCGGAAGACTTTGACACTGGAACCCTCGAAATCACTGTCAAGCAATTCGTCATGACTTTGAATTCCATGATAGAATTTTCGCCTCTTCATCGAAAACTCTGCTCAGTAGTATGGGACTATGCTGTTGATCAAGAAATGAGTTTCATATCTGATCTATACCTAGTCGACATAAGCATTTCTCTTTCGCCAGACATGCAAAAACAACACTTGATCCAAGCTGTTAGAGATGGAGACGTGGCAATGTTCGAAAGAACCCAGAAGGATTCTGGCCTCAATGCATCTGAAATTTTAGATGAGGATGGTGATCCATTGATATACTCTGCAATGTATTATCACAGATCTCTCAAGAATTGTCCGATGATTGAAACACTTCTCAAGGTTGGATGCAGTTTCTTCCAATCTGGCAGAGACGGGCTTCTGCCCATACATAAATGGCTTCATGTTGACACAGAGCCTGATGAAGAACTTTTTATCCAGTCTCTGGTAAAGGTTTTTATTGACCAAGGAGTTACGGTTTGTTCCCAAGACAATTTTGGGAGGAACATCTTACACCTCAGTTGTGACAAACCCCATCGCCTTTCAGCTTTTCTCAACTATGAAAATGAAGCAAACGTCGCTTGTGCACTACGCATGGTAAGCCAAGATGGTTATACTCCTCTCATTGAAGCAATGATGAGGGGTTTTACGAGATCGGCATCTTTGCTTTTTATTCAATGCAAAGGCGACCAAAAAGCATGGCAAAGCCCAATCCCAATTCTCCTACTAGCTGTTAGAGAAAACAATGAGGATATATTCAGAAATATCTTTGACTCGGGAACTAGTTCCACTGAGTTTGCAAGCAACAGCTTAACTCCCCTTCATCATGTTGGAGCTAAGACATCTCTTGGCTTCATCGAATATCTCAAATCTATATATCCCAACGCATGCAACGTACGTATCAAGGGTAAAATTCCGTTAAACGTCTACCTTGAGCAAGTTTTTAATCAACATGATCGGGCGCAATGTTTAAGCATAGAGGTAATCTCGGCACTCTACCCTATGAATTCACCAGAAAACGAGAGTATTGTATGGGAATGTTTCACAAAAGACGTTATTCATCGTGCTATGTCTCACCAGATTAATGAGGAGAATCTGTACACAACAGTGATAACAGAACTCAAACGACTGGGATGTCTAACCTCATATGAAGCTATTTCTCAGAGGTCGGCACTGTCTATACTACTAGAGAGCAGTGATGATGATTTTCAAGACATGTATGATATATGGCCGATTACAAACGAGATCGCCTGTGATATCATAAATCACACAAGTCGGTGGCCAGAAATTCAAGCATCGCCCTTGATAATACGACTATTCAAAGCGGCTACTAAAAGCAACGATCACGAGCTAGTGTCACTATTATGTCAAAAAGGCGTGAGCGTCCACCAGCGAGTAAAGGATCGTTCAGCATTAGAAGTTGCGTGTCAGCAATGTGTTCGAGACGAAACTTTCCAACTTCTCCTAGATCATGCAGACAAGAAACGACTAGATGAAACTAACCCAGTGAACAACGGGCTCGGGCTCATACATTGCCTCGCTATCCCAAGTGGAACTCGCAAGCTTACCGAGCTCCTACAGCGAGGTGTGAATCCAAACCTTTGCACAGAGACTGCTCCGAAATTATCCGCTCTCTCATATCACCTAGGTAGAGACCTAATTGGATCCTCCATGATCCTGTTAAAGAATGGCGCAGATCCGACACATCCAACCACTGAGGGCCAGGTCGATGCATGTCTAATTGCTGCCTTGAAAGGTGCTACCGATTTCTTAGCAGCTATTCACCAAACAGTCACTTCGGAATGGAGTCCTAATTGGCAAAAACGTTCTAATATCAATGCATTCCTGCAAGGAAGAGTGTTGGTCATAAGCGGCTGTAATGCCCTTCACCTGGCGGCAGCTTCGGGACAGGTTGATTGTTTGTCTTTCTACGTAGATCGAGGTATTTTCTCTGATGTCAATATGACTACTGACTCCAAGTATACACCTTTACATCTTGCGGCTTTAGAAGGACGTACCGACACCATCAAATTTCTCAACAGACAAGGAGCTAACATCAATGCTCGAACATCAACGGACGACCTACCATTGCATTTTGCTGTAATGAATAAACATCTAAACGCCACTAAAGTTTTAATCAGCCTCGGGAGTGACAACACAATGAATAAGTTGGGAATGAGCCCATATATGCAGGCTTGTCAACTCGATGAACAATCTTTTGTTGAATGTTTTCATGGAAGCGGGCAAGAACACATCCCTCATTGTAGTAACCTTACCGGCAAAGATACCATGGACGTCTCCTCCAAGCAAAAATTAGGCCTCGCCGTCGCATTAGAAGACGCTATAATGATTGGGAACCCACGACTTTGCGACGTTTTACTCAGGAAGAGTTGTCAGCTAGATGTCGATGTCCCTAGCTGCAGTGGGTGTTCGCCTTTGCTTGTTGCTATTCGGCACAGACAGATAGACATCATTGAGCAATTGCTGGCACGCAGAGCATCAACTCTAAAAAAGGGCTGTCAAAGTCATTTTGGTCTAGGCCCTATACATTGGATATTGAAAGACAAGGGCTTGACCAAAGTCATACCGCTATTTCTTGAAAGGTATTTGAGTGATGGGGGAGACCTGCTCAGTGAAGCTGCCAGTCCTGTGTATACTGCAGTTGAACATGATAACTTAGAGGGACTTCAAATCCTCCTTGAACATCTACAGAAAAATGCACAATACTACACGTAAGTGTTTCCGATCTTAATTTTCACAATTTTTGATTCATAGTACTGATATGGTAACAGGAATAAGGTACTGGGAAGGCACTTGACTACAGCTGTCTCAGGGGCTATAAATCAACGTGCCTACCATCCAATGATGCCATCACCGCTACACATTGCAGCACGTAACGGCTTCTACGAGATTGCAGAATACCTTCTAGAGAATGGTGCCAATCCCAATGCCCGGACAAAGAATCTAAAAACACCCCTACACGAGGCAATCTCATCGAAATCACATAGGATACAGGATATCGCCAAAACTCTCATAAGTCACAATGCCCACATAGATTGTCGCGATGGACTCGGACGGACTCCGTTAATGCATGCCTGCATAAATCAGAATTGGGAACTGGTTAAGCTTCTGCTCTATGCTCATGCAGACCCAAATAAATTAGACTATAATATGGATGGTCTACTTCACCTAGCATGCTCCTCCCCTCGTCGTTCTAAGATTCCTAGGGTTTTCAGAAACCTTCAGATTCTATTGCTTGATCCCCATCATAAAAATAACGATGGGGTTTCGGCTATTCATAAGGCTATGTGTTGTTATCAGGATGTAACGTTGATCCTTAACGGCACCTGTGGAGTTCAAAGGACAAGTCCATTTCCATGGGATGCATTTCGTGCCGTGGAAAATATACCTTGGCTTGAAAGTGCATTCACGATGTTCCGAAGAAGAATCCCTCCCGACACCTTGAGGGCGATTGCAAACACCGAACCCAGTCACGGTTGGAGTCCACTTTGCATGTCTGCATCTGAGGGACGGCTAAAAGTGATGGAAAATCTTCTCGTCCTAGGGGCTAGTATCGAGTTTGAAGGCTGTCCTGATGGCACTGCGCTTTTGGCCGCATGCTATGCGGGACGATTAGAGTCAGTCATCCTCCTCGTACGCCGGGGGGCGGTTCTGTCATACTTTGGTCCGAATGGGTTTCGAACGGCCTTTGATAAGAATAAAACCCCAAAACGCATACTCCAGTGGCTGCTGGTCACTAGGTATACTGACCAGGGGAAGATTAAGGAAGCACCTAACGATAGTTCGTTCGCGGAGCCAGTTATGCTTCGATCCTGGAGCGGTGTCACAAAGGCGGAACTTGTTATCAGTGAAAGTCTTGAGAGGCGTTCAGAGCAGTCGTCCAAAGATTACTGGGCTTTTCTGATGGAAGAAAAAAAGAAGTGGAGAGGCCGAGTTGTTCCAATAGTTGACAGACGTAGAACGGTACGTCCATCGAAACTGATTCCCCTGGAACCAGTTCATATACATCCGGATGGCTACGAGATACCTAAGGCGACAGATTCTTCTAGGTAGTAAAGACCGGTGATAGGCGTTGAAGAGATGGCGTTGAGATTTTGGATTCGTGTTATATGGCGTTTGATATCATTGGGAACGATTTGTCAGCGACCGTCATTATTGTAGGGTTTCTCTTTGAGATATTGGCTTCAATTAATAAAATATCGGATTAGAGGGGTTTCGGGCGTTTTGCGTTGATCTTTCCTGCGTTGATAGAAGTTTGTCCGACGTTAAGAGTCCTTGACATCAATATGACGTTAACCATACAACACTATGCCGACTACATGAATATGTAAAGAGCTACATAACCACTAAACTCTCAATCGAAATACTAAATGTTAGAAATAAATCTAATCGATCAATTGACTTAACCAACTAAATAACCTGATCATAAGAGCCGAACCTTCAAACCTGGGAATCCTGACTCGAGAACCTCAGTCCTAGCACAACCAACCAATCAAAAGCAAGAAAAGGTCACCTATTTCCTAAAATGGCAACTTCCCTCCGTTCTCTCACGGCCACGGCACTACGCCAAGCCCGCACCAGCAAACCCACCACAAGCAAACCACTATCCAAACCCGGCCATCTAACCACCCCACCACCCACCACTTCAACCCGGCCCTTCTCCGCCGCCGCGGCGCTAGCAGCGCCAGCAACACCGTCCCCGACGCCCAAATCAGCGGCCAAGATCCTGCTCGAGGACGCGGACACCGGGTTCGGGTTCGCGCGCCACAACCCGGTACCAGCAAAGCCGCGGTCGCGCGGCGTCACCGAGATCCGCGGGCCGTACTACACCGTCATGGGGCCGCGGTACCTGTCGGACGTGCTGGAGACGATGGGCGCGCACGTGGACGGGGTCAAGTTCGCCGGCGGCTCCTTCAGCCTGTTCCCCGAGGCGCCGCTGCGGCAGCTGATCGACCTCGCGCACGCGGGCGGCGCGTACGTGAGTACGGGGGGCTGGATCGAGCATGTGCTTGCTTCGAGCGGCGGCGATGTGGGAGGCGCTGTGGATAAGTATCTCGCGAGGTGCAAGGACCTTGGCTTCGATGTCGTGGAGCTGAGTACGGGGTTCTTGTCGCTGCCGCCGGATGACTGGGTCCGGCTTGCGGAGCGCGTGCAGGGCGCGGGCTTGAAGCCCAAGCCTGAGTTGGGCATCCAGTTTGGCGCCGGAGGCGACACCGAGGCGGCGGAGTTGGAGAGTATTGGGACGAGCGACCCTGGTAAGGTGATTAATATGGCGAAGCGGTTTGTGGAGGATGCGGGTGTTGAGCGCGTTATGATCGAGAGCGAGGGCATTACGGAGAATGTGAAGGCTTGGCGAACTGATGTTATCCAGTCGATTCTGAAGGAGTTGCCTTTGGAGAAGGTCATGTTTGAGGCGGCTGATCCGTCCGTGTTTAATTGGTGAGTATACCCGTCCACTTATTTGTGGTGCTAGTGGTAAAAGGAGTTAGAGGGCTAACTATGCGAAGGTACATTCGAGAATTTGGTGTGGACGTCAACCTCTTCGTCGATCACTCGCAGATCGTCCAGCTGGCTGGACTCAGAGCTGGTATCTGGGGTAAGAGTGATACCTTCGGCAAGATCACTACTTTCAGGCCCTGAGCCTTGTCAGTTCAAAAGGGTTAGATCGACGATAATGTTGGACATGGCTGCTATGGAGTGGAAAGTTTAATGCGGGAAATCAGTGACGGTTGAGATGTTAGTTTATGAGACTTAAAGTATCAAGTGCATGTAACTTACTTACGGTCCTTACATGCCAGAAATAGTCATGGAATTGCATCTAGTACAGATATCATGCTTGCGGAGTCATCTGGAATTACTCCTGAGCCCCTGAGCCCCTTTTCCTACTAGAGTTGCGGTAACGTTAGTTAAAGATTTCCGGGCATTCAGACTTCTCAAAGTAGATACAAGTGTCATGAATTCCACTAAATATGCGAAAGATATTTAATCATAATATTTAGCCGTGGAAGAGAGTATCACCTGGATGAATATTTACGTACTCATGGATGATTCAAGAAGTCTCCAGATTGCAAAACCTCCAGGTTGTAAGGCAATGAGCTTCAACAGTAAATCGTATCTTGGGTATGGGTATGGAACTTCTAGCTCGCTAGCAATGAGTAAAGATATGCACATGACATGATATAACAGTAAAACCGAGTCCCAACCCCTCAAGATCCCTCCCCCGACCCATTCGGTGCAGGAATATCAGTCATACAAACGCTCTCAAGCGCGTTTATCCACCTTCCCCCAGTAGCAGCGTGGGAGTGCTTCAAATGTTGACGGAAATGATCCGCCCGATAGAACTTCTTCGACGAGTTGCACTCATTGAACTTATGGACTTCCGTTGCGTGATTTAACCTGTCTTCCCAATCCTGCTCGGTGGCTTGCATACCAGCCGTGCCACCTCCGCTGCGAGGGAAGTCCTCCCCGCAGTATCCGCACGTGTCGGCTATGCTTGGCTGATTGATGCTCTCTTGAAATATGTCGGTATATCGTAGTCGTAGGCACGACCAAGCGTGCCGCCGCACGTGGAGGCTGTTTTGGTGGCGCTCGGCTTCGTTCTTTGACTTGAAGCGGTTCCCGCAGAAACTGCATTGGTACTGTTTCTCAGCTTCATGAGCACTGCGAGACCATTAGTATTGGTAGTCTTGAAAAGAGCAGACCGTGGCCATTAAGATAAAGGATCTCTTACCTTAGCTCTTCCATGGTTTCAAACCTCTTTGGTTTCTTAGGGCAGCATTCGCAAATAAACATGCACTGTGGACCACTCTTGGAGGTGTTCCTCGTTGGTCGGCGCTTATTTAGCGTCCTGGGTAGTTCGAGGAAACTCTCCGTGCTGCTCTTATAGTGTAAAGACGGGATGTGAGTCTTAGAAGGGCTTAGATAGTCAAGTTGGTCTCGAGGGTTTGGAGGGCTGGTCCCAAACTTGGCCATCTCGGCCAGGCTGTCACCACTGCCATTCCACCTCGTTGAACTACTGGTGCCGTACGCAAAAGAATAAGCTGGGGACATCGGGGATCCTGGGCTGGCTATTGATATGCCTCGGCTTCGAACGTCTCGACTGTCCAGCATGCTAGACGAACTTCCATTACGTCGGATGAATCCCGTTTCTTGTAACGGGGATCCTGCGCGTCGTTTCGCACCGGACCTAGTCCTCACCGGAACCGAGATTTTGTTTTCGTGAAGCTTTTGGGATTGAGAAAACATCCCGGGGCTAAAAAGACTCCGGCCTTCGAGATTATCGTTTGCGATGCCCATAATAGGTGAAAATGGTAAGTCCGTTCTTGGATTGCCGATCAAGGATGTGTCCATATCGTAATATAGACTCCTCAGAAAGTCGATAGAGCCGCCGATGTCGAATCTCCACAGTTCGCTGAGCGTCTTTTGAGCAAGTCGATAATACTTAATGAGTCGCAGATCCATATTAGGGGGCTCTTCTTCAAGAGACCAAGTGGAAGATAGGGGATCGAATGATGTGGATGTTGCGTCAAAAAGATCTAGTGCAAGTAGAAGGTAGTTTGAGCAAGCATTCTTCATCTCTGGGTGAAGTGGAGTTTCTGATTGAGTTTCGACGAATCTGATGGTTTGCCGAACGTGGGATTGTATCCAGAGGCTGTAGAAAACCGATAACCACCATCTTTTCTCTTGGAGCCGATTTTCTTTTCTGAAGATAACCTTTGACAACTCATCAGTGTAAGATTTGACGTTTGAGCTAAGGTCCTGGAAGGTTTCCACCTGGCATATGCCGGCTGTGCAATCATCATGCAGCTCGGATATTAGATGGCCGCCGTCCTGTAATCGTAACATATCAATGCAGTTTCTCAGGCATTCAATAGCTAACGGTATAGCTTGCGACTGGTTTCAGATTGACGTTAGCGGGGAACATTGAGGATAATTGCGAAGATATTATCGGAACTTGTCACCTACTAGGCCATACTCGGTCTCATAAGTGACAGCGGCCTTTATGATGTCGAGAGTGTTTTCAACGGATTTGATATTCAAGATGTCTTTCGCCGAGCTAACTTCAACGAGTCCCCAAGCTATATGAACGACATTACCTTCAACGTCACGTCTTTGAGACAGTGGCGTGTTGGACGTGACCGACATAGACGAACAGAGGATCTCGAGGACGATTTTCGCGTATGTGTCATTGCCAGAAGCAAAAACGTTGTCAAGGCGGCCCGCGGCGTTTTGAAGACACAGCTTAATCCTATAGAGGCCTGAACTCGATACCCGTTGCAATGCATCGAAAGCACCATCGATGCCGGCCTCATTAGGCGGGCTGGCCTTTGGGCATAGAGACACTCGAAGTGTGTGGTCAAAAAGGGTACCACGTTTACACCCTATATTCTGCCATCGGGAAGTATTTGTACCGGGTCTGGGACACGCCTTGCAGGGCTGATCGGGACCACACTAGCATAGTTTAGCAAGGGATACATTCTATCGTTAGCTCTAATGACCTTACCTTCTTTCGAAGAATCTTGCATCTCCAACAGGCTCCGACCTCTTTTAGCGTGCGGGACAGTCCGACCCAAGGACTTCGCGGTTGTTGAGTTGGAGCCGGCCGCGAACTTGCTTGGTCTTGCTCATCCTCTGAAAGGGTTTGATACTGCGGAGTAGTCAGGGAATACTCCCTGGCTTCTCCCCAAGAGTCGAGCTTTCCTATATGGTAATAAGTAACGCGTTACATCATCGCATAAGGCAATCTGGTGGTAACTAACCAAAGTTGAACTCGCTGGACGTAGTATCGACGTCCATAGCGACGTCACTATTGAACAATGGAAATGTTCCATCCACACAGGGAAGATCATCGTTCTGTCTTCTATCTGCATGGCTCGGCTTCCATTGCGGACACGATGTAGAGCCTTCAGTTGAAATAGGGGGGATGAGTCTCGGGGTTGTCTTTGGTTGCTGTTCGTGTTGACTCAAGCCTTCTGCGTAGCTCTCTTTTCGAAGTTGAATTACGCCGAGAGACGCGTCGTAAGAGTATTGAAGACTGAATTTGGCGGCGAGAGCTCGGATGATAGCTTGCTTTGATGAGTCGTAATTTTCAAGATCGAGATGGTGGACCGATGGGTTATTCACAAAGAGAAATAAGGACCCATATTCGCTCAATACGGTTGGATCATTCATATCTTGAGAATTTGAGTCCAAGATAGGGTACGTCAGCCATGTTGGGTTTAGACTTACCCAAAGGCGCATTGCCATCGGACCGCCTCCACTCAACATTCTTCCCGAGCGTACCACCACAGCTAAGCGTATCTCCGGCTACAGTGTCACTTGTAGTGGAAGGAATGACGGCTTGGTGAGAAGTTAAATTCCTTTCCAATGTTTCGTCACCATCATCCATGAGATCCATCTCGAAGAGAGCCCATGGCGGCTCATTGATTAAGTCGTTAATATGGAAATCATCTAACCCTACGAGATTATTCGCCATATTGGCCGCAGGAACGCAAGGCGGATGAGTCTCAACAGGTTGAAGCGGATAAGAGAAGTTTTGGCGGGCCTCGTCAAAAAGTTACAGGATAGGCCCAGACCAAAGCGATATTAGCAAAATGCGCTCATCGAATTCGAGGGGCCATGTCATATTCCAATAAGCTAAGAAGGTCGAAATGGCGACGAGCGGTCGGCTCATAAGGTAGGTAGGGCTATTATAGGGCTGACAGGGCTGATGGGGCGGACCTGTCAATAGCGGCTTAGCGTCGGTCGACGATGGTGTAGGGTCGTAGTCATCCACCCAATCCGGTATTGGCATTATCCGAATTATGAATCCACCGCGGTCCGTCTATATGAATCGGGGCCGCCCCGTATACAAGTAATGGTCTTGCGGCACATTAGGTGAAGCACGACGCGCGCTTCTCAGACCAGTGACTCGGTCGGTATGCGGCTAGCACGAGGCCCTCACCGTGAATACCGACTTCCCACCTTGCTGAGCTCGGCGGTCTCCAGGTAGTCTTTGGATATGGCAGAATAATAGATAGAGTAGGAAGAATAGATGTAGTATAAAGGAGACTGACTGTCCGGCGGCGGTTAAGCTAAACTTGTCTACTATCAATTCCTTTGATATTAATCATTGCAGGTCAATATTATGGCGTTATATTTGCAAGATTCGGATGATATACGTAGCATTGGAGCATGGGCTCAGGTGGCAGCAACCCCGCAGGAGCTGGACATCGAAAGCGTTGAAAATGTCGAATCAGTCAACGCTAATTCAAGAGTAATCAGCCCATTGAAATCATGGGAGCCAGCTTTCGACATTCATTTTTGGCAAACATCAGATAATGCTTCTATACACAATAGAACCATAGGCCACCTATTCGCTAAAGATGAGATCTTGAGCAGCAATATGGTGCAAATATCGTCTCCCCCAAAGAGCATCAAAGCATAGTCGACGACATTGGCACCGAACTCACATTTCCTTCTGACTTCGGGTTGCAAAGTACTGCTTCACCGCATCATCTACGCCGAGCAAACGCGCATGCGCACAATGCGAAATGCCCGAAAGGGTTCTTCGCTAGCGAGCTCAGCCTCCTATAATCACCAATTAGGGAACGACGATGAACAGGATTCGAGGAAAGTCGGTGTGTACGTCAGTTAAATTGGGATAGAAGTCGGACCAGATGATCAACAAGATAGCGGACATTGTTCATGTGACGCAGGGTCGGCTTAGAGAAAATTAGGGGAAATTACAGGTTGCGCTCCTGCCCCGGGAAAGTAAGGTTTGGAATACGGGACGGGCCGCCAAGATCTTTAAATCGACGTGGATAGATTATATAGTCTCGTCTTAGATGCATATATGTACCGAAGTATGCATGTATTCTTCTAAAAGTCATAGCCCCTCGCCGGTGTCATTCATCTTCAGGGCTTTCAAAACACCTGGGATCCAGCGTCGTTGGCCCCGAGACCTTATAAGAAACACTAAAGAGGAAACGCCAGCTTCCCGGACCGTTCACCCCTACACTGACTGCAGCCACACGACGCCGACGCCAAGCTCAAACGAGGGATTTCATTTCCCATGTCTCAGAGCTTATTATGAACAATGGGATGTTTATTGGCCTGCATGCCCCTCTCCCCAGAACTCGTACACTCCCAAGTCTGATTGACGGCGAAACGTCAGCCCTTCGTCTCTTCGGTCGAAAGTGCGCGTAATCCAAATAGGCCGGGTCCGGCGTGGACTCCGTCCCGCATTTGAACTAAGAAGTGTCACCTGCATCTTCCCATTCGCCGGCTTACTGCTATACTATAGTGCCGCCGCATACCTATTTCCGTTTACCGAGCTAGCTACGAAGAAAGACACGTCCGCTGTGCTACGACGCGGCGGGATGTCTCCCGGGTCAATGGACATTGGAGCATATAGACTTAGCATCAACTAAGTGCTGTCCGTCTCTGAATAGACCTATATTGAGATTCATGCTGAACCAAAAGTATATGGCTTACATTCGCCATAGCTAAACTACGTGATCTCGACATACTGCTTTGAGCCTTCCTCGATAGGATATTCAGATGCGTCGCGGGCGATCCTACCAAGGATATTAGCAGCCAGTGTCAAATAAGATAAGAGGCGTTCAATAAGACTCTGCACGTCATCTTGCCGCTCACAACAGAACTTTTCAATTTGAATAGAAAGTAAATTATATAGTTAGAGAATTGGGGGTGGCCGGAATTTCATGCTGAACGCCTAAGCACTTAATTCTACCAGACGCCTTTGCGACAAATTGATGTTCGAGAAGGGAAAAGGTTACACGGTGGTAGTGATCGTAGAGTTTACCAAAATCATGTAAACAGCCGACAACGACATGAGCAATTTATCCAGAGTGGTATTGCATCTATTTCATACCTATAATTCCACTACATGGTAAGGCAACACGCCTCTTTGACGATCCAAAATATAACGACAAGACCCTTCGAGTTACATTAATGTTGTAGCCAAGACAACATGATTGAAACGTGCATGCTGAGGCTCTGGGTAGGTGCTTAATCATACCATGTTCCCTACAGGCCTTCTCTCGACTTCACGCTAGCTACGCAGTCCTGCCACCTCATTGATTTCATATATATGCCCTCGATGACAGCGGTCAGCACCATACCACTACCAAGGCCAATCCAAACACCGTTCAATTCCAAGGCCGGTGAGCCCAACTCTAACCACAATGCTAATGGAACAGCACCCAAGTAATTGACCACAAACACTACACAAGCAGCGAAGGACTGGCGTCCAAGGCCACGAAGCAAACCGTTAGTACAGCATATGATAGCGTCTATAATCTGAAACGCCGCAACTGTAAGCATAGTCTTAGAGGCAATACCAACGACAGCATCATCTTCTGAGAAGAAAGTCAAAAGTTGGTTCCGTAGAACAAGTATTATCAGTCCATCGACGCTTCCGACAACTGTACAGACAACAGCATACAGGACGGCCGCGCGTTGAGCCGTTGTGACAAGGCCACCTCCGATTAGGTGACCGATGCGTGTACTTATTGCGACGCTCATCGAGAAGGGGATGTGCCAAGATACGATCGAAATTGTCATCACGACTGATTGCGCCGCAAGATGGTTCGTGCTGAGGTAGGAAGTGCTGAAGGTCACCACCTCAAAAGCGGCCCATTCCCCCAAGTTCACAGCAAACCCTGCTAATGAGAGCCGTACCATAGGTCCCCACTTGGAGAGGGCGTCCCGCGAGAACCCGCCCCAGCATTGACGCGACCATTTTCCCATTGGTAGCAGGATGTAGATGAGAAGAAGCACAGGCCGGAGGTTATTAGTGAGCGCGACTCCCAACGCGGCGCCATCGAGACCCATCCCCATCTTGAACACGAAGAACCAGCTGAGAAGAGCATTGATCGGGGTGCATATTGAAATAGCAAACAAGGCAGCTTTGAAGTCCCCCTGGGCTTGGAGGAACCGCTTGCCTGCCTCGAATGAGGCGTATCCGGGTAAACCAATAAGGCTAACCCGCAGGAAAGAGCCTGCCATCACGGCTAGATGGTGTTGTCTGACGAAGAGCGACAGCACCCATGGGGAGCAGATCCAGAAGATGCCAATGGGGATGATGGCTAACGTCATGAGAAGTAGCATCTTCTGGACATGCAATCCGACACCAGGAAGGTTCCCCGAACCATATGCCTGAGCGCACAATGTGTCGAGAGCTGTGGCCATGCCCTCGATAGTGGCGAATCCGACGATGTTCATTGTTGTCATACCTATACTGGCAGCTGCAAGAGCATCGGCGCTAAGATGACCTGCGACGAAGGTCGTGATAACGCTATATGAATACTGAAGAAGATAAGTCGCTATAAGAGGAACAGAGTACTGTAAAAGAAGCCATAGTTCTGCACCCCAGCTACCGCTGGTATCTGATTCTAAGGGCTCGGAATTTGATAAAAGCGGCGTGGTTTCTGTGTGACAGTTATGAGCCACTTCATCATCTTGTATGTTCGAAACCATGATTGCTAAAGGGCCAACCTAGATCTCCAAGCAGACACCATTGAGTTTAGTAAAGACCAAGGTTCGAATGTCGAAAGTCGGTCTTGAAAACTGACTAAAAAATATTATGGTGGAGTTTAGATATGGGATATTTCAATATTATTGGTCGTTACACGGCCATGCACAATCACTAGCTCTTTAAGCACAATGATGCCATTGGCAAATAAATATCTAACACAGTTATGCACATATCAGAGCGTCTATGCTTAAACAAAGTGTTCATCATCATTTTTCTACCTAGGTACGTAATTTATCGACGACGAGTTATGCAGTCACCCTATCTTGCTTTGTATCCCGTGGCTCCCTAGGTATGTACCTAGGCGACCAATAACTGTTCCACCGACGAAGTTTCAAAGACAGCGTACAGAGGAAACGTATTATCCACGGATAATCTATCGCCGCAATAGACACATCTCGTCGAGAATTATGCAGCCTGTGACGGATCCTAGCCTAGGTAGTTTCTCTTGAAAGTCACTTACTAACGCCACTGCGTCAGCGAGTAGCCCACCTGGCAAACTCACCAAGACATTGCAAAAACACAAGCCACCGTTGGATAAGAGGCGTGGTTCTTAGCCGATCTATAATTCCAAATAACAGGAGGAAAGCAAATCTGTCCACTGGAACACCAAGTGGCAAATATCACACCTCGCGCAACATTCAGGCTGTCAGGGTTCGTCCATAGGTGACACAGCTATCGCATGTTGACTATACACATATGTAGAGAGAATACTGTGTAGAAATTTTGACTGACTTCTCATGCAACCTCGAGCGAGAGTGAAGACCGGTCAACACCCTGATCGCTAACTGCTGCTTTCTATCTAGAGACCGGCTTCGACACCTCGTCCTGCGAAGCAGAGTGTTTTTAACTGCCCAGCTTCCTGCAGCCCTTCTACCTTTCATGTTCTGGCGCTGCCGTGATGATCTTGACACTTGTTTATCTTCTTAATGCGAAGATTGATCCAATTATCGCTCCGTGGTCTTGCGACAATGGAACGGGTCCTAGAACTTCTCCCGAGTAGTGAAGGAAGATTGCTATCGAGAAATGTGCCAACTAGAGCTCTTCGAGCGCCTTGGAATGGTACATACCTATTGCTACGGATCTATAAATACCTAATATTCTCGACGCGAAGGGGATATGGGCAGAAGACGAGTCCTCCGCTGGGCAACCCAAACAGCTCCTTCGACTGTATAAAAGTATCAGAAAGTTGCTCTTCGATTTCCCTGTTAAGAAGTTCCAGACGATTTGGTGGATGATCGTTGACAATACTCTGCCGCCTTTATCATCCAAGGAGGCTTGTCGTGGGGTATTTAGGTATGTTAGATGACGAAGAATACGTCGAAGCATTAAAGGAACATAGAGCGGCAAGAACTGAACTGAGGGATGAGAAATGGGCCGACATGCTTAAAGCCGCTGGTTACGGCGACCTAGACTTCAGGGATGTGATCAAATCTCATTTCGCCAAATACTTGGTGCTTTGTAAGACAATGATTGAAAGAAGGGAACGCTGGAAGAGCCGTCCTCTGATAAGGGCCCCGAGACCATGGAGACCGCGACGGAGGTTATATAACGTACCTAAAGGTACGCATAACCTTCTACCATGCTAGGTATCCTCCCTAGATACACACACACACACTGTTACAATGTGTACTGTCTTTGAGGTGTGAAACCGCTGTAGTATGACAGGTCTTATGTCCAACACCGATAAACGTAGCCGATGTAAATCCAAGAAGTCCTCACTAGGTACCAAACTCAAACTCATCAACAAACCAAGAAAAAGCTAAAGAGAGTAGTATAATAGGCAATTCGTTGATACATCCTATGACAGAGGGGCCATTAGCTTCACCAAGCACTATAGCTATTCCAAGCATCCCAACCGGTAACAACTAAATCTCCGAAATATTCTATATGGAACAAAGACCTAACTATGGAACCGCGATCCTTCTAGAAGGTCTGCGAGATTATCTGACATGAAGCAGCCCGGAAGCGCTAGAACCCTAAGCGTACACACATCCCAGCGTATAATCCCAGAGAACGGCCAGCGGGCTGCGACACGCCAAGTCTCACATTCGCCGGAGACACTACATAGTAAGCGCTCTGTGCGCCAAGCTCGCCTCATCGTGGTTGCAAATCGTCTGATGTCACTCGAGATAAAGATGTCATCCATAATCATTTCCGATGAACCTATCGTCTTCATCGTTAATATCGCAGTTACACTTAAGCTCTAGCTACGAGACGGAGACGTTCTTATCCTACGCGGTGAACATCCACTTGTCGAAGCTCTGAAAACATGGCAGACAACATAAGACGGGCAGCTAAAAGGGAATAAATTTAAATTGTCATGCAGTAAATGTAGTGTATAAATCTCCCTCTCCGGAAAATCTTCTTCCCCAGCCTATCTAGTAGAGATCATCCATCCATCCCCAGGACCAAATCCGAAGCTCTCCAGGCCAAGTCGGCTGTGTATTAAGTAAGGGGTCTTTCGGAGCGTCGTATGGCTTTCCACATCTCGCCGCGTCCAAACAAAAGGAGCTGCTCACTGATCTTCCCCATCTGCCATCTCCCAAGACTACGGGATTATTCATAGTAGAATATCCCACCCTTGCGGCGTCATAAAATCTTGAAATATGGCTATATATGCGACAAATGATGAACACATACACCTAGAAATGCTCCTTCCAGAACCGGAAGCGCACTTCCCTAGATGTTGCTACATTGGCTGCCTTATGAATGGAGCGAGCTGAAAGAAATATTAGCAAAATTCAAAGGGAGTAACGTATATTTAGCACTTACCAGCTGCCGTAGGACCGCAGAAGTATACACCGACCGTAGTCTGCATGCTGCCCTCAAGACCGTTAATGTACGTTCGGTCCATGATACCATCCCGCATTGCCTCGAACATTCGCTGGAAGTTGGGTCGGCCGAAGTTTGTACGCGACTTGAGTTCAGTCAGGGGATCGACTTCGGAACCGACACTGTTGAGGACGATGTTTTGGGTGGTGTCCATATCGAGTTTCTGGGTTAGATAGGTGTGAATCTTCAAGAACTCTACACCATTGCTGCCGGGAATACGAGCCGCGTCGTTACTTTGAGACTCGAGGGACGACAGTAGTGTTTGGAACCATTCGAACGAGCCTGTGTCCTTGCATACCCAAATAAACTCAACACGACGCAGACGCCTGGGCGGGTTCGGGCTGTTTCTCAAGTGCCAGATGTTCTTCAAGATAGACGCCCATGGCGTAACACCAATACCGGTACCGATGAGCACTGCGATTTCGTTCTCGAATACATCTTCGGCTGGGGCACCATAGGGTCCATCGATTCGAAGACTAGGCATTTGTTGTCCATTCTGCAGAGCAACTTCATACATTCCCATGGGGTCGACACCTTCGTAAAGCTTGGACTGCGCTCCACCAGCACCGACTGCGTCACCCAACGCCCTAGTAAAATCACCGACTTGTCGAACATGGACCGAAACATACGGATCGTACGGGCAAGACGTGATCGTGAAAGGATGCCATTGGTAACTGGAGACGGAGGGAACTTGGAGGAAAAGCCATTGGCCAGCCTTGTATTTGAAAGAGGGCTTTTCGAACTGGATTTCCACGACATCTGAAAGGTATTAATATCAGGGTAACATCTTAGTGTTGGACTTTTCTTACCGTAAGGGTGGCGGACCACTCGAGTAATCTTAGTGGTACGCTTGGCACGAATTTCACGGTAAAGACGCTCGATCAGGTAAAAGCCTCCCGCGAACAACTCCCATCGCCATCCCTGATAACCAATGCAATGCTCCCAGAAGATTTCACCAGCAAATGGCGAAAACGCATTGGCGGAGTCACGGACGAAGCATCCAACAGCGTGAGTGTAAAGTCCAAGGAAGAACGGGATGAACAGATGATGCGTATACCAGAAGGTCTCGAATGATTGCTGGCGGATGCGGTGGTGCGCGGTAGTATACATCAACAGCATGCAAAGGAGCATGACATGGCCTGTGACACCACCAGCTTGGGTATAGTGAATCTCAATTGCGGTGACGGGTCGAATTTGCGTCTTCTCCACGTTGTAGAAGCTACTAAAGTTAGATTCGGACATTTCCCAGAGACGGACTGAAGGGACTTACTTGACATAGTGAGAAGCAACGTGAATGACAGTAAACATCAGCATAGCGTACGCGACCTGACGATGAAACCAGATGTTCTCATCGAGAGGTAGCCACCTGATCTTCGGCCGTACCCATCGCACTATTGTTCGGCAAACTGGTAGTAAAATCAACGTCCCGTCAATCGCCAAAACCAAACCAGCACCTCGAGAGAACCACACGGAGTACTTCAGTGTATTCAGGGCTGCCAACTTGGGATCGGCATCCTGCTTGTACCTGTATTATAATCAGTTGCCAGAACAATGCCAAGAAAACGACAGGAAAACGTACCATCCGAAGGCGAAGAAGAACCAGTGGATTCCCCAAAACAGGATGTGGAAGATAAGTTTGCTAGCAGTGAGCTGCTTCTTGAATAACTCGAGAAGACCCATGGTGACTATCAATTCTCCTTCTCCAACCAAAAACGTAAAATCAGATTAAAAAGTGTCGACCTGCGACGCGATTCTGCAATTCCAGATGGCGATCGTTGGCGAAGGCGTTCGAAGCGAGTGGACGGGTCGAACGACGATAATATTCCAAAATCTTTTTTCCAATATCGCCTTCTATCCTTATATCCTCTCTTTCCAAGTTGTAATTATTAAAAATGCCTATTATCCAACGTCGAGCGCACCTAGAAATAAACAAAAATCGAACTAAAAGAGCGATCTGAGCCAGCAGGAGACGAAGGAAAGATGGCGGAGTAGAGAAAGTCTCGGGTGAGAGCGTAATTCTTTCTACGTCCTGGTTGCCGCGCGAGGGACCAACAGAAGGAATAAGAAGTTAAGGTTGGGCGGGCGGGGAGTAAGTCATAAAGGATGACAGGATCAGGACGTGGCAATGCGATCAGGCGAGATCCACAGCCCACGGTCCAAAGAGCAGGGCAAGGGTTGTATGGATGTATGAAGATCCGGAGCTTGTTCGATAGACTAGGGACAGCCCTTTGCAGGGGATCAAGGGGCTCTCAATAATTCGGAAGATAGTAGCCCATGAAACCTTAAGTTAATCGACGACGATACTGGACCTTTTCGTTTTAATTCGCGGGACGGGAAGGGTCTAGCAAGTGGGAATATCCAGAGATGACAGACTAGGGTCTATGTCGACGGCTGATTACGAAGAGGTATCGAAGATTCCTCATCAAAGTTTGCGAGGTAGATACACAATGGACCTCTCAATGGACGACCAACGATTAAAGTGGAATAGTTCCAGTTGATCAAACCGAAGCGGAGCGTTTCGCAAGTCGTCGATGAGGTATCAGATATGCGTCCGAAAAAATACTGATTTCGATCAGACGCATGCCAGATACGCAACTGACATTAGCCCACAGTCTGGTATTGTGGGGATGGAGTTGAGACGAGCAGCGTTTAGAAGTGGTGTTCTGTGCTGTTTCGACAGGGGGGAGGGCTTGTCCCTAATTCCGCCTAAAAATGTATGTCCGCGCGCGTACCTTGCTGCGGGAAGCTGAGTACACCTAACGGCGCAGATGAATTGAAAGAAGACGAAAAGATGATGATGATATGAACCATATTGTCGGAGCCGGATGGGACGTTCGGGGGGTTATTAGGTAGAAATCTTTCAATATGCAAAAATAGGCGCCAAAGGTCTGACCTGTGGTGAAAGCCAATTAATTGATTAATTGAGGTCTGGGATAATAATGGAACAGTGCTAGAGGGACGGTTAGCCAGCGCGGGCGGTTGCTGCTCGGCTCGGATTCGTCCATCGAAAAGTCGGAATATTGCATGCGACCAATAAGATGCGAAGGGCTTGTGATACCCTCAACTTTCTCAAGATCCTTGCCCACCGCCAAGCTTGAAGAGACTACAACAGGTTTAGCCTATCCCGTTGTAGAGAACGTGCCTTTTCCTCCCCTCTCTAACCCCCTCTAACCCCTGTTCTGGTAGGTACAAGGGCTGACAAGGGAGAGATCCCGTCAACTAATCTGCACCATGAACGGATATGCATGTACCAAATCACTGCATGGAACATCGACCGGACTTTGTCGATAACAACGCCTACCAATAACGTGATAGGTATTTCTGACCCGCCTTTTTGGGATGCACCCCGTATGTACGTAGGTACAATGTGCGTGCTTGGCACTGCCGGGACCCGAGAAGCCACAGCTTTAGCAGCACATCAGCATGATGCCCACGTTGCTGGCCCTGCTCGTCTTGTCCTTAGATCACCATGCCCCTTCTCTATGTTTGGCAGGACTCAAGAAAAAATCGTACGATCGTAAAAAATCAGGCCACTTCTATATGGTATTCCCAAGAGTCGGATATATAAACTCGAGGTAGCCGTCATGCCATTGCTATGAGATCTCGTCGTATGATCGATCTCACTTCCTATGTCCATCCGTGCCTTGCGGACTGGTTTCCTCGAGCCTTCGAATTTCGCCAAGTGGTGATGAAATGCGGCTCATGAGACTCCTCGGTGCTAGGGTTGGGTTCAATGGCCCAACTCTCACTTTCTCATACCCGTCCCCGATCGTCCAAAGTCGTTATACGAACACCGGAAGCAATATCAGTTCAACCGTACCTAAGTGTCATTCTTCCGATGTCAACTTGAACTTTCTTAACGAAGCCACCCTACGGCGGATCAGTCTTAGACCCTCTTGTGGCTAGCTATCCGGTTGTGTTAAAACGAATCGTTCTTTCGTTACCGTCTCACCAGGGGCTTTCAGGTAAAGATCACAACGAGGTTGATACTGGCCGGAGCTTCAAGAGACGCCACTCATCTCAGATAATCGGTGGAAACGTTGCTTCTCTAAGTGGTGAAGCGATCTTCTCGAGAAACGGAGTTGAGGTCGTTTCGAGAAACTCCATATAGTAGCCTCGCAGTCCTAGCTTATGAAACGACTACCAGAGCCGCAAAACTCTCAAACTAAGTGTGTAACCCTTCAAACGTTAGCGTATGAATCGAAATTTATAAATGATGCATACAATGTGGAGCACCCCTGTCTATCTCACTAGGTGGGTGGTAATGGACCAATGGAACCCTTGCAAGATCTTGGTTCTGCACTATTAAGGTTAAGTCAAGCTTCGGGTCCTAGCCGATTCTGTGCTTGTGTGTCCGGGTTTGTTTCGGATTTGGTTTGACATCGTTAAAGAGCGCACAGTCTGACAGTCATCAAGATTGTCGTCCGAACCATGGCCCCAAATATCTTACTTGATTTCGGATGCTCAAGGGTTGGATTCATCCTCTGAGGACTTTCGAATGTGATCATCTCCTGAGAAATTGTATAGTCATATGGCTTTACGGCCAGCTCGAGTGTTTTCTGCAGATTTCGTAGTATATTGTGACTGGCTAACATGCCATCTCGTCTCATCTTGGGAAGTTAAGTTCTAAAGTCGTGGTAAACCGCATATGGTGGGCACGACATTCCTGGGCATCGAGCTTCTCGTCGATGACATAGATGTTTATTCCCTTAGAAGGCATAGTCTCAGTTATCATCGGCGATGTCGTACTAATAAGTCGATCCTATAGAACGGGAACATATTCTGCCCTCAACAATATCCTCGACCGAACTTACTCGTCTATACGCATACGAGCCGTACGAGGGCTAAGAATAGGAAACATGTGAAAGATGCTATGAGCAATATGTGTTATTGCAATATGGGTCTTATGAAGACGACGCAATAGTTCGCTTTGCTGATGGAATAGGTTCGACGACATGACGATGTTTGAGCATATTGTCCCGGGATGTTGTATATATTACTTGATATTCTGGCTAAGCACTGCGTTGTTGGCCGAGTCTAGTTCATCGAGTACCTCACGATGATATCATCAGCTAAGAGATGATGCTGACAATGTATATGCCGTGACGTCTCTCAAACTTTCGACTCACGTAGCACGCTTGACTGTCTGGCGTATATGAACTGGCAAGCCCATCTAACTAGCCTTCATCTTAACAGCCATTATTATACTGGTTAACTCGATTGTATGGCCGCTGAACACCTATAATTTGAAAATCAGTCGAAAACCTGCAAAGATGGCTCCCAGATATAAGAAGGGACAGATGGTCACGTATAAACCTGTTGGGGGTAAGTAAGGAGTAATGTCTTCATTCGAACGCTAATGTTTGATAAGGCCCTGACTCCAATACACCGGAGAGTATTGGTAGAATTAGCGATGTCCTCACCGAACCAGGAAGGCAAGCGGACAGAAACGTCCAAGCCAGCTCGGATAATCCACGTTACGAGGTGAGTCCTCCTAAGATAATCAGATCGTCGTTATATCAGAGCTGATGACTTGCGAACTAGATCGTGAATGATAATACCGGGAAAACGACGACGATTTATGAAGCCAACATACTCGGTAGGGCGTAGTAAAATGGCGTTTACTAGGTTCCTACATTGTCTTGGGGAAAACATGATAGTTGGTGATTTTTCGATCTGTACCTGTACAGTCGGCAGGGCGTGTTGTCATAAAAAACGATCGTAGAGTATTAACTTAAGATCGTATATCCGATTAATATACTCTTCCTTCAAGCTATGTTCGCAACATGAATCGCGGTGATTGGACGCCAAGGACGTTCCTAACATAGCGCTTGGTATAATGGGCATCTGGAATAAGCGGCTCCCATTGACAGGCTTTTGTTGCACTCGAGGACGCATGATGAAAGGAATTTAGAGGACTCCTTTATTAGTAACTTTATAATGGGCATACATTGTTGATTTGAAGTTGTGTTAGACTCGTAAAGGGTGTATTTTAAAATGTACTGGAGCTGCCCATCAGTGGATACTGGAAGAGGGGAGATTCGAGATAGCTGGGCGAGAAACGTGGAAACTTCATCCTCTCTCAATGCAGACTCAGTCGATACTTCCCAAGCTTGATTTAGGAGGTTCACATAGGGTTATAAGGTTAGTATTGCAAAAACCGAAGAGCTGGAGGTGAAGGAGCTAGTCGGCGTTAAGACTTAATAGAGGCAAGTTCAGGTACGCGTGTTGGCGTCATATGGCATAGTATCCATATGTTTAGTGGGGTCGTTCATTGAAAGTTAAATTGAATTTGGAGCTTGGCACCAGGCCCCAGCCACGTCTGCCACGTTACCCAGCCCCATTGCATTACGTCGCAGGCTACAGATGCCCAGTGACTATTAGCGCTAAATGGCGGGTGCCAAACGGTGCATCGGTGCCTCCTTCAAGGCTGCCGAATATTAGGAAATACAAAGTCGATCTTCGCACATGCATTTCTAACAATTTCTCACCAGCGTTTGCGCAAATTCCAGAGAACTCCTCCTCCCTAGATTGCTATACACTCCGAATCATTATAGAACGTATATAATCGGCTGAAAGAAGATAATCTGCCTGCTATTTCCTCCCTATCCCGGTCTGCGTCTGTCGGTAGATCCTAACCTTGTCCGTCCTATTCATGCGAGCCCAACATGGTGAGATTCTATGCACCGGCCAAACCAACGCCTCCATACTAATCTTTTCGTGTGTGCGATCGTAGGGTATAAGTAGACGACCGAAGGACAAATCTGGCGGGGCATCCCGCGGTGGCGGCGCGGGGGCGCATGATGGAGGTGCTAGACCTAAGAAAGCCACATTCGAAACGAGCAAGAAGAAGGAGATAGGAGTTTCCGACCTGACCCTACTTAGCAAAGTATCAAATGAAGCAATAAACGAAAACCTGAAGAAGCGATTCGAGGGCCGCGAGATCTATACGTATATTGGCCATGTCTTGGTTTCCGTTAACCCCTTTAGGGACCTCGGTATCTACACCGACCAAGTCCTCGAATCCTACAAGGGCAAGAACCGATTAGAGATGCCTCCCCATGTCTTTGCGATCGCCGAGTCGTCGTACTATAACATGAAGGCGTATCATGACAACCAATGTGTCATCATCTCGGGAGAGTCAGGAGCTGGCAAGACCGAGGCCGCCAAGCGGATCATGCAATATATCGCAAACGTATCAGGCGGCGAGAGCGGAGAGATCAAGCAGATCAAAGACATGGTGCTGGCAACCAACCCGCTTCTCGAGTCGTTTGGAAATGCGAAGACGTTGAGGAACAACAACTCGTCTCGTTTTGGGAAGTATTTGCAAATACACTTCAATACCAACGGGGAGCCCGTAGGAGCAGATATCACAAATTATCTACTGGAAAAGACGCGAGTAGTTGGTCAGATCACCAATGAGCGCAATTTCCACATCTTCTACCAGTTCGCCAAGGGGGCCTCTGAACATTATCGGTCCACCTTTGGCATCCAGAAACCAGAAACATATGCCTACCTTAGTCGGTCAAAATGTTTCAATGTTGATGGTATAGACGATCTAGCCGACTTTCGGGATACTCTAGATGCCATGAAGATCATCGGCCTCTCACAAGGTGAGCAGGACGAGGTATTCCGCATGCTAGCCGCCATCTTGTGGACCGGAAACATCCACTTCGTCGAGGGGGACGACGGATATGCTGCCGTGGCGGATCAGTCCGTCGTGGACTTCCTCGCATACTTGCTCGAGGTCCAGCCCGCTGAGCTTATTAAAGGCATCACTATTCGAATCCTAACTCCGAGAAGTGGCGAGGTAATCGAGTCGCCGGCCAACGCAGCCCAGGCAAACGCGACCAAAGATGCGCTTGCCATGGCTATCTATTATAACCTTTTTGATTGGATTGTTGGAAGAATTAACCAATCCCTGCGCGCACGGCAGGCAACGGCTAACAACATCGGAATTTTGGATATTTATGGCTTCGAAATCTTCGAAAAGAACAGCTTCGAGCAACTCTGTATTAATTACGTGAACGAGAAGCTCCAGCAGATTTTCATCCAGCTCACCCTTAAGGCCGAACAAGAAGAATACGCGCGGGAACAAATTCAATGGACGCCCATCAAGTATTTTGATAACAAGGTTGTGTGCGACCTCATCGAACAAATCAGGCCTCCTGGTATATTCTCTGCTTTGAAGGATGCTACCAAGACAGCTCACGCCGACCCCGCTGCTTGCGATCGTACCTTCATGCAGAGTATCAACGGCATGTCGAACGCCCACCTCACTCCCCGCCAAGGAAGTTTCATTATCAAGCACTACGCCGGCGATGTTAGTTACACCGTCGACGGAATCACGGATAAGAATAAAGATCAACTTCTAAAGGGTGTTCAAAATTTGTTCCAGCAGAGTTCGAACCGATTCATCCACACCCTGTTCCCCCACTCGGTGGACCAAGATAACCGCAAGCAACCTCCAACAGCAGGTGATAGGATCCGAACATCTGCGAACGCCCTCGTAGAGACTCTCATGAAGTGCCAGCCATCGTATATCCGAACAATTAAGCCCAACGAGAACAAATCACCTACTGAGTATAACGTACCCAACGTTCTGCATCAGATCAAGTATCTTGGTCTGCAAGAGAACGTCAGGATTCGACGTGCCGGTTTTGCCTACCGTCAATCGTTCGAAAAGTTTGTCGAACGATTCTTCTTACTGTCCCCTGCTACGTCCTATGCAGGCGAATATACCTGGTCAGGGACCGAAGAAGCTGCGGTAAAACAGATCTTGAAAGACACTAGTATTCCCAAAGAAGAATGGCAACTAGGTGTCACAAAAGCTTTTATCAAATCACCGGAAACGTTGTTTGCTCTGGAGACGATGCGAGACCGATACTGGCACAACATGGCTACCCGTATCCAACGAATGTGGAGGGCGTACCTGGCTTACCGTGCCGAATCTGCAACCCGAATTCAAAGATTCTGGCGGAAGAAGAGAACAGGTGCCGAATATCTGCAACTGCGAGACCAAGGCCATAAGGTCCTTGGTGGGAGAAAAGAGCGTAGGCGATTCAGTCTTTTGGGTTCTCGGCGTTTCTTAGGAGATTATCTGGGAATCAACGCATTGAATGGGCCCGGGTCCCAAATACGAAATGCGGTACAATTGTCGAGCAACGAAAAGGCCCTCTTCTCCTGCCGTGGTGAAATCCTAGAAGCCAAGTTTGGTAGATCAAGTAAACCGAGCCCTCGGACAATTATTGTGACTAACAGCAAGTTCTACGTTGTGGCACAAGCATTAGTCAACCACCAAGTCCAGATAATAGTCGAACGCCAAATGCCCCTAGGGGCTATCAAATTCATTGGAACTTCAACAAGTCGCGACGACTGGTTCTCATTAGGAGTTGGGTCGCCACAAGAGCCCGATCCATTACTAAACTGCGTTCTGAAGACAGAACTTTTCACGCAAATGCAACGGGCAATGCCGGGTGGCTTCAACCTCAAGATCGCCGACTCAATAGAATATGCTAAGAAGCCTGGAAAGATGCAAATCGTCAAGGTCCTAAAGGATTCGCAGCAGAGTGTGGATTTCTACAAGAGTGGAGCCATCCATACGCAGCCTGGAGAGTCCCCGTCGTCGGTATCTAAGCCGACACCAAAGGGCAAGCCGGTGCCGCCTCGACCGATTACGCGGGGCAAACTTATCAAGCCCGGTGGACCCGGTGGCAGGCCGTCTCGAATTACGCACGCCCGTCCAAGCACCACCAAGCGTGGCCCAGCCGCTATCCAAACCCCAAGACCAGTCCCAACCCCTACTTCTTCTGTCACTAGCAGTGTCGTGAGTAGTGTCACCAGCAGTAGCATTTCCAGCCACACCCGCAACCAGGGCTCGACATCATCTGTCCGCGCACCCCCTCCGCCACCACCGGCCGCGCCTCCAGCAAAGGGCAAGATAACCGCCAAGGTCCTCTACGACTTCGCCGGACAGCGAGAGAACGAGCTCTCTGTGAAGGCCGGCGACATCATCGAGATCGTCCAGAAGGAGAATAACGGTGAGTACATACTTCATACAAGGCCATAACGAGAAGTCGCTAATCAGAAATCGCAGGCTGGTGGCTAGCAAAGAACCCTAAGGGCCAAGCGTGGGTCCCTGCGGCGTACGTCGAAGAACAAGCCGCGGCCCCTCCGCCCCCGGCACCAGCGCCGGCTCCGAGAGCACCACCACCTCCGCCCAGCCAGAACGGCACGGCGGCGCGTAACAAGCCCACGCCTCCACAGCCCCCGGCCAAACGTCCCACCGCGGGTAGGAAACCGGCGGCGCCCCCGCACCCGCGCGACTCGGGGATGAGCCTCAACGCAAACGGCGGCTCGGATAGCAGCCGCAGCACGACGCCGACGCTTGCAGGATCCCTGGCCGACGCGCTGTTGGCGAGGAAGAACGCTATGCAGAAGAGGGAGGACGATGATGATTGGTAGAGGAGAGAGAGAGAGAGCGGCCTGTCTTAGATAGATACATACCTAGGTACTAACAAACTAGGTATGGAGGCTAACTGTTTCGTTGTTATAGTGTGGTTGTAAAGCGCTTCGAGAGAGAGGAAGTTTTTTGAACATAGGATAGGTATCATCCAGATCGCATCGCGGAAGACGGAGGTTGGTAAGTGGGTGGGAAGGGGGTTAATTAGTAGCGGAACGAGCTTTTCCATTCCAATACGATCCATACAAACACAATTACGAATCCACGAGCCTCTTTAGAATCCGCGTGGCAAAGAATTCGGAACGGAATCGATTCCTACGACAACATCCCGGATTCGTGTTAGGTTAGGTAGACACAGCCAGAGACGGTGATGGAGGGATGCGGGACAGAGATATAGCCGCCTTATACATATGATATAGTAGAACGCTTACGGTGTTTAGAAAGATGAGCAGAGCATAGCAGAGCAGAGCAACAGGAGAGAAGAATAAGTTGATGAAAAATTATTAGATTATGCGTAATTTTCGTGCCGCCATGTGATTGATACCTATGTCCCTTACGACAACAACTCCTTACGCGCTCCTTTCTTTCTTTGAATCAGCTCGTAAAGCGGGATCTCTTCCTCATCCATATACCGTATTTTAGCCTGCGAGTAATGCGGCTGTTGCTGCTGCTGTTGTTGTACAGCAGCCGGCTCATCAAACTCCGCGTCCGAGTCTACGCCGTAATCGCCCAAGTGCTCACCATCCGCGTTCACCCAGCCGGACTTCCCCTCTTCCACTACAACCGCTGCACCCATGCTCTGATGACCACGGCCGTACGCCTCATCCACGAAATCGTACTCATCATGACGATCCCCCGGCGGCACCTCCTCTAGCTCGTCTAGGATACGCGACCGCGACGCCTCCCATCGGCGCAAGTCGCGCTCTTGGCGGCGCCGGAACGCCTCCCTGTCGACTTCGGGGTTACTCGCGCCGCGCAGGCGCTCCAGCTCCAGCGCTTGGTCCGCCTCGCGCTGGCGCTGGCGCCAGACCTTCGCGTTGCGGATCTTGTCGGGGTCAGCAGGGGGCCAGAGGCCCTCGCGGTCGTTCAGCCCGTTTTCTTCGTACTCCCAGCCCGTGCGTGCGTTACTGCTACCACTACCCGAGTCCACACCAGCGGTGTCTGAGTACGGGTACGGGGCGACAGTCGGACCGCCCGCAAAGGGAAAGAACCATAGGAGCGGGTTGCGGGTGCCCATAGCCGCGGCCATGTTAGCGAAGATCCCGATATCGTACGGGAACTCGACAGGATCGACAGCCAAGTGCGGGGCGTCGCGGTCCCCGCCAGGAGCCCGCTCACCAGCCGCCCACCACGAGCCCTCGCCGTCGGAACTCGCGTACCTGCGCTCGAGCGTCGCCTCGTGGCGCTCAATCTCCCAGCTCTCTATCATAGTCGTATTGAACACCCAGCCCTTCACCGTCGAGATCAGCAGGATCCCCAGCGCCAGGCTCGTCATCCCGGACACGATCGTGAGGACCGTCAGCCAGGCCAGTTGGTGTAATGTCGGGCCCAGGTACGCGGGCAGGTGGCGCGACTCGTAGAGGCCGAGGAAGCGCTGGAAGAGGTGGTAGAGAAGCGTCCAGAGGGAGAAGTTGGTGAAGGCGAGGAAGCGCAGGAAGTGCGGGAAGGTCTGCAATGACACGCAGTTGCCGGTCCATGGGCAGTGATGGTCCATCTTGGGGACGCAGCACTTGCATGTGCGGCAGTGGTGTGCGCGCGGGGGTTTCGGGGCGCTGCATTTCTTGCACCAGCGGCGGATCTGTGTTCTTCCCGCTCCTACACCCACACCTATCTCTCTTCCCATTTCCTCGGCTTCTTCTTCCGCATCCGAACTGATGGCTTTCTCCTTACGCTTCTTCTTTATGCTCGACGGGAAGACGTATCGGCCGGGATCGACGGTGCAGGCTTTATAGTACGTGTACCATAGACATAAGATCAGACCGTTGAAGATGTAGTTCTCGGTGGGGGTGAGTGGGCCCGGGGCCAGGTCCGGGGCGTTTGCGAAGAGCCATTGCGGTGTGTAGGATTCGAAGGCGATGAGGAGGCAGACGGCGGGGACAGCGAGGCGTTGAAGCGATGGCTCGACGTTGCCGATGAGGAAGGCCATCCTGATTAATTATGCCATCCGAGATTTAGTGTAGGTGGGTAAATGGTTGGTAACGGATGAGGATTTGGACAAGGACAAGGTTGGGCTAGACTCCGAAATGACGACGCGGTTCCCCGGACTCGGGCGCGACGTCACTTATGCAGGAACGAGCAGGGATATTGATATGGATTATGTAATTCGGGATATTAGGATATTCAAAAAAAGCAATATCGGATAAGTGTTACCACGCAGGATTATATTCATTCATTCTTAAGGCACAACCCGTTTGTTTATTACCTGGAGTAGAAGCTATCTCATCAGGTTCCTGTCAAGCTATATAAGCTATATCACGATTACCATCCAAGTTACCGAACCAACCAGACCTCAACTCGATAACTAACGTCAATAATAACCGCGGTACGAATCGAGCGTACTCCTCCTCGAAGAGTGCCGTGCGATTCTCCTCTGCTTCTGCTCCTCTTCCTGGGCCTTCAGACTGGGCTTGTTGCGGTTGATCCCCATGAACTCGAAAACCGCAGGACAAGAGGCTGGTAGGGGGTCACGTTCTGTTGCCTCGATGGCATCTCGGCTAACTGTCATCCTCACATAATCCTGCCCGATGAATTGGATGCCGACTTGGTGCTTGTCTTTGTACAGATCAGACCAATAAACCCTTGTGCTGGCGCGATCAGGGGCGAGGAGAGTCGAAAAGTCGAATTGATCATCACAGTTGACGTAGACGTGCCCGTTCGCCTTGCCCTTCCATGTACAGCCTTTTGGATTTTTGGCGCCTTTCATAATATCGATCCCGGATCGATCTTCGTAAAACTCGACGTACCTCCAATAACTACCTGTGTCGTCATGGTAGCAGTTCTCTACGTAATCCGCGCAATAAAGGTTGAACGTCTTGGCCTTGGACATCATATGGGGAGGCACCTTTTTGCCGGCTTTCTTCAAGTTGGCCACATATTCTGTGTCCTCGAGAAGGGCAATGGGAGGACCACTACCACTCTTCTCCTTCTCCTTGAGGGCCTCATATACCGCCCGAACTTCCTCCATCTGGCGCTTATGGAACTGCAATTCGTTGATCTTTTCTTCTTCAAAGTTCTCTCGCATCTTCTTAGCCCTTTTCTCTTTCTCCATATCGAATTATTATTCTGAGAGAGGCGCGGATGGTTTGATGTAGTATGTTGGTCTCAATTGTGAATCTTCCTTTGAAGATAGGACGAAAAACTCAGTAGCCTTTGTCAGACTGGATTAGTTGACCAAGTCACGACATAGGTCGCGTCTCTCGACCGCGATATCCCCATCATGGTCCGAGGGTCCGTGCTAGCGTACGCCATCCCTCCCTTCGTTTTGCTTCTAGTACTTCGTACTATTGCTTTTTCTTCCGAGACTTCTCAGTCCAATACCAATTGACAAGAAGGTACTTATTGCTTTTGAATCCAATGATTATTTTACCTAGAACCTGAAATGTAAAACGAAAGCCGAAGAGGGGGCAAAAACAAGCTATGCGACACACGAAGGGCACATGATGTCATGGTAAACATATTTTCCGATGGTAAATCTGCAGGGACCAAGTTCTGCCACCAAAGGCATATGTACCAGAAGCAAGTTTAGAGATCCAACCCACTGCGGAGAATTATTGCCACGTCGCTAAGAGGAAGCTCCTAAAAACGGCAACCGCCCCAATTCTTCTCGTATATGTACGTTCTTCTGCTCACATACATACAACCCATTAGAATCTACGTTACGAATGTTCGCTACGTGCTCAAGTGGTGGATGGCCCTCCAAGCTAGTTACCTCGTCTAGAGAGCCGGTAGGCCATTGGGATCATGGTTCTCAACACGCTGACATCGTATCATTTCCGACTAATACAGCTTGGAAAGTCGCAGGTAGAGAACGAAGAAAAAGCTTGGCCATGTTGATTAATGCCTTTCATGTAAATACAGATCCATAGTTGAGTATGTCGTAGTAAAAGTCCCATGTGAAAGAGCACACATATATAAGATCATACTCCCAAACGAAGTATCTCGGTTCTCGCTTCGTGCTCGGTTATTTGCCAGGGAACTCTTCAAGCTATCCATAACAATCATCTAACCAGCCCTATCCTTCCCATTGGTACATCCCTCACCTACCAAAATGCAATTTCACCTGTTATTCCTCTCCCTCCTCGCCGCCATCGCAATGGCAGAAGATAACCTCACCGAGCTCGTCGACGACTTTCCAGACTGCGCCCTACCCTGCTTCGCCAGCAGCGTCAGCGCCAACAACTGCAAGACAACCGACTTCAACTGCATATGTGGGAAGCAGGTCGATATCAACATAAAAATGGGCGGTTGTCTATCTGATAACTGCCAGAACGCATCTAGCTTAAGTAAGTACCCCCTGTCTACTAGCTCTTTCGATATAAGTCGACCTTGTCGACCCCTGTTCTAACCCGTGTATTAGATGTCGGCGGAAAACTAGACGACCTCTGCGATAGATGGGACGATCACCCAAACTCGACCGAAGTAGCAGCTGCCACGAGCGCGCTGGCGTCGCACGTCACGGTTGCCGTCACGGCCGCTTCGTCTACCAGCGCACCTGAGGGCGCGGCAGGGTGCCTCGAACCTGGTATCGTCATGGTGGGGGCCGTAGCAGCAGCTATGCTGGTGATTTAGATAAATCTCAATGCAGTACCTATACATAATACATAAAACGTTGGATGAAAATATAATAATTAATGGGGCCTATAAAGGCATGCGTTATGGTGGCTTACTGTGGGCATGGGTTGGCGTTCAGGCTAGAAGACACCTCTAATTAGTTGTGCTTCAATCTTCAAATCACTCTGACTGGGTAATTCAAGAGACTGAGTTCTTTGTCATGTAATTCATGATTTGAATTTGTGCCAGGCCATATTAACACAGCTCAAAAGCGAAACCGAGGACATTCTGCATACAAAGAAGATGGGTGACTTGAATGTGTACATGATAGAACTCCCATGTCCACAATTCCAACTTCTTGTTAGTCCAGCAAATGGTACATGGCCATACACCTAGCCAGTACCAACCTCATATCAGGCACAGATGCTCACTGGAGGTTCACATCGAATGACTAGATAATACATTAGCAAAGAGCTCTGATAGAGGATAAACACCGAGTACATACCTATGTGAACACGATTCGCATGCCGACATGTCTTGTTATTCTGGCGACATATCGGCTAAGGCCAGTACGTGACTAAAGGTCACTTATGATCCAAACATCGTGAGGCTTTCATAGTTCTCCCATCACTCTATGTCGCCATCCTTGTTGCCCTCTGGGCTGCGGCTTCTGCTACGGCCCCGTCCACGATGCGATTGTCGAGGTCCCCTATTGCCCTTACCCGGAGGTGGTCGTACAAACGCAAAGTCGACGCTGATAGCCTGGTCTAGCAGCTTAGACTGGTGAGCGCCATCGATGGCGGCTCGAGCCTCGTCCAAAGTGGCGTATTCGATAAGGGCGTAGCCCTGTATTGAGCACGATGGTTAGCGTTGGCTATCAATAGCAGTAGGGAGAATGGGGGGCGGAGGGGTGGAGGGATGAAGATAGAATAATTACCTTGACGTAACCGCTTCGACGGTCCAAGTTCAGGTGGAGGTTCTTAATCTCACCAAAGTCGGCAAACTTGTCGTGAACGGTCTCCTCGTCGGCTTCCTCGTGGACGTTGGTAACCATGATGATCCAACCCTCGATCGATCGCACGGCTGTGGCCTTGGTGTGGGTTTGCATATCGCTGACCTTGGCCTGGGTCTGGGGAGAGCCGGGCTCGTCCATTTCCATTTCTTCCGCCATGGCGATGGTATTTGTGGTAAGGACGAACTCGAAAGTGTGGTGGTCAGAAGGAATGATTTGACGAAAAGGCAACGAGAAAGACGTGGGACTTTTGTTGTTGCTTTCTCGTTGATTTTGGAGAGTTCGTGAATTTGCGACGTGAACATTTATTATTTAGATATCTTAATTGGTCAAAGCTATGACCCCTGTCGGTGCCTGACATCAGGAATCTGTCATCTGACAACACACGCCAGCAGCTGCCAAAGTGCAATCATGTACACCGGTACCTTTCTTATAAGTCGTCCAATTGTGCCGCCGTAATTCTTTCTCTGAATAACTTCTTTCAATGTTCATGCCCGTAGACGGCACAATCAGGGGCTTTCGCGCCCTTCTAATGTAATTCCCGGTTTTCCTCATCTTCAACCAATCACAATACGCACATCTCCATCATTCAGCTCTCCGTTGATACGAGTCAAGTTACCATATTCGATCAATCTCACATGGCCGCAAACTCAAAGTTGCAAGGAAGATCGCGATGTCGGAGAAAATACGATAGCGCGATTGGTTCCCGGCGCAGATCTATAGCATCATCCGCAAGAGCATAAGGCGTCGGCAATATGTGTCCAATTGGAAACTTCCCGTTCGCTTGTTGGAGTATGAAAATAGGAAAAGCTCTATTGCTCACAATGTGTGTAAGTGGGTAGGTACCCTTGCCGTCATGGTAATCAGGGTCTCAAGAGTTGAGACCTACGTATATAAAATTCAAATACTACGTACATCCTTCCTTATAGCTTCGTTTCCCCTTGATTGTATCCTGCGCAAGAGTAAAGTGTATAGTGTAATCCTCAAAGCCATGACTGCTCAGACAGAAAAACCACCATACCCGTCCGAAGCGGAGGCAGGTCGGCTTCCCACGACGGCGGAAGAAGACAACAACACCAACACGCCAACACCAATAGACATCCTCGAAGTCGAAGCCCCATCCCCGTCCACCCCTTCCCAATCCCCGTCCGTCGCCCTCGAGCACAGCAAAGCCGCGTACCTGGTACTAGCAGGGTGCGTGCTGATCCAGGCGCCGATATGGGGGTACTCGCTCGCCTTCGGCATCTTCCAGGAGTACTACTACACGCACCCATCGATCCTAGGCCCGAACTCTCCGGGCACCATCGCCAGCATCGGCACGACGCAGACGGGCATCCTGTACCTCATGATGCCCATCACCTTCACGCTGCTAACCAAGTACGCGCACCTGCGGCAGTGGTTCCTGCGCGCCGGGCTAGTCCTGACCACGGGGTGCCTGACGGCGTCCTCGTTCGCGACCTCGGCGGGCTGGCTCATCGCCACGCAAGGCGTGCTGCACGCCGTCGGGTGCGGGCTCCTGTTCAGCCCCACGTCGCTGTACCTGGACGAGTGGTTCCGCGCGCGCAAGGGCTTGGCGTACGGCGCCATGTGGAGCGGCAAGAGCGGCGCCGGCGCCGGCATGCCGTTCCTGACGAGCGCCCTGCTGAACCGGTACGGCGTCGGGACCACGCTGCGCGCCTACGCTGTAGCCTCCGCCATTCTGACGATCCCGCCGCTGTTCCTTATGCGTGACCGACCTCCTATCCCTACTACTCCTACTACTCCCACTAATACCGCCGCAACCACCAGCAACAGCGAGACCAACACGACCGAGTCCTCGCCCACGCGCGGCGGCCGACCCGCGGGCACCGTATCCTTCGCCTTCGCGCGGAACCCGACCTTCTGGATCCTGCAATTCGGCAACGTCCTGCAGTCGATGGGGTACCTGATGCCGAGCACCTACCTGGCCTCCTACGCCAACGCCCTGGGCTTCCCCTCCGTAACCGGGCCCGTCTTCCTCGCCCTGATCTCGCTCGCCTCCGTCCCCGGGTCCCTGCTGATCGGGCTCCTCAACGACACCGGCCTGGCCGCCACCACCGTCATCCTGATCTCCAGCATCGGCAGCGCCCTGCCCGTCGTCCTCCTGTGGGGCCTCGGCGGCCACCAGGTCGCCGTCCTCGTCGTCTTCACCCTGTTGTACGGCTTCTTCGCCGGCGGCTTCAGTTCCACCTGGTCCGGCATCCAGCGCGAGCTGCAGAGCCGCGACGGCGCCGCCGATACCGGTCTGATCTTCGGCATGCTTCTCGGCGGTCGGGGTCTCGGTTTCGTCCTGAGCGGGCCTGTCGGTGGCGCCCTGCTTGAGGTCAATCGCTTGAAGGCCCAGGACTTCTCGGGATATGCTACGCAGTACGGGCCCATGATCATTTATACAGGCCTTACCGCTACCCTTGGCGCTTGGGGCTGGTTCTGGACTATGGGCAAGAGGGCAATGGCTGCCCTGTAGCGGAAAGGGTACAGTTCCACCTAGATGACTGTGGACAACGACCACTAAGCAGAAGCTAGTTCTACCATCACAGTATTTCACTTGTCTACCTATAGAATTATCACCACACGCACTTTACGCTTAGGATAGTCATTTGAATGTGAATATCGTGATCCATTCCATTATGTAATGTCACGGCGCCCGTAATGTGGTTGCGCGTAGCCCATGGCCAATAACCTAGGGGTAACAGGTTTCTATCCATAACCATACAGTGCATTTTCATGCAGACCCCTTTTTATAGAACGCCATCCATGCATGAGTATCATCATGACTCAACCAAACCAACCAACCCCAATAACCATAACTCCAATCAGTGAACGAATTTCCTTTACCGCCGCCACATCGTACCAAACGCCGATTCCTGACCTCCGCCTATTCCCATTCAGTAGTACTCTTGAATGCCCTTGAAGGAGGTGTCAGTCGACATCGCATTCGTTACAGTAATTTCCACAAATTCCTCGGTCATCTCTTGACCACTAGCCTTCTGCCCCTCGAGAGCATCGTACAGAAAGTAAATCTGATCTCTTCGGAGATCCCGCATCTGTCTCAACTTTGTACTCTTCTTGCCCAACGTCTTCCATCGGTTTCGGTGAAGTGAAGGGTCGCAATTGTTGTACCGTTCCTCTATATCCTTAATAGACAACAGAATATGCCTCTCCTCATCTTGCAAAGTCTTAAGAACCTTCGCCAATGCCTCGCCCGGCTTAATCGACGGACGCACTGTAGACTGATCTTCATACTCAGCTTGACCCGAGTCTCGATCCGTCACAGGAACTGGCTTTGGGGCGCGGATGATGGATTTGGTCTTGTAGTCGATTCCGCGTTTTGCGCACTGGTATGTGTTGATTCGTGTGCAGATGGTACAGTTTTTGCAGTCATGGTCGCCGTCGAAAACATCGAGGATGCGCTTCGCATTCTTTGAAAGTTCGCCCTTATCAGCCTTCTGCTTCTCGGTTGTCTTATCCTCCTCAAGCGTGATGTCATCAATGAACAAGGCTGAAGTCATGTTATCTTCATGGTCGGAGTCGGCGGCAAATCGCGGGCTGTCTGGACAGTGTCGGTAATATTTATCCTTCTCAGAAACTGTGCTTCGATAGCGCTTTGCACTAGCACCGGACTTGACGCTGGATCGTCCGGTGAGCTCTGGCTCTGATGCGGATCGTTGATCCTTAGTAGCACGCTCCGAGCGGGACTTTCCGCGCTCATTTTGAATATCCGGCCGACCGAATGAAACTTTGCGAGGAATGGTATCATCTGACTTAGACCTTCCCACACCCGTGGTGGTCTCTACCTTTTCCCGCTCGTACAGTTCCTCGGTATCTGTCTCAGTAACGGTACAGGTCGCCTTTTGCTGCTTCTGCGAGTTCAGACGAGAGGGCTGGGTATCCTTCAAAATCCCGATTGGCTGAGGCTTGGCCGACTCTGCACGTCCCTTAGACGCGCCGGAAGCTGCTCTGTGAGAACCAGCAGCTTGGGATCGGTTTTGGGATAAGAACGGAGGTGGCAGACTTTGACTGTCCTGATCGCTTATCTCATCATCGTCAAAAGCCAATGATTCATTAATCAAATCTTCTTGTTGCGTCTCGCTACGGGCTTGGCGGAGAGTCTCGCGCAATTCAGGAATTTCCTCTTGCGTAAAGACGTTTGCGTAGTCAGATCCTTGGGTAAGGTCGATCTGCTGAGTGTAATCGTCTTGAAGGGGCATGTCGGTTTGGGATGTTGTGCTTCTAGCAGTGGTCTCACTGGCAACCGACTTTCCCTTTGGCTCAACGATGCGAGTTGTCTTGGCTTGCTTCTTCTCATCCACGGTACTCATGAAGTCCTTGATTTCTTGAGTAATCTGGCGCGCCTCGTTAATAGCGTCTGTCCTCCGTCTATCGGCGGTTTTCTTCAACTTATTCGCCAAAGCCGACTCCTTGCCGGCAATAAGCTCCAAATGCTGCGTCAAGGTCGCCGCTTGCTCCTCGTACATAGCAGCTTCCTCCTTGCTGTCCTTTACGATTTGCTCGAATTGCCTGGTAATTTGGTTGATTTTCTGCTTGAGTCGCTCGTTTGCTGTGGCAAGTCGGCGCTTCTCTTGATCAATAGCCATACGCTTAGATGAAAAATCAGACTGGAGATCAATAATCTGCTGTTGAAGTCCTGCGTTCTCTTCAGAAAGCTCATGGTTCCGGACTTCAAGTCGGTATTTGATATCCTTAAATTCCACAGACATTGTTCCGGTCTCTGCATTCGTAGCGTCGAGCAGTTTCTTAAGCCGAGCGACTTCGTCTTGGAGATCATGTACACGTCGATCAAGCAAAGAGTTTTGTTGTTTCAAAACCTTGTTGTCGTTAAAAAACTTGTCGTTGTGATACTCCAAGCTGAGGTTGTCCTCCTTAATCATGGCCTTTTCTTCCAGAAGGACGGTGTACTCTTGCTGGAGTGTTTCGATATCTGCCTTGTTCAGGTCAAGCTGAGCTTTTGCAGCTTTGAGGTCTTGCTCCAAATCCGCATTCTGACGGGACACGTCGCTATTGTAATCGCGAAGAGAGCGGTTCTCCTCCAGTAAAGACTTCCACTGTTGACGGACCGAGTTGTTATCCTTGCGTAGGGAGTTGATTTCCAGTTCGAGAGTATTGCCATTCTCAGTATGTTCCTCGCGCATCAACTCGAGTTGTTGACGAGCAGTATTTAGCTCAGACTGAAGTTGTTTGATTTTGTCCGATTGCTCTGTAGCGCTCTTGAGAGCTTCGTCACGTTCAGCGACGTAAGACTCGGTGTGAATCTCGTTGATGCTGATCTTGCGATTGGCCTTATCTAGACGGGCTTGCAGAGAGTTGATTTGCTCTTCTAGTTGACCTTTCTGGGCATTCAGGTGATCGATGATCGAACTCTCTGAGTCGGAGCCCATGGCACTGTCCTTTCGAGATTTGTACTTAGCAATTTGGATCTGAAGGTCCTCAATCTCCTCTTGCAGCTGTTCCGCCTGTCGTGAAACCATCTCATCATGCTCTTTTAAAGCGTGAATCTCGTCCTTGATCTTATCTAGAGATACAAAGATCTTCTCCTCATCTTCGGGGATAGCAATTGCTTCGACATCAACATGATGGTCAGGGGAGCTTGTCGACTCGCGGTCGTGTACTTTGCCGTGTTTAACGAAAATGGGCATGCCATTTCTAAGAGATGATAATCTAAGAGTGCCGGATAGAAAGTCGTTTATGTAGGAAAAGTTCGGTAGGAAGAAAGATCGGGCAGTCTGGTTAGGAGTAGCAGGACCCGCCGTATGGCTGAGTGCCGATGGTCGCTCCATGTGCGCCTTAGCAGCATTCCGTGGCTGTAGCGATGGCTGTTGTGGTTTTGGTGAACTATGCTTCACAGATTGCTCCTTGGACTCGGCCTGTTTGGTTTGGGCTGTCTTAAGCGTCTCGAGAAGAGCTGTGACGTTGCCGCGACGAGGCTTGGGACCTTTTCCTGAGATGGGTACTGATACACGTCGGTGAATTCCATGATCCTCCGTGTCTTCTTGTGGCTGCGCCAACGATTCCGAGAGGTCCAATGAGCATTCGGACTCAGTTTGGACTCGTGGCTGCATCTGAGCACGTGTTCGGACGGCGTCTCGGTTCGCGGTGGTGGTTCGGCTCTTGTGGGCATCCGTAGCCTTAATCGGATTGTCCTGAATACAACATGTTAGTACGTGATTCCTACCATTCCAAGAAAGGTGTAATCGAACAAATGAGCTAATAACCGGGTCGGCAAAGCGCACCGTTGGCTTTTTGCGCCGAACAACATCCGAACCAAAACGAGGAGAGCGCGGTCGAACAAATGAACGTGAGTAGTAAGAAATACGCGATAATGGGGCAATGGGTTTAATAGAAGGAATATTAGATCTTGCTCGGTCTGCCGAACCAATCTACGATTTGGGGTTGGACCGTAAGCAAGATTTGAGGGGTGCCCGCTTGGGTTGCCCTGGTGTTGGGGCTGAGCGGCCGCGGGAAACCGCGACCGGGATCCGGCTGATAAAGTCGGGTTGTGCCGACTTTACCAGCCCACGAATGGGCGAGGTTAAGGCAATCATATCCTGTAGTACACTTGGACTTGCCTGGTGATTGTTGTCCGCTCGAGGGGTAGCGGCTATGGAGTTTGGGCTTCCCAGTGGTGTGACGTTCTCCTTCTCGTCTAGGTTAGCGAGGTCATTGCTCGCAACATCCCACGTATCCTTGTGCTCAGGACCGTTGGGGTTCCAGCGACTCCATTCGGGGAAAGTGCGGCCAAGGGCCGATGTGTTGACGTTGAAGGAAGTTGATTGGGGAGCTTTAGCGCTGCGCATGGCAGCTTGACTAGGGAGATCGATGGAAACGTCGTCCATCCTTCGTGTCGATTCTCCTTGAGGACCCATCGTAATGTTAGAAGTCAGGGTGATAGTTCCGTGAGTACCGGTAGATGATGGTGGTGAATTAAAGGGGTTCTCGGTATTCTGATGCATCTCTCTAAGGATGCGTGATTGATATCTACTACTTCTCGACTCCATTGTATCCCGTCACGCGTGCAACGCGTCGGGGATGGAATCAAGGGTTGGGTAGGAGTAGGTGTATGTATGGTGTATCAATTAAGCACCAAAAAGACGCGTCTAAGCGCCTAAAATAGAATATGGGTGTTAAGTCGCGATTCTGTCGTGAGAATGCGATAGGAAGAAGCTGCAGCGATGCTGAGCGGATGTATGATGATTGATGTGTCGGTTGATGACAAGGAAGACGCGTCCTGACAATGCAGAGCTACACTTGCAGGCGCCGATTGACGTGAATGAATTTGATTCCAAATCAAATCAATTGAATTGATTGGAAACAGTATTCGCAATAGAAGTGGATTTGGTTGTTGCAGTGTGCAGTAACTTCTTTAGAAGTAGCAGGTTGATGAAAGCTGGAAGCTGGAAGCAGAAAGTTGTCTTGAAAGCTGGAAGCTGAAGTGTGTGAGTTGTTGTTGTTGTAGAAAGAAAGATTGAAAAGTTGGGAGAGGTCGAGGAATGTTTACCTTTTGACACCTACGGTCGGTGGGGCCCAAGCACCTTGAGGGGCGTGGCGTGAACTACGTAATTCACACCCTGTTTTGGCACACATTGAACTCTAATTGGTGGAAGGAACACTAAACGCACCTCCCCTTTATATTTACACGCCCCTAGATCGGGAATGATCTTCGAGATCATTTTCAAATTCGGATTAGTCTGTAGATGGAGTTCTGAACCCCGGAAGGCGCGTGGGTGGTGTGCATCACTTTTCGGAAGCTACGTAGGTACATATTCCATGTACCTGAGGCCAGGTACTTAGGTACTTTGGTGATGATGAGGGTGTTCGATGGGAGTGTCGGGCAGTAGAATGGGCGTAGATGGGATGAAATAAGGCTATTAAAGGCGGTAAATCAGCTATGTAGACTATCTCGGTAGACCGTAATGAAGCAAAACATCATAGGTAATACTTGTCACACATAAGAACATGTAGGATTCGATGAAGGAAGGTGATGTCGGTTCGTGGGATCAGAATAGCATCGTAACCGCCATGAAGAGTCGATGGCTACTGTCGTTCATCACCAGGTAGTTACTAGGTAGCCAGGGAGCAAGCTTCAATCAGGAAGCTCCTGTACAATGGATTGTTTAGCCCTCTCTTTGTCACATAGATGTCCCTGCTGGAAAGGTCCAAGTGAACGTGACGAACAATGTCCTTGTTGTGCTCCAATTGGATCTAGGAAGAATAAAACGATTGTTGGAACCCATCTCTCAAGAGAATCAAATTATAAAAGTATCAACGGTCTACAATATTCGAGGCTTTTCTCACCATACAGGGCATCGTCAGTTCAGAGTAAGGCATCAACTATTCCTTTAGCATACGTACAACTAAGATCCAGAACAAAATGGCTTACGTTTCACCGGATAGCATCCAGGTTGCTTCCCTATTAGGCCTTTACCTATGGGACGCCATCGACGGTCTTCAAAGCAAATACTACGCGAAAAAATACAAGCCATTCCCCATCCCTCCGCCGGACCAAGCTCGCTACAGCTCAAGAAATGTATCCATAGTCTGTCCTACAATCGATTGGGACGATGACTTGCCTAGGAACCTCATGACCTGGCTAACAACCAGTCCCCGCGAAGTGATTTTCGTCACTCTCGAGACCACAGCATTAAAACTACAAGACGCGCTGGAGTCGGCTCCGGGTCTTCAGGATGCCGTATTCTCCAGCGGAACGACCATAGACATCGTCACGGTACAGGAAGCCAATAAACGAAGCCAACTTTGCCGCGGAATTAATGGAGCAAGAGGTGAGATCCTTTGCCTAGTTGATGACGACGCGAGATGGACTACCGACCAAGTTCTGACACAGTTGCTAGCTCCTTTTCAGAACGATGATGTTGGCCTTGTCGGCGGACCTATCGGATCGTATGTCCCCAATGATAGACAGAATTCCAACGTTATCACGCCCTGGGAGGTTGCCGCTCTCCGTATCCGATCACGTCGAGCTCCTGGCATGGCAGCGTTCTTTGCCGCGGACGAATCCACAAACTTTACTGTCTCGGGCCTTACGATGCTTTTACGGGCGGAGATTGTCAAAGATCCGTATTTTCAGTATCTTTTCACCCACGACTTATGGGACGGGATGAGGCAGAACACAGGCGACGACGGCTTCATCACACGTTACGTACTCTTCCAACATCATCTGAGCCACCGTAGTTATTCTACCCTTTCACCAAAGCAGTGGAAATTGGGAATGCAGCTAACTCCAGAAGCCGAAGTTCAAACTTCTCTGCTAACGGATAGAAGATACGCTGCCCAGAGTAAACGCTGGTTCAGATCAGGTCTCCGTCTTCGACTCACCTGCCTCCTCTATGAACCGGGGTTCGTGGGAATGCGAAATACTGCGCCTTATATGGCACGTAAGATGATGGGAGGAATGGCAAACCCAATATTCTCCGCGATTCGCTTCTATCTATGGATGTATCTATGGTTTACTCACCCTTACATCTCCTTGGCTTTAATGTTATACGTCCTTCGTAGTTGGAAAACGAGCCTTGGAGGGTTTTCCAGTCAGTATCCGTACTGCGACAAGAAAATATGGGCAGCCATGCTCGCCGACAACTTGTACCTCATTACTGATATATACTCGTACTTGACTCTTTCTCGAGAAAGTTGGACGAATCGATCAAGTGTGGTGGGAGTTCTTGAATAATTTGGAATAAACTGTCCCGACGAAATATGATGGAGCTTCTCGGATTTATCTGAAGAGGTGGGACTTGGTGCTTTGGTTTTGGCAAGTAATTCTCATTCCAGGAGATATGTGTTTGTTGTTTTGCGTACGAGTGATATCTACCCAGCTACGATTTAGCTAGGTACCTATTTGTTTACTTAGAATAAAATCATGCTGATACTTTACTTACCTACCTAGACACTTGTGTGATTATCGCCCCTTGAGCGGGGTGTGCATGTTAAACTCTGGTTATAATGGGAATGGTCAAAGATAAGTCACAGTTGATGCTTTTATTTTTATTCCTTCGCCTTGTTTTGTTTCTTCTCCACTTCCCCTTAGCTGCTACTTTGCTATTAGTTATTCCATCTTTCAGCCTATGTGGCATCCACCAAGTCTATCGGAATACTGGCATAGGTATCGGCCAACGTTCAAACTATGTATTATGGAAGATATCCTATGTAGCTCTGGAGTGACTTTTACCGCCGCCTATCATCTGGTATAGTGAGGCCACTAACGTTAGGATAATTTCACCCATGCCCGTTCCAATGTAGTCGTGTTTGCGAGTCACGATGGCGACGATGGTGTATCAACACCTGACATTGTCAACATCCATGATACCGAATCATCCCACATGTTCCTAATAGTATGGCAGGGAGTTAATGGTAATCTTCCCTACCGCAAACATAAGATAGATCACCTAGGTACCAATTAACAACAGCTTTGATGTAAAGGTACTTAAGAGTCTACCAGTAGTTTGGTTGAACACGTCAATATGTTACGATGCACATAAATGTTCACTTAGTAACACGAGATGGCATTCAACTTCGAAAAGCAAGGTGGTGACGCCGAAGTGTACTATGAATCTGTTCTCACGTTAATATTCGTAGCCCTTCAATGGGGTATATAGGTTCATCTAATTCTTCCTGGACAATAGCTCTGCCCTTAAGCATCAACATAAAACGTTGTCACTACGAAGCCTATCATTAGTCGATCTCTTTCTATCTAATCTCGTTTGAACATGGAGTCTAAGCATTGTGCTGACTACCGGGGCCAAGCTTCCACGTATTCTCAGCATCAGCAAGATCATAGCCAGAACTCCCACGCTTACCAAAATGCGCAAAACCGAGCCTGTAAATCATCGAATAATGGCCAGGAGGATGACATGTCTTTACGAAGCTCTAGCAGCTGGCATTCTGCAGAGACACTAGTACCCACGCCACCAGAACAGTTGTGTCAATACCAATCCCAATCCCAGCAACCCCGGCGCCAACCACAATCACAACAACAAACACTACAACTAAACCCGCAACCACGTAGAGAACGTGGATGCAAGCACCTCAAGGCGTTGGAGCCACCACAACCTGTTATAGTGGAAAAGGAACACAAGGATCGTTCCTGGATCGGTAAAGCTTTTCACGGCCTCGGTAACTTTTATAAGTGGGTATGTCATCATTAAAATGTACTCTTTTCCCCGTTTTAGCTTGCTTCGTGAGCTTAAGGCCATGCCTGGACCTATATAGGAGTCGATATCCTAAGTCTTAGAATATCTGTTAATACCCCCTGTATCTCTAACGATGACTGACTTTCGATGTTGTAGAATGAATGGGCTTGGAAGAGACGTAAGGGTTTGATCCCGCGTACTTAGTACCCTATAAACAGAAAGAAACCCGAGTTCTACATTCCTTAATAATCGATACGGCGAACTGCGGTACAAAATGAATATAATGGTATGTATCGATCTACGAATCAGCTGGGATACGTGAAATGGGACAAGATGAAGTTGGCTACAGAACTGGTGTTTATTGAAACAATATGTCTTAAGTTCTGACGGGATCCTGAACGCGTTATGGTCGTTTCCCATGACGTCTCTCAGCATCATCCAAAACTTGGAATGTAGGATTTAATTTATTACCTATGAATGAATCCATTTTTCACAGCCTCAGCATCTGTTGGAATAAGGATGTGACGTAAGAACCTGGCTTTGAAGAAGTCTAGTAATATACTTCTGACGTTGATCATGTGCGAACGTGAATCCGTTCGGATATTGTGGCAGCATTATGACGTGCTTGAGAGATTCAAAGAGATGCATGTGGAAATATATATCGAGAGCCTAACTTACTAAGTAGGCTTGGTTTTCTTGTTACCCAATCAAAAGTGCGTACATGCAGGCAGAAATATTATTATTTTCTGAGGAACAGGCCGAAGGAATCAGATTCCGGGAGCCGGAGGATCGATTAGTTTAGAGGCTGGACTTGGCATCATATAATAGAAACTCAAGTACCTTATGCCTTGGCTTGGGGAGGAGTATAGTAGTTTACCTGTCATAATCGGCGGTTTAGTGGATTCATCGATGCCGTTCGCTCTCGGTTCCTTAGATTGGCTCACATAACGGATATGTGCCGATCGAGCTGTTCAGCTCGCTCAGCCTAAGCCTAGAAAATCCAAAAATAGCTACGGTATAGCGGGATACAGTATTATTTCTCGGTTATGGACCCAATTTTAATTCCTCCTGGCGAGAATTGTAGATTCCATTCATAACTCTACAGGTAATGATGAGCCTCAGCTATGACTTCATGTCAGAATTGCTCAGTACTTACCTAGGTTATTGTGAAAGAGGCTGGATACGACGGAGATGGAAAGGGAGGAAATGTCAAAACTATAGTTAGATGAAGAGGATCATGAATAGCTACGTATTTATGAGAATAAGGGACAGAAAAATATAAATAGGGGGTAGGATATCTCGCCATCAAAATCATGATCCACCATCACCAAGGTAGAGCATTCAAGACCACTCAATCGTATCAATATTCAACTTTCTATAATGGCACCAACTAAGCCTCTCACTCTACTCGGTCTCGCGACTCTTCTATTACAAGTCAGCGGTTATAAACTAACCGCCTATAAGGAGAAGGGCTGCAAAGGTGAAGTCCAGCAGACAATCGAGGATACCAAATATGGCGATTACTGTAAGAGAAAATCGGTGTTTTTTTAACTCAAATGCATACTGACGATCATGTTCCTTTTTATGTAGGCCAATATTTCAAAGATAAGGCTGCCTCTATCAAGGTAGAGGGTTCTAGCAAGGACGAGCAATGGGTCTTTTTCAACAACTGGTGCGGTAAAGATGCCCAGGTTGGCTCCTTCTTAGGAGACGGCTGCATGACCATGGGCAACACCAAGCTCAAGGCCGTAAGCAACATCCTACCAGAAGGTAGTTCTAAGAAGAAACGGGCCTCGGCTGGCACCGTAAGAACTTGGAAGAACACAGACTGCTCTGGAAGCTCGACGTAAGTGTTCTACATATTCTACGTCCCTCCTAATTTGACTTAAATAAAAAAAATATCATATAGGAATGAAATGGAATTCGTCGGTGAGAATCTGCCGGTCACTCTCAACAGCGTCGATTCGATTAAGGTGAGCGATGTCCCCAAGGCCGACATCGCCTTCGCCTGCAGCGACTCAGACTGCCACGTCGAAAACCAAGTAGCCACGCTTGAGAACGGCAAGTGTGTCAACGTAAAAGGCAAGAATGTCAAGTCAGCGATGGCCATCGGTGTGCCCACTCCCCCTAAGAGACGAGACGAGACTGCTGAGCGCCGCCACACACGTAGTCTCATCTCCGAGGCGCGCGCACTCGATGCACTAAAGCGGGACAACGGGATCGAATGTGACGCTAGCAACGGGCCCGATTACAAGGACGCGCTCAAGGTTGGAGACGACTGGCAAGGCAAAAATGGATTAGCATGCTGCTGTCACGTTCCTGGAGGTAACAACTCGAAGACTTCTGGCTCAGCTAAGGCATCTATCAATGATAACATTCGGTATGTAATACTCAACTTTTACCCCTTTTTACCCCTTTTCCTGTCCGCCCCCCCTTTCCTCCACGTCGGGAGTGCATTTCTCAATTAACTCTCGGAGCAATTGTTGACTCATGCTACCATAGGTGCCCTGCGGATCCATCTGGCATGCCTCCTCCACCCACACAATGCCCCCTGAACTGCAATTCGATGAGGAGCTACGTCTACGCTATTGCGACTCAGTGCAAGAATAAAGACGGCAAGACAGGTGGAACCGCAACTTTGAATGGTGATCAGAAGATCACGCTGGGTCATAGCTAGGCTATGAAATGCGGGCCGATCATCTCATCATCGAAGAGAAGCAATGTGCTGGCGTAGATGCTTGGAGACTTGAATTTGTTCAATACAGCTGTAAGATCTTCCTAAGTATATGGAAGCTGTAAATGTCTTAGGTAGTTGCATATATCACTCGTTTTACAATATTAAGTTCATATAGAGTCCCTCTGGGTAACTCCTTCAAACCACAACGATATGTATCCCATTTTCTTTAATAAAAGCCTCTTTGAAGAGAAGAGTAAAGAACTGTGACTCAAGCTCAAGGTGGGTTGAAAGAGTTAAGGGAACTATCCTAATACCCGACAGCGGGGCCGCCTTGAGTCTTAATAGGGGGATAAGGAGAGCTCTGTAGACGATATCTATTATATAAGGGCTTGACATTTACCTCGAAATTAAAGTCTCTGTACACAAGATCTCCCAACCGGCTCCTCATAATCGCCATGTTGCTTCACATAGACATGAAGGTCTCCCGTCTGGCAAAGTACTACAGTTATAGTAAGACAATGAACTCTGCTCTTCTGCCGCGAAGATAATGAGGTTACTAACACTTTAACAGTCACTTGTTTTAACTTCTTGTATAGCTATACTCAACTCATACTCTCTCGTCTGATCTCACAATGATCTGTTTGACCGATCCCTTCTCATATCCATCTCAAGAAACTGACACAACGACCCGATATAATACTAATCCAAAAGTAAAGCCAAGTGATCTATACGAATGGAAAACCAACAGCCCAGCATTCGTCCAGACTGTCAGAGTAGACCAGTCACGAAAGGCCATCAACCTCTATCCGTTTCTGTGATACACTCGCCTTAAGGATCTAGAATTGAAAACACATATATAGGTATATAGGTATATAGGTATAAACAATCCATCCACCGGCTCTACTCAACCATCAGCCACCGCACCCAACCTTACCCTCACCCTCACATTCACCCCGGGACAAGGGTGCAAGCCATCAAGATGTGCATACAATCCTACGAACGCTACATCCTATGCCCATGCCAACTAAAACGAGGCACCTTCAACAAATGCGCCGACCCGAACTGCCACAGCGTCACCAAGCCCGTGTACCGCACCAACGCACCGTACTGCTTCTACCACGCGCGCGCGACCTGCGCCGCCAGCACCTCCCGCAAGCTATTCTTCGCGCGCAAGGGCGTGACCTCCTCCTCCCCATCCCCCCTCAACATCCCCGCAACGGCGCTCATACTCGGCGGCATCATCAGCGGCGTCCCCCTCTCCACCGCGTTCGCGGGATCCGGAATTGACTTCATGGATGGCAAACGCGTCGTCGTCGACGACTCGAGCGACGATCCGGACCGCGGGAAATTCGCCGCTAATCGAGAGCGCCGGGACTTCGGGCGCGAGGAGAACAGGGTGGAGTTCGCGGGGCGCAAGGAGGATTTGTGGGCGAAGGTGGGGACGCCGCGCAGGGAATATTGGGAGCCGAGCGCGCGGGCGAGGAGGGGCTCGCGGGGTCGGCCGGGTCCGTTGAAGGCGGGGCGCGAGAAGTCGAGGACGTGGGTCGAGTGGAGAAAGTTCCGGCGCGCGAGGGAGGAGGTAAAGGCGAAGGAGAAGAGTAACCGGCGATCGGAGACGGAGTCAACCTCGGCGAAGGAGGAATCGCAGCTGCTATCGACCACGGAGCTGGAGGAGTTCGAGGCGATGGCGTTGTCGGATGCGATGACGCTAGAGTTGTCGATGTCGTACTTAGTATCGTCAGATTCGAAAACACGAGACGATTCCCCTCCAGCATGACCGAATTCATAAGAGAGCCGGACTTAGATGGCACGTAGGACGACGCTATTTGGAGTCCCTCGAAAGGCCACTCAATATGATCAGCAGAAGCTTGGTTGGAGGAGGATGAGAGGGAAATGTACCGGCCCTACAACACCGAACGAGCGCCTTGTCTTGGTAACATCAAAGGAGTGTCGAAAAACCCAACTAAATCATTATTTGGTTTCCGTCTGTATGTACCTTCTTAGTTCAGCTTCCAAAGTAACCCGCGATTGGAAGTTGCGCCTCTTAACGAGACCTGCTCTGCTTTCCGGTTAGGGCTTCCTTTGTGCATAGTTACCTAGTCCTTGATATCTTATCAGAATAATTATTTTTCCAAGTCTAGATTACTAAATGCAATAACCCACCGGCTTGTGAAATAGCTTTGATTGCGAATGCCGATGCCAGGATTTCTAATTGTAGTTCATAGAGTGAGTGGTGTGATGATGCCACTAACAGATATCTATACTGGTTTGACCTGTGGCCAAACGCCTCAAATAGTCAAAAGATTCTTGAACTAGAAGTAAAATGACAGCCAGGTATCTAAGATCGCGAGATTTAAACCGTTGCCCCATATCCATTCCTTTTCTAACCCTAACATTGCTGCCTCGTACACAGTCCAGTTGTCGTAATTCAAAATATCACCCGTTCGTTCGAACACGTACCACATATAAAGCCTCAAGTCGACACTTGAGTCAAATTATACCAAAAGTCCAGAACTCCGTATCATGTTTTAGATGACTATACCCGTCATCACTTCCAGCCTGGTTCCGGGGGGTATCTCCTTCCGCCGACACCGGTTACCGCAGGGCTATAGCCTCGGTCCTTATACCGCCGTCGGTCTCGTGTCTCCCTCTCGTCGGCTGTCAGAACTCTCCTCCCATCCCGATCTAGGTCCGAGGACCGATCCCTATCCCGACGATCCCAGCCGTAGTCTCTAGTTCTTCGGTCGATATCCGTATGGCTGCTAGATCTTCTTGGTGCTGCTGGCCGCAAATACGCTCGTTCTTGTCGGCTCTTTCTCTCCAGCTCTTCCTCCCTCTCACGTTCTCTCCGGCGCTGTTCCTTTTCGATGACCCTGTCTCGTATTACTCGTTCACGTTCACGCTCGCGATCGCGTCGCGAAGGATATCCTGGCGGTATTCCTGTGTCCGATTCATCACTAGGATACGATTCTCCAGACCCACTTCGGTTGAGGCGCGAAGAATTCTCTCTCCGTAAGTGCACTCCCGGTTGTACGCTTGGTGGATGTCGCTTTTCACGAGAGTTGCTGCGGTGGCGGTCAGATGACCCCGAAAGAAATGAAGTAACCTTCTGTCTTATCTCCGCAGGCAAGCTCCTCCTACGAACATCATCAGGCCGTACTTCGCTACGGCGGACCCGTACTGGGATTGGCGGTGTCACGGGAGTCGCAACTGGCATACGCCGAAATGATGAAGGCGGGATGGGACCATGCACTCGTGATTTAGAGCTATGGTGAGGCGGTATATCCGATTCGGAGTCCGATGGGTCAGCAGAATAGGGTTTCGAACGACCCTGACGGCGCGGACCGGGTGGACGGCGGGGATCAAGATGGCTCGGAGTCAGAGGGTCCTCCATCTCGGAATGGTGCACATCTGAATGACTTCGTCGCCGAGGAGGACTACCCGGCGAACCACTGCTGCTATTGCTTCTGCTCACCCGTCTTTGTCCTGGCGCGTAGTTCACAGTAAACGAGGGAGCGGCGTAGTGGCTGCTTGGCACATGGGCAAACGACACTGGCCGTTCTCGTTGGAAGTAATCCATCTCCGGTCTGCGCCGAGGCGACGTGCCCGTACTCGGCGGGTTGCGTACATGCGCATATGTGCTGTTAATCCGCGGATCGGACGGAGGCCGGGAAGGCGGATGTTCATCTTTAGGAGTAACTTCTTCTCGCAACTTCTTAGCGCAATCTTTATGCCAGGCGTCTATCTCCGGATCGCATTGAGTTGGAAAGGCGTCTCTTGGCAGATCAGGTGGGAAGGGCTTTCCATTATCAGGATTTACTAAAGCCCAGTTACGCACGGCGAATTGTATAAACGGCGCGTGCTCTTGAGGTTCAAGAAGAATCTGAATTGTTTCCCACCGTACAAAGCCTCTTAGCGTTAACGCGGGAATGGACGGCGGGTCGTAGGGATTCTCGGTCGGTTGTAGCGTATGCTCAACTCCTAGCGCTTGCCAGATATAAGAGATAGATTTATGAGGACAGTGTACGAAGAGTTGGTCGTAATCGCCGCCGACGGCACGATAAAAGGCCGCTAGCTTGCTCGGAGTTAGTTCCGTGACATTCTCATCGCCGATATTGGCGGACTGCAGGATATTTAAGTTAGCGACGCTCCTCTTAGCATCTGCGCGAGGCCATGCGACCAAAGTGAATAGTGCCTACAATGTATAGTCCGATGGCGCGAAGTAGCGCATCAAGAACGTAAGTTTGCGATTTGTCCTTATGAAAAAGATAGCCGTAAAAATCCTTCACACTTGCTCCCGATGACTTCGGCTGTGATTGGGAGGATGAATGTGATTGCGCCTGTGGCCTGGATTGTGCCTGAGGTTGCGCTTTCGGTTGCGGCTGTGGTTGCGGTTGTGGATGAGGATGAGGTGTCTCTTTAGAAGGTGAAGGGGCAGCGGTTGGTTCGCTGGGTTCGACTTTAACGCTCGCCATCTCTCCTTACAAATTCACACGATACAGCCGGGCGAAAAACGACGAAAAACGACTCGGAAGTTAGACGCATCCAGCATGGGCGAGATGATAGCACGTTAAACGAAAAAAACGTAATAGCCCTCTTTTATCGGGAATATGAGCGCAAATATTATTACTGAATAAGATCGGTTGATAGATGATAAATGGATAGAATGGAGGGATAGACCATCCAGCAATATTTAGGGGGGCAAATGATGACCGCAGAATTCGCGAATCGGTAATCACAGCATCTGCTGCGTTACGAAAATCAGGGCAGGCATAAGAAACACAAACGATTACGGTATGAGTACTGTATATCAGGTACAAGACAGTGGTATAAGTAGGCCAACTATTCGGACTGTTGGGGCTATTCGCAGCCTTGATAGGACAGACAATTGATGAAAATGGACAAATTCATTTGGAATATACTAGGCAGACGCGTGTGATTCATACTGAGCACAGCCGTAGCCGTGGTCTTGGTAGTATAGCGGTTGTGGTATGTGGGATGGATGTGGAAGTGATGTGATGCCCTGGAAGAAATATTCCGCATTCGCAATTCTGGGTTGGGTTGGGGATTGGATGGATCAATACGTGTGGGAGGAACGGTCGGGCAGGCTTCCAAGGTTTAAGCCAATGTTTAAAGATAGAAACAGCCCTGGATGCGCTCGAGTTAAACCGAGCAAGGCACAAGGCACAAAGTTACTCCAACTGCCCAAGAAGTTACGACCAGCGACTTTAACAGGTTTACAGAAAAGCCCGCAGCCAAATTGCCTGATGACACGTGCTCGCGGGATAAAAACCTGACGTAGCTAGCGGACGTATGTACTTTGGCAAGTGGCTTCCTGTAGCCTTCCTTTCCCGTCTTCTCAAGGTGACAATTAGCGCGCAAATCTGCCCTACCAGGCCAAATGATGCAGTATGCGAAGCGTATTTATTCTATATATGCATGATACCCCTCGATTATGTCAATAACCAGATACTGAACGATGTTATCAATTTGATCGTCACACTTAAATTTTTCTTTTTACACCACATTCGCGACATCTCGAACCAACCACGACATTCTTCGTAAAATTGATTACTCACTCCCCCTGTAGGCAGTTTTTACATCCATAACTCTCACCGGCCCATTTCAATTCCTATCCAGGTAATTCATGTGTTTCCGAACCGCATCCTTCGGTGTGTAATCGATCTTCCTTCGTCTTCTGTCTCATTTCGTACTTAACTGTAACCTTTGGACCCATACCACATTCCCCCGGTCGAATAATAAGGTAAATACGGTTTCACAATCATACCATTGCCTCTCTGTTCGATGGACCAATTCGTACCAACCTGGATGGCTGTGCATATTTTGTCCAACCCCGAGTTATATCTGCCTCAGCAATTGGTAAAACACCACCTTTTTTACATTGTCCTTGAGTGGCTAGAGTGGCTAGGTACATTTGTGAGTGTCCTATGGCTTAATATCATTGTCTTCCATAGCCGTGCCTCCGGATTCGACGGACTTTGTCTAGATCCATTATCTACTGAATCAGTTAGGTATCTCGATGGACATCAACTAAGCTGTTTTGACATGAGGAGTATATCGCTGAAAAGCTGTTTAATGTCATCATCATTGGCCTTCTGCCGACTCGATCCAACTTCAATAGTAATGTGGCTGTAAGACCCATACGGGGCCCCAACTCCCGGTCCACCCTAGCGGCCGTTCGGGGGTCTCAACTACTTCGGGCGCTAGTTCTTTATGTCGGCAGATGATAAGACAAATCCAACAAGAGTCACATCTCTCTCATATCCGTCTCGAGCATCAGGCTCATTCCACTGTTTAAACTCTCGGAACCCAGCCTTCTCGAGGACGCGTCGACTTCCTACGTTTGACTCCTCAATAAACGCCGTGATCATCTCCGGCACCTCTCCGGCCCCATCTACCGACTGCACATCGACCTGTGCCTCAACCTCAGACCGTGGCAGTGTCCACCAATCGTTCAACCATGCCTTAAGGAATTCTGTAGCATAGCCCTGCCCCCAATATTCTTTTTTGAACAAGTATCCGATCTCAGGCCAGCCGAAAACGGACTCTGGCCTAGATACGCCTCCTCCTACTCCAATTATCTCACCTGTCGATGCGAGTGTGATTATGTTGTTGTAAGTCCGAACGTCTTCGGGTGGCATAAAACGAGCCATGAACGCCTGAGTTTCCTCCCTGTTGGCGTCGATCCGCCCAACTGCTGTATACTTCATAACCTCTGGTTGCGTACGCAGGGCATACATCCCATCAAGGTCATCTTCAGAAAATGGGCGGATGATGAGTCTTTCCGTACGGATGGGTTTCCTCTCTGCGTTAAGTGGGAACGGTTGGGTTGGTAAGTGTGTCTTAACGACAACCTTTGGCTGAACAGACATTGTGAACGAGCTCCAACCCTCACAACAACCGGATTAATGATAATTTATCTCGTTTTCCCGCAATTTGTGGTCTGGGTAAGTTGGAATGAAAATTCGGCACTCCCCAAGATAGTCTAAATCCAGAACACCCCGGGGATATATAGCGCGAGATCTTAGCTGAACGGTGACTCACTAGTGATCAAGCGGCCGCCTGCATACCGAACGAGGAAGACGTGCATGTTTCTAAGATAAATTACCTCCAGCCCTTAAAAGGCCCATATATCGTGAAGTGATATGCAGCCGGATCCTCAAGGGCGCGCGCATGCCTTAACTCATAATTAAGCTGGACTTTTACAGCCAAGTTCTATACAGAGGTCAGGTGACTTAGAATTCCACTAGGTCTAGACCCCCGTTAACAGAGAATAGGCAGTCCAAGTTCATTCGAGTGGGATTTAGTGCGAGCTTCGGATGTGCGCCGTACAGGGGCTGGCATCACTATTCTTGCGAGATATCCCGGCCACCTTTTTTTCTGAATGAAATGAACAATATCATCGATTTCGTCTAGTATCTTATATCAGTGCCCGAGACCTTGATAGAGCTTCCACACAACCTCAAATCCAGCAGTCTGCATTGTCTATGCAGTACCTTCATCCAGCTGATATGGCTTCTTCTCATCCGCATCACCGTGGCTAGGAACACTGGCGTTGACCGTGCAGTGCTTTCCCTCTTAGGGCTTTTTATAGACTAGAGGCAAATCAGATCTCGCTCGAAGACGAGAGCTTGGGCTCCTAGGTCTTTCGACAATGTCTGGTCTTCGTCTGTCTCATCATCCGCAATAGCTTCTATTGTTTCTGTTCGAAATGGCATAGTCAAGAGCAAGTCACATAGAGAGCGACACAACGCAGCTCTGACTCAATATTGCAAGGATGATATTCTGCGCGGAGACTTTTGAGGTCTCTTCGCGTATGAGCCGTTTCCAGCTCCGTGGAGGAAGACGAGCAATGTCGAACCATCGCGTGAAAACCGCCCTATTGAAGGCGGAAGAGCGACGCCTTGTTGCTGTAGGAAAGACAACGCGTTCCTGGCAATAACTGAACTAGTGTTTGATCGCTGAAGGGGGCCTGTTCCTAGAAGCTCTTTGCCGGATTGACCTCCGTTAGAACTCAAACCATGAAGGGTTTGAGTAGATACGAGAAATCAACTCGATAAATTCAATTATAAGTCATGGGTTAACTTACCTTTATAATGGTGTTGATTGGCCCCCTATTTTTTTTTTTTTTTAGAATAGCTCGAACGTTACCCTGTGTCAACGTAGCCAGTTGTCGAGCCAAGCTGAAGTAGCTCGTTCTTAAACCTAACCTGGGCAGGGAAATATATATCCAGACTTCCTGCCGCCTCAACGTCCACTTCGCACATTATATCCACTGCCAGAAATCGCCTTCCTCAGAACTATGTACATACCGAATACACTAGGGTTACGTAGATATCTGGGGCGCGTAAGACAAGCTAACTGTAACGAGTAAGTAAAGATTCCTTTTTCGGCATTAACCCTGTCGATCCAGCTCCTTCTGAAGCTTGGAGTCACTGCTCAGCCCTACCTACCTTGGTTCGTATGTCATATGACCCATTAAAAACCTGGTTAAATCCAGGTATCTCTGTTTTACCTAAGCTTATCAGTTTCTCCCATCTTTTGCCGCGTCTTGGATCATATAATCAACAATTCCTTATATATATTCCGGATATAGCGTCTCGATTTGCTCAATGGGGTTAGGATCTAGAATATATTAGCTGCTGGGATCGCGAGCCACCAACTCGGAGTTACTATGGACCCGCAGCAGCCATCGACTAACGTGGCGTCGCGGCCGTCTCAACATCAGCTCCAGCCGAAACCCCTCAGTTGTACTAATTGCCGGGCCCGGAAGTTGAAATGTAGCCGGGAATATCCGTGTACTCATTGTCAGCGTTCCGGTGCCGAGTGTATCTTTCCCACGCGGAAGCGTATCCGGAAACCACGGAAGAACAAGAACTCGGAACTTCTACAGCGTCTAAGCCGGCTGGAGTCTATAGTAGGAAATGTCGGCCTTTCAGCCCTGGCGGGAGACAATGTGGCGACGACAGCCTCAGGTCCGTCTACGAGTCAAGACACGGCTCGTCCTAACTCGGAAGGAGGCTCGAGCCAAGCACAAGCTTCCAATGATGAGAAGCAGGACGATTGGCAGCAAGCTCTCCAAAGTAGCAAAGCTTCTCGGTATCTCAGCGGAGAGTTCTGGTCTAGTCTTAGCGTCGAGGTCGAAGGGCTGAAACAAGCCCTCGAGCAGTCAACAGACTCGGAGGATGAGGAACAGATGTTGCAGGAGGCCACGCCGGAGTCGGCAAACGACGGTAGCAGCTCAGCATCTGCATTATCTCCCGGCATGCTCCTGGGGAGCTCACCCCGTACCTCCTACGAGGCCATAGAACATCCGTCTTCGGACCATATCCGCTTCCTCACGAGCACATTTTTCACGAATGTGGATATGATCATCAAGATCCTGCACCGGCCAACAATAGAGGGGGCTCTTCTCGCCTTCGCCAACGCCCCTGAATCCGCACGTCCGCACCTCAGCCCAGAGACCGAAGTCCTCTTCTTTTCCATATACCACGCAGCCACAGCCAGCCTCTTCCCCTCCGCCTGTCTTACACACCTAGGCCGGCGGCACGAGGACTTAATGCGCTCTTTTGCTAGCGCTGTCGAGCACCTCCTCGGGCGCGCCGACTACCTCAACAACACGAGCCTCGAGACACTGCAGGCGCTAATGCTCTATGTAGCATGTGTGCGCGGCAGCAGCGGTTCGCGGGCCTCGTGGGCGCTCACGAGCCTGCCAATTCGACTCGCGCAGGCCCTAAACCTGCACCACGAGGCTAGCAACGCGCACCTCCGGCCCTACGAAGCGGAGTTGCGGCGCCGGCTGTGGTGGCAGCTTGTTATGTTGGATATTAGGGGGGCGGAAGATAGAGGCACGACGACGGTGCTTGCGAGGGATAGCTATGATACTAAGCTGCCGCTTAATATCGACGATGCTGATTTTGGGCCGGAGACTCGGGGCCAACTCACTGAGAAACAGGGACCGACGGACATGACATTCAGCTTATGCACAGCGCAGTGCTCGAACTTGTTCCTGCAGATTGAACACGCGAATGGCGCGCTGGGGGTATCGCACGACGGGGGTAAGGGCAATAGCAATGGCCCGAACGCCAGCGGTCCGACGTCCCAGTCCGTCGAAGAAGCCGTGAAACAGGCACAAGTCTTAGAATCGCGATTCGTCGTCGGCGCAGACCCCAACCGCGCGCCATCTTACCTCGCCTCCGTTACCGTACGTCTAATAATCCTAAAGCTATGGCTCATAATGCAGTACCCCGTCCACCCACGCCGTAAGCCTCAGCCACTCTCAACATCTCCGTACCAAAACACCACTTCCTCTTCCACATCCAGGCCCACCAAGCCCACCATCGTCCCACACGAAGCAACGCTGCGCACAGCCATATCCATCATGGAGTTGAGCGAGTACCTGCAAAACGGACCGTACGGTGATCGCTTCTATTGGTGGGCGAACACGTACGTGCAATGGCACCCTCTAGCCGTCGTCCTCGCGGAGCTGTGCACGCAGACGCGGGGCGAATTGGTAGACCGCGCCTGGCGTACCGTCGACGACGTGTTCCCGCGCTGGAGCGAGATCATCGCCGACACCAAGAGCGGGACTCTGTGGCGGCCCATACGCAAGCTGTATAAGAAAGCCAAGGCGGCTAGGATTGCCGCCGTGGGTGCCGCCGCCGCCGCCGCTACTCCTGCCCCTGCTTCTGCTACGAATGTCGCCGTACCAGCAGCTACAGCCTCGACTACAACTACGATGTCTGCGAACACCGCCGCGAAGTCTACTCCCACCACTGCGACCGCTGACGCTGCAGAAACCCGCATAACCACGATAGTGCTCAAAGACGGAGTAATAGACGTCGGCAAGATCAACATGCGGACCAAAAGCCCCGAAAACCCCAATCCAAACCCAAACCCAATCCCGAATCCCACCCAATCTCCACCAAGACCAGAAAGAGAAGACGTGACCATGACAGAGCCGGAAAGCGCCTTCGGGGCCGAAATCCGCAATGCGAGAGAACCTAGCGCCCCGCCAGATCTAAGCTCGCTCAGCATGTCTCCGTTCGCGTTTAACGAGTCGATGCTGGGATGGCGAGATCTCAGCTTCGAGATACCCATGTTGGATCTGGGTGATGGTGGTGGTGGTGCGAATACGATGGATTGGAGTACCTGGAACGACTTTGTAAATGAGACCCAGGCCGACGCTGACGAGCAGTCGAAGTCGGGATCGAGCGATATGGGTTACTATTAGATTAAGACATGAGATCACGCAAGATACCACTCATACTCCTGTACAATTTACTGTACGACATGTAAAATAAAACAAAACTTATGACCTGTACCGATCATTGCTCATGGATGTGTGTGTTTTTTTTGTTCATCAGTGGTATGCATTCATTGCTCAGGACTATCTACCGAGCACACATGCTAGTGACTTCATTTTCCGCAATTCCGTAATGAACACCGGCAAACCGATTCCCAGAAATCCCCGACTGCAATACGAAAAACCCTTATGCGAAAGTGGAAGGTCGGGTGGCGCTGAACACCTTCTTGTTCGAGATGCGCGGGACACGGTGAGGTAGGGGGAAAGAGAGGTCCTTGGTGACGAGTTGCTTGATGTAAGGTCGCTTGATGTCGTCGGTCTTCTCGACCTCAACGACACGGAGGATCTAGAATAATGTTAGTCACGGTAGAAATGCAAAAATAGAGAAGAGGGGATCATACGTGGATCGACCGGAATCGAGCGCGGTGGCGGGCGGCCATGTCCTGGTAGAGAGCCTGGACAGCGTCGGTTCGCGACATCTCTCGGTACTCCTTGTACATGTTGTGAGTACCAGATCGGGAGTCGTATCGGATCCAGATGCCGAAGTTCTTGACGCGAAGAGGGTTCTTCTCAGCGATCTAGTCATACAATGTCAATTCCCATCATCATATTATTTTCCTTGACCAGATCTGATTATCATGGCTTACCTTGTTCAGGCTGACGATCTCGCCATTGGCCTTCTTGACCTTCTTCAGCTTGGTAAGGAAGTACCAGAAACGAGACTTGGCGACGACCTCGTTGGGAGCGAAGATTCGCATGCGGTAAAGCTTGGGGGTGGGGTTGGCCTCGGAAGGCAGATGGCGGCCAATGACCTGGTATTCTTGAAGACGACCTGATGTGATCATGATTAGCGGTGCTTCTTTACCGTAATAACAAAATATGCTGCGTATTGATTGCAACGAATGCGCAGTGCGACCGAGTATTGCATTGTTTGGTGTCTGTGTTGTGTTCTGTCGGTGTGGTTGTCAGGTTTTCTCGCGTGTCGAATTTTGGTTGGTACGTGTGGGTTTGTCTTGTCGAAATTTCGAGGTTCCAGGTTCCCAGATTTCGTCGCAATTTTTTGAGTCGTTCGAAATCGAAGCTCCGGTTAATTTAGAATGACTGCAAATACAGAGTGATCGTGCGTATATATATGCGTGCGTGTGTTTTATTCCTTGATTGAGCCGTCGTATTTATTCTTGATCGGTCGCAAATATTCGAAGGTCGTTTGAATGGATTGCATGCAGATTGCATCGAGCGCCTGGATAGAGAAGAATAATAAAAAATGAAGCTTACCCATCTTTAATAATGTCAGTAATCAGTAACAAGTGAGGAGATGTGTTGAGGGTGAACCTACTGTGAAATGTTATATATGGTCGTGACCTTGGTCGTGATGTGTTCAAAGTAGGAATTCACTTTGGAGTTGAACGTTGAATCTCGCTTACCAGAAAGTTTTCGCAAAAATTCTGGTGCTAAGGGTTTCCCGCCCTAGTGGTCTGTGGCTTAGGACAGGTGAAAAGTGGCAGTATCGGTAGACAATGTGGGGTATGTGGCTAGTGCCTTTGCTCCCCTCCACGCATTAAGGCTAGGTACAAAAAAGGAATGTGCTTCACAGTTTGATTCTATATCAACAAGCAAGATAAAAATGAAAAGAAAATCTGTATAATAATTAACATCTATCTATATATATATTTACAAGTTGTAAATGATTTACCTCAATATTGGTGAAATTATCCCATGTAAAATACTCGAAAGTCTAGTACAGTACCTAGGTACATTGGCCTTCTTTGGCCTGCACTTTCTTATGATTCCTAATTAGGATTAGTGAGAAGCAGACGGCTCGTCAGGTACCCATGAAGGTCGAACTTAACCAATTGCAGTGTGACGGACCGTTCAAGGAATGATTCTCACCTTGACAGTCAACTTACCAGTCTACCAAGTGTCAAATGCAATGAGTTGCTCAACGACTGGAACCTTCCTAAACACAAAATGACAATAATATAATGCCCACTTCGACGACTACGATTCTCCATTCCTAGTTTCTTTTTTATTGAAACTACAAAAACCTTAGGATCACTCGGTCATTGTCGGGCTGCTGCAGCCCCGTTACCTGCTCGTCATGGATTCCCTCATCAAGGAATTTAGAACGGCATATTCCGAGATGAAAGGAGACCAACTTGCCGAAAGTCTTAAGCCGGATGTTCAGAATAACTCCGCCAAATTATTAGCAATTTGGGGTCGAGGAAATCTTCGAGACGCCACGTCCGACCTTAACTTCCTGTTCTCCACAGATCCTTCCCGTCCTAGGCTCTCTAAGGAAGAGACTACCGGGTGGTTCGAGCTGTATCTCGCCTATTGGAAAGCCATAGGAGAGCTGCTCGCCGTGGAAGGCCTGCGTAACGATGCAAGGGTATGACTTCATCTTGCTAATGCCGTTTTTCTCCCCCTTATCCTCAGCTAGCCTCACTAGATGGTTACTGTTTCTTCATGATTGATTGCTAACTGTGTATAAGGCATCAACTTCGTCGTGGAAGAGTGTGTATGAGGCGTGGAGAGAATTGACACTGCAGGTCATACGTGGATACACCCATTACGAATTCGAGAACTGGACCATCCCGTGCCTGTATGTGGCAGGTAAGTATTTACGACTGTTTGCTATCCGAGCAGACCAGGAGAAGAAGATTGGCAATGATGATGCCTCCGATACCATGATGCAAGATGATTTCGATCCCGAATCTGAAGAGCATAAGATGCTCGAGGATTGCACGCGACATCTCAACAGAATCTTTCAGACGTGTCTAAACGACAGGGCGCCGCTAGAGGAATCACGCAAATGGGGCATTTACTATGCCATCAACCTCCTTTTCAAGAGTTACTTCAAATTGAACTCGGCAACTCTGTCCAAGAACGTTCTGAAGGCAATCCAGGCAGGTCGAGGAGACATGCCGACTCTCGACAAGTTCCCGAAGTCGCAGCAGGTCACCTTCAAGTATTACGAAGGAGTCTTGTCATTTCTCGAGGAGAATTACGTACAGGTACGGGGAATAACTTATCTTTATCTGCTGTGTCGTCGGCTAACAATATCTGTGTAGGCCGAGCAACATCTTACTATGGCCTGGCACATGTGTCACAAAGACGCCAAGCGCAATCTCGAGTAAGATCATTTGCCCCCATAGCTAGCTAATCCCATACTTACATTTTATAGGTTGATCCTAACCTATCTAATCCCTTGTCACCTCCTTACGACTCACACGCTGCCTAGTGCTCAGCTGCTCGAGCCGTTTCCTCGACTACAGAAGCTCTTCTTGCCGCTAGGCACAGCGATCAAGAAGGCAGATCTCCACGCATTTGACGTTGCCCTACGAGATGGTCAAGATGAGTTCATAAAACGTCGCATCTACCTAACTCTGGAACGTGGCCGCGATATTGCGCTGAGAAATCTACTACGAAAAGTGTTCATCACTGGCGGCTTCGAGGAAGGAAAGGATGGTGCTGCACCTGTTCGTCGCACAAGAATTCCGGTGGCTGAGTTCGCTGCAGCGATAAAGATCAGTGGCGGTGAAGACATTGATACTGACGAGGTAGAATGTCTGCTGGCCAACATGATCTATAAGGTATGAAATATCCTTTCTCTTCCTTATCTTCCCCTGTCTCCGCTTCTTATTCCACTCCCTCCTTACGATATGTTCCAAGACGTTGGACGACGTTGGTGGTGTGGGACAGGATGATTCATATACTTTCCGGCATTGGGTGTGCGCTGTTTAGGAGCTATCTTATACTCGAGTCTAACCCCTATGGTGTGCTCAATGATCTTTTCTACCCTACAACATCGTGTCCTCCTATTGGTGGTATTCCAACTTCAGCTTCAGTATGACTCACTAACGGAATAACCCTATCACAGAATCTAATGAAGGGATACATCGCTCACGAGCGCGGTACTGTCGTACTAAGCAAGACTGGTGCCTTTCCCGGTACGAAAGTCTGAGTCGATAAGCCAACGGAAAAATAAGACTCGCATATGTCATCCGACTGAGCACGGCGGAGTGAGGACAGGCGGCCCTTCAAGTACGTGTCACCATCTTTGGAAGAGGGGGGATCCAGACCGAAAGCTACCAATAACAGCACCTGGTTGCCTTGCATGGAGAATGCGGCTGACTTCGGGCAGGTGTGGGGAAGTCAGGTAAATGCTAGATTCGGGTATGCGTTAGATCCCGCTCTGCAGCCTCCTCTTAACTTATGATAGCAACGAATAATAATGCACGAAGGCTTGCGCCGTGATCTTTCCCGGTCATATATTATGACATACCTACTATTATTGCCTCCGTTTGCTCGATACCTAGGTACTTGAGGCAATTTTGAAGTGATGTGATCGACATAGAGTGTTCTGCCTAGAGATGTATCACCTAATCCGTTCTTCTAGAATATGCCTCGGTAAGGAATGAATATTGGTAAATACATCGAATATAGACACAATCAACTAGTTTCACTCTCAAACCAATATAATAGGTACCCCATCATGTTCCTTGAAAGCCGGTCAGCACCAGTATTCCGGGGAAGATAAACCGAGCTGACCATCCATCCCATTCCTTAGCCCGACCCGCACATCCTAATCATTCTATTCATCCTTCGATGCGAGATTGGGTGGTTTGCATCGTTCCACAGGTCTGTGGATGCATGTTGGGCTGATTGCGGAGAGGAGAGATGACTCACACATCCCTTCGAAGGGGGTTGGGGGGGTGTGGTGTGGATGTGGGGGCCATATGCAACCACTTTCACTTATGACCAGGGTCTGGATTGTCTTACGGTAGTAGGTACCTAATGTTTTAGATATTCTGAAAAGAGTAAGGATAGGAGATTGGTTAGACTGGTATGGTGCGCGGACGAGTGTCGGATGGGTGTGGAGGCGTGCCATTGGCGAATCAGGGCCGCTTTTTGTGTTTTCTTCGGATAGCTACATGCTTGCCTCTACTTGCTTTTGGTACTACTGCGCGATGTGTAGGATTGGGTACCTATTAATGTGACGGATATCCATCCATCCGGACCTTACGGCGCGGGATGGGGCGGAGGCAAGATTAGTAATAGCGAGCCGTTTCTAGTCTAGATAAAGAGGCCATCACAAGTGTTACCATCGCTCAAAAGACTCAAGGTTAAGAAGCATATACAAGAACGTTAAATATTCATTAGTGTTTTTTTTCGGTGATCGATCCCTCATCAGCCTTCCTTGGTAAGGTATCTCTAGAAATAAAAACCATAGGCAGAAAATAGCTCGCTGCTATCAACGATAGTTCAGAAATGTAATAGTACAGGGGAGATTCATCATCGTTCCGCCGACTGTGTCAGAAACACGGCCAGATAACTCCTCTCCCTTTTTTTTATCGTATCCATTTGCTCCTCATTTCTCGCCCTTCTCAGAAAAGCGTTAACAACTTCATCATAAAACTCGCCAACGTCATTATTTTTTTTCTTCGCTCCTTCAAGTGAGTGAACCCCGTCACACATAAAGGATATGAGCACCTCACTGGCCCCTGTGAGGTCCTCCAAGTTTCCTGCTGGAGCGATGCTTCCGAGAATAGTGATACAGGAGATATCAGGAAAATGAAATAAAAGATATTGCCCGCCGTGGAATTACCAATCCAGATAGCATCCAAAACGCCAGTAGTGTGGTACTTGTCACCGATGTACTCCGATCCGAAAAAGTCCTCGAGTCTTTCTGAGTGAGAATAGAAAATACAGAAATAGGTATGAAAAACGTTGATCATTAAGTTTTAAGATGATGAGATCCACGGGCGTTGGGGTGGGTCTGGGGTAGATATTAGAAAATATGGTGGGATGGGGAATGTAGATCGTGGAGGTGGCAGAACCCTTCAAAAGAAGTGACGGTTGCTGCGTGGGGTGTTTCTGGGGGGAACTGTTAGTGCGTTGCGGCATGTGGTATCTAAAATAGGCGACTTACTGTGCGCTAGAAATATCGTCGACATGGTTGCATAAAGCGACGAATAGGTCAAAGAAAAGTTGAGTGCCGCCGTTGAACATCTCTAGTTGCATAGTACCACTTCGCTTGAATGTGCTGCGACTGCGAATGATGAGAGCGAGGTAGTGAGCTCGCAATTTAGAGTCAGTGTCAGGCGTATTAGCATATGCATAGCGAGCCGACGCCAGGATGGTGCTGCATTGAATGCCTGACTCTATTGATATCATTAGCATATTGATTAAGAAGACTAGACGGCAATTTGGATTACTTACGAAGACCCTGCTTGCGTAGAGCAACTCGTTTGAGTTCCTCGAGACCATACTTCTCGGCAGTGCAATAGATGACAGTATCTTTCAAAACGTCGCCATCGACACCACGATGATAGACAGTGGACTCATTCGAGCCTTGGCCTTCATCTTGGATCTGCTCGATCTCCCACGAGTTCCTACGCTTGTTATGGATCAAACGAGGGTAGTAATCGCCCTTGTATAAATACTCCAAGACAGATGAGAAGATCTCGGGCTCTTCTTCGGGAAGATGGATGCGCTTGCTGTTCTGCGAATCCATGTATTGATCGGACAAGGCTTGTTGAAACCAAGGCGAAGCGCTGAGAACGTCTTCGTGAGCAGCGAAGATACGTTGGTCCCTTCCGATGACCAGTGTCACGATGGAAGGCGTCAATGTACTGCAGAGATAAGACGATTAGTGCATGTCAAAATGGGAATAGTATGATAAATGAACAGAAAATAAGACATACCCAGGTGGTGAGAGTACATTTGGATCACTTGGTACATTTGAAGATGTTGCTGTCGCAGGGCGGCGATGCTGACGAGGCTCATGTCGGCTCTTCGAAACACCGTGAGATTTGCTGAATGATGAGCTGGATTTATTGACTTTATGAGTCTTGGAGAAGCTCTTGTTCTGTGGTGGTTCAAATCGTCGGCTGAACATCTTGAATGAATTAGGCAGACTCGTGGTTTGTTGTAATTCTTAGATTGCCGACCGAGGAATCACTCCGTCAATATCGAGTATTGCGAGAAATCCCGTCTCGGTCGCTGAGATTGCAGAAATTGCGGCAATTTGGTATTTAGAGTATTCGTGATGAAATGACAGAGATGGCGACGGGGAAATATTCGTTGCGACGTTGGAAAAGATTAAAAATTGAGATGAGGAGATGAGAAAATGGCCTACCTTACACTACTAGAGCCTTCAAAGTTGTGGATGATTGAAAGGAAAGGAAAGATCTGGGCAGCGCCCTCTTTATATAGCAGAATACCCATGTCTAGCTGTATGTATGCAGTACCGGTGTAGGTAATTGCAACGCTGGTGTATTCCGTATTTTTCAGGCAAACACGTTAATTTGGTGATGGTAGTTGGCCCACGCGTCGCACTCAACGGGATATACACACGCTCTCACATGACCTGATATCAATTAAAACATACCCTTCGGGACTAGCGCGCTTTCACCCCTCCCTGCTTATTTCGGTGACAGAGATCCACTCTGCACCACTAGGGGCACTAGAGTGCCACAGAAGGAGCTAAGAAGTCCTGAAGGGAGAGTTTAGTGGGGGTTTACAGGGCCTTTGACAAGGAGAGTGCCTGCTAGAAATTTTTAGATACGAACTTAAACTGAAGAAAAATACTTTTTTTTTTATTTCTTCACTTCATCAATTCAAGTTACCGTTTACAGATTCAGACTTTGTGGCTTCGGAAGGACTACATGACCTTCTTACAATTTGAAGTTGATTCAGCAGACTCGGTTAAAAGAATTGATAGTCCTAGAAGGCTGTCCTCGGCGAAGGCGAGATACCTAGCTCCGGATGGTGCCAAACTGCCGTCACAAACGACGAGTCATAGCCATGGCCCTAAAACTAGTTTCAGGGGCACACATCCCAGGATGATGGCATCTTTCCATCTGATGGCGTACCGTGGCTTTTGCCTGTACCATATCATAGACATGGAGACAAGACAAGATGGACATTGCCGAGACCGCCACAAAGTGATTTTTTTATCATGATAAGAAAAGAGGACACTACCTACAAGATCGGAAAGGACCTACTCGATTCTCGACTGTTCGGCACATTAAGCAAGATCAAAAAAGCATCGCGGAATTGCCTATCTATTTACCTAGGTACCAGTACCTGAACAGCTTAAGTACCCAATAAGCCGAACGAATTGATTAGAGGCCCGAATCAAAGCCAGGATCCCAGATGGAAAGGCACAAAAGCGCATAAGCGTCGGTGGGGTCAAACGGGGCAATTCCAAGTCGCCGGGGCCGCACCCATGCCATTTCCCGTCTCAGCCCATTCTTGGAATGGTGCTGCAAGATTTTCTTCCATGCTCCTTGTTCACAAGCACCTCGAATTCTTGTTAAGATAAGAGAGGAATGATCCCACCGGTTCAGGCCATTTTGCGTGGTTCTCCCCGGCTTATTCTCCACATTGCCACTTTTTCCGCAGCAGCGCACTATCATCCCCACGAGTATCGAGTGAAATACCAACGGGCTGAAGAATTTTATAGAATTTGAGAAGAGGGGCTGAAGGACATTCACGGCGAGTTATTTCACTTCGCCTCACTTTCCGCATTTCATCGCCTCTTTTTTTCTATTACTAAAGTAGGTAAGCTCAGTAGATATTTTTCTATTTATTTTCCTTTTCAGCATGTCCAGGGATAGATCCAGGTATCTATATCAACGATTACAGGACATATCTACGACATAACAAACTTCAAGGTCCCATCCAATCTTGAAAGAGCGTTTCATTTCAGCTACGAACATGTACAGGTAAAACCGAATACCAAACTCCATATCCCGTTTACCCCGTTTTAACCCAGGCTAGAATCCAGCCTAGCCACTGTGTCCTTCCCAGGTGAGTTGCACCTTTCGCCTATCCTGTTGCACCTGTGCGAAGTTTTCAGGCTTCAAGATTTGGTCAGCGGCGGTGCGCCCGCTTAAACTCCATCGCAAGTCGCGTGTTGTCGGGATGACGAAGCCCATGGCTGCGGTCGCTAGGAGAATGACGTTGACGAACTGCATTTTGATATGTGATATATTGAAGTTTTTGATTTTTGATGCTTGATGTATGTTTTTCTTTTCGTGGTATTTTTGACACAAGAGATCCCGTTGAGAGGGAGAACGTTTTATAAAACTTTCAAATGAATGTGAAGACCGTCGTTATATTCACGAATGATTGACTGGGGTGAGTACCCGTGTAGATAGAGACTAGGAAACGAAAGCAATAATCCTGCATAATCCAGGCTACGTCTTCGAGTACGCAAGAGAACCCGAATGTTTACTTATACTTGAACACGATTCATTGTCCGATGTTACGCGTCTCGGTAATTCGGTGTTGGGGCTTCTTTCACGAGTATACTGATGTATCATTGTAAGTGTGCTATTAGGTGCGGTTCGAAGATCTTTGTCTTCGAGTGAAAAGGCATCTCGGTCCCGTCTTTGAGCCTCGAACTAAGTTTAGAAATTTCTGTTCCTCCCATTTATGCCGGTCACAATGGATACTTTGACATATTGTCCCGAGTTCTTTCAACCATTCATCCAACATGCATAGGTATCGGAGCAAAATATACAGCCTAGAGGCTCTAAAGCCGCGTAAGCGTCTATCTTGAATCGCGATTTCACTCTTATGGGAGATCACTAGATTTCTTATCATCAAGAACTCGTCTGTGAGTTTGAAGAGAAAGGGGTAGGGGCATATCCAGATACCACCCCTTTAACGGCCCCGAGAATTTATATGTATTGTATACACGTATATCACCCGCAACTTACCTAGTCAAGACCTAGGTCTATTGCATCGGCTCCGGGAAACGCTAGCTTTCTCCATCGCAATCCCAAGCGAAGAACCTCGCGCGCCACTTCATCCCCCATTATCTCCTCTATCTCCGTATCCATGATCTCCCTCGGAGCCGATTCCCTCCCCACACCCGTCGTCGCCAGTACGCATGCGTAATTCCTAAAAAAGCGCTCCCTCGCCTTCGAGAAAGCCAGCCACGGCGCGAACCGATGGTCCTCAACCGCCCTCGCCGCCTTCCAGCCATCCACCGCGTTATACAGCAGGTGCGGGAACCTGCCCCGGTAGTTAATAATAATGGCGCACTCGATCCAGCGCAGGCACCTCGGCGTCTCGATGAACTCCGTCAGCGCCCGCAGCAGGGCTTCTGCTTCAGCCGCCTCGACCGCGTCTTCGACGACGTCGTCGGGGAACCGGACGAGGTGCAAAGCGCTCCATAGCCCGTAAGCCATCTCGAAGTACGTGATTATTGAGCGCGTGGGCCGCCCCCCGCTCTGCTGTAGGTAGGACAACATCGAGGCGGACTGCGCGCACTCCTCGAAGTACCATACTGCGACTGCGGCGCGGTGCAAGTGTCGTAGGCGCCGCGGGCGCAGGGTCTGCGGGAGGTGGGAGGCGGGGAGCGTGGCGCTGGAGCGTAGGTACTGCGCCGCGGTGTGGTGGATGAAGTCGAGTTCGTAGGCCTGTGTGTCTGCGGATGTGGACGGAGTGCTTGAACTGGTGACGGAGATGAGGGGGCCGGAGACGCGCTGGGCTTGGGCCCCGGGGTCGTGGACCGCTTCGCCGGAGTTCGCGTATTGAAATATTAGCTCGAGCATCTCGTATCCGAGGCGGTTGTCGTCTAAAACGAGGAATTTCGGGAAGTAGTCTGCGGTGTCTATCCAGAGGTAGAGTTGTTGGGCTAGTTTTAGCTCGATGGGGCTGTAGTTTGCTTCGGTCGTCCGTATTATCTGCGTGTAGAGTTCGGTGAAGCCTTTGGGAAGCATTGCGAGTTGCTTTTGGATCTGCCCGATTGAGGGGAGCCGGTCGATGTCATCCATCATGAGGCGAGCGTAGAGCCAAAGGCCTTGCGCTGCTGATACGACGTAGTCTGCCACTTGTTTTCCGATGACTTTGTCGCGTATCACTGGATTTCTTTGCACCCGGGTGTATATGTAGGTTTTGATACTTTCTGTCTCGAGGTTGCCGATTCTGAAGATTGACCAAGACGTATGATACCGTGAGAGCGATGATGAAGGTCGGGATGTACTGAGAATTCGAACATGTCTACCTAGGGTGGTGATCCATTGCGAGACCTCATCGATATTCGACGACTCGTCAAGAGCATCAAGGACAGCAAATATTCGGTTGGCTTTTGAATGATGGAGTGCTGTAGACAGAGCTCGGAGAACTTCCGTTGGTGAATCAGCTATTGCTCGGCCACTCTCTTGGTAGAAAGGCTCGACCAAATCGTAGAGATGTTCCTCTTGTCGGATTAATTGAGATAAAATCGTTCGGGCACAGTGAAGCAGGGTGCATTTTTCTCCATCATTCGCTTTAAAGACAAAGTATAACACGTTGAATCCCTTGCTCTTCAAATGGTCTATGATGAAGGCAGCCATTGTGGTCTTTCCGCTTCCTGGCAGGCCTTGCAACGCGAGGATGTGAGGTTTCCCTATGTCATCCGTAGAAACTAATGATTGGAATTGTTCAGATACCAGGATATCATCGCATGAATGAGGCAAGCAATCGCTCAAATGCATTTCAAGGTCATCGTCGACGTTTGACGGACATAGCCATCTTAGAATATTACCCCTTTCGTGTGCTGTAGCAACTTAGAAGGGGAATACTTCCGTCAAAATGCTTTGGGTAAAGACCATACCTCGTCTCTCTAACTTTGCCTTTTCCGCTTCCCGTTGGGTCTCTTCGATATGCGCGGCATGTGCTGCCCAGTCCACGTTCTGGCTATGGAGTTGGATATTCTCGGAAACATCTTGGAAGTCTTTATCAAAAGAGGAGAAGAACGCTCCTAGTCATACATTAGGAAAATATGTATCTTGATAAATACTACATAGGACCTACGAAACGAAGATGTCGAGTAAAATCTAGTTACACGAACGCAGAAATCGAGGTAATCGCAGTAGAGAGCCCCTATCGCGTCCTGGACGAGTCGGTTATTTTCGAATAGCTCTTCGTACTTGGAGAATCTCTGCAGCGAGCTTATGATCCTATGGATGATCATAGCTATGCTCTCTAGAGTGTGAAAGTGATCCGCGGATAACTTCACACGCCACGGACACCGTTAGCGGTGATTGGGTACCCACATCCGGGCGGATGTCCGCTCACCGTAATGACGATCCTAAGAGGACCCCAAATTGGAGAGGCAATCCCCGCATTGACTTGGACGATGACATCGATGGCACCCTCGAATCTTTTTAGAGGATCGATCGCTGGTCTCATTAGATCAAGAATCCGTGCCAGCTTGGTTTTTCGCCGTTGCGTCGCTAAGAGGACGGCCATGCAATCATCCGGACTTGCTGGCGCTTGAAAAGCATCTCGCTCTGTTGGAGCTAGGCTTGAGAGGAAAGAATTCACCGCGTCTTGCCACGTCGTCGAATACTTCTCAGTGGGATTCTTGAGTTTCATGATAAGCACAATACTGGTTCATGTCTATCTAGTTGATTGACGCCGCCGCCGACGCACCTTCATGCAGCTAGTATCTTGATCACGTGATTTGTAAATCACTCATCTTTATCAAGGATTCCTGAAATCTAGATCACTTGTGCTATTTTAATGATGGGTAGTGAAGGGGAATACAAGAGCTCGTGGATAGGGATCAGGAAACTTGTTCGTAACCTTTACCCAAAATATGCTCTTTAAAAGCACTCCTCAACCAATGCCCTCCGCATACTCTCATCTCACCGATACTGAAACGTCTTGTCATCTTACTCAGCATGGAATCTAGGGTATCGTGTTATCAATGATTGCTTTTTCTGGAATTTAGAAGCTATGCTGAAACGCAACGTAGAAATGACCAGTCACTCATGTTGAAACCAAAACTTAGCAGGACCAAGCTAGTATCGTATGGCGAGGATAAGCTGGAATAAACATAGTTTAGTTGACGGACTTCGACATCCAAGAAAGAGTAATCCATTACCGGCCAAGCCCCATTGGATGTCGATGTTGAAGGCCTCGACAAGCTTCAGAATGGCTAAATTCACTTCATTCAAAGTGAGCTCTGTGCCTATTCCAGAAATCAAGGGGGCAGAACGAAACAAATAAAACCCACTAGTGAATAAGTGAACTCGGCTTATCATCGCATTCCATCTGGATGCCATCGACCTCTCATCGCAGCACTTTGAGGCTAGCCCCATGGTTCCTACACTGCTTTGGAATTCGAAGGGTCCCGATAAGGCATGTCTCAGAAAAATTGATGTGCTTCGGAACGAGAATGTTCATAGAGCGGATCTGAAGGGCTGGCTGAGACACGGGTAGAGTCGATAGCACGTGGCGTGAGGCGGGCGATGCTAGGAATCTTCAGCCATTATATCCCAGTTTCGCGTTCTTGAGTTTTGAACTCTATCGTCTTTGATTCTTTTTTCCTTCGCCTCCCTTTTTCGAGAGGCAATTCTCTAACTGGGCATTGGTTTTATAAGAGAGGCCTCCATCGCTAGCCATGATGTCAAATGCAACATCATCCGCAATCCATCATCCCATACAATACCAATAACTTCTCCCAATCTCAATCTCAATCTCCAATAGCAGCTACCACCAGTCGCTCAAGCTTATCGCCAGAAATCTTCGGCTAAACCCCGCGCCTTAGGACTTACTAGTTAATAACGCAGCATCTGAAATGCATCCCTTCACACTTATCATTGCCATGTCGGCAGCTGCTTTAGCGCTCCCGCAACCGCTTCCAGCAGCCGTAGATGACGCGTCGAGCGCGATTTTGGGTGGCTTGAATAGTGGCCTGAATGGTGTCCTTGGCTCGCCTGACCAGCGCTACGAAGATGGCGAAGGAGGACACGAACCCGGATGTCATTATCGTCATAGAGAAGATATCGCGAGGTGTATAAATGCGTGTGTGGCGCAGTGCGCGGTAGACCCAGAAGGTTGCAAATCCTGCATAAGAGGATGCTGTAAGTTAACACCAAACATGTTAAAGCGCGACCCATTTGGAAGCTTGGCTAACATATCCGCCTCAGCCTCTCAACACGGCTGTGAAAGCCACCACGACGGCAAGAAGCATCATCATCACGACAAACCCGCTCGCCGGGTCGACAATCCGACCCCTAAAGACGGGGATATGGAATGAGCTGCTTATCTTGCTATCGGACCTATACGAATATAGTAATTCGCCTCAACTCTGGGAGTTGTCAGCACTATAATAAGATATTTGAAGGAGATGATCTCGGATGATCTGGATCAAGAATCGGACAGTCCAGCGGATGCAAGTACAAGATACCATTGGAGAGAGACGAGAATAATGGCGAATGGAACGTCATGAAATGTGATACGGAGAACATACCACCATAAAGAACTGATAATATTAATTGTTTTTGATCATTTCTAAGTTTTCCCCCTTTTCCGTGATACATGTGTACCTATTCGTTTGCTTATAAACGGCCTTATGCATTTATGTATGCACATGACGATACCCATGAATGTATCTGGCGTACCTGACCAAAGCTCACAAGGCACAGTATGAGGAAAGAGTTGCGACTAAATTCCGCCTGCACAGGCAGGTGCCAGGTGGTTGCCTGTTGCGTATGAGGAGCAAACAATGAAGCTTAAACTTTATTATGCGCACAGACGTGCCACAGTGATTAGCTAAGGAAGTCGCTAGGTTACACAGGGCAGCACAGGGCAGGCAGGGCAAATCAGCCAGACCACTGCCCCACTCTCAGAAAATATAAATACCTGGACTTCCCCTCTCAATCTTTCTTCCTTTCTCTCTCTTTTTTCCTCATCTTAGTGCACGGGCTTTAGGCGTCACAGTGAGGAGCAATCCGAGTGCGTCTTTTTGCTAGTTGAAAACTATTACATGACCACTTCTACTTGACTTCGGTCGGGTAGGGAATTTTTGGAACCTGAGTCTCTTGATTCTTTTCGTTACCACTCTGTCCCGCGTTTGGATGGAGGTGAGGAAGAGAGCCATTTCACCGGTTGGCGTCGAAGATGGTACATTACACCCGCTCTGCTGCGTTCGTCGCTCGCTAACATATGCCAGATTGAGGGACGAATATACGCGTCTACTCTGTTCCGCAGGTAGTTCGCCATCTACAAGGGATCAACATGGACTCACGTATACACTATATTAAGCCGTTCGCACCGATGTCAACACTAAAGATCAACGTTGATTCTAGTTCACTAGCCGCTGCGCACCCGCGCTATGTCGATGGAATTGGGGCATCTCTACTCTTGTCTATTTCCCGATCCTTGGGTCCAAGGGACAACAGCAAATTTACTAATCCTCTAAATCCTATCGCTGGTGTAACTATGGAAGAGTTCTGAGTGTTTTTATCCATCATTTGACGGAGCGCCGGCATCGATCAAAAGGGTTGTCATTCCTGGGTATCTACTCCGCTCCAACCTTGTACAGAGTCATATCCACTCTCCAACAGAACGTCCATCCTCCAATTTTCGACCGAGCAAATTTGGATATTTCGATAAAATCCACTCGGCTAGGTGCGAACGTCCCACATAACAGCCCTGTGAAGGCCCTGCACGGGATCAGCTCCGAATAATCAGATAGAGTTCTTCCCTCTACGTGGATGAATAATTCGGAAAGATGAAGGTGGCCACCGCACAGCCCAGCCATGATCGCCATGCGATATCCATCATCCAAGGTGGATAGTCGATGCTGCGGTTCTAAGAGGACGCGGAGGATGTCTACAGCCTTCGAAAACGGCAGCTAGCAAAGCGCTCCCTTTCGAGTCATGACGAATGTATTGTTTCTGCCGGTATGCGACGTTACCCCTTTGATAACGTTGTCGGAGATTTGCTCCATAGTCTAGAAGATAGCGGACAAGATATAGGTGGCCCCAAGCAGCAGCAATTTGCAAAGGGTAATTAAAATGGGGGTAGTATACATTGACGTCTGCCAGCTTCTCCGGTCGAGGTACAATTGCTTCACAATACTCATGGAGGTAGTCTTGAACTATTAGCATTTACCTACGTAGTAGTAATCTCTTCCTCATTAACTTTATTTCTGCATTAGAAATTTCCAAAATCGGCGATCCGAGGAAGAATTTAACGAGATCTAATCTCCGATAATGATCGTACCGCTTAGTAGAGACTTGCCCATCTTTTCTATGCTAGAGTCGCCCTGCCATTTCCGCGGATCAGCGGACGTACTAGCAACGGTCTCGGTGATGGATTCTTCTATTCTGGCCGGCGTTTCTCGGTCTGCTGGGTCAAGAAATATAGATCCTGGGGGACAGCGGCGGCGATACCGTAATGTCGTTGTTTCTCTGTCCAGCCTACACGAATTGCTTTCAAAAAGAAGTTGACTGGAGCAAGGGAATATTTCCTATGCCCTTTTTCTGCCTTGTGGACGTATTCCTGAGGAATCCATGATGTGTGAGGTTAAGAAAATATCGAGAGGAGTCCGAGAAGGAGTAATATTGACCTAGCACATGGAATAGTCGACGACGCAACTTGGAAACAAGAAGTTCTCCTTTTACGTCGGCGTTGCAAAACCTTTGGATGAGGTCCCCCAAGCCAAGATGTTACCTGTATTCTTGATATATAAATATGATATTTCTAGTATTCTTCTTTTCAGGACTCCGTGGGCACTTATTCTCATTACTACTATAAGAGTCGTTTCAGTGTCCAAACAGTGCATAAATACCTGCCTAGTTTTCCCAAACGACGCAGTGTTAATCACTCCGTACCCCACTGTCCTTTTAGGCCATGTCCAAAAACCATCCATACACTTATGCTATACGCTAACTATGAGATACCTTTCGTAATTCAAAGATAACGTGGCCTTGAAAAGTTCTGTCTTGAAATATTCTCTGGTTGAACGTATCCGAGGCCAGAAAACCAGCATTAGTAAGCAACTGGGTATCTTCCATTACATAAGGGGCTCAAGGACTGGCTTATATAGTACCAGCCACATATAAGTGAGGCTTAGGGGTTCACATAGGGCTGTGGCGCGATGGGTGGTTGGAATGCTGTACGTACCGATATGTGGGTCAAGAATCGCTCCAACCATTCCCGTTCCAAGGTTATGTTTAAAGCTTCTGCACCCGCTCCGCCCGCCCTGATCCTATCTCCATCTTTATTACCCGCTCTTCGATGATCGTCTTTGGCCGTGACAGTCTTGGTCTCATGAACCTTGAGTGCTGAATTCATTTCAATGGTATCTTCATCGATATTCTCTGCGTATGGTAATCGTCAATCGCGTTAACATATTGGTACCTGTCATCTGTCCTACTCATCTAGATTAGATGTGTAGAAAGTCTCCTAATGGTAGACGATAACCTTTGACAAGTCGCGAATTTCTCAGTTCATATACAATTCGTGCTGTCGAAACAGTCCGACGGATACCGAGGAATGAGTGGGTAGTAGCGAGCATAGCCCTTCTTTGCCGATGCTTTCGAGCATCACATGTACGGCATTGCTATTTGATGGGATAGGCCCCAGGTTTTCAGAGGTCCACGTCGACCATTGTGTCGGCGTATTTTATTCTCTAAAATCGCAGGTTGAACTGGACCACGTATGGGGAATGTTGGGCCGCAAGGTGACGACGGGCGGTTTGTGACGTAGCAGCTCTCCCGCCAATAGGCCAATCGTTCGCCTCGCGATCCCACACCTACCCCAGTCGTCTCCAGCGTATCGGATGGCGACCTTGTCACTAGATACCATAATTATACAAAGCTTGGCACGACTGCACAAGGCGGTCAGTGCCTAGTGAAATGAAGATGGTCTTTTTAAAATTCTTTCGACCGACTTTTGTTTTTCTTTCCTACTTCTCTTTTCCTCTCTTGTCTTATGTCGTCGTATCGGCTAGCAATTTCCCTTGTCCATGTGGGAGAGGTGCGATGAGGCTCGGCCTCCGGCCGGGCAGGATCCCGACGTCGTCGGCCTGGGGGTATGTTTCATCAACACGACCTAAGACTACACTAATCGCGGGAAAGGCTGACTCTTTCGCTAGACCCTGATCGCTTGCGCCGGTTCCGCATCTATCGCGGTTCTCTGCTTGGTGGTTCAGTATCTATTTTTCTATCTCCCTCTAGGCGAGGACGAGCAGCGGCCATGTGCCGCTAGTCCGATAGACGTCCTGCTAGTAGGTTGGCTCCGGAAGCCTCTTAGGTATTTAGGTATCAAGTCCAGTTCGCCAGCCACGCCCCGGCAACGGGAGCGAAGATGGCCTGCGGCTCTTGATCGAGTAAGCTCAGCGGTTCCGGATCACTTCGAAATATCCAGACGCTAATATGGCCATGTAGTATGTCTTGGCTCTGGGCGATGTCCAGCTTGCGATGGGACTCGCAGTGCTCGCATACGGTTACGCATCATTGATCGAGCAAGGCTTGTCAATGTATCACTGGTGGCTCATCGTGGGACTTGTGTAAGTAGAAACGATAGCGATAAGTCTATTACGGTGTGAGAACGTCTAATCGTCTAACTATGAGATCTGCAGCTGGTTTTCGGTAGTAACGAATCTAGCGACCACTTCGTACCTACGCACCTACTTCGCCAATAGAGACCCGGGCGAGCGATGGTGGAGGCTCAGTCTTCTTATCTTTCTTGTTGTGGTGCTCAGCTTTTCCATGGTGCCGATTTACCAAATCAAAGAGAGGCTTGCTAATGAGCATGACGAGGATGTACAGCGCAGGATTCTACTTACGACGAACGCACTCTGTTACTTTCCTGGACATGGCGCAAGCTTCGTTACGCCACATTTTCGATCCGGAGTTACGCTTGTCGGCATTGCTATTGTTGTCGGATTGGCCCTTTTTGGGCTTCTGTGGATCTACGAGAGGCCCCGCAGTGTCATTTTTAAGTGGCGTGACCATTACCGGGGAGAAATGGAGCGATCGTTTTTCGGGGATGGAGGCAATATCATAACCTGCATTCGCTGCGAGCAGCGGCACTTATTGCTCGTGGTCCGGCCCGTCCTCGCGCTTTGGCTTGTTCTGCGGCTCTACGCCGACCTCCTAAATTCTGTTTTAACCGAAATCACCTGCACTGCGGCTACATTTACCTGGGTGGTCGTGCGTTTTATCGACATACTGCGGTTCGGTGGTACTTTGGAAATTGATGGTCATCATTGGAATTTCGGACAGATTATTGCCCTTGCTTTCTTCGCAGCGCCACTTGGATCGTTGGCAGGTTGCTTATATGGCACTATTGGGAAACTATTCTTCGGTAATAATGGCTTTTTCAGGTGTCTCAAGCTACAAAAACCGGAATGGTTACAAAGGTTTTGTAAAACAACACAGCCCGAGCAGACATCAGAAAATGAGCCAGACGATGGTATTCAACCCGGCTCCGAGCGTACCGAAAGAACTGATGGATTGGTTGCGAAGGATCACTCGGAGACCGCGGAGGGTAATCCTCAGGCGCAGACACCCGAGCAGAGAAATAATTTGGAAAATGGTGTTGATGACTTGTCCAAGAGCATAGATTATGTGAATACTTACAAGGTGCTTCTTTCGCCTCGGTTCGTTGTTGCACTTCCGGTCATGGGCTTCTCGAACTTACTGCACCTCGTGCTGCTACTGGTCTTACCGAAGGTGCCCGGTTACCCGTCGCCCCCTAACGTCCTCTGGCGGACCATTTTCTGGTACCTCGTCTATCAACCGCTACTTCTCTTCGCGTTTTTCCTCGCCGGGATGATAGTGGAGGAAAGAGTCACAAACGAGGGACGAATGCGAGTCGCATATCTGGTAATCGCCGCCGTCACAGCCGTATTATCTACGGCAGCTATCCTAGATACGCTGTACGGCCTTGGTGGTATTCCAATGTCGTACATAGGCATGGGAGCACTAGGTCTGATTCTACTCATCTATCTTTTATACGGATGTGTGGCTCGGCCTAGCCCTCTAGCGAAAGGCAAGGGTCGTAGGAATGGAGATATCGAGGAAGCTCAACCGCTCCTCGGGGGCACGATTGGAGATGTCAGAAGGAGGTTCATACCAGAAATTCGCATCTTCCCCGTGCGGAGACCGAAGCGGTGGCATGGCCCTTCACGGAGACCTCAGGTGACAAGAGGGAGAAGAAGCTACGGCACAATCGATTAAGACTTTAGCACGACGGTAGCTGAGCAAATGAAAATAACGGCGGGTGGCGGCACGGTTGCATAAAGTTTATTGGTTCATATCCCCTTCGAGTCTAGGATTGGAGGCATTGGGTTTCATATGTAGAATGAAGAATGAATCACGAGAGACGTCGATAGAAGTTACGTACCTAGATACTCTTATGAATATTCAAGCCTCTGAACAATTGCTGATATATTTCATTGGGAGCGATGGACGGCGTAGGATAGTTTGATACTCGAATTGAAACGTTAGGGTCTTACCGTATATCCTGATGTATGGTGCGAAACGGGAAAAAATGGATGTATTAAAGATGTAATAGATATAAGTACTGGGGTAGGTCATCTACTTCTCACTTCACGAAATAGCATGCCTGGGGGATCACGTAGTTTGTCCGATATGATCCAACTACTGGGTAGTTATTATAAATGGTAACATGAGTGGAAAAGTGAATTCAAGATTCCTTCTAGTTGATAGATGACTCACGTTTTACTACCAAACAATAGGTTACTCATGGAGGCTATTCCTCTCATGCTAGAGTCACACTTTTCAGGGGGGATTATATATACATACCCAAGTTTCTACATATCCATGATATCTCAATATCATAAAAGCATTATACTTATATATACTGGTAACTACATAATAATGACCCAGGTGTCAATCCATTGGCACCTTCCTCTCCTGACCCCTAGTGTCACTTAACCACATGAGATGAAGTATTTGGCAAGAGCTAGCTGATACTTCCTTCCTCCCTGTATAAAGTTTAAGGAATCTACGAGATACATATGGATTATGAACTGTCACACTGTAGCAATATGACTTTTTAGGTACAGTATGCATTGCCATTACTTTATTGCTGGCAAGTGCAACTATGGAAGTCTTTCCTCGCTCACCAGGTACCTACAGGTATTTAACAACGAGTCGCAGAACAATTTTTATTTTCATTCATGCACAACTAAACAACGTCGGTTCACTATTGTCGTTAGCCATCTCCTCTTCCCATCAATAAGTCACACATACAGATCAAGTATCTTGACGATCATCAACATAATCGTCCAAGGTCTATCATCTCAACATCAACCTACTCTGTGAATCAGACTGCAACTACCGTTGGGAAAAAATATATCGTGACGTTAACGGATTATCTGCTCTGTATCAAGGTACGATAGTGTTTCAATGAACTACCAGTCGTCACACTAACTAAATCTCATAGACTCATAATTATCCACCTTGATACCAGAATGGCGCCAAGAATCGAGGCATTTCCATTGGAGCTACTCAGAATGATCTTCGAGGTCGTACCGAAGCAGGATTTGAAAAGCTTGCGATTAATGTCGCGGGAATTCAATCGGGAAGCATCAACAATTCTCTTCCGGAGAGTGTACGCTTCTTCTCATCGGAAAGACCTCGATGTTCTGTCAGCTATTGCAAACCATCCGACTTTGAGCCGCTGCGCTCGCGAGATCGTATACGTTGGCGTCTTCTTTTCCCGCGAGTTTACCGAGCAAGACTATTTTGAAAAGGAGGAATTCTTGAAGCGTCGCCAGTACCTTGACGGATTGGAAGAACAAGATGAAATGATAAACAGTGGGCTGGACGTGGACATCATAGCCTCAGCTCTGATTAAGCTACCGTCCATCCGAAAGCTCATCTTCTCCAATCACTGGTGCTTAGAATCATCTAACCCTCCATTGATGAGAGACTTCCCCGACCGGTTAATGAGACCCGATGGCGACATATTTTGCAATATGGGCCATCCGACTGAGCCCATTCATGGTCACGGCTTCAAGGTTATGTGTCGAGCACTATCCATCTCCGGCCGCGAGGTCAAAGAACTCGCGATGCACTATCACAGCGCAAAGGATAACGGCGGCCATGAGCCTGATGATCCTTGGAACTCCGGCTTCTACTTTGACTCTCTGCCCCAAGGTGCCGGTGAAATCGAACGTGCTTGTAATGCTTTCCGAGGCATGCGCAAAATTGCATTGAGCCTCACCTACACCTACGATGTTCTACTACCTCAACTTTGGAAGGACAGGTGTGCAGGGTTGGCAAAGGCGCTTAGTGCAGCTAAGAAGTTACGCGAGTTGACGCTGAATTTCAATCACGATGGCGGCGAAGATGTCTATCACGCCGACGAGTTCAACGAGCTGCCACTAACAGCGGCCTTAACAGCTCACCCTCTGCCAAGTTTACGCACTTTGAAACTACGCCGCAAATATATGCAACAGGAAGAATTAATCGCGTTATTGAAGCCGCTCTGCGCCACCCTTGAAACACTGGAGCTAGCCTCTATCTATTTGACAAATGGAAGCTGGCGAGAAACTGCAATGGAATTGCACAAACTCAAGTGGCAGAAGCTGAAGCGGCTAAATTTTAGCGATTTAAGAGAGTGCCGTGGCTGGGTGTATCCTGAAGATCATGATGTTTACGAAGAAGAATTTATCAACTGTCTCGGAGTTGAAGACTGCATATATCGTGGCAATCCAAGCCTGATATCCGAGGTCTCCCACGATTCGATCAAAGAGCCTGATCTAGATCCAACGGATGATTACTGCAAGGGTTATGAGGATAAAAATAACTAGCAGTTTGTTGGTCTCGTGGATGCGGTTCAACAATTTACTCACATTCACATCTCTGGACTTCTTCAATTATCTGCCGAAGATATTCGGTGTAGGGTAGGCTGGGTAGGGTGATCAAGTCATTTAAAAAGGGGGAAAGGAGGTTCAGACAATGCAAATATGAAGGCTTACCTATTATAAAATGCATTCGGCAAATCAGGAAATGAAGTTTTACGCGTCCATTCTCTGTACTCACTCCTAGATTCGTGTATCTTGTGTATTATTTGGCTGACTAACCCTCCTTTTCATTTAAACATCGAATGCACGGACCACATGAGGTGGGTGATAGACGAATTGAAGCCCTCCGGAGTGAGCCGACACGTGGTACCTTCCTCTCCAGCCAGCCAGATTATCGGGTTTCTGATCCAATAATAGATTCCCTTCTATCCTTCAAGCGCCGATTTGGCAGCTGCAAGGTTCCTGACGTTCCTACGTATGTGACGGGCATGCAGGCATAGTTATTTCCAACTAACAATTTTGTTTTATCTCATTCTATTTACGATGCTGTGGTCGAATGTTGCCACCAATCCTTAGGGGAATGGCCCCTTTTAAAAGGATTTAGAACCCCTGACGCCAAAGCCAACATTTCATCCCATCTAACAGAGGTAAGACAAAATTTCTCACGCTATAAGATTATAAACCTGAATGGCTAGATTCATGCCGACGCATCGCCCACAGAGGTATACGTGTCGGATTCGTAATTCCAGCAGAATCGATGCTACGCTAAGGTCAGCGTTTAGATGCTATGATGATGGGGCCGCCCAACGCAACCAATCGGCTCGTACGCCGTCGCATCGGCGAGCAAATTCGGGCTGTCTAGAATGTTCACCCAACGCCGCCGCACGCTATCTTGAAACAGAGCGGCGTTTCTTACAAAGTTCGAATGAACTTCTCGCCTTGATTGGCCTCACGTTTCGCTCGCCGCCAAATCGAAGGGCACGAAAAATTTCGGGGATTTATTGCGTAGATCGATGGTCTAACCCTGCAAGGTACCCGGATCCTTAGATCTTTCGGACTCGGTAACTAACCTCTTACAGTTAAGGGCAGCCAAGCCATCATCGCTGTGATTGGCGGAGGCTTAACTCTTAACTGCTCCTCATATGTAGACCTGGATCCTGGGTGGCTTACTTGGGGGCAAATTGAATCGGAAGCTGGATTTTATATTTTATTTCCAAGGACTTGCCTGCCTTGTCGGCAACCCTGAGCCGAGATGACCCTCGAGTCGACCGTCTCATGTAGTAAGAATCCTCTCGCCTCTCACGCTAGGGGCTGACGACGAATGGCAGCCCTGGAGCAGGTAAAGAGTCGAAGTCGACTAAATATAAAGAAATGCCCCCAAAGCGGCCACCATCGCAGCTCCCTTCATCCTTCTCTTTCACTTGCCAACTGACTCAGGGTCGTGAGAACTACACTCCTTTAGATATTGTGTCTGGTATACAATAGCTCCATTCATTTGAACCATACTCACGAGTCACTACCAAGCTAACTACCTACCTACTTACCTACCTACCCACTCCTTTTCTAGAACTACGAACCTATAACTGTCTAGTTATAAAATTTACTTACACACTTATATATCATACACATCTGAATCAAGAAGATTCTCAAGATGAAGTCCATATTCACCCTCACCACCCTCCTCCTCACCACGGCCTCGGCCCTCCCCTTCTCCGTGTCCCCATCCCACCGCGGCCCCAGAGCGCTAGCCACGCGCTCGAACTGCACGGCGCACGCCGTCAGCGCGGACGCCGAGCCGGACACCGGCGGCGCCGGCCTCAACATCACCAACGCGGACAACCAGACGCGGTCGTACTTCGTGTACGAGAACGGCTGCGACACCGTGCCTGCCAAGTACCTCTCAGTCGACGCCGGCGCGACCAAGTTCCTGCCCCTGCCCGCCGGCTTCCAGGGCCGCGTCGTCCGCGGCACGACCGACGTCAACCTCGACGGGTCGGCCCATACCCTGGGCACCTGGGTCGAGATCGGGCTCGACGCCTCGGGAACGGGCTGGGCCGACGTCTCGCTGATCCGCGGCATGGACGGCGCGGTCACGATCGCGTCGGCGGATGGCTCGGGCGCGAAGACCGGGTTCAGCGAGAATAGTGTCCTAGATGATGCGACGGAGTCCATATTGGAGGCTAAGCCGTCGGGCGCGATGGCCATCAAGGCGACGGAGGACTGGCAGGCTGCGCTGCTGTCGAACGTGGTCAGTTACCTGGCGGGAAAGCTCGGGTACGCCGTCGCGTACATCGACGACTACCACGGAAACCCGGTCATCAGCTCGTCCAACAGCCGCTTCGCCGTTACGTTCTACGAGGGACGGCCCTAAAGTAAATGTTTGTGGGTCTAGCCGAAGAAAGAGTTTGACGGAAGCGTAAGGCGTCTTTGGAGGATCCGAGGGATTTTCGGCGTTTGGACTATATTTGGAAGGTGACTAGGGAGGGGCGCGGTTGTCGTCTAAAGGACTATATTACCTAACAGGGCTGAACTGCCAGAAAAAGTGATTTTCTTTTTATTTTCTGTTTATTTATATTCATCTTCCGTTCTTGTATATATCTACTGGAAACAGATTTAAGATATCCGCTTAAGTGTCGTCACTGGACACTTGTATTTACTCTTCTCTATGTATGCATGTAGGTATGCATGTACATGTGAATATCCTCCTGTGTTCTCATATGTCTCTTTCTGCTTGAAGGGAATTGTCGCTCCGAAGTTCCTGATGTGCTATGTTACACGTTGGGAACTTCTCGGATTTCTCCCTACTCGTATCACATGTCTGGAAACAACAGCTTGGTTAGGATCCGTTGAATTTACCTCGCAACTTACCACAATGATCCAACTAGTTACTCAAAGAAGTTCTGCGTTTAATTGAAGGATTTTAGCCAATACAGGCCGGGCGAGAATTCTGTTTGCTTACTATGTAATAATAGGTTTCCAGTAAGACGTCGTTAGCAGGTGTGTTACGGTGTCTCACATGCCAACTGCGGATTTATGGATATCGAGCTGTTGGGAAGGCAGACTTAAATTAGTTGAGATCCTATCAAAACAGGAACCAATTCGCTGTATACTGCACAGAAGATGGTGGTATCTGAGCAACAGCATCGTAGTTGGATTTTGTTCAAATGTCTGGCTAAACCGCAACTCTGCTGCGGCGAGCCTATGTTTACTGGATTTATGATAAGTTTTCCTTCCACAGAAGTGATACTGAACCTATTTGGCTTCTTCAATTACCTGACAGACTCATATCTGCCTATCAACCGTCTGAGGGGTATTGTCAAAGGTTTGAGGTTTATAGAACAGCTGTTCGCCCTTTAATTCTTAGTGGCATAGTAAACTTTTGGCTGTGTGAGGCTACCTGGGTAGATATAAATGACAGCAAGAATCTCTCTAGAAATTCGACATTATTGAGCAACAAATAGAAGCCGAATTTATCCACTATCTCAATATATACCTAATTCACTTCAATTGACCTGAACTCAACATGTACTTCATCGCAGTCCTTGCGGTCCTCGTTTCCTTTGCCGCCGTAGAGGCCGGAGCCCAAATTATTGGATGGCCAAATTGGAATGTCACGTTTTACACGGATAAAGAGTGCAAAGATGCACACTCAACCGCTCAGATAAACCAAAATTTCACATGCCAGGCTGTCTATCGAGCACAGGACCAAGTATGGTCGTGAGTTTCCAAACCCCTAATTCCTACCTACTAAATTTCGATATACGGATAACTTAGTACCTTAGAAGAGGCAGCTTTAGATACTCCTCTTACATTGAATTTTCTACTTGGATGAAAGCTAACCTCGTCCCTAACCCAATAGATACTTCCCAGTAGGACCGAAGACTTTCCGTCATGGCGGCTCTGCCAACTTTACTGTCTACACAAAAGAGAACTGCCCAAAAGCTATGGCTTCTACGTTTGGCCAAATAGCAAAATTCAACACGTGCAATACGGGACCAGCTACCTTCATGAGTTATGACATGTACTTTAATCCAGGGGAGGCCACAGACTAAGGTTGAATCGTTGAAGTGCAGTAGGTAAAGGGGTCTAGAGGACTACGGAAATAGGTATTCCTATAACTTGCGAATCGCTAGGTATTCAACATACCATGGCACTTTAGTCATTAGTCCAGGTAGACTCCAAGTCGGTAGTTTAGGGATAGGGGGTGAGAGCTGAGCAGGAACTCAACATACCAAAATACACAGCTTACGAATTTCATTTTAATTCCTAACTGGGGGTAGATACCAATGTCTCCCGTATTACGCAAACCATGATGCAAGCAGATGGTGCCTATATGTTCTAGAATTAGGGGTACTTCGTATATAAGGCAATTTTGATGTTTTGGAGTCTTATTAAGGGTCACGAAATCAACAAGACTTAATACCACCCCTGTAATTAAACCATTCGTAATTCATAACCCATAACCTCATTAGAAATGAGGGCATCTGGGGAAATCTAGAGTCTCAGCTACCTTTACTCGCTGGTGTTGTTATATCCGGTACCCCGAAAGGAGATTGCCCTTCTCCAGCTTCCTCAGACCGATCTCCCATCCTCATCTTTTACCCTTACCCCTCACCAACCAACCACTCCGAATCCGTCCCAGACCATCACCCGCTTTCCGCTAACCTCACAAGTCATTAAACCCGATAAGCACTCTCGGTCCGTTGCTCACCGCGATTGCCCAAGCCCAAGCCCGTCCCGCCTCGCCCGTGTACAAGCCGGCAGCCCTATCAGCCCTCTTCTCCTCCTCCAACCAGCCCCTATTCTCCAGCTCCTCCGTGCTCATCCACGACAGGAAGTGCAGGAACCTCTCGTGGTTGTCCCGGCTGAGGGCTAGAGCGTTGCCCGCGATGCCGTGGCACAAGCACGGGTTCTTCGTTAGCAGGCCCCGTTTCCAGACGTCCTTCTCGGCCTCCTCCATCGCGGCCTCGACCCTGTCCCGCATCGCCGCCGCGTTATTCGGGAAGTGCGGCAGCAGCGAGCGCAGCGCGATGATGATGCCGGGCGCGCCGTGACAGAACTGGACTAAGTGGTCCTCCGGCGGGAGCTCGAAGTCTTCGTACTGTGTCCGCGCCGTGGGCGGGAAGTTGCCGCTAGGACACTGTCGGTCGAGGACCCGCTCGAGTATGGTGTGTACGCCGAACGAGATCAGCCGGTGCGAGAGCATGAGCTGCGTGACCATGCCGACAGTGCCGTGGGCGGCGCCGAAGTACTCCTTGCCGTGCCAGTAGTGTGTCGGAGAATTGGCTAGGATGCGGACCATGGTGTTCTGGATGGTCTTGTCGAGGAGGGTCGCCGTGCTAGATTCTGGAGTCTCAATATCGTTGACCAGGGTCTTGCATAAGCGCAGGAAATAGAGGTAGCCGGCGCGTCCGTACATCCACTCGTCGGAGCCAGTGAGGTGTCTGTCGTTGCAGTCTTGGTCAAAGGAGCAGATCTCCCGGACTAGATTGGTGTTTTGATCCATGATCGCGCTGAGGGAGAGATGGGCCAGGGTCTCGTTTGTGATGCCACAGTCGGTCGAGTAAGGCTCCTTCTTAGTCCGGTGGGCGCCTAGGGCGAGGTAGGCTACGGACCAGTCCAGGAGGGTCTGTTGCTTGAACTCCATATCGGGGAAGATTTGAGATAGGCGGTAGAATAGATAGGCGATTGAGGTTGGTCCGTTGTAGAAACCTTGAAACTTCCATCCTGTGGAGCAAGTATGGACCGGGGGCCAGTGCGTTGTGATCCGGTCAAGGCTGGCTAAGAGTTCTCTATTGGCGTCAACGGTCCGCGGAGTCTCGTCATCATTGACGATGAAGCGGCGTGGAGGTGCCATGTTGTCGTCAGGTGAGTCCGAGTAAGACCAAGTGAAAGATAGGAATGTAAGTTGATGTGTGGTAAGTAGTCCCCAAGTCCGTAAGAAGTATCCGGATGAAGAGTACGTGGTGGTATGAGGATCAGCTGATGAGCGAGTGAGTGAAACAGGTAGTCGTAGTAGAAGAGTTGTCCTAGGAAAAGAATTGTCCTAAGAACTTCCGGTACCTAGATAGTTTTATAGTTTTTGGAATTATCATGTACTCAGGTAGCAGCTGCCTCAAGCAATTGCTATAAGTCGATAGGTTGCACAACTTCGATGTAAACAGGATGATGAATGACGTCATCCACAGTAACTATACTGTAAACCTAGGTATGCATACATAATTTCATCCAAACTTAATGGCTATTAAATAGGAAGTGGCTATGAGCGTTATATGCGAAAGGGGGTAATCTTGGGTATGTTATGGCGTTGTCAGTGTATCAAATCGAGTTGATGTCCTAAGTGGGACTCCTGCGTGCCTCAGCAATGTTGTAGGTGCTAATCAGAGCCAATATATCACCCAGCTTGAGCTTTGGTCTGCTTTGTCCTAAATTTTAGTGTTGCTTGCCTGAACCCCAGCAAGGACATATAACTGAGCATAGCTCCCTTCTGCATAACAACGAAAGACACCCCGAGACGAGCTCTTCCTACAATTTCTTTAAAGACGAAATATAGAATTAGGTACCTAGATAGAGAAGTTGGTTAGGATGCTATAATTAATAGCTTGAGCCTTGGGTTATTCTTGAACGTTTCATAGTAAACACACAGACGAGAGCAACTCTGGGATATGCCACCTTCTCAATTTTTGAATAACTAATGAACTGCCCTAGGATTTCCGAGCAGCCTGTCCTGCGTGACGTTAGCTCATAGATCCTTAACATATAAGGACAAACCATAAGCATTCGCCGTTTCATAATGTTACAAGCCACCTCCCCCCGCCACCCTAAGCACCAGCCTCGGGAACGAAAGCGTATCTCGGCATCATCGCCATCCTCTCCTCCGGACTGATCTCGTCGTCGTATACCATCTTGACGTTCTTGTCCTTGTCCTTCTTCGACTTCTTTTCCGTCGCCTCGCCCGCCTCGCCAGTAGTTGGCGTCTCCGGCTTCTTCGGTGGCTTGATTCCAGCCTCGGCCATCCTGATTATCTGGTCGATATCGTCGCCTTGCTGAGCAGCGCCAGAAACGAGTTCGTCGATGGTTGACGCATTTCCTTGCCACCCGGCTTGTCCGGGGCGAGGGGGCAATCCGGGAGGAGCGGGAAGGTTGCTGCCAGGTCGCTGAGGAAGACTTGGCGGCGGGTATGCGCCAGGATATTGGGGTGGAGGCGAGTAACCAGGCACGGATTGGGGAGGGAATCCCGGGTATTGACCTCCTGGAGGAGGGAAAGGTGAATTCTGTTCGATATGGTTAGCATGGGCTATAGCAACAAAACCAAGAGTGCACAGCGGGGTACGTACAAATGCACCAGGAGATGCACTTTGTGCGGGACTGTTTCGATCGGGTAGGCCATCGCGAGGCGTATGAGTCGCGCTTCCAGCTGACTTCTGGGCAGCAAGTCTCGCACGGTGCTCTGCTAATCGTTTCTTGATCTCATCTGCCGTTTCGATCCTGAGTTTCTTCGCCGGACCCTTTCGACCCTGTCCAGGCGGGGGGTTTCCCGTCGCCGCGTATCGCTCGGCTTGGGCTTGGTAGAAGTTCTGGATGATGCGCTGGTTGTGCTGTTGGACGATGTCCTCCGGGATACCTTCCATACCGAAGATCTCGACATCGAGGCCTTGTCGATTAGGGAGCGCATTTTCGACTGACGATAAAGATTCCTTGTGGACTTGATTCATATGAACGGAGAGACCTGTCGCACATGAGAATTAGCAACTGCGTCGCGTCGAATTAGCTTCGATGGAAGGGAATTTCTCACCTCCAGCCGTGTTCAAACGTCGCCCACATCGATCGCACTTGAAATGTTTCGCCTTCTGGTGCGATATCAAAAGCTTAAGGTCTTCGAAGTCTCGCTCGCCTATCGAATGAGTCAGCAATGGATCTCGGAAACATCAAGATGAATCCGTTAGAGCATACAATAGTAGCACCAAGGTCGGGCGAGGAGCTCCTCGACGTCGGGGTGACCACGCTTCTTCTTTCCCATCGCTGCGAGCTAAAAAGAATTGGTACCAGGTAAAGTAAACGTGAAATGCGCAGATTCCGTCAACCCGGAGTGTAATTAATTCAAGGTTGTGCTGCTGTCGGATCGAAATTGCGTGGACAAGAAGATTGCCGTCGCGAAAAGTTGATTGAAGGTGAAGCGCGAAGAACAGTGTTCAAGGTTGTATGCTGCTAGTTAGAAGATACCTAGGTACTTCCCTAAGCTTCCGCCACAGGTTTTGTGGCTGGTAGACGGGCGGGTGTATTTGTGGCGGTGCAACCCCTATGTTGGTACGTAGCGGATATTTGTTGCTCGTTATTCAACCTGGTTTCTTTCACCTTGACAGGTTAAATCTTTTAAATGTATGGAATGTTATAGATAACCTCGTGAATAATATGAGGGAAGTCCCATTTGCAAGTTACCTGTATGTGCCCCCTAAAAGCATCTTCTACTTACCCTTTATGATATTCGGTTGAGGGCAATACTTAAACCACCTTGAGACTCCCTTCTTATCCATTAGTGAGCTGATATAAACATTTCTACACAGTGTTTCAGTAATTCTTATCTTCCACATTGTGGTCGACCTTCATCACCATACCAATATGATATCAAGGCATCCTATTGCCTCAGATTACCGGTGAGCCTGGCTGCCAAGACTGATCTCTTGTCCATCTATAAGTATTGAATATAGAGTATCATTAGCATTCGTAAGGCCTTGTTGGATTTGAAGACGGCTGAAGGTGTTTTTGGTCTAGTAATGATGCTTTTGCTCACGAGGTTCCTTGACTACTTTCTATTTCCACTTGTTGCATTATCTGGCAAATTCGGTGCTTGCAATACTACCTGTCAGAAGCCTCATCTGTGAGGGTAGCTAGAAATCTCCTCAGAGCTAGTTGGTAGCCCGGGAGGATCGGGGGCCTGCCTGTGAAGAGACCGCGGTGTTCCTAGGTGGCTCCAGAAGGACCTGTTGGCAGACTGGCCCTGGATTGTTAGGCAAAGAAATGTCTATATATGTACCGTGTTCTGGCAGAGAGTAGTTTAGAGCTCCTTGCGTAACAACGTCAATGATTCCTAGTCCTTTATTTCCGCCTCGTGACACTACCCAGGACTACCGACACGGAGATGGCCTATAAGATGTTATGCCGTGTATTATCCGGTTCTGGTTTTCCTCGCCTCTAGCAATATATAAAATCTGTCGATGTTTACCGATTTGTACCGATCATGGATTCAACATCTCCTAGAGTAGATCATAAATGCATGACGTAGAAGACTTGTGATGACTATTGAGCTAGGCATACGTAACTTGGAAATGGCGGTAATGAGACTGTCGGATGAGTCTTACCTAGCTATTTGACGTAATTCAAGATTAGGCAAGTACGTAGCCAATACTCTAGGCGGATAATATCAACGATTGAGATACCGCCACCGACTCTGAGCACTGTAAAGGAAATGTAGCTCCGGTTGCTGTTCCAAAATAGGGATGGGGCGGAAGACAATGTGTTGGAGAGCCGCGTGAGGCTAAGAGCCCGGCTGTTCCGCTGGGGATACCGACAGGATGCAGACAAGCCGGAAAACTGTAGCGGTAGGAAGGCGAGAAACAGGTTCGAGTTTCACGGAATACGCAAAGGCCCAGCTGACTTTCGAATATGCGAGCTAGTCCATCCGATTAGCCTCAATTTTATTGCGGTGCTTCAGCGGTATTGTCCTGGCCTCCTATATGACCATTGCCTGGATTTCTCCCGTTTTGAAGGACACGATGTTAGAATATCTCACGTAGAAGAACATGCGACTTCAAGTCAGAGAGTTTGTGTTCCTCACCCAAACTACCCCAGCACCTTTATGTACCTCTTCATAGTTCCAGCGTAGGTACCATAAGGCCACAGCAACGCAACTTGGTGCTAGAAGGGAGAACAATTGTTGTGTAACTGGATAAATAGGATCCTGGGGTCGGTAGTGGTCGTCGGACAGAACCCTTTAGCGCTAAGGAGAGTCTCACAGAGCATACGTAGCGTTTGCTTCCTATCCATGGCTATGCGTCGTGATTTAGTCACTTAATTTAATCGAAAATCAAATCGAAAACAATTCATTGGACGGGCTTATATATTTAGGTAACCCCAGTAGTGCGGCTCAATGGAGAACGGATGTGAGTCTACCTAGACATGCGGGATGGTCACATCGAACGTGTACGGTACCGTTAGGTCGAATGTTGCCGAATGTCGAGTAACATGACACGACAGTTAGAACGATCTGGCAATGTAATGCGCTCATTGTCATTGGTCCTCGACCGTTTCCTGGCCGTTTGGAGTTGGGGCGTGGGATGTTTGTCCAAGTTTTATATACTTAGGTGAGTAGGGTCATGTTGGCTTGGAGGACATTGGCTATGAAAGCCGGCTACCATTATTATCGTATAAATTGAGACACCATGGACATCCGCTGCCTCGAAAAAAACTTAGAGCAGTTTTAGCTTGTAAATCGTTCTCTTGCTGGTCGTCGCCAGGAGAGTCAGATATGGCTCGTATTCTGTATAAAAAGTCAGTAATTCGACAAGACACTCCCTACATGGCGGCTTCTGAAATAAAATACATAATCTTACCACCAATTCTTTCTTGTATGCCTTCATGATCCCGACGCTCAAGGTGGCGTATTGTGGTACTCCGAACCTAGGTCGGCTAGGGTCTGGTACATTGTACAACAGTTTCCGCGTCCATGGGTATGGATATACTTACAAATTCACGACGAATCGGGAAGACGCCGAAAAGGATTGATGATTATTAAAAAGAGTATGATTGGCATCGGCTGATGGCATGTCGTGTACGACGAGTTTCATCGTTTTCTTCCTCGATCTGGGTAAAGGAGACAAGCAGCACTAGATTCGGATATCTGCTGCGTGACATTCAGATCATTAACGGAACAGCAGTACGACCCTATAGATGGATAGTCAATAGAAAAGAATCATCGAGAGCCTAATAGAATGGACCTACAGGCTGACTAGACGGTTTATGCAGACTGCGGTCGAACAGCCCTCGCCAACTAGTAGTGCATATTGTTTCGGTCAACCAACTGCGAGGCCAAATGGGGGAGGACGATAAAAAGAAACATTGATTTGGTAGAGGAAAGAGAATGGAGAATAGTAACTAGGGAAAAGTAGAAGCAAAATGACGAAGGGAAGTTAAGGCAAAAGAAAGGCAAGATAGGGAGTAGACGTCCCCTTACCGAGAAACGAACAAGGCAATAAATGAAGAAATAATAAGAGGCGAATATTAGGCCTGATCTTGAATAGTAACAGGTGTGACCTCACTAGGACTCGCAAGACCTAGGGTAATGTGAGCAGGGAGCCTCATAGAAGGCAACGTAGGCCTGTCATAAACCCGCTGCCTAGTAACACGACACGTGATGTGTAGGACTTGATCCGCGGGGATTATACCGAGAAGTGCATCGATGTTGAGGCATGTTAAGCCTCGAAATCGGCTTGAAGAAGATATATGAAATGCGACAGGGTAAGGAACGTAGATACGAGCACTACGGCGGTCGCGGGGACTTTGATGCAGGAGGTTGCTAGTCTTTTCTGATTGGTTGTGAGTAGTCGTCCTGATTGGTCCAGCTGAAAGGTACCGGGGGATGGCCGACCTTACTTACCCTACCTGCCCTGCCTTGATACCTCTTCTCTACATAAAAACCCATATCCTCCCCTACCATCCTCTTCTTCCTCTCCCCTCTCTATTCACCACTTCACCCACGTTCATCAAAAGAGGGCCACCAAGCATAAAAATTCATCATGGCCCATCCACAAAAAGATAGCAAAAACCGTCCTACCTATTTTGAGGCCCATCAGACCAATGATTCATGTAAGTCCAGTCGTACCCGTGCCACCAACGCTTCCCACGATTAACCAATCTCCCAGACGGTCGCGAGGTCTCAAGAATGGCTCAGCACCCAGTCCATGACCAAACCATGGAACGTCGCGTCGTTGTTCCGCGTGACCAGAGAGATGCATGGCCGTCGTGTAAGGCTCGACTTTTGATTGAGTATAGAACTTATTTTCCCCAATCTGACAAGTTATAGATGATCATATGATGCCACATGCTGCTCTTCCTCATCGAGAATATTGGTCTAAGTATTCGCAGTCAACCGCCTATCCTCCTGTAAGTAGTAGATGTGGCGGGGTATCACACATACAAGATCATGACCTTAGTGGTGGAAGCCAACGCTATTGGATACCCAACTCATGGATGCAAACTAACAATCAGAAGCGTCCTCCTCACCCGTCTCTACGGTCTTCAGCTGAAGTGTCGTATCCCGCTTCGCCGACCGCGGGAAAATCAAGGCGTAAGCACAAAGATGATGCCGCACGTTCCCTTGAACCAGAGGTATGGAATGTAACCCCGGAGAAGCGGAAGCCCGTCAAAAGCGAGCACCGAAGAGTCCTTCGAGGTACATACTCGGATCCAGGTGCGAGAGCCTCAATCAGCGCGCGTAGTTACACCCATCGCATAGGTAGCAATGGAGAACCCATATTTCCTAGCATCAAAGAAGCCGATGATGAGAGCGAACGCCGGATCGGCCACATGGATAAGCACCATGTGTCTGTTCCACCCAGAGCTCCTAGAATCCCAAGACTGCCAACGCCCGACTTCAGCGATGACGAAGAAAGTGGTCCGTTCTGCCCGTGTTGCAATGCAGAAGATGGCCACGAAGTGGGCTGTGAACAAGAAGAAGACACCCAGTCTAAGATGAAAAGACAGCGTACGTCTCTTCCCATTCGATAATGCCCTGATTATGGGACCTATTCGAATGTCCTACGCAGATCCCCGTCCTAATCAAAATGGTTTAGTGCACGACGCGAAGGCATACATGGCACGCAAGAATTCACGCGCGCACTGAGCCAGAATGAGCAGCACATTTTCGTTTGAAAATCGAGGGAATTGAGGGAACCTGTGGCGTTAGGGCTGATATTAATTTGGGTCGTTTCTCCTTCTGCCTACTTAAACGGCCTCGGCGGGTATAGTTTGCAGTTTTCAGGGGTAATGTGCTTGGTTTCCTGCTTTATAAGGGCGTCACACAGAACTTCAGGACTCTTAGGATTTGAAAAGGTATTTCTCACGAAGGAAATGAAGCTGGGCTAGGTAGGCAGCTATGAGTGGGAGGAGTTGGGGGAGTTGGAGGAGGTGAGGTCTGCTTTAGGTGTGATCATGGTCAGAAAAGTGGCGCATGTGGCTGGTGATTCATATGTGATCGTCGCAGCCACATCGCTACTCCTAGGCACACCCTCTATGAGATTAGGTAATACAATGGCACATTTCCTCAACCGAGGTAGACTCGTAAAGGTATTATCTCCTATTTGTCTAGGGGTAAGGTCCGCGATATCGTCGCAACTCATGTTGAACTACAAGATTAACCCTGCCTCGGGCTTACAGAAGGGTCTGGTATATCCATACATCATCTCGAGAAGTCCAGTCTAAGCGGTCGTTTCATCCGTAGAATAACTATTTGGAGTAGCCGATGACCCGAAGACTTGGTCTGATTCTTAAGAGCCTGCCAACCATTCCATTATTTTCAACCCCTCCTTAAATCAATATCATAACAGAGGATCATGAGCTAGAGGTTCGGACGGAAAACGCTAGATTAAATCTGTTAACTTGTGTCGAAAGGTAGAAGAGAGGGAGCTAACTAGAAGGGGGGCTTACATCTCGAACTGCGGCATGGCTGTTTGCATCTTTCGTTTAAACTCGACCAAGCGCATATGGATCCAGGGGAAATTTAAAGGAGATGCCTTGTCATCGCCAACACTGCGGAGGTTGGCCTCGTCTGAGAATTCGCATATTTGTCGGTCAAGGAATTGTTCAAGTTGGCGCAGCCAAAGCGGAAATTCCCAGGGAATCAATACGCCACCTTGATGAATATTTGAGTGTTCGCATTTATTGTTGCTGATAATGGTTTTGATTCTTTTGAACTCTTGATCTAGAGCAATGAGCTCGGTCTTTATACTAGATGGAGTTTCCATGACGCAAAACCTGTCTCGGCGGACGATGAGTTTGATGAGCTTATGAATCTTGCGGTGGTAACACTCTTGTTCTGCGTGGTCGAATCGACAATTCGTGGCATTTCCGCTTAAAGAGAAGTATAGGTGGCACTCTAAGCATGTCCAATAACTTCTCGGCTCCTCCGTATCATAATTTTGAGGAGCGCGTCCGACACCACTACCTAACGCTGTGGGTCTGAGCGTTGGTAATGAGCGGGTTCCAGTGAATCCCATGGTGTTGATAGTGGCGGACCTTGAATAGTTTCAAGTTGAAGGCAGATATATAATGTGGTAACGAGATTGACAGTGGTGCTAATTGTTTTTAAAGAAGCAGGGTCGAGAGATGGTAGTGTTTCATTAAAGTTGATTGATGCAAGAAAAAATTCGAATTCAGAACTCGGGAAGAATGATGACACTTTACAGAGAGGAAGTGAGTGGTGATCAACAGAAGAGCAAATAATTTGATCATCTGAATATATTTTTGCAACGAAAACTAGAACTAACGGAACAATTCTCGTCTGTCGAAGGATACCTATCGTCGACTATCGTCTTGAACTATAGAGTAGGGTGGCAGGTTTATCTGTTGTCTATAATACGGTTTGTACTTAGTCGACTATATCTTACACTGCTTTTATTATTGTTTGGCTTAAGTTTTCATTATCAAAAATTTATATAAGTTACACCCTATCAATTCTATTGGCATAGAATGTAGATACTCATTGATACTGGTCGAATCATCTATGGTTGTCTTCCTTAGTAGTATCAGTGTAAAAATAACTCTTTGAGCCATCTCATATCATCTTTCGTCTAGAAAAGTCACCATACGGGAACGTCCGTGAATAGATAATAAGTGTGGCTCCTTTTGTCCTAAGTTTACTATCTTTACATACAGTCGGTGCCTACCTACACGACATCCAGCAAAAGCCCTTAGTGTCAGGGGCATAAGTGGAGTAGGCCTAGAAGGAGGTCCTGTGGACCTCCTGCTAGGCAAATGCCAATTAGCAAGGTATAAGAAGGGGGCTTTGCCCCCTTCAACCTTAGAATGTAGCAGCGTTATTAGTTCATTCATAGGTACTTGCTATATACTAGCAGCGGCTACGCCGCTCCTCTGCACTCACTTTACGCTTGACTTAGGGACCTATCACTGACACTTAGGACCGGAAGCTTGGGGGTACAAAAAGAACATCTTTATTATTCCACAATCAACCCACAGACTCTTCACCCTGTTGAAGTTGAATTAAATGAGTCTTCTTTCAATATTGTCCTATTTTTCACTAACAATGTCTTCAGCTGCGATCTCCATAGCCTTATCAGATCCCATACAAGATATGCGCCACTCATAAATGCTCTTAGGAGTAATCTCAACCTCAAAGTCAACATTGGGAGGAGCCACAGAGGCGGATAGAGCCGCTTTATCCGTTCCAGGACGATTCCACTTCCCACCAATCGGTCGTACATCAAAACGAGTGATCATCAGAGCCGCAAACGCTAGGATCTCTGTACTAGCAAAGTGTCGACCGGGGCAGAGACCAGTCCCGCCTCCAAACCCACGGAAAGCAACTGGGTTTGGACGCTTCTGATGGGTTGACCGTATGAAGTGCTCATGATAGAATTCGTCGACGTTACCGCCCTATATGTCGCGGAAAGTATGTTGAATTGGCCTTGGAATCATGATTGTGTTGCCTTCAACAGATACTTGCCGTCGAGCATATGGTCTTCTAGAATCATGCGAGCAGAGATCCCTGTGCCATGGAAGCGCAATACTTCCGTCCTCTTGGATGATGTTAGATACTTCATCCCTGCAGCTCTCCAGAGCAGATGGATTGGAATAGAGGTGATAAATTATCCAAAAGGCAGCAGGCCCAGTATTGCCGGTGATGGCAAATATGTTCCCAACCTCTGTTCTAGGAATATCATCGGCTGGAATATTGTGATGCATATTGTGATCGTATGGGCACTTTGTAAGTGCAGAAGCGTTGCGATAATCGCCATTCCGGTGATACTTCTTCAGTGCCTCAACTACTATTTCCCTGGCTTGGTAGGCCTTGGGAGCCAACAGCCTCGGGAGTATATTGACGAGCGAGGAGGCAATAGCATCAAGACCAGGGCCTGAAGACAGGGCTGGATGGATCGCCTTGGAAAGGTCATCAAGTAGCCTTGGTCCGCTACCATGTCTTTGGCCATGATGTCAATGGCTGCTTGGCTCACTCCCATGACATTTTGGGCAGCTCTCACCTCAATAGGACCAAAGGCGAGGGTTTTGAATTGGCGCTGAGCTACCTGGATGAGAGTGGTGGAATTGATAACATAGATCCGAGAACCAGGCAGTCTCAGGGTATAAATAGGATAACCATTCGTATCTCTACCGTGAAATATCCGTTAGGTTTATTCATCTACGACATTATGGTTTAGAAAATTTACCTCAAACGATTATAGAACTTAGATTTCTGTGTTATCATGCCAAATACAGGACCCAGGAATGGAATAAGAAAGCCGATAGTAGGTGGCTCCTTTGTAGACTGGGTGAAATACAGAAGTAGTTGGAGGAAGACATACGTCGCCGCAAGGCCCGTAATGGCAGTTACTAACGTCTCGTAAGGCAGAACTCGAATAAATCATGATCCAGCGTTCGATTACCTATGTAGGTGCATGGTTGGATGATGGGTGCATCAGTAAACCTGCGGCGTCATTTCAGGGGTTATACTGTATATATTACAATTCAATACTGTATCATGTACTGTAAGGTAAAAGATGGACCTGGCGAGAACACGCACAGACTACTAGGAAATTACTAGCTTACCTAACTTACGCGACGGGGGTGTCCCAGTTTCGGGGCTTGTTTCGTTCCTTGGTTGACAATCAAGTGGTTGACAATCAACACGTTTCGGCAGAGCAAAATCCTCAAAATCTAAGATTCAAATAGCCAGAGGATTAGGGCGTCAAGTGATCGATACGTTTAATTCCTACTCGAAATACGCTTTCCATATTTAGTGTGTTCATAAACATAGTAAGTCCAAGCATCTATATCGTGTCGTACACTCGTGGAATTCCTTGTGCCGAAGACTCGGCTTCGTCATCTTGTCTGCATGGTGCTCAGATAGGTTGCATATCAATTTCCCGTTTCCTTGTTGTCATTGGCTGCATCTCCTAACATCGAAAGACCTTTCCCTGTCTTCGCGTTACTAGTCTTCATAAATCAAAATAATTGAGGCGTTGCAAGGTCAATTCTAATCTCATCTATCCCACGCGGATGGGAAGAGGCTCTAATAAGCTATGAAGATCGTCTACCTATTGAGAAAGTTGCCAAGTCGGTTTGCTTGCTTTGGCCCAGCCTCCCTCGTCCCGATGCCCCCCCGCATGCTACCGCACTCCGGACAATTGTCCAGTCTTAAGCTCTCGTCCCCGAGAACCGAGCTACTCTCATTTGACCCATATATCACGACATCGTTCATACCGGCTTCATCACTCACAGATGCATTCTTATTTCTGCCATCATTCGTGGGATTACATCTCCAGCATGAAGGATGTGGGGAATATCGGGTTTATCATCTCACGTCTTGGTCCTAGCTGACGGGTAGCACGTAGCCACGACTTGAATCTTCCATGTTCGGGCTGCCGCTAGGTCAAATAATAGAATGGGGAATCACATTCCTCAAAGAACGCTCTGCCGCGAGCACGATATCTAGTGGGCTCCTGGAGAGGTATATATCCCTCAACAATGTTCCTTACAGGTGCGGCCCCCTTCATCCCACCTTCTATCGCTACTCCTGGTTAAATGTCTTGTAGTTTTCTCTCGGCCGTCTTGAACGAGCTAAGTCAACAAAACAGGATGTGCTCACAGATTTCTTGGTTCATTTCTCTATTGCTAGCTCTTACGGGATTTGGATCAACAACAACTTTCTCTGTCGACATCCCAGCAGGTTCTTCTGTGAACGTTTCCGATGTGATCGATCCGAGCTTTTGTGGCTTCGCCTTCGAGGAAGCGTCTTTTGTTCGGTATGCCCAAGATGACAACGGCGACGCTAACACCTTTTCTATAAACCTGATCAAGGCTGTTACCTCGCGAACGGGCGGGGATCCAATCATCCGGCTTGGTGGGACATCTCCCGACTATGGGAGATACCTGCCAGGACAGGAGGAACCTGCGCTGCCTGTTGCTGAGCAGGACAATTACCAGAACATCGGGTACACGACCATCGGACCCTCCTACTGGAACCTAGCTCAGAATTTCCCAGGAGCCAAGTACATGGTCCAGGTCCCGTTAGCGACAACGAATATCAGCGAGACCATTGCTTGGGCCCAATCCGCTGTGGAGGGTATCGGCATAGATAATATTCATTCAATCCAGCCGGGTAATGAGGCGGATCTGTACTCTGCCGATTTCACGGGGGAAGGAGGAGTAGTGCTGGGTCCACCAGAATACCAGGGCTACCTCTCGAACGAGTCTTACGTTGGCAACTGGACGGAGTACGCAGATGCGGTATTAGGGGCTGTGGACTTGCCTGAAGGCCGTTTCTTCACGGCTTTCGACGTCTCAACCCACTTCGGCGACGTAGTGCAGGAAGAGGCATATATTTTGGACGTGGAGACGTGTTTCAATCTGGGTATCGACAATAAGAGCATCATCAAAGAAGTTTCGCATCATTACTATCAACAAAACGCCGGGACTGCCGATGACCTGGCCGCCGGGCTCATGGACACAAGCGTTACATATAACCACCTTGACCAGTTCAAGCGTCAGATCTCATGGCTGAAGGACAATCGCCCTGAAATTCCCTTCATCCTCAATGAGGTTGGCAACTCCCTAGATGCGACCAATTCGTACGAGTTTCAAGCCCGCCTTGGCAGTGCGCTTTGGCAAGTCGACTTCTATCTGTATAGCATGGCGATCGGCATCGCGCGAATCAATTACCAACAAATCATGCACGCAGGATACGACTTATGGTTACCAGTGGCAAGCGCCGGCTATGATGCGCAAGTATTTTCTAACTTCTATTCGCAACCGTTCGTGGCAGACTTCATCGGGTCCTCGAATAAGACGCAAGTTGCCAAGCTAGATATTTCTGGTAGCAATCCTCCCGCGAATGTGGCCGTTTACGGAGCCTACGAGGACAGTGTAGCAAAGAGGATAGCTATCACCAACCTGAACTATTGGAATAAGACGTCTTCCGGCACGGATAGACCCAGTGTCACCCTTGACCTGTCAGTCCCAGATGGTGTTGAATCCGTTGAGGTCTACCACCTGAACAGTCCTCTAGGCGCAGGTGCTGCAGCAGATAATATCACATACGCAGGCAGTCAGTGGACCTATGAAAGTCTCGGCGAAGAAGTCCAAAATGTCAGTGCTGACACAGAAAATATTACTGTCAGTGACGGGGTCGCGAGCGTCACGGTTCAGCATAGTGAGGCAGTACTCGTTTGGCTATAGTCGACAGGTTTCGAATAGTAGCATCAAATTAAATATCATTAATTTTTCTACGATCAAATGATCGTACTCCCAGGGTCGTGATCCTATTACCTTAGTCAGCCTAGTGTAGTAGTTTTCATCAAAAGCGCTGACGTCTGTCAACTCATCTTACGCAAGCATGGTATCAACGATAGGTTATTGGCACAGACCTAAGTGAAGGACGTTAAAGCTGCTCAATAAGTCTCCAGTTTGTAACAGTGGTATTTTGCCAGAAGTGTGGAATGTCCAAAATCGTCAATCTCGAGGAACGAAGGTCGAGAAACGGTCTATAAAGAAGCGATAGCTAACCTACTAATCATTCGATCGTCGATGACAATGCTGACTAACCTCGCTATAAAAATGCATGACATTTTCTGAGCAGGTGAATATTAGGTATGCTGTCGGGGAAAGCTGAGTCCCGTTGTGTACTCAAGTCTACCACCGAATACATTCAAAATTGCCTCAATACCTATCATGCAAGCCATCGATGACGTGTGCTATGCATATGCAAGGGATAATTAAATTATTTTACTCCCATCATTAGCCCCCAGAAATCATGGCTACCTGACTTAGGCTATAGAGTTAAATTCTCGCACCCTGTCGTACGGAGTACCGAAGTTTCTCGTCTCCTGAAGCTACAGCCGAATTCTATCTGTCCACTGACAAGTTGTCATTTGAGTTGCCATCTGATTAATTATCTCCAATTAATCCACCATGTTTCGGAATGTTAATCTGATCATTTTATGGCCAGATCTGGTTGCTGATGGGAAATAATAGGTATTTTACGGCAGAATTCATCGAAGGCTTCCACTGCAGACTCGAAGACATAGAACTAATTCTACTTAAGACTACGCCAAATTTGGATGAGCTCGAATGGAGGCGGCTTCGTTGTTTGAGCCTTAAATATAGGACACTGCTGAATAGAAGTAATAAAATTCCTTGACTAATGTCTCAATAGAGGACTCATAATCACGGATTACGCGTGAGTCCCCAGTTACCAAAATTCTACGGCTGTCTCCTCTCTGTTATCAAGGCTTTGTATGTGACCCTGTATCATAGCCGTACTTGTGACATGATCGTCACTCACACTTGGGGTATGCAAGATATCAACACTGGACTGGCACCATTCTATCTTCTCGATGTAAGATATCACAAGACCCCCTAAAGGTTTCGAGATATGACCTCTATTTGTTCGACTAGAAATAAGCCTACAATTAGCAGTCCATTAATACCTATAGAAGCTCGTTTTTTTGATTGGTCAAGGAGTTTTCACCGGGTCTGGATTCAGTGGAGTTCATAGTAGCCGGTTTACAAAGCAAATACATTACTAAGCAGGATTCCCCCCTATTTTACCGACTCAATATATCCACAAGTCCAACTTTTCCGACACCCTATCGATTTTACTATGCTCAGTTTCCCTGTTTAACACGAAATTTATTAATTGACCTAGTGAGAATTCCTCCATATGATTTTATGCGGCCTCGTTTCTTACGACAACATCATAAAATGCAAGATATTACCCAGGAAGCAATTTAAGCGATTGTGTGGTTAGTGCCAACGTTACCTAGTTAATCGCGTAGGAATGGGTTTGCTATGTGTAGTGGTGCGGATCCCAAGACGTAGGTAGGTAGTTGATGTTGCCTTAGTGCTGGAAGGACGGTGACATTGAGACAGGAAATCTTGATATCAAAGCATATAATATTGTTACATTAACTACAATTACTCCAACGCGGCTTCTAGACTCTTGTCAATATCCATACCATGTTAACCACGTGGCCCTAGAAAGGTTGACCCCCAGAACCTTCGACTTCCTACGAACTGTTGTTGGTCTTGGCCCAACGTTCTACGAAGTAACATGTTCGAGTTTCATCATAATAGCTTTTCACACGGCCCTTGAAGGCAATTGTCCTATTACATAGATTTAATTTGTATGAGGACCCAGTCTATGTATTACCGGCGATGAGATGCATGCTATCACCCAAACAAGAGTTGGTTTCGTTTATGTAGATTTGATGCTACGGTGCCAATGACTGTGATTGGTCGACCGCCGTCACTACATACCCGTATCGACATCTGAAGTTAGTAATCTTGCAGCTAGCAATTTATCTGGGATGGTCCCGACTTTGGCTGTCAGGGGCTAGATTACGTCATGGGAGTATGACGTAATGGTAGTATGGGGAGAGCATCTGGTTTCGCCGCGCCTACGTACAGGTAGGCACTCGCATAGTGTAGCAGACACCTGGTATTGTGTAAGAAGTGCACATGCGAGATAAGCACTATGAATAGTCGATGGGGTTGCGCAGAGAATCACTTGGCTGCTCGTAAATGAAGACATTCAGGATAATAAGCATCTAAGCATGGAAGAGGGTGTTGCGATATGGAGCCTGAGAGGACGGCGCTGACGCACTATCAACACGGGGCTATCTCCAGTTGAAAGCCAAAGCCTGGCTCAATATCGAATCACAGGGTAACATTCATTGAACGCGTAACTTTAGGGAGCCAAAAGCACATGCCCCCAAAACCGAAGTAGTAGATTATACTTGAACGAAGTGGCAGTCTCTCTTTGCTTGGATCTCTGTTACCCATGTAAGTGTTGTTCAACTACCCATCCTGCCCATCGTACAAATAGGAACTGCTAACATGGACGATGGCTTGGCCAAATTAGCTAAGGACGTACGTCTGAGGAGGTTTTCTTCCAGCTGGTTCTGCAATGTCGAATTCTAATTTGTTAGACAAAGCCCCCCTCCCGTGTTTAGTCCGACCACTATTTCTTGAACACGGCGCCTATGACGGCTCGCCGTTGACCCGGCTCGACCCGAACCAATGAACAATGTTCGCCGCTATTGCTAATATGGACAATCTGGGGAGATAGGATTCGACTGACGTATGCGAGCTCTCCGCCAGCGCGTGTGAGGTAGTAGATACTACTGTATCGAATATGTGTCCACACTGCCGGAAGATCAGCAAGAATCTTTCAATAAAAGAAAAAACCCGACAAGCCGAGAACCCCAATGATGTATGAGATTGCTACGGAGACGAGCCGGGAGGTTGGAGTACATAGTATATCAAAGTTGAAGGGGCAATAGCGTCGTTTCAAGGATTGTCGTACAGCAGCTGTAACCTCAAGATATTCGACATTCGGAAGACAAAGGCGCGTCTAATATCAAAGAAAGAGTTGGTTCCGGCGTTACGGCTTGCGTGGTTACCTACCTACCTAAGTAGGCAATTATCTGGGTGGTTGATCGGTTTTCTCAGTCCAGATCGATGAGGCTCCGGGGCTGAGGATGACTAAGGCTGAACAGAATAAGAACATCTTGAAGATTGACGGCCATAACTCCCGCATTGGAAATAGCCTTGCAGAAGGGTCTGCATGACGATGGATTATAGGTGCCCAACCAGTCAAGCATTAAACTTAAGTCGACGCGGGGCCGGGTGCCGTAGAAGGAGACCGTCCGGACGGATTTAAGAAAATTTCACATCGTCATTGGTTTAACGCGGAATACATTGAACATTCATTGGAGCTGCCAAGGAAGTTGGAGCGAATGATAGCGACGAAAAGACAAGGTTGACAGGGTTGGCTTGCTTAGTCTGGGGGGCCGATGATGATGAAGTTGGGTCCAAGGGTCACGTCACAAGGCAATTGGTCCATGCGCAGTAACTTCCACATATTCCCAGGAAAATAGTGGGGTTAAACTAGTGTGGTGTGGGGCCGGCTGAGAAATGACGATACTGCATACGTCATTACGTCATGGAGTGTTTGTTCCTATTTGTTCCTTTTTTTCCTGGGGTCTTTAGCAATTAAAAGAGTCATGATGGATTTGACGATGAGACCAAGTATCGAAAGCATAGAATTCGTTAGAATACTGTCCGATGACATTTCCAAAACAAAAGGAAAAGTCCACGATGTTTTTATCGTATTTGAATACACGTCTCGCGTTGCTGTACTTCCGCATACTAAATACATATTATTCGCATATGATAACCGGATCTGGCCAGGATGAGATGAGAACCCTGCTGCACGTCTCGACATCAGAGGCTTGGAGGCGTAGCGAGTACAGGCGCGTTCGCCAAGGCTGATGACTGAGTCGGATTGTGTGCCGCAACTGCGCCGCCGGCTGTGTATTGCATCGCATTTGGGCTGAACATTAAATGGATGTTTAATGTTGTACCATGTACCGACATACGTACATACATGTATTCGTCGCTTTAAAACTAGGTACCTAGTAGGTACCTACGCAGACGCGGCATTCCTAACATTGAATCTGAATAGTCTCTTGAATATGTACATAGGTAGGAAAATAGAATAATATCCCATGCTGCTCATGGTACGCAATTGAATCCTTCGATACTACATAATAGGCTTTGACGTGGATAGACAAACATTGACGTTGGCTTTGGAAATTTGTATGACATTATGGGAGGAGGTAGAGCAGACATTCTCATATTTTCGGAAGAGCAAATGTCGATCACATGCTGCCCCCCATCGTCACAAGTACAGTACATACCCGCCTTACTGTTCACCCGCCAGCCCGCAAGGACCCATCCACGATACCTGGTGTGTATTTTTGAAGTGAGGAAGATTTGAATGCTACAGTATTCTGCTCTTGCAGTTTCGTTCGCATACACCCTTCGTCGATGGACCAAATTTAGCTGGCGCTGTCTTGGCTGCGGATTGCAAGTTGGTTTGGTAATGATATCGTGCTTAATTTCCGATATCGACGATGGTGATGATGAAAATGTCATGCACGGTTACTGCATGGATCCTCCATTTAGGTATTTGAAGTGCGGATGTGTCGCAGCTGGATCGAATTGGATGTTTGTATATTCTGTACATCTATGGATATTCTATTTTCTATGTAGCAATAATGGGTTTTATTTTCTGGGACCATGTATTGCCTGTACTACACTACTAATGTATTGTGCATCTAGCTAATATGGATGTACAGTACATTGCTGTCTTACCGAATCTCCAGTCTCCACATGGACCGACTTAACCTGATTCGTCGCTTTGTCCTACCTTGTGCCAGATCAAGCAATTTCGGGCAGTCAGCCAGCGCGCTTTCTCCCACGTAAACTAGTACTTATGGTACTTACAGATACCTCTCTTTTCTGTGTTTTTTTCCCGGCAGGCCTCGAACAGGTTTTGTCATCAAAAAATGAATTGCCCGGTTTGCAAAGTCCCTTTTTCCATTACCAAATTCCGGATTTTCGGTGCCCCTGGCACAGTTCTTCGGTACCTCAAGCCGCCATCGCCATTTTTGCCATACCCAAAAAGACATAACGTTATGTGGCGAAACATGGCTTTTACAGAGTAGTAGGTACAACAGATTTACAGCAGGTAAAGCAGGTACAATACAGTAGTTCTCACACAGCAGGGCAGGTTCGAACGCGGGTTGCCTTGGAACCCCCAGTCCCCATATTAGACCCCTAGCAAAATGGTAATTTGAAAGTAAGGTACGCTACGGTACGCTAGGCCAAACCCACTACATCATCAGGCGACATCGATCTCGGATACAAGCACTACATAGAAGAGCGCTAAGCAAGGCCCATAACCATGGAAATAAATGTACGTAGTTGTTTCGATGTAGCCAGCCGTTAAACACTCGAACAGTCGTCATTTCTCCCACCTTTCTTTTCTTCATCCTTTGATAATTCTCGTTCACCCCAAAACCTCACAACCTTGCACTCCCGACCAATTCTTCCATCTAGGTTACCTATTCTTTTTTTCTTACTCGGGGATTTTAGATCTGTGTTTTTTTGACCTACCATAGATTAAATCTCTTGTGAGAACGACTCTTATTTCCATTCGATCTAGCATTGTGAGACAGAAACAGAGAGAGGCGAGAGGAAGAGCTATAGCGGCGCGATAGAGCTTTTTGTGACTTGCATCATAGCGGAAGAGAAGAGAGAAGAGAGGGAAAACCTATTGTCTTGCAGCCTGCTCCCCGCCGAACCCTCCATATCTGCTACATACCTACTTACACGTACATACGTCTGTTACAAATCAAGACAAATTCCATATCCACCAGGCCCCAAAGACCGACCCGTTTGGAATTACTGGTTTACTGAGCCACTGAATCGTTAAACCGTTGGATCGCACATAGGTTAGGTTAGGTACATTACCGAAAGCCAAAACCGCGAACTCAAAACATCATACTCCGGCAGCTTCCCGCTAATTTGCCGCATACTCGTTGGACGACCGGGCTTAATTAACTTAGGAACGGCACCCGTGCTGCAACTTGGGTTTGCTTGGTTCGAGCTTGAAACCGTTTTTAGGGGTCTTGGACCGGTAGCGCGTCCGAGTTTCCTGTCTCGCCAAAGAGAGACGGGGTTGCGAGGAAGAGTGGAAAAGAAGAAGCCTAAGGCGCACTTTTTTGGGTTATTTGAATGTGACTTTTGTTTGGTTACCAAATTACCCAAAATGTCGACAATTCAGCAACTCAAGAATTTTATCCGTCACGGTACGCCCCTCCCCGTCCTCTGTTGTTCCTTCCGTTGTCATTTTTGTTGTTTCCTCTTCTCACTACCGATTTGATTTATTTCGTTGCTCGGTGTGTTGTGCTTGCCTCTTTCTCGTTTGTCTCTCCTTCTACCTCTTACAAATTACCTAACATAGAATTCTATTTTCCGCTACTGCAATTCTGATTTTCCACCTTTTTTTCCCCATCCTCTTTTCTCTCCCATTTTGTGCAATTTGGTTTTCTCGAACCTCCTTTAACCCCTCCCATTATCTGATCTACCGCAACCAATTTTATGTCCATGCACATGTCCCGCTGACATCATTTACTCCGAAAAGGCAAACAAGCCAGGGTGACCAACTACGACGAGCCTGCACGGAAACATGAATATTCTGCCCAACAGAGAGACGCGCAACAAAAAGCAAACATGGGACACGTAAGCGAACCCGGCAACGTAGCCGGAAATCCAAAGCGCAACAGTATTCCCGAAACCTATTCCGCCCAACCTGGAGATACCCAAAACCAAAACCGTGTTGCGCAAGCCGATGCCGCTGCTGCCCATCACGCCGAGGCCAACCAGAGCGTCTCCGGCTCTCATTCTAGCAGGAGCCGGAGTAGAACAGGAGATACTCACGCCGCTAAGATTGTGCAGGAGGAGAACGAAAACAGGAATAAGTTTCCTAAGTACCCTGGCCTGGAACGATGGGAACTGCTGGAGAAGATGGGAGACGGCGCTTTCAGCAACGTTTACCGAGCACGAGATACTAAGGGAAATGCTGGCGAGGTTGCTATCAAAGTGGTGCGAAAATTCGAAATGAACAACATGCAGGTGAGTTCGCCGGCGGTTGAGTTCAGCATCGACCATGTCGTTTCTATTTATTGTTTTATCTTACTTTTCTTTTGTTTAATTTCCAGTCGCCATCTTTACTTTTCAGCAATGGCTCTTTTTTCCTTATACCAACTCTTGGGGGTCGAATTATAGGGCAACAAGCATTTACATCCGGATTTCAAGAAGGTTCCGAAGGCAGCAGAGGTGCGGAGATCTTCCTTTCTTTTGTCAAATTTTACAGCTGTGTCCTATTCGGCCACCTCTAATCCGTCTTCTTACACTCATGATGGCTCTAATCTCTCTTCCGATCTTTCACTTTCACGTTCACTCTTCTCTCTCTCTTCCGTCGTTCATATCATAATCTACACAATCATCCTTCACTATGAGCAATATTAACAGCCCCATCATAGCGAGCAAACATATTGAAGGAGGTCCAAATCATGCGTCAACTTGACCATCCGAATATCATTAAGCTTGTCGACTTCTCGGAATCGAAACAATATTACTACATCATCCTCGAATTAGCTCCCGGCGGAGAATTATTCCACCAAATTGTGCGTCTGACTTACTTCAGCGAAGAGCTCTCGAGACACGTCATCGTACAAGTTGCAAAGGCCCTAGAGTACCTACACGAAGAGAAGGGCGTCGTACACCGGTAAGTAGCAATGTCACATTGGCCAGCCGCAAGCCTTGTACCCACTTTCCCGATAGTATGATGCAGCCGTGTACCCGAGGGTGGCATTGCGGCGGCTGAATTAGGTGTCGGTGACGTCACCGAACGCCCGAGATGCTCGGTCCCTGCATCAGTCTGCTAACATGTGAGTTCACAGTGACATCAAACCCGAAAACATCTTATTCAGCCCGATACCATTCGTTCCATCAAAGCAACCGAAACCAAAGCAACCCGGCGATGAAGATAAGGTCGATGAAGGCGAATTTATTAAGGGATTGGGAGCCGGAGGAATTGGTCAGATCAAGATCGCTGATTTCGGTCTATCGAAGATCGTCTGGGATAACCAAACCATGACGCCATGTGGCACCGTCGGGTATACGGCGCCCGAGATAGTGAAGGATGAGCGTTACTCAAAGTCGGTCGACATGTGGGCTTTAGGTTGCGTGTTGTACACATTATTATGCGGGTTTCCCCCATTCTACGACGAGAGCATCGAGGTATTGACGGAGAAGGTTGCTAAGGGCCAATACACTTTCCTGTCGCCTTGGTGGGATGACATTTCCAAATCCGCCCAGGATCTAATTTCTCATCTACTCGCTGTCGATCCAGATGAGCGATACACCATCAAAGAGTTCCTGAGCCATCCTTGGATACAAGGAACTGGTCCTACGCCACGTGATGAGAAGAAACAAGCGAATCCTGACGTACTTCGTGCATTCGATGCGGGACGACTTATCGACGGGGAGCGTCGCATGGACTTCAGGTCTCCTGGTGCGGTCAACCTCCGAGAGATCTTCGATGTCGGTTATTCCGTACATCGGCAGGAAGAAGAGGCCAAACGCAGGAAACAACTTGGTGCAAAGGGGGCTCCACCGGCCCGATTGGCTGGTCTCGATGAAGAAGATTCGGAAGAAGAAAAATCAGATCCTGAGTATGTACACAAAGCCGAAGCGCAACTTGAACAGAGTATGCGTAAGACGCACTTGGGTAAGGACCAGGAGCGTGGCCGAGAGCGAGAGCGAGACCGAGACAGACATACCGACAAGGAGCCTCAGAAAGGGTACGGCCAACACAGCGCTAGTGTGGCTCAAGCTGCTCGACAGCAAGTTCGTGACCGTAATAAGCAGCGGGGAGCGTTCGAACTGAATCTTGACGGGGCGACCTTACTTGGCAGGCGAGCCGGAAAGGCTCTTCCCACCGCTAGCGTCGGTGGCTTATAGGACAAGACAGATGACGAGCGGCGAGATGAGGTCGGGAAGAAACGTAAGCACGATGACTGATGGCATTACTTGATTGACTCGAAGCATATGTAGGCCGAGTTGTTCACTAGGCGCGGAGAATGGGACTTTGGTGTTTCGAGGCGTGCGGCATAGGTTTGAATGAGCAATATGGGAGTTGGTCGTGTATTTTTCATGCATCCGCAACGCTGCACACATAGGGCCTGGCGTTCCCGGGATTAAGATACATACTTCGCCTTTCCAACATATAATTGCATTGGAAGTGAATGATATTTAAGACCGCCATATCCCTTCATTCCTCCAATCTGTAAAAGGAGCAGGTGTATACTTGAGTGCTATTGTTCGGAGTTTGGCTCCCTGTCCAAGTGGCTTACCTCTCTCCCTTGACAGTGTTTCCCCCATATCTCATCGCTCAATCCTTGAGACAAACAGGCCTTTTCTTAGCAAAATATTAATCTAGATTGTGGTCACGCTAGGAATTCGAAGCCACAAATTGCAGAAGTACTCCCTCTCCAAGGGGTCAACTTCAACCATGAAGGGGACAATTATTGAATTTCAGTAGTGGTAGATTTTGGTCACCCCCTATTGTCTATTCCCCTTCTTCACAACACACTCTGGAAATAAGGCCGTGCAAAATTTTGTATAAGAGATTGTCGATCACCCACCTTTGTTGTCGAATCCGTTATACAGGAACATCCGCAACTCTTCCCTCATGCATCTTTTCCTTGAAGCTCTAATAAGTAATACGGAGTCGCTTTGGCGGCTATATTCTATCACTGTAATATAACGTTCGAATTCTTATTTACCTTTCCAGCTTTTTGATATCTATAACTACTTAATATCTATTGCCTACATCTCAATACCCCTTCTAACTAATCACACTCGACGAACCTACGGGACCTAATACCCAGCTCAACTCAATCCTCGAGATAGATAACTATCAGTAGCTACAAGCCGAATACACCATGGCTACATCCCTTGCCCAGCTGGGCGTCCAGTACATGGCCTCAACCGGGAGTTGTGTCGTCGACATGGCCGCCATGCATAGCCTGTTCGACTCTTGCAGCACTATCCACATCCGCGTGCCGGAAAATCAGCACCGCATCGACGTCCACTCGAATATGATCTGTATTAAACCGACGCAGCCGGAACCCGGCGCCTATCGCGAACAGTACATGTACCCAAGCTTACAATCGCCTACAAATGCCCCCCAGGCGCCGCCAAAGCAGCAGCAGCAGAAGCGACCTCCTTCCATGAACGGACCGGATGATAATCCGCAGGGCCCGTTGCCGGGAACTAAGGGTGGTGATGGAGAAATCGACGGTCCTATGCGTCCCGACGTACCTGATGACGGTGAAAGCCCATCGACGACTGCACACACGTACGTCAGACCGGGATATACGTATACTTCGTCCGGCGCTTCCACGTTGACTACCCAAGTCACTCGCCTACAATCCTCGGCTCTCTCGCCTTCCTTATCTGCGTCTGCCACAACTACTACAGCCGAACGCTTTTTCATCACCACCAGCGCTAGCGCTACTCCCACACCTTCGCCCCAGGAACAAGCAACTCACGTCCCCGTCCTTGATACGCCACCCAGCCCCAGCGCGCCAGTCGAACGCCCAGATGTGCCTCGACCGGCGGCACCTCCCCCTCCACCTGCGCCCGAGATCATCGCGCCGCCACCTCCGCCGGCGCCGGAGTACTGCGGCACGACGTACGTCAAGATGGACGTGACGACGATCCAGACCCTGGACCCGCACGACCTGGACCTGTACCTGAACCTGCTGGGTATCACGGGCATCGGGCTGGACCTGGACCACGGCGTGGGCGGCCTCGTGTCCGGGCTCCTGGGGGGCGCGGTCGACGACGACGAGACGAGGGAGCTTCATCACGAGTTGGAGCACTCGTACCGCGTAAGGTGCGGGGTTGGGGAGATGCATGGGTTTGAGGAGGGGAGTGAATGGAAGGCGGAGTGGAAGGGCGAGTGGAAGGGGGAGAGGGGCAGGGTCACGACGACGAAGACGCAGACGGGTTGTCTGGAGGAGTGCGAGAAGGGGGCTATTGGGAAGGCGAGGGGTGGTGAGGTTAAGGAGTGTTTGGGGGCTGCGTTTAATAGGGGGTTGACGAGCGAGAATTGTAAGTTTTGGACCGGGGGCAAGGATGAGTTTTTGCCTGTGGAGAGGCTGAGGGCGGGGGAGGCTGGGGAGTGGGATTTGGTTTATTTATGAGAGGGTTAATCTAGGCTGTGGGTGGATGGGGAGTGGAGGTGTTTGCTTCTTATGATTGAATGTTGCGGTTCCTTCGATGTTTTCATTTGGCCTCGTTTTTATCTAGCGTTCAAGTATTTTCGTGTTGGGGATGTAAAAGGGGGATATGCGGTTTTAATAAAAGTAATTCAAGATTTCAACATCGTTGACGCTCGCCTTGAATGAGGATAACTTGGTATTTAGATCACTCTTTATATGACTCGACGTATATAGAGCGGCTGATCTCATGTTAGAGAGAATATGCCCAGCTCCTGACTGATAAGGGGAAATTCCCTGGCCAAACTGTTCTTATACCAAGTTTTATTTAGTTATAACTGAAAGCTGAGTTTTGTATATTGTGAATGGCTTCTTTTGGGGTTATTACAAGAACTTCAAGCCATCCCTACCGTGTAATAATAAGACCTAAAAGCGTTTAGCAAGCATATCACCGACATGTCCCTATTCCCAACAATGCAATTCAGGTTCCCCACCACAACTAGCTGTTTTCCCCTATCAACCATGCGTTGGTGGTGGACTAGCCACGGCCCAGAAATCGAAATCCGGGTTATCGTATCCACCACCCTCCTTCCAGGTCGAAGCGTATGGTGCATAATGGTCCCAGTTCGACGAAGTATTCAAGCCGAGTTCCGCCCAGACAAATAGACCATCCTTCAAATCACCGCCCAACATGATGTAGTTCGGGAACGGATCGTACTCCGTCGTGGCCGCGTACCCCGTGAACCAGTCGGCCAGGTTCGTCGTATGCGGGATCGGATTCGTGTTATACGGCGCGGTAGCCTCGATCGTGTCGCGCAACGTCTGGTCGAAGAATAACTGCGATAAGTGCGCCACGCGCCCGCCCGTGTACGTCCCGTTAGGCAGGATCTCGGAGCCCACGTGCGCGATCAGGTGCTGGTGCGTGGCGCGGCCCTGGTAGTGGCCAGGGAAAATGGTGTCGAAGTTGACCACGCCGTCCGCGTCGACCTGCTGGACACCCCGAAGGAACGTGGTCCCCAGTCCGCCTTCTCCGCGCGCGCTGACGCCGCTGTACGCGCCGGTCGCGTTGCACGACCACGTGTCGATCAGGATCTCCTTGGCCGGCTCGCACGTCTGCACGTCGATGAACTGCAGCTCGAGGTGCAGCGGCACGCCGACCGTCTCCTCGACCACGTCCGACCGGATGTGCTCCTGGTAGACGAAGTACGGCCCGTTGGCGTTGTCTGGCGTGAGCACGCAGCTGGTGTTGGACCCGAAGATCTCCTTGCTCGGCGTCTCCTTGTTGAAGTTGGCTGAGCCCGTTCGGTTATGGGTGAGCGCTGCCCATTTCTGCAGCGCTTCTGCGTCGCGGCGGTGTAACCATGGGCCTGTTTGGCGGAGGTTAGCTGGGTTGCCGTAGGGGCTTGGAGATGTTTTATTTTCTGACCTTTTTCTGTACCCCTTTCTCGGCGAAGTCGTTGGAAGGTTTCTAATCGTCGAGTCACTAGAAACGTACATGTTAGCTTATGAAGAATCTAGGAGTAGACTTAGACTATAGAGTCTTTCCTTGCTCATAGTTTGGCATATGCTCAAGGAGGTAAACTTTTTACGGGGAAAAACAAGGATAACATCTTGTTTACTTACTGGCACGTTCTTTACGAGCCTTCACTGCATCTAGATTTTGACACGCCTCCAAAGCCCTGTTGTTAATCTTTGCGACAACCTGAGCGTTTCCCATCTCCTCCATGGCCTCTAGTTTTCCATATCTCTCTCCCGGGTGTCCGAACACCGCTGCCGGGGTTAACGACAAGGCCACGGCCAGTGTGGCCGCTATCGAGGACACGAAAACCATGCTGAACTGGACCTTCCTGTCGAGATGACTATGGCACTCCCACTAGAGAAAAAGAACTCAAGTCTCCTGAGAATGACAAAGGGGTTATCCCTCCTTTTTAGCCACTAATACATATATCATGATACTCTACCTAGTGGCATGTTGTGTTCATCAACGTTATTACTCCATTGAGACCGCCAAGCGTCACGGTCGCGGCAGACCTTCTTCTCCATGGCGGCGGTGCCGGCAATAGGACGTCAAGAAATGTTTTAATCAAGTAAGGAATACGAATACTTGTATGGTCCCATAGGGTTTTCCATGGATTCAATTTCTCAATAGAGCACGAAAAATCAAAAGAAGCCTTGCACCATGCTGTATTTTTGATGTTGTTTGCCTTTATCCGGTCTTGGACGCCGTCTGCGGTATTAGTTGAAAAGGGCAATTGCTTGACGCTCCCCCAGTTTCCGAGTTCAAGGAGTTAGAGGAAAGAATCGACATCCCAGGCTATGGAATGAGGCTAAATCTACCATACTTCGAATCGAGTTCCTTGATAGGTCCAGCTGCACCCCAGTCTCGTTTATATCCTAGAAATTGCTCTCGCTTCAAGTCCCGTCCGCCACGCCAACAGGCTAGCCTAGCTCATATTGAACTCGCATGTGCTTCCTCTCTGCGAAAATAATTAAGCGATTTGATCGCGTTGATTGGACGGATCCCGTCAGTATGGTATGATAGGTAGGACCAAGCAGTAACGCTTCACGAGAACGGATGTCGGCATAGAAACACGTTCCATGTGCCTTCTGCGACCCTTCCGTACCATGTCCTACCTAACCCATATCCCGTAGCGCTGGTTAGGTCTTGGCCAAAGGAGGGTCCTTGGGGAAATATATCTCCGTATAGTCCACCAAGTCACGTCAGACAAATAACCAACACATTGCCATAACACGATGTACGGATCAGCCTAAATATGATAGCGAGTCTCCTTGACGCAATAGCGATTATCTGAAAGCGAATTGAGATTGCTGGGTTATATTACAAGACCTTGTGGGCAGATGTTCACCTTTTGCATTGTCTTTGCCCTGGATCCCTTGCAGCCGAGAATGTAGTCGCTCGGATACGGATTTCGGTAAGGCTATGTAATGTCTGTGCCTGACAGTATGCTGCGGTAGACCTACAAGGCAGAATGAACTATTAATCAATTTGACACCTTGGGGCTAAATTGAGTTTACACGTGGAAGGAAACATGACTAGAGACTTGAGCCAGAAGTTATATCATTGATTATGTGGCCTTTAGCCATTATATGACAGGTATCATATATGCATTCTACATAACCCAACATCTATGATCAAAGATACATCCAGAAAGATTAAAGGTCGTTCTATCGTTCCTAAGTGTAGCACGATTAAGCTAGCCCCTTAATTGATATCGCCGCCCACCACTAGGTCAGGTTGATGTACCTTTCAATATTCAAGCGCCACTGCCGTTGTACAGAACGGCGTTAACGGTACCACTGGGGACACCGGTGATCTTTCCGGTGGTGTAGAGGGCCTTGATGCGGCTTGTAACATCGGCAGGGCTGGTGAGGCCCTCAAGAGCAATTAGGTATAGCGAAAGACCCGTAACATGAGGGGTGGCCATTGAGGTACCAGAGATAGTGTTGGTGGCGGTGTCCGAGCCAATCCATGCCGAAATAACGTCGGTTCCCGGAGCAAAGACGTCAACAACCGATCCATAGTTGGAGTAAGAGGCAATGCTCCAGTCCGAGTCAATGGCGCCAATAGTGAGAGCGTCAGCAGCAGAGGCTGGCGATGTTGTGCTAGCATCAGTGGCACTATTACCAGCGGCAACGACAGAGAGAATACCAGCGCTGTACGCAGACTCAACGGCGGCGTTGAAAGCAGTGCTAAAACCGCCACCTAGGGACAAGCTGAGAGCGGAGACGCTCTCACGGCCATTAGAGGTAATATCGTTAACAGCCCAGTTGTATCCATCCAAAATGATGGCCGTAGTGCTGCTAGTGCCCTGAAATACTTTGACGGAGATGATGGTAGCTTGCTTGGCCACACCGTAGGTAGAACCTCCGATGGTACCGGCGACGTGGGTACCGTGGCCTACGGCATCGGCGTCGGAGCCACCGACGGCGTTGTAACCTAGCGAGGCGCGGCCGCCGAACTGCTCGTGGGTAGCAAGGATACCGGTATCAATGATGTACGCGTATGTGCCTTGGCCAGCAGAGCTGTCGTAGATGTACGAAGTGGAGCCAGAGCTCGTGTGGGAGACGGTACCAAGACCCCAGGTAGCGCCTGATTGGGTGGTGAGCGCACGCTTAGAAACCTCGGGCTGCTCATCGTAGAGGTAGTAGACCTGGTCCTCCTCGATCTCGGCAACCTAGTATAGATATTAGCATATTTTATTGCCGAGTATGCGGTTTTGAAGTGTTCAGAGTCTTTGGCCAGTCACCTCCTTGAGATAAGGGTTAATGTGCACAAGTTAAGAAAGCATTGTCCGTTTCTGATAATCGAAAGAAGATGATGGAAAACGCCCGTTTTTTACGGCCGTAGTAGACATACATCAGGGTTGCTCCTCAGCTGCTCAAGAGTCTCATCGTCGAACTCGCCGGCATAAGCGTTGAAAGTGTTTATCTGGTATTCGTGCGAAATACCAGTTGTGTCACGCTTGCTTAAGCTGCTGGCGTGGACGTCACGAGCCCAGTTTAAGTGAGACTTGAAATCCTCGGAGCTAATTCCCTGCTTGAGGGTTACGATGTACTTGTTGGGAACGATTTCCCGCTTCTGTTGCTGAGGAGTGGGGGCAGCGAAGACGGCAGGGAGAAGAGCTCCAAAGAAGAGCGCGAGACGGCGAAGACTAGCCATGTTGACGACGGGTTGAGCGCAGGAAGACAAGTTTGGGTTCTGTAAGTTGAGGATGGTGAATTTCTGAAACCTACAAGCTAAGAGGGACGAGTGGTATATATAGACTTCCCCGGAGTCCCTCAGAATTCAAGAGGTTGTAGCCGATGGCGACACCTTGTAGTCCATGTTGCGAGATACGCAATGTTCACCCGAATGAGGTTCGCAAGATAGGCAGACGGTCATTGGGCTTCCCAATAAGCCTTAGGAACCATGCTAGAGAGAATGGCGAGCCTGGGAAATGGTCACAACGCGATTCAAAATGCGGAAGGAGGAACAGGGAGACGCAGGCATATCAAAGCCTAGCATATAGAGATGGTAGTTTGAGCTTATTCAGAATGATATTAGATAGTCATCATTAGACGCAATGTCCAGCAATAGAATGTAGGGAGACACTGAGTGGACAATAAACAGCTTGGCAATGCGACTTAGATGCCAAATGATGAAGCTGAGAGCATGCTGGCAAGCAGAGCATGGCGGTTCGATATGCAAGGTAGAGCTGGCGTTATGAAAGTTCGGCCGAGGTGCGGTTGCTCCAGACGCACCTGATGGTGTGATAGATAGCTATACTGCTACACTATTATAAGATAAGTCATCAGCCGCACACTGACAGTCATGTCGTGCCGGATTGGCAGGGTCTTAACGAGCCTCCCGCAGACGGTTCTCTAAGCCAGCCCTATGAGTTACCTTCGGCAAAGATCAGCTATACATTTCATAGTATCGTTGTTCATAATACGCAAGAAGCGGTAATCTGGGATGGAAAATATAAATATGAGTGTGGGATTTGAAATAAGCCGATTCTTTGCTTGAGATAGGAATATTGGAATCCCAGTACAGTGCCGGCCTCATGCTTCTCGACTCTACATAATCAAGACCTCATCAACCTGGTTACCTAGACACTCGTAAGTGCTCGGACCAGTCAAACCCTGGATAGCATCGGGTGAGGATAGCAAGGTCGATATGACAAACGACTTATGTTCGACTAGTGTCGTCAGCCGGTTGTCCAATGAAAGCCACGAACACCTATTGCTCTCATAGCTTATCTTGACGGGGCGGGGCTGGGATTGGATGCCAACCAACTTACAGCTTGGCACTGCGAGCTTGGGGAATGTCAAGGAGCTTCATGTAAGCTCGTGAAAACCAGCCGAGGGTGGTGCCGGCAGACAAGTTCGATGGTGAAGATAATTCGGGAGTTGGCACAATTTCGGAGGTCAGGTTTGTTAGGCATGCCTGACTGATTTTTTACATAGTATATGCGCCAAGGCTGACGGGCGCGGACGGGCGGTGGACGAGCCATGTTACGGTTGGGCAAATTGGAGCGATGTAACTCAGGCAGGGCTTGAATAAACTTCAGAGCTGCCGTTTTCGTAGTGTCGACCCCCGGCAGGAACGCATCACGCCCTCGTCAACAGTATGGCGCAAATATATGGCAGCATAGATAGTTACGCTCGTTACCTCACCACATGCCTAGCTACGCAGGATGACATCGTGATACCTGCAGATGGCGACACCGGGAGACATCAGTGCAGTGCCAAGCGGCGTATAATTGCTTAGGACTCTTTATCGTAAAAGATCAATGGCTTTCCCGAATCCTTAGGTTTGACAACACCGATGCGATGTCACTTCGCTCGGGAATACCGATCCCGTGGACTCGACATCCCACTCTTCCAGCATCGGACGAGACGGGCACGCGACTGGGTTTCCCACAACTTGTTTATGTTTAGCAAGAAGACGTAGGGTGGTTTAATTAAAAGTGTTATGACGAGAGTATAGAAAGCATGGTTGATAACCGATGTTGAAGGTGGTTGGTTCAATATTAGGGGCAGAAGGGTAAGTTAACCCACACCCATGGACGCTCTAGGTTAACATTAAGGTTAAGTTTGGAAGTTTGGTGCCATCAGACGCAAGTAGTGGATTTAATGGTAATTCCCCGGCGATAACAGCCAATCAAACCTATATAAGATATACCCTTCAATCTTGATTGGTCATTTCCTTGTCATTGTAGAAGGGATGCTCCTGAAATCTCCCTGCTGCAGCTTAACATTACGTGCTGCGGCTTGATTATCTAAGGACTCTAGGACGTGCTACCCCCCTACCCCCCACCTTCAGCCAGTTACCCCGCAAAAAATGATATCCATGCTTCTTCCTATGTACCTAGGTACATATCTTAATACGATTCTTACTTTAGACCTTCATTCCTTCTGGTACACATCCAATTGTCCCCGGTGACTTGATTAATTTATCGTTTTGATGTGACAAGTTGATTTTCTTTTTCTTTTAGACCCGTGACTTGTATTAATTTATCTTTTACGTTATCGGTGAGGTTTGATAGGCTTCCATCTGACTGCATCTTGGAATCGGTACGGACTTATACAAACCCTTGCATATATAGGTAGGCAAGTATACATGCCCAAGCTGTCAAAAATAACTTGAGTATTGCTTCAAAGCAAAGCATACGTAGTCGATCCTTCTAAGTAACGTTAAACTTGGATTTCTCCTATACTACATATGTATGTCACAAGCCCCTAGTCTACCAACAGGAAGAGAAACGGACAAAAGGCGTTCTTAATGTACAAGGTTTGCAGAGTATGTATGCCTACCTAGGTGAACTACCATTTTGAGATCGTTCTAGGTACCCAGATACCTAGTTATACTTGAATTCCGGTGAGACATGCAGACTCACCGCGTATGGTACTATCGAATCCAAGTCAAGACCTATAGTAGATTAGTAACGCTCTATTCCTTGCAGACAGTCTTCGGCTTAATGTCAGTTGTAAGTGTATCTCTAGACTGAGGTAGCTATGATTCGTGTAAAACTTATCTCTGTGCTTATATAACTAATAAAGATAGAGACATCAATATAGATGTCTGACCATCGGACAAGAAACCTGGCCAATCATAGCCCCTACATTATGTCTCACGAACTGGAGCTAGCCTTACGTAAACCAGAACATCGAATGATACAGATATACCTACCTATTTATTTAACATTCAGAGACATGAGACATCCATGGTTATATGAATATATAGACCATAACCAATTATCACGGGGTGGGAATAGCCTCATGTTGTACCTGAAGCAGAATGATTTGCCGAAGTTTAAACGGAACCATGGGTAGGTACTTTACGTTAGGTACAGATTTTAGCACCGTAACGCTGTACCGTGGATCCGGCTGCGGCTACCGAGTTAATTGGGAACAATGACAACCACGCGTTTTACGGCATCCACGACTTCCACTTCTATAACGCAGCCCTGGTTTGCGCTTCTTAACCTAAACATCAAATCTCGAACCACAGCAATTTCACAATTGCTGTAACGATGCTGTTCGCAACTAGCCGCAACTTCCTGTGAATCATTCTCACACACCCATCGTTGCCGTTGCCGCGATGGATGTGTCTAATCAGGGAGGTACGAATAGCCTCAAGTCTCAATATCTAGATATCCCTGTCCCTTGCTTTCGCATCAACAAGCTGACTTGAGCTTTCTTTAGATACGACGTGGACTTCGGTGCCCACGCACTTACTACTAGCCGAACTCCAGAAACGACATGGCGCTGGCAATTCCAAACCCGACACCGAACGGCCAGTATGCGGGTCAGGCGACAGAGGCGCATACGATACTCCGCTACATGTCTTCGCCTTATTTCTGATCCTCACCCTTAGTATTTTAGGTTAGACGCCAAGTTTGAAGCCCGGGGTATATCTTTCAAGCCATGTTTTCTAATTAGATGTTACTTGTAGCATGCGCATTTCCTCTCTTCTCTCGCCGATCGGCTAGAACCCGCCGAGCGAATACCATCGTCTTCCTTAGCCAGCACTTCGGCACCGGTGTGCTTTTAGCGACCGCCTTCGTCCATCTACTTCCTACCGCTTTCATATCTCTAACCGATCCTTGTCTCCCGCCGCTATTCAGTGAAGCGTACCAGCCCATGGCAGGTCTAATAGCCATGGTGTCCGTGTTGGTAGTTGCAGCGCTAGAGTCGTATTTAACTACTAGAGGCGCCGGCCATTCACATGAACACGAGTGGGACTCCTATGACGAAGATGCAGAAGAGATGGATGGTGCTCAGGTCAATGGTGGTCTAGCAGCTAAAAGGGCTGCCAGCCACAGACCAGCAGACATTGCACTTGGTGATATGAGCGCCAGTCAGGGTCTGATGGCCGATGTCTCACCATTACCCAACACCACACCTACGATAGTACCACCTCCGAGTTCGGCGAGATCCTTTAGCCATAGAAGTCCTGGAATGGATGACGATGAAATTGACGACCGCGATGAGGATCTCGATATTAATCTTAATGAACTTGATCCTGTGGCAGACGATGATGCGCAACCTCTTGCACCTTCTAATGGAAATATCCGTGCGAACCGACATTCCGAGTCTACAGTAGCCCAAGCTCCCCTTACGCCTGAGGAACAGAAGCGACGAATGCTTCAATGTGTACTCCTAGAAGCCGGCATCCTGTTCCATAGCGTCTTCATCGGTATGGCCGTATCTGTCGCGACAGGACCGCCGTTTGTCGTCTTCCTAATTGCCATTGCCTTCCATCAGACTTTCGAAGGTCTGGCTCTCGGATCCCGCATAGCCGCCATCCAGTTCCCACGTTCTTCTGTGCGTCCGTGGCTCATGGTCTTGGCATATGGGCTTACTACTCCCATCGGCCAGGCCATCGGTCTTGCTGTCCACAGGCTGTACGATCCGCTTAGTCAGACGGGCCTGCTCATGGTTGGTATTATGAACGCCATCTCAAGTGGCCTGCTTCTGTTCGCCGGCTTGGTACAGCTACTTGCAGAGGACTTCCTCACGGAGAAGAGTTACAAGTCGTTGAAGGGTAAGAAACGAAGGAACGCCGGACTCGCCGTCTTGGCGGGAGCCACACTCATGGCTATCGTGGGCGCTTTCGCATGATTTATTTTACGGACTACCGCTTTCTAGGGGCGACGGCGTTTCGGACGGGGTAACCTTAGGCACGGGTATGCCATCCGTGGTAGATCTTCACCTAGCTAGACGCGGTCTTCATTCTAATAACGAGGTCAATGCATAGGGTTGGAGTTTGCTGGCTACGTGTAAAATACTTGGAACTAGTTCTCGAAATCCCAAGTTTGCTATTCTGATTCTTTTCATACACAGGTCCCCAATATCCCGATATCTTCTGCCGCATATTTGCACAAATTTCATGCCGCCGTGGGTACCGCAGTAGCCCAGAGGTAAGCTGTCGTCATCGGGGAACCGTAACTTCCTAGGTCGTCGTAGTCCTTGGTAATAGTCTGGTTCTGGAGTACCTTCGTTACGAAAGGTAGGACGCTGTTGCTATAACCGAAGTTAGCATTTTGGGTAATTGAATTGAAGTCGGTTACGGTAGAGGGCTTCGTTGGGAAAATCTAAAATTACTAAAGAGAGACGTAGGAATCAAGAAAAAGGGGGACACGCGTACAATCCACTCATGTCGCAATGACCGCCACCGCGGACGGACATGGCGATCTGGTCGGGAACGCCCAGCCAATCGTAGACGAGCTTGGCGGCGGGATACACGATGACGGAAGTCCCCTTGGAGTTGGTGAACTGGTCGCCGGTGCCCTGGTCGATGACGAGGGCGCGGGGCGCGATGGCGGCGGCGATGGTGTGCGCGTCGTACGGCAGGTTCTCGGCGTGGTTGACGAAGGTGCCGAGCGTCGAGTCCGTCCACCACCCGGCCCCGCTCTTGCTGTTCTCCAGCGTCTCGTCCTGCCCGCTGAGCCCGTGGTACCGGTACGGCCCGAGCCCCTGCACGCCGCTGCTCATCGGCATCGTCAGCGTGATGCGCGCGTCCAGTAGCCCCGCCGCCAGCGCCGCCTTGCCTAGCCGCGAACACCCCGTCACGCCCACGCGGCTGCTGTCGATTTCCGGCACGGTCGCGTTGAGCGCGTCGAGCACGCGGTGGAAGCCCCAGGCCCACGCTGTGAGGACGCCTGTTGAGCGGGTCGGGGGATGGTTAGCCTTCTAGGAAGACTCAAAAAGATCTTAAACAAGAAATAGTGTTGGGTTTAGGAAAGAGAAATGGGGTCGGCATTATAGTAAGGAATGAGAAACCGCACCGATGTCCTGGCCTTTGTAGATGTCCCAAAAGGCACCGGTGCCGGCGTTGCTGTCGGCTGCTACGCTCGAGTAGTCGAAGCCGACGACGGCGATGCCGGCCTGCAGATATGGTTGGTTGGTCATGCCGCCGATGTTGATGACGACAGGCGCAGGCGACGTCGACGGCAGCGCCAGCGTGGCGCTGAATTTCCCTGTCTTTCCTCCCGCCGTCACTTCGATGCTGACCGTATTACCACTACGCGTCGCCTTGACCGTCTCCTGCGAGTGGTCGGGGTAATAGCCGTACCTGTTGTCGTATCGTTAGATCCTAGAATACGGGTCTCGCCATTCTCAAAGGGTGGAGATACATGTTCCACCGATCAGAGATTGCGCTGGTGTGCTTACTGGTATTCTTGTAGCATCTGAAGAATCTCCGGCTGTCGGCACCGGTACCATTCCTCGGGAGTCTGGATCCGGTTCTTACCCTTGCCTGCCATCACGTCAGATGCGAAAGATGGCGAGTCGCCGCCTTCGCTGTCGGTTGTGGTGTATGCTAGCGGCAGCCATGGATCCGGGAGCGTCGTCTGTAGGGGAAGTTGCTGCCATGTGGGATATTCTCCCGCGGACGGGATCGGCGCGCATTCGGCTGCCGGAGCTGGCGCTGCTGGGATTGCTGCTCCTAGGAAAGGGAGCGCCGCGGCGCCGATGACGGCTACGCATTTAACAGATAGCATACTAGTTAATAGTCGTTCTAAGAGGAAGGATATTGTAATGAAAGATAGAATCAAGAATAGTGTTTCCGCGACATCTCGTGCAGGTTTTGACGAGGTAATATATGATTCTATCTCACTCCAACGCGTAGGAACACCGAGGTGACATCGGCCTCTCCCGGAACCTGGACCTCCTTACCGTACATCGACATTGCCGCTACCCCGAGGTAGCTAACCGTGTATTTTTAGAAACAGGACTGGCTGGCTTGTATCAGAGCCTCGTCGGCTGCTGGTACTGTAAATCTCCTCTGTGTTGTTGTAACTGAATTCCTACTCGAGTACGCTTTTTTAACAGTAAAAAGTCGTATTTCTCTTAGAGTCTTCTTGAACATATGTCCACACTGACTCCTATTTCCCATGTAAACTTGACTATGGAAAAATCTCAGATGCTGCATGGCCTGGATCGAGATGAAAGAGCCACATGCCAGAATATGAACAGGTCCAGAGGCTAGACCACCGCCCAGGTGATATCGAGACTTTAGCCGGCGAAGACCAATTCGGTTATCAGCACCAACCCCAAGACCGGAATACTTGGGGGGAATCCATTCAATGGGGTTTCGGCTAGACTGCGCACCTTTTATCAAATGCGATGCACGTTAACTTTCTTGTCCAAGTGTACGCGTAGTTAGGTACTTATATGGAAGCTACCTTGCGTCCTTGGGTTTGACAATGGGTTCTCATATGATTACACCGTAGCACATCGTCACAATATGATAATCAACAATACACAACTTTTAACTACGAAATCTTCGTCAGATTTGGGTAGATTTAGTGTCAAGTCTCTCCTTTTAAGTACCTATCGAAGCCATAAGTTACCTTGAACCACAACCAAGTAGCTCGTAGTTATGTAGGTACTTAGGCATATAGCAGAAATGAAATTTGTATTCATCGATACCCTTATATTCACAGATCAATCTTTGTAAAACCTTTCATTCACATATAATGCGAAGTAGAAACTAGAGAACTCTCCAGAATTCCCAGGGCTGGCTTATATAGCCGCCAAGCACTCCTTTTATTCCCCAAAACGCCAAACCTGTCAAATGAGAAATTCCAATCAATCGTGTTTTCGTTATTCCTGACAAAAGCACTATTTCGTTGCTCATGCGTAAATCAACATATTATCCTCTAACATTTACTTGTACAAGTCGTTCTATGCTCCTTTAGAACAACGCAACGAACACAGGGATAATTAGTCGGTCGGTTTATTGGCATCAATAGACCTCAATTGTTCGATGAAACTCCACACCTTCCATTGGATCCCAATTCGTCGCCTGTTCTGAATTGAAGGGCGATTGTGAAACTGAGATGAAATGAGATTCAAGGGCTGCTTGAATATATGAAGTATGAAAGCCGCGACTGCAGTGTGACTGTGCCACTTGAGGTTTATTGTTCAGTACGGGGTGGAAATTTTGAGGAGGCTCGTCAATATCCATCATCTCCGGCAACGTTTCCGGAGGTGTCGGTTTTTGGAAGTTAGAGTTGAACGGTTTACTTCGCCTTCTTAGTTGATTCCTATGAGATATCCGGGACCAGTGTACCTTGTTGCATCGAAATTTGTCCCTAGGATTGTAGCAACGATTTATGCGAGAAGTAGATGCCGTTGACTGAATATCGAAACAGCTATTGAAGCTGTGGTTGCTTTCCGTTGGTGTTGGATCCAGTTGGGGATAGACAGGTTCCCAATCCATCTCGACCGGATATGTGCCATCAGAGACGTCGGTCATCTCTATATCAGTTGCCAGTGTATCACTCTGAGGGCTCGGCGGCCGGCCTATTATCTGGAGGGGATTGAAAGGGTTTGGCATACTGGTGGCGTATGATTGATCCGCTTGAAAAGTCGTCGGTTCTCGTATCCATCCAGGAAAGACTGGTCCGGAAAAGTTTGGGCTTCTTGGAAATTGGTCGGGAAAGCAGGGTGAAGGAGAGGGTGGTTTTCTGAAACCATTGAAAGCCATCCTGGTGACTATAGGGATGAAGGAGATAATTATTTAGATATCCTGTCTTTCGTTTGGAATGGAATGGCGACAAGTTTCTAGGTTGGCGAGGCTCAATCGTCAGATCTTTAGCTTTGGATACTGAATTGGGCCGAAAAGCGTGCTGGTTAGTATTTATGATTTTGAACAGAGATAATTGGAGCTGCAGAACGTAGAAGCTGATCTGTGTCAAGAAACAGGAATGGTTAATATTTAGAGGATGGATGCCTTGGTATTTATATGAAGAGAAACTACACACAATTTTGAACCAAATCATGGGACTTTCGGAGATGGGGTTCTGAAGGTTGGTCGAATATTCATAAACACATTATTGGAAAAGGTTTAAGCCCAGAGTATATGTGAAAACGTGGCGCACCTAGGAACGGCTTCGGAGCAAGGGTGAGTGTTCATGAAGGTCCGTCAACATTGTTCGAATATAGCATATTCAGACTCACATTACCAACTATTAGATATGGACTCACCGGTATTGTAGCTATCGAATCGGGACGTATTGTCGACAACTCGTAGCTAGGTACCTAGGAAATTTAGTAGGTAGTTACAATAAAGTGGAAGATGATAGGAATATCATTTCAAGTACTCAGGTCATGGGGTTCAAACGGTGTGGCGTCTGAGATGTTTTGTGTCAACTTAAATCTCGGTTTTCTATTAGCCCCTTTTCAAGAGACTCTGGTGAAGTGGCGGCTTTTCTAGGTGGAGCATGGATTCATAGTAATAAAAGGAATCGTAATCAATTTGACATAAATAACTATTATGCCAGAGAGTGAAAGCGTCTGCATCCATGGATGTTTTCTCTTATTTCCACGATGTTAATTCCCAGCTGCAGCCCTATCTCAAGATCCAACCTCCAATGTCCACATCGTTGACTCATTGGCACTAGAAATGTAATTCACTGAAGAAATTAACTTTAACGTATAATGTAGTGCTTTAGATAAATACAAATCTTAATTACCTAAAACTGTATTAATCTTTGGGTTAGCTAAGTTAGCTTCACGCATAGCAGTTATCCTATCAAGAGTGGAAAGTTTATTCTGATTGTAACCCAGTAGGTAGGTATTTAAGTCGGTCTTGCATATAGAAGATGATAGACTTTAGTGCTATCTTGTAACTACAACGCCATCTAAAAACTCAATTCCGATTGCCCAGCGTAGAATACTAGGGGCAATGATCACGGGGTATTCGAAGTTGAATTTAAAGTTAAATTCCGACGATATCGTACAGTAGACTCATCTACTTCTACAAATAATCAATTCATTAACTATATCATTATATCCATTTAGTTGGCATAAGACTACAGCTCCGCCACGATTAGTAACTATACTTCAAGCAGCCCCTGAGCTCCACTGGCACCCACAAAACCTTACTTCTAGATGGTTGAATGCCTCTGAAGATCACTGTGAGAGCCGCAACGCTTACAGGCTTAAAGGGCCTGCGCTGTCGCCAATGTACAGTTACCAGTTTTGTGGAGACTGTAGTCTTGTGTCAACTAAAGGGATAGAGGATGTCAATAGTTCAGGCGATACGTATCACTGATAAGTGTCTTGAGCAGGAATCCTAGCAATTATAAACTGCTTGACAAGAGGGGAAAACATAATAGGTTTCCATAATTCGGCGTCCTGCTTATCTAACCATTATTTGAATCCGTACACGTATAAACTATATAGAGATACTTACTCATGCTTGAAGTAAATATGTCTCTTCTCGCAAGGTCACCAACCCCCTGTCGGCTTGAGGCTGTCGTCGATTACGAATTGCTTAAAATTTCCCCGCATGTATTTTATGCAATGCCGAGATCTCTTTTAAATCGATGGAGTGTATATATATCTTAAATTGACTTGAATATTAGCCGGGAAGAAGTCTATAGGTTGGCAAAACAAATGACGTTACCTGAAATGAGAGAAATATATGTTTCTTCCGAGAAGGTCGATTCGGAATAAGACATGACTAAACTTGCAACAAATTAACATCGCCGCATCCCTTAACTGGCCTTTATGAATTAGCTTGAGCGTAAGCTGTATTAAAAAGGCACATAAAGTCGGGTACACACTCTGGATGTGACCCTTCACTCTCCTCGCTCTTCAATTTTCTTATACTCAAATTTTTCGAGTCACGATGAACATCCTCGCGAGCCTCCTGATTGTGGCCACGGCCGTGCAAGCCCACTGTATGTTAGCCTTGGATTTTACTTAGCTCTGAGTATTCTTACTAAATAGTTTTAGACACGTTCCCGAGACTTGTCGTTAACGGCGAATCCGAGGAAGCGGACTGGTGGGCTACTCGAAAGACCAAGAATGCCGATAGCAAACAGGGGATTGAGAATCCGACCAGTGCAGATATTCGCTGCTACTCATCACAAAATGCAGCCAACGTCGCCACCGTCCCTGCTGGTGCTACTATCCACTACATCTCAACCCAGCAAGTCAATCACCCGGGCCCTACTCAATATTATCTAGCCAAAGTGCCCGAGGGTCAGAGTGCTTCTAGCTGGGACGGCTCCGGCAACGTCTGGTTCAAGATTCACACAACGACGCCGACCATCGATAGTAATAAGCAGATGACATGGCCCGCACAGAGTAAGTCTTTTCAATTTGATTTCTAAGGACTAAAACAACAATTGACGAATTGTTAGATGAGTATGTGTTAACGAATGCGACTATTCCCGCCGCAACCCCTGACGGAGAATATCTGCTTCGTGTGGAGCAAATCGCATTACACCTGGCCAGTCAACCGAACGGAGCCCAGTTCTACCTTTCTTGCACGCAGATTAAGATCACGGGGGGCGGAAGTGGTACTCCTGGGCCTCTCGTTGCATTACCCGGAGCATACAAGAGTAACGATCCCGGCATCCTGGTGAACCTGGGTGCGATCTCAGCAGAGTCCCCCTATGTTCCTCCTGGACCTGCTGTTTGGAGTGGTTAAAGTGAATGTTACATCCAACCAAGGTTTTCCTCGTCGACCTCTAAGGACAACCACCTTGTATCGTAAAATTTCATCACTAGGTAGAATGACCCCGAATCGATTCCAGGTTATTAGTAAAATTATTCAAGGTATTTTTTGGGTGATGCATATACCAGTTGCTTCCAGTAATATATATCTCCTTAATAGACACCTCTTTAAGTCCTCTGTAGAAATTCAGCTTCGAGAAGCACTTTTCTAGAAAAGTCCGCCGTCCCAGAGCGGGCTACACCTCATTGGTACGCGGCTTCTTGCAGGGAGAAAGTGATATGTGATATCAGTTCTAGGCGATAGTCTTCTATTGGATCGATAACTTGAAGGTAAATGAGGGATCTCTGTTTGCAGTGCTGCACTTGGAGATTATAATTGGCTCTCTAGGTACATATATGCAATTCTTCAGTACTGCATCACTACCCTCGGAATGCTGCATAACAGCAAACGCAACAGCCCAGTAGCGAACGTCATTCCTTAATGCCCAAAGGTAGGTAGAAACCTCCTGAAGACGAAGCAACTTGGTTCTGTTTGTGAATCCGTGAATGGGATATAGACCTATCCATAGCTCAGCTTGAAAGACCACCTACTTAGGTTTATGATATCTTCATTCTCTAGGTTAGTTATACTCTTGTCATTTATAGTAAAACCGAAATCGCCACGCAACCAGACCATGAATCGACTTTGTCAATCTTCCTACGGGAGTCTCGAAGCAGTCATCAACTTCGCTGGCTGTAATGGAAATCCTGAGCAACGCCTGGTTCACTTTTACCGGGACCGCGTCAGTGGAACATGGTCCAAGGCCGATATGATTTCAACTAGGCCTTTCTCTGGAGGCTCAATCATACAGAATTGCACCAAACGAAACCGAAATCAGAATCATGGCGATTTCGAAGTTCTTGTCTTGGAGGATGATGGATTGATGAAACACTACACAAGGGACAACACAATCCCCGTAGACAGTGGCAAGTATGCCTGGCAGCTTTCGGCTACGGTCAACGAGGGCCTGCATCAGCAGTACGGCAAGGTGGTGGTGCGCGATGCTGCACCTCTATACCAAATGAAAAGCCCCATAAGCGAGTCGTCGAACAGAAACTTCCTACAGACCGCTCTATTCACTGATAACGGTCGCATTTTGCATTATCATTGCCCCCAACCTGAGGAGCCTGATTCAAAAGAGATACGCCATCAATGGAAATTCGTTGACAGGATCACGAACTATGCCACGGGCCCAGCGTGCCTATACCAGGACTCTGAGGATGACCTGAAGGCTCTAGTTCCAAGCTCCGACGGAATTGTCGAGTTCTCCTTTACGTGTGGGGCTTGGAATCGACTTCGAAATATCCCCGACACCAGCGGCCCCGCATGTATCTATAGCTCCAATCCGGCCGAGCCTTGGGTAGTATATGCGGTTGTCAGGTGTGAGAATCAGCTACTGATAAAGTCGAATAAAAAGAATGAAGCGGACACATCGACATGGTCGACTTGCCCAACTCAACTGCCATCTCCCTTAAGAAAGCTCTACCGAAGCTCTCACCATAAAGAACATGGTGGAAACTCAATGGCAATTATTTCACAATCTCTGTGTTCTCTTGGGCATTCCCCTAATACGGAAGCCATCGTGTTTCACCCTTGCGGAACGGGATGGCAAGATAGATGGATGGTCTTGCATTGGAGTCGCCTGACAGTGACTCAAGACTGGGTGGTGTCCGGGGTAGTGATGGCTGAAGTGAAGGGCATGCCAATGTGATGAGGACGGAATGGAAAATCCAGATATTTACCTTGGCAGCGGTTGGATGTTGTAAGTACAAGGGAATAATTGTGCCAATGGTACTGCAGAACCCGGTGGTGACCCGAGAGTTTAGACACCCATAGTCCCACTGCAGTATCTCCATAGTAACATGTCGTTATTTGACTAAGTAATTTACCTAATGAGGGTGTAGTCCCATTGTAGAGAATATGATTCTTTTCACAGGGCAGTTGGGTAATCCATCCATATAGGGATTAGCACTTGATTCTATGGGAGCAAAGCTCCCCTTTACTTGATAGATCATTCCACTCATTATACTAGAGAACCGACACCCACAGACTGTGACAATTCATAACAAGGAACCTACAATAACCCCTTATCAGGTAGCTAATCCCAGATAAGGATTAGAAGGTAGAATGGCTGAGCATGGACTTACACACATAAGAGCTCGGGTCAACTTAGCTACGGCGTCAGTCTATAGCTCAAAACATTGTTAATACGACTAAGACAGGGCAAAATGAATGTAGAACCACTTGATCTTCACGTCATTGGTTCCTTGATCGACTGATTCCGGTCTATGCTACCCCTTGATCCATGCCAGGTGGCATCTATCAGTTGAAGGGATACTCTACGACTGTCATCAGCTCTGCCTACCTATATCTAAAGAGAACCATTGTGTAAGAAGGGAGCAAACTGGGTCGGTGAGCTTCCTGGCGAGAGTACAGCAGAGAGCACAGTGCCCGTATTATAATCCCATGGGCTTTTCGCCACTGAATATTGTCTATTGTAGATGCCTAGTCATGTTGAACTCTGAAGCTGTAGCAACGGCAGGCCAATGTGTAGAGCACGGACCATAAAAGGCGACAATGGTCAGGGGTCTGTGAGTGAAGAATCACAACGACCGTCTGAATAAACTCATAAGTCTTGTGCTGTAGATAGTGGGCCTCTTGACCTGAACTGTTCATATATTATTGTAGCCTACTTTTGCACTTTCTACATCGACCCACTTACCTCTGTCTACTGATTCACCTCTAACCAGGAAGTCTTAAATTGGAAAACTCCCAAGTTCATCTTCTTCATAAACCACACAAATCTCACAAACCTCACAAACCACAATTATCAACTTCCACGCAAACCAACGCCTTGCTACCAACTCTTGCCATCGCGTTGTTAAACCTGATCTTCATCATCATGGATGCGCACAACTCGTACGTACTGATCTACCTAATGCTTCTTTCCTACGAGAGCTTGCTAACAGATATCTTCGCAGCATCTTCGTCTTCGAGCGAGGTGAGAACAACTACGCGACGTTCACGTTTGATTCCCTAGCATACTGATGGATTACAAAATACAGATTCGTGCCCGGATACTCAGCTGCTCGTACAAGCAAACGTCGTGGTCATGAACCGCCTCGCTTACGGCTACCAATTGCCACAAATGCTTAACGAAGTCATGCGCACCATGATGACGCTTCCAGCGATGACTCCCATCTGGAACTGGTACGCTACCCTGGGTTTCGTGATCTTGAGTAAGTGATCCGATAAGTCTGGTTTAACTTAGCCGTACTGACGACTAATAGGTCAATTCGGCACGAGGCCCAGAGTCTGGCAAGATTAAATCTCCAGAAGTTCGGCATGAACAAGCGCCGCGTAGCCGAGGAACAATTCAATTGCCTCGTTGCTTGGATTTCTAGTACCGACTAGTATCTACGAAAGTCTGCGTCCTACGAACTACGTCGTCGATGGCTTGGCATAGGTCTGGATCACTTGGGGAACGTGTAAGCATTTGTTCCCATCTCTGTTCGCCCTTGTTCTACCCAGAATTAATCAAGCTAACAGTATTTTAGGAGAGGGATACTCGACGTCTTGGGGGCGGCATAGACCAAATCATCTCCTGTACTTCTCATAGTTGATCTCAGTACTGTACCGGGCATTGTCCGAAAATACACGCCCTGCCGACGAGACTTTCTCGTTGACGACCCCACAATGTTCTTGATGCTGGATGCTACAGTGAATTGTCATCGTAGAATCCTCTGGGGGTAGTATTGATGACAACGTACTTACATTATCTAGGTTACTAAGCAATCACTTGGTTGCTGGGTATTCAAATTTGGCAGTATCATTTTCGCTCATTCACTCGGAGCCGACGTATTACTCAGCCGTCTTGCCCCTCCGATACTCCCAAGAAGCGAGTGTCATTTGAGTCTTGATGGAATCGATTGATCGCTAGGTAGGTTACCTAGCGGGGAACAGATCTTACCGTTCTGGGACTCCCGACCGACTACCGATCCGACTCTTTGGCTCCAAATTAGCTTCCCCGTCCTTGACAGGGGCTTGATTCGTCGAGTTCGTGGGCTCCCACATGTGTCCCTGCATAAGCATGCTTGTCCTCTCCGCAGATGCTTGTACCCTCCGCAGACGAGATCGCCCTAGGTTATGAACTATCTAGGTAAGGCAAGATGGTTCGCCGTCTAAGTATTGCGCGATCGAAACCCGGTAAGACGAACACCCGATATGCACGTCACGCTCAGTACTTATAAAATCCGGTTGGCGATGAGTGGATGAATCTCGCGGCACGTCTAGGTGCCAGAGAGCGACTGCTAGCTCCCTGGATGTTCCTATCTACCTACCCGCTCAAGTAAAGGTCGAACATCGCCAGTGTTTGCGAATATGGTCCGTTTCATCACCACTGCCTTCCTAGCTAGCCTCTGGGACGTAATATGCGCCTCCGTTCTCGTCCGCGCGGAGCACTATAGCCCAGCATACTTGGACTCATCGCTCTCGCCAAAGGAACGAGCGGCAGATCTACTCCAGCGTATGACCTGGGAAGAAAAGGTTGGCCAGCTCGGTGGTGTCCGACGGACTCTCGTACATACCAACGGGCAAGCGACATTCAACAAGACAGCTTTCGATGCTGTCCATAAGACTCAGAATGGGCAGATAGGTATGCAAAGGACGGACACCTATCCTGACGAATAAGCGTGGGTAGCTTACTGACGTCCAATGAACAACTAAATAGGCCTGGGAGCTCAGTATAATTATGCCAAGGATGTGTTGCCGGTCGTGAACGGGCTGCGTGCTGAGCAGATCAATAGTACGAGGCTGGGCATCCCATACGTAGTGATCACCGACTCCATCAACTCGATGTGGGTATCCGGCGGCACCCTATTCCCCGGCGCTGTTTCCATGGCCTCGTCGTGGAACCTCGATCTGTACGAGCAAGTCGTCGCCGCTATCCGAGACGAGAATCATGCGCTCGGCGTGAATTGGGTCCTCTCTCCGGAACTCGACATTGCGTACGACCCAAGGAATGGCCGAAATGGCGAGATGTGAGCCTTTCAAGACCACCACAGCATCTCCAAGACAGAACTGACAGACTATATGTAGGTTTGGAGAAGATACGTATCTCGTCTCGCAATTCGGCACGAAGTACGTCAAGACTATGCAAGCGAAAGACGAGAATGGCTTCGTCAAGATCGCAACGACGATTAAGCATTGGGTATATGGTCGCGGAAATGGCGGTGTCAACCGAGCGAGTATGTCTGGAGGCATAAATCATATCATGAACGATCTAGCTGCCCCGTACATTAAAGTTATTAAGGAAGCTGACCCTCTGTCGTTAATGGTCTCCTATGCGTCGGTCGACCGTGTGCCTATGTCTATCAATGGATACATGGTTCGGGATATATTAAGAGGCAATCTAGGATTCAAGGGTCTAATCATGTCAGACGCAAGTTCCATACAGTACACCACGACGGAGTCGATGGTCTCAAAATCTCGAGAAGATGCCGCTCGAAAGGCGCTTCGCGCTGGCTTGGAACATGAATTATCACCTGACGGAACGGGCCTCTACACGACTCTAATCAACGAAGTTAATAACACCGAAATCGCAAATCTGATTGACGAATCCGTCTCGGCTTTGCTTAAGATCAAGTTCGCGACGGGCGTGTTTGATAACCCGTTGCCTTCCGTCGAGAACATGGAGAGCATACTTAGAAGCAAGAAGCATCTGGAAATAAACCGGAATATCTCTCGGGAGTCTATCGTACTTCTCGAAAATGACGGCATCTTACCACTTCACAGGAGTAACGTAAGCAAAATCGCAGTTGTGGGGGCGTACGCAGACATGATAAACGCTGGCATGTACGCGGCTTGTAATGCCACTGATCCTTCTTACGGTGACTCGTTGCGTCGGAGTCTCGAGAACAAACTTGGAGCTGAGAATGTGCTCTACGCTCATGGTGTCGACGCACTTCCTTCAAACGACAGTTCAGGCATCGACGCCGCCGTGGCAGCTGCCAGGGAGGCTGGGCTTGCTGTCGTGGTACTCGGTTCAGGATACGGCACATTTGATACAACCGAGATAAATAACCGTCGCACGGATGGTGAAGGCTTCGCACATGCGGAATTGGGATTCCCGGGTCTCCAACAACAGCTATTAGATGCTGTTTTAGACACCGGTGTCCTTACTATACTGATTATGAGCAGCGGACAGACATTTGTGCTTAACGAATCGACGATGCGATCCAATGCCATTATCCACTCCTGGTTATCTGGCGAGTTCACTGGCGACGCCCTTGTCGAGATTCTATTCGGCGACGTGAACCCTAGTGGAAAGTTGACGGTGACGATGCCACAGGCCAACGGCGCGTTCCCCGTCGCATACGATTATCTACCATCCGATGACAGAGGAGGTTTTGGCACTGCTACATTGTATGATTGGCAGTGGCCGCAGCTAACTCGGTATGCACCTCTAAGATTTGGGTTCGGACTGAGCTACACGAGGTTTAATATCTCGTCACCGGTAGCTCCGAGTATAGTGCCGTATGGTGGTAACGTATCGGTTACTGCAAGGGTGACAAATAGTGGTAGGGTCGCTGGTAAGGAGGTAGTGCAGCTATACTATCGACCGGAGTATAGCGTGATTGAGTTTCCCGTCATGAAACTTGTCCGTTTCATCAAAGTAGACCTGGCGCCGGGAGACTTCAAGGATGTTACCTTGGCAGTACCGCACAACGAGCTTGGATATTACATCGATGGTAAATGGAGTGTGGACTCTGGAAACTATACCTTCTGGATTGGAAGTAGCTCTAGGACCGAAGACTTACATCAGTTCAATGTAACAATATCATAGCAGATAAAAGCCAGCAGACAAAGGTGTAAGCCAGCCTATGTCAAGAACTAATGTTAAGAAGTTGATAACCGAGAGTTGTTGAATACCGGTATAAAAAGGCTGTATATGAATCACATTTCTGATGTGTAATGAGCGCGCTGAGTTGACGAAGTTGACATTCCATATTAAGGTCAAGGAAAGGGGTTGTAGAGCCAATTGTTATCATGTTGTCCAAACCACAAGGAGAAAGGGAATCGGGAATTCTCTGTTTGATCCGACAAGGATGGACTGAGGGCAGAGTCATGGTAAAATTGAGCCTGCTGGTTTGAGCCATTTTCAGAGTAGTCATCCCCATTATATTCCGAAGGCAAGGATTCTCCATCTCGTGTGACTGGTAGATTATTTGGCGCAATGGGGACATTACTTGTCGAAGCCTGAATGTCTCGATCAGCTGTTACCGCCTGTTCGCCATTGTCTTCCCCGTCGGAAAACTCTGCCTGTCTTAGAAGGCTGTGGATTGCAAGCCGTTCTCTGGTTTTCGCAGCTGATGAAAGTTGGTCTTCGGAGTCGCCGGTGGACTTCGCGTTGGCATCAGATGGTGGGGAAACGGGCGCAAGTCCCTGCTGAGAGAACGTCTTCACAGAGCGTTGCATTTCCTCAATTATTGGTCGGACGAGCACTGAAGTGCCATAAAAACGTTTTAGTGCAATTAGACATAGATCGACTCTGCTGGTAGCGAATTCTGGGCTGGGACGGTCTTCGATCGTACCGAAGTGCGATATGAAAAGGAGGAGACGAGCGGCGTGATACGCACAAATGGCCATATCAAACTCCAGGAGAGGGCGATCGATACTTTGCTGATTTAGATTAGTTAGAATATCAATGATTGACATGGAATGTTTTAGACAAGATAACTCTGCTGCTGCTATATCGTCGGGATCAATGACATGAAGCACTACGGCGGGAGCAGCTTCAGGATATCCATCCAACAATATACGATAAAGATCGCAGTGACATTGATGCCATGAGACGATCGCTAAAACTCGCCGAGCCAGCCACAGATTCCCTAGCAGTTCAGCAATTTGACGAGGTAATAACTCAGTGCCATCTGGCATCATTGACTCGACGTCGGCCAGGCTTTGCTGAAAATCACCAATGAGCTTCGGCAGCAGAGGATAGGGCTGTTCGCAAAGCGCTACCGCCCTCGTTAATTTCATGATATCTCTCCGAACATTTTCCAGTCTTACGTGAAGACCGTATGATCCGTGATCTCCAGGTTGGTCGACGCCACTGAACTCTTCCTCTGAGCTTGGTAATTGGAGATATATGCTTTCAAACGGACAGAGTTCAAATTCGGGAAGTCCAACAGAGAAGTATCTCTCCGTAATTTTAAGAGACCACACAATTCGTCGGCGTACTTCTTTAGCGATGGGGTCGAGATCTTGTCGTTCATGGTTCAGACGCATGGCGGCGGCAGAGCGAGCTGCAATTGCTATGAGCATGAAGGCTCTTTGAAAGCAGCCAGTTTCCATGCGATAGTGAATGACCAGAAGCAGGGCCTGTAGGCGCGGTATTGTGGGGGATTCAATATGCTGCCAGATATGTTGTTCAGCTTCCTGAATCCAGACAGGCGCTTCTTCTAAGTTTTGCACTGTGTAGAGGGAGGCAATAGCACCAACTGCCAGAGCCAAGACTCTACGTTGCGCACCGTCTCTACATCGTCTCTTGGTCGATTCAGGATGCAGAAATGCAAATGACGGCATAGGGTAGATCTTTTCGAAGAAAATGTCAATAAGATTTAGCATCCTTTCTGGTAGGGTACCCGTACCCGCCTCTTCGTCTTCTTCAAAGGAAGAGATGGTAGAGACTGGATTCAAAACCGGTCGCTTAGGGGTTGGATAGACGCATGTACGTCCTCGGCGCTTGCAGTTGGTGCATCGCGGCGTTGTGCCCGAACATTTGATCTTTGATTCGCGACATGTTGCGCATGCTCGCACACCTCGCAACCTCCGCGGGACACTCTGCGCAATAGATTTTGAAGCAGAGGAGCAATCTAACCCGAGACGTTCACAATTTCTGCAACTGCCTGGTCGTTTATCACACTTAACCTATGATATGGTTCTGGTGTGAGTGGTACAAGGAGAAGTAAGTTCTAAGCAGCTAATGACAACAATATCTTACCTTACGATGCCGGCACTGTGCGCAAGTTCCAGGAATAAATGATGAATCTGTTGCGTTGAAACAAGTGAGATGTCTTTCCATTGTGATGTATTGCTCTTCCTTCCAAATGTGAAGTTTTCGCCCCTGCTAAGACGAACACGACGCTCAACACAGTCGATGATGAGGGAGGCAATGAATATGTGCTTAGCTTATGTATTGGAAAGCCATTCGCAGAAATCAGCCATGTACATGTAAATAAACAACCTGTCTCGTAGCCAATGATTTAGTAGCTGCTTGACATAAGTTTAAGGCCTTCCGGCGTTGTGTAAGAAACTAGAGTACAAGCAGAATCTATGAATTAGGGGTTATAAAAGTCGAGAGCTTGATGAATGATGCTTATTAAGAAAGCGACACGGATATGGTCGTAAAGCGTGAGAGAAGCTAAGCGTGATTCGTCTCGGCGGGGAAGAACCTCCATACCTGCATGCCATGTCCAGTGAATGATGACTAACAATTCAATAGTATGATAAGTCTCGTTATAACGATGCTTTTCATTGCGTAATGTTTCGTCGGATAACATTTTTATGAATATTCATATTCATTTGACTTGCCGACTTAAAAACCACCATCAACCTTGATATCGCCATTTCATCAGTCGTTCATCTACGCGACCCAGTTGGCTATCCAAGCCACTTAGCATTCCAACCAATGAACATTCTCTGTACCTACTTACTTGAAACAATAGACTAGTGACCAACGCTCATCGTCGGATGGACCGGCTCGTCACCAATTTCTTGCATCTTCCGCTCTAACATGCGCGTCATGTCCTTGATGACCTGCTCATACTCCGGCTCATTATAAACATTGAACAGTTCCAGAGGATCGCGTTCGCAGTCAAACAGTTCCCATTCCTTCTCATCTTCTGCCCCGGGTCTCGCCCCAGCCACCCCCAAATGCTCATTGTACCAATAGATCAGTTTGTATCTCTGATCCCGCACGCCGTAATGCGCTCTCGCTTCGTGGATAATGTCGTTGTGCATCCAGTAACGATGGTACGCGACCTGCTGCCAGTCTTCTGGTGTCTTTCCTCGTAACAGTTCGCGGAACGACACTCCTTGCATGTAGCTAGGCATCGGGAGCTTCGCGAAATCAAGCCACGTTGGCGCAAAGTCGACATTGCAGATGATGTCGTTACATACGGATCCCTTGGCAATTTCGGCGGAATATTTTATCAAGAACGGCATCTGGAAGGACTCTTCGTACATAAAGCGCTTGTCAAACCAGCCGTGCTCTCCTAGGAAGAAGCCCTGGTCCGATGTGTATATGACAATGGTATTGTCCGCGAGTCCATTTTGGTCGAGATAATCTAACATCCGCCCGACGTTATCATCAACTGATTGGATGACGCGAAGGTATCGCTGCATATAGCGCTGAAACTTGAACTCTGCCAGCTCGCTCTTATCCTTAAAGGTAAATATGGTGCCGTCTTCTTTATCAATCAATCTTGTTGCATCAGTTGGGATCTTCCGTTGGCTCGAGCCAGATTCTTGGACTACTCGTTCGCCCACTCGGCTTCCGCCATCCGGCTGGACGAGTCCGAGATCTTGATACGTTAAGTCTTCCGCGACGCGCATTTTGGCTACTTTCGCTGCTTTAGCGCGGTTCTTATAGTCATCTGTGAATGTCTCCGGCACTCGAATCGGTTTGTCAGCGTACAGATTTTTGTGCTTGTCATCACATTCCCATGATCGGTGAGGGGCCTTGTGGTGACACATGACGAAGAAAGGCTTGCCGGTATTGCGACTTTCGGAGATGAAGTTTAGACATTTATCGGTTATGATATCCGTCACGTATCCGGGTTCAATTCTCTCGCCTTGAGGTTCGATGAATTCGGGATCCCAGTAGTCACCTTGGCCGGGCAGGACAGACCAATAGTCAAATCCGGTAGGTTCATGTGCTGGACCTTCTCCCATGTGCCATTTTCCGACCATCGCTGTCCTGTACCCTCCAGTCCGCAGATGCTTAGCGACATTGGGCAAGTGCTTGTTAATGCTATCATTCAGGGTCATCACCCCGTTGACGTGGTTGTGCGTGCCTGTCAGGATGGCCGCACGCGAGGGCGTACAAATCGAGTTCGTCACATAACAGTGATTGAACTTCATGCCCTCGGAAGCTAGTCTGTCAATATTTGGAGTATGGTTAATACCAGCTCCATAGCAACTTATTGCTTTAGAAGCATGGTCATCAGCCATGATGAAGATGATATTCGGTCTTTGGGAATCCATGGTGCCTTTAATGGACGCCTTTGGTGGCAAGTTCTTGTCGACTGAGCCTAGTTGTTTCCGGGAAGAGGTCGAGAGAAGAGAAGCAAGTTCTTGTCATTCTAGAATATGAGTTTTCATGGGCCTATTATATACGAGGAGGTGAGAAGCTACCCACTCTCCGATCCCTCAATTGAACATCTACCACGTGGAGGCAAATAAAGGCGCTTTCCATAAAGGCATGAGCAGTCGGTTCAGAGTGACATAGAATACATAACTAATAATCACTAGGTAGGTAACTGCTCTAGTATACCATCCTTCATCAGTATGTTCAGCATCGGAGCGAGTGTGTGGGCCTACTTATCCGACTACCGATTCAATATTCGGTAGTCGGCCTATGTTACTAAAATCATCTAGAGAACCAAGGATGTTATGATGGGCTGGATGGGGTAGTCATTTTATGCTTAATCATAAATCTAGCTCCCGACCGACCGACAACCGAATCCCATCAGTCTTGAGCTATTATCTGTATTGGTAGGACGAACTCAACAACGCCCAGATCATCGTGGGCCCAAAATGAGCCGCGAATATCAGGTAGATAACAGAACAGTCCGGGGCCTTGGATAATGGGTAGAATCAGACACCAATTACACTTTCACTATGAAATTTCGGACATTGTATTCCTCGACAAGTGAATTACTACTTGCTCGGATACTTCAAGTAGAATTATATACCTGGTTGGGTATTCTAATTAAACGATACCTTCCCTAATTCGCGATGCCGGTAGCCAATGCATTATCTGATAATCATTCACTCACTGTAGTCTGTACAATCCTCTTCCCCTCTCGGGTGTCGAGCATTTCGAATCGTTTTCAGGCTTGATGATCCTCGTCCTTCTTTAAATCAGCGGTCTCCACTGCAACGTCCGCAGATTCCTCGGTCGCCACCTTTCCCTTCTTGGTTTCTTCGAGAGCGGCTGGCTTAAGTGAGCCGTCTTCGTTTACATCTTCTTTCAGATATAGCGTGAAGACGATGACTAGGTATGGTTGGTCGGTCGAGCGATTCCGCAGCACGTACCTAAGGGTGTGTGAGCGCTTCGGGTTGGTCCTAGATATAATCAAGCAACGTAATGAGAAAGGGCAAATCCAAAGATATAAATCAAGGAATAGAAAATACGGCCAGAGGTTGTGAGCTTTCTTACCTTAAGCTCTGGCCATCCCAATATTTCATAATTGGCAGGGTAAATCCTGGTAAGCGCAAACTGAACTCGTTGAAGTCCAGATACGGGTTGAAGAAATCGAGACAGTAGGTATTTCCATACTGGAAAACCCATCTGCTCTTGTTGGCGGGTTTGAGCGCCCATTTCATTCGATCCTTCGCAGTCCCTGGGGCACCGACATCTTGACGTTCTTTCACCCCGCCTTCATCACCACCTTCCTCAAACCACAGGCCCCCCTTTTCTGGGTTGACTTCTCCTGATCCTACATGGATTGTATTGAAAGATGATAGAGCGGGCCCATACAAATACGGCTGATCAGCGTAAGCATCTCCTTCGAGGCCAGGATCGATCCACCACTTCACAATATTCATAGCATAACTAAAACCGGGCGGGAGTCGATCACGAATGGGATGCTCGAAATCATTTCCAAATTGCAGGTCCTCCCCTGAGATTCCGGATGCTGGTTCCTCCCCGGAAGATTCCTCGGTAGGTGCCGTAGACGATGATCTAGAAGACGAGGGATCCTGCGACGACCCAGATTTCGATGACGATTTGGATGATTCAGTGGAAGGCCCCTTGGATTTAGAACTAGTGGCAGGCCTCTTTGGGGTGAAGCGAATAGCTATGCTGTACTGATCTTTATTGGTAGCATGAGGCTCTTGGGAGAAGTATGGTGATGTGTTTGGTGAATTCCTCGGTAGTCCATGGTAGTTTTGCACGCGGACATTAAGCTCAGCATCGATTAAATCACTGCTAATTTTGACTGGCTCGTGCAAGTTGACTGGGATTACGGAATGACGATCTAGGTCGTAGTCTGTCCCAGCGGTAACGCGAATAATATATTTCTCTGCCATCTTGCACACAAGACCTGTTGTCAAGATGCCACTATGGCGGTAGCCGGCATAGGGATATCTTATAAGAATAGGATTGTATCTAGCTGTTGATGTCGGGTTCACGGATTGACACCTGGGCAGCTCTAATGTATCTAACGGCGCGCCGGTAGCATAGATTGAGCCAATAAAGATGCGGCGATGACAGGGGAACGTTAACGAGTGAAGAGGTTTAGATAGGTAGCCAACAATACAGTGTATAATTAAGGAAAAATAAGTATACGATTGAGTAAATGCGTAGAGGCTGAGAAGAGAATTGTTACAAAGAAGAGTTAAAAGACGAGTAGGGACTCTTTGTATGAAGTATTCGAAGCTTATTCGGTTTCAAATTTTGTACCTTGGATGATTGTAGATGACGTAGCTAGCCGACTGACGGACAGGGCTATATTTGCACGGGCCACACCTTATTTAATGGAGATACCCATTATTTCCCCTAAAACTACAGTACGTACTCAATGTACTGTGTACTTCTCTGTATGGATGCTATTCCAAAATAGGTACCTAGGTGTTCTAAGTCCTATTTGAACCTTTCACTATAAGGTAGACATTCTCAAGTCTGTCGAGTATCTACTAGGTACTTAGTGAAAAATAATGTAGAAAACATGGTTGACGTTAGTTACAATCTACAGTGTACTTGCTGAATCATCCGACGTTTCGTTTATTTAGAACCTTATAAACGAGTCACAGTCACTATTACCATCACAAGACACAGAAAACCCTTGCCTAGATAACCTGAAAAGAAAGGTGTAGGTTTTCTAATATTATGAAATGTGTCCGAAGAATTCTATGTACCGAGAAGTAATATATACGTTAGAGGTAAGTCGGCTACTATTTGGGCACGAGGAATTGATCGATGTCGACTCTCTCAAAGAAGCTAATGTGGCCAAAGCCAACCCAATATTGCGCTAGGCGATTATGTGACAACAGGAGGAGTTGCGATTCAATATATCTGTCTATAGACGAATTAGTTAAGAACAAAAGTCTACAGTATAGTGCCGGGTGTATCTCACCATTATAGAACCCCATATGAGCTATGTGACCCTTACTCTTCACTACTCGAGACCCCTCAAACGGCGGTTCCCGGGCCGTACCAATGAACCCATCCTCGCCAAGATCGTCGGCGACGAAAGTATATTCACCCCTTGGCACATTAGCATCGCCCGTCAGCTTGATCGCCTCCAACCGGCCACGATATACGCGCTCGTGCAAGAATCGTTCCTGGAACTCTGCTTCTGTTTCATTTTGAAGCCGCGCCAGCGGGCCCTTATCCACGTCGTCATCGGGTTGATTAATCAACAAGAATTCGCAGCCGTGCCCACTATAGTCTCCAACCCATATCCCCCTCCACGGCCTTTCCGCTGTCGGCGTGTACAAGAACGGATCCAGAGTCGAGTAAGTCACTACTTCCTCAGCAAAATGCACACCGAGAGTCGGCGGCCCCATCTCCATCCACTGCCTAATACGAAAGATCTGATCAGACGCCTCTGAGCGGTTGCGGGGTTGCCACATTCCTGAGGTTGATCTTGTGTAGTCTATGGACGTCGCGAGAGGGTGAACCCCCGCAGGCTGGCCCGTCACACGGTGCCGTGCTGGAATTGCAGGCGGAGGCCAAACATAACCATGTGGGAATTCGTTTGCCATCCGACCGGCTAGAGCTGGTTTGTTGAGTGGTTTCGCGAGGAGAAAGTTGGTGAATCGAGGGTCCGTCCCATTATTAATACGCATCGGCTGTTCCGAATAGAAATGCCGAGAAGCTAAAGACGACGATTTGCTGCGCATTAGGTTCTCGAGGCTGTCGACATTAAGCTGCAAGATAGGTTTGTCGAGATGCAACTTCACCGATGGCTCGAAGTGATGAATGTGAACGTCCTGGTCAGCAAGCCACGGCTCGCTACCCTCTTTATTTCGCGTAGAAACTAGTTGATATCCTTCGATGCATCCTCGTCGCTCATCATAACGGACAATAATCATCTGACCCGTCAATTCACGATCGCAAAACCACAATTTGTGCTTCGTTAAGAACCAGTATGGGTCGTGCGATATATAAAGCTCGCGCCAACTTTTGCACGGGTACGGCGTGGTGATGCGATTCACAGGAAGATTTGATAGAACATGACGTTTCCATTGCGAGTCCGAATTTGCATGGTTGCGTAATACGCGACAAACCAGGGAGACCGCAGCCAGTTCCAGAGGAGTCAGCCAGGAAAGTATCGCATCGATGAGTTCGGAAGGGAGATCGAGGAGGGGAGTCCTCTCGGGAGGGCTGCTCGAAAACGATTTGGCAGGACTCGAGTCTGGAATTCATTGGTCAGCCAGGAGGTACTTGGAAACGGGGGCTCCCGTATCAACGAAGATAGTCGGGACGTGGTTATGGTTGGCAGGATGGAAGCATGAATCCACGAACCTCGGCTTGTTGATGCGCTTACAGTGCGTCGCTTTACCGCAGTGTCGAGGTCGTCGTCGAGGTCGGGATCGAGTGGGTTGCGGCGGTGATCCGTAGCATCCCACCGCACGTCGTGAGCGGGGACAGATTTGACAAGAAGGACATTTTCTTCAATCTCGGGATCTATTCCTCCGTAACTAACAGCTGGGTTGTGAACATTTATGGTGCCAGATTTTGATCCAGATCCAGATCCAGATCCAGATCCCAAACCTGAACCAGATGCCTCGTCATCCCGTGTTGTCTCGACGCCGGAGCTAGAGTCGTCCGACAAGTTGTTATTGGCAGATTTCGTATGCCAAATTCTCCCTCGCCCTTCCTCAGCCATCTTCTACGTCCGTGGCGGGACCCCGAGCACAGTCGCACAAGCGATAAGTTCGGTGGCTTTGAAGGATCCAATCGACAAGGGTCACAGCCACGTGGTGGAGAGCTGAGAGGGGGGAAGCCCAGAGTCGGTCGCGGAAAGGACAGATTTAACGAGATCCAGATCGCTAATAATCTTAGCCAAAAATTGATAAACCCCGGTGGCCGGTCTTCGATGGTGGCAATATTAAGTAAGTCCTAGTTGCCGTAGAATTTTAATGGAGGTTAGCAGATAATAGCGGGTGGCAGATAGTAGACAGCAAGCAGCAGGTAGCAGGTAGCAGGTCGCAGATATCATGCGACCAGCAGATAAAGCGGCATTTAATGGCTGAAAACAAGGAGGAGGGTTATTTCATTCTCATAATGACGGTAGGTCAGGTATTTCAGTTTCAGGCCCAACGTAGATGCAACAGCTCGTCCGTACGGAAAGTGGGAACAAGAAACGGTGGCGACCAATAGCGGGATTTGGAATTGGCGAAATCATTGATTTGATTGATGGCGGTTCGGGGCTGGGCTTTCTCTTCGGCTTGGTAGTGTCCACGGGGGTCTTCAGTATTCCAAGCTCATTAGGATTCAGTTTGGCTTATCAACATTTGGTAGGTGCTTTTACTTAGCTGTACCAAGTAGTTAGGTAGTCGATATTGTCAGGTATTTTCCATGCAATAGTGCCGACCGTATTCATATCATCAGCCACTTTCAGCAAGCTCTGCGTAGTAGGTACAAGGAAGTTGTTTAGAAAATGGGGAATGGATTGAAGGAGTCGGAGCCGAGCCGGCCTAGGTGGATTTTTGGTACGACTGTAAAAAGAAACGAGCAAGATAAAATATCCACTTGTTGCTTCCTTGTTACTTCGAAGTTCGGCATCACCTTGTTGGCTGTTGCTACATCCAGCGCATCTACGACCCACCGGGTTGGGACGGGAAGGTCCCAACTTTAGGCTCCTGATGGGCAGTCTCCTAATCAGCAATTCTAGGCTCATAGCCGCTGTCATTACAGGGGACTGTACACGCTATAGCCGCAAATCTTAACGCTTCCCCCAGTACCTAACCCCAGGTATCCTGACCTCGACTGCCTTGACTGCCTTGACAACCTTGACAATTCGGCCCCTTTGTACTGTATTTTGGAACTAACTTCTAACTTTAACCTTAACTTGTCCTCCACTCTTCGCATCTTTCCTAATTGGTTAAGTACCTAACTTAAGTACCTACTCTATTCTTCGAATTCAATCTCCTTCATTTTCAAGTTTTCAATATTTCATTAACTGCTATTTCGTTACTTATCTAGTTATGTCACATCACCGCGGTCAAAATACGAAAGGTGATATCCAACCGTGCGGCCAACCTAATACGTTTTACAGGCTACAGGCTACACAGCACCCCCCTAGCTAATCCAGGGCTTTCCAGGCTGTCCAGGGTCCCTTCTTCTTCCTCCGGCTACCTCAAACCGAACCGGAAGACACTTGTGACGAAGAGAATCCTACAGCGTATCACAGTTGATGGCCCTATCACACCACATAATTCTAACCTCCACGCTCGGCTGTAACTTCAAGATGTGGCTAGTCCTCCAGACCACCGGTACAGTTAGCTAACCCCATGCGCTGCCGCCGACATCTGCCCACCAATACCCACCGTCGCTTCGTCGATATCTTACCTTGCAGCACACCCGATCTGACTATGCCCTGGCCCCCATTGGAACGGCTGCCCATTCCTGTCGTGGGTAATGGCCAGGGGTCTCAGGAAAGAGACCGGCCATTCTCGGACTACAGATCCAATTCGGTATGCTTCACCTAGAGATGCAACGATTCCAGGTCTATCAACAAACAAGGCTCAAAACTACAACTTCAACATTGTAGTATTCACCTAAATAGCACTTTGTTCTGCCCTTCAACATTCCCAGGGTTGACGCTCTGTTTCGAAAGAAGACAAAAGAAGAGCCGAAAGAATCACCCTTCGTTTGCTCAGACAGCAACGCCAGGCCAATCACAAGACTTGCTCTACCTTGTAAGTTTATAGGTTGGCACTCCCCTAGACAACCGCCTTCCCTTCTGGTTGTCCGTTGAGATTCCTACGGAGATATTATGTTACGCACAAATTTACCCGTCTATATTTCTTGATATGCCCATGCAGGTCCAAGCAACTCGGCTCTTGGCTCCAGGTTTATTGTGTTAGAAGTCTAGGGTCTATCGTGGGTACTCACCTACCCTTTTATAGCCATGTTATATTGTTAGATGTTTGTTATATACAACACAAAGTATTTACGATCGGCGTCGTTCCTTGGCATGCGAGCTATATTTACTAAGGCTAGAACGTTACCATCACCGATGCTGGGAATGTTTCCAACGAGGTTAGACTTCACTTACCAGGCTCTCACCTGGCGCATTTGAGCATCACGCTTGGCATTTTGGCGGCACAACGCTTGGTCATCTGCGCATCTCGGAGCTTCAGATCCCCTGCTCATCTCGCCCCGGTAAGGATGCGAATGCGACTCAATCCGTTATCAGCAATGCCAACAAAGGCCGGAACTTCAATTCGCCAACGGGAACCGGTTCCCGTGATGCCTTCGGCAGTCACCCAGCATCGAAAACAGGGTATTGATCATTGGAGTTCCAGATTTGGAGAGCCGCTGCTATTTCTGTTGTGGCCCGCTTAGCTTTTGAGCTTCCTCTTCGAGCCTGCCTGAGATTACTAGGACGGCTAGAGACTGTATAAGCGTTGAACTCCTTGTGTCGTCCCGTGCAAATTAAGCAAACCGAGATAGTTCCGCCTTTCCGCCGTCTTCCACTGCTGGGCGGACCTTAAATCCATAGCCACGCCAAGACTCAAGAGATCATAGCATAGAGTTATCAGCCTGGCGCATAGCTATCCTCACAATTGTACCTGCGGGATCTAGCTGGACTAAAGCCCAAGGCCACGGAACTGTTCATGATCCCTGAGCGACTACCCCACCTACTTTCAGCATTGATTCAAGGTTTATTCATATAATGGATGCCTTTTACGGGACCCGGAGGCTTGTCTCTTTTCGAAGAATGGCGTCGAGTTTGGAGAGGTAAGGTTGGATAAATGATGTGTTCGAGGGTAGAAATCAAACCATTTCAGCTCATGCTCACAAGGTAACTATGCTGTCATGGGGTCAGCTAACCGGTACGATAACCTCTATTACAATGCTCTTATATCAGCTGGACTGATTCTTTAAGCAGTCTTTTCCGCAGTCCTGTACCAATGTCCACCCCACCAGATAAAATTCTCCGTTTAAACGATCGTTGTAGCAGTACGAGAGACCTAATAGGGACCCCAACCATGCCAGCAAGTATATAAGCAGAATCAAGAATCCTCGGTCATTTTCGCTGTATATGCAAAAGGCCTTGCAGCAGCATAGTGGCGTATGCGGTCGTATGCAGGCATAAGCCGTCCGGTTAACGTAAATCAAACGATACCTCCCCTTCACCTGGTTTTCTTGAATCTTAGTTTACACTTTACTGTCTGTATCATATGTACATAGGTACGTATGAACCATTATCTTGAGAATATCAGTGTCCTACAATATTTAGTTGTTAAATGCTTTAAATCTATCTTCGAAGTATCACGACAAATGATTGGTTGATCCTCGTGTCAATCAAGGCATATACGTATATGCAACTACACACACGTGTAATGATTCTGTTGGTATCGTCGCAATACCCACAAGCACCTATAGAGATAATATCACTTATACATCGTGTCTCCACGAAATACCTACGTATATGCACGTATTTAGGTGACCACATATGTACGATATCAAAGCAGAAAAGTAGTCATCGTGTTGCCCAGGTGTAAGCTTTACCAAGTGGAGTCTACGTGGTCCACTATTCTGAACCAATGGGTATGCACAGACCACATCGTATACGTTGATTTTGGCACTAGAGACGAGAGGCGTTCCTTAGGTGGCAGCTTGACAGGGCGAAGTCGAAGCTGCCAAAGTCAACCCAACATCTCACAATAGAAGTTGGATAAAAATTCAGAATATATTGCCGTAGCTTCATCTTCATTTCACATTAGGTAATTGAACTTACTAAATACCTGGGTTATTAATAATTCTAGTTTCAACATTCACTCGGCCAATCAACTATTCGTATTCACCGAAGTTTTACCAATCAGCTATCGACGATCCTCGGTATCCTCTCCTTGCTTTTCAACTCCGTCATAGAACCTTAAATTCAAGTACTACGCCGTATGTGCTTCATCCCAACTGCCGTAGGAATTATGTCTGGCTTCTTCTCCCTACTCCCGGATTTACTTCCGATGATCATGCCTTCCGAAGTACAAATCACAAAGGCTTCCGACCTTGAGGCTCAAAGAGACGGGAAGGATGCGGCAATGATCCGTCAAGGAGCCGTGATCGGCAAAAGTGATAGGATGTGTGCCAGTGGTAAGCCACCTTATCAATTCATCCCCTAAACCAACCCCTTATGCATATGCCTTGCGCCTGAGCACAAACGCGATGTCACCGAATGTCACCATGAGCCTTTACTAGGCCTCGACCGTGGAATTGGTTCCCGGCTGCAGATGGAGGGTCCCTGACCTTATGTCAGATTCGTGTTAGTAACAGCATCATTAGTCCTAATAGCCAAACCGCACTGTTCCTCAGCAGTACATCATCACGGTGAACAAGGTCAGTCTCGGTCCTACTTCGAATGCGCCAAGGTGCTGCGTGTCTAACATTAACTAAGAGACCATTATCTACGCTGCCTCGGGCAAGGGCATGGTACGTATAAAAGCAGTTTCGGTGTAAAGACACTAGGCCTTCTCTTAAAATTCAAACCCTAGATAGCTACCACCACGTTGATGTCATTGAAGCTAACTTGTCCGCAGTATGTCATAATCCCCGAGTGATTCTTGTGCCACCCTGCGTTGTTTTTCTCTTCCCCCAATGATAGGCTACGAGACCTAGAGTCCGTGGGGAAAAGCTGACAGGTGATAGATTGGTGACCAGCTCCGGCGCTGACGAAGAGCCTAAGAGACATGAACTGTCCCCGGGCGACTTCGCGTTTGTCCCGCCATGGACGGAGCATCAGGAAATCAATGAGACTGATGAGAACGTCGTCTGGGTCCTGATTCGAAGCGGCCCTGAACCTGTAGTGGTCTACCTGACGGGTTGGGGAGGTGACGAAGCAAAGGCAGATGAAATTGATTGACGCTGCCGGAAATGAAGCGGTCTTCGCATGCTGTAAATTCGACACAGCCGAATGCATAGGCCCAAGCGCCGGGAGGGTGGTGGCGTTTGATTACGCAGATCTCGACATCCAGTAAACAGGACAATCGCGGTGCTGCCAGGGTGTGTACATCTATTCTGTGCAGTAACGGCGTATAACGCCACAAAGTCTGTTCCGGTTCTCCTTGGTATCAAATACTTGAGCGTGGTCCAATCCCCAGAACCAGAGCAACTCAATCCCGTCGCGCGTGAGATAGCCACTACCCCATCTATCCTGCCCCATGGATTGCCCCATGGACCACCCCTTAGAACTGGCATCCCCTCCACCTGTCTGGCTAGGGACGACCCATCCATCACCATCGGCACCCAAGTATTGGGCCACCATCAAAGTATCAACGATCAAATCTCGTTCCGCAAGACACACTGCCACCTTTCGCAGCGGTCTCGCAGTAGCCCGGACCCCCTGATCACCCACACCCACCACTTCTGCAGATGACCCCCTCGCCACTCCCACTAGCTCTTCCTTCCACACAATATTATCCTTCCAGAAGAAATGTCGGCCCAAACAGTGGGCGACGCCGGGATCCATGCTCGCAAAATACCACAACTGCCACTGGTTGGCCTCCCTGGGTCTGCGTCTAGTGAAATTGTATGCTACGTCTGGCAGATGCAATAAGATTGTCACAGGATCTATGAGTACTACTGAGACAATCCTGTCGGCTAGCTCTTCCGAACGCAGCATGTGGGTTGCCAAGGCGCTGCCGTACGAATGGGACACCAACACGAACCTGTCCCACCCGTGCGCATCCAAGATCGTAGCAATCTGTCTTAAGAAGTCGGGCCTCCTTAGCGGCTCGCCCGTGAGTCGGAAAGAAATCGAGAGGATCTCGATCGCGATGATACCAATCTGACCCTGCCCATTTTGCTCCCCTGACTCCGAGTTAAGCTGCGCAAGGAACGGCACGTACGTGTAGAGGCCGATACCGATGCCGTGAAGGAACAGGACGGGAAGCTTGTCGGTGGCGGTATGCGGACGGCACCAGTAGCTTAGATCTTCTGACTCGGAATACCTACGGGTGAATAAGTCCTGTAAGCGCGGAGGGATGACAGAGAGGATTCTAGACGGTGATTGTGCGTAATAATGAAACCCATTCCACGCTAGTTGGCAATGCGACGCAAAGTCGACAATGCTCACGGCCAAATACCACGCAATACTTCTATATCGGGTTTCCACCTCGTCCAACGTGAGTCGGAGACCTTCGGCCTTCCCTCTCCCCGGCTCTAATCTCCGGCCCAGCAGCTTCTCGATGGTGTCGATGTACTCGTCGAGCTCTGCATCTTCCTCGTCGGTCTCATTGCCGGGCCACCTGTCGAAGAAGGCCCAGAGGATAAAGTCGCGTACGTTATCTCTCCGTATCTCAGACTCGTCCGCGCCAAGGAACCACATCTGGATATAGCGCCGGGCGTCGGGCACGTTTGCGAAGCAGCGATGGAATAGGGCGCCGCGCTCCTCGCACGACAGCGGCGGCGGGTGCTTCGCTTCCTCCTTTAGCCGCCTATTGTGCGGGAAGTAGATGAGTATAGCGTACAGAGTATCCAAGACGCTGTAGGCTAGCAGCGCTATGCTAAAGGGATGGGATAGCGCTGCCCAGCCGTGGGCCGCCGCCAAGAAGGCTAGACATGCTACGCACAACGGCGTGGTATACTGCACCAAGAATATGCATACACGGATAAAAATGTACTCTGGTATTGACGTGCCAATCATGATGTCGGGCCGCGATTACGGCTTTAGGCAAGCCGGGGAAACGGTCGCGATAAGTAGATATTGGATGTATAGAGCGTGTTTGTGCCGCTCACCACTTCCTCTTTTTTTTTTTTTTTTGTGAAAAGTCCTGGCCTTTTATTCTTTGTAAAAGTTTGTAGATGCTATGAGTAGTAGTAGCCAAATTGAAGTATCTAATGGTAGTCCAACTAGCTACTAGGTAAACGACAGGCTCAGAAATTGGCCAGGTCAACACGAGATAGGCAGCTTTAGATATTAATATTAACGATGATTCGGAACGAGAGAAATCTACTCAAACGGCTTCCTAAGACGGAAAGACTCGAGACAAGCTTATGAGAGTTGCATAATATCGACAGCTTCCCCTCGACGCTTGGCGGTCTTGTTCGGTCTTGTTTTCTATCGAGAAACAGAAATAGGAAACAGAATATCAGGATATTAAGGTCGTAATCCGAGTGACGTCTGTCCAGTCCACTTTAATTCGTACCTGGTGTGGCTCTTTGTGGCTGTGGCTGTGGCTTGAGATTAGCTTAGATTATGAACATCATGAAAAGGGGCTTCTTTGAACCTTAGGTGTAAATAAAGCGTTCAAGTGATGGTGCAAAAGGAACGTCGAACGTCAACGAGGGGTCTGTCTTTACCGGTAATATAGAGCCAATTGCATATTTAAATCCATAGCTTGAATTTCTACCGACAATATTCCCTTCTCATGGGATTTAAATGTCAGATTGTCCAATTTTGTAACCTGCCAACTAACCTATGTTATTTGGGTGGTTGATATCATAGGGAGCCATTCGCGTGAGCAAATGAAAGAACATCAGATATATCAATAACACTCCTCTTGCAATACTTATTGCTAATATAAATAATGGTATACATATTACAAATCGTTGAACATATATGATTAGTTTGCTGAGTAGGGTGGAAGTTTCACAATTAAGATAGGGCTTCAGTGTGATGATTTCTACCTGAGTAGGCATTCACTCAGGGTAGCTAAGTGAAGATATCCGTGATCTTGTAGGGAGTTCGGATGCTCCGTAATATCTTAGTAGATGTCTTACATGATAGCCCAAGTGCAATGATAAATACACCAGAATCATTCTTTGCATCCGTACATTTGTAATTGCACAATGGCTAGATATATATATAAGTCCTCGTCTGGGACCTTGCGAAGGGGGCCGTTGCAAATCATCATACCGGATGCGATATTTCAACCTTTGCTGACCTGGCATGCAATCAACAAAACGGAAGGGGTTACAGTTACCTGGCAACAGACAGTCTCGATGTTTACATAAATAGATCACCGGCTATCTGGTTAACATGACTGTAAGCTGGCCTTGGGTTGGTATCTATGTACTGGTGTATGAATAAACCCCCATTGGTCGTCTTGAAGGATTACATCATTGAAGCAGTCCATTAGAAGGTGCCTAGGTAACAGCAGCAATTAATATTGATAAGAGGTCGGGTAAAACTACTGGCTTACCTAGGGGCCTCTTTAGGGACACAAAGGGCATTGCAATTTGAGGTACCTTAATAGTTCATACCAAGCAATTGCGTCTCTTCCAAGACGGTTATATAAACGGAGTACTTAAAATAGAATAAACACATATTCGTACTTGCGCTAAGTATTCTAGTATCTAAGTACTTTTCAGTCAATTAACCGCTTTTTTCAGAAGATACACTTTATCATTGTCGTACCTACATACTTAACTTCATGAACACAAAAGTAAGTCAGGATATTAGGAAATGTCAAGTTCAATCTCCAAGTGTGAGATATCCTCTTCCCAGTCCACTACATGTAACAGCAATCACTCCCATACGGACTATAAAGCCCCGATTTGATAATCATAATCTAAAAAATAAAGCAGTGCTAGTTGTTTTGTGTGAATAAATTGAGCAGCTACTTGAATGAGGGTTCGCTTGGTTCGTTGCGACGTGCAGCGGCATCTCATGATTTCAACCGTAAGCACACAAAATCAAAGCGTTGAGGGACAGTGTCTCATCATTTTCGTCTCATAAATTATATATATACACTTGAAGAGTATCTATAGTGAATATTAAGGTGTAGAAATGAAAAAGAACGTGGAGGTGGGTTGGCGTAGGTATTACACGTACTTAATTGGGTACTTTGGCTTTGAAGTACCTCAGTATTTTGTAATAAATCAAATTAAATCAAAAATTATTTTGCAAATCTTCCCTTTGATATATGAATTTTAACATGTTTCTACGAACCTGGTATGTACCTTTGTACTGATGTGTCAGTGGTGAGGTCCAAAAGGGGGATCAGTCTTTCAATTGTCAAACCTCAATTGTCAAAAGTCAATTGGCACAACCCACACCTCCGCAACTTCCTCAATTTAATTCATTTACGTTCAGGGCAGTTGCATTCATTCCAATTGATGTCGGGTAGATAACAGATTGGGACACGGGGCATTTTATCTTCCCGCCTTTACGTTTTCCAACCGAACTTTACTCTTCCTTTTTCCCCCATCGTTTCCTTTCAACCAAAACATCATCACCATCACCACCTCCCGACCATAATTCATTCACGAACTTTAAAACTCAATCAACTTAATCACGGTTCATAAATAATCACAACCAAGTCACCTTATGGTGACACTGACACCGTGTTGCCCTTGCGATTGATTCAAGACTCGGCCTTGCCGGCTTCCTGAGGTACGCTTTTCTACTCGAAACCTAATAATATCTGTTCTTTCCTCGATACTTATCACAACATTCCAGTCCGATCAGCAATTGCCAAAGTACACAAGTAGCACAAGAGCAAGCCAAGCAACAACAATCGACTCTCGTGCTATCGTCTACGATTCAACGATCACGATGGCTTCCAACGAGAACGGAAAGAACACCCGCGTCACTCACAATGACCCCAATGCCTCTATTCCAACTCAGCCTGTCTCAATGCATCCCAATTACGACATGACACAATTCAAGCATCTACTCTATGCCGGCTTTCCCTCTTCTCCTACTTTGCGCCAGGAGGGTAAGCGCAAGGAAGATGTGCCTGACTTGTCTCGACTTTCTCTCAGTGAGACCCAGAAGAATAGTCAGGGCAATGATGGCGATGACGCCCATCCCACGGGCATACAGAGTGTACCTCAAGAAGTGGTCCTGCGTATCGCGGCCTACCTGCCTCAAGCGGACAAATGCCACCTCGCCCAGACATGCCGAGGCATTTCCATTCTCATGAAGACACCTTTAGATGAACAAGACGCGATGGAGGACCACCACGCGCTATGGTGGGCATGTGTGAAGAACGATGCCGAATTGCTGAAGCGTGTGTTGGCTAGAGACAAGGCTCTTGTTAACTATCGCTTTAAGGAATACCACCCCAGCCGCTCGGCCCCCCAGCATGTTGCTTGGAGTAAGCATCTTACGCCATTGATCCTCTCCATGCGATTCGGAGCGGACCAGGTGTTCCTACAACTCTTGAAATCAGGAGTGGATGTGAACCTTCTCGATGAACTGCCCCTGCTCAGCGGGCCCACGTTCATGGAACACCGCCGACAATGGCGGCCTATCAATTGGGCAGTTCATATGATGAAACCTGGTGATGACTTCGACCTTGCCGTCGGCTTACTTGCCGCGTATGGAGCGAACGCTAATGAAGCTCCGCTGATGCTCCCATGGGAAGACCCTGCTGATGATCCCCGTCCGGGAGATCAAATGCCACTTTTTGAAAAGCTTGGATTGCAGCTAGGGCTTAGTTCGCACATTCCCCTCGATGACATGAAGGTCATGTACGATCAGCGACGAAGTTGCTTGATTTCGCTACTTCAGGCGGGGGCAGATGCGAAGGCCGTCGAACCGTACAGCTCGCACACCACTCTTTATCGTCTTACCCATTCATTGATGAACTACCAAGCCCGTCGAGATCTGAAGGCGTACGACTTCGGCAACGTTTTCCTTAATCAGTTTGTAATTCCCCACTGTCTTCATACGTTTGAGATCCTCATTCGCTGCGGCGCCCAGCTGTCAGAAACCAGCTGGGACTACGATGGCGGTTTACATACCCCTCTTCATTTAATCTGCAAGAAGAGCGGTGAATTCGAACGTGTTATCAACTACTTTCTTCAGAAAGGCCTTGATATTAATCAAACCGACAGTTACGGTCGCACGTCTCTCTACAACATGATACGTTTCCCTCCTAGCGACCCTAAGGTCATCTCCCGATTCATCCAAAAGGGCGCTAACATCAACCATCGAGACAATATGCTTCGAACACCCTTACACGCAGGTTGTGCAAATTATCGCGGTTCTCAAGAGCAACTTAGACAGATAGTCAAGGTTTTGCTCCAGCATGGTGCCGACGGGGCTGCCACGGACATTGACGAAAAGACACCCCTCGATCTTTTCCTTGAAACCCGTAGACCTGCGAACTCGGAAGACTTGGTTGAGCTTTTACGTAACGCTACACGACGTACACCAGGGCATATCGGCGGTGATGGCAAGGCAGGACGAGGCGGACGTGGTGGGCGTGGTGGGCGTGGTGGACGTGGCGGAAGAGGCAGTCGAGTTCCGTGGTGAGCGCTCTGAACAGTGATGACCAGAAGTTGGACACAACCTCATTGGCTATTGGCCGGACACCGGCTAAATTACGACGATATGAGCCATATTCCGTTGGCTTCTTGGTCACCAGAAGTTGATTAAGCCTTCAAGTAATGGATTGCGCTACTGGAGGCAAGCTGCTCATGGCACTACGCTTCGGAGGTAGTCAGTGAGTGTCTAAGTTGATAATGAAATGAAATGGGTTCTTCATAAGTTATGTTCCACTGAATTGGCTTCTCTCTCCCTGTGAACTGTGTACTACATCATGGCATAAGCATGATGATTGGTACTCGGCCTCGTATCATAATTCTGCAGTTAGGAGGCTGGCCACTGGGAAGAGCAGTCGTTGGATGTCTAACGTCATTATAACTTAGTTCGTAGGAGACCTAATAGCGACCTTTCCTAGGATTTATGCAGAGGATTACATGTAGGTACCTATCTATACCAATATCCTAGGCAGGGGAAGTCGCTAAACTTTAGCCAGGTCTGGGCTTCCTCCTTGTCATTTGATACAAGTGACTGACTCCATGTCGAACTTGGCTTGTTATATGTGCTATTATTGGTTGGTAAATGACTTGAATACTAGGTGGTGTTCGCTATCATACGGTAATATTATCCAATGTACAACTAATTCTTCTAACAGATGCTCGAAATGGTCCCTAAATATAGGTGTGCTTTCGTATTATTGCCTCTGTCTAGGCACTATGGGCGCAGCGCGTTTATTCCGTGGACTAGGGAATCCTGTTTCGAATTACGTTTATCTAGGGAGGTCCTATTAGACGGTAAGTGCTTAGTTTAGGCTTCTATCATAGTAAATATTTTCCTACTCTAGGGTCTAGCTCTTTGTCTTCGTGGTTTCCTTATATACATCATCGAACAACGAAAGTGCCCTGCAAGCCTGAGCGCGAAATATCTGGAGGTAGCCATTCGGGCTAAAATTGTATAGGAAATCTAGAGTAGGCGCCTTAAAGAGGCAAGAGGTGGAGTGCCGCCTGATGTAAGAGGTCCTCGGTATTCTAGCTGGTTGGCGCTGGCGTTAGGTAGCTGGCCGACTTTTTACCAGGAGAACACCTTAATGTCGCCTGAATTACGCTACAAAAACCCCTTCACCAACGCTTTGGGATACCCCAAGAGGCAATCTGAGTCTGACTTGATTTCCATTATGTGCTCGAAAGCAGATATAACGGCTATAGGACACGTGGGTTATTGTCTGACCCCTGATGAGATTATCGCCTGTACTATGTGACAAAAGCAACCGTTGAGCATCCAAGAGCCTACTACGAAAGCCTCTGACGTGTTTCGTGATGTCCTGGGACATTGTTGTTGTGACACTGTGGTCGTAACCTTTGGGGATCCGGGATCTCGTCGCTACTGTGGTGAAACTAGCGGGACTAACTACACGAACGTACCAATGCGGAGATACTTCGTTGCCTTGTCCCGAAGTGCCACTTCTTTGATGACTCTGACTGCCTCTTCGGCTTCCCTATAATAATATTGATTCAGGTGAAGGGCATGACCCTTCCATATGTTGGCCTCAGTGGCTACCTAGTACGGCAGGCATTGAGCAACTGGCTCTGTCAAGTCTTCATTGCTATTTCAATCCGCTTCGAAATCCAATTGGAAAGAATCACTATAACTAAGGTGTCTGTCAAATTCGTTCAGATTCTCACGATGGTTGATGCTAGGGCACGAACAGCTGTCTTCGATTACACGTTTGACAACTAACCAATTGAGCTCGCAAATTTGGTATTAAGCGATAGAAACATCGGAATTACAGAAGGCGCTACACGGATACCGCATAGAACGGCCTTATGTATTTAATATGACGAGCCAAACATTTTAGCCTAATGGCTATGGTGTATGAGTGCTACATAGTATGTTGCGTAGACATACACATGTGAGATACCGAAGTCCGGGTACCAAGACTGCCCACGTACACCTTAATGATTGAATGGTATGAAGTCAATTTATAGTACAGAGGAAGGGAAAGCCTGCATAGTACAAAGGGGATGCTGGTTGGTAGTTCGGTCTTTAGTTCGGATGGTCGGAGGATGGAGGGTGGAGGATGGGGCGGCGATGTCTTACCGTCCGCTATGACTGATTATCCAACGTGTACGAGACAGTTTCACTACAAGCTATGTATGCAGTAAAGACGACAAGACGATATGACATGAGTAGTCGCATGATAACTATTTCATGATACGGTTGTCTAGGCCCTACGTATAGACACGGAACGAATACCCGCCTTGGTATGGAATTGAATATATCTCCGACATGCCTTAGGCTAGGTATCATAGCTGAAAAACTGATGTTGGATCGCGTCGCACTCCCGCGGTCGTGCCAAGAGCGGGAACGAGCTGGCGTATCAGTATGCGGCACAGTTGGTAGAGAAATAAAATTCTCTCGACGGGGGCTGACGGTGTGATAGTGATATAATTATTCAATGTCTATCTTGGATCCAACTTAGAGGATCTAGTACATTAAAGGGGTAATAGATAGCGCCGAGCTAACGTCAGCCACGTTGGAAGAGTTGGAATACATAACTTTTGTTATGCATATACATAAAATGTTCGCGATCCAAGTCGGATTTTATACGAAGTGCGAATTGCAACGAAATATAGCGGGACTCGCATTCGCTATCCTAAAGAAGAAGCCAGAACGGATTTGAACCTTGGTCTTCGGCAACTTAATTACCTTTATTGCCTTAGTAGCTTCAGCCTTCTAGTGCACTAGCTAAGACCAGCTCAGACCTGAGCATCGGGAGTTTATGTGGAACCGTAAGCTCGGGGCGAGTACGACAACGAGCAGAACGAACTATCTAAGCAAATAAGCTATATAAGCTATAAGATACTAGGTAGCGTCGCGCTACTAATAGGCACACAACTAGCCCAGAACATTGAAGTCACGAAGATTCCATGATTCGCGTAGAGTAGTACGAGAATATGCATACCATAGGATCGGTATGACCTATTTGCTTATTGCACATCTTCCCCGGAACCAGAGTTGGCCGGTCAGTTGAAAATGTCGGGGGTGGCTTGTAGGAGCTGTACGCTGGAGTACCGACATAAACATACCTAGGTAGGTAAGCATATTCGAATCTCTTATACATGGCGCTGGCATGCAATGCTGGTACCTATCCTTAATATCACGTCAGATGCTTAAAGTCAATACTTAAGTGGTTACCGACACGATATAGGTATATGCAGTAAAACATGACTTTAGCAGCTATGTACAGTTTTTAAAATCTTACATGTTAAAAGTCTCTTATGGAAGTCATGAGAGAGGCAATAACAGAAGGCAACGTTAGTACATACCTTGCCACGCTGCCATGGTAATACGACTGTGGTCGTACTTAGCCCCTTTAAGGCTTAGCGCCCGACCCGACCCTGAGATCTATTCCCTCTTTCTACGACGGACGGTGGGCCAAAGAACGGCTAGGACTATGGGGCATGCCCAAATTCGGCTTCGTGCGGCCGGGGGGTGATCGGGGGGTCGACTCCATACTTCTAGGCCTTTTCCCACCACGAGCCAATCGAATGATTAGTTACTACGTAGTACACCGCGTCGAAGAGCGAGGCGAGCATGGGTTGGATCTGTGTAATCTTTTTTTTTTCGTGACCGTTCCTCTCCATCTCTTTCTCTTTTGTGGCTCCCCATCCCATCGGTGAGATGAACCTGAGATCCTGCCAGAGATACAAATGTTCATCCTTCGACGCGATATGGTCGTAATGTGTTTGGCCATACAAATCTGTGAAGGTTTCTAGGTTTTGGGAAGAGGAAAGACAAACACCTCAACTACAACATCAGACGCATAACACAACGCGGGCCGTCCCAGCACGAACCCACATCGCCAGGGCCCGCGATCTTCTTCTCCAGGACCAGGAGAGGAGCCAGGCATATGTAAGCAAACAATCTCCCACCTTTATGGCTTATGGTCGTAATCAATCCTTTCCACTTATATTCTTTTATTATTATAATCTGTAATGTACCTACTATTATGAACCCATCGGCGTGGTTGAGTGTAACATCGAATCGTTGACATCATAAGCAGTAACGAACAATGGCGTCCAGTCCATCGTTAACTCCTGCTGCGACGCACACAGATGGCGACCGCGACAATGATTCCGCGAGTGATGCGCAACTGCAGCTTCAGCGCAAGATCAGTCAAGCAGTGGATGAGGGTCATGACGCGGATATCCCGTCGAGTGAAGGCTTTGTGCTGAGCGAGGAGGAACAGCTCAAACTTCAACGATCGAGAGGGGAACGGAGGAAAAATTCGGTTGGTAGCGTGGGGAGCAAGGCCAATCGCGATGTTGAGAAGGCACAGGCGCCAGGAGAGGCCGCGCTCTCAAGTAGTAACGGCGACGACGATGACAGCGAAACGAGCCCCAACATTGTTTGGTGGTCCGGTCCCAACGATCCAGAAAACCCTTACAATTGGCCAACATGGCGTAAAGTCCTTAACTGCGGCTTGATCAGCGCGATGACGTTCATCTCTCCCCTAGCATCGTGTAAGTCTCATGTCGCATATCACTTCATATATCTATGCGCGCGCATTGGATAAGCGCTAACGTTGTATCACGCTCAGCTTTATTTGCTCCTGGCGTACCCCAGGTAGTAAGAGATTTCCACTCCACCTCGCTAGAGATCGCCGCGTTCGTGGTCTCGGTCTACGTCTTAGGATTTGCGGCCGGACCTATGCTTTTCGCGCCCTTGTCCGAGATATACGGCCGAGTCATCCTCTATCACATCGCCAACCTGGGATTCGTGGCATTCCAGGTCGGATGCGCGCTCGCGCCGTCCTTGAACGCTCTCATCGTTTTCCGATTCTTCGCCGGCGTGTTCGGTTCCGTGTCCATCACGAACGGCGGCGGAACGATCGCCGACATGATTGTTCAGGAGAAGCGGGGCGGTGCGATGGCCGTGTTCAGCATCGGTCCACTTTTAGGTCCTATCATTGGTCCCGTCGCCGGAGGTTTTCTATCAGACGCTGAGGGCTGGAGGTGGGCGTTCTGGCTGCTGGCTATCGTAGGGGGGTTCCTAAGCATTCTCATGGCTTTCTCCCTCAAGGAAAGTTATGCGCCCGTCATCCTCAAGAGGAAGGCCACCAAATTGCGCAAGGAGACTGGCAACGACCAACTGCGGTCGAAGCTCGACGCCGGTCTTTCGCCCAGGGACTACTTCAAGCGAGGCATTATTCGCCCCTTCAGGATGCTCTTTCTCTCGCCAATTGTTGCCGTCACATCGCTATACATGGTATGTATTAAACAATTTTCGTGCCGAAGCTCTGAAGGTCAACTTTCTTGAGCGATCTCCAAATTTTCCTTGATTCAGATAGCAGCTAACGTTATGATAGGCGGTTACTTACGGCTATTTGTACCTTATGTTTACTACCATGACCGAAGTGTTCCAGGAGTATTACGGTTTCTCGACGAGCACCGTTGGTCTGTCATTCATTGGACTTGGCGTTGGAAGCATGATCGGCATTCTTCTTTTCAGTGGAACCTCCGACAGATATATCAAGAGGAAAGCCGCCCAGGCCGACGCGGAAGCCCAGGCGACTGGTGGAGTTAAGGCGGGCATGAAACCAGAGTACCGATTACCACTACTTCCCCTAGGAGCCATACTCATTCCCGCTGGTCTATTCATATATGGATGGACTGCCAGCTACAAGGTGCACTGGATCGCACCCATCATCGGTACATCCATCGTCGGTATTGGAAACCTCATCGTGTTTATGGCCATCCAGATGTACCTGGTCGATACCTTCACCATCTACGCCGCCTCAGCCATAGCGTGCAATACGGTAGTGCGATCCTTAGCTGGCGCCGTGCTCCCGCTAGCCGGTCTACCTATGTATAGCAAGCTGGGTATCGGCTGGGGTAACAGTTTGCTAGGTTTCCTCGCCGTTGCGCTATTCCCCGTATCAATATGTGTGCTCAGATACGGCGAGGTGCTCAGAAATAAATTTCCTATCAAAAATCTCTAGGGGGTTGGAATTCGCGAGGTTGCTTTCAAAAAGGGGTAGCCACAGCAGCAAGGAGAAAAAAATATGGAAAATGTGTTATATCACGACAAAAGCTCGGCATTATATCCCTTAGCATCATGTACATAAAATGCTGTTCATGAACATTTAACCCATCTGCTTTAAAAGCATAGTACACAGGCGTTCCCTAGAAGTCATAATGTTAAAGAGCTCAATACTATTCCAGACTTGCATACACGGCATCCTTGTGAATACCTAGGTCATGGAAGCAGCACATGCATAAACAAAACTCTAGTGTCATCTTAGGGTTTCCCAGGTCGCTCGAGCACCTTGCCCTTGCAAGCCGTGTTCTAGTTAGCTTGAGAGTTTCCTATGTCTGATGATGGTTGACACGCTCATTAGGTACATACTACCCATCATTGCAGACCACCTGTTATCCAACTAGGGTACGTACATGGAATAAAGATGTTTCGAGCAAGCATTTCGAGTGCAATATGGAAAAGGGGGACATTAGCATCTACATCTTCTCGCTAGAATCGATCGTGTATTCAGGTTATGACCTGCAGAGCTTCTAAATACATTGTCTTGTAGGCCATGTTCCCTAGGCCACGTAAAACATTTGCAACGCTATGGTACCGTCCCGTTGAGTCAAGGTTCGTATAAGGTTTTCGTGATGATATCGTCCTCTTGAATAAAGCTAGGCCGTTTCAGAAAATGGGCGGCGTTTTGGGGGGGTCGATTGGTTAACAAGCCCCTTTACCAATCCTTATGCTTATTCTTTTGCTGACGCTGATACATCCGCAGCGCCGTCATAGCTGCCATGATGGTCCATCTTTCCCCAAAGTCGCCCGAGGCTCCGGTGCCGAGGCATCGAAACTTGAGAACCTTGGTTAAGCTCCTCCTGGTGTATGCCCACACTGCTACAATCTCCTGTCTGGGACCTGGCTCCGGCCCGTCGTAATCGCTACTTTCTGCCTCGTCGGCCAGACGCACTAGTTTCCACCCAGACTTCGCACCCTCTAAGAAGACGGCGATGAACTCGCCATCGTCATATCGCCACTCAAACGTCTCGCGTTTCCATTGTTCGGGTTGAAGGCCGACCTCGATCGTGAACTGAAATCGTACTTGTGGTCCTGATTGCCCTTCCTCGGGTGGCATTTCCACCCGCTGCAGAATCTCTTGAGAGGCGTTTTGTCCGGATCCTGGCAATGGCGGGAGCACGATAGTAGAATGCCTCCCTACCCCAACTCCCCCCCTTCCTGCAGCTAGGGCCGGAAGTGTCCTACACGGTCCACGATGCAATATGAGGTCCGGAAGTTTGTGCCACCATCCCGTGTGTCTTGAAACGGCGAAAAGGGGTCCACGTTCGCGGCAGACGATCATGAGCAGTCGACTCCTTGACAGCAAGCGGTAGAGGCCCCACGTTGTCGGAAACGCACTCGTCGTATGTATTGCCGGTTGTATGGGAGGATGGGGTTGAGCTAGCCCTTTGCTAGATTGGGAAGAAACTTCTTCTGCATCCCCAGCTTCTCCTTCGAAATCTTCGTCGACTTCCTCTTCGCCTAGGTATTGAGTGTAAGGCGGCGGAGGTGTTTCCTGTGTTAGGGTTGTCGCCGTGCTATTTTGGCGATCCATTGGGTGTAGGAGGACCCCTAGAGGTCTCGATGGTCTTGATGAGTTGATTGGGGCTAATTGTGATATGATTGACTGGTAGTCAGCCGCCTCTACCGTTGAAAATTATATTCCATATATAGTTAGGTATAAGTGTAGCTCAGGGTAAGATATCAACGGCCCTGTTCTAAATGAAGATAGGAGGTTGATATAGAAACGAAGAATACTCGGACACGTATGCGGATTTCCCATCTGACGTAGCTACGCATGGCTACTAAGGTTTGCAATCAAAAACTTTCGATTGACCCCTAAGTTGTATTCTGCATCGGACTCTCCAGCATTACCTTAACTTTCGGTAAACGTGAGTCTTGGCCTGTCCCCCCAAATGAAACGGCTCGGCCAGCAGCGACCTGGAATATAGTTGAGTAGGTATATGTAACACGCTTACCCACATTTCACCGCAGTGGAATATATGCATAGGTTAACATAGACGACCACTAGGAGAAGTCTGCGGCTATCTTCGAGTTACATAATTCAAACGAGGCCGAATGTGGAAGTGGAAGCGAATGCTTGGTTCTAACGCAGTACGACGGCAGTTGGGATCCAAGAAGTAACTAGATAGACAATCCTCGTTTATCAATCGCCACCGGTTGGGGGCGGGGCACTATGGAAATAGCGATTCTCTATTAAAATAAACTAATTTATATTACCCTTAACCCGGTAAGTTCGATCCTGAACCGAGGGCCCTGCATAGAAAAGCACGCCCAGCAAATGAACGTTATTTCTCAACCATCTTTGTTGGAGCAAAATGCTGGCTGGCTACCAGGAGATGGACCCTGAATAGCCTCGTGAATCCACGATCTTCTTTAAGCTATATTCCCAGCGAATTTTGAATTCATGTCTGATGTTCTAGTGTTTCGTATCCGGTCTGTTGAAATTTCATGGTTTAGTTTGGTTTCATGCTCGTGGTTTAATCTAGCGACTGCTCTTTGAAATATAGATGTCGAGTAAAGGTTGCTATATCTCTAATCATCGTTAGCTATGATCGTATCTAGGTGCTTAGGTGCTTGGGTGCTTATCTTAATGGGTATCTACCTATTCTATCAATTTCTACAGTTGAGTCTTCGTCCTGAACAAGTACTACCAGGGTAGAGCTACATCCCTTTTGAAAACCCCCAATAAGGTCAATTCAAATCGAAACTTAGCGCAACTAAGGGGTTCAATCATGTAGGAAGCTTAGGTATAGAAGGGAATAGGAGGGAAAACAGGAGCTAGGGAGTAAAAGGGGTGTAACACTTGTCAGTAACGAATGGGTAGCAAATGTTCTCACACATGCTCTGCAGTGTGTGCGATATATAGTAACCCATTTGGACTTGAATAACCAATCCTTTTAAGTGATACACATTATATCTTGTACAACTTCGTACGGCGGGATTTATTTGCATGAAGATAACTATAACCTATTTCCCTTTTTGGAAGCTCGCCAACTCCCATTGGCTGTTGTGTCATCCCTTTACTAGCTTTAATTTTACCCCATTCCCTCCAACTACCTATGGGTCAAATCAAGACGACTTAATACGAGATGAAACTGGAAAGATGGAAAATCAGGGATACTGGCCATTTTATTCGGACCTGGACACGACCTCACTGGAATCGAGCGACGTACTCATCATTGGCAAAGAGGCCTGTTGGAGAAATGTGTATTTCTTCTTTCATACCATCCCAGAAGCACGAATTCCTAAAGCACGTTAGGAGATCACTAGAGGTCTCGCTGATGAGCCTCAGTAGTGAATGATATTTTAGAGAAGATTCCCCTGAGTCTAGGTTTCAACTACGCTGTGCAGTCGTTTGAGGCGCCATCTGAATATAAAGTGTGATTTAGTCGGAAATAGGTCTTGTCGAAGCTAACTTTCCCCTCCTATAACGTACGACCATCGGACTCGCATTGCTCCTCAAAGCCCTTAGAATATCCATCTCTTACATTACATTCACTGGAATCCGTGACGGGAGGTAATGATATCGCAACAACGGAGGGGTGTATTAAGGCAATCGAAAGGCTGAAGATTTCTAGGTTAGGATGTAAGTAGATATTTACCTATGAGCCTACCAATCGCTAGAATAGATTGAGCTGAGACTCGTCACAAATATAACAATCTAGATATATGGAGGACTCGTCATTCCGTGGAACCTCGATGTATGAAAGGGACCATCGAGGTTATTCATCGGATTTCCTAGTGCTGTCACCCTTAGTCGTTTCGTGGAATTATGAAGGCCACCGAACATGGAGGAAAGAATCGCGACAATTGAGCGCCTAGAAATCCCAGAGTAATTGAAGAACTCTGAGCTTTTCATAGGGCGAGTATGAGATCCTATTCCGCACTTCGCTGGCCGAGCTGATTGCACCTGGGCCGGCGCATAGGGGATGGAACTGGGTTATCCTGAATAAATAAACGAGACGCCATTGCCCTTAAAGTTCTTGTTAAGCGTCGCTATCCTGCCGGCTCGCTTCATGGTGATACTAATTAAGCAATGAACAATCGCTCTTCATGAAAAACCCCTATTCAAATGTGGGGGGTTCTAGTAACCTGTCTTATTATGTAATTCGTGGCTTGATCGAGCTGGGGAAACCTCGGAGCCACACTATTATACTCGCACGTAGTAGATTTATCCGACTGATTAGATAAATCCGATGGTGGAGTGGCGGGGCTTTCCCTAATGTAGGTGCTGGTACCACTTGGCCCACCGCCACGCCGTCTACCAACATGGTTCATATGGTGCGGATTAGAAGCGATGGGCGCCTTCCACCTTCCCTTTAGCGAACCACTTACCAACCTCATGACAAAGACCTCGTGATCTTCCCTCCTTCTTCCCTCAAACAACAATAAATACATACGTACTATCTGCGAATCTGCGAAACTATTCGATATCTCACACACCGCGAATTACGATCATTAGCAAAACCGATATTAGCTTCTTCTCTCTTACATCAAGATGGTGGTATGTTTCTGCGCGCATAATCCCCTTCCGCTTCCGCTTCCGCTTCCGCTCCCCCAACTTCACCTCCTCCTTCTACTAGAGTACCAGTCGCCAAATCGCTAGGTCGCTTTCTGAAGGAAGCGAAGTCTTGTTTCCCTCAAGACAAATCTCCATTTCTTTGTTATCTCCTTAAGACGACGCTGAACTCTGATCGGTGTACTTTCTCTCAAACAGTTCCTCAACTTGCTGACATTTGGCCTATGGGGAAAGCTCGGACGACTCACTCACTACGCCGTGGACGCGGTTCTCAGTATGCGATTCCCCTGAAGATGATTAACCGACCTGTCCCGTCGCAGCGACTAACAACTCGCCCGCAGTCTCGACCATCCTCGCCGGCATGAGGCGGTCAACCGGTCTGACGTGAGTGCCTGCCTCCATCTCGTTTCTTTGCATAGTCTAGTCGGGGATATGATTGCAGTGGGACCGTACCACAGACAGAAAAAGGGTTGGGGAGAGAGCGTGCGAGGTCCAAGCGAGAGGCTGACATGAATTTGGTCCCCTAGTTTCAACACCGAGCGTGTATCCGTCGGCGGAGACAAAGAGGCCAACAAGTGGATAGACAAGTACCTCGGAGTCGGCGAGTGGGTGATGGATCAATCTGTCGCGATAGCTGGATCAAGCGGCTGGTTCCACCGGTCTCGATAATTGTTCGCGACAGGTTTCGGATAGGCAAGACAGCTGGAGATACATGTGGCACACGACGGCGGGAGATCGGTCCTCGCAATCCGCTCGATCGTGACTGATATCGTCATCACCGCCTAGATCTAATGGATACCGTCACAAGCGAACTAGGCCCTTGCGCTATTCCGCATTCAACCTAGCACCACTATATCCCCATACTCCCATCACCGCCTATAGCACGTCGCGCCAGGAGGACACGCTGTTAGAAAGTAGGTGAAGGAGTCGGCTGGCTACTTCTTCATATCACCTGCATTGGATTTGGTTTTTTCCCCCGTCACGAACAGGCGTTGCTATTGGGTCATATATCCATTTGATGATTTTCTTCCTACTATGATAGATGAAGGAACGAAAACCTCCCCTTTCGCTTTACGACTTGTATGTAGGCTGCCGCCGCATTGCCTGAGAATAGAGGGACCGCTCCTATTATGAGAAATTTTCGTCATTTCGATACATCGTGATCTATTGATGAGTGACCATTAACTGTGCTTCGTATTTCACTAAGGAGTCGTTTCGTAGCATACAATCTTCTTCGGGGATATGAGTATTCGTATTAGAATCATGGATTGTTCATAAACTACGCATGTTCCATGTAACGCCTTATATATGTACCAAAGAACGCAACCGTGGCAAACCTATAGCGTCCTCAGTAATCCTAAACTCCGCCCCCGTATACCAAGCCCTCACGCAGGCGAACAAAACTTCCGCCCAAAGCCCTATCAAAGCATGCACTTCGCTATGCCCCCAAGGCCCAAAACGCTTTAAACACCAATTAGGATATCCACATACCACCTACATATACTTCAGAAGCCGACCGATGACCTAATCGACAGCATCGTCGTCATCTCTCCGCGTCTCCGCCAACAAGTCCGGCGGGACCGCGTTATCCGTCTCGCTACTCTCTCTTCTTAGGTGGCTGTCCCGGCCTCGCGTGGGGCTGTGCATAGACAGGAATTCGGCCGGGATGTCATTGTGGCTCTCATCTTCGCTCTCGTTGTGGCGGGGCTCGCTGAAGAGCCCGGGCGGCACCTCGTTGTCGCTTTCTTCGCGGTGTTGCTCGGCGCCTAGGAGATCTGCCGGCGGGCTGTTGCGGGGCTGCTGCTCGTCGACGCCGTCCCAGCGCCGGACCACGCTACGGCTCAGCTCCTCATCCTCTTCCGGCGACTTCGTCCGCGCTTCTGCGCCCAGCGGGTCGTTCTCGCGGACGTCGACGAGGTCGGTACCGTCTGGTGTGTGTGGCGTGAGTGTTCCGTCGTCGTATCCGGAGCTGCGGATGACCTCTGCCAGGAACTCCTGGAGCCCGATAAAATGCGCAAGCTCGGCACCGATAGCCGCGATCAAGAGATTCCATCCTTGGGTCTCCACATAGTCTTGTAGCTTCTCCAGTTCGCGAAGTGTTTTCTGGAGTTCCTTATACTGATCCCGTAGGATAGATCCTGGGTCGCTTGATTCGAAGTTGCGTTGTTTCGTAACGACTTGAAGCGACTCATTCAATCGGGTCTCGAAATCGACGAGAAGAGTCAGCACTCGCTGCCAAATCTCATTGCCTTCTTCTAAGGCGGCCCGTTCCTTGTCAACGGCGGCTTTGCGCTTTTCCAGGATAGCAACTTCGCCTTCCCACCAGTCCTTAGCCATTTCAGCTGTTCTCCTTTCCGGCCGTAGCGAAAGGAACTCAACGCCCGACATGTGTTTCGCCATAAGCGCAATGAAGTCCTCGCCTCCTTGCTCCTTCAAGTCCTCAACCTCTAGTACTTGTATGCCTGGATATTTCATAAGGTTAGCGATTCCTTGATCGCATTGCTTTAAGGCGCCCTTATAACCACTGAGGCTAGAGTCCCGAGTACTCTTCGCCTCTTCGAGCCTACGTTCCAAGTCAACCTTAGTTCTTTTCAAGACTCGGAGCTTTTCCTCTAGCTTTTCGATATTAGAAGAAACTATGCGGTGTTGATCTTCCATCGCCGCTATTTCGGTTTTGATTGGCAGGTCGTTATCTTCCTCCAAAGCCTTCATCTCGGCCGTAATAGATTTGCGTTGGGACGATAAGTTACGCAATTTAGATAAGGCCTTTTTGCGATCAGCTAACGCGGCGGCGATATATGCGTCCTCCTCGTTTTTCAGGTCGGCCAACATCGTGACGGAGCGCGCTATACTGTTACGAGCCTGTCGTTTGGACATGGGTTTTCTTTTAGGTTGGCGAACAGGAACGACGGAACCCTCAGCCAGATGTGACTGCACAGTTGACGTTGCCGAGTCTGGAGACAGTCCTCGCTTGCTGCTACTCTCGGACGAGGCCTTGCTTGGGTCCTCTCCTGCAAGCTCACGTTCTAGCGCAGCGCCTTGGGCGTCTAGTAACCTCTGAAGCTCTTTGTGCATCTGACGTTCTCGTCTCTGTATAAACTTGAAAGTATTATCGACTTCGGAGCGTATCATACGGTCTGACGATCGATCGGCTCGGTTAGATCGACCTAAGAAGATGCTTTCGACTAAAGAAGTTGGAGCGCTGGTAGCTGCATGGTTGCTATCGCGCTGTTCGGGGCGAATCTTCGGCCGCCAAATGCCGGGCGGCACCTTGAGGTCTTTCGGGTTTCCACCTATCGCAAAATTGAAGTCGTCTACCGAGTTAGGGGGTCTAGATTTCGAATACACCGGGCGGTCTTGGTAGGCAAAGGCGATGGCTTTGCCCTTTCCCTTCGAGCGCGCAGTGTTGCGATCATTTCTCTGGTTATCAGGGGCGGAACTGTCAGGAGTCACGTCGCGGGAGAAACCTGGCGAGAGAAGCGCATCTTCGGCCCTGGGAGAGAGTTCGGCGAGGTCGTGTTCTTCCGCCGGGTGCGGTGGTGGGGAGGTGTGTAGTGGTAGGAGAGTAGACATGCCGCCTTCACCAAGTCGTAGTTTCGACAAAACAGAAGTTCCAAAACTCATATTGTCTTCTTTATATACCTAGATATATATGTTTGGGTATTGGGTATCTAGAGTTCGAGAGTCTTCTTCTATTGCATCTTGGAAAAGAAGGATCTGGATAGACGAAGTTGATTTGAACTCGGCACTTTGGATACTTGACGGTAGCTAGGTACCTAGAAAGGTTCAAAGTCAGAAGTCAAGTGAGTGTGGTGTTGACTTTATGATATCCAGTACTGCTTACAATGATACAGATGCGTGCCAGCGAGATTCAGATTCATCTACACAGCTTCAGCTGTTCAAAGTCATATCGATAAAAGCATTCAGTTATCGATACCGGATGCTCTTACTACGTACAGGGATACGTCAGGTCATGGGGACTTGGCAGGTGCCGTGGTGAGAGACATGCATTTTGCGATGGATCTGATTGGTCCGTCACCTCCAAGCCAAACTCAATTGCCCTAAACCAATTACGTACATTCATGGATGGGTCCCTACAAGCTACAAGGTATTTTAATTCTACGTACACTCCGCCAATTCCATACTTAACTTCCAACCAACATCTCTGTTTGACACGATGATTTACTTGAAATCATCTTGCTTATGATCTGTATCGTACACGGATTTTAGACTTTCTTTTTCAGAGGAGAATATATTGAGTGACGTCTGGGATGTAACGGACAGTGGGCCGTTGTGACCTTGACGGAAGATCCTCCGCATCATTTTATCCCCCTTGTCCTCTCCCTCGTTTCCCCTTGTCCTTCAATTCCCATCATTCCCTTCTTGTCATGCACCACCAACCATCTGAAACGACTTGTTCTAGCTATCTACCCAGTTGAGAATCCAAGCAGGCTATCTAAAGATGATGATCTTCATACCTTCAAGCGAATAATCCTCCGCCATTCTACGCATAATTCTCCTCTCGTAGGAATACCTGCCGTAAACGTAACCACGCCCGCCGGACTGGGTTGACTGGTCTGACTGGTTCGACGACGCGTAGTGTACTGCGTAGTTGCAAGAAGGGCAACGAGGCAATTAGGTCTATCGGGCGTAAAGTACCAACATCTTCTAATGCTGCTACATCTTCAAAGGGAAATGAGATCTCATTGCTCGTGTTGATCTCCGGGGGGACCTAGAACCCGGTCCCCTAATTTATATCTGATGTAGCAATTGAACACCAACTTGGGTAGGAGCCCTATTCAGCCCATTGACACTTTACCACCTTACCACTTTATATATCTTAATGGGATATCACCTTAGCACCACAACACCTTTAGAAATGCTTCATTACACCTGTCACTTACGCATCGCATCATTGGCAGCCTCTGATCTAAGTGTTGCGGGGACATTTCTTAGGTGCCAGGAAGCGGATGGGATGATATCTGGGATCCATTGATTGCTTGCCACTTCGACTTCACACGCATCCATCATCCACCATTCACTATCCGAACTTCGCTCAACCGTCGTGTTTGCCCCTCTTCAGATGAACAGCGAAAAGAGGGTGGAAAGTTCACCGCCTTAGGTATTCATAAGGTTGACGGTATTTTTTACTGTTTGGTGAACTAGTCCCTCCCATTTATTATTCAATAATCGCTCTTTGTACTGGGCTCTCGGGTTAAATCCCACCATTCATACCCATTCCCAAACCCGTCCATATTATATCAATCTATCTGTGCAAACACTAAACGACAAACATTCGCACATCGGCCTCAGACAGTTTCACATATAACCCGCTGGATCTCTCGGGATATAAAACCAACTCATCTCGTCTAAGAATCTCAACACTAGGTACTTCGGCTGTAACATAACATCCATTGCTCAAGATGCTACCACAACTTCTTTCTCCCGAGACGGGAATCTCCCTCTTGATCGGCATCTCTGGCTTTAGTGTAGCTCAAGCCAAACCCCTCGATGCTCGGCAAACTACCGAGGTAAATAGGACTGAGATTTCCTCTTTTTATAAACATAATTAGCTTGGTATGATCACTAACACTTCATACAGACCACCAAGGCCGCCGCAGTCTCCACCATCACGGGATATGCTCACCCGTTGACTCTCACTGCGCTGACCACCCTCGGCGCAAACCAGACCCCCTTATCTTACGCCTCACCCCCCACCGCCATCACGGTCCCGACCCGGCCGGCCGGCGCCGAAGCAGCCGTCGCTACCGGCGTCCAGGCCGAGGCCTCTTCCTCATCTCCCGAGCCCACTTCCGGCTCCTCCGCGACCGCGGTCTGCACCTCGATCGCGGGCGTGTACCCCACGGCGACGGTGCCCAACTTCTGCAACCCGTCGGCGCTGGCGAACGCGGCGAGCTTTGCGCCGGCGCGCACGGACGTGCCCACGGCCACCGTCACCGTGGGCGCCGTGTCCAACAAGCTGGACTGCTGCGTGCAGTGCGCCGGCATCTTCAACTGCGTCGCCTGGCGCTTCGTCCCCGTCTACACGCAGACGCCCAACGCGCACCTGCCCGGCGGCTTCGATCCCTGGGGCCGCGGCGACTGCGAGGCCGTCTATCATACCGGCGACCCGGCCAACGAGACCGAGACCGGCGTCGTCGAGGCCGCTGGGGACGAGGAGACGGCGAATTTGTGCCCGAATGGTAAGGTTGGCGAGATGCTGGCCGGTGCCGGGGGAAATACGACGACGGCGAATGGGACGAGTGCTGGAAGCTGGATGAATCTGTATTATAACGGCTGGAACGAAGGCCCCTGTGCTGAGCCCGTCGCCCCGTTCGAAAGTGGTAGTGATTCGGGACGCGGTGATGCGGATGATTTGTGTACGTGAAAAGTCTGCTATTTGGGGACTACCTCGTATATGATGCGACGATTACCTTGTAGCATCTAGAGTCAGGTTTATAGTTAGATAAACAGCATTGATTTTCCAATTTATCCTATCCTGTGTGACGCATTGTTTGGATGGATGATTTCGCATTCTGTTATGATAAGAAGATTGAGATTCTTTCGTCCTATCCATTTACGTCTAGTCTCTTCCCATGCGCATTCGATATAGGTAGTTGTGAGGTCTCAATTAACTTCCGAGGGTACCCGAGGTGCATATGCGGTGAAAGCGCCCAGGACCAGCTAGAGGTCTTTCGCATTGCCCTTTCAAATTTAGCAACAGGTAAAATAAGGAAGCACGTAGTAAGCATCTGTAACGAGCTCACTTCCAAACGGCCGATTTTATAGTATGGTTTGGTCGATCTTCTATACGAACACCATTCTCTTGGTTTCGAAGGAGGATGAGATTGAACATGTAGGACGTTGATACGGACCATGAAGACAAATGGGTTTTATTAGGCTTTTACGATTCGGTCAAACGAACCTGATCGTCGACGTAGATAGTACCTAACCCGGTACACGTGTTTAGGCCATACAGCAGGTTGATTTCTCCATAGCATGTTGTTGGATATGATGAAGGGGCATTTGCTAGAGTTAAGAGGACACCCGCCTGTATAAGGAGCATTAGCTCCCCGAGTAATCTTTGTAACTTCGTTCAATATCTACCTCTATATTAGAAACACTAACATATCATGTTCCGCATACATGAATTAACACATTAATAACTACGAAGGGGACGTGAGGTAACATTATCGTCCGGTCATCCGAAAATGTACTATGAATATAGCCTTCCTCACTTCTCAAAGATACTGGCCCCCTACATGTGAAGGGGTACACATGAAAAATGCGAGAGTGTAGAAATGACGGAATCCAAAGGAACACTCAGCCCAGTCGGTTTAGGTGTCGAGGTACTTTCAATAACTATCGCTGGATTGTGTTGCTTCTTAAACACAAGGGTGATACAACCCAGTCGTAGTACGCAGTTTCGCTTAAAGTCGAGTTACAGGACATTATGTCAAGCAGTATGGAAATGATAAGACAAGGATAATGGTTTCCAACACAGAGCCGCATAATAGTTAACGAGAGCCTTAAGTTAAGAAGCATACTGTCGATGATTTACTAGTAATATAAGAGTTTACAAGAGTACAAGCTTTATAGCATTTCTCCATTACCTAGGTATATAAGTACTCATGACATGGATATTATTGTATCGCCCATATGAAGATATTTAGATGCCCTGGATTAAGGTAAGTCATGGCCAATAGGCCAAGGGCATCAAAGGCATGCGAAGCGAATAAGGAGACCAAGAAAGGACATAGCACGGATTAAGCATAAAATTTGATGTTTGTGGACTTAGTCGACGCGTACCCATATATGGGGTGGAATCTGGGGACGTGGGGAATGCCGCATAGGTCAAACCAGTCTCGCGATCTCCTTGTCCGATCTATAGATATCAGCAGAATCGTGATCAAGCATTGGATGATCGTTGTGGGATGATAAGAATGCATCAGCCAACTGCATCGGTAGAAGTATGTATAGAAATTCGCTACCGATCTCGCAAGCTCAAAGTCCAAGATCGGAGCGGAGAAGACCCATCTTCACGAGAGTCTACGAGCTGCACATTCGACTGCTTGCAGTTAGAACCGACCCCGCAGTCTCTGACGTAAATATAAAGATGCCGGTTCTGTAGATTGTTGATATAAATGAATTGTAAATTTTCGTCGCGTTTTACATTATAACCACCACATCGATACCTACGCGAAGATGACGACAGACAGATCTGATCTCACGGCAAGGGTGCTACCTCAGATATCCTTAGGAGACGGCTCTCCGGGTTCACTGACGGCCCCGCCTCTGCCCTTACCCCGCGAATCCCCGGCGGCAAGGGCCCAAGAGCGTTTCCATATAACGGGTAATGCTATTGTCACTGGAGGAGCCGGCGATCTTGGCTTTGCCGCGTGCAACGCCCTCCTTGAACATGGCCTTGAAGGCCTTATGATATTTGATATGAACCCAGCGGAGGCACAAGCTAGAGTCAAGGCGTTGGAGACCGAGTTTCCAGGTGCCAAAATCCGATTCCTAAAAGTCGACGTGACCGACGAAGATGGTGTGAACGCTGCAGTCGATGAGACAGTCAAGTTGTTAGGCAGTGTCAGCATTCTGTTAAGTTTCGCTGGAATGGTTGCCTGCGGGCATGCGCTGGACTGGTCTGCAAAGGACTGGAACCGAGTGGTAAATGTGAATACGATTGGTGGTTTCCTCGTTGCTCGTGCAATCGCTCGGACGATGATAGAACGAGGAATCAGGGGGAGCATGGTGTTCATAGCCAGTATATCAGGACACAGGGTCAACTTCCCCCAACCCCAAGTCTCCTACAACGTTTCCAAAGCTGGGGTGGTGGCTATGGTGAAGTCGCTGGCTGGAGAATGGGCGAAGTACGGAATTAGAGTAAACAGTATTTCCCCGGGATACAGTATGTTACAACAAGGGTTCCTCTTCTCACCTCCTATCCAATCTTAGGAGTAACGGATAACTTCCTAGTCAAGCTGTTTAAGGGAGTAGCCGCTCCAGAGACGTGCTTCAGACTCCAGAATCCTAGTCCTAAGAAGAAATTACTGACTTTCGTTGTAGTGAACACGATATTGAATGAGGGTGACGGTCTAGACGAGGCAAGAAAGATGTGGGCCAGTCGAAATCCAATGGGGAGGATGGGTGAGCCGGACGAGTTGTCAGGGGCCATTGTGACGCTCGCAAGCCGCGCTGGAAGCTATATCAACGGCTCGGATATTCTGGTGGACGGAGGACAGACCCTTTTCATGTAGTGAACGCCGTCGGTTAGGCTTCAAGTAAGCATACATTTAGTAGCAACTATCTCGTAAGACTAGATACGTGACTCGGCCTTTTGCTTCCGAATAGCTGTGCTGCTAATCTTTTGGGTGAAATCTCGCGCTTCCGATGACTTGTGCACGTTTCCATCGGCATCGAGGACGTCCACTTCAAATGTCTCAAGTTGCCGCCAGCCGAGCTCCTTCCGCCGCTCATTCACGGCATTGCCCCCGCTTCTTGTCTCGCCTGAGACCACAAGAATATCCATATTTTCGGTGGTGATAGTCGGGCCGTAAGCATCCTGGATTACGACGCAGCGAACCTCGATGGTGCCGTCCCGAAATAAAGCGACAAATTCTCCATTGTCCTTGATAGTCTGAATGGTTTGGCTCTTCTTCCAGCCACTCTTCGATAGCTCGAGTATTGAAGATAGAAACTCAATTGTATTCATGGCGCGCTCATCCCAAGGCTGCACATACTCGGCGTACTTCTTCCTCTTCAGCAATTCATCCCCAGTAATGCCAATGATAAATTGGCATGGCCGTGGCGCACCTTTCTCGGGCACCTTCAGCAAGAGGACAGCAGCAGTTAAGAGCAATTTATGCCCGGGGTGTAGATGATCAAAGGTACCTCCCAAACATACGATGGGTTGCGTATTAGTCTGGGGAGATAATCTTGGTGAGACAGGTGGTCCGACGGATACGGCAAGCCCACCATCGACGACAACTATTTGGGATTGCTTCAAGGGTTGAATGCCTTCAACTAGTTTGAGATATGTCGAGAGTAATTCATAACCAGATTCGTTGTTGGCATGAAATATGTATCGCCAAGGATGATAAGCAGATACGAAGGTAGGGAGGTTGATTATTACCGTATTATTCGGCTCTATCGCCGGTCTTGAGTCGATCGTTAGAGGCTTAGATAAATCATGGTCGACTAAAACCACACGAACGTCTACGGATCCCGGACCGGCGTGGATGTCGGTGGGAACTGATAGTTGAACGCAGATGACTGATATAATGCTGTATAGATCTGCTAGAAGAGATTGGACGTGAGGCCAAGAAAGCGACTTTTGTCGCACATAATTGCCAGTGAGGATGGGTGATACTAAACCGACGAGCAAAGTTGCGCCATTCTTTCCGCTCCTTGCAGTTTTCAGTTTTGAGATGGCGGCTTTGAGAGGAGGTTCATATGCGGCGTTAAGGGCGAGCCGGGTTGCAGGGTGTGGAGGCGGGGGTAACAATAGAAGTGACGGGAGATCGTCTCCCATTGTAGCATTTGCGCCAGCCATAGAGTAGAATCGAGAGACAATAAGTTGAAGGGCCGGCAGTAGGGGTAAAAGCCTCGGTAGATAGCGGATACTTATGTAGGTGAGATTTAGGGAGACTCTGGCCGAGGCAAGGTCCGTTTAATATCAAGAAAATATGAGTCCCCGTAGGATAACCGGTGGCGTAATGAAAGAAAGAGCCAGAGCTGTGAGGTAATTCTTTCAGTCAGTACGATGAAGTTGGTACAGCTTTGATGAGTAAATGTATTCCTTCTATCTGAGATGGGATTGGCGGATGAGGAATAGAATTGAGATCTTTAGGAAGATTTGTTAATTTTTCATGTAGTTAGGTGTTTGAAGATACCTAGAGTCTCGGTCTAAGACGCCTCTTATTGATCGGAGATACTTTTCGCACCTAAGCTGCCAGGATTATGTATGTAGTTGATAGATGCTGGAAGAAGCCGAATAAGTAGAGAATCACCCCACCGTAGATACATAGGTACCTGGTAGTAATGTTGTAATGTGGGATGTTTGTTGATGCTAAGCGCGGATGCGAATCTCCTGTCTCTTGTCGCTAATTTTGACCTCTAAGTCGGAAAGAGTAAAGAGAAGTTATTTATTTACATTTGACATTTTAATGTAATATTGACTTCAAGACAAGATAAAAGTGAATGTGCACTTATGCGGACAGGACGACCAGGTTCACTAGGTGACGATTAAGTTCTGTGTAAGTTTGGTTATCTTGGACCGCTACGTCCTCAGTAGGATTAGGTACAATAACTTTAGTAGGGGTACCTATGTACTTGTATAGAGTACATAAGGTACTAGCCTACTGATATTAATGTTCGGACGGACTGCTAATATTTGGAGTTATCATGGAGGAGTATGGCGCAGGTACCGCGCATCCCTTCGTAATGAGGGGAAGTCGACCTTAAGATAGTACTAAGTATGTACTTGGTACTTTTTGCGATTAGCGTCTAGGTAAGTTCGACCATCCCACCTGGGCACTCATTGACCCAAACCATTGATCTCCCCGTACCCCAATTCATTGACGAGACTGTTCACGTCCATAACTGGAATCGCAAAATCGACATATCCAGAGGCAGCGCAAGCCAGCCAGTGTCGTTCACGTGGGCAGGCACACAAACTTATCGATCAACTTGTTATCCTTTTTTCTAAGTACTCGCAACTACCTACGACTGAGTCTCAAGGCTTGGGTCGTCCTTGTCAATCCAATATTGCCCCAATATTATTGGTGGCATTTGGCATCGATATTGGCAGTAGCAGCATTGCGGGAACGACATCCAGCCCAGCCCAGCCCAGCAGCGCCTGGGCGCAGCGTAGTGTCAGAAATACTAGGTGGTAGTGCCACGAGCAGGAGCCGCAAGAGCCCAACCAGACCCTCTCCCGCCCGACGTCGCGGATTCTGCAGGGGGAAATAAATCCAGCAATTTTTCATTGTCAACCCAACTTCCAAGTCGCTTGCGACATCTTAAGTTACTAGCGACTCCGATCATTGATATCGAGGTCGACATCGAGGTCGATAAGTCGATAAGTTGATAGGTCGATTAGTCGAACTCGACCACTCCTTCTCCTTCTTCCTCTTCTGGTATCTCTTTCTCCTTGGTGCCCAGGCGCTTTCTGTGCTGTCTCTCTTTCATCCCTTCGTCCTTTCATCGCAACTCGGGCCAATAGCGGTCCATCCCAAGCCAGCGTGTCTCGCAGCTTTGTCGCGACTGCTGCTTAGCGCATATCCAACATGAACCAGCCAGGGCAGTACGGAGCCGGCCCAAGACGAACTAATACCTATGGCTCGCAGCACGACGAACTCCATATTTCTCCCACTATGAGCCACAGCGGACAAATCTCCCCGCGAGAATTCACCACCACCTCCGGCCCGCACATTAAGCTCGACCAGCCCGTATCGCAACCCGTCAATCCTCAGTACCAGAATTCCGGTGTGCCCAACATTCTTCAACCTGGAGGATTAGGCTCCGGTCGCCCTCCCGCCATGAGTGCTAATACCGCACCCACCCTCCCTACCATGTCCGGCGCAATACAACACTCTCCGAGCGAATACGCCTCGCCGTCGAAGCCACCGTCCTTGAGCTTGTCACACGGCTACTCGAGATCTAGTCCCGCCGCCCCTTACGAGAATCCTTCCACCTCTTATTCCCCCTACACGCCTACTACACCCGGCGGATCTGCTGGCCCCTCATCCCAGTACATGTCGCCGCAAGATCCCAAATATGGCGCCCCGGGTTCACAGCGAAATATCTCCAACACGCCGCTTGGTCTGGCAGACATCAGGCCACGAGCTGATTCAAGCCTGTCCGATGGTCCGCCTGGCACTATAGGATACGAGCTCGCCAATGCCCATCCATCCACGAGCAACTATTTGGCACCTTGGGCGCTCTACGCATTCGACTGGTGTAAATGGGCTCCTCGGGACAGAGGAGCTGGCAAGGTGGCCATCGGGAGCTATCTGGAGGATGGACATAACTTTGTACGCCAATGCCCCAGATATCATAAGCTTCAACATTCATGATCACTTACCCATTCATTTTCTAGATCCAAATCCTCGATTCGCAAATCATCAGTACCCCTTCTGATATATATACACCTGGCTCGTCTAAGTATAGCATGGAATTTACAAAGGTTGCGGAAGCAACTCATTCATATCCCGTAACGCGTTTGTTGTGGGAGCCTCCCTCGTCTCAAAAACAGTCTACCGATCTACTAGCTACCTCCGGCGATCATCTTCGGCTCTGGTCTCTGCCGGCAGACGCCCCGACGGCGCACTCGAACTCGGTAAATAAATCAGCACTGGGTGCGCCTATAACAAAACTCACGCCGCTGGCGCTTTTGTCCAATTCGAAAACGCCAGATCACACCGCGCCTCTTACGTCGTTGGACTGGAACACCGTTTCTCCAAGTCTAATTATCACGTCCAGCATCGACACAACATGCACCATCTGGGATATACCGTCCCTAACAGCCAAGACCCAACTGATTGCTCACGATAAGGAAGTCTACGACGTTCGATTTTGTGCCAATAGTGTGGACGTGTTCGTCAGCTGTGGGCAAGACGGTAGCGTGCGAATGTTCGATCTTCGTAGCTTGGAACATAGTACTATTATCTATGAACCAACCTCCAAGGACGATCGGGGTATGATTTCCACAACGTCCTTCTCCTCCCCAGCATTTTCTAACAGCACCACAGATGCGAATGGTGGCAGGATAAGCCCTACTCTGGCCCAGCAGACCATGTCACACGCACCACCATTATTGAGACTGGCGACCTCGCCCCACGATACTTACATGTTAGCAACGTTCGCGCAAGATTCAAGCGTCATTCGGATCCTCGATGTACGACATCCTGGGCAGGCACTGCTGGAATTACGTGGCCATGGCGGCCCCGTAAATTCGGTGGAATGGTCTCCTGGGAGGAGAGGACTGCTCGCCTCGGGTGGCGACGACTGCCAAGTCCTGCTTTGGGATCTTGTAAACAGTACTCCTAGTAGCAGCTTGTCTTCCAATGGTGTTGGATCGGCTGAGAAACATCTTACTCCTGTCGCTAGTTGGCAGTGTGATTACGAAGTCGGCAATCTTGGCTGGGCTCCACCACTCCGCAATAGCGATGGCGATGGCGAATGGCTCGGTGTCAGCGGCGGACGAGGCGTTTGGGGCGTGAAGATCTGAAATACCCGGTTTCAAGCTGTGAGAGTTTACGCTGCCAACTGAAATGTAACGAGAATAAGAAATCCACGCAAGACCTAACCTGAACAAGAACCCTCAGATTAGCATTGCCCATCAGACCGCTATATGCATTTACGAAGCAAGGCGTTTGTTTTGGGGCCTGCATCATGTTTTGGTCACTGACAAGCTCGCGGGGTCTATGGGTGATGGGCATGCCGGAGTAGGTAGGAAGAAAATGGCGAGCCGATTCATTGTCTAATGTGAGGAGGGGCGTGTTACTTTTAGACGCCAATCATGGAGTGGTCTTCTCATACATCAAGCTTCATCCTGTATATTAGTAACTATTACTTGGGGAGAGCAGGCAGATTTTTCTTGCTCGATGGATCGGTAAGCAGATGGCACGGTATGAGGTTAGGGGTGCGGTTGGTAATCCATAGGGTTGTAGGGGGGCTGGCTTCGGTACAATGAGGAAGCAGGGCACATTACAATTCGGATGTTAAGTTGTGGGTTTCTACTTATGCTGTGCGAGGTCGCATACTATGAAAATTATATAACGGACAAGGAGTGGTCGTCGTAACGCATAGCTGACTTGATATTTACAGTAGCACGTACATACCTCCAGCTAGATTGCCCGTTTTCGAGCCTAGGTACTCTGGCAAGTTCTTCAAGTCGACAAGCCCTGCAATAGAGACAATAATATAGACAATTTAGCAAAGTAAGTTCCCAACCCTTTGACGATTTGTTGATTCCTCAATTCAAAAACTGGCACCAGCCACATTTAGCCACAATATTTATTTGCTGCTGAAGTGGGGCGCTGCCACAATCATAGCCACTTATGACCCCACTCTACACCTAATTCAAACTGTACTACGCTTAATCTAGATTAGTGCATCCCAAGCTTTCAATCGGCCAGAATTAGTACCTATCCTAGAGATCAAGCACGTTCCCGATTGTTGATACGTTCATCTACTTATCATAAAGAATTCATCCAGCCTTCAATCATTTTCCGAACCTTCCTTTCTTTCTCAACTTTTTTCTTACCCATTCTACCATTCTTCTCCATATCCCTCTCGGTCTCTATTGTCACAACTGCCCATAATTTAATCTACGCGACCGATCACTCGACAAAATGAGTGATCCTCGCGACCGCGACCAGCCCGAGTCGGAAGACGAGGAAGACTTTAATCCACCTCCAGCCGATTTCAGCGATGATGAGAATCAAGACGACAGCCGCCACGAACAGTCAAAACAGCAGAGCAAGTCGTCGCCTACGCGTAATGGAGATGATGACGAAGGAGATGAGGATGATGACGGTGACGGTGACGGTGACGGTGACGGTGATGGTGGCGGCAATGATGATGACGAGGAAGAGGAAGATGAAGAAGATGAAGAGGATGAGGTCCAGGTGAGTTACATTATTACCTATTTGCCGCTTCTCTTCCCCTTCCATTTTATGCCATAGAAATCGATGCCTAACCAGATAATTGTTCAGACCCATCGTCGCAAGCGACGTAAGGGCAAGGCAAATGTCTTCCTAGATGTCGAAGCCGAGGTCGATGACGAGGACGAAGGTGAAGACGACGAAGAAGCGGCCGAAGAAAATGAAGGCTTCATCGAACACGAAGAGCCGGGCGATTTCGGCGAGCATAGCCGACTGGACGACGATCGACGACATCGGGAACTCGACCGTCAGCGCGATGCAATTACGCAGGAAGACCTTGAGCGAGCAGCTGAAGGCTACGTGCGCAAATATGGAAATCGCAGGACCGCGAGGGGTCTTGGAGATTCTGCCATCGTTCCCCAGAGACTTCTTCTCCCTAGCGTAGACGATCCCGGTATCTGGGGTGTTCGATGCAAGGAAGGCAAGGAGCGCGAAGTCATTATGGCTATCATGAAGCGCGTCATCGAGCGCCACAACACCAAGGATCAATTAGCCATTACGGCGGCTTTTGAACGCGGCGGCCCTAATTCCATTATGAAGGGACTCATTTACGTTGAGGCTCCCCGACAAAGTGACGTGATGATGGCACTCGAAGACATGATGAACGTCTACCCTCGTACTAAGCTTATCCTTGTCGATATTAAGGAGAGACCTGATCTCATGCGAGTTCAAAAGACTCCTACATTGGAACCCGGCGCCTGGGTACGACTTCGCAGGCCCGCCAAGCACTCCGGTGATCTCGCACAAGTTCTCGACATCACAGAGAATGGCCTTGATGCTAGGGTTCGCTTCATTCCTCGGCTCGACTATGGACTACGAGACGAGTCAATTTCAGCTGCCGATAAGAAACGTAAGCGTCCGGTTATGGGACCACGACCTCCGCAGAGACTGTTCAGCGAAGTCGAAGCCCGAAAGAGACACCCGCGTACTCTCCAGTATAGCAGCCAGACCAATACCTGGAACTACAATGGCGACGAGTTTGAGAAGGGCTTTCAGGTCAAGGACATCAAGATCCAACACCTGATCGTTAGCGATGTCAACCCGTCGCTAGAGGAAGTTACCAAGTTTGCGTCTGGAGGCGAAGACGGAGTTGAGAATATCGATCTTAAGTCCCTTGCCGCTAGTCTTAAGGACAGTAATGCCAACGTTACCTATCTGCCGGGTGACGTAGTCGAAGTCTACGAAGGCGAGCAAAAAGGCGTGGTTGGCAAAGCAACCAATGTTCAAGCAGACATTGTTACAATTGAGGTCACCGAGGGTGACCTCGTCGGACAGACCATCGAGGTGCCAACAAAGGGTCTTCGCAAACAATTCCGAACTGGTGACCACGTCAAAGTTATTGGTGGTAGCCGATACCGTGACGAGGTCGGTATGGTTGTTAATATCTCCGAGGACCGTGTCACCCTTTTGACAGACCAAACCACAACCGAGATTACTGTGTTCAGCAAGGACCTTAGAGAAGCAAGCGATATCGGTGGCCAGGGATCCCTGGGTCAGTACTCGTTGCTCGACCTTGTACAGCTCGACACTATGACTGTCGGCTGCATCGTCAAGGTTGACCGCGAGACCCTGGTTGTACTGGATCAGAATGGCGATACGCGGCAAGTGATGCCTTCTCAGATTGCCAACAAATTACCCAAGCGAAAGACTGCCGTCGCCGCTGACCGCAACGGCTCCGAGATTAGACCCGATGATGTTGTAAAGGAATATGGCGGTATGGGTCGCCAAGGAAAGATTGTTCATATTTACCGCACTTACGTATTCTGTCATACGAACAGAACCACTGAAAATGCCGGTATCTTTGTGTCTAAAGTGAGCAGTGTCAATACCATATCGGCAAAGGGCGGCCGTGTCAATGCCGCCAGCTCTGGTCCAGATCTGAACGGCATGAACCCGGCAAGAAAGCTGAACCCGAATGGAGACAGGGGCGATATGCCACCTCCCAGAGTCTCGTTTGGGCGAGACAAACTGCTCGGCCAGACGGTCACGATCAGAAAGGGAGGTTGGAAAGGTACCCTTGGGCGCGTCAGAGACACTACGGACACGCATGCTCGCGTCGAGATACACTCTAAGGGTAAGGTCATTAGCGTGTTGAAGAGCGACCTTACAGTCCGTGACAGTATTACTGGGCGTGAGATAAAGAACTATGACAGTCGTCGTCCCGGTCAAAACGGATTTTCCGGAAAGCCTTCTCAAGGGAACGCAGATTGGAGCGGAGGTCGCACGCCCGTGGGCAGTGCCTCGTCACGAACTCCTGCCTGGAAGACTCCTTCGGCTGGAGGAAGCGGTGGACGTACTCCCGCATGGAGCAAGGGTGGCGACGGTGGTAGAACGCCAGCCTGGGCCGACGGTTCCCGCACGGTCAATCCTTACGACGGAAGCAGAACCTCTTACGGCTCCGGCAGTCGCACGCCTGCTTGGTCTTCGGGTGCTAAGACGCCGGCACCTGATCATTTCAGTCACGGGTCGAAGACGCCAGCCTACAGCGGAAGTGGCGGTGACAACTGGGGTTCTAAGACTCCATACGGCGCATCCGCAGCTACTCCAGGAGCCAGCGGGAACGATACGTGGGGCTACACGCCTGGCGCGAGCGGTTCATCGAACGCTTACGATGCGCCAACTCCTGGTGCCGGTCTCTTAGGCGCCCCTACGCCAGGTGCGATGAATGCCCCGACTCCAGGTGCGTATAATGCGCCTACTCCTGGTGCGATGAATGCGCCCACTCCCGGCGCCGGTTGGCAGAGCGGCTGGGGAGCCGACTCCGCACCGACTCCCGCCGCCGCCGCTCCTACACCAGCAGCAAGCGGCTTTGCTAGTTCTAGCGGATACTATGGAGCGCCTACGCCAGGAGCATACAACGCAGAAACCCCGGCTGCTGGTCCTCGCTATACTGATGACGACTAGATTATTACTGGAAGCCCGTAAAAGGAAAAGCATGGGGATAGGGACTATGGAGTCTTGCGTAATTCGGAATTGGTGCTTTCAGTGTAGTATTAAGGCTTAGGTTTACGTTTCTAAGTTAAGGGATTTTAACAAAGGCATTGTGAGGACATCGTGCCTTTGTCCATAGCCCATGAATAACATCTGATTTCCGCATTATTATGATACGTCGCGAATGTGCCAGCACTAGACCATCCTTGAGTTTATTAGATAAACAGCCCATCGTCCTTTATTCACCGATAAAACTAACAACGTCTTAGTCTACTCCAAATGGTCTTTCTACTCCTCGTCAAATTTAACTGCAAGCCTTTCCAGCGTCATTAACCACCGTCAGCCTCTAGTCCTGATTCTAATCAAATCATCCCCCAAGTCAGTATTATCGCCGTCGGTGCGCCAACTAGCCCCCATGTGTTTATATCAGAACATCCATGCGGCTTACCACTACGAACTCCTCAATGTGAATGCCGCGGAGCGAGATAACCATACTTGCAGGCATGAGATCTTGTCATCCGATGATGGTGAGAAATGCTTGCTGCACTCGTGCTGCCGCGTCCTCGGCCATGAGGTTGTCTTCAGATGTTCTCGTACTGATAAAGATGGTGGGAATTTGTGTGATAATGCGATGAAGGAGGATGTATTTGTGCCTCTCGTATCTAAGTTCAAAAGTGGAGATAATGGAAAAGGGGCTGCGGCTTTGGAGGTTGTGGAAGAAATGGCCTTGGAGAATTCGCCCATGGAACTTCCGGCAATGACGATGGAGTTCTGGCCTGAGGACCAACCGGGCAAAATAGTGCTGGTGTACTTGGAAGAGGAAGTTCTGACGTGTGAGGACAAGAAAAAGGAAGCAAAGTCTAACGGTAGGTGGCATAGAATGTTGTTCCGTTTACGGTGGAAGCAGTGAGGTATGTGAAGACTCATTTTACATATTCAATTACTCTCATTGCAGAATGGGATTTCATAACTATTCAATATTTTCTCTAATTACATCTACCTAGGTAGGTACCTGTGTAATCTTTAAAGAATATAAATTTACTCACTTGAGCAGAATTGTACCTTGGTCATAGTAAATCCATTCAGACTAATCTAACTAGAAATCATCATCTCCGTCACCTCACCGGAAGTTCGCAAATAGCATACCTATGCTACTACTACATCTCCCTTTCGGTGACGGTCTATTTTGGTTTTGTGTGATCTCGTCGGAATCGTCAAAAAGACAGAATGCCACGTCTAACATGATTCTATAACGCCGTACACCTCTAGCCCGACACTATAACAGGACCTCAACTCAAACCCAGCTAATAAGATGAACAATAAAATACTCAGTTACCTATGCAAATAAGAAGCCGTCAAATTTCATCAGTTCCGAAACTTCGTCTCATTAAAATCAACGCCAAGCTCATATAAAAGTTCGATTAGGCAAGAGCCCAAAGAGTTGCAAGAATTAAGAAAAAGAAATCCAGTGAAAATCAGGCTGGTGATTGGAAATTTCCTGGAAACCCCTCAAGATCTGAATTATATTCCATCGGTTAGGTTGTCCCTAGCTTCTAGCTCTGTTCGTTCTGCTTCATAGGTATATGTCATGTCTTGATTCTCGGCGTCCAACTGCAAGGATTGGAGGTTAGTCCAGTCTCGGTCCATAGCTCCGAAGAAGCAATCGAGATTAGGCTGTTCTAATCCTAGCGATGAGCTGAGGACGGGTGCCGGTGAGACTCTAGCTAGTCGGTTGCCCCCATAGTTAGGGAAAGCATGTGGCCCGTATGGTATACTTGTCGGAATCTGTGGTTGGAGCATGCCGAACTGGGCTGGAGAGTTTTGCATGAGTAGCGGTTGACCACCATGCCTGTTTATCTTGGGTCCTTGTATCTGCCTTTGTGCTGTGTTGGCCAGGCTCGGGCTCGGTAGGATGGGCGTTCCTGGCATGGTAAATTGAGTCGTCGTCTGGCCGCTGGACGAGGAGTTCTCTAATGAGGGCGCATCGTTTAGCTCTGTATGTACACTATATGCCCGTAGCGCTAAAGTCTTTAGACGGCTTTTCATTAATTGTTCTTGCCCGGGAACGAATTGGATATTTCCTGACGTAGTCGCGTGGTCTAGGAATTTCTGGAATAGGTTGGCAAAGTCCTGCGTATATGGTAGCGCTGGTATTGGCTTTATTCCTGGCGTGGTTCGTTCAGCCCCTGATAATCGTTAGTACCTATTTAGATGTAAAGTATACCCTCAGCTTCTGCTTCCAGAGAACTCACAGGGGTGTGGAGGATGTGTAATCCCCGGATAGATCGTCTCCCAAATATTGAACCACTTTTCCACCTCAGAGGCCTTCTGTCGCTTCTTACCACCGCTTCGATCTAGAAGCGTCCACTGTTCCATACTTATGCCGGTATTCATCTCAAGGCTCCCTAAGGAGCATGGCTCTGGCTGTTGGCGATGTCTTCTCAACTCTGTGAGACTTTCTTCCACAGCTTTTCCTTTCCCTGAAAAATTCTTATTACACCGTTCGCATTGTATTAGAAGGTGCTTTCTTTTGATATGTTCCCTGAGGTAGATATTAGGCTCGAATCCTTTGGTATCAGATTGGATGATCTTACTTCAATCTCTGGATGGTCTTGTATCCTGATTCGCATACCCGATATTGGTCACCCGTGAACGGATTGCTACAAAATCTGCTAGGATCCGACTTATTGAATGGACAAGCGTATCTACCTCGAAGTTCTCCTGAGGTTGAGCCATCGTCGTGGTTTTCAGGAGACCCATTTCCTTCGCCATCATCTCTTTCTTCCCCATCTCCGTCATCGGAATCCCTCCGTCGAGATCCGGAGAGTCGCCGTCTTTTACGAGACTTAGAATGTTTCTGATCAGTACTAGAGCTCATATATGGTTGCTGAGAACCTTCACCTGATTTAGGTGAGTTTTGATACTGAATGATGCCTCTCTGCCAACCACCGATCCTTCGTTCTTCGCGATGAATCTGGTCTTTATGCAAGTCCATGATCAGCCAGGCAGCGAATTCTAGATCTTCCACATTGGTCAGCACAGCTGTCTCAATCCTGTCTGGCTCGCCACCCCATTCGTCATCATCCTGCTCCTCGTCAGATTCAAAGTCTTCATCTTCAAGATCGCTCCCACCATCTTCAACTATGCTAAGATCAACATTGTTCGTGCGTATAGATGGGGGAGTAGACGAAGGCATAAACGGTATGTCACTACCAATATTCCCGTCGAAAAATGTGTTACCGGAAGTGTCCCTATCCATTATTAAAGTGAGTATCGATATCATTAAGAAGCAGCTAGCAGTATTAAGGTAAAATTTGGGCGAGTTGTCAAGGGATAAAATGCAAACTGACATCAACTCAGGAATGTGAGACACATCGCTTCTCCCATCTTCACTACCAAACTGCCTCCCACACTGTGTAGCAATCTGTGGCTCCGTATCTGGGAAAAAGTGTTCCTTAAATGAAGATGGGCTCGCGACTGAGCAAGCAGCTGAACAATGGTCCCACAGACTCTCAACCGTGCTTGGAGTATCGGATCTGATGGAGGATGTACCGGCACGATGGAGGGCGTTTTTTAAAAGACGGATATCATGATTGATTCCTGGCGCAGTTTCGGCAGCCAAATTCTTTTCAGCGCTTTCGGCTAGCGAGCCAGAAGCCCTTTGGTGTCGAGATAAAGAGTATTCCATGGTATAGTATCATAGCGTATTATATCTGTTGGAGTACGAGCATGTAGTTCAATCTTCGAGTTCTAGGTATCAATAAAAGCACAAGGTGAAGTTGTGGACATGCCTCCGAAATCATAAATCCCAGCTGAATAGTAAATGGAATAGAGTAAAGCTAAGTCATGATAACTATGACGACCCTGCGATCTAAGAGGTGGTATGAAGGTGGTTGCTCGATTAACTGAATCATGGCGATCTCGGAATATAGGTAGTTGTCCTAAGCCGATGCATCAGAGCCTCACGCATTTGCGTAGCATATCTCCTTGCCACGCAAATGAGTGATGAAATCCTACATAAAGTTGCACTTTTCCCCTCCATCTTCCCAATAATCCACCAATAGGGTTAGTATACTCGAATCCCGAGACTGACGAAGTGTATCAAGTATAAGCCACCGCAAAGCCTTACAACGCAAATGCGCCGTATCAGGTGTCAATGTGACATTATGGTCAGACAATCCTAGTAAGGTACGTTGGAATATATGTGATATATAATATGTATGAAATTACTGTGAGACTATCAGGAAAATATGGCCTCCGGGTTTCCCCATGAGGTTGTAGTGGAAAGAACCACATAGTGCGACTGTTTTGTAGCAGCGAGTCTTTCTCTCAGTTTGAGCAGCCGAGTGGCACAAGGGATTACGCCTGTCTTGAGCAGGGAATTGATATATCTACATTTATACAAGGTGAGTTATGAGTAGCATTTCACATCCGACAGCAAAATGCTGAAAGTACTTGTGGCCTCAGCTGCAGACCGTAATGCCGCCTCCTGATATCCCACTTCCATCCAAACAGATAGCTGATTAATTTTGAAAAGAGGTAACGAGTAGTCTCAATGGATACACCATTCTATCTTTTATCCCCATGTTACCGATATCTCATGACCAAGTTGGGGCACTCTTGGAAATCCACATGAGTTTCGTCCCGGAGACACAGAGAGACGTTGACTTTGCGGGAGTCAATTATGTGATTCCAGGAAGCATGGTATTAGAGACAATTAGAGACATTCTCGATGAAGTAGTTAATAAGTAGGTATCTAACTGCTATGTCATACTAAATGCTCCTCCTGTACGGTTTGTGTAAACTATATCTGTCTAAGTACCTCCCTACCTACTTGCATACCTACATAGGTAAGATAATACAATAGGATATAAAGATCTAATTCTTGAAAGTTCTTCAACTTAATTTTGAACATTTGCGCGGTGTGAATTTCGACTTTGAATATCCTGAACTTATGACTCACTCTTCGCATTTGCGCAGAAAATCGAAGAGTTCGCGTTTAAATAGCTGCGCCTTTACACTTAAGTGCGAACATGGTCTTTGACCACAATAAGGCATTTGCGATGACTCGCAAAGGGCTAAACAGAGCTATCCGCGTATTACTGCATGCGAAATACTAGTATCCATGGATGCTTCCATCATGTATATATTGTGCTTGTCCCCCGAGTAGAACGTGTTTACGGAAAACCACAAAAGCCAAACAATACTTCCCTCTACTACAACTTTTTAAAAGAACCAAAACTCCTCAAATCGCCTAAGGATTTATTCCGCAAGAAACATCATCACAGATTATGACGTCCGTCCAGAGAAGAGTCTACTACGACAACATGGAAGGCCTGAACAAAGCCCCTGACAATAACGACCCTCAGCCTATCGATCCGTGTATGTACTGAATGGCAGACATTGTTAACAGTAACTAGCTAACATATTAGCCTACGGGAAATGATCTATCCTTAGAAGTATGATCGAGCATGTTAAGAGTGCTAAGAGGGGTCGGGTACTGGTTGCTATAGATGCATGGGGACTTATCATAATGGCAATCAGATCAAGATGATATATGATAAAGGTCGATGTACTGATTCTCTAAGAGGGATGGTATCCTTATTGTCTATCTACATGGGGTTCGGATGTGTTGAAGATAATGAAGCCCCAATGGAAATTTACCCCTGACGACTCTAGAGATCCCTCTCAACTCTCAACACCTAGTCATAAACCACAGCATACTGCGCAGGCGCTTACAAATTGAGCTAGAAATAAGTTCAAAATTCCATAATTCACAACGTGAACGATGCTAAACTGATGAGGTACATGAAGCCAACATAGCTTAGTTAATAACATCATATCCATTTAAGTATTATTGGTAATTATAGCTATCTTTAAATATAGGCCCGCTTTACCATTAGGGAAAGAACTTGTTCTTTGGACGTTTGAGACCCAAATGTTCACGCAGAGTCGTCCCCTCATAATCCTTGCGGAAGATACCTCGTCGTTGTAATTCAGGGATCAGGCGCTCAACAACATCATCAAGGCCCTGTGGCAAGAATGGAAAGACGACGTTGAAGCCATCCGAACCTTCTTGTACAAGCCATTGTTCCATCTCATCAGCGACCGTCTTTACTGTACCGACGAAAGCGAGTCCCGAATAACCACCATATCTTTGTGCAAGTTGGCGAACGGTCAGACCCTCTGTTGCCGCGAGCTTCATAACCCCCTCGCGACCTGACTTGCTCGCATTTGTCTCGGGAAGATCTGTCGGCAACGGGCCATCCGGGTCGAACTGGGAAGCGTCGGCACCAAGTGCGATCGAGAGCGACGCGACCGAGCTCTCATAGTGTACGAGGCTGTCTAGCTTTAGTCGTTTTGCGCGGGCTTCCTCGACGGTATCCCCGATGACTATGAAGGCAGCAGGGAGCAACTTGATGTCATCGGGTTCACGACCCACCGCGGTAAGTCGGCCCTTCACGTCCTTGAAGAGCTCCTTGCCGGCCTCGAGACTCCGCGGGGCGCAGAATACCACCTCGGCCGTTTCGGCAGCTAATTGCTTCCCGGGCTCCGACTGTCCAGCTTGTACGATCACCGGCCAGCCCTGGGGAGGCCGTGCGATGTTCAGCGGACCTCTAACGTGAAGCTCGGGCCCGTGGTGGTCAAGCACATGCATGCGCTCCGGCTCGAAGAAGATACCGCTTTCAACGTTGCGCACGAAGGCATCGTCGGCAAAACTATCCCACAATCCGGTCACCACGTCGTAAAACTCACGAGCTCGGGCGTAGCGTTCGCCGTGCTCTTTGTGCTCTTCCTGGCCAAAATTGCGCGCGGAGTCAGGGTTAGCGGTCGTGACGATGTTCCAACCGGCACGCCCAGCGCTTATATGATCGAGAGATGCAAAGCGCCGCGCAATATGATAGGGTTGGTCATAAGTTGTCGAGGCGGTAGCAACAAGACCAATGCGCTCGGTTACGACGGCTAGACTGGACAGTAGAGTGAATGGCTCAAAAGACGTTACTGTTTGGCTGCGCCGAAGAGCCTCGATCGGCATGTTCAGCACGGCTAGATGATCAGCCATGAAAAAGGCGTCAAATTTGGCAGCTTCTAGCTTTTGCGCGAACGACTTGATATGCTGGAAGTTGAAGTTGGCGTCGGGATAAGCGCCGGGGTATCGCCATGCGCCAGTGTGTAGACTCACTGGACGCATAAAAGCGCCTAGGTGCAGTTGTTTCTTCTTTTGTTGTTGTTCGGCCATAGTTATTAGTGTTTCTGTTTCTTATTCTATCCTAAGCTAAACTCATTCACGGAAGCCCGCGCCGTTCTTGTAGGAAGCTCATGAGCTGGGCTCCGGGTCGTCCGGTTCGGCTTATGGACTGCGGAGGATGTCGCCATATCTGAGGGGTATGACGATAGATCCGCGAAGCCAACCGGAGAGGACAATGGAACGGCTGTTATTAGAGTGATTGGAGTCGGTGTTATCCTTGTCTCCGGTATCAGTATTGACTTATAAATCACCGATTTATAATTCAGCCAGCCATCCACCAAAGGCTTCAATCTTCGATGGCATTTAGCACATGTGACTGATTCAAATATGGAACTTGCCAAGGACAATTGTAGAATAAATGCTTTCAGATTGTCACAGATGACGCATGCACCCTGTCTTCTCTCTCCAAGGTCGTTTTCGTTGCTCGCTTAACTTACTACCTCTGGTAGATATGGAAGATTGCTTTGAAAGCATGTGTTGTAGTGGCTCTCCATCTATAACATTAGAAGAGGAAGCGATAATTAACAATGTAGAATCAAGGCGAGAGTGAGATGTTACTGTGCTTATACGATTGGGGCGCTGAGACACCTTGTTAGCTCGATGCCAGGTAATAGACCTGGCAGTGGTTCACGATGGTGAATCGTAACGTAGTGCCGCCTAATCCAGTTCAAAACCACGAGGTAAATAATGAGATGGTCCGACTAGAAAAAAAAAGGGAAGATAAGTATTGGCGGACTCTAGCCGTCTGTCTCGAGACCATGCTCTAAAACTTGGATTACCCCTTGATGTTACTATTCGATGGCTTCCACCGAATATTTTGGGGCTTCTACGGGGACCAGGGAAGGGTTGCTAGGGGTAACTAGGGAGCCCTGTACAGGGACCCTCAGAGCCCTGCAGTTTCGCTAACCACCGAGATAGTGGAGCCGAGCTTCTCTCGCTTCAACTAGCCGCTGCGCGCTGACTCGTTCTCCAACCCCCTGTCCAACTTCAGACGATGCGAAGAAACCCCGTATCTTCCTAACTATCCTAGCTCTCTCAAATCTTCTCGTCTGAATTACACAAATCAGTCGTCGGATGATTTTTGAGACGTGATGTGAAGTTAGTCGTTCATATTCCTCAATGTGTAGTAGGTACACAATATACATTGCTGATAATTGATATCAGAAATATGGCCTGGGCAATGCGGTTCTTTGCCTTCGCGGAGTTCTTGGCTGGGAGGGACAAGGGGGTTGAAGAGCCTCACGATAGTTATTAGCCTCTAGTGTAGCCGATCCCCAAAATGTCCCTCTAGATGAAGGTTACTCCACCAGAATAAGTTCGTTAATGAAGGATTTTCACAGGGTGTCATCAGCTTGTCCATCCGGCCATTTTCAGCTCTTCGCCTCTTGGCTCTGTCGGGCACTACTCCTTGAGCCGCCCCTCTGACGCTCATTTTCGGGGAGGGAAAGGAGGTCTGGGTTTCAGCCAAGGAATTCTTCACGCAAAGCCCGTTGCACACCTACTCAACCAGTACAAGTGTGTTCTTCCAGGTCCGCTTGCAAGACCTCGTAGCTCCGGCTGCAGTTCCAACGCGATGGCAGAGGTCCACAAATTGCCGAGATGATTTTCCAGATCTTAAGAAGATCAAGGCGTATAAGATCTACGATCTTCCGCTCACACATTCACAAATTCATTCTCTCCATCCCATCACAAAACATCAAACAGCCAGTCTTCTGTTTCTTTCTTTCATTCTTTCGTACAGCTGTGCTGTCCTTTCGTTTCTTGCCATCGCTCGAATAGTTCTACTTTCGCTTCTCCCTTGACTAAACCAGCTACTCTGTCGTTGACGGCCCAGCATCGCTCGACTTCTTAGCCTTATCAGAGCATATCATATTTCAATATGCGTTTCTCTATTGCCCTTATTGCCGCAGCCGCTTCCGCGGTGAATGCCGGCGTCTTCACTCAAAAGACCTACAACGACATCTCAATCTCTGGCGGTGTCGCCGGTAACGCGGAGAATGAAGCACTTGCAGTATTCAGCGCGCTAAACCAGAACAACCTGGCTAGCGCCGACGAAGACGATATCGACTTCCTCAAGTCGGTCAATAGCATCTGCAACGATGCCGAGGATAACGCCTTTAACCCAGCCATCGACGCGGCTTCCGGCGATGCTGCTGACGCCCTTCAGCGCGGCAAGATCAAGAACAAGGTCCTCAAGCTCGAGGCTACCATTCTGCGCCTCAAGATTCAACAAGCACAAGGAGATGACGTTGCGAGTGATATGGCAGCGGAGCAGAAGAAGCTTGACAACAACATTTCTCAAGACGAGGCCGAGGCTGGACAGCCATCGACCTTCCTGTCCTTCGACGCCACGACATCTTAAGAGAGTAGTTGGCTAAGAGGCCCGGTGTTTGGAAAGGAGGAATACCCGTGTCGACAAATCACACCAGATTCTACATACCTGGTTTTTTTTCAGGGGTGGAGCAAGGAATAGATACGAGTATGAGCACTAATCTATTGATTTTGATGGAATGAAAACTGAAGACCCAAGTGAACCTGCCTCTTGACTACCTATGTACTAAACCATCACGATTGAGCGTGGCTGGACCTACGCAACCCCCTTAATGGAGACTCAGTCAAGTTTGCCGCCCGCCTATCAATCTAGGTAAATATAATCAGAAAAATCGCTACGTAGCATATTTCTCGTAAGTTCAAGACGCAAATTTCACAAGAGTTGTTTATTGATCGAGGTATGGTCAAGTGCTATTAACTGTGCCGTAAAAACAATCGATCAGCAAGTGAACACGGCCGGTCCAGGAGCAGTGTAAGACGTGGGCACAGGGTAGTAGATGTTAATGAGAAGCCCAGGATCTGTAGCTTTATACGCTCCAGGAAATGAGACCAGGTCGGTTGGGGTTTTGCTGCCACCACCGGTGACAGTCAACTGAGCACAAGAGATGTACGTCTGGGCACCACCCACTGAACCAGCACTGTGAAGGGCGATGTGCTCCACACGGAGGAGATAGTCTCCTGCGGGAATACACTCGGGGATCTTGGTCGTTACTTGCTTGGCACCCTGGCTTGGCCACGTGAGCCCACTAGGGGCAATGTTAGGGCCCTGCGAGAAGATCTTGAACCAAACTGCCCCAGATCCATCCCAGGAATCAGCCGTTTGCCCGGAAGGGACCTTCGCCATGTAAAACTGTAGAGTTCCTGGGTGGGAGACCGAAGCATCGGCCGTGAAACCAACTGTCGAACCGGCAGCTACCGTCATGGTCTTCGCGCCCTCGTTGCCAGGCGCAAGTTGATAGCATCTGAACTGTTCAGATGTGACATCGGTGACTGTTCATTCAGTCGAGTTAACCAATGCTGATCCGTCGGAGCGAAAGTGGGTAAAATACGAACCTGGTCCATTGCTCTGATAATTTGTCGTCTTCCTGACGTACTCCCACTTGCTGGTAGCACCACTTCCTGCAATCAGTGCAGGAAAAGTGTCTGCGAATACACTATCAGTCGTTTTCTTACATATTGAAGATTTATGTGGCAATCGGCATTACTTACAGTGGGCTTGGGCAGCCGACACAAGACAAAGGAGGGCTGTTGAGGCTTTCATTGTCAAGATAAGGCACAGTATAAGTTTGACTGAAGACTGATCGTAACTGCCTTTGAGTTATTTGACGGGAGCTGAGGTGTTGTAGAGCTTGAGTATCCGACCTCGACATATATAGAAGAAACTGGGGGGGGGGGGGAGCGCGCGTCAATATCTACCATAGCTACTGTAGTTATAACCCCTTTCCATCAGCATCTTAAAGAAGTATATTAGATATAATTAGATACTTAATTTGCCGAATGATCGAATCATGCTCGATGACGACCTTACATCTTTGGACGCGGCGAGATGGCTACCGAGCGGGTAAAGGCCCTTCGGATAAAACCCGTATACCCTGGCATATTCCTCCTCACTACCAATCAAGTACTCTGCTTAAATTGAAGTCAATGGAAAAGAAATGAAGATGTAGCCTAGTGGATGTGCAACACACAAGGCATATGCAAAAGGGGGCTGCGAGGTTATAAATCCGGGGTAGACATGTGGCCTGATAGGTAGTGAATGAGTCCCTTGGTTCAACCCGAGCCGGCCCAGAATCCTACCGGCGAGTGGCGGGTTAGTAACAGGCAAGTAACATCGTAATTCACTATTTGTCAGAACGGTAATCTTGGACGGACCGACATCTAACACATTAAGAACCAAAGCAGTCACCTCCGTTCGGACAGATGGTGGTTTCATTGCACACTACTTTGGGTTCGCAAACGCTTAAACTAGACGCATCATAGGCTTCTCAAAAGATTTTAGGGGAAAAAAACCACGTTGACTGTAAGACTCACCAAAAGCAACAGTACCTACATATAGTATTCATATCTACCTAGCCAGGCTTTTTACGGCTCTGAATTTATTCTTAGGGCTCCGTTAATATGAGACGTACCTATGCTTTAAACTAGATAGTGAAGAAGGAAATTCTAGATTTCTGATAATTTATTTCGTTGCAGATGTTACTTTCTTCTAAGTGGTATGTGTGGTATACCACCTAGGTAGGTATTAATAATGGGTATTGTTAGAGGTAGTGTCAAAGGGTCAATGAACAACAATCTCCTTGTGGGCCAATGTATCAAAACCCTCTTAACAATGGAACTAAAGATTCTCATTTTCTTATCCTCAGCCTAGACTTACCAAAGAAAGATCTTTACAATGCCCTTTATGAAATAAGAAGAATAGTTATTGGCATAGTTCACGACAGAAATGAGTATAAGAGTCCGCTCAAGACCAAGTAGTGGGAAATCCCTCATTCTTCATCATCGAGCTTCGCAACTATTCAATCTACGATTTTGATTTTAGGTTGACCAAGTACATTCTTCAAGCACTTACTTTCAGGAGGGAATATAATCGAGTTGCATCCCAAGGCCAAATCACATCTACCAACATCCATCATGTGTTTCCAACCGCAAAAACTCTTCATCTGCGGTCACCGCGAAGCCTATGCTAGCACGGTCGTCCAGTGTTCCCTGGTTCCAGTCTACGGACGCTGTCCATTGATTGGCAATATGGATGCTCCCGAAGAGCATACGACTCGGGTTGATGAGAAATGCTCCGATTGCCGTCGAAAGTAGAGGTGAGTTTGTATAGAAGCAATCCTCAAGGAAGTAAGTGCAGCTTGAAAGTTAAGGGGCCGGGTTACCCCTTTCTCCAGATCGTAGATCGACGGAGGAGAAGCTGAAGAAGAAGCTCGAAGGTAAGTCATTAAGTACCTACATAGTATCATAATATAAAATCTACAATCATTATCGAATTCATAGTCGCTTTGTGTACACCTAACTATAGTCAAGTCATAATTAGGTACTTAATATGCATAAAGGGAAACTGTTGACATAATATGTGCTCTATTAGAATTCCTGCACGACAAGCTATGCTCTTAACTGGCGCAAGTTTTCAACCAGGGATTACCTATAAGGCAGGCATTCTACCCACAAAGGCTCGGTTCAGTTCGGCCGGAAGTACCACTTATGTATATATTGTTCATGCTTTGTATTCTGAGTGTAGGCTACCAGGTCATGTGAATACCATAATACCTTCTAATCCCTGGCTGAAGACTTGCGTCAGTTAAGGGCACCTCGACAAAAAAGCTTCAAGGTTCCCATCTATGTATCCTGTTTATTATCGCCACCATCTAAGAACCAAGTCCGAGTACCATTTCCCTCAATGTTCCAGTGGCCGGTTTTCCGATTAAAAATGTGGTTCGTAGTAAAGCTAGAGAGCTTTGCTTCGAGGTTGGTTATTTCACATTCTATGTTATAAATTTTATCAGTTATCTTGAAGTAGTTGTCTTCAAGCCTGAAGAAATTTGACCACACCTGGATGTCCCAATCCAGTCCACGCCTCTCAAAGTACCGTGCACGAGCTTGAAGATATCTCGGCTCAGCGATAGCCTGGAGCTCCTGGAGCTTTCTCTTTTTCTCCAACTTTTCTCTTATTTCACGGGAAACGTTCGTTGTCATGGTAGGGTTAAACTTGCAACCGCGGTTCTCTGTCACTATGATAGGAACGCCGTTTTTGCGATCTTCCTCGTCACTATCGTAGTCTTCGTCTTCGGGTTGAGAGACTAATCGCGAACCTCTAACAGTAGCCAGGTACTGCGGAAGAGTCGAGGGAAGATGCTTGACTTTGGAACTTCGAGAGATGCTGCGATGAATGTTCTCGCCTAATATATGGCTCTCTTCACGAACCTTACTTAATATCTTCAAGGAAGGTAGTGAGTGACACCGCCGGCGGAGTTTCCCAGATGTTTTTTCATGTGTATTCTTATCCATATTTCTTAGCGATATCGCGTTTTTACTTGTCACTCTTTCGCATACACGAGGCCTTGTGGATATGTAACTGATATAGCAGTTAAAACAGGGCACAAGTAAATGGAAATGACCTTCGACGCAATTGTGGCCCCTAGACTACTTAGACGGAATCTCAACGGAATAAATGTTCTTCGATTTACAATGTCTTTCATCAATACAAAGACATTTCATGAACAAATGGGCTGTAAGGTGCTGTAACAAAGGGGCAAAACAAATTTAGTTACATTTTACAATATAACAATAAGGAATCTCGACGGTTAGCAGACCTTGACTTTGATCCAAGTAACAAGGAACGTTAAATATAGATATTTGTTTACCTCTGTTTATTTTCAAAATCCAACCTCGTCTAGTTCTTGAAGGTGGGCCTCAGAAATAGACTTTGCTTTTCTGTAATGCTCATCAATACGCAATGACTCTGCAGCTGTTGGCCATCGGGTAGGACGAGGTCTTCGTACACGTGCTAAATACGTGAATAATAATTATTCCGTCTCCTAGGAGCCAATGCCTGTAGAATCTGGGCTCAGTTGAAGTTTACCGGGCGGGAAACGAGGTGGACAAATTCCCGCTGGTAAGGCAAGGGACCTCCGTGAATAAAGGAAAATAGGAATAATGGCATTTTTATTCATATTGGAGTAGCTTCATAAGACTATCACCTACTTCATGAAGCCCATCTTCGTAAATAAAGCTTTGACCTGTTTCAATGATCTCATCCTGGATGTGGCCTTCTCTTCTAGGAGTTTACATTGAAGTTCAAACAACCGAAACTGCGGGCTGTTGTCGTCTTCGAAAGTCGCAGCGACTCGCTGACTAAGTTGTTGAGCGTAGTCGACAAGGGCCTCAGCAAGATGAATTAAGAGAGCTGTCTGCATTGTCGAAGCAGCTGTACTGGTCGCGACGAAGTTTCCAACTCGTACCTCGGGGATTCGCACGTCTGGCTCAACAAGGTCGGGGGAGATTAGAGTAATCTGTGTACACGTTCGAGCACAAAGTACGACGAGGCCCATCACATCTACGACTTTGGCATGACACGATGTCAAAAGGTTAAATAGTAAGACGTCAATCTTATCTTGGCCGTCATCTAAGCCGGAAAAGAACACTGCTAATTCGTCTGGCAACTCGACGGCGTGAAAGCAATCTGGATCGTTGCATTCAGAATAGTCTGGCCTGTCGAAAATGAGTTTCAGGGCCTGCGAATATACGTTCATAAGGCGTTGTGCATGGGTAAAGAGTTGTTCAATACAAAGATGACGGGCGCTGTTTTCGATAAATTCGGAATGGTATTCTTCAATTGGTCGATTTTTAGGCACATGAACACGACAAATGGATGACAAATCCTGGGACACAAGGTCAACATCGACAACTAATGCCGTTAGTTGTCGGATACACATAGAACGAGGATCCTGCGAAGCTGCCTGTGCCGGTCCGACTCGCTGAGCTGTGTCCGGCTGTAGTTCTTGGATAGCATCCGGAGGAGTCCCCAATGCACCCCTTAAATCTAGAGGAGGCCAATCGAACTGCATATCCATGTCCATGTTCATATTCATGTTCATGTTCATGTTCAGATCACCGTCTAGGTGGACGGGGGTAAGCATGTTGCGTCGCGTACTGAGGCCGGCTGGGCTGAAGATGCAAGGTGTGCCAGCTTTGATGCATCTCGTACATGTTGCAACTCCGGACTCCTTCGGACATTTCAGCTTTTGAGAGTGACAACGGTCACAGCTCGATCGCAGAGGGCGCGGCATGCCTGCTTTTGTATCGTCTTTGCCTCGCTTGGGCCCCCTTCATTCCGTTGCTAGGTAAACGTTTGTAACCTTCAGTTCGAGCGGATACGCTAGTTCATAGATTGGCCTAAGACGAGCCATAGATCATACAGGCAGTATATGAGATGGTGTTGATTGTGCGAAGTGGGTGACGAAGGACGAAGGCCATCAGATATTTGGAGTCGACTCGCTAAATCTGACCAATGAAACGGGGCAACCAAGACGTTGGTGGGTCGTGTAAGCTAGCTGAAGACGGCATAGTGCGATATATGGATACATTGATGTCTGCTGTGTACTACGTACTACGTAGTAATCGTACTTTCCTAGAGATGGTTACACTATTAGCAGCCTGGCAGCTTCGACTACTAGTGGGTGTAATGAAAGGTTAAATTTCAAAAGGAATAGCCTTGAGCTGTCTACGCTACGTCCATACATAGGTACATACATACATACATACATCCATCCATCCATCCATCCATCCATTCATCTTTCGTTCATGATTCCACAATGCGAAGAGAAAAGTGAATCAATCCGAAACATCGCGGTGTTCTAACTACCGCTATGATAAATACCATATCTGCGCAGTAGCATATCTAGGGACTAATTAAAATTGCCCGAGAAGATCGTCGCGACCAAAACCATACCAAGTATCCCGACGCTTTGACTACAATCTTGGAAGCCGACGTTGATATCAACCTGTACGATGATATATCTCGTGCATACGTCACCCCTTGTCGCTTTGCGTCTCATCTCCAGTGTTAATTAATGAATACGCCCCTAGGTAGGAAGCAAGACCTGCTGATGAGCGCCACGCGTAGAAGAATACTACCAAGAACAGCACGAAGCACATAGGGCTGTACCTACATGGTGGCAGGGCGACACCTACATACTAGACCCAGACCTAGGCTAGGTAGATAAGGTCTGATTCTAAAGCGACGAATTGAACTAGAGCCTACCGATCCGGCGCTTGCAGCTGTCACGCCTCTGTTTCTTATCGCCCGCATCATATGTAAACGATACCCGGCCTATTTTCCCTATTTCCTTAATCTGCGGATCGTCCATCTCTCGCATTTCTTCTATGCTTCCAACCATTTCTCTGTCCATTCGTCTAATTGTCGTATGTGTGGTGCGTTTTGGCGCATGACTACACACCTACACAGGTACCTGCGAGGTTACTTTGATGGCATAACGCGGGGTTTGAGAGAACCCAATCAAGTTTGATGGACCTTAGTACAGTGAGCGGTGTCGTTGAAGCTCTAGTTGCAACGTACCTCGCTGGCCTCGAATACTACACCAAGTGGCAGCAACGGACATGGCAGAAACATCGATATGAGGCGCATACGAAAGCCAACCCATGTGGCGGAAATGCTTGTGCTTTAAGTATCTCGTTGGGGTTTTCAGCTCGCAAGATTAGAGACGCGTTTGATGGAGGTGTGGATATTCTTGGTGATGGCTTCGCAACGGGTGACGGTAAGTTACATTAAGAAGATCTCGAGGGTTGCCTATTCTTTCTAATTAGACGTAGAGATATGCCGCAGCGCTCTGCAAAACAATCTCGAACTTTTACAAGAGCGCATATATGCGCTCTACCAAGAGATACGGGCTAAGAACAGCCCGCTTGATCTTTTGGAGGCCGTGCGCGTCTCTGAACGTGTCCGTATCTCTGTTCTAGCTGCCTTGGCCGGTCAATATAAACGGGTAGCCGTCGGCCGCCTGGTGCCTTCAGTCCTGCCTGGGTCTGAGCAGCGGTCGAGACTTAGCGCTACAATCGAAGAGGAAACCGTGAAGCCTGATGATGATGATGACGACGACGACAACGATAACGTCGCCAACGATGATGCGGTCGAATGTGCGCAAGCAGACTACGGCGCTAGAAGCACCTGCATATCGCCATATATGCAGTCAGAACCTCCCTCGCCGCCGCCAACCCCCAAACAAAGCCTCGATGATAGCCAGTCTTCCTATACCTCCACTATGTCTACACCGCGGCCGAAGAATAGCGTATTCAGTATGTTTTGCCCGGAAGCGCTGAAATATCAAGTCAATCCACGGAAGACATTGCCGAGGCGGCGGAATTGCAGATGCGGGTATGACTGGAATGGGGTGCAAACTGAAGACCAGACATCTGCGACGGTGAAGGAGGGATTCCAGATTACCGCCAGATTCTTAGGGAAATCTCACTGTGATGGCGGATTCGGATGTGTACTATGTACCTCCAACGGGAGAACAGAGACGTATTCCAACGTCGATGATTTGAAAGATCATATCAATGCCTCTCATACTAAGTGGCAACTGCTTCATGATCGAGACATGGTCGGTCAGTAAGGAACTAGGTACCACGCATTTCTTTCCTTTATCCAACGACCTTTTGGCTTTTGTTTTGATGCTGGGTCTAGCACTACGGAAGTTCAGGCGTTGACCCCGGCCCATTGTTAATTCTTTGAGATACCCTGGTTGATAAGCAATAATATCAACCTTTATACACTTACATATATCATATATGATTTTGATTCGGGCTTGGATCCATGTATTATAAGATATTTACCAATGTTAAGTTAGGCTGATTTCACCATGTGAGCTTCAGTGTGTTACACGGATTGGAGAAAGTCTATCAAGTCTAGCAGTGCCATGCAGAGTGTAGAATAATATGAGGGAATGTTGTATGAAAGGCAAGACTTAGAAATTCATGAGTATCTAGGAGTAGATACCTACCCAAGTATATACGTGAAAACTGCTTTGGGGTCCTGCTATCGATTAGGTGATATGTAGGGGTGTGTGAATGTAGTGAAACACACGTCGCTATGGGCTATCTTGATCCGACGAATGTATGAACCTAACAAACCCTTAGCCCCAGTTTTCTAAAATGGCATTGTTAATCAAAATCGCGAGTTTATCCTACGGAGCCTCTATTGCACCGAGTGACAAATGCCCTCTGACGAAGCTCAACATCTCATCGTACAACATAACCGTGTGAGGCAAGTTACTCGATTTTAGAAAAAAGAGGGGGAAAATGTATAAATGTGAACGAAGTCCGCATCTCTATATTCATGATGACGGTTTCTATAATAAGAGGTGTATTTCAAACCTAGCTTGTCTGATATCCACTATGACCGGACCTAAGACCGTTTTCGTCACCGGCGCAAACGGATACATCGGGACCGCCGTATGTCGAGTCTTCGTCCGTGCCGGCTGGCGCACCTACGGTCTCGTCCGGCGTCCCGAAGCCGCTAGCGCGCTTATCGCCGAGGAAGTCACTCCTCTCATTGGCTCCATCTCCAAGGATGCCACATTCCTAGAGGACCTGTACAAGTACACGAAAATTGTCAATGTGGTCGTCTCGTGCACAGAACAACTCCCATTTGGAGAGCACTTTCAAGCCCTCGTCGCCCTGTTTCGGAAACTGGCCTCGACATCCAACCAAAACGGCGTCAGGCCCCTCGTGATAGCTACCTCGGGGTGCAAAGACTACGGCGTGACCGGCGTCCACGGGTCGCCCAGGCTCGCGCCACACACCGAGGAGTCGCCCCTCCAACCCCTAGACGTCATCCACGAGCGGGCGTTCAACTCCCTCGAAATATTCACGCACGCAGATCTATTCGACGCGGCGCTGGTGCGTCCCACACCCGTGTTCGGGTACGATAGCAGCTATTACGGGCTCGCGTTCGAGGTGGCTTCGGCCGCCGCCAGGACAGAAGAGCGCGCCCTCCGGCTACCTCTAGATTTTAATGCGATCCTGCATGGCTGCCATATCGACGATTGTGCCGAGGCATATCTGGCGCTGGCCGAGCATGTGGACCGCACCGCCGTCGCGGGACAGTGCTTCAATATCTCGGCGCACAGGTACGATACGCTATCGAGCGTAGCTAAAGCACTCGAAGTAGAGTACGGCCTCAAAGGTGGCGTGGTGAGGACTTTTCCGACTGACGCAAACGGCATGGTGCCGTCTCTCGACTTGGTACTTGGTTATACCCAGTGGGTGGACAGCACGAAGATTAGGCGGCTGACGGGTTGGTCTGATAAGAGGATGTTGCTCTCGGAGAACCTGCACATCTATCGTATGGCTTATGAAGAAGCGGCTAAGCGAGGGCATGAAGGAGTATTAAGAGTCAAAGAGAGGATGGGAGGCATTCTTTCTTCGGTCAAGGTATAGTGTAGTGGAGCAGCAGGATCGTTTCAAAGAGCAGCTTTGAAAGTGCTGTCTAGTCACTCGTGGGGTAGATTTAGATCGCCATACGTAGTATCCCAGCCGTATTCAATCAATGTTTCTAATGGGAAACTATGCTTCATGGTCCAAGGAAAAGCAATAATAGTAATATATGTTCAAGACGTTACTGTTATCACCCGCAAAAGCTGAATCCCATGACAAGCCGTCGAGTGCAGTTGTGCATCTCCATCTCACCTTTTGATTATGTAACATAATATTCACAGGCTACCGTGACACTCGCAAAGAGAGAATCCAATTGATTGACCCGTCTACAACTTGTAGACACTCTCAATATGGAAGGAAAAAAGGGACCCTCAGTGAGATATCCAAAGAATCCGAGGAGGATAAATCCGTCTACCTGTCCATTCGGGCTTGCACCGAAGACTATCAGGAATTAATACAAGGTCGGAAATCTCAAGAATCTACAGGGGAAGAGGGAAGAGAAAGAGAAAAAAAATGTAGCTTCTACACCTGGTTAATTTGATGTGGTAGAGGCCGGATGAGCAATTCGGTGCCAGACGTGGAGGTAGTTATAAGGAATATAAAAAACTCACCTCGAACTGCTCCATCCATATAGAACTAGTCTCTGTTTGCAGCCTTTCACTACTCTTTCTAACGCAAAAGTTGAATGAGCGGGTGGAAGTAGGATTGCCAGCTATGCCACTTAGGTTTAGACTGCTCCTAGATGGTTGCCTCACCAGTCAGTCCAAGTGTCTCGAAATGCAGCACACAAGACATTCCATCGAGAGAACGACCACAACGCAACAAAATGGAGGGCGAGCAAAATAAAACTGCCTCTCCACCCCCATGTACGGTGAGGGAAGGTTGAAGGAAGCGGCCTGCGCGGACTTCCTTCGTGGCTTATCAAGAAGACGTCCCTAGGCATCCCCAAATCAATTCCCGCGATGCCAACCAAGGGGATTCCGACGCTGAGGGTTACGGTGAAAGGCCAACATTGTCTGGCAAGAGATAAGATCTTGACCAGGAACAGGAGAAGCCGAAAAGTGAACACCATGGAGTCACCGTGGCTGTTGATGAGATAGACGAAGAGATGTCGCGCTTGTTCTCTAATTGTCTCTGGAGGACCATCTGGTGGTGCTAAGAGCAATGGCGCGCGCAAACTAGGAGACGGTGGCGGGTGGGCGACTCCGGTAGAACGGCCGCGGCCGCGATCCGGAGATAAGCTCGCGAGCTCTTCGTGACTTCGAGACAGAGCTATAGCCTGGGGACGATGTCGAGGCGTGCTGGGACTACCATACTTCTGAAGGCTGGTATACAAGTTCGGCTGGGACGAATGACTTGCGGCTGGCGAACTGTCTTCACTAGGTGAAGTAAAGTTCTCCCCGGAAGTTAGGATCTTGCTAGGGTGCTTATGAGGATCGGGAAGTGGTGTGCCAGGGTGAGTAGGCGAGTCGAGGTTTTGGATTATTCGTCCTTTCAACCCAGCAGGAGGACTCGTAGCCCGCCCCGTAAACCCGCCGTGATACGATTCGTGATTCATCACGCTCAGCACCTCGTTAGCGCTCGGCCGTTCGGCGGGGTCAAGGGCCAGCATTTTTTTAAGCAATTGGTAGAGCTTCAAAGGAAGATCGGGTCTCTCTCGCTTCTCGTCCTGGAAACCTTTCCAGTCGGTAATCTCGGCTCGCAACAGGTCAATGTCTTCAAGTTCCTCGTGAATGGTATTGGCATTCATGTAAGGGAGTCGGCCGAAGCATAGGAAATAGAGAATCATGCCCAAAGAAAATACATCAGATTTGGTTGTAAAATTGCCAAACCGACCTCCCGCGTCTCTCTTTAAGACTTCTGGAGCGCAATAAGAAATGGTGCCGGTCGTTCCTGTTGATTTTCGAATAGCATTTCCAGGTTGAACTTCGCCGAAGTCGCTAATTAAGCATGTGAGCTTGCCGTTCTCGTGATGTAGAAGACAATTGCTGGGCTTCAAATCACGATGGATGTAGTTGGCGCTATGAAGATAAGCAAGACCAGAGGTGATATCCTTGAAAAGGGAATATATCTCCTCGAAAGATAGACGACGTTGAGAGGCGTAAACGTCCTGGGGGCGTTCGGTCGCGCCTCTGGACCTGCGGCGCATCTGAGCCTTGAGCTGCTCCTTTGTCACCTGCTTAGGCTGATCCCCGATAACGTACTTCAACAAGTCGCCGCTATTGCAATATTGTTGGAGGATGAATGCACAAGCGACGCTCGGCCCAAACCGATTCAAAATGACATCTTCGAGCCAGACATGGCGATAAGATACCAAGTTGGGATGAGAGAGCTTGGCCAACAGCTCAACTTCTATCAACACTTTCTCCAACCACGCATGATCGTCGCCTACCGGAACTCGTTTGCAGGCAAAATGGCCCAGAGGGCATCCGTCAATCTCGTGACGAACTAAAAGCACGACACCTTTGCCGCCACGACCGAGTTCCCGCTCCTCGACAAAGAACCTTTTGAAGTAGTTGGGACTGAATGCATCTCTCCTTATACGGGCTCCTTCCTGGGGAGCTGGCGAGCTAGAAATAAACTCGGCCTCGTCGACGTCATGGGACCTTGAGTCGCTACCACTCGGCAAGGTGGGTTGGGTGAGTCGACGGATAGGACTCGGCGGAGGCTGACGTTGAGTAGGCTGCTCATCTACATCCAGCCCTGCCCGGAGCATACGGAAATAATTGGGGTCGACATAAGACTCTTGAGGATTTGGGGCATCGAAGTGTCGTTCGGGGGAGGGTGGGCGGAGAGGTTGGTGACAAGTGGGACACTCTGTCAAAGGAACACCTCGAATCTCGAGGCGTTGCGACGAGGGATCGCGAACGACGATAGCATTACGGTGGCGTCTAATCCATGCACGGTATAATTAGCGTTCAATGTCCAGCACTAAAAGTTATGGAAGCAATACTAATGACGATAGTTTGATCGGGGTGTTGATCATCCTGGCGGGGGCAGAAGGAAGAAACAGAGGTAGAAGCAGAGGCAGAGAAAAGAAAAAGACATGACGTACAAGACGATTTCACGACCGTCCCGAGACGAGTAAGGAATTAGCTCCATTGCGTTGTGATTACCATCCGGCGATGGCAAAACTGAATGAATTTCAAGGTCATCGAGATTTATAATCAGGATTAATCATTATATACTATATGAGCGACAGGCCCACTAGATGGTGGAAAGGAAAGAAGGGGAATGCTTTCTCACGATGCGGACTGGACAGATGTTGACGGTTTTCTTTATTTTGTTGTAAGGATTAGGAATTCCATTGTTTGGTACCGGTCCGCATGTACCTGGGTATTATTGAATTTCAATGGGGCTTTGTGGGCTAATTAGATCGAATGCGTTACCCCGGAATGCGCTAAGATCGGGTTCCTTTTATTCAGCCCCTTGTCACTTCCAACTTGCAATAGGTCGCTTGGAGGGGCAGGAGGGGTAGCTCCGGGAGGAAACAGGTGTGGCTTAGGCAAATATTAATGGCTTAGAGTTCTATGGTCACATTTACCCCTGAAGTATCATTTTGCGCTTTTCATCTTTCTTTACAACGCCTAGGGTATATCCAAAATACCAAATCAGACTTCACGAGTCACGATACACACAAAACTCCTTTAATCACCCAATCCACTTCTCCGCCATATCCCTCATGATCGGTATGTAGTTCGACGTGTCAGTCTCTGCCGTCGGTATTTCCCGTCTCAAAGAAGCAAACGGCCTCTGCCCAGCGATTTCGTCTTCCGAAAACCACGCGCCGTGTAGACCGTAGGGTACTCGTTGAGGCAGCTTAACTCTTGCCACGATTTCTCTCATATTTCTCGCATCAATGATCCAAAGCTCGCTAATAGCGTCATCGCCGCATTCGCCATCTTCATTTAACTGAGACTCGTCGAAAACGTAAGTGAGTAACCACCCATCATCCTCGGTTTCCGCTTGAGCCCGTGGCACGAACCGTGGTTCCTGGGCAAACCACCCTTCGGGCATCTTGAACAACCTTATTGGATCGTTATCATCGGTGCTCCGCATTACCTCGTCAAGATCCCGCGCATCGACGCAACCCTTGATTTGTTGCGGTGGGTGGGTAACGCCACGAGCTATCAGCGTCGCAGTGTCTATCTTGGCAAGGTGGCTGATTTTAGTTGCTTTCCCAAGTGCCGCAGAATACGTTGTACCTGTACTACAGCCATATATATATTTAGCCGCTCTCATGGCGTGAGACGACGACATGGTGGGAAATTCGAAGGGGATGGCTGATAGAGCCCACTGATTACGGATGGTCGGCGTCTCATCCGACCCCTCTCTGACTAGCGGGAAGCTGTAGTAATAAAGCCGGCACTGTTCCTCCTCGACGTATTCTGGAGGCGCTGGTTTAGGCGTGGGAGGCACGAGCGCGCCGGCACTATACACAATCGACGCCGAGGTGAGACGACAAGCGAGAAGGTGGATGCATGTCTCAGCTTCCAGCTCCATCGACGTAGTCTCCCAGCAATTGGCCGTGTGAAAGATGACGCACGGGTTCGTCGTAAACCATTGGATTTTCTCCGGCTCGTATCGAGGAAAGACTCCGTAGCGCGATCGTTCTGTAGGATCGTACGAAACGACAGGCAATCCCCTGATGCTGTTCGTAGGATCTAGGGATAAGGGAAGGTCCATTATTACGGTATGGTGGGCTGAGACTCCAAAGTCATGCATCATCTTTGGCGAGCTCACACCCGGGATCGGAATATCGAGCGTTGGGCCACGAATGCTCTCCTCCGTTCCCTTTGCCGACGAGCTAGCCGGTGGGACTATCGAATAATTAACAAATGGCCTGACGAATACGGCATGAAATGAAATAAGCTCTTTCGTGATAGGGTCAACACGTGGGTGACCCGTTGTCCATTCCTTCATGAATCCCATTAGGCCATTCCCACCGAAGCCCGCTTTATTATCCCGACCACATTCATTCTCCGCTCTTCGACCGTTATACCAGCCCACGGTCTCCAGTCCGGGAAGCTGGAACCTTATCGGCGGACCGCTTTCGCATGTCGCCAAAGCTCTGCCATCGTGATATAGCACGCCAGTATTGGCGACGCTGATCTTCTTGACGGCTTTTCTAGACCCCGGAAGAATCGAAAGAAACACGAGTGCCAGCGTTCTAAGAACCGCCGCAACCATAGCAATCAACGAAACACCCACTAGTGTCGCAATACTAGGTAGTAGAGGCCGGCTCAAGTTACCGTTATCCTTGGCATTCAAATACACGTCAGTCAGGATATACTGATTGGCAAACTCCGGCTCGATGATTTCGCTTTTATCTCCGCGTCGGAAGAGAACTCCAGTAAGCATACCGTCGCCGTCAAACCAGTGCGCATCTCTCCCTAGGTCATCGTTTGTGATTGGGTTTCCGCCGTTACGGACGTATTGGCCCCCGGCGAGGTCTTCTGGAATATGCCCGACGTGAGTACATCGTGTAAGCTGTCGAGTCTTATTGATGGGCGCGAAATTCCCAGATAGATACCTGTGTATGTCGATAAGCACTGGGGATATCTAGGAGCTTTGCACATGCACTTACGGGTGCGGTTCTCGGAATCGTTCTTCCATTTCAAGCAACTTATATGTAGCTGGTCGATATGAACGAAAGACTCGTTCAGATACATTCCGGATTCACTTTCTTGGTCAACTATTGAGGTAAACGGAACAGCTTCTATGGATTATGAACATATAATAACAGGCAGGAATAATTTAGCAAACGGTATGAGATACCTGTTAAAAAGAAGAGTAAGAAGCTTTCTGCTTCACTTCCTAGACGCCACAGGTATCACCCAGCCTCTCCGACTTTCGTCATCCATTGGGCACGTGAACAATGATGCAACTACAGAGGCAAGGTAGGAATAGAGCTGTGGCCGTAAAATAAATGAATGATATCATGAGCTTTGTAACCGGCTAGTTCGGGAACTAGGAGATAGTACCAAAGCCGCCATCCAAATTCAAATCATATCATGATGGAGAAGTTCGCTCAGTTATGTCAGATCATCTATTTCAATCAGCGCTCACACGTGCGAGGACCTGCCCGCATCCCAAATTGAGTCAAGTATTTGCAGACATAGACCCATTTTCCATTCAGGCCACCCCCCTGAATTAGACACAGCATATGGCTAAGAAATTTCGAAGGTTATTTAACTAGCCGACTGATACTGTATCCCCTCCCCTCCGCCCCCTAACAAAGAGAGCCTTTCACACTTATGACATTCTCGAGTTTATATGAGCATCTAGTCGGTGGGTATACCTGGTAAGTCTACCCAATTGAGGTAATGTGACATTATATCTTTTCAATGTTGGCGTGGGTCTATGTATGTAGCCTACGAGATAGTGAAGTCATCACCTACAATTCCACATTCGCAATGCTAGGGTCTCTTTGTAAGGATAAAAGGGATTTATTCTCGGCCGTTCACTCATCGTTCGAGAGGTGAATTTAACACTACATTTCGTCTCGTCAACGTCGTATCCCGAATAATCTGAAGCTACAATAATATCATAATTACCTAGGTACTTATATATAAAGATGTCCGGACCCGGGAACCAGGCACTCAATGTCAACAGCGTCGTTGGCCAACACGGCAATTTAGAAATTACCAACCGTGGCTCCGACTGGTACTATACCGTCTGCTCCGTGATGGGTCTGGCAACCCTTATCTTCATGGGATTATCCTTCCGAAGGGCCCAAGGTGATCGTATATTTTACTATATCACTGCGGGTATAACGGCCGTCGCGTGTATCGCGTATTTCTCAATGGGTTCGAATCTTGGGCAGGTTCCTATTCTAGCCGAATTCATCCGACCAGGTAGTCGTCTGGTGAGGCCGGCTGGAAGTCGAGAAATCTTCTATGCCCGGTATATCGACTGGGCCATTACTACCCCTTTACTCCTTCTCGACCTTCTTCTCACAGCCGGAGTTCCCACGCCAACGATCTTGGCCACGCTCCTCGCCGACGAGATCATGATCGTCACCGGTCTCATCGGCGCCCTAACACGGACTACCTATAAGTGGGGATTCTGGACCTTCGGCATGATCGCACTCTTTTTCATCGCTTATGAGTTGTTATTCGACGCGCGACGCCATGCTCAAAGGCTGGGCGGAGATGCAAATAAGACATTTATGATGTGTGGCGTTTTTCTCCTCTTCATCTGGTTCTTATACCCCATCGCCTGGGGTCTTTCCGAAGGTGGCAACGTCATTCACCCTGATGGCGAGGCCGTGTTCTACGGTATCCTCGATATCTTGGCTAAGCCAATATTTGGTCTCCTCCTCATTTGGGGTCATCGCAGGACCACATCATCACAGTTAGGACTTCGCATTCGGGATCGTAGTCAACTCACTAGCGATAAGTACGACCCCGAAAATATCCATCGCGGTGTTCACCCCGAGGGTCCCGGAGCGAATGTCGGTGGATCTGCTGCCGGGCCTCCTACAATCACGACTACTGCTGCTCCCGGTGTCGCTGCTCCTGGTCCGCACCCCGCTACCACGCATTCGAACGTATAAATTTCCATTAATATAAGAAGTCCCTGCTTAGTTAGGTGTGCTTGAGTTACTAGGTTTGGCGGAGCCATTCATCACCCTGAGTGGTCGAGCATTAAACTCCCAACGTATAGACACCGTCTGTCTGAGTTTCAATTTGTAAATATATTTTGGATAAATAGTTTAAGGGATGGATATGCTTGACAATCCTTCTCGAGCGCGAATGCCTAAGTTGTCATCGAGACAGCGTTAAAAATAAAAACCATAATTAAATGATAAATATAAATGACATATTGCAGTACATTTTAGAATTTAGAAGACATTAATATGCTGTCGCTTAGAAGTTTTCATGCGGTGATGCGAAATCTACCTACTTATACAATTATTCGTGACGGACTGATTTCCACCTGCCGGCATTCCTTTTTCTTTCCGCCAACCTCCTCTTCGCTAAACCAACATCAGCGTTCGATGAACGGGAAAAGCCCACGCCGCCAAACAGACTTCCCAATCCGAAGTCGGGCTCGCCGCCTAAAGTACCAATGATGTCTCCGATGTAATTTGACGGCTTGACTCCCTTCTGGTAGGTAGAGTCCCACTCGCTCAAGATACCTTTCACGATCTCAACCCCAGCTATGTAGATGTTCTGGACAGCAATATCATAGCCATTCTCATCAGCAAGGCGAAGATGCTGAAATGCGCTGATTGAAGGCGGCGGGCGATCAAAGTCGGAACCTTCAGCATATGGTCAGTATTGTCACTTGGCACGATGCGTGATGATCAAATACGTACCGGTTCTCATTAAGATAGCCCTAGAGAAATCAACCCGCCCCCAGACCGCAGCTCGCATTATCGCGTGTAGAACGGAGCTATCTTCCTGCGCCGTCATGCAGTATGTCATGGTGGTCTGGTTCGTCCAGAGTTGAGTCGTATTCTCGAACGCCTCGCTCAACATTACGCCGGAGAAGTAAACATCGCTAGTCGCCGAATCGCATTTTATGACACCTGGCTCATCCACGCCGGCCGCATACAGTCCGTTAGCAGCAGTGCCGTACTTCGCCCGGTAGTCGGCGGCTCCCGCGGAGTCGGCAAGTTTCGCGCGCTGAGCGAGTTTGACAGCGGCATCCCTCAGGTTTTCGTTAAGCTCCATCACCTCAGTCCCGTAGATGGTAGACGGGTATTGGTTGGGCGCGTAGGTGCCGTACGAAAAGTATCCCGTAGAGAAATTGTCAGGCATCTCGCGCGCATCGATTTCATACTGCAAGGCTACCTGCACCGTGAACCTGGAAAGGGCAACGCTCCCGAGTGTGCCAAGTTTAGGGTTGACACCGGCGATGCCCGCCAGCAGAAAGTACGTCTTTGACAAGTCGAAGAGCTCCGAAAGAACAAACGCCATCGTCGAAGCCGCAGCGTTGATCTCGGACTCGCCGACGGTGAGTTGGCATATCTCGCCGTTCCCATTGCAGTGGACGTGCGGATACAGCGGGGAGAGACCCGGCACGGAGATGTTGTTCGCGAGAAGGTCACCCAGAGAGCTATTTTTCATATTGTTGTACCAAACCTCTGCTTCCGGGTAGAACTTGACTCAAGTTAGGTATCTCCGTTAGGTTTGGTCTGACTAATGCGCTCGGTTGACGATGTCGGCTGAGGATGAGCAGAAAGTAGGAGAGCATGTTGCAAAACTTACCATGCTGACAATTACGACCTTCGGGGACCACTTCCCGTACCCGTGCCGGTCCTCTGCCGCCTCATTATGATTGACACTATTCCGCGTTCCGATGGCAGCATTTACTGTCGCAGCCAGAGACCGAGTGGCCAGCAATAAGATCGGAACTACCCCGGAGAGCAACATAGTGCTGAACCTGTCAAGAAGCATAAAGTAATGCGACGGAGGTAGGTGGTATGGACAGTAACGGATGGACACTCGTCCATAGGAAATACTCCCGAGGCCTGTAAGATTTATAGGAGGCCGAACACCCGACGTGAGAGTTAGATTTTACATGAAACTATGAAATCAGTCAACATGCTTTTGAGATAAAGACCACACTACCTGCTTTTGTGTGGGGATGATCCTCGCCTAGTAGGTGGTGACGAGGTGGTTTTCTGCGCTTGTTAACACTTGAGTTCTTTATTTACCTCCCTAGGTAGATACCCAGGTCGGAAAGTCCCGAGATTGACATTGCATTGTTGTAGGCGTTGATCCGATACATCTAAGCACAATTTCCGCCATGTACTTGGTTTGGCGTGTGCCTAAGTAAGTAGGTACCTAATTATCCTATCCAACTTATTTATTCAGACAGCAGTGATTATCCTGGGCATGATGGTTTTAGGAATTGTTCTCGCATAAAAAGTAGGATGATGTCTTCATATATTCTGTAGCCCACCACTAACATGCCGTTATTCCGCACCCTTGAGGCTTTCGATGTTGTCGTAAGCAGATAACGACCTTATCTATTATACCGGGAATTGCGCTCCACAGTTAATCTTGATGTTACCTACTTTCATTCAGAAGATGGTGACGAATACGAAGGCAGCAAAAGATAAGAACTCGGATACTGTAGGTATACACATGTTCTGGCTACTGTGGGCTGTGTGGTATTAATCGGGAACGTACATAATCCCGCCTCCTTGCATTGAGTTTTTGATAAATCTCTAAGATCTACGTAGTACATTAGATACGCGACATTCGGTTGACGCAGCCCGGGCCATGATCCAGGTTGAAGCCAAGCTAGGACCCGAAGACCGAGACAGGGCGCGATCCGCCGAAGGGTTATTCCAGAGCTCCGCGTCACAGAACAGATGCTTCAATAAATGTGCTTCAGAAGACATGGCGTATCCATCTCCATCTCAATTACTGAAATCTCGTTATAAAGTCGCAAGTCCCGAGTACTAGGATAAGCGAACATCTAATTTCGAGGCTATTCTGTATGAAATAGGTTTCATAAACGCCATTTCGATTCTATGTTCATGATCGTCTACATATACCAGGAAAATATACTCGATGGTTCATATGCGAGGCTTAAAATCCACCAGCGACGCAGTACATTAAGTATTATAGGATCCCACGTCGCTTATAGGTACACTGGCGATAAGAGTCCATTGCCATGCAAAAAGAAATCCGTGGTCAGTGGCGTTGCTGGATACGGTAAAAACGTTCAGGCAACTCCTACACTTATACGTCCTCAATATGCGCGAGGAATCCTTCTCGCGCCGCGAATGCGAAGTCCCAGGCTTCGTATTGGTCAGGTCAATCGGCTATGGTCTGCGGGGTCCTTTGCCATTGGTGAGATTACCAGGTAGGTGAGCTGGATTAGGCCGCCATATTCGAAAGTAGCAGGATCGTTTACCCCCTTAAATCCGGCCTTACGCTGCCTTTATTCTTGAGTCGTCAATCAGAAACCCGGGTATGATACGCACCATTATTTCCCACCATGGCATCCTCAACAACAGCTGAAATTTTCACCTTATCCGACGGTCGAAACATATCTTACGCTATTTACGGAGACCAAGACTCCTCTAGGACAATATTTTACCAGCATGGATATCCGTCAAGCCACGAAGAGGCCATCTTTTGCCACGAGCCTGCGCAGCGGCTGGGGATTCGCTTAATAAGCGTGGATCGACCTGGGATGGCTTCTTCTACATATCAACCTAATCGCCGGCTCCTCGATTGGCCGGCCGATCTCCTTGCGCTCGCAGATCATCTAAAGGTCGATCGGTTCGCCGTCTTCGGCGTTTCCGGAGGAGGTCCTTACGCGCTGGCGTGCTGGCACCAGATACCAAGGTCACGATGCGTCGGTTTAGGCATCATGAGCGGCTTGTATCCGACAAAGCTGGGTCTTTCGGGAATGCTTCTCATGAACCGGGCGATATTCTGGGCTGCCCAATGGTCACCGTGGCTACTGGGGCATCTCTTGGACTTTGGAATAGGGCCGACCACGAGGAGCGCGGAGGAGCTGGAGAAGAGGCTAGGTGATGGCATGAAATCCCGGCCTAAGCCAGATCGTGACGGTGAGTAGAGCCTCGAAACCGGCGGAGCAAAAAGAGACTCGTACCTGACAACGATTAGCTTGGGACAATAGTTCTCGCAGTGTTCGCCAGGGCCTAGCTCGCGGTTTGAAAGGAGCATTTGAGAACGGTCCAGAAGGAGCTGGGGTAGGATTCCTTTTCCAGATCTTGACCAAGACTAACTTTTCGTGTTACTATAGTGGGAGGGCCACATATACAGCTCAGATTGGGGTTTCTGCCTTGATGAGGTCAAGGTAGAGCCCGGGAGGGTTGTGCTATGGCATGGTGACGAAGATGCGAATTGTCCCGTTGCTATGACCGAAAAGGCAGCGAAGTTACTTGGTAATGTGGAACTACGAATTTCCAGGGGTCAGGCTCACATGCTGTTCGTAAGCAAGCTAGATGAGGCCCTCGAAACGCTGGGTAAGATGATTGATACGGCTTAATATCATGAGCTTACATATACATTGGCCTGTTTGCGAGAAGTCGCGTACAATTTTTGAAGTGTCGCGCAAAACTTATACCTCCTCAATTTCTTGTTATGTTATGGAAGAAATGGAGCTGAGACTATTAGTCATCGTCTTTTCTATGTACCTGCTATTCAGACCGCGGACAGGGATGCTTAGAGTCTCTAAGACTACTTCGTTCACATACACATTAAACATACCTACATAGCCTCTATGAGTAACTCACGGATAGGTAATACCGTCTTCAATCGTTTGCTCTAAATTGGTCGCAACACTGAGATTCCTTAAGTAGACTAAGTTAGGGGTTGTAAGATCTAGATTAGTCAAGCCCGAATACGGGGCAGGTAAAACGGGTCTTTAATATGGGTCCGAATAGCTTCATATCCTTCAGCATTCACTCCAACATTGAGTATTTTTTTCATCTTTCCTAATTGCTATGATATTTATTAATTTCTCTTCCACATAATTAAAACCCGCTACTCGATTAAATCGAGTCCTGAGGATAGCTAAGAGTTACGTCGGAGATACCTTCGCAGTTCGCAACGAAGCAGAGCCAGGTCCGGAGTTTACGAATCCTAAAAAATTACGTAGATCTCTGACGTGCATAATAAACGTACAAGAACACGCCGATTTTCGCAGTACTTATACGTCTCACCGCTCTCTAATAGCAATTAGAGGCCTGACGTTCGAGAGGTACCTCTGTTAAGACGTTCCCCTTTCTCCATTCGAATTTGCAAGCATCCCAAAATGGCAGGATGGTCGCTACAAGAAGAGCTTGCGACACTTACATATCCGCCTGTCCCTCCAAATTTTGGTGCGAATTACTGCGAAACAATTCGTTATGACACATATGAGTATATCGACCCCGTAACTAAGTCTAATTGTGAAGGAAAAGCCGTCTTGATAACAGGGGGCAATAAGGGAATTGGTAAAGGGGTTGCCATATCCTACGCAAGAGCTGGGGCATCCTATATTGCCATCACGTCCCGCTCAGATGCTCCCGATGCCGTGACAGATATTGAAAAGGCCGCGATAGACGCTGGTCGGAAACGGCCAGCAGTAACCCTACTTCGGATGGACGTCGCCGATCCAACGAGCGTGAAGGATGCCGCTCACGTTCTGGAGGTGAATTGGGGTCGGCTCGACATCCTCATCGGTAACGCAGGCTTCTTAGCAAGCTACGACAAAATTCTAGATGGAGACGAAGACGAATGGTGGAAGAGCTTCGAAGTTAACGTTCGTGGAAGTTATCTCGTCGCCAAGTCTTTCCTGCCCTTAATGCTAAAAGGTGGCGACAAGACCATCATCAACATGTCATCAACCGGGGTGTCGCACTTCCACACTGGCGGAAGTAGCTATCAGATCAGCAAGTTTGCTCTATTAAGACTCACGGAATATTTTATGGCAGAGTACGCCGATCAGGTAGGCTGGGTCTGATATTCTTGCTCGACCATACTAGGTATTTTCTCTAACACTGGTTAGGATCTCCTAACTTATTCTGTACACCCAGGCGGGTATGTGAATATCCCAGCCCCTGTATCTATTTTGTCCCAATTTGCGTTGACGACTTATTCTTGCGAACAGAGTAGCGACAGATTTAGCCCGGCGGCTTCCAGAGCAGACACAAGGTTCGTCATCTATGGAGGACTACGAGCAGTTCCATATGCTGATTTCCCTGAATCTAGCGTGGCTTAAGTGCACTCCAGCGCTGGGTGGAGATACCATCGCGTTTCTAACGAGCCAAAGGCAGCCTTGGCTGGCGGGAAGGTATCTTAGTGCTATGTGGGATATGGCCGAATTCTTTTCTAAGAAAGATGAGATCATTGCAAAGGACTCCTTAAAGATGAAGTTGACATTTTGAGCTTGATATCAGTTATCACGATGCAGAGCTAGCAAGCAAGAAGTTGAGTTAACTCTCGCTTAGGAATACACTAGGTACCTACCTCTAAGTGCCCTTCATTTGCTCTGTTCTAGGGATAGTCATAAATAGACTCCTTGCAGGCCAAACTGCGATCCGATGCGACCTCTGAAACTACATTCCCATCTACTAGAAGTCGTCTAGGCATATAAACGTACATCTTCGTCCTTTTTGGCGCGCTTGATAATTCGATCAGATGAAGACCTTCCTAAATCTATAAACATTACGTGTAATTCCTTTTATTATAATAACCAAGGTGCAGTCTATTCCTATGAGTTTTCAACACTCTTTATCTAGCGCGCTGTTGGTGCGAAGTAAAGGCGTCGACAAGAATTGGTAGCTAGTCGTGTGAGTAGGTAAAAAGCTAGGTAAACATCATATTTGTCTCTCTCGAATCCTCCTCCCTAAACGCACTTAAGCAGTCCCCAATCCCATCCGATTCGAAGTCCCTCGACCCAGCTTCACTAATCTCATCCTCGAAAGGGTCGCACTTAACCAGCTCCGGCCCCTTACCGCATTCTTCCTACTACAAAAAGCAGATTAGATGTATCTGAAGTTCTGTCCTTAGGTCTTATCCATACCACGACTAGCATTCCAGTCGCGAGGCGAGCTTCCAAGCCCACCAAACCATAGCCCCTATTGAAACCAGGTTTAGATGGATGCTCATCGCGTGATTATGAGAGAAGGACCTTGTCAGAGCCTTCATATCACCATCTGGCTCGATCGGGTTATTCGATTTCTCCTCGTCTCTTGTTTCTGCATTCCGATTAGAAATTTTACCTATTGTCAACACCAAGAACATTACAATACCTTGGCGAATCCGATCAATCATCATCCGGCGCGTCCGCGGTCCATAGACTACCATGTTTAAAAGCGCAGTGACGCCTGCTATGAAGAATGGGATCCAGTTTGCCTTGCTTTCTAGCAAGGTCAATAGACCATACGGGGGAATGGTCACTGCCGTCAACAAAATGAGCAAGACCTGATCGCGAAAGTATATCGGAAAGATGCGCTCTAGAAGCGTCGTGAAAGCGGCTCTCGGTAATGATTGGTGGCACACCTTTAACATGACGAACGAAAGGTACAGCTCCGTACCGAGCAGCACAGAATAGAATAAGATATGGAGGGGAGCCAAGAAGGTCATAGCAGACCATGTTATCTTTATCAAGCTCATCGAGGACATATTCGATATCCTGAGTTGCTGTTGCGTGAGGCAACGGGGGCAAATGAATTTGGGTGGCTTCAAGAAAGGTATTTATAAGAAACCATTCTTCTAATCAAAGGAAATTCCGGAGGGGAAGGGCTGTTGGGTGTCGGCAACTCCCATTGTGAAGCTTACGAAGCCCCGAAGGCGATCGGAGTAAAATACCTTGTCATCCCATAGCGCTAACGAGAAGGCTCCAAGAGTCAGCAACACCTGACGTCGACTAGCATCATCAAGGCCGAAAAATCGACAACGAAGGAATATTATTGATACCTGGCAGAGTAGGTACCTATTAATAAGTTCATACCCTGAGGTAACTTGTCAAAGCCTTGCTCAAAGCGTACTATATAGACTAGATCTCGAGGACTAGCTTAGTGCAGCTAACGCCCGCAGTCAATATATCTAAGCCTTTATTAATGCCATGTAAACCTCCATCGACCAATTGGATCTTGGGGCACGGGACTATTGTACCATTTTCCAGCTTCTCCTTCAACCATACGTTGAACCAAAATGAGAACTGCTCGGCCCGCTCCTTTTCGTCAGTCGAAGCAGCTACAAACTTGGTCTGGATCCCTTCTTCGGTAGGATCTCCAGGTTTTAACGGTGGTGCGGACGCCAAGTGGGCAATTCCATCTCCCTTCAAGGCTTTCAGAATATTATGACAAGGCAGCAGAGCGCCTACTGCATCGTAAGCGTACTGGATTGTGAGACTATCTTCCTTGGCAGCCCGAATGATGACATCTTCCACACCAGGGGTCTTGTAATCGAAGAGTCTCGATGCGCCCAGCGACTTAATATACTCGTGATGTTTTGCGCTCGCCGTAGCGTAGACGGTGAAGCCTAGTAACCGGGCGATCTGTACCGTCATACTGCCAACGCTAGACTACAGGTCTCGGATTAGTACCGACACCCCCTTTCAATCAGAAAGAAGAAGATATAAAATGAAACTCACTGATGCACCCCACACTAAGATTCCTTGCCGATCACTCGGGGTATAGGAGGTATCGCGAGAAATACCAATAGTCTCCCATCCAGACCCTTTGACAATAAGAGTCAGTTATTTTCTCATAGAATTCTGAATGAGAAGTTCTAACTTCCGAGACAGCTAGAGAGGCAAATGGTGATGCTCCTAGATACTACGTACAGACTGTAGCTACAGCCATAGGGAGAGTAGCAGCTTCATTAAATGTTATGTTGTCAGGGATCGGACTGGCATTCGCAGCAGGGATGACAGATATCTGTTGAAAAGCGCCATAGTCGGGCGCACCTTTGACGAAATATGAGGGTGCAAAGGCTGCAACGCGAGTTCCAGGCTTGAATATGTCGGAAACCTCAGGACCAACTTGAATGACTACACCTCCTATGTCTGAGCCAAAAACAGCAGGGTATCCGCCGATAGCAAAGCCCAAGTCTCGTGTCTTGTAATCTAGTGGATTCAGGGCGACGGATTTGACCTCAACGAGAAGCTCCTTAGGACCAGGCTTTGGTGTCTGTCGCTCTTGGACTTGAAGAGGCTGAGCTTTTTCGGTGGCCACAGCTGCTAAGTGGGCTGCCATAATGCGTAAGGAAGGAGTATGATAGCAGTAATCGTAGCAGAATAGATGTTTAGAAATTGTCGCATAGAGTTGAGTTGAGTTTAATTCGTAAACAGAATGTTGATGGTACTAAGGTACCGGTAGATACTTTTAGGGGGTCATAGTTCGATCAATACAACTAAGAAACATTACCTACTTAAGTCATGGTTTCTTGTCTGTAGTGAAATCAACGGACCTTATATCGTCAGATATCTGAATAGCCAACCCGACTCGGGATTGGAAATCTTGTTCCGTCGGATTTAAGATTACCAAGCATGCAAAGAAACCCCTATTCGAAAAATAATTGGCCGGGAGCTAATAGTATCTCCGGAATCTGCGGAATTATGTGTATCGCTTTGGGGTAAACTCGGACTTTATACACCTTCTAGATGTCGTTGAGAATCCACTGTCCTTAATCGCATTCCTAACTTGACTACCAAATAATATTCGACCGATTTGTTTTCTCTTTACATCTTTTGCCAGTTGGTAGATGAGGGCTGCGTGGGGTGCTTAGGTAACTTCTGGCGGCTAATTCCGAGATCGTCGACATCACAGATGCTCACTGCGGATCAACCTGTAGTTTCAAAGTATTCTACGTGTTTAGATATATGTACAGAAAAATGCCAGTACAATCAAAAAGTGCCCTATCCAAATCCTTCTATCTGGTATTCCGTATCCTGCTATCCCAACTCCGGGTGAGTATCTCGCTAACAGGCACAGCCTTTCTCTCTTCTACCTCCATCCCTGGACGGCCTTCATACTGGCTACTTGTCTAAGCAACAAAAACAGCGGCTCTTCTCTTGTTGTTATTGTTGTTAGCAGCATTGCCTCGGCCATTCGCACCTTGGTTTGCAGCATTGTTATTGTTGTTGTTGCCACGTCCATTGCCGTTCTTGGCAGTGGAGGCATTGGTCTTCGCAGCCGAAGCTTTCGTCGTCGTGCTAGCGACATTGCTCGCAGCCGACGTCGCTGTCGCAGCTACGCCAGTGGCGACATCGGGAGTTTGGACGGACGCAGGCAGACTGGTGATGGAATCTCCCAAGATCGAGCTCACGACGGCAACGTTCTGGAGAGCCTCATCTGAACCGGCGTTCTGGATAGCAGCTATGGCCGCCGGGAGATCCTGCTGATCTTGAGCAACTTGCGCGAAGACCTTCTCTAGAGAGAGGCTTGTCTTAATGTTCGCGGGTGTGTTCTGCGAGGGCGTAACATCTACTTGTTGTACAGGAAAGCAACCACCTGCGATGTTAAGTTAGCGAGTCTATTTGATTACACAAAAGAAAAGGGACGGATAGGCTTTTGCGCCAAGATGATCGGGAATAGCCTCAGATTGTCTTCGAAAAGTGGAGGAATAAAAGTGGGGCATACCGAAAGGGCCGGCGAATGCGCTAGAGAGAGAACAACCGTCAGTAAATTTATATTTAGAAGAGATTTGTAGGAGTTCTAAGCATGTCCATAGGGTGAAAACTCATCAGGAAGCTTTGACATCCAAACAGGCCAAAAGGAGGAAGGGGGGGAAAGGAGTTACATACTTATTCCGGCATCTAACGGTACAGACATTGCCAGCGGAGGCTGGAGCAGTTATTAGAAGACGTCCCAAGGTTCGGGGGAGGCCTCGGAGAACTTACATCCAGTGCAAGTAAAGTTACTAGGCATGTTTACCAGGATATCGAAGTCCTGGGTCTTGGCCTGGGAGAATCCGTTCACTCCAGGAACATTGTTCTCGACAGTAAGATTCTGGCTGATGACGCCGTTGTTTCCGGCTTCGACCTAGAGTCACGAGTCAGCACGTGCTTCTCTACTTCAATAGTATCGGAATATCAAGTAGATATCTAGTCGGGTTTGGCTTCTATCAAAACTAGGGCGGTGCTTACCAAATCGCAGGCATAAGGGCCAGCACCGTCAGCATTGACCTGGTGAATGGTAACCTTCACCTGTGTCCCGGACTGAACTTGGGTAACAGCTTTCGCCGCGAGTGCGTTCTCCGTATTCTCCCCAATATCAATGTTTCCGGAGAGCTCGGTCCGTCCGCACTCATTCACCACGTTGGCCGCGATCTCTGCATCTCGGATGATCGTCGTATCCTGTTGGCAGGGGCTGATGGACGTGCAATTTCTCGCCAAGTCCTTCTCAACTAGGTATAGTTAGCTAAGAGAAAGGCGAGAAGTTATGTGGAGCGCATACCTTTGAAGCCGACACTCGCCGGTGAGCCGTCGATACCTTGCGCGTTCAGGATGACGCCGTGGGCCTGCGTTAAGGCGAGCAGGGACGCAAAAGAAAGAAGAGAAGACGAAAACGACGGCATCTTGAATACTATTGAGCAAATGGGCAGCACCGGGCCAGCAAAGGAAGGATAGGGCACAGGGAAAAGCTTAGAAAAAAGATAATGAATTAAGAATAGAACTGATCCACAGGATCGTCAATGGTGAAGAGAATGTTAGTTGGAAAGGAATACCGGCCTGGAGAACAAGATAAAAATATGGCGATCATAGGTGAGCATCGCTCGTCTATATAATAGACACTGGAGATCTTGTTCGATCTCCGCAGGCTACTAGTCCCGTACGAGATGGTCAAAGTGCCGAATAGAAGAACCCCTAACCAGCCTTCGTGAGCTATTATCCAACGCGATCTGTGTCATGCTGGTGGGTTTCGAGCAAGGCTCGAAAGGAGCCTCCCCCGAAGCGGAACCCTTCCATAGCAGTATTTCCAATAGGCGACTATACCCGTATGTCGTAGTAGGGAGAGATGAAGGAAGAAGAGCCGTCTCGAGTTTCCGTTGTTGCTCGTGAGTGGGTAAATCCTGACAGGTCCTCGCCGGGGTGCCTGTTAGAAAATTAACGACTCCCTAGCATAGTAGCCACCCTTAGAATATATGTCTCGCCAGGGTATCGTGAAGGGGGCGCATTGCCCGGGGCAACTAAGACCAGTTGAGGCTTAACTACGTTGTACCTAATAACATAGTACTTAAAACGAAGGCTCCGCAAAGATGCCAAAAGCGGCTAAATCGGATAGAAATATTGATCCTTGTTGCGTTGGTGCCGCGATTTAGAGCGGTGGAGACGGGCGAAGACGTCGCGAATACCACAAACAGCGAATAAGAATGGACATTTTGCGTAGCCGATAAGATCGCTACGAAGCCAACAATATGCGCGAGCGGAAATGAGATGCCTCGCGACCGAGCAATGCCTTTTCCCGCGTTTAATCTTAATAGTATATTCTGCTTGCTATATTATGTGTCCAGAGCTTTGAGATTATCAAAAGTCACTTGTCGGAAACGAGAAAATGACAATTCGGTTCAAGCCGATTGTGGCTTGAGAAGCATTAGGTAGACGATGGTAAGGATATTGCCACGAGGCGCTCAAGTTCCAAATATTCCAGGCAGTAAAATCGACAATGATCGCTTATGATCTACCGGTTAGTGTTAATCCTTCCATGTTTCGACCCCTGTGCCAGATCTCTGCCAAGGCGTTTCTACTGGGTATGGCGGTAATTAAAGCATTACGTAGGTGGTTTTCGAAGGGAATTATCAGGCGCTGGGAGAGGCCCCGGTCACTTTTATTCCCCAGAACGGCATGACCTAGTAGAAAATGATGCTATGGTCTGCTGATATCGGACGGTCGTGCTATTACTGGCCCATCATGTCCGTTTCAAGGTGTCTGTGCTCCAATAGTAAACAAGCATGGCGATCGAATATTATGTATCAAGTACATACCTAGACGCATCTGTTCTAGAGCGTTTTGATCAACGAGATTGCCTCTGGGATGTTCTTGAATACCGAAAGTGATGGTAACAGTATAAACAGCAGTAAATCATGAATACTAGTATCTGTTTGTCCAAATGTACATCCATAGGTTTCGTCGTAATTATTTTCTCCATGAATACGCGCAAGCTTCTGGCTTTTGTTCGACTGCTACTCTATGTTCGAGCTGGACTTCGACCTCGTCCATGGGTTACTGCGCTGACCCCCACTGCATTTGTTATTGCCAAGACCCTTCTCGAGTCAGTAACCGCTCTAGTCAAACAAATCGACCCCTAAGTCGCACTCTGAAGAAAACAGATCGTACCATCGACTAGGTAGGAAGTTACTTGCGTCTCATCTCATCCTAACTTTGTGCGAAACTCTTCGTTTTATGCTCACTAAGGTACATAAGTCTCCCAGCGCTTGTTTTTCAGGGGCATATCATCGTAAGATTCTAATATCAAGCAACACACAATAAAATTATCGCACAGGCCTCCGTACTTTGATAGATGGGCTTCAATACGATTTTCTGGATTAACTGTATCTAGATGGGTTAACATGTAAATATTACGTATCTAGATTGGGCTGTAAAACGCAAGGAAAGATCACTATTTGTATTTTTATGCCGAATTCTCCAAGTTATCTTACGTAGAAATATCCGCAAGACGCTACTACAAAACACTGCCGTATAGCTTCGAATGTAAGTTCAAAGACATAGAAATATATTAATCATGAAGAACATAGGTACTTGAACTGGGGGATTATCCAATTGTATTATTTCTATAATTAAAGCAAAGCCTGCTGAGGAATGCAAAGTCACGCAACTATTTTCCATGCGCTCGACTTGTACGGGCACATTTTTAGCCTCAACACGACCTTATTCGTTCCTTTCTTCTCACAGAATTGTAGAGTATAGGGTTTCAAGGTACACCAGCGTTACGAAATCTCAGACGGCAAAGTACATGATCCCATCCAGTTATATTGCCGCTACCTTCCTAGGGCTGGTGTGGTTTCCCTTCCCCCGAATTATGTCCGCCGTTTCACACAGAACCAGCCCACGATGCAAGCTCCGAAAGAAGACGCGTCAACATCACAATACATACCTACACCCTTGTATCATCACAGGGATATCGACAAACATGATTGAAGGTAGCGGATGGGATGAAAACCTTAAGTTTTCACGAGCTAGAGGTTGGACCTCTGTGCTCCTTGTGGGAATTTATTTTAGTTGAAAATTCCACATCTCCGAATACCATCTAGGTACTTATTTAAGTTACGTAGGTAGGTACCTAAGTAGGTGTCCCTAACTGAATAGCTTCGTTTCTTAGGTGCTTATATTATATGTATAGTAAAAACGTTTGAGACGATTATGAAATAAGCAACACGAGTTTTTGGTGGGTTTAATAATGGGACAACTCTCCCTGTCGTCCAATATTGGCTCCGCTATACATATTTTCTTAGAGATTACCTGGTGATTATAAATGCAATATAAAATCGGTAGCGTTCAAGACTTTAAAAGCTATATCATCAATAAGTACCTAAGTTACTGGGAATCCTCCCAAATTCGTTCAAGGCAACAAGGGATGGTCCCGTTCTTGCAATTATTGGTCCACGCTTTCTGGGCTACATGATGTAGTATTCGGAATGCTAGTCCTCATGCTAATCAAGTCTTTACATATAGGTGAAAGGATAGCTTCACATGTCATGGAGTTGAGTCCCGGGTATGCATTCGCAATGACTCGTCAAGTATCTGAACAGGGTATCAAGGTTTGCCCAGATTTTAACAGCTCGCAATTATAACGTTGGGCTGTCTGAAGGTGAATAATTTTATTACTTCTAGGTCGTTATTTACTTTATTTCAAGTTCAGCCATGGTAGATTGCTGCCAGAATGTCACACGGCGATAGGTGCCACGCCTCTAACATATATAGAAATACGAGACTGTTGGGTTGGAATAATTAGTCTATTGGTTATTGGGAATGGTTACTAGGTTATTACATATATGTAGGATTAATTAACAGAATGTTTATGGGTGCTTAGAGCGTTGAAGCTCGGATCTTAGGTATAGTAGATTGAACTTAAATAGTTAGGACGATCCCTCTTCGAAGAAGAGGAAAAGATTAAGGATTTAAGACTCCTAGAAAATTATTATATGAATTGAACTTATGTTTTAAGCTTATTCTTTTTGTTATAAATAATTTTCTTTTAGTTTATAAATCTTTTTCCGGATTATTATATATGTTTATCCGGAGTAATATTTATTTATATTTTATTTAAATTAAATTATATTTTTATAATTATCCGGAAAAACATTATTTCCGGATATTATTAAAGTTTTTATAAGAAATATTTTATAAATTTTAATAATATACCTTTTTTTTTTTTATTAATAAATAAAAAACTTTTTAAACTTACGAAAATATTTTTTTAACGTTATCGTTTAAACCGATTAATTAAATTAAAATTATTATTTTTATTTATTTAAGAAATTATATAAAAGTTAATAAAGATTTTTTCCTTTAAAAAATTCTTTAATAATATATTTTTTAGTTTAAGGAGTGAATTATTTTTTAATTTTTTTTTTTTTATTTTAATATTTTAATAATATTTTAATTTAAAATTATTACTTTTAAAAAACGTATTTTATATTATTAATTAATTAAGTTTTTATACCCGATTATATTATATAAAAAAATAACGTTATATACGGAATAAGTTTTTTATTAAATTTAATACGTAATTTAATATATTTATTTCCGTAAATTTAAAATTAAGTTTAAGATTTAATTTTTAAAAAGATAATTTTTTAATTTTTATTCCCGATAATAATAACGTTATTATTTTATATGATTTTTAAGATTTTAATGTAATTATACGTAATAACGGAGTTATTTATTAAATAAAAAACTTTATTATTAATTTTTTTATTTAAATATTTAAATTATATTAAAAAATATATAATATTTTTAATATAATTAAAGTTTTTAATATTTTTATTAAAGTTATATATTTAATTAATAATTATTAATAAAAGTTATAAAAATATTATATTTAAATTTAATAAATATATAATGTTTTAATAACTTTTAATTATATAAATATATAAACTTTTAAAAAATAAATTTTTAATTTTAAAAAAAAAGTTAAAAAAAAAAATAATATTTTTTTTTAATAAGTTTAAAATATAATAATTTAATTTATTAAAAATAAGTAAGTATAAGTTTAAATTATTAATAAACTTATAAAAATAATTCGTTTATACGAATTTATTTTCTTTATTATTAAAAAAAAAATAAAAAATATTACCGTTATTATTTAATAAATTAATAATTAAAAAAAATAAATAAATAAAATTATTAATAATTTTTTTATTAAATATTATATTTACTTTAATAAATTAAATAAAACTTAAAAAAAATAATTTAAAAAGTTATAAATTTATATTAAAAACGTTATCGCCGAAATTATAAAATTTTAAACTTATAATAAACTTATAACCATTAATTCGATTTTACATTTCATCGGAAAAAAAATTATAACGAATTTTTTATCGGTTTATAATTAAAATCCTTTTAAAATAACCGTTAAATTATTTATATATTTTAATTTAAATTCATTTTTTAAGTTTTATAATACGAATTTATTATTAATTAATTTTATTTAAAAAATTTAATTAAAAATTATTTCGAAAATTACGTAAATTTAATTTTAAAAAACGCGTTATAATTTAATTATAAATAATAAAAATAAAAATAATAAAAAATAACCCTTTATTAATAACTTACTTCCGGATCTTTTAAAGTTAAAGCAATGTTAGCCGCGCAATATAATGTTATTTATTTCCGGCGCGTAGTACCGTTAAAACGGCGTTAACGCGTTCGAACGGTATGTAAAATATTTTTTAACGTTATATTTAAATTTAATTAATTATTTCTTATTTAATATTAATTTAAATTTTTTATAATTATAATAATTTAAAACTATTTAATTTATTTTATATTTAACTTTATTTATAAATTATAAAATAATTATTTTAAAAAAATATTATATATTAAAAAAATTAATCGAATTAAAATATTTTTAACATTTATAACCGTAATTTAAATATTTT